GATTGAGTCATGATTTCTGGATTTATCATAGATATGTTCTATAAGAGAGAAAAAAATTGATGAGGGAGGGGTGGGGTGGGCCGCTCTGGATGCTGCGGAGTTGGTGTGCGGTCTTATTGGTCGTTGTTGGTAGCCATGCCACCTTTTGGTTGAAGTGGGTATTATACTGACATATTGTCGTACGTTGAGCTTATACTGGATGCTTAAATGTAGTATATAGTTTGATAGTACATAATCCGGCCAGACCTGGTGTAGCTTGTTCGGGCCTTCACGATTGAGGGCCTAGTCACATTTAAACTCAGCATCACTACCAGTATATATCACAACCATACACGACCCCAACTGATGCACTAATGTAAGCTAAAAAGCTACAAAAATAGTATATTCAAGCCTAGCACATACTGCAACCCCAGAAACTACAAAAGCGCATACAAATCAAAAACCCCGAGCCTTGGATGATGCTTGTAGAAGCTGTGGTGCCCTCGAGATGCCCCCAATGCACTACACGCAAGGCGGTCGTCCGCATCACCTCGAATCGAAAAAACCCGCATCCAAACAGACTGCAACTCCCATCAACCATGTTTCCTAGCACAACGCCCCTTGATTGGGCTAGCAAGCGCCTGCGGTAGTGCAATGCTTGCAATTGAAATATCACCATTGAAACTAAGCTCACGGTCTCGGAAACAGGTGCCTACTCTTATCTGCCACTATCAACCCCGAGCCAGCCCACGCGCCATCCACCGAGCAGGCGACCACACCTTCTCAGACCAAGCCTCGAGCCGACTCCCCACACCTGTCGCGTAAGGCTGCGAACACCTGTGAGAATACCTGTGCCTGGAGCAGGATGGCTAATGGAATTGATATCTCACCACAGTCCCCGCTGCCGCCGAGCAACCCGCCGAATTGCCCGTGAAGAATGGTCAGTCAATCGCCTTGTCTTTACCCTCCCACAATCCACGAGCCCAGTAGCTCACTCATACCACAGGTCCGAACGGTTAGAGCTTTCGGTGAACACGCCCGACTTCCCCAGCGTCCAAGCACTCTACCTGCGTCCCCTCCGGAGGAAGGCGGAGCACGGCCTCCCTGTATGCGAAAATCTTCAACTGCGATCCTACAGCGTGCAGAACCTGGAGTTCTTCGCCGATTGCCATCCGTGCCGCCTACTAACACCAACCTCCCCGTCTCCGGCCCCGTGCCCCTCCCCCGTATCACCGAACACTGGACCGTGACTCGCAGTAACTTCGTACACAAGAAGAGCAAGGAGAACTTTGAGCGGATCACGCTTCGTGGTCTGATCCAGATCAAGGATGGTAACCCGCAGGCGGTCCAAGCATGGTTGGCTTTCTTCCTTCGGAAACACGCCTTCCATGGAGTTGGTATGAAGGCCAATGTTTGGGAGAATGAGAGCCTGGGTAAGATGATCCTCAAGATTTCACTTCGAATTTCTATCGGGATACGCCAGACTAATACATCCAAATAGATGCCGCCAAGGCACTTGATGCCTCCCTCCCCGAGATTCAAAAGACCGTGGGCCCCCACCTCACTGGGTTCGGACAACGACAGGACAACTCTGTCAAGGAGACCATCTTCGGATTCTCTGGACAGCGAGCTATTCGTTGAGCCCAAGAACCTGGTAAATTGGCACGGAGATAAAAGTTGGTTTGTTGCTTGAGCTTTGCATAACTTCCGTGTGTGTTTTATTTTGGGGAAAACACCAGGGCGTCATGTAGTTTTATATTATCGTCATTATCTTTGGCTTTTTTGGCTCTGGCCAGGCCCGTTTGTATTCTACTTTGATTGGGCAGTCTCCCAACGAAGAATCGGAGTCTGCTTTTTGTGATGGTTGTTTACCGAATGGTCAGGTTGAGGTAGCACTAGACTCATTAGTTGGAATCTTAAATGACTTCTCTACTAGAGTAACCTATATCAGTCGACATTTATCGTCTGTAAAGGAGTGATTGATTTCTTATCAACCTTCACATCTCGACGGCAATCACGTGACGACAAATGGCCTGTTTTTGCGGCGCGGAGGCACGGAAGTCCATGAAGAATTGCACCTGGCCTAATCGTCGCATTTACTCTGCGACGCACAGCCATATATTGACCAGCGATGAGTGCCACCATTTTCCATCAGGGAAGTGCATCCCTAAGATCGGTGGGCGAGGCAACTCTCCCGCATTCGCCCGACTACATCAATCAGGCCGTCCCTATCCAAATGGCATCGATCCAACAGCACGAGCAGTAATGTCCCACCTACTCAAGAACCCGTCATTTTCTCCGGTATTCAGCCGACGGGAGTACCACATCTGGGTAACTACCTAGGGGCTCTGCGGGAATGGGTGAAGCTACAGGATGAAGCAAAGCCGGGAACGAAGCTGTTGTTTTCCATCGTGGATCTCCATGCATTGACGGTTCCGCAAGATGCGGCGCAATTGAGGAAATGGAGGAGAGAGGCTTTTGCTACGTTGCTGGCTGTGGGATTGGATCCAAGTCGGTCTACGGTTTTTTATCAGTCTGAGGTATGTGGTGGCTGGAGTGCTTTGTCATGGAAGATGTTGGGGATAGACTAGAGAATGAATGAACGGATGGGGAGTGCTAATGAGATATGCTAGGTTCCGGCACATGCGGAGTTGATGTGGATTCTGAGTACAGTTGCTTCGATGGGTTATCTATCACGAATGACCCAATGGAAGGTTAGTGGTTCGCCTCTTCTTGGAGAACGTATGGGGATAGCCAGAAATGTTGGAAGTGGCTGCTGACAGACTTTTTGCAGAGTAAGCTTCATTTACCAGAGGACACAACGTTAGAGCAGGCAGATGCCCGAGCCCAGCTACGGCTCGGTCTTTTCTCTTATCCTGTGCTCCAAGCCGCGGATATCCTTGTTCATAGGTGGGATCATATGTCTATGTGATACGAATAAGTGCATCACTAACCACATCTAATAACAGGGCAACACATGTTCCCGTTGGCGAGGACCAGAAACAACATCTGGAATTCTCGCGATATACAGCCAACAGCTTCAACCACCTCTACGGACCAATCTTCCCCATCCCAGAGGCCCATATCTGTAAGTCTCCCCCCCTTCTTACCATCCCGATAGAAGTAATCACCCGGCCTAACATCAACCAGCCCCCGCCAAGCGAGTAATGTCCCTCAAAGAACCCACATCCAAAATGTCCAAATCCCACGCGGACGAAAAATCCCGAATTATCCTCACCGACTCCCCGCCGCCATCCAAAAGAAAATCAAGGTCGCCCTAACCGACTCCCAACCTAATATCACATACGACCCCGCCCAACGACCCGGTGTCTCAAACCTAATCGAAATGCTGAGCCACTTCGAAGGCCAGTCCTGCCAAGAAATTGCCGCAGAATTCGAAGGCGCTAGCCTGCGCGCTTTGAAGGAGCACGTCGCCAGCCGAATTATCCATCATCTGACGGATATTCGGGAGCGGTATGTCTCTATTATGGATGATAAGACTGGGTATTTGGATTCTATTGCGCAGCAGGGCGCGGAGACGGCGCAGGCTAATGCTGCTGTGACTATGCGGAAGGTTCGGGATGCGATGGGGTTGTAAATTTGAGACAGTTGTATTTTCGTGTCCACTCTAGATGGATGGGCTTAGTGTGGATAGCGCCTGTACTATGTACTAACATTACTTTTTCTGTGGTGGCCTGCTTTGGAGGAGGGTTGTCACTTTTGGCAACTTTTCGTGAATAGCAGCAGACACCGTGTATTATATAATCGGATATTTGTACAACAAGTACCCAAGTAGGAAATAGTTGCATCTTGAATGATTCCACTATGAGACTAGCTTGGGTGTCGTCATGGTGCAAGATATACTCCATTAGGGGGTAGTTGAGTGACCAATGTTTCAGAGGTGAAAGGGGGGTCAGTACCAAGGACTCTATTGTACCCGCCTAGTAGACCCTAAGCCTTATGAATGTGGGGAGTCTAGCGACCTGACCAGCCACCCGAGTATTTACTGTACATATGACGTGGACTAGGCATAAACTATTGAACATAGATATGCAGAGTACTGAATAGTAAGAGTTTTCAATAGCACCGGAGAGGAGCCGGAAGAGCTGGAACATCAACATACCCATTCTTAGCAGGTGTATGCACATGTTCCAATGCATTTGCCACGACTGACTAATGTCATCAAGACCGGGCTTAAGGTACATACTGTAGGTGCAAGATCCATCGATCGCATGTTTGGTTATGTAGCCGCCTGGTCCGGTGGCTGTCAGCTTTTGCCGCCGTGGCTATGCAGCAGGGTGACCCTGGAACTGAATCTTAGACAGGCAGCAGTAATACAGTACTGTAGTACTGTATAGAGGGTCCAGAATAATATCAGTGGAGAATGTCTTGAAGATGATTAATGTATGTACTGGATGTTATCCACACCTGTCCAAGCCACATTGGGAGGTAAAAAGGGAGTGCATATGAAGTGAAGAAGGTCTAATGTATACGTTTTGTCTATTTGATCAGTCACCGAAAATTTTATGTGTAGATGATGATGTAAGATATTCTCCTCCCCTACAATAGGATCACATCCTTTGAAGATCGACCGGACTAACTAAAAACCCCCCGATACACGTGGTGAAGAAAAGATATTCAAAGTCTAATAGCAAATTTGTACCTGACAACCGACTCCATTCAATGATGAATTGTTCCTCGGATAAAAACCGTTACGAAGTCTCGATTAAGCAAAACGATGGATCGAATCTTCGAATCTTGGCTCTGCTAGTCACGGGGCTAAACCCAGAACGGGTCGGTGGCAGTGGAGCGTCACTCATCCGCGTCATCACCACTCCCACGACCCAACCACGTACGTTGCATACGTACGCCAGATTGATTTCCCGTTGGCCCAGGTCATTCAAGTCCTCACGGGGACTGACTGGCTAATGGCGATAATGATGGCCAAATGGGGGAAGAGATATGTACGACGGCAGGTGAATATGGAGTGCAGTCTACACTCTCCACTCTATACTCTGTACTAACTGTCAGAGTTCCTGTTGCAGACGCCCATAAGCTGGTGACGACAGCTCAACCCGGTGGGGCCAATTCTTACATCCCCCAGCGCCTTACCCGAGCGACTTGCACGTCCACTCCGCGGTCATTTTACAGCGCTTGCGAAAACGAAAAGAAAAAGTCAATGGTCCACTCAGAGCCCGCTGACTGGGCCATTTCCACCAAATGAACCTGTCAAACTTACCCGGCTGGCCCGAGGTGCGCCAAAGCCGCCCAGTGAACAGGCCTGTAAACCACATTAGTGCCGTCTTGGAAGGTGAAGTGCATACGACATCCATTGCCTCTCCGACACAGCCGCCGCATCGATGTTCTCGATCTATTAGACTCCATCTTTCCCTGCTTTTCTCTCCTCTTCACAACTCTTCCTGCCCCGGCTTTTAACTCGCCGTCCTACCTCGAATACCCCTCCTATCTCAAACCGACCCCGACAGCCACACAGTATATACGCGATCCCGAATTTCCATTTCCGTCGCATTCGGGAAGTTGCAGCAGTGAAGATCGCGCCGATCCGAAAAAAGTGAAAGGCTTGCCGATCTCATAATTTTATATTGGGGAGCTCGGTATACCGTGGCCAACGGCGAACAAGAATGAAGAATTCCTGGCTTTGGCTGGCAACCCTCGCCGCACCGGCGCTCGGGAAGCTTACTCTCGTTCAGCGAGATGTTCCCTCGGTGGTGGACATGAGTATCCAGCGTAAAGAGGTCTCGGACCCCGTGGCCCGAGACCGAGTACGACGGATGAAGCGTAGTTCAACGGTTTCACAGGCTCTAGACAATGAGGTAGGTCAGCATAATGCTACAGTCCACATCCCTTTTTTTTTTCTTATCTGCTACTATCTTAGCATATAACTGACTATATATGGTAGGAAACCCTCTACTTTTCCAACGTCACATTGGGAACCCCGGCGCAGAGTTTGCGTTTGGTCCTGGATACTGGCAGCAGTGATCTATGGGTCAATACTCCCAACTCGACCCTTTGTAAAAAGAAGACCGCCCCTTGCAGCGACTCTGGCACCTATGACTCTAGTTCTTCGTCATCATACGCCTTTGTGAACAACGATTTCAACATTACTTATGCGGATGGCTCCGGTGCTTCGGGTGAATATGCTAGTGAGACTGTTACCATTGGCTCGGCGACATTGAAGGAGCTCCAATTCGGCATTGGTTACAACTCAGGCTCCAGCGGTATGTGAAAACCAGGAATGAACCCCCCACCGTGACTATCAACAACGGAGAGCTAACATCGCGGTCGTGTAGAGGGCGTGCTGGGAATTGGATATCCAGCTAACGAGGTTCAAGTTGGCGTGAGCGGGGGAAGTCCCTACGCCAACCTGCCCAAGGCCATGGTCAACAAAGGACTGATCAAGTCTAACGCCTACAGCTTGTGGCTGAACGACCTGGATGCTAATACTGGGTCAATTCTATTCGGCGGAGTGAACACTAAGAAGTACCACGGTACCTTGGAGACCCTCCCCATCCAGAAAGCTGGGGGTGTTTACTCCGAGTTTGTAATTGCCCTGACTTCCGTGGTTCTCAGCAATTCCTCCGGCACCACCAACTACACGACCAAGGCACTACCAGCAGCGGTTCTACTAGACTCGGGCAGCTCTTTAACTTATCTCCCAGACGTGATTGTCGAGGGGCTCTTCAATGATCTGGAAGTATCATACGATTCCTCCAGTGGAGTTGGATTTATGCCCTGCAAAAGCAGTTCGAATAAGGTCAACATCTCCTACACCTTCTCATCACCCACCATCAACGTCGCCCTGAGCGAACTCCTTCTGGATATCGGTGACTACTTCTACGACAACGGCGACCGTGCTTGCGCATTTGGTATCGTCCCAGCCGGTGAAAGCATGTCCGTCCTAGGCGATACATTCCTGCGTAGCGCCTACGTGGTATACGATCTAGCCAACAACGAGATTTCCCTAGCCAACACCAACTTCGACTCGACGGGCAACAACGTCCTCGAAATCACGACCGGCACAGACTCAGTTCCTGGCGCCACAGCCGTCGCCAATCCAGTGACTACTGTGGCTGCCGTAGGCTCTGGAGCGCGCATTGGCGGTCCCCATGGAGGCAGCGGTATCTTCTCATCGAGGAATGCCGCTACGCCTCGGCAAACGAGCATGCCCAGGACCCTGGCCCTCGGCTTGGCTGGTGCTGGAGCATTGTTGGCACTTTGAACAGATGGACTCGGTTTTTTTATTTTTGTCATGTTAGAACTTTCGCGTTGCATGTTTTTGCGGTGTATTGGAGTCTAGGAATACCTGGTCTTGTTTTGTTTTTACTCGTGAGTACATATATTTTACACTCATTTAACGTGATACGAATTTCAATGATTGTCAATATTACAAACAATGCCATTTGATATACTATATTGTGACCAGTAGTGGAAACATGACATTGAGAGGTACGGAGTACATTAGTTGTTGATCATCCGGAGCCAGGCAACTTAACGAACTGGCGGGTCCACGCTTGGCATCACCAACCAACCAACCAACCTCCACGCAACTCTACACCTCAAAAAAATGCCGCGCCTCTCGACCTCACTCCTTCTCAAGGCCTATCAAGAGAACACCCTTCTACCCCTTCTCCTCAAAGAATGTCGATCACTAGACTCAGCCCGTAATGAACTGCGATGGCTGCGGGAACGCGCTCTCCGCGACGCCCAGGAACGCTCCCACTTCCGCCAGGACCAGGACCAAGTCACGGGGACGCACATAGGATGGCGGACACGTCTACGAGCGATGTGCCACAGGCGTTCCCAGGGCGTCCCATTGCAGTATCTACTCGGTGATCAACCATTCGGTGATCTAGAAATCCTCTGTCGACGGGGTGTGTTAATCCCAAGGTGTGAATTAAACCCGCTTTCGCAAAAATAAGCATCTCAACTTTGAAGGGATAAGCAAGCTAATTCTTTCTCAGATCTGATACGGAGTCATATACATATGAAGCAGCCAGATTAGTCCGGCAAATGGCGCTAGAAACAAAAGACAACAATAGTCCTACTCCATCACAACCTCACAAGGCCAAATCCCTTCGAATCCTCGATTTATGCACGGGTACAGGCTGTATGGCCCTCCTTTTACACGCTCTCCTCGCGTCGCATTTTGATCGGATCCAGATTACGGGCGTCGATATCAGTCCAATAGCGTTGAATCTTGCCCGGAGAAATCTGGAGCATAATATTCGGCTTGGTGGTTTGGATAGTCGTGCGCGTGTGGATGTTGAGTTTCATCGTGCAGATGTGTTAAGGCGCAACAACAACTCTAGCAATGGGATTGACACCAGTGGTAACGCCATACCCACCGTGGAAGAGCTTCTACTATCCAACCTCAACCTCACCACGCAATCCGAAATCGAACACACAGAGACTACAACTACACTCCCCAAAATCGACCTGCTAATCTCCAATCCACCCTACATTTCAAGCACCGATTTTCACAACGGGACAACAGCACGAAGTGTGCGGCTTTTCGAGCCGAAATTAGCACTCGTCCCACCCATCGACATACCTGCAACTACCGACACAGCGCATTCAATCGGCTCAAAAGGTGATGAAGGCGATAATGATAAACCCGAGGATATATTCTACCGTCGGATCTTGGAGTTATCGCTGGATGTACGGGCTCGTATTACGGTTTTGGAGTGTGGGGATAGGATGCAGGCTGAGAGGGTTGTTGGGATGGTGAAAGGGATGAATTCAAGTGGGAGTGAGGGTGATAATGAAGGTGAAGGTGGTGGTGGTGGGTTGAAGGTGGAGGTTTGGCCTGATACGGAGGAGGATTGCCTGAGTAATGGGTTTCATGTGAGGGATGGATCGAGGTGTGTTATTGTGAGGAGGGGAAAATGTGATATACCATGATTTATTGATAGAGGAAGTTCCTTGTATACAACAAGATCAGCGGCTCAGCCAGGAGTATACAATAAGCACATATCATGAGTGGTAACGATCTAATTCTTATTGAAAAACGCTTAAACTACAGGTCGGAGAGAAGAATATTGCCCATTCATATGGGCTAAGAATAATCATTGAGCCAGCCTTGAGTATATCTTTTCCACTATGCATGTCATGACATAGTCAACACGACGACCGCTCCATCATTTCCATTCCTAGCACTTACGAATAACTCCTGCAAGACACTCGGTCGTGGCTACGGCGCAGCTGAATATCTGCAAGACATGCTTACCCCATTACATATAGCGTGACAATTGACCATCTGACTGCAGCTGCTGCCAGCGTGGGTATTGGGTACATGGTTACATGGTTACACTAGAGTGTTGTGTGACCGCGTGGTGGCGATCATTTGGTGTGATTGTGTGGTGAACTTGTGGGGGAAGGGGGGGAATGATAGATGTGTACTACATTTGAATGCAGATTTGGAAATACCAAATTGTATTCATGCAGCTAGCCTTACTCGAAGATCGATGTCGGATATGTAGCATAAATTACACAATTTTCTATTCGGTTTAAATCACAGATTTGTTCGTCGAAATTGACTTAAATACAGAATATAGAAGAAAATTACATGTAATGCAGATAGGAAATAAGAGATAAAAGATAATAATAAACTTTCAATCGTAACAATGCATTCTGGTCGCCATGGTCAAAAGAAGTATGTACAGATAATGCGGTAGACCCGCAGACCACCCGGCCAGGCCCTTTTTTGGAAAATATTAAAACAGAGTATGGGATGTGCATAGCGCGGGGATTAATGGTAATGTACGTAAAAAGGAAGAAGGGTGAATGGTGAATTGTGGGAGGGTGGATGGGTATGGATTACCGTAGCAGCCAAAAGTTGAGCTTCAAGTAAAGTCCTCGAGAATGAAAGACCAATCTGACTCGACCGTGCATACCCGCGTCACTCCACACCCGGAATATAAAAACAAAGGTCGAAAAAAGGCTTCAAAAATGAAACCTTCCGTCTCATAGGTTCTTCTTCGTCTTGGTGGAAGCAGAGTAGGTGCGGTCATCATCACCCTCGACATCCTTGAGGATAGTCTCCATCTCCTTGGACTGACGCTCCCACTCCTTATCACTCATCTTGGTCTCGCGACGGAACAGCTCCTCATTAGGCTTGCGGTAGCTACCACCCAGACGGTCCCACAGGGTAGTGAACTGGCCGTAGTTGTAGTTGAAGTAGAGATGGTGCATGGTGTGGCAAGCGGCACCGTTGACGATAGGGCTGTTCGCGACGTACTCGCCATCATGGATGAAGACAGTCCACAGGTTGATGAAACCGAAGAGGAAGACGTAGGCGACCTTCTGCAGCGGGAAGAGGAAGGGGGGGAAGACGTGGTAGGGCACGCTCTGGGACCAGCCGTCGAGAGGGTGGAAGGCGTGGGAAGCGAAAGGAGAGGGCATAATCCACTTGTGGTGCGGCTTGTGAAGAGCACGGTAGACGCGCGGGTGGTGCAGCCCTCGGTGAATCCAGTAGATGAAGAAGTCGGTGAAGAAGATGAAGATGGGGAATTGGAGGATGCTATAGTAGGGGAAGGGCTCCTCGGCGACGGTATCGTAGAGCTTGGCGTAGCCGCGGACCTCGAGGACGAAGAAGGGTGCGGTCAGAAGGGCCATTGGAGGCATAGCAGACATGGCCTGCTTGATTTCTAAGGGGATTTGGCCCTTGAGGAACTTGGGGTGGTTGAAGGTGGTTTTGTCCCAAACGAAGATGTAGGAAGCGGTTGCGACGATGAAGTATACGAGAAGGCCGAAAATCCTAATTCAATTGCCATATTCATGGTTAGTTTCTGAGATATTTGCGCGCATAGTCTCTATGTCGTAGTTTTTTGAAGGGTGGCGAGGGGAAAAGGAGGACGTGGCATTGAGCGCATACCATGTGATGAGGAAAAAGCTTGTGAATTGGCGGTAGATGTTATTCCGAGGCCAGGCGCTGAGATAGGCATATTTGGAAGGCTCCAAATGGATCAATTGTGTGGCGGGCTCATAGATAAAGGGCTCCGCGGCGCCAAAGAGGGACAACGTGCTGTTGGCGACATTGACGAAGGCCGGAAGACCGACGGTAGAGGATAGGGAGGTCGGAAGAAGGGTCGAGTAGAGGCGATCACCAATGAAGGTGTCCCAGAGCTCAAGGATAATATCCATGATGGGTGTGAGGGAGGGAGGAGGGGCGTGTTTAGAGAGGAAGAAGAAGAGGTGGAAGGGGGGAAAGTCGACAATCGGGAGATCGGGAGATTATTTGAGGCGGCGAATAATAAATTCTGCCCGCATCACACCAGCGCGGAACGGGGCCAGCCGTCGTTGATGGCGCTCTTAATAAGCAGGTTGCAATAATTGAAGTTGGATGGGATGATAGAATATTATTGAAAAAAAGTATATCTATGACGGATCATGCGATCTATCTAGGCATCCATGATAGAATCTATAGAATTAGCATGATCAGTGGCATGGTGCCTGCTGTGCCTCATCTTGTTTCTAAGTACTCAAAGGTACGCCGAAGGAATGAGGATGTTTAAACACTGCCACGCTTGTCCCAATTAGGTTAGTCAGGGGTTAAATGCCTGAGAAATGGGGCGTAATTTAAGCCTCAGGCCATAAGGCACCAAGTTATCTAAGGCAGCAAGGCCACCTGTCCAGGCCAGATGCGGCGATATCGCCGACCCACTTGGCAAGTTTCAAAGAGACGGACGGAGGAGGACATGCCGATGATTGAAGGGCATCTTGACAGATTAAATAGAATAGTAGTAAGACTGAAAGACAATACGATAGGGAGTCCGGAGAATACCTTCAAGCTCTCTTTCAGATGACCTAGGACCTCCTGAATATAACTATCTAACCTCTCTATATATCTGGCCATCAGACTCTGATCTCTAATCTTAGCCTGTTTGCAAACGGGTAACTGTTACGGGTACTACCTACTGTACAGTAGTTCTTCTCCTCACTCTTTGAACTATCTGTCCATCCCAGTTCCTCTAGTCGGGTCCCATAGTTTCTCCTTTTTGTTCTCGCTTTTTCCTCCTTTCGGAACCACTCCGCCCATAGTTGGTGGTGGTGTTCCCAAGTCCACTTAATTGCGCTTCTCGGCTCTTTGCCTCGCTTCTCGCGCCAACGGTAGCCGCCCCGTTCCCATCTCCACCCCCCAAACTCAACTCAACCTTCCCGCTGCCAGCCTCTTCCTCCTCCACCCCCTCTTTCATCCGACCTTCTCCCTCCTCATCCGGTCTACCTCGAGTTGCCAACCTCCCTCCACCGACTTTGATCGACCTAAGCTTTCTACCCCTTTATTCGACTCTTTCCATCCGCATCATCATCATCATCATCGGGCAAGCTGCCTGGTGTCGTCCACCAAGCAGCAATCGCGCCTTCAACGATCGCAGTGTCAGTCAATTCAATCCTCGTCTAAGCTGCGATCCCTCGTCGCGAGCTGTCGCTGATTCCGATTTTCCATTATAAAGATCGCTTGTCTTGAAACCTCGTCTTATTTGACGTGTTAGCGTCTTCCGACCCATCACCTTAGCCATGTACAACACCCATCGCGGGATGGTGCCCGCCCCCAACTCTCGCCTGACAGAGTTGCTCGACCAGCTGCGCCAGGAGTTCGAGAGCCAGTCTCGGAGCACCGGCGAATATGAACACCAGTGTATGATCCCCACACCTTGATATCGCATAATCGCCCGTTCAGCTCTTTCCTACATTCATTGGCTTTTCTCCTTTCCACTGTTTCCAAGTGTCGCCCAGTCCATCAATGGCTGAAGCGCTCTCTCTCATGGGTCGCGAAAATTCGCTGAAATGTTTCTAACTGACAGATCACGCAGTAACCGGACAGCTCCAGGAGATGGAGATGATCCGTCAGAAGGTATACCAACTGGAGCAGACCCAGATTAAAATGAAGGCAGAGTGCGTTATCCTACTCCCATGCGTCTAGATTTGATCTAGAGTGATTTCCCTCTCCACTCCACGCTCTTCTACGCCTCCCCGACCGTGGCGCAAAACAATGCAAAAAGAAAAGGCCGTGGCGGGAAGGGGGCTTACTGGTGCATCTTCTCCAAAGCTTTTGCGACTGACACTTCTCTACGCGCCTATAGCTACGAGGCTGAGATCCGAATGTTGCGACATGAACTCGAGCAGCGCGGTGTCCAACCCGTCTCTTCGCATATCGCGCCCGCGCAGCACACCGGCCCTCAGGCGCAACCACCTTCATTGGGCCATGGCCCCAGCAACTTGTTTGGTGGTATCATGACCAACCAAGGAGGTAGTGGTCCCGGTCTTGCCCCTCCCCCCCTCCCAGGATCAGCAGCCTTCCCAGCATACCCTTCAACAGCCTGCCTCGGCCGCTCAGCCTGGTGCGCCGCAGCCCCCGCAGAGCTTCCCTGGAGGATATCAGCCTGGTGCTGCTGTGAACGGTATGTTTGCATAATTGGAGATTTCTTGTCAGGTAGACTAATGTATTCGACCTCTCTGCGATGTTACAGGCTACGGACCTCCCCCTCCTCCCACTGCATCCCCTGGCCCGGGTAAGGGTCGTCGCACCGCTCCGGGTCCGGCCACTCCCCAGCAGACTCAGATCGCCTATCCGGATCCTCGTGCCTCGCCTCAGATTCCCCGTCCCACCCCCCCCCAACCAGCCGCTCGTCCGTGCGGACCGCCCGGGTAACATGCTCGCCAACTGGGATCCCGCGGATCTCCCCGCGTCGCAAAAGCGTGAGGGTTCCGATTGGTATGCCGTGTTCAACCCCGAGGTTCAGCGTGTGCTGGATGTTGAGTTGGTGCACCATCTCAACCACGACAGCGTGGTCTGCTGTGTTCGCTTCAGCCGTGATGGCAAGTACTTGGCGACGGGCTGCAACCGCTCGGCGCAGATCTTCGATGTGACCACTGGTCAGAATGTGGCGACCCTGCAGGATGAGAATGTCGACAAGGATGGTGACCTCTACATCCGTAGCGTTTGCTTCAGCCCGGATGGCAAGTACCTGGCAACCGGTGCGGAGGATAAGCAGATTCGGGTAAGTTATCTCGGACCCCGTGAACCTCCGTTGACCCCGAACCCGATATTTTCGTAGTGAAGGACAGCGAGAGGCAATCTCTTCTAAAGTAAGACTTGATGACTGACAAATCCTGGTTTTATAGGTCTGGGATATTGCTGCACGCACCATCAAGCATATCTTCAGCGGCCACGAGCAGGATATCTACTCGCTGGACTTTGCCGGCAATGGCCGCTACATTGCTTCGGGCAGTGGTGACAAGACCGTCCGTCTGTGGGATATCCTCGACGGCAAGCTGGTCTACACTCTGAGCATCGAGGACGGTGTCACCACGGTGGCCATGTCTCCCGATGGTCACTACGTGGCTGCCGGTTCTCTGGACAAGAGTGTGCGGGTGTGGGATACCACCACTGGCTACCTGGTGGAGCGCCTGGAGAACCCTGATGGCCACAAGGACAGCGTGTACTCGGTTGCCTTTGCGCCCAATGGTCGCGACCTGGTCAGCGGTAGTCTGGACAAGACTATTAAGTTGTGGGAGCTTACTGTCCCGCGGGGCATGCACCCTCACAGCGGCGTCAAGGGCGGCAAGTGCATTCGCACTTTCGAGGGCCACAAGGTATGTTTTTCCCATCCATTCCGATCGACTCAATTCGTTCATCATCATCCTTTTCCATCCCGTCCCATGCCACCCATGATCTCCCTTATGGAACGGCCGCGCCACACGGCAACCACAATGGATCCACTATTTGACAGTTACTGGGTACTGACTACTGCATGCTATAGGACTTTGTGCTTAGCGTGTGCCTGACGCCCGATGGCCAGTGGGTCATGAGTGGCTCGAAGGACCGTGGGGTCCAATTCTGGGATCCAGTTACTGGAAATGCGCAGATGATGCTGCAGGGCCACAAGAACTCTGGTGAGTCTATCGTCCGATAGTTTGGATTTAGCCGGGTCGATAGTGTGCTGTCATATCTGTCACTGTCACCTTGGGCTCTTATCCTACTATCTATCTTATCCACCCCCTCGCTCTCTCGTTTGGCAAAACGTCTAGCGATGTCGTGCTCGTCGATCATTTGTTTCTAATTCTCCGCGGATAGTCATCTCGGTGGCCCCTGCCCCGACCGGCAACCTCTTTGCAACTGGCAGTGGAGACATGCGTGCACGGATCTGGAGGTAAGCAATCGCTTTCTTTTTCTCGATTATCACGACCTTTGTCCCCGTTCTCTGTTTCTGTGTCTCCGCTTTTTTTTATTCGGTCCCTGTTTTCCCCTATCCCAGACTGTCGGGTCGACGATCATCTCTCTTCTCAAGCCACCGGTGGTCCAGTCCGATCCAACCCATCGAGCATGTCTTTTTGGGGGTTTCGTTCTATCCGCGATCGATTATCGTTTTCTCGTTTTGGCCGTTTACTGACCCACTGGTTCGACACAGATACTCGACGTACACAGGACGGTAAAAGGGATCGGCTCAGCCACGGCGCAATATGACTTTACTTGCTTGGATTCCTTCGTAGCCAGGTTGGGGCTTGAATTTGACGGTGTCTTTATGTTACTCCTGTTACCAATTCTCTTCTTGCTTTCTCTTTTGATATCTTATTTGGTTCAAATCTCTGGTGCTTTGTTCTTGAATAATGCACATGCACAGTGTCTGTTTTCATCATAATCCATATTAACGAGTAAGTAGACTGTCGGCCGTAGCCGTAGATTAATATCTACCTCGTAGTGTCTCATCACATCATCTCCACGGAGCCATTTCATCCCAACCAACCATCTGCTTAATGAGATCTACGGAGTTACTATACATCCAACTCGCCAGTCCTGACCCGGCCAAGCCAATCTCCCAAATATCCCAAACCAACTCCACCCGGAAGACCAATTCAGGTAAAACCCAGCAAGGACCTAGTTCGGGGCGCATGACCAAATGACCACACCACACCCTATTCTAGGTAAGTTGCACAAGAAGAGGCGAAGGGCGGAGGAGGGAGGGGAAGAGAATAATGGGGGGCAAATCAAACGAGCACGGCGCTCTCTTCGTGAACCTGAACCACAGGAGTACCACTACTACTACTGGAAGCTAAGCTAGACACCGTGAACTGAATACTGGTACGTAGTCACTGGACACACCAAGAAAATAAAATAAAAACGATAAATAAGACTAAATACTTTTAATTTAATAATATTTTAATATTAATAGACAAAGACGAAAGCCTAGCAATCCCGAGTCCCGACACACTGGGCCAGGGGACCCAGCAATGAATGTATACCCTGTAGAATGGATAACCCTGGTCCAGTGGCACTGGCACTGGCAGAAGGAAGTGGCTCTCCAGTCCGGTTATGTTCTGAATCGAATCGCATTCGCCACAGAGTCGGAGCCGGAGCCGCGAGATGGGTACCGTACGGTAGGGTAGGGGGCCTAGGGGAGATTCGGGGAGTGGGACTGGTATGGAGAAGACCTGTCGAGTTTTTGTCCCGGGACCGAGAGAAGTCGTTAGTCGTTACGGGATCCGAGCACGAAGGAAGGAAGGAAGATGGTGGATGGTGGATGACCTGGCCCTAGAGGGCGATCAGGGATCAGTGATCCGCGGAGTTTGGGGATAGAACTAGAGATGTGGGTTTAGATTAGGGAGGAGTGGAGTTGAGGCGTTTTTCTTATCAGTATCAGTATCATTATTTGGATATTGTATTTGGCGGGTGAATATGGGTATTGTATGAGGATGGGGATGGGTTGTGATATGAGCATGGGTAGCTATAGCTATAGCTATGGCTATGGTAATATAGAATTTTGGCTGAAGGAATGTACTGTCCGTACATATATGGGGTAAGGGTAAGGGCAGGGTAAGGGCAGGAGTCCTTGAGACTACGTAGATGGAATGACATGAATATGCATACTGTAGATGTAGGTTTGTTAAATAACGTCAAGTAATAACCAGGGAGATGACATGACTGCGTACATAACTACGGAGTACCTAATCTACTGTATGTATTCTCCAGTATACTATACAGGAGCTTGCGAACCAGCGATACTCCTTGGGTACCTACGACCTCGATTCATCGACTCAAATTGCTACCCGGCATCCAATATCTCATACCCAATATCCTAGCTCTCTCTCTCTTGAGCAGCTATAGAACTAGCTAGCTACTGTAGCAAGCTACTAGCTAGCTCGACATGCTTCTGCTTCTGCTTGAGAAACTAGGTGCTGAGTGTTGAGTGCTGAGTTGCTGCTTGAATTGACTAGCTCCTCCTAATCCCATCCCTATCCAACGGCACCGGTACCGACAGCACGGAGCGCTACTGTGTGTGGGCAAGAGTTAGCGGCTGCCTGGTTCGTGTCGGGAAATGGGATTGGGGGGAGTGAGGACTTGTCTGAAATAATAATGACTAGTACTAGACCGATCACTGGCCATTGACCACTGTCCACCGACCAGCTACACACCTTTTACCATATCCTGTGCGATGTTGTCTAGGATGGGATATTGAGTCCGTGTGTGATGATCTACGTGAGCTAGACGAGACAAGCAAAAAGAGCGTAATTTGGGTGGTCGTTGGACTAACTTGTTTTGGAGCTGGAGCTGGAGCTGGAACTGGGAATGGAGCTTTTTAACTAGGATTATTATGGTTAATTGCTAATTACTTTTTAGTTTCTCTCCTGTTGTGGGATGGGAAGCTAGTGAGTACCCTGTCTGTAATTTGACCGGGTTCTACATGAGAATTCCTGGAGGATCAGGACAGGGTAGTTACAGTAGTTACCACAGTCCTCAGTACAAGTTACAGCAACTGACACCTGTTCGTATGTCCTCTGTAAGTATGATGTATTGTATGCACTCTCCCCTGAATATTCAAACAAAAACTGGCTGAATCGACTATTTACCCTACTTGGACCAGGATTCTCCACTCTCCGATCAGACACTACGCACGCGCTCTCTTACACATCCACTCTACTTCTGGCAGGAGTTCGTGAGCAAACCCGAGCCCCTCCGCCACCCCCCGATCTCCCCCTGCAGGAACCACCACAAGAACCGGAACGCCTCGCCCTGATGCATCAGTCCCTACTCACTTGGGGGGTTCGACGTGCAGGTGTCTGTTCCTCGGGTGAAATACCGTGAGATGAAAAACAAATATTGATCGGAAGACGTTGGCGCTGTCATTTCGGGGAGATCATGCGGTATGTAGGTACGGAGCACTGTACTCTAAGACTATAGTACGGTAGATTCTGCATATCGAGGGATGTGATTGTGTTGCGATATGTTGTAGTCCCGAGGAGAAGGAGAATGAGATTTCATGGACGTAATCTCCTGGGAAGAGTCCAAGAGATAGTCATCATCAGTCTGGAACCCGAGCCAGAACCCGGGTTGCTGGTGCCGCAGCCTCAGACTCCGTATTTGCTGGAGGTCCTTTCCACGCACGGAGCGACGAGTGACCAGCAGGCCAGCAACCAGCGCCTGGTCGCTGGTCACTGTGACACCAAAACCACCAAGAAGAAGGCAGCAGACCAGCAAGTGGCCCTTGTCCAGTCCAGTAGAGAGTACTTAGTGACCACCTTCTTGGCCCTGGTCCTAGCCCGAGCCAGAATCCCCTCGGAGATCGACCAGCCAGATCTAGACAAGGGCCTAATCTGGGCCAAGCTGAAACGAAACCGATCGGGAGGGTCAGCCAGCAAAAGGAATTTTCCAGGGCCATGGGCGGCTAACCAGGATATTCGCTGGAGTTAGTCTGATGGGGAACCTCTCATCCATCCTATGATCCCTGGGGACATCGGACGCTATTGGCGACTATCGGGCGGGCGCAGCCGGGTGAGAGGCCAATCAGGATAGGGAGTTGGGGTGAGAAGATGAGCGAAAGGCCTGTAAAAGTGGATATTTATTTTGGGTCTAACTACTTACCTCCAGCAGTCCAGCCACCCATACTCCGGGCTTGATCCGGGTGGTGGAGGAGGTGGGCACTGGGTACTAGAGTCTGGCACTGTGGTTTTCTTGAATTAATGAGGATTTCGGGAACTCGGGGAAGAGCAGATGAGTGTACAAAGTACGAGGTATACGGAGTACAGAGAACAGAGAAATTGTTGACCAGTGAGATGTGGAAGAGAACGAAGTGGTAATCCCCCCAGGCGCCCCCTCCCCCCTGGTCGAGGCCCCCCCCCTCTTACATACAGACTTAGAGTCTTGAGGGGAAATCGGGGCTGCTTGAGAGGAAGAGGCTGACTGTAGACTTGGTTCTTGGGCCTTGGGAAGCTGGTTTCGACCTGTCGACTTTCTGTCGAGTGCAGATCCCCGTCCACATTCTAATTGTGAAAGCCCGATGGCCCGGCCCGCCCTCGAGGGCGATGCAGTTAGGAGGTGATTGCTTTTTTGGTTCTGCTCTTCTGTTCTGCTTTGTGAATAGTTTATTTTGTGAAGGTATGGATGGAGGGTATACATGGGAGTAGAGAACAATAAAGAAGACGACGAAGAAGAAGGAAAGGAAAAGAAAAAAAAACAAGGCGGGGAAAAAAGGATAATCATAGACGCGCTGCATTGAGTAAACAGTACCGAGTCAGAATATACAGAAAGTACAAGGTAAACAGTCACCACCAACAGAGCAAGAGTGAAGATGGACAGACAAAGAAGAAGAACTGGGAAACAAAGAGTCAAGAGGTGGGCCAAAATGTCGCTGAGAGACTGTTAGTGGTGGAGGAGTTGAACAGTCACGCCCCCAAGTTCTGGATTTAGTTTAGTGTAGTTGATATATTATGAATTATAATTATTATAATAATGAATATTATTATTTTACCCTATTCTCTCCCACTAACCCCAATCCAACTAGACTTATTAGCTAAAATCCTCGCCAGTCGCGGCTGCAATTGAATTCGACTGGGCCTGAGACTCTGAGACTCTGGGGCAAATCCTCACCGAGACTCGCCCTCTGTCCTCCCAGCTCCCAACCATCGGGTTCGTCGAATCAGAGGCAAGAGAACTCCTAATAGAAAAGGATTGGGCATGATAATAGAAATTGACAGAATCTCGACAGAGTACTTTAGTTCGATGATTGCGGGGACTACAGTAATAAACTAAGCTAAACTAAATCTAAAGATTATTTCCCTTATTCTCGTGATACAGCAGGATCTTCCTGTCTGAAATGATGCGTCCGCCAGTAACTGTGGAGAACTGGATACATTTTAATAATATTACTATATAGTAGTGGACAACTATTATTCGGATTAAAAAATATTATTTCTTTATTCTTCTGGTTTCGTTTCTTACCATTCTCCATATACACGAACCCTGTCATCACCATTCGGTTGCTTAGAGTCTACCATTAACCATTGCTGATCATTCTGGTTCTCTTCTCTGTCTTTCCTCTCGATTGGCATTCTATTATTCTATTCTATTATTATTTTACATTTTTTTCTCCCCAGTCAGATCGCCCCTGCACGTCGGAGGAGGGGGCCTCGAACAGTGAACCACTACTGTACTTCTACTTCCCCTTTCCGGGCGAACGTCATATACCAACTGTTATACAGAAATCCTTCTCTGTCAACCCTCATCCACTAGGCGTTCTCATCCATTCCCATGGGTCAAACTAACCTGAGCTTGGACTTGCTCGATTTTGACTACTTTTTTGACGGCGGACGACGCGGGTGATCACCACTAGTTCCTCGGACTCTGGCTGATGCTGGGCCGATCCCATCGAGTGGAACTCTTTTTTCTTCAGCCCACCTGCAGCCCGTGGGAATAGTCGTGGGATTTGCGCTCCGCGATTTATTCGTTTCTCTGCCTGCTGTCAGAAAAATAAAAACGTCTGCCTCGTTCCGCGGAAGATCCTTATATAGATCCATCGGTGACCTCCCCCCGGCTCTGCTGGATTGTTGCATCTTGGCTCTGCGAGACTCCCGACTGGAAACATATCAACCCTATTTCTCTTTTTGATATATCTTTGCTATATTTCGGCATCTTGCAACGATACCCTGGACTCAGGATATCCCAGTTATCATCCCAGATTGACCAGTATCTGAAAAGTGTGCACAGGAACCTACCATCACCATCGTGCATTGTCTATTTCTTATACTTCGCTTGCCCACCCTGGAGATTATCTTCTCTGTTCTTTTTCTTCGGACAAAACCCAAATCAACCTTCTTTTCAAAAAAGAACTGAGATCGTTCGGATCTCATCCCAGCAGACAGGCACGAAAGCAAAAAACAAAAGCAAAAAGAATACAAGAACCCCCTCAACCAACCCGACATAAGCCCTCCCTCCCAAGTACGTGGCTCGGGGCTGTCAGGCTGCCCAGTCAGGGTTTCACATTTCAGGGCGAACGAAAGACTCTTCTCTAACCCAACAACCACCCCCTGGCCTTTTTTTCGTCTTCTATCTTTTTGTCTTCTATCTGTCCTACTCATCTATCATGGAGACTGCTGAGCCAGTTGCCTATGAGTTCCCTGGCCATGGTGTGGGCTCATACCCCCACCGTCGCGCCATGGACTCGCATCTATACCCTTACTATTCCCACCCGACTTCGACCCCGTACACGCTGCCTTACCAACCGACTCCCACGACAGCTGCATATAGCTTTGGCTCTGCGGCTTTGACTCAACCATCCCATCCCTACCAGTACTTCGTGGCTAGTCAACCAGCACTGGGCTCGCCGGTGCGTCTTTCATCGGATAACCACCAGCCTCAACATCACCACCACCATGCTGCCCACCATCACCACCAACAGCAACATCAACATCAACCACAGCAGCACCATTCCCAGCACCAGCAGCAGCATCAACCCCAACCAGCTCCCCTGCAATCACTCCCCGAAATCCGACCCGCAAAGAACGCCATCAACCAAGTCACCACGCGGGCCATGGACTACGCCCCAGCAAGCAACCAAACCAGCTCACCAGAGGGCGATGCCTCGAAAAAGACAGGCGCAGAAGCCCAATTCTCCACCGAAATCGACGTCCTCATGAAAGCCATCCAGGCTAAGCCTGGATCCTCGACTTCCCCGGTCCCGATGCAGCAGTCCCTGCCACCATTGCAGCAGCTCGCACCACCGGGATATCCAAGCTATGCTGGTTATCCGATGTCGCCGCCTCGCAGCCTGCTTACGAATGAGGGGCAATTGTCCCGGTCTGGCAAGAAGCGCAAGTATACCTGCATGTTGCCGAATTGTGGGAAGAGTTTTGCGCAGAAGACCCATCTGGATATTCATAATCGGGCGCATTCTGGGGAGAAACCTTTTGTAAGTATCTACATCATCAGTAGACCCTGATTCTGTCACTTGATTCTCAGGAAGAGAGTGTGAAAGAGGGGCTTGAGTCTTTCTTGGAAAGAGAAAGTATCATTTGCTGACGAGGACATAGATCTGCAAGGAGCCTTCATGCGGACAGCGGTTCTCTCAGTTAGGAAACCTCAAGGTAAGCATCTGCCATGACAATCCCATGCAAGACAAGAATGACACCACCCGGTGATTCTTGTCTTCACTGTCCTTGTCTTTACTCGAACGAATCATCATACTAATGCTCCCTCGATCTAGACCCATCAACGCCGACACACAGGCGAAAAGCCATTCAAATGCGAAGTCTGCCACAAGCGCTTCGCACAGCGGGGCAACGTCCGCGCCCACCAAATCACCCACATGCAAGCAAAACCATTTACCTGTCTGTTGGATTCCTGTGGAAAGAAGTTTACTCAACTTGGGAACCTCAAGGTAAGCCTCTCCATTTCTTCCCCCAAGACAACAAGTAACTTAAATAATAATCCATGTCAAACGAAACAGTCCCACCAAAACAAATTCCACTCCACAACCCTCCGCAATTTAACTCTCCGCTTCGCCCAAATGGGCGACGCTGGCCCCATGTCCCCCGCAGACCGCGAGCTATGGGAGTACTTTGCCGAGCTCTACAAAAACAGCAACAAGGGGATTAAAGGTCGGGGTAAAGATCGGCGGATCTCGACGACGAGTGCTCATGCCCATGGCCACGGTCATACCCGTGGTGTGGCGGGAAGAATGTCTTCTATGGAATCTGAGGAGGATAGACGTGGGTACGAAGATGGCGGGATGGGGATGTATGGCTCTGCGGGTGCGAGTCCGAATGGGGGGTCGAGTAGTGAGGGGGAGGAGGGGGGTTATTATTTGGAGAGGAGGGTATGATATTGATGCTGATATTAATAGGAAGGGAGGAAGAAAAGAGGGTGGTGAACTGAATGCTTAAGGGGTTTTGGTCATAGCGAGTGATGGCTATGGAGTATATCTTGGGAGTTTTCTCGGCTCTTCCTTATCACTGTTACATCATCATCATCATCGTGTACACGATGTTATGAGGGGCCTTGTTTATTAGATGTTGGACTTTTTGTGTCACTGTTACTCTTTCTGTTTGTGTTTGTGTTTGTGTTTGCCTACGCTCTTGGGTCCATTTCGTCTTCGCCTTGTCTTGTCTCTTGTCTTTGTGATATCCATTTCCTTTACGTCGGCGTTTTATACTCTATATTTTCCTTCTCATCCTCCTTCCCTTACTATATCTATCTACTCTGTATTTCTATCTACCCATCCAACTCCATCTGAGAGCATCAAAATCAAAATCAAATCTAATACCTATACGAGAGATGTTTGTGTTTGTTAGTCTATACGAGGCCCAATCTAGGCAAAGTTTATTCCCTGGTAGAAAGTTTATTTCTGTGGAGAGAGGGGGAGAGGAGAGAGGAGAGATCCGGGTAAGCTTGTGCTTAGACTTCCAGGGCTGAGTGGAGACCGGGATGGGATAGGATAGCAGGGTACAAACATGTCCAAGTCCAACTTTATGATCCAGAGATGGGGGATGGATCTTTGAGAGACTCAAAGAATATTTCATCTCTTCCTTCGTATGGTCTATAGACTAGTCATACATTCATCGAGCAAATAGAATGGATAGAACTAGTTGTGTGGTGAGGTGCGGATCGTCGTAATTGATGCTGTTATATGCCTAGATAGGGTAACCCAACCTATCTATAGGATCAAAGAAACACTATGATAATATGTACATGTTTCTATTATGTTCAGTCATACCTGAGAATAGGATTAGTAGTGCACATATCGTCAGAGGGAGGCAACCCAGCCCTCATAGAAGCTAACAAAGTTTCAGCACCGACGGTTGGTATCAGGGCAGCTCACGTTTACGAAGTCAAGTCTACAAAATCGAATCCTGGGTATGAGAAAGGTTTTTCATGTTTCTTTCCTTTAACTAATGGAAATATTATTCCATTGGCGAGAACACGCAAAGACTAGCGTTCGGGTTGAATAGGGTAGTGTACAGATCCAGATTTTCACCGGGGATCAAATTGAGATCCACCCATGACATGTTCAGGACCAGAGAGAACAGGAAACAAAAAAAAAGAAAAGAAAGATCATGCAGAACACAGAGAGTGAAAGGAAATAAAAAAGAAAACATAATAAAACAACGCAAGATCAGTGCTAAGTCCAAGTCCAGTGCTGAAAATTCCCTATCCGATCCAGTCATGGGATGCGCGAATACCAAACTACCCCAGATCGATCTCCTCCATTCCAATCCATGATTTTATTGCCCATCCGCATCAGCAATGTGAATGTCCCCGTCAGCCGCGGTATCCGCAGGATCCTCGCGCATGGGGGCATTGGTGCCAACCGGGGTGGCATTGACCAGCGCATCAGAGATGAAGGCGTCCTCGACGGCAGCCTTACGGCGGAAGACACGCAGCCAGCGGCGGCCCCATTGGCGGAGGATGGCGTCTTCGGGCATATCACCGGATCCATCGCCACGCTCCATGAGCTCGTCGTTGCTGCCGGTGGCAACGGAGACAACGGCGTCCTCGATGAACTTGAAGAGATTCTTCATCTCGACCCGTTCGCGGATCAGAGTGTCTTCAAGAACACTGAGCTGGGGCTCGTACAGGCCTTTCTGAGTGCGAGCAGCCACAATCTGGCGCATACGGTTGGTGACCTTGCCAACGGTGGCGGCGATCATCTCGTAGATGTGGGGCTTGGAGAGGATGGCGCCAGCCTCGATGTGGTCAATGAGAGCCCACTCCAGAACGGACATAGGGCTGATAATGGTGTAGTTGAGCAGCTTGTCGATGATGTTGATGGCAATGCCCGTCTGGTCGGCCCAGTACTCCATGACCGAGGTGATTATTTGCAAGCGGGCCTTCTCAGAGGCTGCACCAACGGCGAGCAGACGGTCCTTGTTACGCTCGATGCAGGACAGGACGTGGGACAGAGACTTGGAACCCACGAAGCAGATGGAAGTAACGAGGGCGTCTGTCGAAGGAACCTTAGGGTCTTCCACACCCAGGCCCTGTGCTTGCTCTTCGATGGCAGCAATGATGGGCTGGAGTTCATCATCGGTTGCCTTTTTGCGGATGAGCTGCATGAGCTCTTGTCCTTCCTTGGAGTATGGGGTTGCTATTGTTTATTCATGGTTAGTCGACTGGGTTGAACATAGTAAGAAAGGGCTACGCTTTATACATACCTTCGGAGGAATATTTGAATTCAGGTGTGTCCTTCTCCTTGCTCTCTGTGATCAAAGGCAGGTAAGGCTCGGGCAGAGTACCCTTAATACGCTGCGCAAAGCTCAGTCGAATTTCCTTGTCCAAAGCTCCGTTAATGAATGCCATCCGAGGATGTATGGCAGGAAGCTCGAGACCCTCAACCCTATTCAATACACTGTCAGCATTGCCAGCGCTAATCATGTGAACACAAAGCTAGGTTCATTCCTTACCATTCACTCCACTTCCAGGTGAAACCAAAGTTGCTCAGGTGGTGGGCGAACCAATCCAAGAACCGGTTGCTCAGTTCCAGATCCATGGTCTCCAAGCTGTTGTACAGGAATCGAATGGCACGGCCCAAGCTCGGGGCAATTGCTGCAGGGGCGATCTTGCAGCACTCGGTCAATACGGAGTGATAGTACACAAGCTTGTGTTCCGGCGTAGGCAGCTGGAACAGCTGTGAAAAGACCGCATCCACCGCCATGTCCTCGGGCTTCCATGCTGTGTTATCACCAGCAATCTCACGCATGCGGTCAAACGGCGTAGCACGCTTGACGAAGGTGTGGCGGGTGTAATAGCAATCCACGTCGATAAGGTACTTAGCCGTTGCGACGCGGTTAAAGTCGAGGAGGTTGAGGGTATCCACCAAGGCGTCTCGCAAGAGCGAGGAGGTGATGTCCGAGACGGGAGGCACGGTATCAACCTCCTGTTTAGCGTAGACCGAGAGGTAGACCTCCGGGAAAAGAGCCCGGGGTCCATAGGGCACAGGGTTGGGGACAGTGATCTGCGGGAAGGCGATCTTGGCCACTGCCTCGAAAGGCTTTTGCTCGTCCCCATCTGATTCCCGGACATCCTTCCATGGTCGGGGCAGACACTTCAACTCCCAACCTTTGCTAGCTTCACCCTGAAGCTGGCCCTGAAGAACACTGATCAAACTGGGACCAGCTGCGGACTCATTCTCTACGGGACTGAATGTGTTGACCAAGTCCACAAGGGCGTGGGGAGTAGAGGCAATGATGTCGGTCTTTTCGAGAAGTGCGGAAGCTTGAGATTCGAAGCCAGTAGCAGGGGACGACATCACATAGGGAATGGTGAAGAGGATAATTTTGACAAGCTCCAGACCGAGCAACTATACCAGAGAAAAGAAGGTTAGTATGGTTATGATAATCTGCTTTCCCAGATATTAGGAATCTTACGTCTTCCGAGGATGCGGTCTGGAGATCAACCGCGCGGGCAAACAGCTCCTCCAAAAGTGTAAAGATGCCATCGCCCTCGAAAAGAGGCTGCAGACATCCCAGGAACCGGACGAGAAGCTTGACCTCGCGCCATGATCCGGAATCAATGTATTTCTGGAGAGCCGACGCCGCCTTGTTCAAGAGCTCCGTTCCCAGCTCCGGCTTGTTGTTGTACGCGAATAGGGCTGTCGCAGCAACGAAGGGAATCTTCATCGGTTGTTCCAAGACGCTGTATACATGTAATTGTTAGTAGGCGCATTGATGTTGTATCGGAGGGAGCCAAAGGCAAGGTTTCGTACAGGTCAAGGGAAATGTTGATCAAGGTGTCGCGCAGCTCTTCGTCGTCATAATTTTCAGCCACAGTCTTTGCAATTATCACGACATCATCCTCGACTCTCCGAGCAGCCTATACAATAAGTTTCAGCATCAGCGACCAGTCCGGAATAAATGTAGCACAACAACGCGCCCGGAGATCGTGAAGGGAGGTGATATCGTACCGATTCCGCAATGGTCAATAGCTGCCGGCGGATCTGCACAAACAGTGGCTCCTCGTATCTCCGTCTCTGAGGGCGGCGATCAAAGTCCTCATCATCTAGGATTAACCATGGTCAGCAGCGCGTCAAAAGAGAGCTTCGGCAGGATCGCTCACCTCGATAGCGGCGCTTGCGCCCGCCACCACCACTACCACCACCACCACCCCGGTAGCCATTGTTCCGGCGCTCGTAGTCGGCCATTGCGTGTGGAGTTTGGGGCGATAATGGGAAGATCTCCGAGCTTGAGGTTGGGTTGAGATTCAAAAAGGTTTCAGCGGAGGAGAGCTTCCCCAAAGGGCAACGACAGCTCGGAAGACAGGATAATCCGATCCGACCGCCCTACACTATAACAACCATTTGGGTAACCGTCTGAGAATTGCTAAAATGACAATACACAATCGCTAATTCGACGATACAACTCTTATTCTGGCTTAGCGTAGTAGGTAATAGTATTACATTCTTCTACATTTGGGTTCCATAAATTTGAAGCCCCAATAAATTTTCAAAATCATCTTAGCACTAACTAGTTGAACGGCTATTACGAAAGATGATTCGAAAGTCATTTTAAAAAACCTTTCACAAAAGAGTAATTGAAGCATGTCTAGTTGGTCGGTTTCTCTGGCTTCTAGACTTGGACACTTGAATAACTATAAGGATCACTTTAAAGATATCCTAATAAGAAGATAGTAATACAGTTACTGCGCTAAATCCCAAATAGGTGTGTATCGTGTGATTAGCAATCTTTTATCGTCGTTTTAGCAATTCCCTAACCATCTTATTCTTGACCACAATGAAGTAATGCATTTGAGTCAATTGAAATCATCGATCCTGGATAGAAACCGTATCTTCCTTAATTTCAGTAGTTGGAGTTGATTTCACCCGTCGCCTTCTCTTTCTCTTGGTCTCTTTCCTCTCGCCCTCCCCCGAGTCTCCCCCATCCTCAACTCACACCAATTTGCCAATCGTACTTCGAGACCAATAACTTGATCCGACCTCATCACTTTCAATCAATTTGTTCCCGTCCTTGAGTGCGTTGATACGAAAGCTTCGGCGCTAACAACCCCTTCTTGAACCTGGGGCTCCGTAAAATGATGGTATACTACCTCCAAATGGTAGCACAAAATGTTCATGGGACTGCAAATTCACCTTTTCACAGGCGTCGCAGCTAGACGACCGAGATACAGGGGTACCTGAGGACCCGTCCGATGTTCCCTCACATGAAGTCGGCCAAGAGGAACTCGAGTTGTCACAACAACTAGAGAATTCGAAAACCTCGACGCCATCGACGAACACCACATGTCTGAACCCAGAAGTACCACAGAGAGAGAACATTCCAGTTCTCTGCAAAGTCAATCCGCTCGGCCAGGTACTAACAAGTATCAAAGGAGGGACACCAGTCCTTGAGAACTCAAGTCTCTTTTTTGACTATCGGGTCAAAGCTTCAGGCATCGAATGGTCAGATCTCGATACCATAGTGTCGAAATGCGAAAAATGACTCCGAAAGTGATGCCTCATATGAGGATCAGAGTGAGGAAAGTGACGAAGACGCAGAGGAATCTAACACGGACCTCGGCGAGGAAGAATGCAATGATGGTGAAGAGATTGAGCAATCCGAAGAAGCCTTGGAATCACCCGCTGCTGGAATTATCGGGCACAAGAGAGAATCAGAAGGGATCATGCGAGTTTTGGGACCAAGCGAGGTCACAGGCCTGCTTCGTCGTACGCTATACAGACTGCCATCCGAGAAGATCATTTACCTTGACGAGATACAGACCGTCATATCAAAGCTAGACGGCGGTGAATTCCGGGAAGCTGTCAGAAACTCTCTATCACCCTTTTCGAAGAATACATACCCGGTGAGGACCCTCATTATGAGATGGTCCTGTGGAGAATCAATCGGGCTTTGGGGATTGATAATAGCGAGCCCAGGTCTCCTCTGCAGCTATTTTCAGTCCTCTCGAAGCGTATTCTGCACTTGGGAATTTGCAAGAGGATGGCTATTTGGGCTTACGATGCTTCTTGGTTGATGCGCTCATTAGCTGGGGTACTGAGTCCTCCATAAAAGTCTTGTGGAAGCACATTGCCAAGTTGGGTGAGGAGGCACAACGATGGATTGAGAATCACGCGCGTATCGAGTTGGACAAATTGCGGGAGCTGGCACCGATAACGGAAGAGGTTTTGGCTTTGAATGACGAGTAGTAACAAACTACCAGGTGGTAAGCCATACATCAATACAGTTGAAGTGCTTTGATTTCTCTTTGTATACTCTCTAGATGAGCAAGGATCTACAAGCCAGGCGGGGCAGTCAGCGATCACCCCGCTCGAATCGGAGTATAAACACCATTTGGTCCAATAGAATTCCAGCAAACAAAGCGCTTACGAAGACACGCAGCTTTAACATTCCAGTCAGATGCCTCCGAAGCTTCCCTTCGGTACTCACTGTCCTTGGCGTGGCTGCAGCTGCTTCCTAAGACGGCAAGGGGTGTTGTAACTTGATGTACTTTGACACTTGGTCTGGTCAATGCATAGTCACAAGTGACTGTAGATCGGGATAAGTAAACGTGAATGACGTAGCTTAAACATTTTCCCTCGTTGATATTAACGACCGCTTGACTCCCTTCCTAGTATCCTTATGCTTACTACTACTGACTCGTAAATCCAACTCTCGAGAGTTCACAAGCTATCCCTTTTCACTCTTCCGTCTCTTTAATTCTTTCGTTGGCCCTGTTTTCGCCTATCATGTCTGACTGCGGCGCTCCAGCCTCTGCCTCCGTCGATGTAGACCATGGTGATGGCCAAGATGGCCTGAACATACCATGCCCACCGTCGAAGGAGCAGGACTTCATTGAGTCATTCTCTCGTCGGCCGAGCTTCATGGATCACCTAGCGGACTCACGAGAGTCACAGTTTCACGTTCAAGACAGAAGCGAGTTGGAGCGGTACTTTGTATGTTGCCCTTCGACGCTTGCCCCGAAGAGAAATGCGGTATATAACATCTGGGAAACTAGCATGGGCCTCGAAATATGACACGACATTCAAAATGGCCAACAGTCATGAGAGTTCAAGGGAGTGTGATGCCTCAAATGATTCTACCACTATTGCTTGTCGGGGGCTGGGCCACGCTCATTACCTGTATTTCTCATTTCAAACATAATCGTGAGTCTGGATTTCTATTGACACAAGAATATCTCTGACTAATTGAAATGGGTTTAGTTGGTATTAATAACATTCTTCTTACTGTGCTGGGCTTCGTTGTGGGTTTATCATTATCCTTCCGTGGCTCGACTGCATACGAAAGGTATTAGTTCCTAAGAAGTCAATCACGGATGGCTACTGACTCGCTTTAGATGGGCAGATGGACGAAAGTACTGGGCCGGTCTTATTCAAACTTCGCGTAATCTGGCCCGCATAATCTGGGTACACTTTGACGAACGAGAAGGAGAGGAGAATAGCAAGGTGGATCTTCTGAGAAAGCTGTATATCCAGGGACCCATCTGGAACTGATCATATATGTACATCACTAACTATCTCGTCATAGATCAGCTCTGAACCTCATTCTCGCCTTCGCCGTCTCCTTGAAACACAAGCTTCGCTTTGAACCTGATGTCGCCTATGAGGACTTGGCAGGCCTCATTGGCCATCTGGATACGTTTGCTCTTGACGCGCACGATAATAGCGTTGTATCACCGCACTCCAAAACGCCGTGGAAATATATGGGAGAGTACCTTGGTTTCTCATTCGCCAAGTCTAACCCCCGCAAACTAGTCAAGCGATCCAAAAAGCCACTGGGACATCTTCCATTTGAGATCCTCATCCATTTGTCTGCCTATGTTGAATCGTGCGTCAAAAATGGCACGCTATCATTGCCCCAATATCAGGGTCAAGTCAGTAAGTTGAAGAAATTCATACGGAGTACCAAGTTTTAATTAGCTCAACTAATCGCGCAGTGACCATGTTGTCCTCGCTCAACGAAATTTTGACTGGAACGGAGCGCGTGCTGGATACGCCTCTACCCGCAGCTTATAGTATCGCTATATCACAGATTTCCTGGGTCTATGTGATGCTCCTCCCCTTCCAACTATATAACTTCTTGCATTGGACTACAATCCCTGCATCTATAGGTACGCAAGCAAGCCATATAACTACCAGTGCCAAATCTTGGGCAAAGAAGAAACACTAATCATGAGCTATGCTCAAATCTAGTTGCCGCATACATCATTATCGGCCTACTCTTCATCGGCAGTGAGATTGAAAATCCCTTTGGTGAAGATGTCAACGATTTACCACTCACGGCATTTTGTAGCCAAATTGCCAAGGAGCTTGATATCATCACCGCCACTCCACCTCCGAATGCTGAAGAATTTATGTGCCGTGAAGAGAATCTGGTTCTATTCCCCCTCAGTCAGGATGGTTACCCTGCATGGAGGAACAGGACCAAGGCGGATATTCGTGCTGCCCTGCGCGCCAAGTTTGTCACCAATCCAGCCGCTGTGGATGAGTCGAACATGTCTACTATGGGAATGAGTTTCTCAACGAGGAAAACGATGGAATCTGTGTAAAGTGCTGTAATCATCCTGTCTCTTCCTCGACATAAGATTAAAAATCAGGCTGAGATAATAATTAAGGCTATCTGTATGCGTACGTCGCTTCGTTTTCGCATTCTTTTTAGCTTCGAAGTCTTAATGCAATGAATCTTTAGTTGCGATCTTTCTTCATATGATCATTATATTGAGTACAGCCACGAAGACCGTCATTCTGAGATACAAGCAATCTTTAACATGAAAATAAAGTAAGAAGATGAGACAAGAGGGATCAATCAGTAGGATAGTAAAAGACTTGAAACAGAACTGAGTAATTCATAAATCGAAGCTTGAGTCCCCTTACTCAGAAGGCTGTCTCGTCTCCTATTGTATGTCTCACACTGCTAGAAGGCTCAATTTTATGGATTCTTACCACATATTTTATCTTAACTGAGGAAAGATAAATGTATTCGGTGCCAAACACGGAGACACTAAGCCGAAGGGGAAGGAGAAAAAAAGTCAAAAGGGCTGGTGGAATAGAGCGCCAATAAATTACATCTTCCTGAAATTGAAGAGAACTTCTGCCAATTAAAGAATTCTTCTCAGTTCCCAACCTCCCTGTCAATTCCTCACAGTCTACAGATATTATCGTTTTCTTCATGTCTTGGCATGAGCCACCTGCCTGGTAGTACCAACGATAACAACAACAAGATAGGCGCTTATTATGACTCCCGCCACGACTGAGTAGGCAACAACCGCACCAACTGGAGTTCCAGGCAACCCAATTCCTGCGAGCCTGAACCCCAAGCCGCCGTTGATAATGCCAAGTATAACCATAATCCTACCCCACCAACGATGAACATAGGCGAAAACACTCTTAGTACCGTTTTTTTGGAAATGCAGATGTGAATAGAGACCCATGAGAGGTTGGAAGAGCAACAACCCTCCAACAACAATGAAGCCGATGATGGGATGATAATAACTTATTTTGTGTGTGGTGACACCTAGGTAGATGCCAACGCCCATCCCAGATAAGAGCATAGCAAGGGCGAACGCTTGTATTGGTGCATGAAGACGAGTCACTTTCTTGTTCCAAGGCACTACCTGGATGATAATGGCACCAAATGGGAGGAACACGCCAACGGCGAAGCTCATCATGAAGCCGTGAGCTATAAGCGCGGGAACAGGGATGCGATAGCCAAGATTTGCGTATTCGCTTGAAGAGGAGGTATATGCCGATGATGACATTCCAGCAGTCGAAGTAGCTGTGCTACCGTAACCAAAGAAGGGATGAGAAGCCGTTGCCGGTGAGACACCACCATAGTTTTCGTTCATGGTGAATGGTATTATTTGGTGAGGCCAGTAAGAAAGAGCATATTCATGTGCAAAGGCCAAAAAGGAGAGCTCTGTATTCTAGACATTTGAATTAGTTTCCAGAGGTTGAGATAATACCTTGATCATTGTGAATAGATTGCGGAATGCGTTCCGTAAACCATGATGCTTGATGTCCGTCATGTCGTCACTGAAGCTCAGCAGATAAGAGGAGTGTTGTCTTCTGATCGAGCTTCTACCAGAGCTAACAATCCGATATCAAAGTTCAAAATGGTGTCATCGTGACATGATACATTATAGAGCAAATGCGATTTTAAACTACATAATCCTACGACAGTACGGCGAACACAGGAGTTCTATCGTGGCGAATATGCAAGGATTTGAGGGATACAACATAGTGTTCCAGCTTTTCAAGTCTGAACTTTGAAAACCAGAGTTTGATAAGACTCCAATATCCCATCGAACTTGGTGCAATTTGTCAACTTTTCATCAGACCAGAGCTCAACAACTTTCTTAGGAGAGCCAAGTCCCAGATCTGATAAGACAAGAGACACAGTCTGCGGGTAACTCTTCTCATTAAGTAGAAGAATAACAAAACCGCCCTGAACTTTTCCAGTCCATACCTGGAAGAGGCCTTCCTTGCTGAACTCCTCCCGATAGATAACAGGTTCCCCTAACACGTCCTGGTTGAGAGCAATTATTGCTTGATTCGTGAGAACCGCCACACTGTCATTGGATAGTTTGCTGAGGTCGGCCCCAATGATCAAAGGGGATTTTAGCGCTGCCCAGAACGCAAAGTGTGTTTGTTGCTGGTTCAGCGTAAAATTGGCATTTCCTATCTCGAGCATGTCCATATCCAGCCAATGGCCCCGAGTCTGATATTGACTGATCTCTTTCATCTTGTTGATGATAGTCAGGACAGAGCAACCAGCATACCCAGTATTCAGACAGTAGGCAGTCTTGCACTGGCACGAGGTTTCATTCGTGAAACTTGTCGTGATATCGCCAGACATACGATAGGAATGGCCGATACCTGGGACAATGTAATCAGTATGTCGATCCAAAGATCACGAACTCTTCCGAAAGCTATCTCACCTCCTCCCCAGTGCCACGGGAATTGATAACCCCATTCACACACCGAATAGAAGATGTCCCGACCCGATAGTGCAAGGGCGTTCTTCATAGCACCGAATCGGATTTGTGGAGCCTCCGTCATAGATTGAAATCCTCCACAGTTGTCGTATTTGAGGTAGTCCACGCCCCAACTCGCAAATGTTTGGGCATCTCTCTCCTCATAACCCCAGCTTCCAGGTCTCCACGCACACGTATAATGTCCACTGTCACCATAGAGACCTAGCTTCAAGCCTTGACCGTGCAACTCCTTAGCCAGTGCCTCAATTCCTTGGGGAAAGGAAGTTGCATTAGCCTGAAGATAGCCGTCGGTGGTACGATTGAAGCTTGACCACCCATCATCGAGGAGCACATAATTATAACCGGCTTTCTTGAGTCCAAGTGACTCAAACAGATCAATGACTTCTTGAACCACCGTGTAATTAACCGTCGCCTTGAATGCGTTCCATGAATTCCAGCCCATCTGTGGTGTTTGCCCCAGAGCTGTGCCTCCCAACACGACCTGCACGAATGGCAAAATAGCCACGATATGGAGAAGCAACGAGAGCTGACTTTTGTGTTCCATGATTTGATGCTCTGGGTATACTAAACCAATTTTGTTGGAATTGAGAAGTCACTGCCCAGCACTTATACGAGATAGCGATAATAACTCTGTGTGCGCACCGGTCTAGATCCCGGAGCTACCCCGGATTCTTACCCCAGTAAATATCTTGGCCCTCGTCGCACAGATGGCTCGGGCGATTCAGCGGCCAAGCGTCCGATGCTAGTCGATGGAAACTAAATTACCTTTAACCTAGTCATTCGACAAGTTTTTGATAATGATCGAGGAAGAACATGTACTAAGCCTTTCCCTTTCTTCTGAACCCTTCAAGTTGACACAATATCTACTCGAGCTTCACCCGTCGCAACATGAGACTATCAGCATTTCCATTAGCAGGACTCCTGTTTCTGGGTAGTCTAGCCACAGCCACGACAGACCCTCTGAACTACCGAAACATCCCCGGCTACGTGGCTTCCAACACCTCAACCGCGACCGCCGCTTTGGGTCTAATCAAGTCCCGACCGGAGCTGAGCATCTTAGCCGAGAAAATCGCACAGCTAGGAGGGTTCACTCAAGCGTTTGACACCAATCCGAACTGGAAATTCACCTTCTTTGCCCCGAACAATGATGCTTTTGAAAGCTACACCGGAGCATACTTTGACACATTCGAAACGGCTCCGTATGTCGGACGAGAACCTGCTGAATCTGAGGTAGCATTGCTAATCTAGCATAGAAAAGGAAAATGGTGGTTGGGAAACACCATCTTGCACCACTATGTGCCTAATTCTGCGCTCACATCAACCAGTTTTAATGCTACGTTGCAGCGATTCCAGGTGAATGAAAGCCCCTCAGATAAGTTATATCATGTAGCCAATATGCATTCAGCTGACGCCTAGAATAGACGGCTACCTATCTTTTCGTGGGGTCTCAAGTGCAAAATGGAACTGTCGTTCTCAACAAGGTCGCTAGAGTGGTGGAATCAGATATCCCGGTTACAAGCGTGAGACTCGCCCCAGTTCCAGGTAATCTGACTTTGACTATAATGGGACATCATTTTAACGTTCAACGCAGGGCGTGGTGCACATCATTGATCGCATTCTTGACCCGTCAGCACAGATCTTTGAAAATGATCTTCCTTTGATCAAACAAACTTTCATCCCTGGAAGTTGTTCGAATCCTAAGCTTTCATATTGTTGAACTTCACTCGGCAATGGTTAACTTCATCCTGTTAAATAATATATAACTTTAAGCAAATATCACTTACGCCGCAGGCGTACTGGCATTACTTATGAAACGGCAAAGCATTAAAGACAAAAGAGAAGGGCGATGGGTTCAGAGAGTGATTATTTGACTTTCTTTATTACTAAAGCCGACAGAGCTAGCACCTGTATCCGTCTATATACATTGAGATCATGAGAGTATGTTAGAGATGGCGTATATGCGAGCAGATGTATCTTCGCTAGCCACAGCAAGCTCAAAGTGAGTCCTGCTATCCACATCGGCCGCTGGCACGGGCCTCCATGATAATTGAGTGATTGTCTTGGATGGAGCAATAAGCGGGTCGATAGTCACAATGTGTTGCGCCTCGAGGATATCAGTAGCAATTCTGTGGATAGACACCGCGCCGCTATCTTCACCTGCAGCAAGGATGAAGTTGTTTTTATATGGGGTGGGTAAGAATGCAACCGCCGACACCGCGGATGTCAAGGCGATGGTAGTCTTGCATGTGAATGCGTCATCGGTCTTCTGCCAGATCTTGACGGATTTGTCACGGCCGGCTGTGGCGAAGATGCGTTCGGTGGTTTTTGGAGCCCAGGCTGCGCCCAGAATCATTCGAGAGTGGCCCTTGGGATTTGTGGACCAGCTGGTGAATGTAGTTGGGTCCTGTTCACTTCGGGCGAAGACGGCCCATTGGCGGTCTCGTCCCACACTTAGAAGGAACTTGTCGTCGTCGGAGAATGAGAGGTCGGTGATGGTTAGGGAGTGTGCTGTGAGAGATGGCTTGATCTCATGCCAGTCTGATGTATCATACAGGCGAATCACTGCGTGGTCGACAGAGCTGGCCTTGCAAGCAGTGGCAATGAGTGTGCGGTCGTGACTCACTGCAACTGCGGAAATTTCGTAGCCGTGGCCGTATAGCTTCTCGTGCTCGGGCCACAGAGTATATCGAGAGAGTTGGTCTTCGAGTGGTGGCGAGTCGGTAAGCAAAGATGTAGCGGGAACAGATGGTGCGGCTCCATTAGAGCCCTCAATTTCTTCAACGGGGGCTTCATCTCCCTGAGCTTTGTTTGAAAGACCCAAGACTGGGATCTCAGCTGTATCGGGCATATCGCCCTCAATTGCTTGCCGGAAGCCAGTCAGCTTCTCAAGCAGCTCCGCAATCTGTTTAGGCTCGTTGAAGACCCGCAGAAGCTTCTCATCTGCACCGGATACAAACCGTCCAGGTCCCAATGTGTCAATGCAGTTCAAATCATATCCATGAATCTGGGGGCGAGAGAACTCATGCCATGAACGCTTGTCCTCACGAAGCCATTGGGCGTGAAGACGTGTTGTCTGATCAGCACTAGTAGAAAGTAGATAGCCACCGCTGGGCTCCCATTGCACACCATTGGCGGACCGTACATGGCCGGAGATGCCGAACTTCTGAACCCAAATCTCTGCCTCGGAGTCATGCTGCCAGACTCTCCAGCTACCTGTACGGCCAAGACTTACGACCTGCTTGCCATCTGGGGACCAAAGTCCGATCCAGAAGCCACCGGCACTGCCAGTCGCCGTAGTCGAACCCTTTTGGGTGCTAATCTCTCCCATTCTCTCCCCAGACACCCAGACACCGGACGCAGGATCCTGTTCCCAGATTGTGATGGTGTTATCGGCGGACGCAGTCAGAAGCTGAGATTTCGCTGGATCGGGATTCCATGCTGTGGTGTAGATCCAGTCTTCGTTTCCGAAAAGAAGGGCCTCGAAAGTGATCGAGTACTTTGAGCCCGCGGCTTCAAATTCGTGGGCTTTGTTGGAGAGCGTAGGCTCCATACCACCCAGAAGAGGATCATCTTCGTCAATCGTGGCAGAGACTTGTGCGTCACCCTGACATAATCGCCATAGACGAATGTATTTATCTTGACTAGCCGAGGCAAGCAAGAGATCCTTGGTCTTGCCGTGGATATCCTGCGTGAACGAGAGCGATCGAACCCAAGCTTCGTGACCAGACAGCACTGCCCGACGTTGAAAGTTCGGCTTGTCAATAGATGATTCTGCAGCAAAGATCTGTACACTCGTGGTAGTGCCTGCTACAGCTAGCACCAAAGGCTTGCCATTACCTCCCTCGAGCACTCGCAAAGCCAGTGTGAGCGGGAAGAATCGAGGTTTCATGGTGATTGTTTCCACCGATTCGCAGTTCAAGTCGTCTTGCGCACTGATCCTCCAAATCCGAACTGTTCCATCTGCAGCTCCAGTCGCAACGATATCCGTTCCTTCGGCCACGGCAATCGCATTCACAGATCCCTCGTGTCCCTCAAGAGAGGTGACTTGTTTGTAGTTTCGTGAGTCGCCTTGTACTTGTTTCCATACTCTGATTGTACGATCAACGGAACCGGTAAGGAGGAACTTCGTCCCTGAGGCGGGGCAGGTGTAAAATCTGACGACGCTGACTTTGTCGGAATGGCCCACGAGCAGGGCATACACACCCTTGTGTGAGTCGTCCTAGAACATCTGTCAGTTCCACAACATTGCAAGCGCAATACCCGAGCACTCAATGGGCCATACCAGAGGTTCCCACAAGGCAACGTTGTTGTCCGCACCGAAGGCGAGCACACCCGACTGGACATCCCAATCCGCGGCCCCCGGATGCCGGTTTCCTCCCACACTGATATAATCTGTTGTAACAGACGCCATGCTTGCAAGGACTTGCGCGAGCTGAGACGTCCCCGTCGATTCGGCGCTGGAGATTACAGTAGCGGAGAAAAGAGCTGTGCTGCGTCGCAAAAGATAATTGTGGAATTGGGCTTATCGATAAGGATGATTCTGCCCAGCCCCTCCCCACCGCCATCATCGACTTTCACCTTTCAACAGTCCAGTCAAGAGAGCTTATAACGGTGTTTGAGACTTGATAACAGCAGTGGTCTGTCTATCTACTTCCAGCAGTCATGTCTGATGGTGCAAAGGGGGCTGCTGGCCCATCTATCCCCATCACAGTCGAGTTCACGTATCATCCCCAGATTTCCCCAAGCAGTATGATCTAGCAGTCTCTAACGCAATTTGATAGTGGCGGCCTTGAGCTGCTCTTTGGCAATGAGCGGAAGCATAAAGTTTCATTGCCTGCATGCATGGAAGATGGCAACCCGACCAACATCGCATATCTACTTCCATACCTGGTCGATAACCTAATGCAGGACCAAAGGAAGGAGATGTTTATCATGGAGGACAATGTGTACGTGCTATCCAGGCTGTTGTTAGACCCAGGGCTAACAAGAATTACAGCCGACCTGGTATCCTCGTTCTAATCAATGATGCCGATTGGGAACTCGAAGGCGAGGAGACATACGAACTTCAACCAGGAGATAACATTGTATTTGTCTCAACGCTACATGGAGGCTAGTGATATTTGCGTGTGGTACAAACGTGGATAATAATATAAGCAATCAATCTTGCTGCCGGAAGAAATACCAGAAATGAGGCCCTGCCATGCCAAACCAGAATCAGGCTCTCAAGGGCTTTAGACAACGTCCTCGACGTGTTGTTGGGAGATTCGCTCCGGCTCACGAGGAGTGCGGAGTCCACTTGGGGTCCTGAATCCGCTCTGGGGAGTTGCAGCCCCGTCCATAGGACTGCCCAAGCCTTGAATTGGGGAAACGAATCCGCTGGGAGGCACGGGAATCTTCAGATCTTCAGGCGAGGCGGGGATAATCTCTTCTGGCAGGTCGGGGATATGGATTCTGCGTGCTTCATTCTGGTAGCTCTCGGGGATGATCTAGAATAAATCGGTTAGCATGATGTATCACAGCAATGAGAGTAATGATTTGCTCGTACCTCAATGATCTCATCACGCGGAAATTCCAAGAATGGGATGTCGGCGGCGTTACAAGCCATGAGATAGCCATACAAGACTCTAAGAACGCTTTCGTGGGCAATGATGAGCAGATCGTTCTGCTCTCGCTCCAGTTCGAGAATCACGGGCTCAAGGCGGACAGCGAGGTCATGATAAGACTGTTACAAGGTCAGCCCAAGTCCAATTATCAGCAGTCTGAAAATTCTTACCTCGGCACGGGGATACCGATGATGGTAGGGATCAAGCTCATGCTTTGCGACCTCATCCGGCCACTCGGCACGGATGCGTCTTTCCGACATCTTCTCACAGACACCAGGGTTGAGTTGACTCATTTGAGAGCGCTGTCGGACCTTGTATCCCTTGTCGTAGAGGTACTTGGCAGTCTCTACGGTACGACGTCTAGTGGACGTCCATACTTTCAGTGGTCGTAGTTCATAGCTCGCGTCACCTCGGGCGATCATGTCCTGTTTCTCGACCTCACGGTGAGCAAGCAGGCTTTCTGTCATTTTTCTGGCGTAATCATCGCCCTGTTCTGAAAGACCGGAATCTGACTTGTAGGACGCGGCATCTTTCGATACGCCAGCCTAGAATGAACAGTCAGTCTAATTCAAACCACATCAGCATGGCGAGGGCTAACGCATACCCGCACGAAGTAGGTTCGTCTCGATTTAATGTGGAGGTTCAATAGGTAGAAGACGATGCGGTTAGAGAGATAGCCAAAGCTGCAGTTGTTGACAATGAGTCGCTCTCCAGCATTGATCATCTGTTGAAGTCAGTAGATGACGCTGATGAATAGTCAATTACAACAAACCTTGATATAGTTCAGGTCCTTCTCTTCCATGGTCTGGAACTGGGGAATGCGCGAGGAGATACGGGTCAAATAATGCTTGACTGCGTCCTCAGGGCTCCACGAGACGTACTAGGATAAAGTCAGTTTGGTGCTCCTAGCCCGTCTTGTTGGGCAGCACTCACATCAGGGGATGAAATCTTGACTCGGCGAACGTTTTCCTCAATGATTCGCTCATCATCGCACCAAGACTCAATGAAGAGCGTCTATTTAATCACACAATGAGCTTTTGTCTCCGAATTCAATCTTCCTGGTCCGACATACCTCAATATCGTGCTTTGCAAATTCCTTGGCAAGCGAACGCCGTCCTGAGGCCAAGGGATTCACCGCATCATAAATTGCAATCTGACCGTTCTCGTGACTCAAGAAGCGGTAGATATCTTCGCGACACTTTCGTACAATTTTCTGACGAAGCAGAACAGATGATGCCGATGCTATACATGCATTAGTCTGGGTGACTCCGCGAGTACGTATGACACGCACCATTCACAAAGAAATAGTCATCAGGCATATCCTCCCCAAAGGGAATAGTAGCCCGTCGATAGTCACCGAGATGGAAAATTCTAGTTTTGACTCCGAGCCTATCCGAATTGTTAATTTGATACTCGACAAGTAAGGTGTGGCAGCTGTCTAGCTCCGACAAAGAAACGTACCATCGCAGGTATCGAGCCAAGGCCACAGACATGTGTCTGCCGTGATTCAAGCTATTAGCATATTGCATAAACCATTATATCAAGATCGGGTCATCTACGTCTTTCCTCTTGCGGGCAAGCCCACGGTGATGATCACAATGCGACCTGAATGGAAAAGCCGACCGGATTCGGTACTATACAACTGAGCTGGAGCCAGGTCGGCCTTTTCGGGTAGATCGTGAATGGCATCGACGAAAATTGAGGATTTCCGCCGAAACTGCGGCGAGTTGGCCACGATCTCGGCCGTGCTGCATTGACGTCAGCCTTGAATCCAGGGGAGAGAAACCATGTACTTCCAGGCAAAATTGGCCTCATGGCGGTGAATCCAGAAAAAAAAAACATGCATGCGCGGATCGCATAGCTTTGACAGGATATTTCCGTGCAGCAAGTATCAAGCGAAGGAGAAGGTCGACTTACAGTAAGGTATCCATGATGGCGGGGCGATCAAGGAACGACGGGCGAGGTCCTCTTCCAAGAAGAACACTCCGGCAGCTGCAATTCTGCAATCTGGAGCAGCTGGAAAATTAGCTAGAGCAACAATTGAGCTGCTTATGGCAGATGGCGAAGCCTTTAACACAAAGAAAGTTGGAGGAGATAAAAGGGAGAGCACTGGAAGGCGGCATGGGCGGTATACGCGATAAAGGTGGGTGTACAGTATATCGGGTGGATCCTCTCACCTCGAACAGAAGAAGCCCAACCTGGTATAGAGTCCAGCTCAGACGCCCGAATACGAATGAAAAAGCTCTGCTCGATAGATCCGAGCTTCCAGCCCCTATATGTGAGGATCTTTCCTTGACTGTGTATTGAGTTTTCCAGACTATCATTGTTCATCGGAAAGCCCAATGGAACAAGTCCGAGAACCCCCGGTGCGCTTACCTAAGGCACCGGCGGACCACAGGAACCAAAGACGCTGCGCAACTGGCATTTTTCAAACTGGAAAGTCTTCAGCTCCGCTTCTCTCAATACCTCGAATACAATCAATCCTCCCCGACTCCCCCGAGCGGATAACCAGGTTCAGCCCTTTCCCCCAAAGTCTACCTTATCTGAGACGTTTACTCGTTCCAGATATACCGGGCTGGTCTCTATTCTCTTTCCTCCTACCGATCATCCTCGTTCCATCCTCTCACAACCGAAAACCCCCGTTGACCGGCATCGCGTGACGACACCTTCTATAATCTAACTCTTCTATCCTTCAAAAATGGCCGACCTCACATCATCTCTGTCCATGCTGACGGACAATCCCGCGATGGCGATTCTGAACGATGTATACACGTCGTTCTCCGAGCGCCGGGCATTGCTCAACCTGCCGAACCCCGGTACCGTGGATAACATCGCGCGCGAGGTGCAGAAGGAGGTTCTACTGTCCAACTTCATGTTCTCCGGTCTCCGTGCCGACTTGACCAAGGTCTTTGGCATGTCTCCTCTGTTCCGAGTTTCCCATGCCTTCTCAATGGGCTCCTCGGGCAACCTGCCCCCATATGCCTTCTCCTCCATGTACGGCAGCCCCAAGGTAAGAAAGAACAAGCTCGAATTTTCCATTCTCTTCACATCATAAGAGGTATATCTCTCTTCTCCGGTCCAATGACTGACAGAACCCTTCTCGATGCAGGTCTTCATGCAAGGCAACCTCGGAAGTGACGGTACCCTCTCCGCTGTGTACAACTGGCGCTGGACCCCGGCCCTCGTCACCAAGACCAACGCCCAGATCATGCCCGGTGCCACCCAGGGTCTGATGCAGATTGACAACGACTACACCGGCAAGGACTTCTCCGCATCTCTCAAGGCCTTCAACCCGTCCTTCCTCGAGGGCGGCCTCACCGGTATCTTCGTTGGTAGCTACCTCCAGTCCGTCACCCCCGGTCTGGCCCTCGGTTTCGAGGCTATCTGGCAGCGCCAGGGTCTGAACACTCGCCCCGAGACCGCTCTGTCCTACTGCGCCAAGTACAAGGGAGATGACTGGATCGGAACTGCTCAGCTCCAGGCTCAGGGCACCTTTGCCGCTACCTACTGGCGCAAGCTGTCCGAGCGTGTCGAGGCCGGTGTTGACATGAACCTCCAGTTCGCTCCCAACGCTGCTGCTATGATGATGGGTGGTCCCAGCCGTGAGGGTACCACTGCCATTGGTGCCAAGTACGATTTCCGTGCTTCTTCCTTCCGCGCCCAGGTTGACAGCGCCGGTAAGGTCAGCTGTCTGTTGGAGAAGCGCATTGCCATGCCCATCTCTCTGACCTTTGCTGGTGAGATTGACCAGGCCAAGGTATGATCAACTCCCTCATTACCCTCCTGTCTCGACTTTCTTTCTAACTCTCATTTCCTATAGCAAACGGCCAAGATCGGCCTCGCTGTCTCTCTCGAGATCGCCGGTGAGGAGCTCATGGAGCAGCAGGAGAAGGCCGATCCCAACATGGTTCCTCCTCCCTTCTAAACTCCCTAAATTCTCCGTCCTTTTTCCGTTCGAGATTCCCTCCTCCTCAAAATCCTCCCGAGGTCCGGGTGCATCCACCTGATCAGTGCCTCTCGAGTTAATCATCTTCGACCTCTCTGTTTTATTAGTTCTTCTCTCACCCTTTCCCCCCAATGTCTGGATTGACATGGCACGTCAATTCCATCTCCCTCGGTATATCTCCCTGAATCCGGGTTGCTGGAGTAGGCGGCATTTGTTTGGCGCCATGGAGAGTCCCGCATGACCTGTATAGATTCACGTCGCTTTTTTTTGCCTGGTTTTCTTTTTCTCTACTGTCTCTTTTTTCCCCTTCTCCCTCTGATCGTATTCCTCTTTGATCTCCGTCTCCGCCAATATCTGATGCCTGCATTTCTCCGGCTTTATGTCTTGGTCCGTGGTCTTGTGTGTCTTGTTTCTCGTATGACTGCTCGGGGTATTTTTTTGTCGTTATGTTTTCATCTTCCCTTTTCTTCATTCGAGGCTGTGGTATTCGAGTGTGGGCTGTGGGATTGCGAGAGGTTTTTTGTGAGGTTGGAGGGCGGGAGGTGCATGGGTTGCGTCCGGAGAGATCTCTGGTTATGTTTCGCATCATAGACGGACCAATGTAAAACAGTCTTTGAATCTTAATTGCAGCGCTTTGCATGTATGTCTTGTGTCTTGTTGAGTATGAAGGTATGCCGGTATGCCGGTATGCCGGTAGAGTAGTTAACATCTATCTGTTGGGGCTTGATGCGTGGCACTCGTTGTAATGGCCTTTTTGGATGATGAGCTTGCTGAGTAGTGGCTTTGATAGTCTTCTAGTCTATTCATTCAGGGCCACATAACACATACCTCAATAAGCGCTGCCAGTGTAGCATCTACAGTACTACTGCCCTTACCAGTGGCTTTCAACATGCCCGATATGATTCCGTCTCCAATTCATCGCCGTATTCCTTATTCCGTTTTCCCCGTACATTGAGAGCTATACATACGGTATACTACCTAGCCATCCATAAAGCGATGATCAATATTTCATCGGCAGAAAAGAAAATGGCATTGTGGAGAAGCCCCAGTGGATTAATGGCTTGACACTGACACTTTCCAGATTCCGGCATAGCACAACTAGAGCAAACTATTCTATCCTGGTTCGCAACTACTGCCTTTACATGGCCCACCAGCATTAACTCCTAATTACCATCTACTGTACCTAATTTTACAAATATACTGTGGCTCTAGTCGGCGTCTTGATGAGTTACGATAGAGTGATACACGGCTATTCTCAATAGATGTGATATTGTATTTTGCTTTGGGTTGGGACTAGAACTTCGTCCGCTACTTTGTATGTGCCAGGGTGCTACGCACCTACTTGAATCAGGAAAGTGCTATTCATGGCGTATACATGACACGGAAAAGGTAGGCCCTGTCAGACCTTTCAGGGTGTTCTGGGCCGATGCTAGCTGGGTGCTGACACTCATACAAACTAGTTGCTATAGTTGCCACTGCCTGTTATAGGATCCATGTATGTATTCACATGCTCGTCAGCTTCAGGATTGACCACCATCCATGTATTCAGTACTATAAATCCCTCTTACTAGACGAAAGACTCTACTACTACAGCAAGAGTGATTCCTCACTCCTAAAAGGATTCTTATCCTCACCACCCTCCATAATTAGAATCAAACATCCAGAAACCCCAACAATGATATGAGGCATGCTAACACTTCCCCGTTCCTGCCCATCTTCCCCTCCATGCATCATCGTCATGATAAACACAACTCACTGGAATATCCCTCACTCACCATGTCCCACACAAACCCCGAAGCCACCCCCGCGCATACACACCCACGCCCCCTCCAAAATCCCGAATCAAATCTGATAGCCAGCGGGGGAATCGGGGGATAGTGCGGCCCTGACATCATCCTCGCAGCCCCGTTGACCCCAGTCACTTTACCCGGGTTTGTCGACCTGCATTGGCGTATGTTGGAGGGGGCGCTAGGCTCGGTACTAGCTGTTGCTGGTAGTAGGCTTTGGGTTTAGTAACTCCGAGGGTGGTGATTCGATGAAGAGTTGGTAATGCGAGTCAGTTTCCTTTGAGTAGAGGGCTTAAAGACTGGTAATCAGTAATTGTCTATCAATATTTTCTATACATATTGTATGCTCTGTACTCTGATCTTGTATTATAGGTTGGTCGATTGTCTACAGTGCTGTTCAAGGCTGAGTATCTTCTTGCCCCTCCAAAGCACACGGGCCCCCTCCTCCCCGCGCCCCTCGTAAAAGGTAAAGTGTAAATTCTACTTCTAGTTACTACTAGATACAGTCTACCATGTTAGTTCAGAATTATCGTTTGTTCGCGCCTAACAACTTACAACTACAAAACCGACTCGGTTGAAATGAACGGGACACTAACCAAGTTCATTTTATCCAGTCCAGTAATGCACTAACTAATTACAGTAGAAACAGTACATTATTACTACTGTACTCCAGTCAAGTCCCCGCAGGGGAACGAGTGTGTGGACTCTGGTTGCTCGATTCCTTGAAATTGATTGTGGGTAACGGTCCACTCCCGAGGTTTGGTTGTTTGGTTCTGCCGTTTTGGAGGGGACAGACGAGACAGACGAGAGACTGGACACGAGGACTACTGGCTGAGAGCCCGCTTCTTTTTGCCCGTGCGGAAATTGAGGATAGACATATTTCTAGGGAAGGGAAGGACTGTAAGTGTAGACGCTCGTTTAACGACTAATGCTTCTTGTCACACATCACACATCTAACGTTCGCGAAATTCGGTAGTGGGAATTTGGGCTAGAGGTTGGGATTGTGTTCGTTAGTTATTATGATGGTTTAACTAATCTATATGGAATGTGTGCTAGGAATTTCGAATTAACTCAGTAGATAGAAAGATAGAGACTCATTTCAGAGCTCACCTTCAAGGTTTCGCTAATTGGGCAGTCATACTATAGTTGTAACAAGGCGAGGTATGAGGCGTTAGGCACGGCATAGCTTATTCCCAATATGCCCGCCACACCGATAGACGCGCTGAACGAGGGGGGGCCATCTTATTTCGATCGTCGCGAAAACTGGCAGATCGCCCGAACCTACAGTAGCGGTTGGTCCCAGCATGAACGGCACAGTTCAACACAAGAACTCTATCCCGAGTAAACCATCCGTTTGGGTATGGATGCCGTCGGATTTGTACATTCAACAATGTGATAGGCAACTGCACAAGGAAAGGCGGATAACACTAATCACAATTTTAATCCAAGTATGGATGGCAGTATGATTGGAAGCACTGGGAGTCTGGGACTGGACTGTATACCATAGATTAATATTGGATCCCCAATCTCGGTACCTCAACCAATGAGCCCCGCGGAGATCAACGTTTCGCGTTCGCATATTTCGGTACATTCCTCAATTTGGCTCCGGTTAGTGCTGGGTCTCGTTTCCGAGGGTTTCGCAATTTGGAGGTCGAGTTGGCATACATACATACTTACCTCGTTGAGAGACTTATGTACAGTATGAGCAGATTGTTTGTGGTATGTTATGCAAGGTGCTCTGGTATTGGCTTTGGGGACTTAGACGAGATGCATCTAACATGCAATAAGTATGCCTACTCCCGAATACTGTACTTGTTTTTATGAAGTGGAAATCGAAATCATACTTCTTAACTTGTACAATACCCGTTTACGTAGATCTACAAAATTCTCACCACAGATCTTTTGTATTAAGATTCATCTGCCATCGAGGTACTACTATAAGGAGTCACGATATACAGCAATAACCAACTTACCCACCTACCCAGCCACATCACAACCCACAAACTACAATAACCTCCAGCCTAATTTAATTTCTCCTACCAACTCCACGTGTCTGACACGGAGGCGCCGCATCAAAGAATGCCGTGCCGTCCTCGACCCTTGCCCTTGCGTCCGGCCTAGTCCAGTCGGACTCACCATTGCCCCTTCCCCTTCCCCTTTCCGTCCGTCTGTCTTCACCCGAGACTGGGAGTCGAGGTGAAACACACATGCCAATAATGCCAAATGCCAAATGCCATGCCGGGTCGTCCCATATGCGCATTCCCACCCTAGACGGGGGCGCTTTTTTCGGACCGACGCGGCAAGTATAACCCACTAAGAGCATACTGTACAGGCATAGAGAGACTCTTACTGTGGATAGTGTATAATACTGTGGATAACGAGCAAGTACTGTATGGACGATAGCTCTAGCTCTGCATTGACATTCTCATGCCAGTGGCCGAGCTGATGGCTGCAGCTTCATGGCTCGGTTGACTACGTCGTGTGCCCGACTACCCTGTCCTTACGGTAGTCCAGTCTGTTTGTGCCGAAGCCACAGCACAGGGTATGTACTGTTCGGCGGGACCCCGGTTTAGGCTGTGCTGTAGGGCAGGACATGGCATGGCATGCGGTCCACTTGTTACTCAAGAAGGTTGAATGAGGGTTGACGGATATTTGATCCGTGGCGGAATACAGTGGATCTGATTTCTACAGTATTGTACTGTGCAGGGTTGAATGTTTAGTATTAACTGAATTTACACTGGTCACTGGCCGGCGGTTTTGGTTGATGGGGCTGAACTAGTCTGGGAAAAAGGGCCTTGACCCTGTTCATCCCACTGGTCGTGTGGGCCAGTTGGGCTCCAGCATGAGGAGCCTGGAAGATCCGGGCCATTCCCAGCTCCGAGGAGGAACAATACAGCGCAAGAGGATGGATGGTAGCGTGTATAGGCCGGAAAGGTCATTGCTAGTTGTCTAGATGGATAGCGGCCTTGTTTGGTCGAATACTCACCTAGTAACTTGCCAAGCTAGTGAAATCAAGTATCATTTTATCCTGACCTAGTAAATACTCGGTTCAGTCAAGACATCGTCGATTCCATCTTTGTCCATCTCAAAGTCTAGTGCAGTGCAGTGCCGACAGGGCCGTGCGGCCTACGTCACTATGGAGAGGGGTGACAGCTGCGTCGCATGACAAGCACGAACTGTGGCGATTCCCCTGGGTCTGGTGATGTCGATCTGCCAGGGCAAGACATAGAGGGTGTGTGTGGGATTTACAGTAGTTTAGTGCCAGCTTGAGAGGCGCTAGGGAGGTCGATGACTCGCTCCTCGTGGTAGGATATGCTTGATGCAGTTCAAGATATAACTCGGGCATTAAGATGGTCGCTATAGTGGTGAGAGAAATTAGGAATTAGGGATGGATATTAGGTAGAATAGCAGAGGTAAGACATTGCAGACTGTGAATTATGAGTTACTTACAGATATTGTAGGACTCTGTGCCTAATGAATGATTTTAGGCCTGATACCGTAGCTTCAATTCCTACCTAAAATATACTTACTCCGTACAGTACCCAAGTAGAGACTGACTGTGGCAGCGATTGTGGTAAAAGTCCGGTAAACTTGAAAACAAAAGTGAACCAGTCAAGCCCGGGTCAAGTATCCATTACCGGGTCAATACCGGTCAGCGATCACTGGAAACGGTTCTGTCGGGTAATTTTACGGGGTCATACGAGTTGGCCCCTGCTTTTCGGGTCTTGGCTGATCGTGTATTCGTCTCGTCTATCACGAGGGAGGACTCGATAGATCCTAGGATTTCCATCATTATTTCAATGTATGAGATGTTTGATTGATTAAAGCTAACTACATACCAGTAACCAACTACCTCCCTCTAAGCTACTCCTCACTATATAGTTCTCTACATCCTCAACCAAGTACCGCTTCTCTCCCCTCTCAACTTAGACTAGTCAGAAAATCTATGTACACGAACAACTGGGTGCATTGACGCACAACCCAAATCCGGATTGCAGATTGCTAGCCCTTGGCCTACCCGACCGCCCAGTAAGCGCCGCCTGGGAGCTTCTCAACGTTAACCTTTTCAGCCAGGTGCAGTTTCCATCTCTGCACCTCTCATCCTTTTTATTTTGCCTCTCAGCTTAAAATACCTCGTAGTCAAGCCTACTGTAGCCAAAGAGGAGGAGGAGGGCTAAGCACATGCAACAATAGAAGTAGGATGTATAGTATGTAGAATATTCTTCTACTACGCTATACATAGACTACAATGATGTACGAATTCTGCCCTCAACTCAACGGCCTATTGCTGTTGAGTGGCCCCCTCCCCTCCGTGCCTAGTGCCCACTACGTCCAAGTCCCACCCCGCCCCATTGGAAGCTCGAGGAGGGACCGACCGAGGACCCGCCGCGCATTATTGGAGGATCTGGAAAGCCCGAACTTGAGTGCGATCTGTGTGAGACTTGAAGTGGGTGTGAGAGTGGATGGACACACACAGACCATTTCTACAACTGAGAGGACAGTCTGACAGGTTGGTCACGTTCTTTTAACATCAGGGGTAAATGTCATGTCAGGGACCAGACATTAAAATTCTTCATGACTGGCCTTTAATGTTTCGCCTTTCTGCTATTACTGAAAAGTCGGGGTTTGGGGAATTGCCAATGATGGGGAAAACCAGGTTTCCAATCCACTAGACAATTACATAAGTGTTCACTAAGTTTTTCACTATGGTCGTTAGTGGTGGGCGTTAGGATGGTTTAGGGCTTAGTCTGGTTGAATACTAGAGTCTTGGGGCTGGGGGCTGGAATTTGGTTTTTTGGGTTCTTGGGTTGAAGAAGAATTAAGTTGAGTTGATAGCTTGTAGCTTTGCCCAGTTGATTATAATTATTTCTGGAATTTAGTTCAAGGTCTGGACTGCCGCTTCGAGGGATCTGTACCTGATTGTCATGGCTAGTTTGTTGTTGGATACTTTGATCGGCCATGGTACGGACTGTATGTTTTCTTATGCCGGGGCCCGATATCCGACTCACCGTACTTCTTGGCTAGACTAGTCCTACTTTGTAGATAAAGTACCGTGCTCTGTACATGTCTACAAGTATGTAGTAATGGAGTACGGAGTACAGAGATGATATCCGGCCTCGTGTTTGGTATCTTCCACGTATCCCGACCGAGCAAAGTATACTTCGTAAATTCCCACCGTAACCTCATCTATCTAGTACATCAATGTACCCATCACTCTAACGAGGACTAGAATCCAGCGGTGACTTCAAAACGCACAGCTGGAATCCCAATTACTCGGAGCTAGGCATCGGCTACGATCACTGCAGCCTACATGCCAAGGGGGATCCCTGTGGACATCTATCTCTACATTGTACGGAGTACATCTACATCCTAGAGTAGTGGGAGTGTGGTGTCTCTCCCGAAAACTTTCCAAGTTAGTCCACCGGAGAAGGGACTAGACCTCCCCAGGGAAGTCAGGGGAGAAAACATTGACGGGGATCGACACTTGGTGTTGGGCTGCCGGGTCCCGTTCGTGCCGTATCTCGCATGGCATGTGTGGCTCAAGCTTTGGAAAACCGAGATCGGACGCAGGAGAGAGAGAGAGAGAGGAACAGAAGGGAGTAGCTGGACCTGGATCGGATCTGGATTGAACTAGTCATGTACGAAGAAGTACATGCTGTACCTGTAGTACTACTGTAAGTTAAGTTATGTACCTTCCGTGGGATGATTCCATCCAGTCGGTACGGTCAAGGTTATCGCTAGAGGTGTAAGGGGGGAGAAACATCAAAAAAAGAAAAGAAAATATAAGACATGGAAATAGAGACCGTGCAGCCGAGAGCAAATGATGGGCTCGGGAACACTCTAACACATACGTCCCGTACGGAGCACGGAGAATGACCTCTCCCCACTCCAGCTTTAAGCCGAAGGAAAGGCTTTAGTCTCGACTTTCGAGGAGTCTAGAGGGGGACCTAGACCTCGAGCTTCGATCTTGGCTTGAGCCGTGCGTTGAAAATAGGATATGGCAGGAGACTATGTACTAGTTAGTTCAATGTTGAGAATAGAAGGATTTTGGTAAGTTTGTACTGTACTCTCTACTCCATACTCTCCACATTCACAGCGGAGTATTATATTGAAGCTCCTAGCTAGCTAGCTAATTAGCTCCAGGAACAAGTATAGACTTTAAATTGAAAAAATGTAGTCAATTAAACAAGCCAGAGTGCGTACTTATTCCATTAGTACTCCGTACAGTAGAGTATATTTAGTACTATTTTATTTTCTACAGCCTTGTCTCCCCCCTTCGGATTTCCCTCTGGAGCAATGACCAAGTTGACCCAACACTAACTAATGGAAACAGTGGAACTACGGGACTATTTCCACGGGCCATGTGGTGGCCCAAGCTTCTTCAAGTCAGCTGGACTGGATGACATCGTGGTCACGAGGCGGGTGTAGCCAATCGTGGGGGTTCCTGCGAAAATCACGGCTGGTCACCCGACCGCGGAACATCAGTCTCTCCGGGTGATTTCTCTGGTCATGGATGGTCATTTGGATGGTTCTTTTTGAGGAGGGGGCAGTATGACGGGGAGAGGAGGGGTGAGAGGGGGGCTATATTTAGTTACTACTAGGTAGGTTGGATGATGATTTAGGGGGGATCAATAGTACGGAGTATTGTATGTACATACTATTTTCTGTTGTTTGGAAATACCAACAGACATTTCACGGACTAGTTGAAGCAGATAGAGAAAGAAGGCAACGGAGAACTTAACTCATTTCAGATTCCACTGTTGGTATGTATTGTGTATTGATGTATTGGGCATTACCCTGGGCCTGTCCTGATGATATCATTCCCGTCTTAAATACCAGCCGATTGCTGTATATGTTATACCGAAAGACAGTACCATGTATTATATACCTGCCCAGCCACCTCAAGCACCAAGTCCATCATGGACAGTAAGAGAGAATCATGGGATGCAAAAGACCAGCCATGATATCCAGCTTATCCAGCTCTTTCAGCTTAGGTCAAAAGAGGCGGGGGCTGATGGAGACAAAACGATGAGAGATCAGATCTTGGTCTTAATGTTCTTTCTTCAGCAGCACAATCCTATTACAAAGAGGGTCTATAAAACCGGAATGGACGCATCGTGAGAGGCTGGAAGCTTTCGTATTTCCTTTTTTTCTTCTTCCTCTCTTCTGTGCATTTAGAGGCCATTGAATTGTAGTGTTTGGGGCCCCCCTCCTTTTTTGTGTCCCTTTCTCTCTATACATGTACACTGCCACGACCACTGCCACAATTCCTGTCTACCCTATCATTCGTGCTATTTTCCCTCCCCAACCCCTCTTCCTTTTTTCTCAATTTTTGCTTCAGCCCCCTCCTCCTCTACTTACTTCCCTCCTTATCATCTATCTATCCATCGTACTAGTTTCTTTGCTGGTCCAAACCAAGAGGAAACACTTCCCGCTCGAGCCAGTGGTTCTCGTACGTCACCCCCGGTTCTGACCCAATCTCTCTCTCTCGTCCTAGTCTTATCCCCACCAATATATTATTATTCTCATACTCTATCATTACCCGTTTCTTACCATCCATACCCACTTCCATTACCCATGAATACCACTGATCTTACCCATCTTACCAAACTTACCAAACAAACCCACCAGACTCCTCCCCAAAACTGAACTGAACCTGACTAACCAAACAGGTGACCTCTCTCGGTCTCTCCACCACCACCACCACTTAACCTTCCCAGTCTAACCCGTCTTATTTCCCTCCCACGTCCTCTTCATTGGTCAAACATTATCCTGCTATTTGCCCACCTACTTTCTTCCACTCTTCATTCTTCCTTCACTTCCTCTCTTTCGTGCATTCTTGGCGCTCGCCGTTTCTTCTCAACTCGCCCCGTTCGGACTTGCCGCCCACTCCTCCCACACCCCCTCCCCCCTCCCCCTCCGAAGCTACTCCACCACCGCGACCTACACCTCGCCCAAAACGGATTCTCTTTCTTCTCTACGATAGCACATCCTCCCCCCAATCCACAACCTCCCCCAAGAGATGTCACAGAGTCGGCCTGGGTTGTTCCCAAGTTTGCGCATGGGTGGTAAGATATTCCTCCTCGTTGGTCGTGGTCAATTGCACTATGCACTGTCTGCTCCGTGATCACTGACGTCTCCCTCCCTCTTCTTTTCCCGCGCAGAGGTCATCCGCGAAAAGGTCCAAGATGGCCTGACAGGCGAGCACAAGGAGATCTCGTATACCCAGTGCAAGATCGTCGGCAATGGATCGTTCGGTGTCGTGTTTCAGACCAAGATGGCCCCCAGCGGCGAGGACGCTGCCATCAAGAGAGTCTTGCAAGACAAGCGGTTCAAGGTAAGGCGGACGTTTCGGAATCATCAAGTGTTGGAGAACTATCCCCCCAAGGCTAATCGATTTGTTTTGTTCTGTAGAACCGTGAGCTTCAGATTATGCGGATCGTGCGCCATCCCAACATCGTCGAACTGAAGGCTTTCTACTACTCTAACGGCGACAGGGTACGTGTGTGACGGACTCACTTTCACCTCCCCCTCTTTCGCTGAACTGGCTCTCTCTCTCCATCTCGCTCCCACCTTCTCTTTCCCCGCCCGGCTGACCTGACCGTACTTTTCCCCTCGTGACTGTAGAAAGATGAAGTCTACCTCAATCTTGTCCTCGAATACGTCCCCGAAACCGTGTACCGCGCATCGCGGTATTTCAACAAGTTGAAGACCACAATGCCCATGTTGGAGGTCAAGCTCTACATCTATCAACTCTTCCGGTCGCTGGCCTACATCCACTCACAAGGCATCTGCCATCGAGACATCAAGCCCCAGAATTTGCTCCTGGACCCCAATACTGGCATTCTGAAGCTCTGCGATTTCGGTTCCGCCAAGATTCTCATCGAAAACGAACCCAATGTGTCCTACATCTGTTCTCGTTACTACCGAGCGCCTGAGTTGATCTTCGGTGCTACTAACTACACGACGAAGATTGGTAGGTCACCCCCTTTCTTATCATTTTCGCTCCCACCGGCCGACGTGGCTAATTCCTCTATAGATGTCTGGTCAACTGGTTGTGTGATGGCTGAACTGATGCTGGGCCAACCCCTCTTCCCTGGTGAATCGGGCATTGACCAGCTGGTGGAAATCATCAAGGTGCTCGGCACCCCGACTCGGGAGCAGATTCGCACCATGAACCCCAATTACATGGAGCACAAGTTCCCTCAAATCAAGCCCCATCCCTTCAATAAGGTATGTCCATGATTGTCCTGCCGCTTTCCCTCGGTCGCATGATCGCTGGCGGGGAAGACTGCAGTCAATGCTGACCGAACCCAGGTCTTCCGCAAGGCGCCCCCAGAGGCCATTGACCTGATCTCGGCGCTCCTGGAATACACTCCTACCCAACGGTTGTCGGCCATTGAAGCCATGTGCCATCCCTTCTTCGACGAACTGCGGGATCCGGCTACTCGGTTCCCCGACTCGCGACACCACAACAACCCGCCCAAGGACTTGCCCGCTCTCTTCAACTTCACACGGCATGGTGAGTTTCATGGATAAATCGATACTTTTTTCCCCTCTTACTCTCGTTCTTGTGCTTTTGTTTACTTTTTTCTTCTTCGCTTGATGCGACCTTGAAACTAATGATCTACAGAACTCTCGATTGCCCCCGAATTGAACGCCCAGATCGTCCCCCCTCACGCTCGCGCAGATCTTGAAGCACAAGGTCTCGACATCAACAACTTCAAGCCTCTATCCAAAGAGGAGATGATGGCTCACCTCGATTGAGTCGACTGATACCACCTCCGCCAAGGACACGTCTGTTTGTTAATGCGTTCCGCACCAGTGCGTGAATATTCGATGGCCTAACCGATCCGACAACCTTTCATGTTTCGAGTGGGCTCTGAATCAAAGAGCACGGAGGGGTCCCATTGCCTATTGCTGAGTCTGTACACCTTTTTGGACTCAGCGAGAGAGCCACGGTGAGGAACTGCAGATCTTTGTCGAGTTGGGAATGTTGATTGCGAGAGAATGTGTGAAGAGAGGATAGGCGAACGAAGATGGCGAGAAGGGGCGACATGGAATGAGGTTCGGGAGGACCTGGACGTGCAAATGCAGAGAACATGGAACATTTTTTCTTTTCTTATTCATGGCTTTCTTCTTCATGGCCTGAAAATAGGGGAAATTTCTTTCGAATTGTTACAAGTGGTGGGTTGGGCAAGAGAGGAGCCTGATGACAGTCACGTCAGTGGTGGGAGGTCCATGACCTGGAGTTTTGATTTTGGAGATGTCTGGGACATGCTCTGGGAGGAAAAAGTGATACCCTTTCTGTGCAAGTCTGGCCCGTCGGGATTGAAGACTGCATAGCTCCGCCGGTCGAGGGAGAGGAATGGGATCTGGATATGGATTCTTGGGGATACCCAGGGAGAGTCTATGGCTGTGGCTATTATGCCTGATGCCGTTGTCCTTGCCCTGGCATCTTCGGGACATACAACAGGGATGCATCGCCGATGGTCATGAAAGCTGTTATTCGTTTTCCCATTTTCTTTTTCCTCGGCTTCTTTTTATTTCTTTTCTTTTTTTCTCGATCTCGATTTCCCGAGGTTTCCTGCCGTTTCCTGCCATGGACTTACCGCTGCGTCTAGACGGTTGGGTCTGATCGGATTGGATCTGACATCTTATATCTGACCTGTGAGATTCGGTATAGTCTCGACCCGAACCCTCGGTCAGATCTAACCTTTCCTGGTTTTTCCCTGGAACTATGGAAATGGAGATCAAATTTCCCCTCCCTGTGCCCCTACGACCTGCAGCGCTAGAATCCTGTTCTTTTCTCTCCCCTTTGCGTTCACTGTTACTGCTTTGATTTCATTGGTCCTTACTTTTTAGTCTACACCTTTTTCTTCATTTCCCCATTTCGTCCTGTTTCTTGTTCTCTTTCCTCTCCATGTCTCGATGTCTTTGTTGCAAATGTCATTGTCCTGGTCTTTTAGCGGGCTCGGCTGGTCCCTGGTTTTCTTCCCTGGTTCTCCCCTGGTTCCGATGTCGAGAAGTCTTGAAGTCTTGAACTCTCCAATTTTGACTTGCTTCTGCCTCCCCCCACTGGTTTATCTATCTATTCCTCTCTCCCATTAAACTTCGACCTGTCTTGCCGGCGATGAGCTACTGTTTCCAGTTTCGGAAGTGGACGGTTTTTCTTGTCGTGGTTTGGCTTTGGATGTATGTTGTAGATTTGTAGTGTAGTGTATGTGTAGACTGAACGCGGTAAACAGTTGTGGGGAGCCATAAATGGATACTTGTATAGAGCTGTGTCTACGCTGGTGTTTCTCTCGGTGATAGTTCATGTTGAAGCCCAATGCGAATACAATGTTTCCTACCAGTTCCCATTGACATCTTTCGGGTTGAGGTGGAAGTTTTATCCGCTTATTCGTTCTCATCCTAGTCTCATTGTTCGAGTCCGCATTGAACTATCTTTAAGTCTAATCAGGTTTGGATTGTCCCTGCTAGAATGATCTGTCTACTCCGTCAAGACTTGGATATTGTCTATTGAAGATGTACATTCTTATAGAAGTACAGAAGAGATATATTACTATCAATCAAAAAGTATTCATCTGCTAATAAGAGAAGAGCTCTCGTTACTATCGCATGTACTATCCATCTATCCCCCCCATATGTAGCAGCAGAAATAACGATTATCTTCCAAACATCTCAGATATCATCTCTCAACATATGTTCAAAGGAAAACGGTTTCTTTTTCATAGCTATATACAAAAACAAAAGTAAAACAAAAACAAAAGTAAAAACCTTCTATGAGTCATGGTTGAAAAACTCCACATGTTGAATACACAATAAGTGTAAGGATCCCGCCATCTGTCAAGCTCCAAGATGTAAATGCCGATGAAAAACCCCGTCCCATGCCCCGGTGGTTGAACCCGATGATTGTTGAATGGCATATTGTTAAAGACTCCTCGCGCTGCATCAAACACCAAACAAAAAGAGAAAAGAAGATTATACTTGACCCAACATCCACCATCTACTCACCCCTCTTCTCCAACCCATACCCCCCAATCCCATCCGCGGCCCCATAACTCTTCGCCTGCCCTGAGGACCCAGACCCAGCCTCCGAATTCGTCGGATTCCTCGGCCCCCTCGCCTTCAAATCCTCCTTCAACCACTTAAGCACCAACTCCCCCAATCGACTATTCTCCGACGTCCAATCCGGAACCTGATCATAAAACCCTTCCAGCGGTCCCCAAGCCCTAACTTTCCCCAAATGCATATGCACAAGATGCGTCGGCCACTGCGCAAGATTATCCAAAATATGCGTCGCGTAGACAATCGTACAAGGCCTGGATTCAGTCTCCCTCTTCAAAAAGGCCAAAAAGTTACTTCGAGAGAGTAGGTCCAGGTCGACGGTGATTTCGTCGAGGAGTAGCACTGTCCAGGGTCGTAACAGGCCCATTGCGAGTTGCACGCGGCGCCGTTCACCGTCCGAGACGGCGTGCATCCGCCAGGATAGGTCTATGTCGAGGATGGAGACTAGTTCGTCGCGGCGTGCGGGCCAGGCGTTTCCGCCTACGGAGGCGAGAAGGGTGGGCACGTCGATGTCTGTGCGGACGATGCTGTTTAGGACCCATTCTACGCCGAGGTAGGTTACGCCTTCGAGGGTGTCTTTGAAGGGGTCGACGCCGCCGACTGTTATGGTGTTTGTGGGGGCGAGGCGTTTGCCGGAGAGGAGGCGGAGGAGGGTGGTTTTGCCGGCGCCGTTTGCTGTGGGGAGGTAAGGTGTTAGTGAGGGGATTGGATTGGATTGGATTGGATTGGGAGGGAGGTGGGATGGGATAGAGGGAAGGATTGGAGGGGAAGGTTGTATGTACCGCCGATTAGCAGGGTTCGACTTCCTGCGGGCAGGTCGAGGTGAACATGTTCCAGGCCTTCGGATCCATCTTGGAATTTATAGGAGAGGTCTTTGACCGCGATTGAGGGGTCGTGGGTTGCCATAATGTTGGTGGGGAAGGTAGAAGGTAGAAGGTTGGAAGTCGAGTTGACTGATGTGGGAGGAATTGAATTGAATATAAGACAACTCAATCTCGACCTCGGGATATACCAAAGACCGAGAATAGAGAAACTCAGGAGAAAGTCCAAAGTGAGTCACAGCCTTGCGCCTTGTCGAGTACAAACCAAAGTAAAACTAACAAGGTAGTATCCCGTCCGAGTTTAAACTTGAATGTTAGCGCCGCTTCGCCTTTGCCATCACGGATGAGGTAATGCGCCGATAAGGCAACCCCGCGATAACAGTCACAGTCACTATTTTTTTGGTTTCCTACAACTCTTCAACCTGCAAAGACATAATGTGGAGATCGGCATGCTCGCAGCCCTTCGGTCTTTCACAACTAATCGAAGAGCAATTATGGATCCCCTCATAGCTGTCGTTGGTGCTACGGGGACTGGCAAGTCTAAGGTAATAAAGCATTCCGACCACCCTGCGACACCCGACACCCACCAAGCTACCTAGCTAGCTACCACCCCTCTCAATTCCAATTCCAATTTCAGTGCCTGTTGCTAACAACTACAGCCAGCTCGCCGTAGACCTAGCCGCCCGCTTCAACGGCGAAATCATCAATGGCGACGCAATGCAAATGTACCGCGGCCTCCCAATAATAACCAACCAAATCCCCCTCGCCGAACGCAAGAACATCCCACACCACCTACTTAGCTGTGTGGACCTGGAAGCCGAGGCGTGGCGAATCAGTCATTTCAAGAAAGAAGCTCTCCGTCTTATTACGGACATTCGGAGTCGTGGGAAATTGCCCATTCTTGTTGGCGGGACGCATTATTATACCCAGGCTGTGCTGTTTAGGGATCAGTTAGTTGGGGAGGGTTCTGATGCTGAATGTGAAGGGGAGGATGGTGGGGAGGGGGATGTGGAATTACCCTCTACGTCTATGGCTGCGTCGAACTCTACGGCTGCGAGTACGTCTACGTCTGAGAAGTGGCCGATCCTTGATTCATCACCCGAAGTCCTGATGGAAAAGCTCCGGGAAGTCGATCCCGTTATGGCAGCGCGATGGCATCCAAAGGATACGCGGAAGATACGCCGGTCATTGGAGATTTATTTCCAGACCGGACGGCCTGCATCGGAGATTTATGCTGAGCAGCAGATTCAGAAAGCGAAAGCTGTTTCGCAATCGGAGGGATTACTGCGGTTTGAGAATACTCTCATCTTCTGGGTCCACGCCGAGAAGGAAATTCTCAATGCACGCCTCGACGCGCGCGTGGACGATATGGTCCAGCAGGGCTTACTCGACGAAGCTGAGAGCATGTTCGAGTTCTTATCACGGAAAGAAGCAAAGGGGATCCCCGTTGATCTTACACGTGGTGTATGGGTGTCTATTGGGTTCAAGGAACTAGCGCCATATTTCACGGCGCGTCGGGAAGGGACCCTGAGTCAAGAAGAACTTGATTCTTTACGAGGCCGCTGCATCGAGTCTATTCGAACCGCGACACGGCAATACGGCGGATCCCAGGTGAAATGGATCCGGAATAAATTATGGCGGGCCCTCGCTGAAACAGACATGACGGGACGATTATATCTGCTCGATAGCAGCGATGTCAGTCAATGGGCCGGGTGTATCACGGAACCCTCGGAGAAGATTGTCCAGTCTATGTTGGCGAGTGAAGCCACGCCTGATCCGAAGAGTCTTTCCTTGTTGGCGAAGACGGTGCTCGGTGCGAAGGAGGAACAGGCGCAGGCGCAGCCTGGCTCGGCGATGACAAGTTTTACGTGTGATGTTTGTGGGAAGACTGTTGTTGGTGATGAGCAGTGGGAGATTCATCTTAAGAGTTATAGTCATAAGAGGGGTGTTAAGTCTGCGGCGAGGAAGGCTGAGAGGGATGCTTATTTTAAGAAGAAGAAGGAGGAGGAGAAGAAAGGGGAGGAAAAAGTGGATGTTGATTCTCAGGAGAAGGTGGATGCATAGGTTAGGGTTAGGTTATTAGTACATCTTGCATTAAAATATCATATTCATACATCTCATCTATAAAATCAGACACTACACTAAACACCATCCATTGTACAATCATTCCCAACAAGACTCTCTCGCCACGTCTTAAACGCAGAAGAAAGAATATCACCATGCCCCGACTCCTCAACCTTATAAACCTGAATAACATGAGATTTTTCCAACTTGCGTATCCTCCAAACTCCATCGCCCTGAATGACCTGTTTCAGCCCTGCAAGAAGGGAAAAAAGAAAGAAAGCATTAGCCAAAGCCCATATCACCCAACACCAAACTCCTTCAAATCTTATCTCAAAAGTACCTCGGTGGTAGGTTAGACTTACACTCCATAAACTCCGCCGCAAAATTAATACAAATATTCCCATCCCAAGTCCCCCTCCCGACCTTCTTAACTTTCCCAGGAATACTAGCCGTCTCAAGTTCTTCCAGACGATGCACGATACCCTGTTGATCGCGGAATCCGACAATAATCTTCGGAACACCGAGTAAGAACGACTGGGCCCAGAATTTGAGTAGTTTGCGCTCGTATTTGATCATGTCGCGATCGCTGCGGATTTCGGCGGAGGTTTTGAGTTCGACCCAGTTGATGGGGTCGTCTTTGCGGTCTGGTTTGCAGTCCCATACTAAGGGAGAAAGGGAAGAGTTAGTATTGCGCGCTGATAGGCAGAGAGGGGGAGGGATATAAGGGAAGTATGTGGACTTGGGGGGAGGGGAGAGACGTACCGGCATCGACTTCGCCACCGAGTACCATGCGCACATTTCCCATTCCTGTTTTGACGACTGAGCAGTACTGGGCGCTATTATTGACGACTTCGTTTTGTCTGCCTTCGATTTCGGCGCGGGTGCATTCGTCCCATGTTTTGTGGAGGACGGATAGGACTTCGAATTTGTAGCCTGTGAAAGGAGTTAGCAAGATAACCATTTCCCATATATCATGTAGAGTGGTTGGAAGGGATTAGATCATACCCCAGTACATCATCAATTCTTGGGATGCCATCCCCGGGGGCATCCTTTGGTTCTTTTGGAGTTCTTTTTGGCGGTTTTTGTACGTGTTGTTTTCTTCGATGAATCTGGGGGGTTGCCATGTTAATATTGTGTATGGGAGGCTGGAGATGATATGATACGCACATTGTGCCCTGGTCAATGTTAGTTTGATGTTTTGATGCTGTTGGGGCGAGGATTGTATCTTACCTGGTAACACGTTGCATTCATCTCGAAGCTGTAGTAGATGAAACCATATCAGCTCGACAATTCTAATTCCCATTCGAGGATAATTACCTACCCATTCATCATATCAAACGGAGCAGTCAAAATCTAGATATCACAGTCAGCGTATATTCCAGAATCCATTGAAACCATCAACATTGCAGCCATGCTACAAACCTTGGTCATCATCCCCCGCCACGTCACAATATCAGTCTCACATTTCTTCCCCGTCTCTTTCTCCATCGCTACAATAGTATCAAGTAGCGCGTCCAAATGTTCATCCGCAGCATCATTCAGTTTCTGAAACGTGTCAAACCCAATATTTAGATCTGCGGGGAGACTTGGCGGGTAGTAATATGCGATTGATGAATCGCCTAGAGAGAAGCGGCGTTGCTGATCATAGGAGAAGCATGCGATTTCCTATATTTGGTTTATTAGAATTGGCTATTATTTGGGGGGATGAGGGGATGGATGGATGGCTGGTCTCTTCTGGATCTCACCTTGGGACGTCGGATAGTGGTATTTGAACCGCCGAAGCGGTTCACGGGTTGGATGTCGAAGGCTGCTTCATTCATGGTGGTGGTATTGAAGGATAGGGATCAATTGCGGATTCCAGGCGCAATGGGGATGCGTTGGCCTTCGGTACTGAGATTGAAATGACGGTTGACAAGCAGGTGCCAGAGAGCCTTAAGCGAAGCTATGAAAGGGAGCTCGGCGGGCTTTCTCAACGGTGAGTCTGAGCTTGATGATGCGCCAATATCAGCGTCCCTGGCTTAGGCCAGCTCTGGCGTGTGAGCTGGAAAGATGTCGCGCTGTCCAGGCGTGTGTCGCAAGATTTTGAGACTGGGTGTAGCTGCACTTTTCCAGGATGCCAATGCAAGCGAAAAGGAATAACCTCCGTTATTGACGTCGAGCTTATTCGTTCAAGATCAAGTCTCCCCGGATGCGAGCGCAAACAGCTCCCCGTAGCTGCTTCTCGGGGAAAAAGGCCCGAGCGATTGGCCGATTGGAACTGCGGTTCCCCACCAACTTTGTCCCTTTGCACGGCCCCGCGGATCTCTCTTCATCATCATCAACAAGCTTGGGTTCTGCTTTCAAGAACACTTGCCCACTTCGATAATTCTTGTCTAGGAATCCTCATCGGGCTTGACAATGACTTCCCGTATTGACAAGACCATCGCCCGCCAGCGAGAAAAGTACGTTCCATCGCCCAACCTACCCATGAAACAAGAACAGGCCAACAAGCGCTACCGCCCAAGACTATTTCCATACTGACTCTCTTCTTTCTCTAATGATAGGATCGAGGCGGGTTCTTACTACGAGGCTCACCAGCAACTACGTGTCATTGCTGCGCGCTACATCAAGCAGTCCAACTACGATGCTGCCGCGGAGCTGCTCGCGGGCGGGGCCACGGCTTTGTTAAGGGCTGGTTCGCAGCAGGGTGCTTCGGCGAGTGGTGGTGATTTGGCGATTATGTTGGTTGTGGATGTTTACAATAAGGCTGAGTGGGAGATCCAAGGTGGTGATAATGATACAGAGGGTCGGGCGCGCAAGAGTGAGTTTGATGATTCATCTTCGGTCGCTGGGGTGATTTGGGTTGAACTAAAGCTGATATGAATAGAGCGTCTTATTGAGCTTCTGCGGGAGTTCCCCTCTGAAGAGCCCACGAGGAAGCGCTATATTCAGGAGATGATTGGGTGGAGTGGAAAGTATGGTCCTTTGGAGCGTGGAGATCCTGAGCTGCACCATGCCGTTGGCTCGGTTTATGCGGAAGGTTAGTGAAACTAACGATGGCTGGTGGTACGTGGATGCTGCTATTGATAAGATTCTAACTCGGGGATACAGATAACGAGCCGTACGATGCCGAGAGACACCTCGTACTGGGAACATCCGAATCCGCAGAGACACTGGCCAGACTCGAGTACGAGTGGTATACGCACGACGAACCACACACAGCTGCCCTGTACGCCTCTCGCGCCGTCTTCCCCTACCTCCTGACCGGCAACATCCGCAGCGCAAACAAGGCCCTCCTCATCTTCACCTCGCGTCTCTCAACTGCAAACCCTGCCCTCGGTGTGCAGGATGTAAGCAGCTCCAGCTCTGATACCCGCCTGTACCCCGCGCTCCCGCTGCTGAACTTCCTCAGCTTGCTGATGCTTACGATTCAGCGGGCTAGTGCGGATCTGTTCAAGCAGTTGACCGCGCACTATGCGGCGCAGATCCGGGAGGTGGGTATTTGGGATGATTTCCTGGCGCAGATTGGCGAGCAGTACTTTAGCATCAAGATTCCCCGTCAAGGGAATCCCTTGTTGGATATGATGGGTAGCATGTTCTTCGGTGGTGGCCAGGGTGGCCAGGGTCAGGGTCAGGCTGGTGGGAGATCCACGAAGAAGGTCGAGGCTCCTCCTTCAAACATGGAGCTTGACTAGATGGTGACAGAGAAGCTAGAAGCTAGAAGCTAGAAGCTAGAAGCTCGAGGAGCTTGAAGCCTTTCCCAGGTAGTGGACATACCCAATTGACGGTGTAATGACTTGAACAATGGTATCACAGCGTGTAAATCAAAAAATAATCTAGAATCGCGTGTCTCTCTCTGGTTCAAACATCCAATTATCGCCGTCCAAGGAGGCGACTTTCTTGCGTAGGCTTTGGTGGACGATATTCAAGATTTCTGCCATCAACGAGAGTCAATAACCTCACATCCAACTTCCCTCAGACTATCTTGACAAGGAATTGCAAACTCACCATCAGGCTCCCCACTAGACTGACGATTCCGATGCCGAATAACCATCTCAACCAACGCAGCCTCAAATTCTACATCACAAACAGCATTAGCACAGACCAGACCTCCCAAATTCGACATCAACTTCAACATCAACCATCCCCAAGCAAAGGTAAGCCTACTCTCTTTATCCCTCCCACTCAACTCCGCATCCAACATACTACTCTCCCCACCCTCCTCAACCTCCAACTCCCCCAACTCCTCCCCATCCTCACCAATCAACGCCGCCGGCAACGCAGGAACATCCAACTTGTACCCGCCATTCTTATCCCGGACTACAATCTCTCTGTTCTCGGAGATTTTGATCGGCCGGGATAGCTCTGTGGATGTGGATGTAGGTTTGAGGCGGTGTTGTGCGGGGCGGGTTAAGAGCGCGTTTTTACCGTTGGTATTGGCGCTGGCGCTGGCGCTGTTGTTGGTGGTGAGGTTGTTTTGGCCTGGGCCTGGTGGGATGCTTATGCCCGGGCCTGGACCTGGTGCGAGAGTGCTGTTTGGGGGTCCGGTTGACGCGGGGCGCCGGCTTAGGGTTTGCTGGAAGAGGTTGCGCCGGACGGAGGATTGGGATATGTTTGGCATGTTGGTAGTATGCGAAAGCGGGTCTAGGGATTGCGGTGATGATGTCGTCGTTAGTGAAGCGGAGCTTGTAGCTTGTTTGTTTGTCGGAGAAGCGGAGACGCGCGTAGGACGTGGCGGGTCCGTCAAACGAGTGGATAGACTCGATTAGTGGGGTCAAGTATCAAGGAGTGTTGAGGGCAAAGAGAGTCTTGAAGTGTCGACTGGACACTGTGTGGGTGGTAAGGATAGGCTTGTAGGTTGGTGAGGTTGTGGTGAGGGTTGATTATTGAGGGGGTGAGGTAGAATACGCCGCGAACGGAAGTTGATAATGGGTGACGCGCTAATAGTGGGATTGACTTTAGATACTACAATATTGTTCTAAGTATTAGGCTTGGATTTATGTGCATTATGTCTTCTACTTAAGTAGCTCTTTCTAGTAATTTTGATCTTTTTATTTTTTCATAACAATCTGTATGAGTTCTGTTAAGGTTGTGAGAGCTTGTTTAGCTTTATACTACTTTCCTTAAGGCTTTGCTTCTCAGTTAATTAGATAGAAATTTGTATAGAACAAGACTAATACTACGAATAAGAAAGATAATTCACTTCTCATGTACTCTACTATGTACTGTCTCTCAGACAATTCGATCTACTCTAAATTGGCCAATCTTATCTCTTATCGGCTTATCGCAAAACGCGTCTCACTTTCGCGTCTCTCCATCACCGCTTTCTTCCCCCACGAAGTTACAAGCTCCGATCATCATCTCAAACTCCAACCACCCTCCTCCACAATGGTGCAAGCTGAATCCTCCAAGACTGCCGAGCGCAATGGCCTCCGGGCTGTTACAGCTGGTGCTCCTGTAGACTATGAACTCCCCTGGTCAGTGCCATTTCCCATGGATGTAGCAGAGACACCGAGCTGACTTTTTACTCTCGTACCCCCCGCTACAGGGTTGAAAAGTACCGTCCCATCTTCCTCGATGACATTGTTGGTAACACAGAGACGGTGGAACGGTTGAAGATTATTGCCAAGGATGGTAATATGCCTCACGTTATTATTTCGGGCATGCCGGGTATTGGAAAGACGACCTCAATTCTGTGTTTGGCGAGGCAATTACTCGGGGATGCATACAAGGAGGCTGTGCTGGAGTTGAATGCTAGTGATGAGCGAGGTGAGATTGGGTTGATTTTCTGGGAATGAAGCTGAGATTATTGGGTGATGCTGATTGCTATCTACTGTACAGGTATCGACGTGGTCCGCAACCGAATCAAGGGTTTCGCCCAGAAGAAGGTCACTTTGCCCCCGGGCAAGCATAAGCTGGTCATCCTCGATGAAGCAGATAGGTAAGACATGACGCAGACCTGATTTGGTTTAAAGCCCTTACTCACGGGTCTTTCAGTATGACCCCCGGCGCCCAACAAGCCCTCCGCCGAACAATGGAAATCTACTCTACCACAACCCGTTTCGCCTTTGCCTGCAACCAATCGAACAAAATCATCGAACCCTTGCAATCCCGTTGCGCTATCCTCCGCTACGCCCGCTTGACAGACGCCCAGGTCGTTAAGCGAGTGATGCAGATCTGCGAGGCGGAAAAGGTTCAACACTCGGAGGATGGCATTGCCGCCCTGGTCTTCAGTGCCGAGGGTGATATGCGTCAGGCGATTAATAATCTGCAGAGTACTTGGTCGGGCTTTGGCTTTGTGAGCGGTGACAATGTCTTCCGTGTGGTGGATAGTCCGCACCCGGTTAAGGTGCAGGCTATGATCAAGGCTTGTTGGGAGGGGAAGGTGGATGCGGCGTTGGAGATTTTGAATGACCTTTGGTGAGACATACTCGGTCTACTCGGTCTTGGTATCTCGATGTTGACGGTTGGCTAATTTTGGATTCTAGGACGCTGGGATATTCCTCGCATGATATTATCAGTACCATGTTCCGGGTGACAAAGACTATTCCTACGCTCTCGGAGCATTCCAAGTTGGAGTTTATCAAGGAGATTGGATTCACACACATGCGTATCTTGGACGGAGTGCAGTCGCTGCTGCAATTGAGTGGTTGTGTCTCGAAACTCTGCAAGATTAACATGAAGCCGGAGCTGTTCCAGCCGCCCAAGGCTTGAGTGAAACAACTTGATATTCCGCAGCATATTCCCCATGGCGTTGAGGGTGTTTTAAAAACTCAATGATGAATGATATTCTTCTTCTCTTTCCAGCTCTCAAGCATATACTCTCTGCCCAGTATATCCAATTCCTTCACTCTTCCTTCCCACCATACTTTCCCTCTTCATACTCCTTCCAAACCCGTTCAATCACACTCGCCGCTCCCAAAACCTTCTCCTCCTCAAGTTTCCTCCCAATAATCTGCACATTCACTGGATACCCATCCACAGCATCAACATCCCACAGCTTCCAATTCCACTCATCCAACTCATTCCTCGGCACATACTTCTCCCCTCCATCTCCCAGCTCAACCGCATCAACCTCCCTCCTAACCCGATCCACCGGCATCGTCAACGCAGTATAATCCAAAAAATTTCCAAATCTTGGTATACCCCACCCACTTGAACGTGCGGTGCGGGATCCCAGTATGCGGCATCGCCGGCGCCAAGAGTACATCCACCTCTCTTCCCGACGAAGATTTGGTTTTATTCCATTTATCCAAATACCGCTTTTGCACAGACTGTTTCCGCTTATTCAGCTGCCAATACTCATACACACTAATCGGTTTTCCCCGATTCACCAACGCCTCCACATGCGGCAGATACGGTTCCCCGCCAACAGCCATATCACGACGGATATCCTCGCCGCCGTCCACGGTGTAAAAGGCGTCCATTATTTCGATGCAGCCCGCGTGATCGGATGTATCCCAGGGGATGAGTTCGTGACCTTGGGCTGCTAGTGCTGTAGAGAGCTCGGTGAGGGTCCGGGTTATGGGTGGGTGTGGGGTGACTATTCCGTCGTTGAGGATTAGGCCGATTACGAGGGGTTTGGATTGTGTCTTTTGGAAGATGGGTTCGTTCCAGGGGAGAGGGACGCAGCGTGGATCGAGGGTCCAGGGTTGGCTGGATGTTATGGTTTGCGTTATGTAGATTGTTGAGGAGAGGTCGCGGGTCATGGGGCCGATGGAGGAGGGGACGTGTTCTTGGCCGGATGTTGAGACGGGGACGCCTGAGTAGGGGAAGCGGCTGCTCTGGGGGGTTGTTAGTTTGATTTTATACTGGGGTGGTTGGTTTGTATGAGATGGTTGATTTGGGTAGAGGGCTTACACTTGGCTTTAAACCATATAGACCCGCGAAACTCTGTGGAATCCGTATACTCCCTCCAATATCTGTGCCAAAGCCGAGTATGGATCCATGGAGTGCTAGTAATGGACCTTCACCTCCTGTCGAGCCGCCTGGCGTGAAGGCAGGATTTCTGGCATTTGTGGTTAATCCCCAGAGAGGATTCTCGGTTTCTGCCCACTGGAAGAAAGAGTCAGCCTTAGATAGAACGCAGAGCGAAGTATTACCTCGCGACCCAGATCTAGAAAATAGCAAGCAATGGGATAAACACACCATAATACTCTGACAAAGATTCGTCTTCGCAATAACAATAGCACCCATATCCTTCAATATCTGCACCAGAACTGCATCTTCACTGGCAGGTTGAAAGGATCGTCCGACATATCCCAAAGTTGAATCCACGCCCTGGACGTTGAATTGATCTTTGAGTGTGATGGGGATGCCATGTAAAGGTCCTTTCAGCTTTTCAGTGTTGCTAAACTCGGCATCGAGATTTTGAGCTTGTTGTAGGGCTTCGTCGAATAGGACTTCCGTTAGGCAGTTTGTCTACAGTGTTTCTGTTTTTAGCTGGTGGTTCTAATAGAGGAGAATGGGAATTTCTTACCAACTGATGTGCTACCACGGCGCTGTAATTGAGAAGTAGTTCAAGTCGTGTTAGCTAACTATACTAATCCTGCCGTAGTCAAGGTTCCTTCTGGTTGTTGCTGTGGGGTCTTTGGCTTATCTTACCGTTTGATATACGCTTGAATAACTTGACGAGTAGTGAATTCACCCGTCTCTAGTCTTTTCAACAAGCTGGCAAGATCAAGGTCGGTGATTATTTGGACTTCGGGCTCATTCTCCAGTCGTGAACGGTGATCCACATTGTCTATGCGAGGGACTCGATGCTCAATGTCGACAAGGTATGGAGCTAGGAGTTTGTCCCTGATAGCACGTTTCTGGGAGACGATTTGCTCCCATGGTTGTTGGATTGTGCCCATAGTGAGGTGCTGAATATGGAGTGCCTTGAATAGGTACCTTGAATCTAAGGTTGAATATTAGATATTGGTAATCGGTTGTCTTTGCGGGTAAACTACCCCCTATATATGTGATCCGCAAGGGCGTGCCGTTATCGTTATATTGTTTACTCCAATACTTATTGCTCCAATCTTCGCTTGGCCAAAAGTGGGGGTAGTTGTTGACTATGCGGAGTTGGAGTAGTTGAGTATGGACTATGTACTTGCTAGTACATAGCAAGTTAGTTAAAGTTATCTCCAACGAAGTCATGTTGAATGTATCTTTCTGCTATGAATTTAGTACATTTTCTATCCTAACGCACTTTTTAATCCATTTCTATCCCTGTTACATCCACGTGCTAACTCCAAATCTCATTCGAACCACCATCATTCTCTCCCAACTCTAATTCCATTTGCGGTGACTGGTGAGAAGCGGGGAATCACCAGTGGACCCTCTTAACCTCCACTCAGCCACAACCACCACCAGCGCAGACCACCCCCCATTCTTCTCCCTCAAGAATCCAGTCCGAGACTGAAAATCTGAGATTGTGAATCTCCCAGCTTGATGGAGTGGAGGCGCCATGGATTCCACGAGCTCAGGGTCGCCGACGGCCAGTCCGACCGGTGCCATCCGCACACGCAACAAGTCCTCCTCCGGCTCGATCGCAAAGCGAGCTTGCGACCAATGCAAGTTCCGCAAGATCAAGGTATGTTAGAACCGATTCGTACCCGAAAAACCCGGCCCCCATCCGCGCCTTCGCGTCGCCCAGCCTGGCGCTGGCGCTAACGGAGGAGAATTGAAAAAGCACTAATGGTTTGCCAATAGTGTAGCTTATCGCAGCCCTGCAAGGCCTGTCAATCGATGGGCTTTGACTGCACTTTCCTTCAGCCGCAGAAGAAGCGCGGGCCAACCGGACAGTAAGTTGATATTGGAAAAAATCGCGCCACACGCCAGAATAGCAGAATAGCGTGCTGACTTCAAGCTTTCCTCGTAAAGTCGCGTCTCGCAAATTCGCCAGCAACAAACGCATATCGTCTCTCGCAGTCCACAGGAGACTCCTCCCATCGCTAAGCAGGAGCCCTTCCGGTATCATGGCCCAACCTCTGGCGTGGAACAGGGCCGGTCAGTCTCGATGCCCGGAGCATCATGGACGCCTACACAAGGACAAGTCACCATGTCGATGGAGGGAGCGGCTGGTCTTGCTTCCTCCGGCTCAGCAGCGAGTGTCGTAGACGCGTGGGCGGGCGAGACGGCATCCCTCGACTCACAAGGAAGTGTCGGCTGGAACGATCGTCCAGATGTGGAATATTGGTTGCCAGATAATTTGGGCGTGCAGGTCCCCGTCTTTGAATTCCCCGGCAGCAACATCTACCTCAAACCTTCTCTCCCATCCATTATACAACCCGTGCCTGATGTATCGACCATCAGCCTACCCCCGGCGGAGCACACGGGAATGACATATTCCCCGGCCGTGGGGTCGATACAATCCTCGGACAGTCAGGAATCGGAAGGATTCTGGCCCAATTCGATCAACGAGGCGAACATGGTTCCCTGGCTGGACGTCTACTTTGACCGTCTTCATCCTACGGTCCCAGTTTTGAGTCGGTCTTCCTTGTACACGCGGATGATGTGTCAGGAGCATCGCAAGAATACGCAATTCGGGGCAATGCTACTTTCCCTATGTGCATTCTCTCTAACACAACCTATCGAGATTAATGAGCGGGCCACGACCTCATCGCGGGCCACGCAGGCTCGACTGATGATGCACGAAGCTACCAAGATGCGGAGCTGTTGTGATTTTGGTGAAAACCCGACGATCGAGGCTGTTTTGACTAGTTTCTTCCTTTTTGGTTGCTTGTTTGGAAGCAATCAACATAATGCCGCGTGGTTGCGGCTGCGAGAAGCTCTCGACCTTGCGTCTACATTGGGACTGAATGATCCCGAGTCATATCAGGATTTACCCGGGGATGAGAAAGGCCAGCGATTGCGGACATATCTAGTATTGTCAATCACAGAGAGGTATGATCCGGCAGCAGTCAATTACCGATCAATGATTTCCATTCTAACCATCTTCCAGAGCATACGCATTGCAACGCCTCCACCCAGTCACATTCTCCGGCAAACCCGGATTCAGCATGCGCTCCGTCCACGACTTCCTCCACAACGCCACCCACAGTCTCGTCTCAGGAATCATCGTGCACAACGAAAAAGACGCCGAAGGCATGATGGGTCTAGCCCGATTAATGGAACTCTTCGACGCGATCGACGAAGATTTCATCCACTGCTGGAACCGGCGCTGCGATCTTCGAAACGGATATTGTCAACGCTTCACCGAAGAAAAGGCTCTGTCCATGTACGATAGTCTTGAGAAAGTCAGTCAAGCAGAGCGGTATACGGGGTATGACTGGTTTGAAAGGGCCAAGGTTGACGGTAATGATAATAATGCCCTTCTTGCTATGGGGTTGAGGGAAACACAGGCTGCGGATGTTTTCATTACGCAGAAGTGGGTGCAGAATCGGGTTTGGCTTTTGTGTTTGAATCATGGGTTGTTGAGGACGCAGTCTGATCGGCCTGAGTTGACGTTTGGATTTGCGGTTACTATTGCTGAATCGACGATTCAATTGTGTCGTTCGTTGAGGTTGAGTTCGATGGAAGCTCATGGGATTGGATTTGTAGGTGACCCTCGACACTTCACTTTGAGCCCCTTCACTTCCCTGTGGTTATTCCCCTTCTAACGACATCTTCCAGACCGAAAAATTATTCGACATCGCCGTCAGTGCAACAGATATCCTCTGCAAGGTCAACCCACCCTTCGGCACGGGGATAACCCCGCTAGGCAACTTTTCCGAATCCCTACCTACAACATCCACACCCCAGGTCATGGCGGAAGACTTCTTCTTACTGCTGAGCAGTTTCCGGGGCGGGAATCATCCGTTTGTGGATAAGTATCGAGCTCATTTGCGTGCGTTGCAGATCCCCGGGAATTGGGGGCCGAGTCAGGTCCAGAAGTCGGATACTGTGATGATTTGATGGGGACTGCTTTTGGTGAATGGTTTATTCTTGTTTGTAGGGTTCTGGCGTGGATTGGATTGTATCAATAGACCGGGCGGGATTGGGTTAGGTACTTTGTGTATATCTATGAAACACTAGGCTTTGTTTTGCCTTGGACTAATAGTCATCTCTATTTGTCTATGTAGATGTATATCGAGAAATGGGAACCTTATAAACCCTCTTCCTTAGACATGTCATCAATCATTACCCTATCACCGACCCTCTCTCACCAAGTCCAAGACCATCCCAAACCTCAGCCCTAACCAACACCACCGGTCCTTCATCAACAACTCCCCCATCCCCCCCCTTTCTCCTCAAAGAAACGTACCCCAACACACAACCCCTCCGAACGATAAACCCGCGTAGAAATAACAGTCCTCCCATTAACAAATACCTCCAGTACGGAATCATCGAAGAATGCGTGTATTTGGAGGGTTTCTTCTATTTGGATGTCTTTGTCGTTTAGAGTGGTGAAGAGCGTGTGTGGTGCGGATTCGTAGCCGTGGTTTATGTCTGGACTTCTGTTTTCGGGGGTTGGACGGTGGATTGTGAATGTTGATGTGCTTGGGGTGTAGGATAGGGTTGTGATTTTGGTGGGGTTTGAGTCTGGGGTTGTTAGTAGAGACAATTGGGATAAGTTGAAGGCTATGACTTACCTGTGGTATGTGCGATTTGAATACCAACCCGTCCGCATGATGAACCAACTGAGAACTCTGCTTCGAGTTCCCACCAATTTGAAGTCAAAGAAAGACTCTCGTCGGAGGTATCCCGGAGAGAAACAGGTAAATGCTCGTCTGGGAAGTATCTCCGTTCAGCTCCATCCCGTAAAAGACAAAGTCGAGGATCAGGTTTAATTCCCAGAGTGTGAATCGTGTATGTTTGCAGCTCGGATGGATGGTTATTAGGTATGGCCTCGATAGAAGTAATAGATTCCAGCTTTGAGTTGCGCGCTTTCGTGACATTTTTCAATGTTACCAGGTCTACCACCCGAGGAAGCGAAATCATCCCGCTCCATCCCTGGCGGTGACGGTGTTCATCTGGTAGATCTTCCTCCGTGATCCAACCGTATACGATACGTTGGGAGGTGAGGGGGTCCCAGAAGGAATTCGCGGCATATAAGCATCCGTGATCGAAGTATCCGCCGAATACATATCCAGCTAGGGCTTCGTTTTCGTTTTTGTGAAGGTTTGTAACGGTGTTCAGGGTTCGTGGTTTAATACACATCCACAGCTGAGACCGGGCTTGTCGATGTTGTTGTGCTGTACCGGGTGTTTCCCACAATGAGTCTTCAAAGCGAAGACATCCCTCCGCGCCCATGATTGCGAAATCCCGTGATACACCGTTATTGGATAGAGTCATTAGATTGCCAACTTCCCAGTTCACCCCAAAATCTCCCGACCAGCGGGAGGGATGGAAGTTCAGTCCCACGTCGACTAGGATGCCGGTATACGTCCATGAGCGGAGATCCGTCGGGTTGACGGTATAAACGAATATTGCGGGGGCTTTGCCGGTGATTCCACCGGCTACAATGCCGTGTAGAGGGTGTTGAGGACTGCCTGAGCTAGTAGTCTGTTCTTCCGGCCAGGTAGTTAGATGGGGATCTCTCCAGCCCGTCACTGGGAGATGTTCCGGGGGCCCTGCGAGGATCGGGTTACACTCCAAACGATCCCATGTCTTGCCGCCGTTATTGGAAACAGCTAGACTGAGAGATTCACAGCCGGTGATATAAGGTAGTGTATGATGCAGAGGCAGATGTCGGACAGAGGTGTACATGGCTGTTAACGAGCCGGGGTTTCCATAGATATCTGTAGCTTGTAGACAACCTGTGAAAATACCGCAGCGATCATACTCGGTCGATGGAGTCAAGGCTGGTGTTGGCGATACTTTCCATGAAACTAGGTTTGTGGATGTGGCATGGCCCCAGGACATGTTGCCCCAGTCGTTGCCGTGAGGATTCCATTGGAAGAAGAGGTGGTAGAGACCTGTGGTGGGGTCGTAACCTAGACCACAGGGGTCATTCATCCAGCCACTTGGGGCAGTGAGGTGGAACGATGGTTTTGAAGTAGCCAGATTTGAAGTCTTTTTACGATCGGGCTCTTGCGATGCTGTTGGGGCGTGCTTCTCTCGTAGTTTATGTCCAGAAGGATCCGGGGAGCTCAGTAGAACAGACATGGTTGGTCTGGGCGGAGCTTAGGCTAAAAGTCGTAGACCAGAGATATTGATGCGGTACTTCAATGTTGGGAATCGATATCATCCCTTGATATGTCGATTGCGAGTGACTAGTAAAGGCCGTGTTGCTGGCAGTCTTGGCGCTTATCCTGTTAGATCTTTGATCGTCACAGTGAGAACTGCATTAAGGAGTCTTCTCCTTGTTGACCACACCCACAGGGATATCTGATCTGATATAACTCCCAACCCAACAAGACCCGCACAGACTTTGACGGAGGTTTCCCCATTAAAACCGGGACAGCGTCGGAATCTCGCTCGGCACCATCGCCGTCCTGTCCGGAAGATCATCGGCGAAACTCCACCGCGTAAGTAGAGACGAAATGATTAGCGGACCCCCAGAGATGATCGACAGGTGGATTGATCAATTTGGGACATTTTGTTCCACATAGTTCAATCAAAAGACCTTTTTTTTTTCTTAACAGGATAATTCATTGCTCACTCTTGTTGGTTCAGAGAAATATGCACTTGGCTGAGAAACCTCGGAGAAACTCTAAGGCAACCTGACTAAACGGCAAACGAATGGAGGAAAAAAAAAGAAAAGAGTCTGGGGAACAAGAGTGGCCCCATCATCTTTGTTTAGCTTCTCCATGGGGAATCCACAAAATCCACCTACAGTTGCAGCATGGAAAGGAGGGTACTGAGTTGAGTTGAGTTGAGTTGAGCTCGACGAGCGTATACTAAGAACAGAACTCGCCATGCAGAGGCAGGCAGAGGCTCGTCTGCACCCGGTGGCTAAAAAAACTACATCTTGGGCGGGCTCCCTTCGAACGATGATGGCCATGACCGACAAACATGATTCTGAGTCTCCGGAGGTCGAGCATGTTGACGATTCGACTCAGGAGAAAGGTGCTGTGAATGCGCGCCTGGTCTTTGCTTGTATCGTGTTCGGTGCGGCGTCGTTTATGTTTGGATATGACGATAAACTCATTTCTCCTGTCGCAGCATTAACTGGATTCGTGAGTTAATTGCCCTTTCTTCAGGAGAGTTCTCTAGGATTGGATGGTTCGACTGACAAAGATGATATTCAGGTGGCCAAATTCCAAGGACCAAACCCAGCGACGGGCCGGTTAGTCCTCACAGCGCGAAATCAGAATTTGGTCTTTTCGTTACCCCTGGTGGGTGCTGTCCTCGGAGGCCTGCTAGCCTCACCATTGAACTTCCATTTTGGTCGCAAGTGGCCTTTAATCGCGGCGTATATTCTGTCTATCGGTGGTGGCCTGCTTCAAGTCTTTGCGCCGAATCTGGGGGCTTTTGTTGGTGGTCGGTCTATCAATGGGATCGCAATGGGGATCGCAATGGCAACGGCTCCTCTTTATTTATCAGAGGTGAGATACATATAGAAATCTATGAATGCATCTCTTTAATGGCGATATGCTAACTCGTCACAATAGGTCGTCCCAGCTTCAATGCGAGGCCGATCCGTCAGCTCCCTCAACATCCTCAACCTCACAGCCGGCGTAGCCAGCACGGTCATCGTATGGGGCACGCAAAAGCTCGGGGGACACTTATCATATCAAATTCCCCTCGCAGTCCAATCAGCCACCCCCATCATATTGATCCTACTCACACTCCCCCTCCCTGAAAGCCCCGAATGGCTCGTGGCAAAGGGAAACATCCCCCAAGCCCGGCATAACCTCCGCCAGCTACGCGGCTTCAGCGACAGCAAACTCGATTCCGAACTCCGGTTAATGGAACTATGCGAGAAAGAAGATCGCGAGATACGCGCACAAGTCAAATTCTGGCATATTTTCCAACGGAAACATCTCCGACGCACGCTCGTCGCTGGTTCATTCTATTCATTGAATCAGATATCGGGTGTTATCCTATCAACGACATATACAACTGTTTTCCTCACCGAATTAGGTATCGGCGACCCCTTTTCTTTGACTATCATCGCGTCTTGCTGTACATTGGCGGGTACAATCTTCGCACCATTCGTCCTCGACAGAGCCGGTCGTCGCCCAACAGCCTTCACCGGAATGATAATCCTCTTCCTAATCGATCTAATCGCCGGAATCCTCGCCTTTTACATAAAATCCAACAAAAACGCAACCCTAACCATCGCCGCTCTATCCTTCATCTTCAATTTCTTCTGGGCATCATCCTTCTACTCCCTCTCCGCTTTAATGCCGTCTGAAATCGCGACCCCGAAACTGCGCCACCATACTATGTCTTACACGATAGCTTGCCAGGAGGTTACGGCTGTGATTACGACGCTGGTTGTGCCGCAGTTGACTTCTGCGGATGCGGCGGGGTTGGGGGCTAAGACGTATCTTGTTTTTGCGGGGTGTATGGCGGGGATTATTGGGTTTGTTTATGGGTTTATGCCCGAGACGATGGGGAGGACTTTTGCGGAGATTGATGAGATGTATATGGCCAGGGTGCCGGCTTGGAGGTGGAGGTCTTATGTGACTTCGGTTGAGGCGAGGACTGGGGAGGGGGTGCCAGTGGGAGTGGAAGAGGGACAGGTTTTGGGGAAGAGGTGATTTGTATATAGCTGTATAATACCTTCTGTATAGATTTGTCTTGATTTTGGATCATGAGAATTTCGTATATCCAAAGTTGGGGACAAGCAACATATAGCCTCGAACAAACAGGACAGACGTCTCGTAGTAAGTAGGGTTCCATGATTCAACCGATAAACCTCAGTTCATACCCGGGCCATGAATAAAATGGTTAGGAACACGATTAGAAAGGTCTTCTGGAAAAGAGGCATGTTATCACTTCGGGTAGGAATATTTCCCTGTCCTCTAGGCGATATCAGACGAGATGTCTTAACAACCACTGTCCTCGGTGGCAGTAGTCACAACAGAGAACGAATACTCTCAGTAAGATACAAAATTAACATTATTCAAGTCTATATAACCCACCCACTCACCAGCTCATCAAGTGCATAAAGTAATAAGACAAAGTTCGAAAGTTCGAAAAAGAAGAAAATGCAATGCACAGGCCCAAAGCCACCGTCATCACTTCGTATGCCAATCGCAGGCTAACAGGGGAAAAGAAAAGGTCGATAAGTCAATCAAATCCAGTCCAATCCAACCTTATCGCATGCGATGCGCGAAAATAAAAGAGAGGACAGACACGCATAAAAGCTAAGTTGACCTCACACCCGAGTTTGTATATGCGTGGGTATCAAATCATAAAAACAAGATCAGACCAGACCAGACCAGACCGGCGACGCGGAAATAATACCGGCAAGTATTTGATAGTATATTAACCGGGTACGCAGGTCTCTACCGCGAGCGCCACTTCCAGAACTTCCAGCCCGAGATACCCGTCGACCCATCACGTTGGTAGATACGCCAGTAATAAACGGGAATACCCGTGATGATGAACGCCACCACGATAAGAGTCTGCAGGGGCTCTGCAATAACAGCCCGACTGAGAAGGAATAGACTAACGCAGCAGAAGATAATCGGCGTGGTGATCCATGTGCGATATGGTCGTTCGAGGTGTGGTTCTCGAATGCGTAGCACGATTAGACCTAGCACGGTGACGAAGTAGAATGTATACCCCGCGACGCCGTAGAAGGTTACCAGGGTGCCGAATTCGCCGACGGTGATGTAGATCATCGTCAAAGTGGCGTTGAATGCCATGGCGTTGATGGGTGTGAATCCCAGGCGGCATTGGTCGCCGAATATGCGGGACAGGAGTTTGCTTGCCCATGAGCGGTGGAGGAGACGGCTTGCGGCTGGGGTTGCGGGGGATGAGGAGTTACCTAGGCCGATGCGGCCGAAGAGTGAGGGGAGGTAGCCTTCTTTGGCGGAGGCGTAGACGAGTCGGCCGCTGGTGAAGGTGGTTGCATTTAAAGCTCCGAAGCAGCTGGCTCCGACGACGAGGGCGAGGATGAGAGCGCCGACGGGTCCGAATACTTTGCCGCCGAATTGGACGGCGATGGTGTTGCTTGCTTCGACGGTTTCGTGGGGGAGGACCAGGAAGTAGGAGACGTTAGCCATTAGGTAGCATAGAATGACCAGTGGCATGGCTGTGTGGATCACTCGTGGTAGATCTCGATTGGGATTTTTGAACTCGCCCGTGACATAGTTTGTCTGTAGAAGAAGTGTTAGCATGGAATATTCAGTAGATTCTCGCCTCGTTTCTTACATTATCCCAACCATCAAATGCCCAAAGCCCTGCATATAACGCCACAGCGAAATCTGAAATCTCGGTATTCGTACCCTCGAACCAGCCGTGGGTTTTCCATTCCTGGTTGGCATTTCCTTTTGACGAAAGACCCGTCACGGCAACCACAATACCGGTGATTGTAACACCCAGCAAGGCAACAAACTTGAAAAACATAAAGAGATCACCAATTCGAGTAGCAAACTTGGTGGAAATGCAGTTAAACAGGGTGACCGCCAACAGCCCTCCCAGCGCAACGCCCTTGTTGATCCAAGGATTCACCTGTTCCACATCGGCACCTACAAACGCACGCACGATATACTCGCCAAAGATAATCGAGATGATGGCCGCTGACCCGGGCTTCAAGACCAACACCGCGCACCACGTGAAGAGGAAACCCGGCAACTCTCCAAAGATCTTGGAAAGATAAACCTGCGCACCACCATTCAACGGAATGGCTCCTCCGAGCTCTGCATAGCTCGCAGCTCCAGTCCACGCCAACAAACCCGCCACAGCCCACACGATGAGCGCCGCACCAGGCGACCCCGCGTTCGCATTAACCTGGCTAGGCGAGGAGAAAATGCCCGATCCAATAATCAGTCCCACGATCAGCGACAAGCCATTCAAGTATGTCAATGACTTATTCCGTTCCAACGAGCCATCCGCGCCTTGTCTGTCCAGCGCGGACGGCGTTCCTAGCGGCGCGTATCCAGCCTGTGTTTGCGACAATGGGAACAAATTCCGGCCAAAGTCGAAAGCGGAGGAGATCGAGTAGGAGCGTATATTGCGCGAACGGCCTGATTCGAGGTAGACATCCCCTTCCTCGCCGGCGAGGGGATCTTCATCTTCGAGGGAGAGCTTGCGTGAGGAGGAGATTCCGTCGGGGGAGGATGAGCGTGAGGAACCTCCGACGGAGACGGGGGAGGAGGAAGCGAGTGAGGCGAGTTCTAGGGAGTCTCGAGGGGCGGCCAGGTTGCCATTTTGGGACTCGTGGGTGAATGCGCTATTCGACATCCTCCTTTGTCTTAATATTGTGGTCGTCAAATCCGAGGAGGGTCGTAGCACAACAGAGACAAAGCTCTCGAGGGGGAGTGGATGAGCAGTACGAGAGGAGGGTGTTGGTGTTAAGAGTAGTCGACTAAACTCTCCATCTCCTTGCACAAGTTACCAGAATAACAACCAGACAAAGAACAAAGAAGATGGAGGAGAGAAGAATGGAGTTCTCAGTGGTTTAGTCGAGACTTTGCCAAGGGGGTTCAAGTGCAGTTTAATTCCCGTTGATCATCCAATCGGCTTTCCGTCTGCCATTTCAATTTCCCCGCGGTTCAACTTCTCAATGCGCCCTTCATAACTTCTTCCACCGAGGGTTTCTCTCGTCTCTCGTCTCTCGTCTCTCCCCCAATGAAATCCTCCATACACATCTTGCGCTGCCGGTGCAGCAGCAGCTCTGGCTTGCGATCAACAGCCACTCGCTCTCACCGGTATGCCTCGACCTCTTCATCGTCAACATCAACCTCAACCTCATCGTCCACGACACCCTCAACCCCAACGCCAACCACATCCCCCAAACGAACCCGCTGGCTAGCAATCACCCTCGTAAGCATCGCTGCCGCCAGCGCAGGCGCCTACATCCGCACCCAAACCCCCTCCTCAGCAACCCTCAACACAGAAACCTTCACAAAATACAGCCTCGTCTCCCGGGTCCCCATCTCCGCAACAAGCAGCCTCTTCACCCTACGCCCGCGCTACCCCAGCTCCGACAACTACGATGTCTACGAAAACGCCTGGCGCACGGGGGTATGGAGCGTAATGTTCAAACAGCCCCAACTCCAAATCGGCCGAGACTATACGCCTCTGCCCACGACGGCGGCGACGTCGTTATCCGTTGACGAGGAGAATGAGGGATACTTGCGTTTCTTTATTCGAAAGGATCCGTTTGGGGAGGTCTCGAGGTATTTGCATACGTTGGAGGTTGGGGCGGATATTGAGATGCGTGGACCGCAGATTGAGTGTGAGATTCCGAAGGAGACGAGGGAGATTTTGTTTATTGCTGGTGGGACGGGGATTGCGCCTGCGTTGCAGGCGGGGTATTCGTTGTTGAATCGGACGACAACAACGAATCGGCCGAATATTCATATTATCTGGGCTAGTCGGTTGAGGGCAGATTGTGTGGGTGGTGTTAGTGATACGCCGAAGGTTGAAGCGAGCCCGTCAAGTCGATCGTGGTTTTCTGGGTGGTTTGGTTCGTCGTCTAGCAGCAAGGCTCATGTCGAGAGTGTTGCTCTGACATCTCAGGGCCAGGAATCATCCCTGATTGTGCGGGAATTGGAGGCGCTCAAGTCGCAATATCCCGGGCAGATTACGGTGGATTATTACCTGGATGAAGAGAATCGGTTCATTGGCAAGAATGATCTGGCCGAGTTTATCAAGCCGAGCAAGTCGGTTGCGGGCCCGCAGAATCGAAAGCTGATTCTGGTGTCTGGTCCCGAGGGCTTCATCAGTTACATGGCTGGACCCAAAGTGTGGGCTCAAGGGACGGAACTCCAGGGTCCGTTGAAGGGCATCATTAAGGAGTTGGATCCTAAGGGTTGGGCTGTATGGAAACTGTGAGCTAGTTTCTTGCAGTTCATCTTTCCTTTTGAAAGTCATTTGTATCATATTATATTTTTGGGGGTAGCACATATAGCATATACCATGGAGTTATGTTGAATAGTTGCAACAGTCCCGGACCAGTCTTTGTCGTCCGCATTCCCAATACCATACCCACTCAAGCTATATAAAACAACAATAAGAAAATGCTCCAGGTTGAATTTTGTTTTCGCTAGACCAGACACTCTACTGCCTCCAGGGCAGCTTGCGGCTTGCAGCTTACTGAGTCGAAGCAAAGTCCTCAAGGTACTGCACCAGCTTCTGGACATTCTCCAACGGCACAGCGTTGTAGTTGCTCGCACGCATACCACCAACACTGCGGTGGCCCTTGAGACCCTGAAGAAGACGCTTCTCAGCACCGGCAATGAACTCCTTCTCCTTCGCATCGTCACCACCGCAGACACGGAAGCAAATGTTCATGCGGCTGCGGACGCTCTTGTCAGGAACGACCCGGTACACTTGGGGGTACTTGTCCAAAGCGCCGTAGATGAGGTTCGACTTTTGGTCGGCAATCTGCTCCTGGCCGCTGACTTTTTGAGCACCGAAGACACCCATCAGATCGGCCATGACCTTGCCGGCAACCCAGAGGTTGAAGATGGGGAGGGTGTTGTAGAGAGAGTTGTTCTTGGCGATGGTGGCGTAGTCGAGGACGACGGGGCCGGGCAGACCACCAATGTTCAACCGGTGCAGGAGAGCAGCGGGGGGAGTCGCGGTCTGAGGGGGGGAGAAGGTCCTTGCGGACGATTGCGATGGTGATACCGGTGACACCGATGTTCTTCTGGGCGCCGCCCTATAAGTGGTTGTTAGTTTTGTAGGTTCAACAACACTTCTTTCTTGGTAACGTACGAAGATAACAGCATATTTGCTGACATCAACCTTCCGGCTGATAAAGTTGGAGCTCATATCAGCCACAACAAGACGCTCATCCTCAGCATCCTGGCCCTGAGCCTCCAGAACCTTGGGGAAGCTCTGGAACTCCACACCATCCACAGTCTCATTATCGCAAAAGTACACAAACGCAGAGCCCTTGCCACCCTCGGCCTTAGTCGGAGTCAACGACCAAGTATCCTCAGCAGGGATAGTACCAAACTTGCCACCATTGGCCTTGCGAGCGTCCAAAGCAACATTGACATATTTAGAACCGACCAACCGAGCCGCCTCCTGCGAAGCCTTGAGCGACCACGATCCCGTCACGAGGTAATCAAGCTTGAGCTCCTCATCAACCTCCTTCTGCAGTCTCTGGAAGACCAATTCGTCAACCTGCGCCTTCTCAGCGTCCGGGTTGGCCTTGACAACATCGGCCTCAGCTCTGCGGCGACGACGCTCGATCCAAACGGGGACGAGGTTCTGCACGACAGCGCTGAATTCGCCACTGCCACCGGCTTGCATGAACAGGATCTCATAGTTATCCGGGATATCGAGGAGCGCGGACAGGTTTGCCTTGGCGTCATCGAGAATCTTGTTCGCGGTGGGAGAGCGGTGCGAGATCTCACCGAGGCCGAGACCGGAGTCGTTGAAGTTGACGAAGGCCTGGCCGGCGGCTTCGACGACGGGAGTGGGCAGGGGAGCTGGACCAGCTCCAAAGTAGGAGACTTCTTGCCGGGAGGGCATTTTGTGGTTGTTATTGGGGGGTGGGTTGGTGAGAGAGAGAGAGAGAGGGTATACAAGAAAGAAGAGAAGAGGGAAGGCAGTGGGGAGAGAATAAGAGTCATAGGTGGACCGGTGCCCGCAAGTGGATCAATCAATCTTGCAGGCAGGTGGGAGTCATCGTGTTTAGTCAATTTAGATCTACGTCAAATTAAAAGCTAGGCTGTTTTTTGTCTATGAAAAGATTCACCCAATTGTTCTTTGAAAGGCCCAATGGGCTGCATTGTTGCCAATTCTGGCGGCTATGGCGGGGTAAAAAGTCTAGTTTGCGCGGGGAGAGTTCAAACTTGCAGATGCGGAGGTCCAAGGATGGTCTCATTGCTGGAAAAATGGGGAAGAGATGTAGATTTAGTATTTTGCTGTTAAGGATATAGCCAATTCAGCTTAGTCTTGTTCTTTTGCAACTGCGGTGCTCTCTCGATTGTTTTTTTCCCCTTAGATTAGAATGGTGGGGCTGATCTGCGTTGTCTAAATGTACGGACATACTACGGTATACTCCGGGATTTCTATTGAGTACAGTTGATTCCTAGATCTTTATGTTCCTTTGAGACTGTAAGGTCTAGTGTCTAGACAATGATTGAATAGCCCTGTGATTCGATTCTCTCGTTAGTATTCAATGCTCATGAAAGCGGCGAATCTGGACTGCGGCATACTTAATTCTATGTAGGCTTTGCCATTGCCCAGACTGGAAAACATGAGCAGATGCTATAATTGAAGTAAGAGAACGGATACCCGCAGTCTCGAGGTATGTATCTAGAGTATGACATTAGATTCAACATTTATCTTCCTTCATATTAGCATTGTCTGTTTATAATGTTGCTTTGGTGTCCATTTTACTGCGGACGAGCTATTCGTACATCACATCTTCCTTGATTAGTAAAATACCCACCATAGCTTCAAACAGTTGACGTAAACTCGCAACCTTGGAGTCATTCAGTCTGACAGCATCCCATCATTAATTATCCGAATTCTATTCAAAGAAGAACAATGTTATACATACTGTAGTGAGAATCCATCCGACATCGGCAGAATATATTCAGTCACGTGCTCTATGATGTGCTGTGTTTGTCCTGTTTGTCTTGTGATCTCTTCATCTCCAGCCAATCAGAGTGACGATGAGTCACCAGTTCAAATCCCCGGCCGCTCATTTGCCGAAAGCCGGGGAAATTCATTTTCTTGACTTTGTTCCTGTCTTCCAGACTATGCACAAGGGCATCATGACTGTAAGTGCTCAATTGATTTATTCAATTGAACTTGCTACTCATACTAACTCCCCCTCTCATGCAGTCCCGATTAATGCCGTCGGGCCGCCAGGCCATGCGCAGCCCCTTCCGATCTTTGCGCCGAACCTTTGCGACCTCCCGAGTGTTCCTCCAGACCTTCAATTCCCAGCAGGGCTTCCACTCCCAGCTCGAGACCGTCACTCCCGAGGTTCTGTCTTCATTGGCTTCCAAGGCTGTGCCGCAGACCTTGACCGAAAAGATTGTGCAGAAATACTCTGTCGGTCTTGCTAAGGACAAGTTTGTTCAGTCTGGCGACTATGTCACGATCTCTCCCCATCGCTGCATGACACACGACAACTCATGGCCCGTCGCTTTGAAGTTTATGTCCATTGGTGCTTCCAAGATTCATAACCCCGACCAGATTGTTATGACTTTGGATCATGACGTGCAAAACAAGACCGAGAAGAACCTCCAGAAGTATCAGCAGATCGAGGACTTTGCGAAGCTCCACGGTGTTGAGTTCTATCCCGCTGGGTATGCTACACTATTGATGTTTGGTGTTATCGGTTGCTAATTCTACATTGCTAGACGTGGTATTGGTCACCAGATCATGGCTGAAGAGGGTTTGGCTTGGCCTGGAACTCTTTGTGTTGCTTCGGATTCTCACAGCAACCACTACGGTGCGCTTGCTTGCTTGGTAAATACATCTCATCTCCCTGTGGTATAGTACTAGGAAATACTAACTGATCAGGGAACACCAATCGTCCGAACCGATGCAGCTAGCGTGTGGAGCACTGGACAGACCTGGTGGCAGGTGCCTTCAATCGCCAAGATCACCCTCACTGGTGTCCTCCCCGCCGGTGTCACTGGCAAGGACGTGATCGTCGCGCTGTGCGGTCTCTTCGACAAGGACGACGTTCTGAACCACGCTCTCGAGTTCGCTGGTTCCGAGGAGACGATGCGCAGTCTGCCTATCGATAGCCGTATGACTATTGCTAACATGACTACCGAATGGGGTGCCCTGTCTGGTCTCTTCCCCATGGATGACGTGCTCAAGGGTTGGATGAAGGGCAAGGCTACTACCGCCGCAATGGGCCTGGCTGATGGTCCCTTCAAGACCACCGCCGCCCAGCGTTTCACCCACGAGGCTATCGAGGAGCTCTTCGCTAACCCTCTGACTGCGGACAAGGGTGCCAAGTACGCCAAGGAGCTGTTCCTGGACCTGTCCTCCTTGTCTCCTTACGTCGCCGGCCCGAACTCGGTCAAGGTCGCAACTCCTCTGAGCGAGCTGGAGGCTGCTGATATCAAGGTGAACAAGGCCTACCTGGTTTCTTGCACTAACTCGCGTGCTTCTGATATTGCCGCTGCTGCGCGTGTGTTCAAGGAGGCCGCTGAGAAGAACGGTGGACAGATCCCCAAGATTGCCGAGGGTGTTCAATTCTACATTGCTGCTGCCTCCATCCCCGAGCAGCTTGCTGCCGAGGGTGCTGGTGACTGGCAGGTTCTGATTGATGCTGGCGCTACCGTTCTCCCCGCTGGCTGCGGTCCCTGCATTGGACTCGGTGCCGGTCTCCTCGAGCCCGGTGAGGTCGGTATCAGTGCTTCTAACCGTAACTTCAAGGGCCGCATGGGTTCCACCGATGCCAAGGCCTACCTGGGCTCTCCCGAGGTTGTGGCTGCCAGTGCTCTCAGCGGAAAGCTCTCCGGTCCTGGCTGGTACCAGACCCCCGAGGGCTGGACTGGTGTGAAGCGCGGCGAGGGTGATGGCATCGCCGAAGAGGAGCGTATGCTCACCACCGAGCAGGCCCTCGAGAAGCTCCTCGGCCAGATTGATGATCTGGTCGCCGACGGCGAGAAGAAGTTCGCTCCCGAGCCCACCGAGACCAAGGTTGAGGAGACTTCTTCTGAAGACTCCCTGACTGACGTCTACCCCGGCTTCCCCGAGCGCGTGTCCGGAGAGATTGTCTTCTGCGACGGAGACAACATCAACACCGATGGTATCTACCCCGGCAAATACACCTACCAGGACAACGTCCCCGTCGAGACCATGGCTCAGGTCTGCATGTCAAACTACGACACCGAGTTCTCCACCATCGCCAAGGCCGGTGACATCCTCGTCACAGGCTACAACTTCGGCTGCGGTTCCTCGCGCGAGCAAGCCGCCACCGCCATCCTTGCCAAGGAAATCCCCCTCGTCGTCGCCGGTAGCTTCGGCAACATCTTCTCCCGCAACAGTATCAACAACGCCCTGATGGGCCTGGAAGTGCCCCGTCTCCTCACCCGCCTCCGCGAGACCTTCGCCGATAGCGAGGGCAAGGCTCTTACCCGCCGCACCGGCTGGACTTTAACCTGGGATGTCCGCCGCAGCCAGATCGAGGTCCAGGAGGGCCCCGATGGCGCTAAGTGGACTCACAAGGTCGGTGAGTTGCCTCCTAATGTGCAGGAGATTATTGCCAAGGGAGGTTTGGAGAAGTGGGTGAAGAACGCCATTGAGGCGTAATTGTCTGTGCGGAGGGAAAAAAAAGAAAACAAGTTGGCGTTTTTTTGACGTGATACCCGAGCTTTGGTTTATATAGATGCCGGCGCGGAGATGTTTAGCGAGATTTTTGATGTTTGATGTTTGAGTCTGTACAGTATATAAAAGCGTATAGTTCAATTGCATTGCATGTAAGATGTTATCCATAGATCTATTGATATGATGTGATTTGATTTGATTAGGGTAGAGAGGGAGTTGATTATTTACATTGTTCCAAACCCCCTAGGCATTTCGTAGCAAAGATGTATTAAGCATATAGATCATGATGCTATAGATAACCGATTGAATCATTCATCAACAACCTGCTTCTTCCAAGTCAAAAAAATCACATAAAACTCCTCCGTGTCAGACTCAACCTCAGCCTGACCAGCGCCAGCATCTCTCTCTTTCGCATCAAAAGCCCTCAAAACCGGAACTTGAGGCACCATCCCCACCCCCTTCTCAGCCGTAGAATCATCATCATTCTCAATATCATCATCCATCACCCTCCTCCCCTCACTAATCGACTGCCTCATCAAATCCCCCTCCTTAGCACCAACCCACGTCCAAGCACTCCGCGATTCTGGTTGCGCAACAAGATACACCGATTTCTCAGGTTGAAGGGGGAATTTCCAATTCAGTGCTTGGTCGATGATCGCGTCGAGTTGATCGCGTTTTCGCATGATGGTTTCGAATTCGATTGTTAGGGTTGTCAAGCTTGGGATGTGTGTGAATTGGTTTCCCCATGCACGTTTTTGTTCGGGCGTGAGTTGAGTATTCAACTGATGGTGATGATGATGGCACATTTCATGTGCTCGTGTACGACCAAGTCTGAATGGGTCAATCCCCAACGGTTCATCATTCTCCCAAAACCACCAATCCGTATGCCGGAACGTAATCGTCAACTTCTTCGGCGCAATAACATATTTCTCCTTATCCCTATTATCAACCGGAACGGGAGCCTCAACTCTCCTCCTGCCCCATCCAGGCCGAAAATAATCTCCATGGGGCGTATATTCCAAAATCGTGCCCTCCCAAATCCTCGACCACAGCTTATTACTATCTTCCAGAAAGTACTGCTGCGTGAAGAGATGGATGTGCTGGACTTGGTCGCGCTGTGCGCGGCTCATTTTACTGAAATATTGGAATGGGGAGGACGAGGTGGCGATTTCGGGGGGCCCGCGGTAGAACCAGAATGTGTGTTTGTTTATGGCGGGTGGGAGGAGAGAGGCTTCGGAGTAGATTTGTTGGCAGGTTTGGAGGAGAGCGGTGCGGATTCTTGTGGGTTGGATGTGGCCTGGGCGGTAGTAGAAGGCGTTGCGGCGATAGAGATGTGTTGGTGATGATTGTGAAGGGGATGGGGGTTGATCTTGGGGTTGGATTTGGTCTTCTATATCTTCTGATTCGAGAGAGAAGGCATAGATTCTGTTGCGGATTTCGGGTGGAAAGATCGTGAAGAGGAAGCACTTGTTTTGTTGAATTAAGGGTAGTGATGGATTCAGAATGGAGTGGTTTATTGGTGGAGGGTTTGTGTCGTTGTCGTCAGTCTCCCTAATTGGGGGAGGACGTGGTGGACGTTGGAAAATTCGTTCCCTCGGCATCTTGGAGGGTGTCAAACATAAAAAAGATATTGAGAAGTTGGATGAAATGGAGGGAGTTGGGATGGGAATCAAGCTATATAAGTACCGTGCCTAACAGTAAGTAGTACACTAGACTAAGAACCCCGCTATTAGCTAGGCTAAGCTAAGCTCTTTTCTGGCGGGTAATTCGGTGCTTGGACACTTGGAGCCCCGCTACAGCCTGATCCTAGTGCTACAGGTGTAACAGTACTCAGATATTGTATCTGTGAGGCTGAGATGCCAGTGAACTTGTCCAGTTTGGGAAGGTTAGTCTGGTGGTTGCCTGGAATATGGAGACTCGCGGGGAAGATTTGAGCCGCAATGACTCAACCCCCCTGATAACTACACTTTTGAATGCAAAGAAAGCTTAGTTAGGGTATCTAGAGGGTGATAAGTACTAATCCATCACCTATTAGCAAATTGTTGAAGGTGAGGTCCTTCTAAAAAGTATATGCAATTCATGGAAACAAGTCTAAATAACACAAAACTCCGCCCTGCGCTATATGTTGAATGAAGTCTTCACTCGCAATGTACGGATCCAGATGTTGAAGTAGTCTGTGATCCAGTGAAGATAGAAATCAAAAAGAGAAAAGTGACCAAAACGAGACATGACGCTCAAGCTACCGGTTCCGACGGTGTAAACACGTTGCACACGGTCCGCAACTTGGTCAACATCTCTTGCCACTCGCCCTCAGCGGTACTAAGTGTAGTGACCGCACCGCCTGCGCCAATCCTCCACGTCTGATGGGTTTGTTCACCAGCATCCTCGTCCGACGCCCGAGTAAACGCAGTCCTAATCAGAACAGAGAAACTCCCACCACCACCAAGATCAAGATATCCCATCACACCAGAATAAACACTACGCTTCCGCGCCTCAATATGCCTCAGATGCAAGCACGACCGCTCCTTGGGCGCACCAGTCATAGACCCCGGAGGCAGACAACGTTGAAGCGCCGTGAGACCATGAACCGCCATATTCGACGATTTAAGCTGCGGCATATGCCTTACCGCATACCTGAGTTGTTCAGAGCGAACTTCACCCTTAACGTGCGTAATCATCTGGTACACTCGACCGTGATCCTCGACTTCAAGTAACTTCTCGACGCGGACACCGCCAGACCCACAGATTCCGTATAGATCGTGACGAATCAGATCGGCGATCATCAGGTTCTCGGCCATTTCTTTCGTTGTGCCTAGGATTTCACGCGCTTTTTCCATGGTCATGTCTGGTGTTTTGCGGACGGTGCCTTTCATTGGTTTCATTTCTAGCATGGAGGAACGGTCCCAGTTGAGGAAACATTCCGGACTGCTGCTGACGATTTTTGCGGAGCCGAGGTCTGCGAAGGCGCTGAAAGCTGCGGGGTTGTATTTTCGTAGTTTTTTGTATAGTTTCCAAGGGAAAATGGCTTTGCCTTCTGTGGTTGTGGGAATCGGGAGGGTGATTGATGTTTCAGACGTGAGGCAGAGCTCGTAGGATTCACCGGCATCTAGTTCTGCTTGGCAAGCATGGATTTGCTGTTTGTATGTGTCTTCTTCTGGGAATGTAAACTGGGCGTCTTGGAGGTTGGAGTTTAGGAATTGGGTATCGTCGGATCCATTGTTCTGAACAGTTCCGGCAGACTCCTGTAGTAGCTGCAATGTCTCGTCCAGCCAGCCACATGGCAGGTTATCGGATTCGCAGGTAGACTGTACAGTGATATTTCCAGTGGTATGGTCGATGACAATGCTCCTTTCACACCATAACAAGCTGACATCGGCCGGATTGTTTTCAGAGGTGGGGGATTTGCGAGAAGCGTTCTCGTAAGAAGACGTCGACTCAGTAGACCCCTTGGGATGAGGTAGACAGGCCAGGCCAAGCTCGTAGGAAAAGTATCCCAGGAAACCACCCCAGAAAGGTACCTGAGTACTGCCCGAGTTGACCTTTTTCATTTCCATCAAGTATCGAAGAGCATCCCATACCTGCGTCACGGTCAAAGAATCCTCAACCATCTTGCGACCAGCGCTGAGTTGGTACATGGTCAATTTCTGAGACTCGACGTCGAATTCAAATCGCCATGATCCAGGGCTAGGAACTGAAATGATATTGTATCGACCATTGGACTGGAACAATACTGTCGGAGCTCCGGGCTTGTTGAACAGCTCGCTAATAGATTCTGCAGTCAAATTTCCCTGCTTGAGAGATCGGTACGCCGAAGAGGATGATGTCGACGAGCTCCATTTCAACATCTCATATGCTACCTCAGGGAAGCATTTCGTATCCTCGTGCGGTGTGATGATCGTTTCGGGGAGAACCGCATACCCCCCGCGCCCAACAAGCTTATTGAACGTAAGAGCCTTGCGCCACCAATTCAGCAGCAACGTTTTACAAGCCTCCTTTTCCGACTTGCAAGATTCAGGATGGAACTGAACACCCCAGAACGGTTTTTGGCGATGAGCAACCGCCATTGGAATTTGCGTCACCGAGCCAGACCCTTTCTCCAGAGGAAGCCATGCCAAGAAGTCGAGATCGTCTGACGGCAGACCCCGCGTTCTGCTCACGGCATCCAAATTGGCATACAGCGAGTGATACAATGTAACCTCCACATCGGAAAGCCCTTCAAAGATATCTTTCGAAGTTGTTGAAATATGGCGAACCTGACCATGCAGTGGGTAAGGAAGACGCTCGATCGGCACGCCGTGGTGCAGACACAAACTCTGAAAGCCTAGACAGATGCCGAAGACCGGCAGCAGCTCGGCATCCCGCATATTCCAGATATCTCGCATGATGCCGACGTCTTTGGGTAAATTGGGATTTCCAGGACCGGGGCCTAACACGATCGCTTCATAGTGTGTGAGGAATTCGATCATGCTGCCGTCCGGCCAGTCGGAGTCGATTGTCATAACGGTGACTTGGACGCCCAGCGTCTCCTCGAGCATTGCGACCACATTGTATGAAAATGAATCGTAGGCATCCACATAGAGAATGCTCTTCAAAGAATTGCCGTCCTTGTTTGATGAATTTGATGATGGGCTGGCATCTCCATCCCAATTGCCTAGCAGCGGCGCCATCGTGAAATGTCCGTTTGAGTCACCGGAAAAGCACTGTCAGATGAAACATGCACAATACCCACAGCCCGAGGGGACCGATAGGTCGGTATAAGAGTAGCTAAAATTCCGAGGCAAGTAGTGGTCGTGGAAAGCCCCGGCTATTAAATTTTCGCGGACCTTCACGAATCCGAGTCAGACATGTCCCAATTGAGGTCTCCGGAGAGTGGCGCAAGTGTCAGCGTTTATCAACACCACGAGCCCCTCGTTTGATAAGGTCGAGCGAAGGGAATTAGCGCCACATTTGTATATCGCGGCTATGATGAGAGTGAAAATAGATTGATGCAGCTAACAATGCATTGTGCAGGATTTGGATTTGAGGTTACAAAAGAAAAGAAAAATTAAGGTTGGGTTGCAGGCAAAAAGCGGGTACCGCCGGAAAACGGATGGAGCAACTCGGGTGGCGACGCTGTTGCGATACTACGATAAAGGGAATTGTCTACGGGGAACTTCATAGATCGCTGAGAATCTAAGTAGAGGGTATCTAACATTTCTAGAGATCGCAAAGTACAAGATTATTAACAAATTGTGCAGGTCACACTCGCTACTGCTGCTGCTGTTGCTGCTGCTGATGCTGCGGAAGCGTGGCGAGCTTAGCAGCCACTCTGGGGAAATATTGAGCCACAAAGCCCTCGGTGTAGTAGCTATGCGCAGAGCTATGATCACCCACAAGATTGTGAGCCAATTCGTGACACAGAATCACCCACCAGTAGACAATCGCATCAGTACGGTCGGGGTTCGCGCTCTGGAGGAGGGATTGCTCCTGCAACTGCTGGAAGTAGAAGTAATTGCAGAAGATGCTGCCCGCTCGATTGAAGGCAATGGTCTTGCCACCAGGATCGTAAAAGATACTTAAGCTGTCGGCACGCATTGAGAAGATGGAGCCGCAATCCAAAAGAACCGATGCGAATAGGTTGATACCGGTTCGGTTGTTTGCAAGGAAGGCAGATCGATCGGTGATGGTCCGGACAAACAATACATTGACTCCACTAGGAAGAGTAGCGACAAACTCCAGATCGTGACTGGGTTTCTCATCACAGTAAGATTTGCTCTCCGAGATTTGGTTCGTCTCGGGACGGCTGTACATGTCGGAGGATCCGTGTGGCCGACAAGCCTGGACAGCGGAAAGCAGTTCCTGGTTCAATCGGTGCGGAGAACTAACAGACACTGGCTGTTCTGGACGCTTGTTCTGAGAATCCGAGGCGGAATAAGGTGGTGGCGGAGGCGTGGAAGTCTCAGGAAGCAAAGAGCGTGACTGCTCAGCCGTCGAAGAAGATTGGTTCTTCTCCAAGCCGAATCGCTTTGACAGATTCGCGAATAAGCCGCGAGGGGTCCTCTCAGGTATAGCAGACTGAGTGGGTGCAGCATGTGTTTCATCGACCGAGGTTTTTCCATTGGGTGACTCGGGGAAGACACCAGGCATAGGGGCCTGTGGCTTTGGTTCAGGCCTTTCTTCTTGAGCTCGCTGAGCTTGAGCCTCAGCCCATGCCGCTTCCCTTTCTTTCAAGATCCGCCTCTCCTCTTCCATCTGTTTCTGGCGTTGATCCTCGGCCATCCGGGCTTCATGGGCCTTTTGTCGGAGAATGCGCTCCACGTTGTAACCACGAGCACGCAGCTCCAGAAGATCGGTCTTCAACAGCATCTCCAGGGTCAGGGTGGAGTGCAGCTTTGGCCGCTTGAGAATCAAATGTACAAGCGATTGACTGATCTCGTAAAGATCATATTTGCCCGGGCAAATGCACAATCCCCAGTTGCTAGACAATCGTGCCACGATGGCACTTCGCTTCTGGGTATGAGATGCCCTTCGACCCTTCAATGAACGGGTCAGCGTGATCGAATTAACCACTTGCACCACAAAACTGGTCTCCAACCATCTGGCTCCATGCTGAATCGAGTCGGCAGGTTGGTCGTGCAGGAATAGGCGTGCACGCTCGAGGATCACCTTGTGCAACTTGGCGCCAGAGCTCTGATCAGCGGCTACACCACCGAATCGTGCTTGTTCCTCAACAAGACTGCTCAAGGGAATGGCACCCAAAGCCACATAGAAGTTCTCCAAAGCTTCTTCCTGTGGCGCGGCAAAGATATGCTCTTTGAAAAGATTGAAGCTCTGGAAGTCATCCACCACGACGATATCTTTCGCGGCTGAGAGACTCCATTCCCTGATATCCAAATCTTCCTCGGGGTCTGCATTGTCTTTCTCACTAGCCTTGACTTTGCCATCTTGAGCTGTAGCCTGAGGTGGAATGTCACGACTGGCTAGCAGGAACTTCGCCTTCTTCATATCACTGAAAAGCTCTCGGTCCTTCTTAAGCACGGAGAGATGCTCAGCCAAAGTCCGCAGAAGCATCAAATACTTATCAGAGCTTTGGAATGCAGCAGAAATACGAGCGGGTTCCTTCACCAGCATACGAGCAATCTCGTTCTTGGTAGGCTCTCTCCTCGAGCCCGCGGCCATGAGGAAGAGATTAGCTTCTGGTCCAAAGTCCACAAAATCGAAGATGTTTTTGTAGTCTTCTCCGTCACCAAGATAGCAAAGTCGGGGTGCAACGAGACGAGTTCGAGGACCTTTCTCTGACATCGGGTTTACAGGAACAGGAATGATGGGTGCGTTGCCAACTCGTTCGACATCTTGGGGACTCAAGTCAGAAACTCTGCCTGCCAGGTATTTGAAAATCGTTCGAGCATCCCTTTGAGTGGTAGGAGGCTGGCGAATGAGTGTCTGAAGACAATCCGACATGGGAGGATGAGGCTTGACTCCCAATTTGGAAGCATGTGGATGGAGACGCTTTTGTAGAATGTTGAAGCCAAACAAAGATGCACCCTCGTCGGTGAAACATCTCTTCGGCGTGCTGAGGTTGTCTGAGCCTTCAACTGGGAGAAACGGAACTGTCACTGCACTGATATCAAACGCAGCATATCCATTCGCGTGGTATTCATTGAGGAAGTAAGCCAATGCCTTGCTCTTTCGACTGGCGTCCTTCTCGGAATCACTCATCACCATGAGTCGGATGAGTTCAGACCCAGATGGATAGCTCTTCAGGCCCATCATGGTGAGGAACTTGCCCTCATTGCTTGCGTTGTTATAGATACCCGGCCATTCTATGATAGGTAGGCCCAGTGCACGGAGAGAGTCCTTTGGCTCATACAACTCGGCGATCTTGTAGCGAGTGCCTCGACTCTGAGCATCGTTTTCAGCAGTGCAGATGCTTGTGTTCTTGAGTCTTTGGATATCATTGGCGGGAATGTCTTCGCGCACAGAGGTGAGGTAGCGAATGAGATCGACATGGTTCCATCTCCTAGCTGGAGGTCCTTTTGCGTCCACAGCTTCAGGGGTATTGATTAAGCGATCGAAAATAACACCAAGTTCAACGGTCTTGCGAACTCCAAGAGATACCAAGAATTTCTCTTTGACACCATTCAGTCCGTGCACGACCGGCAGGTCATCAAATAGTCGAACTGACGCAAAATATGTCTGCGTTGGCTGTTTCATGCCGAGTCTAGTGGGAATCACAGTCTGCGGCTGCAGAATCTCGATAACTGCCTGCCTTGAAACAGAGCCGAGGATTTCCCACCCCTTGGACAACACAGGCAAGACCTGTCCAGCAAATGCAGGGCTTGTCAATATGTTTTGCTCCTTTCCAAGAAGATTCTCGTCGCCAGCATTCGTGACAAGCCATCGAATCCAGGGCACAAGGGACAGCTCCCCCCAGCCCAACGCCTCGAGCTCCGATTTACTCAGGGATTTGGTGAACCGGAATGGCATCACTGAGGGAGGCACGGGCAGATCAGCGGGAATGCGATGAGGGTTCAAGAATCCGGCAATATCGGCAAACACGATCAACCGTGTAGGATTGCTGTCTTTGTCTTCATCATTTGCGACCGCAACTCGCAGTAGACTCTTCACGGACATGCTGTCGAGTTGTCCACTTACAGCCTTGCGACTGAGCCATGACAAAAACTCCATAATCTGATTGGGTCGTAATGTGTTTGACTCTAATTCCCGTTTGATATCAGAAACAGTGATTTCTGTCACCAATCCAAAGTCTGTCAACCTTTGCACAAAGTCCTTGGCATTCAGTACAAGCTCCTCCGGCAATGCTGGAATTGAATCCATGAAGCTGAGATCCTTGGGGGCAATGCGAGTTTGATGACTGGGGATGACACCGCATGTAGAAAGTACTTCGATAGAGGCATTTTTGTTGCACATCCAAAATGCGTCCTCGATTGTCTGTCCGAGAACAGAAGATGGCGTAGACTCGCGGAAGACAAACTGGTTGGCAGTGTGGATAGCTTCGGGCAGAACGTCCACAATGTCCTCTTTGCGAATCTTCGAAGCGCGCGTGGAGCCAACTTTGGCAGCAAGTTTGGATTTGATAGTGCTCATTTCAGCAGACCAGGCAATTCGACAGACAATGCCGACTGCCCGAAGCATCTCAAGATTCCACTTGCTGATATAACGAGTGTTGAGGTCAATGCTTTCACGCTCCACGGTAGGAATGACCGATGGCGCCGATACATGAGCGTTGAGGCCAGTGGTTTGTTGAGTGGGGAAACCGATGAATATCCTGCCTGCCTTTGTGGGTAGAATGGAAGCAAGAATCTCTGACTGCGACTCAGATGCGCCCGTTGCGATATTGGCATCGTAAGACGGTGTCAAAATAGCGATAGTTGCTCTCTTTGGAGGCGGCTTCCGTGTAGCCCGTTCAAGCTCTTTGCTGAGAGCAGTGCTGATCGAGGGTTGGATGGACGCAGTGTTGATGTGTAGAAAGACAGTAGCCTTCAGCATTACAGTCATGTTGGCCGTTTCGTCAACTTTTTCCACTTGCTGGGTATTTGCGGGCTTCTCGGGCCCTGTTTGGCCAGTAAACTTGGAGAAGAAGCTGCGGAGGGAGCTCGTGGTATCTCGCAGGTTGTCCAAACGGAACATGCTTGCATTGGGATTCCACTCCACAATTCGCATCCAGGCCGCATCAACTTGTGCAACCTCTTGGGTAATGCTGGTTACCTTCATCAGGCCTTCGGTTGTCTTTGTTTCAACGTCCCTGGGAATTGGAACATTGACGCCTGGTGCTGTCTTCTTTGACAGCTTAATCAAGTTCCAATCATCTATCCACAGCTCGATCTCTTCCAAGGCAACAAATGTCAGACTACTCGACAAGAACTGACACAGCTGCATCAAGGATGGAACTGGAGAAGAATCATTGCGGTAGTCCAACACAAAGGTTGTGTCTCGGGACGGGGTTTCACCCAGGTCCAAACGACGGGTGAACAGTGCGTTGCCTTTCCAATAAAAGGCCATAGCCTGACTACCCGAAGAGACAAATGGTTCTTCACAGTCATCAAATACACTGTAGAAGCCAACACCGAAAGCACCAATCTTTGTTTCATCCGGGTTTCCATCGGCGATACGCTTCAACCGGGCCCAGTCCTTTTCACTAAACGGGAGACCGTTGTTTGAAATCAAGAGCCGACGAAGGGTATGGTTGGATATCGTGTGTTTCAAAAGGTCTGTAGGATCTGTCGAGGATGGAGATGGTACTGTTAAGGAGGGTAGAGTCTCGAATTTGATGGTCACTTTGGTTGCGGAAGCATCGGCGGCGTTCTGGATCATTTCACGCAGGACGGTCCTATCAAAAGAATATTAGCATTTGACAAGCTCACAGATTTTCCATAGCATAGATCTTTTCAGAGACAGACCATTTTCCAGAGTATCGAGCGAGAACTTTCGAGATCAGGCCCCGAGTATCAACCGTCACTGCTTCTTCATCAGCACCGGACCCCAAGGTCCGGGCCTTCAGTGCACTGAAATCCATGTTCAGGGCCATTTTGTATTATATTATCGGGTGTAGTGTCTAGAGTGTAGGTGTCTTGGGTGGCGTTTACAAAGCTCTGCATAAAAAGGAGATGCCTATGCCATCTTTCGGTGTGTAAACAAGCTCGGGAGGGGTCTGAGACAAGCAGGAATCGACCGGTAAATGCGTGCAATGAGTACAATATATGTGTAGATTTCCAAATGCACGAACAGTCCTGGATCAAGTACGAATATGACGAGTAAACTCCGACGCAAATGGAAGAGAACAGGTGAGACCTTTGAACGACACCTCGGCGACTGCGGAGTGGCCTCTTATCGCTCCGGGCTTATCGGTGGCTTAGGTCAGCGGGTAATCTTACATAATCCATGATTGTTTCCATCGCATCGCGAGTTCAGGAGCCATATTGCGGAGTGGATTTCCTTGATCGAGCCCAAGTCGCTCGCTGTTCTCGAGGCGAGTCAAGCCATTGTGGTCGCTTTGCTGTAGCAGACTATTCTGCTCCTGGTTATCCCCTGAGCTGGCGGCGTCTGGAAGCTGGGCCGTTCCGCCTGTTGTGAATGCGGGCCTAATACTCCGTACTGTCAACCGCCTCGACCCCGTTCTCCCTCAGATGACACCATGGGAGTCGATCCTCTATCCCCAATTGCGCCAGTGCGCCTTCGGGCGTTACTGCTTCCAATTGGCAGAATCAAGCGCTCACGTTTCTTGAGCTTCGCTGCTCGACTGCAAGCTGAGAATGTGGTGCGACTAGGGGACATTACTCCGGACTCTCGTCCAAACCGAAGTACGCAATGACTAGCGGAGTGCCAATCGGCCTATACAACTATAACGACTCAGGGGACTAGCTGACCATTTAATTTATAGATATGTTCTCCCCGCTTGCCTTCCCCACCGGAATGATCCTCTACGACCTGTCCTTCTCCGTTCCCCCCACATCACATCTAGAGCTGTTCCCATTCGAGATATACAGGGAACCGCTGGTGATCATTGCTATAGCCGACGGGACAGAGCTGTCCCAAAGCTCTGGAGCCAATGCAAAGCATCCTACACCACAGGAATTGGACCGGTTACGAGAGGAACTAGATGCGGTGAGAGAGAGGAACCCGCGGGCATTGGTAAACCAACTCCTTGTCTTTGACTATGAGGGGCTGGATAATATCACCAATGGTCCGGAGAATGTTCTTTGGGTTCCTCGACCCGAAGCCTCCAAGGCGACTACCATGAAAACTGTCCTGTGTGATATCACCTCCATTTTGCTATCAGAGTTGGATGAATTCGCCAAGACGATTCAAAATATCCCGTCGATAGAGTCGCCTAGAGCTTCATCATGGGGCCCACATCGAAATCCGGAGTTGCGGCCGCGACCTGTGGATAGGATACTGAATCGTATGACTTTGCCTGCGCAGATGCCATCTAACCCTAATGGTGCACCACCGGAGACGCCCCTGAGCTCGAATGGCCCCTCCCCTGCACCGAGTGACCACGAAACACCTACAACATTCGACGAGATCACCCGTTCCATCCACTTATCACGAACAAACTCGGGCGGCAGGAGTCCCTCAATAGCGTCACCCAAAGAGCACAGCCGGGATCGCATGTCTGTGAGTGGCCTCAGTGCCACTGACAGAACCAAAAACCGTATCAAGGGCCGGTCTGGAGTTGTCATCGGCACTCTCTTCCTGCAGGCAGGAAGGTGGCCAGATGCGCTCAAAGAGCTAGTCGAGGCAGCCAACAATGCGCGAGCTGGCAGTGACTATGTCTGGCATGGAAAAGCTCTGGAGAACATTCTTCTGTGCCTCGTGATGCTTGCGTGGGCAGGCATGGATTTCCAAATTCCTCCCGTTCTCTATCCGGTAGCCGACAAGGCTTCCAAGGCTGTTAGAGATGCGATTCAGGCACCATCTGCGGCTGGCAACCGTCTGGTCTCCCTCCAAAACCTTGCCAACCTGTTACCGGATCTTTCCAACACTATCCTAAACCTATACGTTCGGGCTGCCAATATAACGGATGAACCTCTGCCCCAGCTAGTTTTCTCCGAAACTGTGATTCGACTCTCGAGGTTGATGGTATCTGCTCGCATTCGAGACGGCGGACTCGATGACAATGCTTTGAAGCACATTGTGATGAATGAACCTTTAATTCCTTTACATCAACCAGAACTCCCTCGCGGGACAATTGTGCTTCGCAAGTCTGAAATTGCCAATTTCCTCTACCGGGCTCTCCCACTTGCCCCCGAAGCAGATTTGCCTGCCACGGATGCTGTCCCTATCATCGCGGGTGTCATTTCTATCCTCAATGCTCTTGACCTGCCGCGGAAAAAAGCTTTTGTTTTGCGCGAGCTTCTCACTGTCATGGTACCCAGTCTTGTCCAGGCTCGGAAGATCGGTGCTGCAGAGGTTGGTATTCATCCTGCTGCTGGACTGGCCTCTCTCAGTGACACGGCATTCGATGTTAATGCTCTCGATGTTGGTCCTGGCAATATGGAATCAAGTGTTCGTCTTCTTCTGGCTTCAATTGGTGAGATCTACGGTGTTCAACCTTCGGCATCCTATGAGTGGGAGAAGCGACAGAGTAGGATGCCAGCTTCGGGTGGCCCACGAAAGTGTCCCGAGTATGATTCAATTTCCAGCATTGCAGATCGGTCCTTCCGTCATGTCACACTGGATCGATATGGCGATCTGAATCTCAAGATCGACGTTCTCAAAGCGTGTATCAACTGTTGTGAAGCGCTTCCTGACTTTGATGGCGTCCTCCGCTTCACAGTGGAGCTCTTGCAAACGATTCGGGGCGAGCTCATGCTGAATGAAGCTCACAGGGTGCCGCCGTACCTGCCACAGGACGAACAAGTCCGTCTCTTGAACAACATCAAACGTACAGTAGGAGCCGGAAATCGTCTAGGTGCCACCAACATGGCTGCCGAGTACTGGGACGATTTCCTTGTCCGTGATGTTCAGTTGCTTGCATTGCCTGATCCGCGACGGCCTGTCCGCCGGTCCAAGACAGAGCTAGACGCCGTTACGACGGGATCGGAAAAGGCGAAGAAGGATCCCTTCCTGTATAACCCCTTTGCCAAGCCTAGTAGCAAGGCTTTGGAAGTTCTTACAGTGACTGATGAACCTGCCTCTTTCCGAGTGACTCTCCAGAACCCTTATGAGTTTGAGATCGAGATCGAACACTTGCGGCTGGAAAGCGAGGGTGTGAAATTTGAGGCCGTGGCAGAGAATATTGTTCTTCCTCCACTCTGTCTGCAGGATATCATTGTCCTTGGTACTGCCCACGAGGAAGGAAACCTGAACATCTCGGGATGTATTGTCAAAATGCGCCATTGTCGGGAGCGAAGATTCCCAATCTTCAAGACAGTATGGAGGCCCGAGCCTGAGGTCAAGTTCAAGCGCACAGGACTCTCTGCAAAGAAGCCTCTTAATGATCGTCCGTTGTCCTGGAGCTCAACGACATCGAAAGATGGAAAAGTGTTTGCAAAGAAGGGACCTGAAACGGAAACGTGCCAGGTCAAAGTCATTGGCAAGCAGCCATCTTTGCTTATTGAGTCGATGTCGCTCTCGCAATCAGCAATGATGGTTCTCGAAGGCGAGATCAAGTCATTCTCCATCACTCTTCAAAATATATCCTCGTGTCCCGTGGATTTTGTCTTGTTCACCTTCCAAGATTCGACTACTCGCCAGCTTCAATCGGCGTTGAGAAACAAGGATTTACTTGCCGTGGAGATTTACGAGCTGGAGTTGAAGCTGGCCACCCAGCCTGCTTTGAAGTGGCGCCGTGAGGGCCCGCAATCTGATGACTGGAATATCCCACCTGGCGAGAAGGCCACATTCACCGTGGACGTCTTGGGAAAGCCTGGCTTGCAAGATACGACAGTGCAAATCGACTACTCGTACTTGAAGAGTAAGCAGGGAGAGCTGCCAGAGGTGTTCTACACACGGCAGCTGTTCGTCCCATTAACTGTCACGGTCAACGCGAGTGTAGAGGTTGCTCGTTGTGACATCCTGCCCTTCAGCGGAGACTTTGCCTGGAAAAATCATCTCGATGCCCCGTCAGACGCGGCACAGACATCAGAGTGCCCATTGTCTGCCACCGACAAAGATCCCTTTTCTCAAATTCTTTCCCGCCTGGGCAATGGTGCATATGGACCAGATCACTGCATTGTTTTACTCGACCTCCGCAATGCATGGCCCAGCCCGCTATCAGTATGGCTGCGCGTGAACGAGCACTCCATCATCAAAGCTCCCGAGTCCTTCAAGGATGACAGCAAGGGCCAATACTCCGTCGATGGCAATCTCCAACCAGGCCAAGTCTCACGATTCGTCCTCGTTCTCCCCCGCGTCTACCTGGACAACCCATACGCCAGCATCCCCGTCGTCAACACAGGAACCCGTCGCCAATTCGTCGTCAGCGCCAATAAGCTCACCTTCGAGGCAGAAGCAGCCTCCCGCGAGGCATTCTGGTTCCGCGAAGAACTTCTCAAACGAGTCCTAGGAGGTTGGTCCGAGTCCACCACAGGCCGCAAGGGATCCATCGACCTCCGCAACATTCGTCTAAACACCCGCATGGTAGAAGCAATGCGTCTCGAGGACGTAGAAATTTCCTTCTACCTCGCACCCCCCTCTTCCAGCAACACCGAGCCTGAGCCTTCCTCCGTAAAACAAACCGGCCGCTCCCGCTTCCACGCCCAAACAGACGACCTCCTCACTCTCTCCGTCACAGTCCGCAACCGCTCATCCAGACCCATCCACCCCCTCCTCCGTCTCCAGCCCAGCCTCCGCCACCAACCAAATAGCATCGCGCTAGACTTAACCCGCCGTCTCGCCTGGACGGGTATGCTCCAGCAAGCTCTCCCGATTCTGCCAGCTGGGGAATCAACACAAGCCTCCATCGGCGTGACGATCCTCTGCCGCGGCGAATACGAGTTCGGGGCTAGTGTAGAGGAAGCCCGTCTCTTGCGGCAATTTGGTGATGACGGGAAAGATGAAAATGACCATGCTGCGACGCGCTTTATCGAAGATGGGATTAAGGATACTTTTGGTACGGACGTGGTGAGGCGTCGTCGCATCTGGCATGCGAAGGAGACTTGTGTTATTCTTGCTAGGGATTGAGGGTAGTAGGACCGTTTTGTGTGTCATGATGATGTGCTCCTCCTCCTCCTCCTTCCTTTTTATCTTTTCGTGACGGTCATGATATAGAGCTTGTTGTTTTCCCCGATTCTCAATCATGTCTGTGGTGTGGAAAGTCTAATGTGATGATGGGTCACGTCTCTTCTTGTATACTCTTTTTACATAGTCTTAGCGTGGTACATATACACCCTGATGAAATGAATCTTGTTCGGATTATATTGACTTGGTCAGCATCTAGTGTAGTTTCTTGTGGGTTGGTTCTGGGTGCTGGTAAGCGCAGCCTGTTTGGTGTGACAGAGCTTTTCATTATGCATTATATGAAGCCGAATCATGGCGAATCAGCCTTGGATCTATCGCATTGTTCACGGTACCGGACACGGGGACAAGATGGAATTTGTGTCCTCGTAGAGGCTTGGGGCCCATCTTGGTGAGCTAGAACGCTCTGGGACTGTTGGCGTGCCTCCAATTCTTCATTGGGAGGTCAGGTTGCAACATACCACTTGCCATGCATGTGTTGCCACAGGAGGTTGATGAGGAAATTGAGAACTGTCAGACAACTTTCAAGCCAGACAGGAGTTCATAATCCTGCAACACTTCACCCCGTTCCCCCTTCAGCCCCTTCAATAGACACAGACTTGTCTCGCCCAGCTGCAGGCTGCGACTCTCCCAACGGAAAACTAAGATGTTTCCAATCCTCAATCTCCTCAATAATACACTTCAGTCGATCCCGAATACTCTCCACCGCATACGTACCCAGAATCAACCTGAGCGGCGGATAAGAGCAATGCCCCAGCTCCCAAACAAGATGAGCCGCCTTCACAGCCGAAGCAGGCTGTTTATCACCCAACCACATCAACATGCGCCTCGCATGCGCCGCAGGGGATGTCGGAGTGTTATAAGGCTCACTGGGCGGTTTCACCAAAAAGTGCCCGTAAAGCGGTAACGGCGAAGACAAATTATGCGCCGACGGATTCGCGGCCATAACCGACGGCGAGACCAAATCCCCAATATCGTCGCGACGCATATGTCCCGGTTCAACCAGCGTCCCCTTAATATTGAAACTATCCACTTCATAAAGCATACTCTCCATCAAGCCCTCCACCGCATACTTGGACGCACAATAAGGTCCCAAACCCGGTACACCCAGTGCGCCAGACGTCGAGCTGAAAATCAAATACCTTCCCGCGCGTCGTTCCCGGAAATGCGGCAACGATAATTGAATCATGTTCAGTGTGCCGGTGAAGTTTGTCTCGAATTGGTTGCGGATGTCGAATTCGTCTTGGTCTTCGCAGGCGCCGATGACGCCGTAGCCGGAGCAGTTTGCGATTACGTCGATGCGGCCGAAGCGGGCGATTGTTTGGTCGATGACTCGTTTGACGGTTTCGCGGGCGCGGACGTCGCAGAGGAGACCGAGGCAGTTTTCGTGTTCGTCTTCGAGCTCTTTCATGCTTTCGGGGCTATTCTCGTAGGTGCGGCCGACGGCGGCGACGAGGTCGTGGCGGGATAGGGCGTTTTTGACGAGGGAGCGGCCCATGTGGCCTGTTGCTCCGAAGATCTGAATGTAACATTATAGGGTTAGTTATTGGAGATATTGAGTATGTTGGTTTGGTAGTTGCGCATGAGCTGTAGAGTGGGGGAGGTAGAGGTAGGCACTTACCAGCCATACGAGAGGCTTGGGGGGATTCTGTGGGCCAGGGGGATCAGTAGTTGATGGAAGATGTAGTCGTGGCTCACGAGAAGCTGCCGGAGAAGAAGGTCCTCCCTTAGGAGGTGAGTATTGCTCCATTTGCAGGGGAGTTGGAGGTGATGAGGGAAACGAGGGGAAACGGGCGGTGGAAATCTCCCGTTGCTCACTTCTCTCCGCATTCTCCGGACCCACTTGGGTAGGACATAGTACAATAGAAGTATATAGAGTACGCAATCCACTACAAAGGAACATCTTCCCATGACTTGGTAAGGATTAATGACATTATCATATATTGGATTCCACCAAAGGAAAATACCCAGCGCCTATATGCTAACCACCTAACGACCAACTTCCCTTCGCAGCCGTCCAGCAGCTGTCGTGGGAGCAGGTTCTGGCCAGCTACCGACAGCATCGTCCACTTCCTCGAGGAAAGTGGTGCTGTTGTGAATACTGGTACCGCCCAGGACAACGCGCACGCCGGGAGAACTGGCATTGACCTGTGCCACCATCTTGGCCTCCTCGTACGTGGTGCCTCCGACCATGAAGATGATGATGTCCTGGGGCTTGTCCCGGGTGTGCCCGCTGCCTTCGAGGAACGGGTACTGCAACTCCTTCAGGCGGCCTTTGATTAGGTTTTGAAGGGTCACCTCTAGTCGTGGAGAATGTTGAGTGTAGACGTTCTCGACCCCCTTGAGGCCCTTAAATCGGTCTCTGGCTCCTGAGAAGAAGGAGGTTGATTCGAATAGATCGGTGAAGCCTCCGGCAACTGGCGGGGCTTGAAGAGATTGATGATAAGCGAGGAGCTTGGGGATGATATTGACACGGTTGAGGGGGACGTCGCCTGCGGTGACGAGCAGGTCGAGAAGAACTGGAAGGGCGTTGTTGGGCTGGCTCTCGTAGCGGAGTCCATAGAGAGCTACCAGGCGTACTTTGCTATCCGCTGGAACATTTGGTAGCTGGATGATTCGTTGAAGTGACTGAACGTTTCAATTAGTATATGGTGTAATCCGGATCCTCTGAAGAACAGACATACCTTGAGGTCATTGGAATGGTTATCATTACAGGCCAAGCTCTGTTCCAACTCACTCACGTCCAACAGATTATCCTCGCTGACTCGCCGGCTCAGCTCACCCACCAAGGTGACATGTTTGCTCACGTTACCAGAGAGCTTGCGGAATTCTGGGTAATCCTCCACAAACCGCTTCATATCGGCTATAGAATCGATATTCATATTACTTTGCGTCTTGAACTGGTATTGCTCCACGTATTCCTTGATGTTCTGTCCCAGGTCGCCAAAATTCTGGTACATGTTCTTCTTGAAGAACGGATCCTGATCTTGAGCGAGAACAATCTCCTGCAGCTCAGGCCGGATGTCCGGTACATCGCGCAAATCTACTCGTCCATTATTGATGCCGAGAAGCTCGTGCACCATAGCCTGATATGTCCATTGTGAAAGCAGCGGTGTGATAGGGTCATCACGACGATCCAGAATAAGCAGGATAGGTGGCGTATCCGTCCGGCGGAAATTAAACAGTTGCTCCTCCTGCGTGATGTGGTATCGAACTTCCGTCGCCAATTTTCGAGCCAAAAGACTGTTCTTCTCGTATCGGATCAACGGGTTCTTTTTCAGCGATAGCAGTAGAGCCAGTGTTCCCTCCGTGGCCCGTTGCAACGAGTCCGGACTCCATAGATCTGGCGAATGGCTCCATAGTCGGGACAGTGGGAATCCTAGGTTCAGAGTGCACAGATCCGGGTTTATGACGAGGAAGTCGGCGAATTGTTCCTGCACGCATTGCACAACTTCGTGACTGTCCGCCTCGGCAAGTCGCTCGAGTGAGGATTTGCGGATGATGTTGCTCAGGTAGATGTAGTATTCGCCATACCTGGGTTCTCGAAGCTCGTCGATAAGAAGCTGGATGGAGTTCGGGGAAGGGCGCACAAAGCATAAGCATCGCAAATGGCGCATCTTCTCGCGCGCGGCGTTGTCCAGGCGGTCGATGAGGTAGACTTCATGATTCAGGAGGGCAGATTGGGTGATGGCGGTCGAGACAATGGATACCTAGATGAACAGCGATTAGTCTTTTATTTCCGATGATGATTTAGTCAAGCGCAAGTCCCACTGTCTCACTATCCAGAAGCAGGATCTTCATCTTGGTGGATGACGACCCTGAAGCTGACTCGCCGGCCGTCACCATCTTGGAGATGTAGCCCGAGACGGCCGCGACGACGTCCATGATGAAGGGATGATGCGCCCAAGCGCAGGTGATGAAAGGAGGATAAAGGATAAAAGACGAAACTGAAGGATTTGCGGCTGATCTCGGTGGTGGTGGTGGTGGTGTTACCGCGGGGGGAAGGTGGAGAAGCTGAGGTTGCTACACGTTGAAATGTTGGGGCGCGTCCGCTTTTCCACATGACGTCCTCACCGTTGATCTCTTGATTTTCCCTCCTCCTCCTCCTTCTCCAGCTTGTATGCGTGGTTTTCTCTTGAACACCAGTCTTCTATCTGGGTCGACACCATGTTGCCCTATATAGACACTCGTTCGTTCCTCCAAATTTTCTCCTGGTGAAGCTTTTAGAGCTTTTTGACCTCGGACTGACCTCCCCGCAGTGTTTGGCTACCCTGCTCAGCTCACAGGCGCCTCGATAGATGAGCGTATGTATTCTGCGCCCACCCGCAACAAAAACTCGAGATTCAAGCTTCTAACTTCCTCCGTAGTCAAGCTGATCGCTTCGTTCCTGCTCTCCTACCCGCTCGCCGGTTTACTGAAACGCATCCCCGACTCCCAGCCCTGGAAAAAGAATGCCTTCATCATCGGTGTCTCACTGTTCTACATTGTCGGCCTATTCGACCTCTGGGATGGCCTGCGCACACTTCTCTACAGTGCGGCCGGTACCTATGCCATTGCATACTATGTGGATGGCTCGCTGATGCCCTGGATTGGGTTCCTCTTCCTCATGGGCCACATGTCGATCAGCCATATCTACCGCCAAATCCTCGATGACGCGCAAATGATCGATATCACCGGAGCACAAATGGTGCTGGTTATGAAACTTTCTTCTTTCTGTTGGAACATTCACGACGGTCGTCTCCCTCAAGAGCAGCTGTCAGATGCGCAAAAGTACTCTGCGATCACCGAGTTCCCTAGCATCGTGAACTACCTGGGCTATGTCATGTTCTTCCCATCCCTGTTTGCTGGTCCGTCTTTCGAGTACGTTGACTACCGCCGCTGGCTGGACACGACTCTGTTCGACATCCCCCCAGGCACAGACCCAGCCAAGGTCCCTCCGACCAGGAAGAAGCGCAAGATTCCTCGCAGTGGCACACCTGCTACGAAGAAAGCCGCCATCGGCTTGTTCTGGATCTTTGCCTTCCTGAAGCTGGGCTCGTGGTTCACTACAGACTTTGTGCTATCCGATGCATTCATGGAATTCTCCTTCCCTCGCCGTGTCTTCACCGTGTACATGCTCGGCTTCACCACGCGGCTGAAGTATTATGGTGTCTGGTCTCTGACAGAGGGTGCCTGCATCCTGTCAGGTATGGGATACAACGGCTTCGATGCGAGATCAGGCAAGGTTTTCTGGAACCGACTCGAGAACGTTGACCCCTACAGCCTTGAGACCGCCCAGAACTCATATGGCTACCTTGGTAGCTGGAACAAAAACACTAACCATTGGCTGCGCAACTATATCTACCTGCGTGTCACGCCAAAGGGCAAGAAGCCCGGCTTCCGTGCTAGTATGGCTACCTTTGCGACCAGCGCTCTGTGGCACGGCTTCTACCCCGGCTACTACCTGACCTTTGTGCTGGGCTCCTTCATCCAGACCGTTGCAAAGAGTATGACCCCATTACTTTCTAAACTTGATAATCCTTCAACCTCTGACACTAACACCTCACAGACTTCCGCCGCTACGTGCGCCCCTTCTTCATGACCCCGGACGGCAGCAAACCAACCCCTTACAAGCGGTACTACGACATCCTCAGCTGGGTAGCAACCCAGTTCACCCTAGGCTTCGCCGTCCTCCCCTTCATCCTCCTCAATTTCACCGACTCAATGACCGTCTGGTCGCGCGTGTACTTCTACGGTATCTTCTTCACCGCAGCCTCCCTCGCTGCATTCGCCTCCTTCTCCCCCGTCAAGGCGTATCTCGTCGGCCAACTCAAGCGTCGTAACCGGCCCCATGCCCCGCGCACAATGAGCCAAGAGACCGTGCGCCCGCCAACACTGGGTCTGCCGAATGATCCCGAGCGCGACTTTGACGAGGCTGTTGCGGAAATCAGGGCGGAGATTGAGTCGAGGAGGAGGAGGGGGAGTGTGGTTACTATGCCTACTGGAGAGGAGTTGAAGATTGCTGTTGAGCAGAAGATTGGGCGGAAGCTTTAGGGTTGCGATGTGTTTGGTTTGTTGGTTTGTGGATGAAAGTTTGTATAGATAGTGTGATGGGAGTGTTGTGATGGCTGGCTTGTTTTTTTTCTTATTACGAGGCCAGAGATGGAGGGTACGTTCTGTTGGGGTGTATCCTTTTGCCCATAGCGTTTAGAGAGTATGTTGCTTCTCATATTTTAATCATGAGAGATATCATTTCGGATTTAGCATTATTCAGTGAGAAAAAAAATCATTTATACATTACAACATTTCATATGCATAGGCTCTTAGTGTTGACCCTCAGACATGACCGCCCCAACAGGGAGCAAGCATCCAGCCCAACATTGAATAGTCCAAGTTTTACAAGGAACCATTCATCCCATGACCTCCTAACTCGATTCGACTCAACTCTACAGTAGTACTGTAGTTCAAAAGTCTGAGTCTAGAGACCAGAGAGACCCCCTAATAGATAATGCTTTCAGTGGTTGGTTCTTGAAGGGTCTTTCTAATGGTCATTTCAATCGTCTTTCTCAATAGCTTAGGTATCATTATTGTGTCTATTATTCGACTTGTGACTGATAAGATGATTTGGAACAATGAACAATGATCATAGTTTCAGACTTATGAAGCCCCACTGTAGAAGTTACGATGTTTCAATGATAAGTGTTGAATCATGAAATTGAATTCTAATACAGATAGATTCAGACAAATATGAGTACACAAGGTGTATATCAAGCGCAAAAGAGACATTGGTAAAATGAAAGCATATATCCATTATACAGATGCAACATGCAATCAAGAAAGAAAAATGTAAGTGTCAAGTCAGAGTTGAGATCAAAGTCAAGATCAAGATCGAAAGTAACACATGTCAAGTGTAAAATGAAACCAGAAAGAAGACGTGAATCGAGTATAAAATGAAAAAAAGTAACGAATCAAACAAATGTTCCTCTCTGAGTAAATCTAACCAGAGATAAAATAAGACGCAAACCAAAAACGAAGACGCAAAGTAACCAAAGTTGAAGGAAGTATCGAGTGAAGCGTGCGTGAGTGGGGGAATAAATTATGTATGTGCGTACAATCGTGTCGTGTAGGTCGTATCTGATAAAATGTCCAGCGAAGAGAATGATGAATGAACAAACAGCGCCTTAGGAATGGAAATCATCGTTCCAAGGGTTGTTGTAGTGAATGTGAATGTAACCATAAGAGACAGTCGGAGATATAATGCGGAGTGAAGTGAAGTTTCGTCGCTGAAGATCAAGGTAAAGTTGAAATCAAAGTCGAAGGTGCAGTTGCAGATTGAGTGAGGTGAGAGGTGAGAGGTCGCATAGGAAAATTACCAGATTGGTAGTTGGGGTCAAGTCAAGCCAAGTCCCGAAATTGGAGAATAGAGTCGATCAAGTGCAAGTGCAGTCGGAGATAGTCCCAAAGAAAGGAAAGCGAAAAAGGGGTCGAGTCGAGTCAAGTCCAAAAGAAACGAAAATATTAAAAGCCCGTAGTGGTACCAATAACAGCCAACGCGATCTAAAGCCACAGGTTAGTCCAATCTTAATCTCAGATCCCGACGACACGTCCTGGATAGTAAAACTTACGATAATAACGATAATCACCACACCAAGCGAAATCATCCACCTATTCAAATTCCGCCACCACCGTGCATTTTCATGTCGTCGACGCTGAAGCGCCATCAACTGCGATTCTAGCGCCATCTCGACATCATCGTCCGTGTTCATTGTCATCTCGGGAACGAGTTTCGGCATAGGCGGTAGAGGGAGGAATGATGCGATTATCCATGCTGGATGTCTCGTTAGTACCAGCCCACACTCTCAACATACTCAACAAGTAACACTTCTCTCACACAAGGGTGTGTAAAGAAGGTCTTATGGGGAGGGGGGAATCTAACCAAGCGGAAAAATAAACCCCAAACAAAACGAATAAACCTGAACATTCCTCCTCCCGAACAAAGGCTCATTCGTGGAATCCAACGACGGCGCCGTCCACGCACTCGTCGAATGCGGAATACCCTTTCGATCCGTGTATAAATGCGGCGACCAGCTATGGCGCATTCGATGACGCGGTGCACCGCCGATGACTTGGCCTTCTTCCTCGGGAGAGGGGACCCAGTGTGCGCGCGGGTCGAGAGGGTCGCTTTCTATGCGGCGCTGGACGAAGCGGACTGCACCTGGTCGTTGGGGGAGAGATGTTTGCGAGACTTGGACCGCGGGTAGGACTGCTTGTGGGGGTGATTTCGATTCGGGTCGAGGGGGTGATTGGGCACGGTTCGGGGAACGGGGTCGTTCGGGAGATCGGCCGCGGGGTATGTTGAGTGGTGTGGGCATGAGATTGAAATTGAAGACGCTTGAGTTGGAGGTGCCGGGTCTGCTGACGTCCATTATTGAGAGGGCTGAGTTCAGGCCGAGTGCGTCGGCGCGGTAGTATATTTTAGCCCAGGTGGGGAGGATGTGCCAGACTGTGCTTGAGGCTGTACCGGGTCGTTTGAGGCTGCGCATGCTGTTGCTGCGCTTGGAGCCCGAGGAGAGACTTCCTGGGAACCCCGGGCGTGGGGGCAGGTTTGTCAGACTGTCTTGTCGCTCGTCTTCGTCGCTGTCTGTTGCCATCCAATCGCTGGAGTTGCTGCTGGTTTGGGTGGTTAGGGCTGCAGAGGGGACTGTTGGTTCGGACATCTCGCGCTCTGGGGTGGACAAGGCTTCGCCGGCAGCGGCGAGGTTTGCCAGGTCTTCGTCGGACCAGTTTGATGAGACGCGGGAGAGATGCGGGTTCCAGCGGCCGGAGGCTGGGCCGGGGGTGAAGTCGCGGACTGGCGTGTAATCTCGGTCTGAGGATACGGAGGTATCGGCGCGGGAGCTGGACGATGGAGCTCGAATGCGTGGGTACTGGATTGGGATACCGCTGTCAATGGCAGCGGCCATCTCCGAGACTGAGCGGAAACTGCGTGACGAAGAATTCGTGGAGCGGGATCGACTGGCTGATGGTTGTCTGCTGTGCGTCCGGAACGAGGAGACTGAGCGCAATGGCGGGCTCGAGTAGAATGGTGATGGCGAGCGAGTGCTCAATTGCTCGGACGAACCGGCCGTTTGGATCCAGGCCGCGGTAACACCGGCGTGACGAACGGCTGTGCCACGAGAATTCCACGATGACAGCGAGTTGGAGCGCGGCTCCGAGTCTGAGTTGGCTGTACCAGTTGGCAGAAAGTTGACGCTCGAGTTATCCAGCGTCACGAAGTTGGGGCTCGACGGTGCGCCTATGGGTTCGAAATTAGGGCTTGATGGGGCACCGATCTGCTCAATATTGGGACTGGAGTAACCAATGATCGATTGATCTTCTTCCCTGACAGACTTGGGCGAGGTTGGAGGTTCCGAGATGACTGCTTTGATAGTCGGTGTCGCGGTGGGCAGGACTATCATTTCATCATCTGAGTACTCCGGCTCATCGGGCCCGTCTGATGTATACTCCTCATGTTTGGTCATTGGGCTGACCTCCGGCAATGAGGACTTGCTGGATGTAGGATCATCCCACAACTGTGGTGGTGAATTGACTGTATCCACGGTGGAGGATACATCCCATGTCTCGCGAATGGACAGGTCTCGCGTGCTGCTGGCCGCGGCATGGCTGAATGTGGGCGATGACCAGGATGGACCGGGGGTATCTGCATAGCTGAAGCCGGTATCCGAGATATACCCTGGCTGCTGGCCTTTACCGGGAATCGGCAGCAAGATTTGTTCTGGCTTGGTGGGAAATGGCGTGGCTTCATACATTTCGGCATCTTCTTTCTCCCCGAAGACTATGCGGAGTGACTGGATTGACCGAGTTGGTGATCTTTCATTGTTGTGGGCTGAGCTGCGCTCTTGCAGAGCTCGTCGCCGCCGTGGAGGAGGCGACGTTGACTGTTTAGTTGTCGGCATTGTCGAAGTTGAGGTTGTCGAGATTGTCGAGTCGAGAAATTAGCGCATCGTCCAGAGACAGGCGATGAAGTTGGCGAAACTGGTGGTGTATGTGCCAACCGTAATGAAGAATGCAAATAGTGATATAATAGACAGACGACGCAAATAGCAATGGGCCGATACAATAATCATAAACAAGAATGACGTTGACCGAAAGAGGGGAGTTGTTTTTGTTTTCCTAGATTGGTTCGATGTAAGGAATGTGGAATCGCACGAGGAGATCGATGATGGTAATAATCCGGAGTGGCCGGTAATGAGGGTGGTTCGTGGTGGGTATGTGTGGATATAGACTCTATACTCGTCTATAGGGGTGGTGTGGGGGTAGTCAAATTCTTCATGAAAAGAGCGTCAGAAGTGTAATCAATGAGCGTTCAAGTCGTCAAGGACAAGCAATTAAGAGTATGATCGTTTCAGAGCGACATTAGTGAGCGTCAAGAAGGGAGGGTCATTAAAGAGTTTCAAAAGAGCGACGGGGAACGCAGAACGACTGGCGGCAACAACAACATGCAAAAAAACACACGACAACAGGGAAGAAGGGGAGAAGAGAAGGTGAGACACTCGGCGATCTCAAGGGGGGCGCCAGGAATTTTGTTACCCAGCGGCGGTGAAGCGCCTTGGGATCAACTTCATCCAGTCAAAAGTGTCCAGTGTTGAGCGCCTATCACAACGAGACCAGGGCGCAGGGGTAATGCAGGCGCTGCAGGCACTGCACGGTCGCGAAATTACACTTGGGTAAGTTGGTCTCGACCGTTGGGGGAAATACGGTTTTTTGTTTTTTAAATATGGAGAAACAGGAACAGGAATTAAATCAAGTGGATCTTGTCTCCCCGATTTGTATGGTTCGCGGGTGATGCATGGCTGGGCTCTCATGGAGTCTTCTTTTTTAGGGTGCTGCTGATAGGTGTGAACTCGGGTCAAAAGAACATACTACTGCAGTACTCCGTAGTGTCACAGAGTAGGGCTTAGCAGGGGACAGTTGTCAATTGAGATCAGAATTAGAAATATCCTATGCCAGTACTTCTGTAGTATACCTAGAGTCTAGATGCTACGGAGATGATCCTCTTACAGTAATCTCTTTATAGCAGGAAGAGCTCCGTACAACTCCATAGGAGTACTCCATACTTGTCCTTCAATTCATCGCTCCCCTCTTTTCCCTCAGCCTAGTGGATCCCGATGCGTTGTCCTCGGACTCCTCCAGGATCGGGCCAGCTAAACTATGAACAGTTAGCGAGATAATGGTTAGCGCCGTCTGACCTCATCCGATACAGCCGGAATAGCCAGAGTGCCCGATATCGATGACTGCCTTTCATCTGTCAGGCAACATCCAGTATAAAACATAAAGAACTAACTATATAGTCCCTACGAAGTGCATAACCATGTCTCAAGGCTATATCCCACCCTCGCCGACACTCATCAAACTATAACTCGTCACCTAGCAACCAAAACACAAAACCCACTGGTTATTAACTAATTGAAGCACTTGAAATCGGAGAATTATCCTAAACGCACGATTCCCTCGCATTGACTCAGATTTTGAAATGAAGATGGGCTCCAAGGGATACGCCTGCAGATGATGCCTCATAAAAATATAGGTACATACTGTATTCAGGCACACCCTGGCCCACGAGTGACAGCAACGCTCGGTCCATGTGTTCGGGACTGAAAATGCGACGTCTCGCCTGCCACGGAGGTTTTTATTTCAATAGTTCCTGGTTGAGGGATGTATATATCGCGATCGGGACTATGGTCGGGGTGGGTGTGGTTGGAAGTGAAATTGTCCATCGTCGGACTGGGCTTCCGTTCTGTGGACAGATATGGTCTTACGGAACACGAGACTTCTCGTTGATGGATGCCAACAATATTAAGAACAATACTACGAACGATCAAGACAGGAATCATCATCCTGGTCATCCTGGTTCCAGTTCAATCCAATCCCCAGGGCCAAGAAGTCTGCTGTGACGGCGTAATTACCATCCACGTAACCCGTCACCCACAGTGAACCACACTCACCAACGGTAATCATGGTCGTTGTATTGTCACCCCACGTCACCCGCAACAAAGAAGGTCTCGAACTGTCTTCTGCTCTTCTGCCTTGATAAACTGGCCCACCGGCGCTTTTCGAAAGCCGCAAGTTTGTTGAGATCTCCAACCTCAACTTGCCTTCGCCATGGCTCCCACCGGCATTTTGGCTCGTATCAAGAGTCTATACACCAAGCACCAGGGTATGCCTCTCCTTTCATCTGATCTCCCAACCCAGCAACCCCAGAGACCGGACGAGGATCACAAAGTTCAGACCTGTCAGCTAACCGCCCGCCTAGATGAACCCTCATTATCCGTGCAAACCGTCGCGCTCTTCTCGGTAAATCACATTCTCTTCTGCCCCAGTTCCCCAAACTATACATATATACCTCTGAACACCCATGGCCGTGCTCCGACACTAACGAAACCCTCCCCAGGTCGCCCTTACTTTACTCTACGTCCTTCCCTTCTACCTCTCCCCCTCCACCAGGCCTTCACCCAGTCTAAGCCGCGATGCGCCCTCCGTCATCCGCGCGCGGATTCGCGCTGTCACTGGTTCATGTCTCGTCTGCTCACTAGTTGTGCTATGGCTTGTCGTTGACAAGGGTGGTTCCTCGCTCAGCGCTGCGTTGAGCCTGCTCGGCTGGTGGCCCATCGATCTCGGCGATATCCTGCGCAGTCTACTGCTGACTGCGATCTTGTTCGTTGGCCCGCTGTATGAGCGCGGGATTGTCGAGGGCGAGTGGCGGTCGTGGTTTAGTCGGGCGAAATGGTCCGAGTCGCTTGGCGGGTGGATTGGGTGGAGGAATTACATCGCGGTATGTACTGTGCTCGTTCGAACAATCCCGACCCAGCACGCTGATTGAAATCTCACTAACGCCTTCCTTCTCTCCCCAGGGCCCCATAACCGAAGAAGTCATGTTCCGCTCCGCCATAGTCCCCCTCCACATTCTCGCCCACATCTCCCCAGCTCGCATCATCTTCCTCTCCCCGCTCTACTTCGGCATCGCCCACATCCACCACTTCTACGAGTTCCGACTCACACACCCCGACACCCCCGCGCTAGCTGCTCTTCTCCGCTCCCTCTTCCAATTCAGCTACACCACCGTCTTCGGCTGGTACGCTACCTTCGTGTACCTACGCACCGGCTCCCTGCCCGCCGTCATCCTGGTCCATAGCCTCTGCAATTGGTGCGGGTTGCCCCGGTTCTGGGGCCGCGTGGAGGCTGGTGAGCCCTTAGGGCCGCCGGTGCGTGGGAAGGACGATGAGGATGGGAAGGGGCGTGGGGTTAGTGTGGGCAATGGGGAGTTGAGTATCGTTTGGACGGTGGTGTATTATGCGTTGTTGGTTGTTGGTGCGATGGGCTTTGCGTGGGCGTTGTGGCCGTTGACGGCCTCGTATAATGCGTTGATTGATTTTAAGGTGAGGAAGGCTGGTAAATGAGGTATGACTTTGAATCCGGGTTAGTCAGGTTCTATATTCATTTCTCCTGGCTTATCATGATCTTTGAACTTTGTTTCTTTGCATGGCGGTACATTGTTCGAGCCTTGCGATTTTCGATACGAATCTTGTGTGTCACGAAGTCTTACGGCATGTCCATGTTTATAGCTGCTATGTTTCGAGCGGGTCAATATGCCAGCTTTTTAATGATTCATTCTCGTTCTGTTTATACAGACCGTATATGGTAAATAGTAAACAAAACAATATGTATCGGTTGATAGGTTTGAGTTCTGTACACTTCGGCTCCGGCATAATGTTGGACCGAGAGAGGCATACATAACAACTCCAAACTACGATAAAATGGCACTTCTCAACTTTCTTTCTTTTCTTTTCTTTCTCACTCTTTTAAATCCTTGATGGAGACCATCTTTTCAAATTCAATATATATGTTTTTCCATCACTTCCCTTACAATGGGAGCTATATATATACCTACCCTTGATATTTCAGGCGGAGCAAGTCGTCCGTATGGACCGATCGTGCAACCGATGAGATATATTGAAATACTCCTCCATCTTCTGCCCGCCTTCTGCAAATGAACTGTGGAATCGTCTACAAATTCTATCCAATGACGAATCATCCACGGAGCTGTCAATAAAGGGAATCGAACAACGTGATGTCTACATTGAATTAGACATACCGCGCCCTGATAGTGGCAACCGGTCAGCAAAGCCTTTATGGAGGCGGGCTTTGTTGTCATGTTTGCAGTCACCTACGCCGATTTCCCTTCGTCGGGAACGTTTGTCTCTCTTGGAGAGCTGACGCCCACGCACTCACCCTCCGCACAGCCTTCCACTGCCTACCAGAGCAATCAAATGCCGCCTTGGAACACCTGTGACAAATCCTGTCTTCTGCTGCTCGAACAGTGACTGTGAGAGACCAGTCCAACAGCCACACCAGCAGGGGTTTTGGTTTCGTTGCCGAAATTCGAACTGAGAAATATGACTGTCCATCTTGGAAACTGGCTTTGACAAGCCTTATCGCTCTGGGTTTGTCGACCCTACCAACCTCATCTCTCTCAACCCTGTCTCGTGTGGTGATGGGTAACACACTGTCCAGCTTGGTTCAGTCGTGGCAACCACGAGATGTCGTCGTGGGACTCACCAGCGGCCCACGGTTGACACTGATTTTGCGGGGAGTTTCCGCAAGTAATACATCAAGACTTGTTGTCGTTGCTGGGACTGCAAATTCGGGCGCTACTGTTGGGTTTTCCTACTAAATCCGTTTTTCATGCCGGTCTGCATTCCCTAAATTTTTCGGAGAGGACTTATGTGAGGATTGCTACGAAGCTTCGATGCCTCTGTTTTTTTTTTTTTTTTTGTGTCAAGCATCACCGACTGTGGGCTTTGCAGAGCTGGGTTGGGCCTTACGACACAGCTTGCATCCTGGGCTTGACAGATCTCCAACTTCCACCTTCTGGCTCCCCTCATTGCGGACCTCGGGGTTTAAAGACTTTGACGATGCCTGTCCAGCCTTCTACTTTTTAGCTCTTACCACAGTGCGTACCGCGTAGGTGGGAGGAATCAAGCAGGATGTATTGAATCCTTCTTTCTCCGCAGTCGAAGAGAGTCTTGGTCAGCTCACTGTTTGTATTTTCCGCCAGTTGGAGTGTAAAGAGAATGCGGGGCTAGAATGAGAGTGTGCAAAGGACTATGGGTGTCACCTACCAGTCAAATGTATGGAGGCCATCAAGGTATGATATCTCACTTCTCTCTCGGCCACATACTCTCACACTAACAGAAGATTAGTGATTGTCACTTCACGTTATGGTCGGGGCAAGTCATAAGCCTTCTGCAAATATGCTCTGCGAACATCTCGCGCGTGAGGTAGATCTTGCCCTCTTCATCACTCGTGTACAGGCGAACCCTGACTTGACCTCGGGGCGATTGCACATCGTTCCTTTCCACGCACTACACGCACACAAGTACTCATCTGCTGTACTACTGCCGTCGGTTTGTTCTAACAGGAAATCTCTCGCCCTGCGACACGTACAGTCCTCAAACCTCATAATTTGCTTCGTACAAGTTGCTGATTACTCCCTGGTCAAGCTGGTTTTCTTGCGCGGGTGGCGCGTGACATTCGGACACCGTGGAGCATGATATGATAGCTGGTCGATGCGCTAGCTGTAAAAATCGGAATGGCTGGTTTCTCCACAAAATATTAGTTACACTACATACATTCATGTCAGTTCTGAAAACCTCATCATATTCGTAAAGGTTGTGTTCGTCATCGTATTTTGTTGAACCAAAGTTCTATTGTGCTGCTGGCTCTCCTGCCTCCCACTCCCAGCCTCACCTCCTTGCTTCAGGCCCCAAAGAAGCCAGGAGACTACTTGTAGGCATTCCCAACTCGAGGAAGTCATTAATCTCCTCGTCCATGCTCTCCAGTAATCGCTCGCTATTCCAGATAGGCTTCCAGCCGATTAGATCTTTGTTCACGCAAACGACTTTCGGACTACAGAATCGCAAAATTAGCATTAACCTTCTCAAGGCTTGGTGATCGGTAGCCCGAGCTAATGGGGGAGGCTGGGGCTGACATACCTTGAATCCCATATGCTGTGCGCAAAATTCACCGGGACACCGAGTGACTCTGCTGCGAACGCGTCGCTCGGCCATATTTTGGTTGTTGGTTCGTCTACGAGTACGCGTGCGTGCATTGCTGCTGCTAATCGGTCGAGGATATCCCACCACCGGACGGAGTGGGACACGGTGAAGTAGTACCCTGATTGACACGCGGGGAGGGCTCTTTTTTGAAGGATTGCTTCGGTTAATTGTGCGTAGAAGGTTGTCAGGTCGGAGATGTGTGTTAAGACGACTTCCTGCCGAGGGAATTAGTATGAATTCAATATGTGAAACTTTTTTCGTGTCACCGCCGATATTATCTTGGGGGACTTACTTTGTCTTTTGGGAATTTGTATACCTGTTTATTTTTGATTGCAGCTTTGACGAGGGCGGGGATTTGTGGTGATAATCGGTTCCAGGTTCCACTGCCTCGTCCATCTTTGTCGTTGTTAGATGAGTTCCATATTGAGTTTGTAGTTAACTCACGAAGTGTTGGAGGCATGACTATCAGGCCTGTTAGGCCGGCTGCTTGTGTTTGTTCGGCGACGAGAACGTCAACCTATTCCATTGATTAGAAGGACTTCTTAAGTCAACATGAGGAGAGTGATAGAGACTACCTGCCTGACAATGTACGAGTCCGTACATTGTTTCTCGAGAAAATAGACTGGGTCAATATCTCTTACTTCCCCAAATGGCCAACCGGTGTTGTCATCGAAAGCCGATAGCGCGGAAGTCTATACACAGAGTCAGCAATGGCCGCATATACCCAATAGAATCGTGACGGTCTTACGTGAATGAAAAACGCTTTTTTACCATTAGCTTCACGACGCTTCTTCAGCGCCGTTATAAGATTTTGAGTCACCTCTGCGTCTATTGAGGTGGCAGTATGAATGACGATGCTAACTGGATCGACGAAGCATTAGCAGAGTAATAAACCATCCAAATTACATCCTCAACTCACCGTCATTGCGAATCATATACCCAGCCAGTGCATATGGATTGCTAAGATCAATTTTGACAACGCTAACATCTAACATCGACAAACTCTCAGCTTGCTCATCCGACCGGACTGCAGCATGAATTTTGGCCGTCTCAAGAAGACCACCCTTGTGGCGTGAAAATTCAGCGACAATAGATCCTCCGCTGTATACAAACAAATTAGCTCGGAAATGACACCCATAAGATAGAAAACATACATATAACCACATGCCCCAGTAACAAAAATATTCGCACTCATGTTGATGTTTGGGTGGAGCAGGAGAAACGCCCAGTCGATGCACAGGCCAGCGCTGCGGCTATCAAGCGCTCCAGGGTCTTTTGGATGGAGAACCCTGATGCCCGATTAGGCGGGGATAGTAGATCTAAACCCGCTTTGGGTCTAGTATGGTTGCGAGACCCGACCGGCGAAAGACTTTTGGAACGATTAATCTTGTTGGAGGAGAGCTGGAAACACGTTGCTTGCTTTTCTGGGGGTGATGTCAGTTCGGTAAGGGGCGGGGTAAAGATTATTGGGAAATTGGGGACGCGGTTAACCTTAATTGGGTTGGGAGTTTGGGTGTCAAAGCGTAATACGTCACTGGTAACTATGGGTCGAGAGAAGTAATCGTGGTACCTGTTCTCCACTGTATTCGAAAATAGAATAGTGTGTCGTGCGAAAGCGCAAGTTGGGGCACTATTAGCCTCGGCCTTTATTTACCAGGTTTTCCAGTTATTTTGTTATCACAATCCATGACCACTATTTGAGCCTTCAACGAAGGAGATGCTAAGTTTTGAAGCTTGGAAGTATATGTAGTCAACTAGAACGGTCAATGACTGTAAGACTGCTAACACCATTATACAATAAAAGGGCATACTAACACTATGAGACCCGTATAGATTCAGATCTACTTAAATGTTTGCATCTACATGGTCTAGTATTGGAGGAAGGCTTCAATCGGTACACACCATCAGTTCCACTGATGCAAGAACTTTCGGTTATATCCTTTAGGGATATTCCACTTTCTGCAAGAAGCTCTTAAAACCTTTGGAATGGGCAAATACCTGAGGAAACTCCATGCAATAGACAGAGACAGGGGCTTCAGAGTTCTCACTCCCAATCAATGAATCAATGAATCAATGATTTGCAATTTGGAAATCGTACGGGGTAGCGGGCCCCGACAAAATGCGTATATAGTAGACATTACCAGAAGCATAGAATGAACGAGAAAGAATCAATCGGTAAAACTACTTTATAATGTCTATCGAAGATTGAGGAGACAAAATCATCGTAATGACCATATTTCGAAAGATGACTCGAAAAATGTTGCTTCAGCTATCTGGGAGGACGGTTCAAAAGATATTCGGGAAGATCTTTCAGAAGAGAAGTGTATCTAGCTAGACCTCCTGTCTGATCTCTCATCATATTTCCGCCGCAAAGCGCAAGTTATTTATCCCACAATAGCGTCGAGATAACTGGTAGGAGACACTGAAAATACTCTGTTTCATACAGCTTCCCAAAAAGTCAAACCAGTGACAGGTCCGGTCCACGACTATGAGTAAGGCCATTAGATCAGGCGCATCTAGCTGTCCAGAACTGACCTCGAAAAAATTGCGCTACTCGAGCAGAAATTGCCATGTTTCAGGATTCGGTCCTTTGTTGACTGACTCGAACCATTTCTAATCGGGTAAGAAGTATCGCAATACAAAGTTTATCTTTTGAGGACATAGTGGAATATGAGAGGTGATCATTTCTTTGTTCAGGATTGATAAATTGTCCGCATACATGAATCGAACCTCCAACCTTGGTGTTCCCTATATACATCCCCATGTTAGTGCATCGCCATCCCACCGCACTGCCGCACCCTATATAAATCACCCCCTTATACCTCCTAACACTATCAAAATGTTATTAAAGCATTATATTAGTATAGTATAAAGCTCTAAGAAAGAAAACTATTAGAAAAAACAACACTACCAAAAAATAACCCCCTCCCCCCCCCGGCCTAGCGGTGTGCCCGGCCGTCCGTTGAGCTCGAAGCATCAACACTGGCCCAGTATTTTTTTCTTCTTTTGTTTGCCCACTCCTCCAGGGCACACCAATGGTTCACCAATTCATGGTGGATACCAACTAGGCCATCAGAGGGGGCGGGGGGTGATTGTTTGACCTGAAACATGGTGATAGCCTTTGTTTGCTATGATTGACTTGCCTCTTTGGTACAGTTTGGTAGAAGATGGATTTTCTTATCTATTGTACAGATCTATTTAAACAGTAAAAATACAAGTCAGGTCTTTCAACGGAGAGCTACCCACATACAACCCCGAGCAATGAAAATGCGATGCAAACTCGGTGCAGAGCAATGCCATGCCACGCCATGCCATGCAACACAAAGAAAAGGGAACCTAGAACACGACATTCACCAGTTTCCCACCCTTGACGACGATAACGCGTCGCCGCTTCTCCCAGTCATTCTTCTCCTGGAGCCACAGTTTGCCTTCGGCGGTTTCCAAGACTCGACTGATAATCCAGTCTTGTTCTTCCTGCGATGGGGCTTTACCGTGGGAGGGAGTGGTGATTGACGAGTCCATGCGCGGGATAGTCACGGCGCAACGCAGTTTTCCATTGATCTGGACTGCGACGGTTTGGCCCCCGCGGGCAGAGAGGGCCTCTGCTTGTTCTGTGGTGAGGAGTGGAGTTGGCCATGGGGCGGAGAGAATTGATGGTACTGGGGTTGAGGGATCCATGTTCTTGACGAGGGACTCGTGGAGAATCTCCCAGGACTCGGATGCAAGAGCTGGTGCGATTGGGGAGAGGAGACGGAGGAGAGAGGAGATTGATAGGTAAAGGGCGAGAGGGGAGGATGGTGGAGCCGATGACAAGGCGTTGGTCAGCTTGATGAGGTCTGATATGACGGTGTTCAGACCGTAGGGGTTTGTCTCGATGCACGATGACACGGATGATATGATGTTGTGCGTTGCCAGGACTGCATCTGCGTCGGAGTCGCTCAGGTCCTGGAGTGAAGGTGGAAGGGACACGACGTGGCCGTTGGAAGTCTCCAGATCGACCGCATTGATCGCGAAGGATGCGTCAGTCAGAGTTTGCTGTGTGTCGTGGACGAGCTTCCAAAGTCGACCGAACCAGCGCTCCACGCCGACGATCTTGGTCTCGTCCCATTCTAGGACTTCGCTGACTGGTGCAGAGAAGAGGATATGAGCACGGGTGGCATCTGCGCCATATTTGCTCGCGCAGACAGTGGGGTCAACACCGTTGTACTTGCTCTTGGACATTTTCTCGAAGGATACATTGGGCGTGATTGTGGTGCCTCTGATCAAAGGCTTGTCGGGGCTGGACAAGTCCACTTCCGACGGGAGCAAGAATCGGCCGGTGGAAGGCTCCGTGAAAGTCTTGCCGTGGACCATGCCCTGTGACAAAAGAGTCTTGAAAGGCTCGGCCGGAGTTTCATCAGAGTGAGAGATGGCTGGGAACAGATCCGACTGAGCAAGGAACTTGTAAATGAATCGAGCGTACAGCAAATGCAAGATAGCATGCTCCACACCACCGATATACACATCTACCGGCCGTGCAACAGAAGGCGAAAATGGAGCACCCTTGTTCGCAGGGTCCAAGAAGCGCAAATAATACCAAGATGAATCCACAAAGGTATCCATGGTATCTGTGTCGCGCTTTGCAGGACCGCCACAGCTGGGACAATTGGTGTGAAGCCATTTCTCGGACGATTCAAGTGGGTTGCCCTTCTTGCCCTTCAGCCATTCTCCTTCAATCTTGGGCAGTTTGACGGGCAGGTCTTTCGCAGGTACTGGAACAGGACCACAGTTACCACAGTGGATGATCGGAATAGGTGCTCCCCAATATCTCTGCCGGCTGATCAGCCAGTCTCGAAGTCGCCAGGACTCGACAAATTTGGCGTTTCCGACCTTTTCCAAGTCGGCCACGATCTGCTTTGCAGCCTCCTTCGAGTGCAGACCTTGATATTTTCCGCAGCGGGAAGTCAAGAAACCATCCTGGGTGAAAGCTTTGGCGTCCTTGGCAGATACAGTGCTGTCGCTCGTTGCATTTTCCGAGGATTCTTGTTCAATGACAATGGGGATGTACTCGGGGTTGACATTTTCTTTGAAGAAAGCCATGTCTCTAGTGTCGTGACCAGGGACAGCCATCACAGCCCCCTCTCCGTAGTCACTCAGGACATACGGTGCCACAAAGATGGGCAGCTTCCTCTGAACATGCGGACTTTCATTGTCAATCAATCGCAGGGGATGCGATGCAAACACATCATTCAGGCGATAACCGGCCTTCGAATCCGCCGGCAGCGATGAGGCTTCGTCCAAGAATTTGCGAAGTGCTGCGTCCTTCTCAGCAGCCTTGGCGACAATGGGATGATCCAGCGACAGTGCAAGGTACTCAACGCCATACAGGGTGTCCGGACGGGTCGTAAATACGGTGACTTCCTGGCCATCTCCGCCAACAGTGACTGGGAAGGTGACGTTTGCTCCATGTGATTTCCCAAGCCAGTTCCGTTGCATGGACAAAACACGCTCCGGCCAGCCCCCAGAAAGTGAGTCAAGATCTTTCAACAAAGCTTCTTTGAACTCGGTGATACGGAAGAACCACTGTTTCAAGTTCAACTTCTCAACCTTCGCGCCTGATCGCCATGAGAATCCATTCGCGTCCACTTGTTCGTTTGCCAGCACAGTCTTGTCAACGGGGTCATAGTTGACCAAGGCCTCAGCCTGGTATGCCAATCCCTTCTCATATAGCATCAGGAAAATCCGCTGTGTTTGCTCGTAAAATTCGGGTGCGCAGGTTGCCAGTTCCTATGTGATTGCCCCCCAGTCAGTCACCTCACTCGCACGCGACCGGTCGCAACTCTCGAATTTCCACTCACCCTGTCCCAGTCAAACGAAGCCGAGATACATCTCAACTGCTCCTTCATCTTCGTGATATTCTGCTTCGTCCAAGCCGCTGGATCCACGCCACGCTCGATCGCAGCATTCTCTGCTGGCAGTCCGAACGCATCCCACCCCATGGGGTGTAAGACATCATGGCCGCGCATCTTGTAGTACCGCGATATCACGTCAGATATCGTGTACACTCGAAGATGGCCCATGTGCAGTGTACCAGAGGGGTATGGAAACATCGAAAGGACGTAGGACTTGGGCTTGGGTTCTGAGCTCGTCTCCAAGGTCGGTCTTGATGACGCGCCCGTGGACTCCCATTTTGTTTGCCATTTTTTGTCAAGCGCTGGGAGATCGAGTTTTCGAGGAATTGACACGGTCGCTGCAAGGCGAATCAGACGATTTGAAGGGAAAAGAGGTGTGGGTGATCGGAGACCAGGGCGCGCGCATCGCCGAGTTTGCGCGAATGAAGGCGTCAATCGGAGTCGGTGAAATGTTTGCATGATGTCAAGCTCATCATGTCCGCAGGGAGACGAAAAGAGACAAGGTGAATCAGATTGTCAAACAAACGTTTGTTTACCTTTTCTTGAATTCCCTTTCCCTTTGATTGTTTGCTCGTTTGATCTTATCCGATCTCAGATGTTTTCCATCTGATGTTTTTTAGGAGCCTTCGCATGCCTGGCTCTACCTGAATACTCCACGGAGTACACCACAGATGATTATTAAGAGACTAAATGAGATGAGGGTATATTATCTCACTTCCGACTGTCTGACATCACAAGCCCAGCTAACTCAATTGGCAGAGTGCCAGACTTTTACAGATTAGCCATGTTCTCATGTCTAATTCTAGAATAATCTGGCGGTTGAGGGTTCGACCCCCTCGTTGGGCGATAGAAATCACTTCTGAAATCTTTTTTTGGTCTACAACTTATCAAGTATAAGGCTTTTTACATGGGTAGAGAGAGAAACCTTGATATTTGGTTTTTTTTTTGACATCAGAATTCTAGTCTCCAGGTTCAAGGAAATTAGCTGGTAGAATGAGCAGAGATAACAAATTATTCGAGGCAAATAGTACATGCACACGCATGACAGAGTAGAAATCTAAGGGGGTGTACAGTGGTGTTCCATAAGTCTTCGTCCATCCTCACTATACCGCCTCATTTTCCGCTCTCAGTCCGAGCTCTACTGGTCTCTAATCGACCAAAGGAGAGTCTTCAGATTATTTGAATATAGGTTTCATTCAATATTGGACATGTGAATCTATCTACTAGCTTAAAAGCATAAATTTCGAGCGGGTGAGGCAGGAAATGGAGAGATTATTTGAACGGCAGCCTATTATGTCATCACCAGACTTAGTTATGAAAACCACTGTAACTAGTAGCCTAGCAGCAGTAGGCGATGTATGATGAATGAATTGTCTGTGTATCTTGGTCATCGCATGGCCTACAAGAAGTAACTATGACCTTGGCGTTAGGTCCGAGAACGAGAAAGAGAGGACGCAATTAGATAATACATATATCAGTCAGACATTTCTGGAAGGAGGCGAATATTTATCCATCTACTCTGTAGCGTGGTCGCCATTCAACTGAACAACATTTCCTGCGCTCGGTCGACTTAACCGGTCCCTTTCATAAGTTACCATTTATTACGGACCCTTGCAGACAGTTAGGTACTGTATTTCGATGTGCTTTCAGAACCTCTGTGTATTTTTCTCTCCACCTAACACAAGTGGGTGCATCTCCTGTAAGCTTGTTACATTATTGGATAGTCTTATTAGGTCTTTTAGTCGGAGTAATCACTATAACTACTGTAATATCCAAAAGACTGCTATCATATCCGAGGCGTCAGACACCCCCGAAGGATATTTTCCTCTCAACGGCTACTACAGATACATAACAAGCAATAATTCTAATTTCTATGTGAACATCAAGCCATCTTGATGACACCAGCTGTACAACGAACGATGAAGGAGAAAAGGAAAGCCACCTACGACGAGGCTAGACTGGAGTTGATACTGAGAGACTGCAACTACTAGGCGAAGCGTAAAATAATGACGGCCCTCTAGCCAAGCGACCGAACACGTACTTCCACACCTGCACTATTCATATCCGACATCAGCGAAATATATATATGGAACCAGTGAGGGAGACATCCGGCTTTCGGGGGCAATTCGCCCACCTGAATATTCTTCACCCAAGGACTACCTAGGGTGTAGGGCAGGCTGGCAAAAGGCGCATTTGCACATTTGGCACAGGGAAAGATTTCGAGAAGCGGCTGGCATGGAGAGCGATGATGGATGAATTATAAGTCCGCGCTGGGAGCGTCTAGCAGCGGGCTCCCGCCATTCAGCCTTCCCTCTCCACCTCGTCTTCCAGCTGGCCCAACGATCAATATTCATCCTCACAATGACCAAGAGCAAGGATCAAGCCGCAAAATTTACCTTCATTGTGAATTTCGACGACCAGGACAACTCAGAAATCTTACGTGCCGTTCTCTCGAGAACTAAAAAAGACTACAGGCGTGTACTTTGTATCTTTGATGAGTTAGTACCTCTTAAAAATGTTGATGGATTTACGTTTTGTGATGGATGGTGTTAATTGTGTGTATAGTTAGAAGCATCACTGGAATCGTCAGGGTGAAGAATGATCAATTAAGAGAGAACAAAATCGGCTTAACTATTAGATAGAGGAATCAAGCAGTGGAAGGTTGATTCGGATGGTCAAGTACGCCTGGGTTCTACCCGTGATCACAAGGCTTCCGCATTTATCCTGGTTCATCGCAAAGGTTGCGCCACGAGCTAATGTCGCTCTATCAATAACGCATAACTCTTTAGCTAGCTGTTCTATCATGAGTCCATCATGCAGCACTCAGCAGTGCAAAGTGCGTTTTAAGGAGTTCAATAACCAATAGCAATGGCCCAGCAGGCGCCGTTAGCAATCTGGAGTTCGGGGAATCACGGAATATGGGTCCATTGGAGATGCTAGTCAGGGGTAAGGCATCCTGATGCAGTCTGGTAGGTGCCAAGAATCCCACCCTTTGGGCCGAATTAGGGAGGCGGTAAGTTCGAGCTGGGACCAAAGCGGGAATGAGGCTTCCACCGGAAGTAAAGGAAATCAACTTCCCCTGTACACAGGCCCCGGCGGGTAGGGATGCATCTCTAGTAAAGGACTAATGCAAGCATAAGTACGGAGAGGAGGCGCTTACCCAATGGTGTCTGAACTAAAGCGCCACCACGGGCGGACACTGCATGTACAGCGCCTCGTAGACTTGCTTCACGTTAGCAGATAGGGCTAATGCATCTGATGCGCTCGTTGTAGGAGCCCCAGCATTCAGTAATGTGGATACTATGTTTGCCTATAAATCGCGTGTCTCGCCCCTATCTCTGCGCCTATTCTTTCGGTTTATTTCCCCTGCAGCTAAGTAAACGCTTCTAATCTACGGCAAGTCTTTGCTTCTCTTGAATTCGCATACTTTTATGTGAAGATTTCTCATTATGTCTTCCTCACTCGATGAGAATGTTCTCAATCAGCTGAAAGGTGAACAGTCGGATCTCTTGGACAAGATCGATGAGCTGCGGACCATCGGTGTTGGGAGCCTGGTGGAGCTCCCTCAGATCGTTGTGTGCGGAAACCAGTCCAGTGGGAAAAGCTCAGTTCTGGAAGCTATCTCAAGAGTGCGCTTCCCGGCCAAGAGTAATGTTTGCACTCGGTTTGCGACGGAGATTGTTCTTCGCCGGCACTCTCATAACAGAATCAAGGTATCTATCGAGCCAGGAAACTCTAGAGAGGATGCTCAAGTGCGGGAAAAGCTCCGTGCCTTTACTTCGGAGTCATTTTCTTCTGGTGAAGACCTTCCCGCTCTAATTGAATCTGCGAAAGAATGCATAGGACTATCAAGCATCGAGAACCTTGCCTCAAACTCTGGCTTTAGCGATGATGTGCTGAAAGTCGAAATTTCCGGTCCCGATCGACCAGAATTAACTCTGGTCGATCTTCCAGGACTTTATTACTCCACAAGCAGTGATCAGGGCGAGTCGGGAATGAACATAGTGCAAAGTCTCACAGAAAGTTACATGGAGAGCCCTCGCACTATCATCCTGGCCGTGATCAGCGCACGAAATGACTTTCATATCCAGAAAGTGTTGGATATCGCACAAAAGTTTGATCCTAAGTACGAGAGAGTCTTGGGAATTGTTACCCAGCCTGACATCCCTGGGGCTGGGTCAGATGACGAAGAGTACTATTTGCAGCTCGTCGGGAATGAGAAGGTCAGATTGCAGCTTGGGTGGCACGTTTTGCGCAACCGCTCTTTTGAGACGGCGAATCTTTCAGATGATGCACGTGACGCTCAAGAGAAAGACTTCTTCGAAAGAGGCCGATGGGCTTCCCTTCCTCGCGAGCAAGTGGCTATCGAAAGTCTTAGGTATCGTCTCAGCACCATCCTACTTTCACACATTCGTCGAAATCTTCCTGGCCTCATCGTCGACATACAAGACAAGATCTTTCGCAACGAGCGAGCACTCGCTACAATGGGTACATCCCGAGCAAGTGTCCAGGAGCAACGTCGATTTCTTATTGATATCAGCAGCAAATTCGCGCGCATTACTAATCAGGCATTGAATGGGTCGTATGTTGATAAGTTCTTCGGCGGCTACAAACATCATACAGCGAACAATAAGGAATTCCCTTTCCGTCGTCTTAGAGCTATTGTTCGTGAGCTTAACGAGTGCTTCGCCCACGCGATGACTATCCGCGGAAGTCGGCGGATTATACACCTATCTTCGCAACCTCCTTCTGACGTACTGCAAGAGATATCAAAGCCATATATGGATAACTGGACTCCGAAGTACATCACGCGAGAGTCATTGAAAGAAGAAATAAAATATCAAGCGCGCGAAAGTCGAGGGATTGAGCTACCTGGAAATGCAAATCAGCTTCTTGTTGGAAGCCTATTCAGAGACCAGTGCCAGCCTTGGAAGAAGATCGCTGAAGCTCATATCTTAAATGTGTGGAACTCAGTGGAGTACTTCGTTCAACTTGTACTGAAGTATCTTATCGACGATCACACCCGTGTCTCTATTATGCGGCATATCATTTCACCTAGACTGGAGAAAATGAAGGAGAGACTGATGGTGAAGCTCGAAGAGATTAGCTCCTACTACAACCGCGGCCATCCGCTTCCTGTGGGAGACTTGTTCCTCTCCAAAATTCAAGAGTCACGGAAAACGCGCCAGCTCGCCGCTTTGACGGAAAGTCTCGGTATGGTTCCAGCTGGCTATTTCATGGAGCCAAAAACAGTCAACTACGAGCATTTGAAGCAGGCTGCGGACAAACTACACTCATCCAGCGACGAGTTTGGTGCCGAGCAGATTATTGATCAAATGCAAGCGTACTACGACGTGAGTTATTGCGAGTACTTTTGACAGAAGCTTAACTAGTGCTAACCCCTCATCTAGACAACAATCATAACCTTCGTCGAAAACGTTGCCATCCTTGCAATCGAGAATTGTCTCCTTTTCCCTCTAGAAAATGTTTTCTCCAGTCAAACTGTTGTAGACATGGATGATGAGCAGATTCAGAGAATTGCAACTGAGCCTTCTGAGACCCAGAAGGAGAGGACACGCCTCAACGAAGAACTTGACAAGCTACGAAGGGGCAGACAGACACTTGATGCCTACAAACAGGAGGAAGTTTCATTACCAAAGCCCCCTATCTTGGGTAACTTGTTTCCTCCTGGGAATGGAGTCAAAGACTGAAAAACCGCTGACCAATGCAAATTTCCCTTAGGACTACCAACTCCACAAACTCAAGCTCCGCGTTTCAAAGTATACGTCTCGCAGAGAAGTAAGCTCCCGTGAAGCTAGATATACTCTTTGCCAGCACTTTGCTTATAGTTCAAAGACGCCCAACAGACACCAGCGAAGAACACCGCCCAAGGCCTACCTCCTGTGACAGACCAGAAGACCCAGTTTGCACAGAGTTCTCTGTGCGGCCCTCCACCGAGCGGGAAGATGGTTCCAACCGCTATCTGTCAGTGACCATTCCAACACAGGATTTCCAAGCCACAGGTCTCTAACTATTCAACCACAAGCAGTCGGGTCTGCAGCTCCAGCTCCTAGTTCACAACCATCCAAGTATCCACCCAGTTCACCTTTTGCGGCCCCCACGGGGCAGGGCGGGGCAACACCCAAGGGATTTGCATTTAATAATGTGACACCTGGTGGCTCTAGTTTGTTTGGCAAAAGCCTTTCTCCGTCTCCATCACAACCTAAGTCTGGAGTCTCATCACCACCTGCTAGAGTCAATTTATTTGGTACTAGTAGCGCCGCGCCCAGCGGAGCCGGAAGTGGTGGATCTGAGACCTCCCCCTCTGGCCTCAGCAACCATGCTCTAAAGAATGACGCTACGAAGCCCCCGAAAACCCAGGGGTTCACAAATGGGTAGGTCAAAGTACGCAATAAAGAGGTTATATCTTAATCATCTGTTCGTTTCATCAGATTCTGTGAGGCAGATACCAGTTCAAGTCCTGGGGTTCTGAATTGTTACCAACATATTTGCTCTACGTCCCCGTTCAGCAAATACTCGCCTGAGGTTTGTAGAACAATCTATCTGGCATAATAATGGAGGACTAGGACAAAAACGTGCTCGTGCTGACACTCAAGTTTGTAGGAACTCCGTCTTGGAGATTACTCGTGAACTAAGTAATCAGGGTTATCTCCCTCGTGAGAATTAGGATTGATCCAGGTCAAGCTTTTGTGACTATGCATACACTGATAGGCCAAAAGTCTGTTGACACGGGTGATTTCCTAATTAGTTAGCCTCTACCCACCGTACCAGATTTGTTCCTACGCTTCTAAAACGCTTCCAAATCAATCAAAATCAAGATATATCATAGATCGATGGCCAATCTATCCACCTAGAATAATATTTGGTATAACAGCCCCTAGCTACTAGAACCTCTTTGATCCTACGCTGTTGACTAAGGATTAAGCGATTAATCGTATCCTGATTAAGATGGTTCCGCGAAGGAATCGATCAAAGCAGCTCTAAAATCAATCCAGTCAACGTTACGCCTGCACCCGTTAGCCGAATTTGAATATTGCCTGAATAATTCGCGTTTTAATTGGCTCTAAACCGGTTTGATTGGGTTAAGATTAGGCAAACGTGGAGGCTATTCCATCACGTATATCCTATGCCTTTCAAACTAGTATTTAGTAGCTACCGACCGGTGAATCGGTGCGTTATCTTGCTAATACATAAAATTAGGCTCGCAGAACGATAAGAGATCCTGCTCGAATGCTTCGATCTACGAATTCGTTGAATAACCGCCGCGAGGAGGATCAGGATCCCGTTTTATAACCACTAGATCCGATCGACTACTAACCCAAATTATAGCGTATACTATAAGCGATATATCGCGCTCATGTGTAGTAAGGCTCACAAGGTCTGGTCTCAAGGCCTTATCTTAGAATCGGAAGATAATTTGAACCGGTGAATTTGATCTACATTGCACTACATTCATCAGAGAATATCATATCCTCCTAGTGATTGAATCGCGTCCACTAACGGCACAATTTTCGGCAGTATTTTGCATTATCAGCTATTCAGTGGATTCGCTTCTTTGATTTTTACTTGCGAAGGTTGAATCACCGTAGAATGCGCTGAACTGTGCGTTTCGATATCGATTCGTCAAGATCGGCGATTATCGCTTTGTAGCTCCAGCGAGGGTGTTTGCGCACGAGTTCACAGATGTATCGTTTTTGGCGACCGGTAGACTTACGGGGTCTACCCTTGCGAGGCCTTGATTTGATAAATTGGTCGCGTTGCCAGTGATCGCGCGTGTTGTATAATGTTTAGCGTGAGACGTTATGATTCTCTGCAATTTTGGTGACGGATTGCTTGGCAGATAGGCTTGCTAGGATCGATACGCGCTGCCCAATAGATAGCTCTACATTTCTTCTACGATTTCGACTAATTTCTGTGTCAAATGAGCGCATTTTGATCGAGATAGGGTAATTGGAAGAAGATGGGTGGCAGGGGTGCGGCCCGCGTTGTTTACGTGTCAACAGACTTGTATCATCCCATGGAATATATGTCCTTCCAGCGTGCTTCGCGATGTTTAATTTTATGCCCGCGTTTAGTGTAATTTCTATGTGCTTGCCACAATAAGCCCTAGGTACAGGCCCCAGCCGAGCTCGGGACCGGGCTAAGGTTAAGATGGGTCACTGCGAGATGATGGCCTCTGGATGGCAAACAACCTACACCCTGTCTGGTAGACCACCAGCCCGCGGACGGTTCAGGCCATGAAACCGTGATGGGTAGGCCTACCACACTGTAAAGTGCATACGACCTCTGGATATGCCGAGATGATCTCGACTCCGAGAAATTGGCACAGAATGCTCATCACGATTTCTGTTGGGTTATTTCAATAAGAGCGAGCCATGAATTTCTGCGCCTCTTCTTTGGTCAGAATCTTCACTGCGTCCGTGGAGAAGAGAAAACCAAAAGACCAGACCAGATGGTTGCAATAGCCACGGTGAATCTATTTTCCGTAGTCAGCTCTGATGAGGATCAATTCAGGCCACCCAGAGCAGTGAAGTTAGGACACGAGTGGGAAGGACGGTGGAGGGAAAGTTTAGCCGAGGTGTCCATGTCAGCGCTTCAGGGGTGTTCAGGGCGTTCAGGTGAAGAGGCCTGAAGGAGCTGAAGAGTAAAGCAAGGATACAGTATTATACTTGTCTCAGAATCACAAAATGATAAAATGAAAACAAAAACATACAACAGCCATACTATGGCGATACTCACCTAGCGCCCACCATTCGGTCGTGGGCGGCTCGCCGCTTTACGCACTTGGGCTTCAGCAGGCTTCAGGGGGCAGTTCACCCACCTCAATCGTCTTCACCCAGACGGGTGAAGCCCTTTCCCAAATATGCTTTTCTGCGTCTCTATCAGGGGAAATATTTCGCGATGCGGGAGCCGATACCATGTCCTTCCCTTTTATGCAGTTGCTACTAGTTGCCCTTACACCTTTTTCTATGCCTCCGTTTATCTCCTACCGTGTCGCTAGGAGTTTGACAAATTCTGGGTCAAAACTTTCACAGGATTGATCCATGAAGCTGCCTAGACAGAAATAAATTACTCTCTATTGCACACGTCTAATGCTAGTCGAATCCCCTCAGTCAAACTCGTGCAGGAAGACGGCAATCATGCGCCTCGGATCTTATCTATCATCAATCCGGGTTCATCGCAGAGATCCCTGCCAAGCAATGTACTGATCGGGTCTAATTATCGTAAGCTCCGCTGGATACCTCGTTCGAGCAAGTGACGCAGACAGCTGTAACCTCTTCAAGGGCATTCCAACGTGACGAGCGGCGGCAAGTATGTTCTGGACATTCTCCTCCACAGCTCCCACGTCCAGTAGTGTAAACTCCTTTCCAAAATGATCCAGTAAAGGCGAACTGTCGGGAAACCAAAGATGAGGTGCACGATGACCTGGCGATGCGTGGGGCCAGAGTTTGGTTCCATCATATGGTGCACACTTCCAGTCATTGTTAATGATAATGGGCGATGTATCATATCGCTGATCGAGTGCAAGGATCGGGCTTTCTCTGCTGATAGATCCTGAGAAAAAGTCTCTCCTTTCTGCAGCTCGTCAAGTCAAACATCTGACTTCGTACATTGGAACAGAAATCGTAGGAGTCCAGCTGAGTCAACTCACCCCCCAGCAGAAAGATGATCTAGCACTCCTGGTAGCTGAGGTAAGCCTGATCTCTTTCCCGTAGTTTTATTTCTCAAGAAAAGACGGGATTGCCCATTGACTTGATGCACAGCGGGGTGTTGTCTTTTTCCGAGCCCAGGATCTTACCCTGGAGCAGCAGCATGGCTTTACCGAGCATTATGGCATTGTATGTATCTGAAATTCGAGAGTTCTGCTCATCTGGATTCCGAGACGCTGATAGTCATCTCAGCAAGATCGTGATCCAAACCAAGTCGATCCGCGTCATGTCGCCATCCTCGGTCGTGGGGGGTATGGGTCAAATATAGGTCGCAACCACATGCAGTGCGCTAACAAATGAGAGCAGTAATATCCGCCAATATGGGCGCACTGGAAGTGGAGAATACCACTCGGACCATTCGTTCGAAATCAACCCTCCGGCATATACTTTGCTACGGGTTGTCAGGACTCCAGAATTTGGTATGTTATGCAAGTTCCTCCTCATTTTCCTGTCTAATCTTCTACCAGGTGGCGATACGATCTTTACTAGCCAGACAGCGCTGTATGATAAGCTGAGCCCAACTTTTCAGAAGACATTTGAAGGACTGCATGCTGTTCATAGCTCGGATGTAGGCTTCTTTTATTTTCTAAGGCACCAATCGCTTCTGAAATCTAGTTGCTGACCTACTGAACCAGCAATATTTCCTAGATGCTGTCAATAACGATGTGAAGACCTTCCGGTATCCAGTCAGAAACGAACATCCACTGGTATCGATTCAAATTTCAATTGGCAAGTGACAAATGAAACCTGAATGCTAATGTATCCTTGACCACAGATCCGCACTCACCCGGTTACCAACCTCAAGTCCCTCTTCTACAATCCCAGCTTTGTGATCCATATCTCTGAATTGAAGAATCAAGAGGCAATACATACTTTAAACTTCCTGCGGGAACATCTCCATTCCGCGGACGACCTATCTGTTCGCTGGAAGTGGGAGCCCGACAGTGTCGCATTCTGGGATAATCGTGTCCTCGTTCATCGAGCTGTTCCTGGGGGTTACAATGTCGAAGAACGTGAGGGAAAGCGCACGGCTATTTATGGAGAGAAACCATTTTATGATCCTAAGGGCCAGAGTCTCAGCGAGTGGAAAGAGACCCATTCTCTCTGATTAAAGAGGGTTTGAACCCAAGGCTGGAATTTGAAATTACGGGAAGCTGTTGTTAGGAAGTTGTCATCAGACACACGTCTGCTGTGCGATGTACATACATATGGGGGATCGCTTCTGAAAGGGGAGGGAAAAATTGACAAAGGCAATGCTGGGTGTTTAGCGTATGCAAACGAATAACAAAAATGCATGATCAATGATTGAAAACAAAAACATACAACAGCCAAAAGTATGGCCGACCTCATCTAGCGCCCATCGTTTGGTCATGGGCGACTCGCCGCTTTATTCAGGCGGGCTTCAGGTGGCTTCAGGCGGCAGTTCACCCACCTGAATATTCTTCACCCGAAGAGCTTCGAAGGTGCAGGGTACGCAGGCAAAAGGAGCATTTGCGCTTTTTAGCACAGAGAAAGATTTCGCGAGCGGCCGATATGGAGAGTGACGAAGGATGAAATAAAAAGACGTGCTGGGAGTGTCCAGCAGCGGTCTCTCACCATTCAGTCTCCCTCCCCTCGCCCGTGACTAGACCAAACAACCAACATTCGCTCTCCAAATGACCAAAAGTAAGGTCAAGCTGCTAATTTCACCTCTGTGGTGAATTTTACTGAGTATGATAACTCAGAAATCCTGCTTGCCGTCCTCCCGGGGACCAAGGGGGACCACCTGGACGGCCATTGCGTTGAGATTATAACAAGACTACGTCACGTTGCCGTCGGTGGTCCTAGCAATCGACTTTTGATGTCCCCCTAGAACAAAGCGAACACTTTTTTGTCCGTCTCACCAGCGCAAGAAAGAGGAGCCTGTGTATAATCCCGTCCCTCATGGCATCGCACACAGCCCTTGAGCTAGGTACCGAGGGCTCTAATGGTAGCTTTCTCGCTGACCTAGGACCACCGATTAGAAGGTATCCATATAGGGATATCGACCAGTTTCTGAATACTTTGAAGATGGAATTATGTTGCCAACAAGAGGATTTTGTCGTCAGTGAATGGGTGCTCTTCACGGGGGTTAAGCAGCAGACCTTCCGTCGTACCTTCCTCGACTCGCACGAGGACGACAAAATCCTTTCTCGTTGCTGGAATTCCTACGACTCCTCTCAATACCTGCTTCTCGTCAAAATGACAGTCTCTCGCGCACATGAGGTCGCTGCACATGAGTTCGAAAGATTCCTATTGCGTTCTCTTATGCCAATGGGTATCGACCTCGCACTTAAAACTTTTGGATCCGCCTCGTGCGTTGCAGACAACGGTTCTGCCAAACAGCCCGACTGCCAATTCCTGCCAAAGAGACCTCCTCGAGCCCGATCGAAGAAGTGGCCCTCGCTTGTTGTCGAGGCAGGCTTTTCAGAGTCCCCTTCGAAGTTAATGTCCGATGCTAGGTTCTGGCTTAAAGAATCCAGGGGGGACGTTCAAATGGTCATCACGATCAAGATTGGTCGAAGCACACCCGAGATCGTGCTGGAGATGTGGGAGCTTGTCGATGATAGGGTCAAACACACACAGGTGGTTACCATCAGCAAAGGGGAGAACAACCGTATCTACATCCCGGGTCCGCCGCTTATCATCCACTTCAACAAGCTCTTTCTTCGCCAGTCCAGCATTCCCAAGGAAGCAGATATAATCTTTGACGAGTCGGTTTTGGAGATAATTGCTACGAATGTTTGGGAGGAGCAAGGTTTCTGACTGTGTCTAGTTCAACTTCGCTCGTGGTATCTGTCTCGTAGGAGCCCACTGTTTGCTATTCTTAGAGTTTCTCTGCGAGCACTCAATACATATTTAGATTAAAAACGACATCTTTAAAGGATTTTCACATGAAACTAAGTGGGGACTTTGGGTAACTTTGCTTGGGCGTATTATTTTGCTCCTGGTTTGTTCAGACTGCCCTTCAGTATGAAGCAATTGAATCTCCATAATCAGTATGATTCTTGCCCGACGTACAGTAATTGATTAGAAACGCATCCCGGTTTTCCTAAGGGCTTCAGCTGCATCGACTCTACGAAGCACCTCCTCACGTCAAGAACAAGGTAGATATTCGCCTCAAGTGGACTGGACAGAATTATAGGAACGACCGTAGCTTTTCTAGGTCATTCTGCTTGCATAAGTTGAAGTAGATGATATTGTTACGCTCAGGCACGAGGTAGATATCAATCACCAAGTGGTAGCATTCACGACGTAACTAAGCATGAGAGAGAGAGAGGAAGAAGGAAGAAGGAGAGATGGCGAGAGAGCTATCTAAATAGTAAATTGATGCCTTAGACACCAGGCATCAACATCAGGCACCAAACACATAGCAAACATGTTGAATCGTAACAGATATAGCATGATTCGTCAAAATTAAAACAAAGTACTGATTAGCAAAGACGATTTCTAGCGATTACACAGCGTCCTAGGACTTCACATTCTTATATCCACCGAGGTGCGGGGTCGGCGGTGCCGGAGTCGATACCAAAGAAGTATGCACGTTGCATTCGACGACGGTGAGTTTTATCTTCCAGGGTCGTTGTGTACAATGCGATAGCCTTTTCTTTTTCCTCAAATGTAACACAATGAAAACCCCGACGCCTCGCGCAACAGTCACACTCCATAGTACAGTGGCCTGCTGCTCGCCGTCTTTCTGTAGCCTGCACACGTTTTTCGCAGCACCCACAGTCACTGCCACAACACCCTCCGTTCCCAGCGCAGTCGTTGACAAGCTCGGGATGGAGATACCATTTTGGATTAGATCGCCACAAATTGTATGCTCTGAGGAAAGCACCCTTTGGAAGCAAAGCTTCCTTCATGTATAACTCCCGTTCAATATACCAATATGCCCTAGGCGGGACTTCCAGTACTTCAAGCCGGTCAGGAATATACCCCTCCGCTTGCTGAATACCTGCTCTCACTGCCAACGATTGATTTTGATCCGTCATGTGTTCCTTCAGCCGTGCACCCTCCCGAAGATGCTGATACTTTTCCTTTAATTGTACCCACTGTCGAAGAAGGTGTTCTAGGCGCATGATCTCCATGAAAAGTTCCTCCAGCTCATCAGTTTTGAGACGCTCCTTCGTGATGTAAAGACTGGAAGTATACAAGCGGAAATGTTGTATTGAACGAAAACTTCCATGCCGTGTTAGCAGGGTATCCACCCAGTCACATAATGGAATCAGAAGTGAGCCTCGCATTCTGCGCAACTGGGCGAGGAGACTTGGAGGCAAAGTAGCACTCAAGCGCGTTTTGACGGATACGTGTGGTGCGATGGACGGATGTGGAGGTATTGGGACACAGAAGATATCGGGAAGTTGTCACAGATAGCAAATACTCTTGAGAGGGATATACAGAGGTTGGGCCGCCTCTAAAAAGAGTTCGGGATTTCTTTACATGGCAGGGTGCTTCCTGTTAAAGTAAAGTAAGATTGGCCCTGACTCAGGTCCATGACGGCTTGGTTCCATCACAGTCGTGACCGATCGGGAAAAGTACCAGGGGTATTGAATCATTTAGCCAATACTTTTGATTTGGTCCGACTTTCGCATATCCTGGCTAACTTTTGAGTTTAGCGCTCCTCGCTTTGAAGATACCCAGGCGTTCTGAGGCTTCATTTCTTCCTAATCAGGCTCGTCTCGAATACAGTACTGTATGGGCCTCCTAGTCTTCTTCTCTCCTCCTTCGTCAATTCTTTCTGAAACTTCTTTCTTTGAAGTAGGCTTAGATTCCCCGGCCGGGGCTAGAAGGGGATTTCTTCATAGTTGATCGCTCTCCAATTAGTCAACACCTGTTAAACTGTGGAGTTGACGCTTCCCAGGGCCTGAGTGTTTAGGCCACTGAGGAACCCTTACTCCGTACACACAGATACAGGCCGCTCAGGCCGCTCCCCGGCCTCGGGGAACATTCTGCCGTAATAATAATTCTCCCCGAAACCATACCTGCCAATTTCAAAAGTTGGCCGCTGTCGGCCGCCTGGCTACCGTTAAATTGTTTGTTTGGCTCGTGTCGTCCGCCTTGCTTGTATTTAAGGAAGGATGTTGCGGTCATGGGGGAAGATCAACTTCTAGAGAGAGTTTGATGAAAAAGTTAAGCGTCTTGGTCTGACGGTCCATTAGTAGTCAATTTTCTCGCTCTACCGTCACAATTTCCGCTGAAGCTATACAAGAAGAGTATACCATGGCAATGCTTCATGCCACAAAGATGGGGACTTATAATTGGGTTGACCCTGATCAAGGTTTCGCAGATTGAGAGAGTTTAAGTCTTGATTCATCCCTGTAGACCACATGTAAGATCTCGATTATCACATCTTCTAATGATCTCTTTTCGCGCTGGAAGCATGCCGCACTCGGTACTTTCTAGTATGAACCTTCCACCTTCCGGGTCAATGGTTCCTGCATCTATAATGGCACTCGGTCCCACAGAGTGATAATTCAAGCGGAATAGCTCCTTCCTGCCCGTATAGTAAACAATTGACTGTCAACAAATGGCTCTCATGCCCACTCCTTGTGCTGTAGTCCCATTTTTACATCAACAACCATCTTCAACCCCCGCCATACACTCATTTTTCAACTTTCATCTCTTCAATCCTTACCTCCTCGGCCGATTGGTGCCATCAGTATGGACCATAGAGTCGTCATCTCGACCCTTTTGCCCATTTTGGCGTTTTCTGGCGTTTCCTTGTGGTTTTGTCGGTTTGTAGCCCCCATTCGTCTACTCCTCTCCCGATCCTGGGGCGAATGGGAAGCCGTACAATGAAGACTTTTGCTTACATGACTCTTTGTAGCTCTGCGGTTGCTGGCGTTTACAGTCGTTTGCGCAATTCTTCAGTTAATGAAGATCTACGTTCTTTTTGGGTACTCGCTACCCTTGGCGAGAGTAAGATATCTTTTCCTACAAGAATATATTTCAAATCAGCTGAAACTCTTTGATCTTCGAGTGTTGAGCCGCTGCTGCTGCCCCTCGCACGGTACTCAGATACCGGAGCTGACGGTATTTCACTACGCCAATGACCTAGAGATGGGTCCCGTCGTCGCCCCTTCGTTGGCCCCCAGACCCTTATGCTTTAAGCTAATTATGCCCAGCCAGTCTCTTGGTACTAGCGTTGGGCATCAAAAATTTAGGGATGTTCTAACCAGTCCTTATTCTCATGGTTCCCGAAATCGCTCCCCCATCATCAGATTGAACCCATCATCGGAGTTGATAAGGGGGATGGCTAAAAAATGCAATTGATCTCGCTCAACACAGGAGTATAGCGATTCTACTTGCTATAACAGCTTATTAATCCTATTATATAACCCCAGGAATTTGGCCCTGTTCCGATAATGGCCTAATCAGATGTGTATGACATCAGCATAATACGAGGTGACCTAAAACTTGAAAACATGCTATGCACGCTTTCGTATCCTCTACACAAATTTCTTCTTGAAAGTTTTTCTCAGACTCCATATCAAGACGAGGAAGCTCACAATGCGGGTTACAGTTGTACCAGCAAGTACAAAGTCAGGTGTAGCAACCATCAGGTCGCTACTCAGCAAGCCTGTGCAGGTTCGTGGAATTTACAGAGATCTTTCCAAGATCCCTGCTACATTTTCTGCGGATGCCAACTTCTCCGCTATAGAGGGCAATGCGTCAGATGAGGGTGCGCTTGATCTGACGGGATCTGATGCTGTTCTTGCCATTATACCACCCGTTTTTGACGGTCGGGATCCGATCGAACATGCGAAGAAGCTATCTTCAAATATCAAAACGGCAATCGAGATGGCTGGCAATGTTAAGATACTCGTTCTGCTCAGTAGCGGCGGGGCTGAGTTTAGTGAGGGTGTTGTACGTATACAATCTCAAAGCTTATGTATGATCTTGCTGATCACGAAGGCAGGGCGAAATCAAGACAAACAACAAAGCGGAAGAAATACTTCGACAAACGAAAGTTGAAAGCATTGTATTTGTCCGATGTGCCTATTTTATGGAGAACTGGACTATGGACCTCGCCACCCTCAAGGGCCCAGATCCATTCTTCTTTTCAACGATTACGCCTGTGGACTATAAAATTCCGATGGTCTCCGTCTCGGACATTGGTACTACTCTTGCCGAACAGCTAATTGACAAAGCGACTCTAGCAGAGAAACCATATATAGTTGAACTGCATGGTCCTCAGAATTATAGTCCCCTTGACGTGCAGGCGGCATTTGCAAAGGCGCTCGGAAAAGACGTCGAGTTGCGACCGGTGGAAAAGGACAATTTCCGCAAGTTCTATGCGCAGATTTTCCCTCCCTCAATTCTCGATTACTGGGTCGAATTAGCGATGAGTATCCTCCCCGATGGCAAACTTGGTACGGAGTACATGCTCCACCCCCGGGGCCCTGTCCTTTATGGGCGCACAGATCTCGAGACGGCCATCAAGGCGAGCATCGGAGCATGATTCCCATATTGCATGTGAATTTCTCGAATACGAGCTATGCTATTTCCTCTGGTCATACATCATGGGGCCATTGAGTACAGATGTTTCTTGAAGCTATCCAGAGCCCTTTTGGAAAAGCCCATGATCTGGTTGAACAGCACCAAGGAGTGATTTGTGTCTTGTCTTTGAGCTAGTCTGATAACGAGCGCGGATTCTAAGAAGCTATATATTCTACTAAAATACATTACTGCGATGACTAGAGGGACAAGAAAAACATCATGCTAATTTTCGAAGGGAAGAAAGGGCAAAGGAAAGTTGGATTATGCCCTCAGAAACTTCCTGTCAGTCATATGTTTCTCCAGGACCCTTTCGGGCTGGCGATACAGTAGCTGCGTATAATGGAGGTTTTTATCATCACTGTCCACGCGAAAAGTCTACGAGCAATAAATGGTGAAGAACAGAGCGATGTGAGGAGGAAAAAGAAGAAGATAGATTTGGTGGGCGGGACTGCGTTGAATACCTCCCACTCTTACTGAATTATGCTCCGAGGTGCAAACTTCCATGGCCGCGACTTTTTTAGGGAAGTTTCGCCTGGGCAATTACTATCTAGGTCTAGCACTTATGGAATGGAGGTTACTTCATCTGATTGAGTACTCCGAATACAACAATGTCCTTCCACCATGGATACAGAATACATTGCAGACGCCGAAGCTGCGAAGGAAGCCGGCTGGATCCGGATCTTCATCAACGACCTTCTAGACAATCCAGATTTGGGGACGGATGGTGATTCTCCCTCTCACGCCCATTTTCACTCTGTATATTACACACCCTACTCGCCCCCAGTCGAGACAATGTCCAATAGGTTAGCAGATAATTTTAAAGGATATATTTTGCTCATGGGCCTTTTCAAGCACATACGACCATAGGGTGTGGAGAACAGGGCTTCCCGTCCGCTCAGCCGTACTTAAGCCACACGCCGGTCAGTTAGTAGTATGGTGGGTGACCACATGCGAATCCTGGCTGTTGTATGTTTTTATGTTTTATTTCGTTTTTACCTTCTCGGCTTGTGTATGTAGTACTTTTGCTTATAAGGTAGTTGAAGTACACTCGAGATTCCCACGCATCAATGGTAAATCTAAGTCGAGCTTACCGCTTAGTAGTCTCTGCGTTAGGAATTCAATGAAATTGCTCAATCAGGAACAGTCCACAGTCTTGACTGTATTGTTCTTGATTGGTCTATGTACCTAATGCAACGTGCCTCCAAGGTTCTAGTTGGGTCACTTCGAGGTGTTGCTAGTCGCGGGGTGCTCATAGCACATATATATATATATCATGGTCCGACCATGGCACATTGAAGGAGCAATACCCACCCAACGCCAACCTATCTACCACGCTCAAAAAGAATAATGCATGTTGAACTCAAATAATGATGGATTCTGATATGAAGATACACAAACTCCAATGTTCAATACAGAATCACATCCATTGCGTCGAACGAGGCCGAATTAATTGCCCTGGGTGACAACTGTGCAGTGCACCCACGACACGAAGCGGTCTGGGTGCAACGGATGGACATAACGAATTGGGTAGCTGAAAGCAATAGTTCGTTTTAAACAAGTTTTACTCTAATCTGAATCGCTTAAGGGATAAAGAACACACGTTTTATTTTAAATTAGACCACGCAAGGAATCGCTTCTTGATTCCTTACTCCACTCCTTGCGATCTCGAGGGAGATGCTGGGCATTACTTCGTAAGTTAAATATTGGTTGGAATAGGACCTTGATTCACGGATCTAGTGCACTTCGACTAGGGGCGTAGCCCACAATCTTGACAGAATCTGACATCACGACAACGGTTTCTTCGCTCCGCGCTGTGACCGACGTTGACAGAACCTGGACTCACGGTGAACATCATCCAATCTTCTTTGTTCCTAGTCTCCTTTGCCTTTCTAAATTTCAGCTACTGATTTCGTTTTTGTCTTGGCTCTGCGCCTCTGATCACTCATGGCTGCTACCGAGCTCGTCGGAAGAACCTGCATGAAACGTACATAAGATGATCCGCAATATTGAAATCTAAGCCGTATTACCATTTCCAAGGAGGGAAATTATGCAAGCCACCAAATTGTGATATGGCTTGAACGTCGTTCCACAAGACTTGATAATTTTCGTTCGTTTTTGGGATTATTTGGCGCCGATCCTCTGCTATCGTTGGGTGTGCGAAGGGAGAGATCTCCAGGCTGCCCGCTGAATGAAATGTCGTGTAACCTATACGCATCGAGGGGTTAGATAGAGAGAAAGCTATAACTACCGTTTACTTCAAGCCCCAGTGGCACTTTTTCTCTTCCTCTATCTGAACAACACATAGAAGGTTTGGTCTGCTTCAGAATGAGTACAAGTAAGATTCTGTTGGCCTCTTTATTGGGTGCCTTTGCTGTACAGGCTCAGGAGTGCGAGCATACCAAGGTTGCTGTCTTGTAAGCATCGTCGCTCACGCTTTGGATATCAATCCTGACTATCTCCAGAGGCGCAGGTGTGGCTGGTATTCGAGCGGCCCAAGAACTGTCGCAGAATGGAGTCGATGACTTCGTTATCATCGAATATCAGGATCGAGTTGGCGGTCGTATGCATGATGTCAAGTTCGGCCAAGGGCCCGATGGGGTGCCGTATAAGGTTGAAGCAGGAGCAAACTGGGTATTTGATCTTGCGGGCAAATTGAGAGGCTACAGACTGATTTCCGCTCGCAGGTGCAAGGAACCGTGACTGGTGATGGCCCAGAAAATCCCATTTCTATCCTTGTAAGTTTTAGAGCTTGCCTATTGTTTGCAACTACTTTGGTACTAACCATCCTAGGCCAAGAAATACAACATCACCACACTGTGAGTAACAGCCCGAGCTTGATGGCGACAATACTGAGAAGTACAGGGTCACCGACCAGGAGAGCCTGGCCATGTTTGACGAACAGGGTCCGACGGACTTCAAATATGCGATTGACGAATTCGGCGAGGCCCTGGAAAATGTCGCTATCGACGCGGGTTCTTTGCTCTACAACGACCTGCAAGACCGCACCTTCCGAGCTGGATTCCGACTGCAGGGATGGGATCCGCTCAAGAATGACTCGTACCGGCAGACTGCGGAGTGGTGGCTGTTCGATGGCGAGTTCATCTACCACCCCGAAGAGAGCTCCGAGATCTTCACCTCCGTCGCCGAAAACGCCACCTTCAACTACTACTCTCCGGACAATCTGTTCGTTTACGACCAGCGCGGCTTCGCTACAATCATTCGCGAAGAGGCCAAGGCCTTCCTTCATGATAGTGATCCTCGGCTTCGTCTCAGCACCGCAGTGACGCGCATCGAGTACGATGATAACTCAGTCACAGTGCACACAAACAACGGCACCTGCGTCCACGCTGACTATGCCATCATGACATTCTCTCTCGGCGTCCTTCAGAAAAAGGCCGTCGAGTTTGTGCCCCCACTCCCGGCCTGGAAGCAGGCCGCTATCAGCAGCTTCGAGCTGGGCACTTACACCAAGATCTTCATGCAGTTCGACACACCTTTCTGGGACAACAAGCAGTATCTCATCTATGCTGACCCCGAGACAAGGGGCTACTACCCCGAGTTCCAACCGCTTGATATCCCCGGTGCCCTCGAGGGATCTGGGCTTCTTGTTGCCACCGTCGTCAACGACCAGTCCTACCGAGTTGAGGCGCAAACGAACGAGCAGACCCAGGCAGAGGTCATGGAAGTTCTGCGCGCAATGTACGGTCCGCTGATCCCTGATCCCACCCATCTATGGTACAAGCGCTGGACCCAGACTCCTTGGTAAGACCCCGCACGGAAAAATTGAAAAGAGTTGCCAATACTGACCGAACAGGGCATACGGGTCATACTCGAACTGGCCACCGGCAACAAGCTTGCAGTCGCATCAGAACTTGCGTGCCAACGTCGGCAATCTGTTCTTCGCAGGCGAGGCTACGAGTCAGGAGTTCTTTGGATACTTACAGGGCGCGTACCTTGAAGGACAGTATACAGCCGAGTTTGTCGCCTCTTGCATCGGGGGTTCAGGTAACTGCACCATGTCCGACGATGAGCAGAGGTACCCTGTCTTGACTGGCGTGACTCCGTATAACCTCTACAATTGGGAGCACGGATGGGTCGCGGACACTCTGGCGTAGATTTAGTGCGGCGTATTCGTCAATTAAAGGCTTATACTTGTTCCTTTGCTCTCTTGGTCAATGCCAGTCTTAGATAATATAACAAGTTGATGGAGTCACCTTTCTGGCCTTAAGATCTCGATTTACACATGCTGTCTGTTTATTCCTCGATGGAATGGTAAGAATGTCTTTCCAGATGGTCATATTTAGAACGGATTTACCAGAGAAGCAAAGGAATCTGACCTTCAGTTTCATATGGACAATTCTAACGCACACCTAGCTTCTTGGGCCCGCATCAAAATGGCAGAGCGAAGGAAGGGACAATTTTCTAACGAATGACAAAAAGAAAACCAAAAAGCAAAAACATACAACAGTCAGGATTCGCATGTGGTCACCCACCATACTACTAACTGACCGGCGTGTGGCTTAAGTACGGCTGAGCGGACGGGAAGCCCTGTTCTCCACACCCTATGGTCGTATGTGAGAGAATGGAGACGTATAGAGATTATGATCATTGATGTGAGAAATCGTGCTATCACACTTTCGATGGATAGTCATACTAGTAGGGTAATAAAGGGGCTGCTTTGGCTGACCGAGAACAGAGACAAAAGCAGAACATCAGTCAGGCGAAGACTTACTGTCGATTGCACGATAGCGACAACACATTGTCTAACGGAAACAGAACAGTTCACACTTGGAACACAAATGAGAGGGAAAGAAAAACGACGCGGCGGGAACTGGACAGGAGAATTCTTGAACAGAACTGTTGAGTTCGGGGGCTCGAAAAGAGACTCCGAGACAACCGACCGATGCAAAACATATCAACGACTGAGGCCCAAAACGGGAAGGAGGATTTTTCACTAGCCGTCCATAACTTGGAGCAAAGATTAGACAGCGAGTAGGTCTAATTTTCCACCATAAGAAGAGGGTGTTTCCGTTCCGTTACAAATTCGATTCATTTCGTCATGTCCACGATCTGATCGATATGGCGAGGTAGCGCTGCCAAATCATGCTCTGGCCGAGTCTGAATCTCACCAAGGAGCAAGGGCAGTGCAGAAGCTTTCCACAGTATAGTTTGGTATTTGCTATTCAAAATAGCTCTTGCCAGATGGAGAAGAATTGCCATTGTCACAGAGGCAACGGGCAAAGCAAGCAATCCCCAACGAACGTGGATAATCACGCTCATCATATATGCGTCACCGTGCACATTGAAAGTCTCAGAACCGGCAATTGAGCGAACCACGTCGGTCATGGCGGTGGTCATCCCTGTGATTGTTGATGGCGATCTATCGCCACTACTCAAGGAAGCAGGGAAGAGAGAGGAACAATCTAGTTCGAATACATGGAGAACTCTCTCTGCAAAAGAAGAAAGGAAACAAAGAAGGAAAAGGCCTAAATAGGCCGAAGCAAAGCAAAGCAATCAACTGGCCCTGGAATCAACCTCCAGGAGAATCCCGACCGGGGGATTCCCTCGAGGGAGATCCCTATTGGATCTCTATCAATTGTCTTAGTAAGGTTGTTGCTGTAATATAGGAACCAGGCGGGGTTGATGCCAAAGGGTGGACTTTGGATGAGTACGATGTCGAGAACAGAATCAAGAAGCATGATAAGCTTTTGATTATAATAGTCATCCACAGTGTAGTGTGAACTTGGCGAAAAGGGGGTGCTTCCATTGAGAGGAACCAAATTGTACACGGAATTGATTAAGATTTAGCTTTTGGACTCGCAAAGAGCGATGGCCCTTTCAATCGTAGCAGTTGTTAGTATATTGCTTTTCACTTCATGTAATAGAGCATTCCGTCAATTCGGGCTTTTCTTCCCATGCGGTGCTATTCTGGTGTGTAAATAATAACCTCATCGGATACTTGGCAGAGAAGCCGATACTCATCGCTACCCGTGATTAATGTCCATAGCTGGCGTCATGTAGTATCGATTTTTTTTTTTGAAGATGCTACCTAATATACGTAGATAGAGAAACCGCAAGGCTTCAAGGAGCAGAGTAGCGAGAGAGGAAAATACAGGTAAGGACAGTCTTTTTCGATCGTGAAAATAAGCCCGAAAAAACAAAGGGAATATCAACCTCAAGATCAAATCAGTTAACCCGCCACTGAGTTACTGATTCCGCTGCTAAGTAGACAGTTCAACAGCATATGCTGCTCACAATCAAGGCAATCTTAGTCATGCGTCAGCTGGAAAAGTTCCCACCAGTGCCTTCCTTGCCAGATTCATCATACGTAGGCACGCTTAAACTCCATCAGCTGCAAGCCGGGGGTCTTCAACCCAACCAGGTGGACGTCCAGAGCCATATGGCAACCGCTGCTGGTTATAGGGTGGCTGATTGCCTTGGCTGGGAGAACCATAAACTGGGGCCTGTCGGTTGAAATTGTCTGGAATAGTACCATACACTGGTGGAGGATTTCCCCCAATTCTACCCTGGAATGGGGGTACCTGAGATGGCGATCCCTCACAGACAACCCCGTTCAGAGTGCGATGACATCCCTTTCCGTACGATTCGGTGGGGCAGAACTGGAATTCCATGCAGTCTCCAGTGGTGATGGCACAGTGCTTACCGTTGAAAACGGTGTTCTTGGGACAGGTGGGCTTCTTGATGGAGACACAATCCTGGCTAGACTTGTCGAATACAGTATCAGGTGGGCATTGGGGAATCTGCTCTGCACCACACTTCTTGCCGTCGAATTTGAATCCCTGCGGGCACCGAGGATCAACGGTAGTATAGCATCGGCTATCCTCAAGGTAGGTTCCTTCAGGGCAAGATGGCGTCTTAGCAACGCAGGCTTTGCCGTTAAACAAAAGGTCTCCACAGTCAGGTTTTGCGGTGGAGATACACTGGCCATCTTTGAGGACATATCCTGGCTCACAATGCTCTTCAACAACGCGAGTGCATTTCCCGTCCTTCCAATGGAATTTCTCAGGGCACTGGGGCTGTGCAGAGGTCTCACAGCGTCCGTTCACAAATATTTGTCCGAGAGGACAACCTGGAACTCCGTATACACAATTTCCATTGTATAATTTGGTTTCAGGAGGGCATTGGGGAGGGGTGTTAGTTAGACATAAGCCGTCGCCATTGAGAACAGATCCTGGTTGACACTGGGGGACGATATTGGAGACGCATTGTTTGCCGTCAAATGCCGCACCATCCTTGCATTGAGGCTGGCTTCCAGTAACGCAATCGTCACCATGCTGGACCCCATGCTCGCAATATGCGAGACCGCTGACAACACAGCGCTTTCCATCCCATATCGCAGACTCGTCACAAGCGGGTTGAATATAAGTGATGCACCCATTGCCTTCTAGCTTGGTATTCGGTGGGCAAAGAGCAGGGCCCAAGAAAACACAGTCAGCACCGATAAGAACCAGACCTTTAGAGCACTCCGGCTTCTGAACAAGGGTGCATTCGTTGCCCTCTAGGTAGGACCCCTGGGGGCAGCTAGGAGGCACTTGCGAGACACAGCGACTATTCTCAAGCTTGTAGCTGGGAGGACAGATTGGCTGAGGGTTGGAATATTTCTCGCAGCGATTATTAATCGGAGGGCTGCCATCCGGGCATCGGCCATTAATCGGCTTTGTAATGCATGCCTGTCCGTCCCATGTCATAGAAATTGGACAGCAGCGAGAAGTACCCTGAGTCTGGTCAATCGACAAAGATGTACCTGCTGGGCATTGAATCTCGCCGGTAAAGACACACTTCTTGTTGTCTAGCTGGGTTCCAACGGGGCAGCTAGGCTTGTCGGGGATGATACAAGATTTTGTTTTAGGATTAAACACACTGCCATCGCGGCAGCTTGGAGGATTGCTTGATATGCATTGGTTGTTGCGAAGAATGGTACTGTCTGGGCAGCGAGGAGGTAACTCTGAAATGCACCGAGAATTGGCCTTGTCGAAAGAGGATCCTTGGGGACAAAGTGGAGGCTTGCTATCGATGCACAAGCCATTCTCAAGCTTAGCTCCATCTCGGCATTTTGGCACTAAGACTGAAGCACAGGCGTTGCCATTAAAGTGTTCACCGTCAGGGCAGCTGGGAGGCTTTTGTGAGATGCAAAGATTGCCCTGTAGGAGGTATCCAGGACCACAGTCTGCGGTGCCTTCAAGAACACAGTGACCGCCCTTCAAGATGGTGCCGTGCTCGCAGGTTGGAGGCTTGATGGTGATGCAAAGCCCATTTTGGTAGTCGTACCCAGGGTGACAGAAAGGTTTGAAGTGTGAGACACATTTGTCACCATCGCTAGTGCTGCCTTTAGGGCAAATAGGGACCCCGAGAATACATCCCTGGCCATCAAACTCAGTGCCTATAGGGCAGCACTTGACATGTCCAGAGGCCTGGTCGGTACTCGGCACGATATCGTCGAGAGTATACTTCTGGGCCACTGTGCGGTCAGCGCCAATGTTTTGGGCTTGGGTGAAAGAAAAGGCGAGAAGGAAGACGCATCCCGCGTGTAATCTGATCATGATCACCACGAGTCACTAGGAACGGATCCAAAGAATGAAGTTTACCTGTGGTGGCTGGGCTTATTGGCGTGGGAAACAGTGTACCTATATGTATTTTAAATCTGCGAAGATCCGGTGAAGAGTACCTGAGGTCGCACAACCAAGTATCCTTGGGGGCAGCTCAACCCTTTGATGTTTTCTTGGGAGTCAACTGGAGAATGGACAGTTCACTGGTGATGCGCATCAAGTCATGCCTTGTGATGATCTGAGCCTTCTCCTTTTGCCTCCTAGAGCTGATCCCTCACAGGCAATCTGGGGGACCTGCGGTTTGAGAGCCAAAAAAATAAACATTAGAGAGAAAAAGACCAATCATCAGTTCTGCAGTGACACAGGATGCAGGAGTGAAACCTAGGGCATAGGTGGATGATCGTCCATGGCGGCTGTGTCACCTCACTCGTGCAAAAAGGGCCTTGGACCATATAGCCTGAGCATCCCTGGCTTCCCAGGTCTTCACCTAGGTTCTCTCCTCGGAGAAGCTCGGGGATGCTTACTTATTGATTGAGAAACAATAATAGTCAGAATCTGGGGATCTGTCAAACTGCAGGTGTGTGTAGATCGTTGCTACCCCGACATACTGGTGGCACGGCCCGCGCTGGCGGGCCGGGGCTTGCAGCTCAAACGAGACCAATGAGGAACGGGGCTTTCCGTCACACAAGAACGCAGACAGTATTAAGGATGCAAGCAGCTGCATTTCTGCAAAAATGCATAACTCAATGCTCAGCCAGCCTGGTCTGAGATAGCCGTTCGTGGTGTCCAATGAATCATTAGACATGCAGACTGGCCGTAATATTGTTGGTCATACTGGACATAGGCATTAATTATAGTCATATGTCAACATCCCTGTTTGTTTCTCTCTTTGCCTAGGAAAAAGAATGGCTATAAGCGGAACTCAAGGCCCAGGGGGTTATTTAGTTAAACCGTTACAAGCTCTAAGCTAGTGAGGAAGTTTTGAGGAGGAAAGAGAGAAGAAAAAGATAGACGATGATGATGATGATGATGATGATGATGATGTAGGGACTAGAGAGACCGAATCACTGGCTGAGATAGCTAGTGACCCGCCCAGCAAACAAATTACGCGTTGATCCAGCAGCTCGAATTTCGAATGATATTGAATGCCATATCACCAGCCGACGGTATGGATCAGGTGTTACACAGTTCGTTACTATTGACTTTTACGACTTCCGAAATAGGGATCCACGTATACGATATGCAGGGCGATAGACACAAATGTAGCGGAGAGCATACCTTCAATATCAGTCGGCGCAAGCTATGCATGACCTCGAAGTCAAAGGCATCTGCTAACATATGAGGCATTTACGGCTCATGCATCGGATAGCAAATACATCCTTTTGCTCTGATAATTTGCAGAGATCATCCAATATTACCGATGCAGGAGCAGGTCGTTTGCGACTTCACCGCTACCATTACAGCTACGATGATGGCAATTCCTCGGTGATGGCTGGCTGAGTTGTGCATGCGCAGCTGGTGCCACAATATTGATGAGATCTTTGTGGAACAAATCCAACTATGTCCAAGTTACGTCCCATTGATTTCCTGACGACGAAGTTCTAGTCGTGTGAGCCGGCTTACCAAGAAAACTTATAAATACGCCTCCTCCAACCCCAGAGACATCTTTTCTCCAGTCCTCACGATTCAGTTCCAAAGATTCCAGCATTTCAAAGCTTCCACACAAACACCAACAGTATGTATATTGTTATCGTCAATCTATCTCAGCTGGTGCTTAACTTCTGTCATATAATAGATTGTTCATCATGAAGTTCTCTGTTGCCACCATCGCTGTCATGGCCACTGCCGCCGCCGCCCAGAACTATGGCTACCAGCAGCAACAAGGCTACCAGGACCCCGCGCAATACCAGGGCTATCAGGGCTACCAGGGCCAGCAGCCCCAGCAGTACCCCCAATACGGCGTCAGTGGTCCTCCTCCTACCCAGAACAAGTACGGTCCTGCGGAGGCTGCGGCGTGGCATAGCTGCATTGACGGTCTCCTGGACCAGATCAACAATGGCCATGAAGGAACCAAGATGGCATGTTCGACCTGGAAGTGTTTGGAGAACAATGCCGCCAAGTACAACCGAGGAGGTGCACTCGCTGCTGCTGGAGGCCTTCTTTCTGGGTTCTGCGGGCTCTCCGGTGTTCTCCCTGTACGATATACCCAATCCCATTCCGCATTGTCATTGACTAACAAAACACCAGGGTTGGGTTTGAAGGCCGAGTTGAGCATGGCCCACTGAATGTATCAGCTAGCTCGGGTAAAGGTCCAAATACTGGATTTAACACGGTTTCTGCAGCAGATTTATTCGGTCAAGCCACATTCAGATTCATGGCCTCGGGTTAGGTTTTTGACAGATAATTTTATCTGGTTTTCCCTATCCTTATTTGTGAATACAGAGGCTTCATTAGCACATAAAAATACATTAAGATCATCAATCATCCTATCACACTTAGTACAGAAAAAAGAGAATCAATCAACGTCGCAGAATTCGACGAAAGGAAAGAGGGAAAAGATAGTGAGACGAGATCTGAAAATGAGTAGGATGCCTACGGCTGCAGGCATCAATCAAATCAGGTATCAGGCATCCCTACATCTGAATCGTTACGGGTCTCACAATGATTTGTAAAATGTTTTATCTCATATAGCCGTACGTTGATCACTTGTTATCCCTCGCGTTGTACCACGCCCCTTCCCACCATATTCTGGAAAGTCGGCTAACGCTAATGCCTCCAGGATTCCTGTCATCTAACCACCAAGGGGTGGGGCATTTAGTTTCTCTAAGTAGATGGAAAGCCCTTGGAAAGAAATGATGCTTGGATTGAATGTTCTCCTTTCGGATAACAACTTTCTTTCTCATAACTTTCGCCATTTGAGTCTTCCACTCAGAGAACTAAAGATTCATCAGCTATCGCTCGCATCAGACTTCCTGTTTCCATTAGATGCGGAGATAAATCTTCTGCCGACTTCGGAATCTTTTTACTAGCCTTCATTGGAATTGGTAGAGCTGACTGGGGTATTCCTGATACTTCCATCAGGTACGTCCATCAACCCTTGTTAACCCCTCGACTCTGCCCCTTCTATTTATGATCCAATTTCTAGTCGAACGGACTACCTTACTCCCATGGTTTTACTTAAAACCTCGCTCAATAGGTCAGTGGGTTGATCATCCAACACCCGAGTGCCAGACCGAAATCGATCAAGTCAAAGACCAGGAGATGATTATCTGTGATTACGAGGAAGGCAATATAGAGCAGCCAGTTTTCGATCGTGAAGATTTCCACAGGGTTCTAATTCCCCTGGGCCATGCAGCTCGTTATATGCCACGTTTGAGGTTAATGCGATATAGTCTGGCATATTCCGCTAGGCTCCGATTTGAATTTAGCCCTCGGGGCCCAGCTGGGGAGACTGGGTGGTTTCTTGTGTCTATCTATTGAACGGGTCAACGGGTGGTGGATGTGTGGAAATGCCCATTGGCGGAGTTGGATGCGAATTTCCCTGAAAGGTCGATAAAGTGGCTCAGTACAACCATCCCGGGCTGGGGTCAACATATAGCTGGAACTAGGGGGGATGGTAAGCAATATTGATATTGGAAACCGCACATTACTACCTTAATTGCGTGTTCCAACCCAACAATCTGCTGACAAAGAATAGGGAGTAGGGACTTCTTCATAAGAATAGCCATATCTAAGTGCAGCCAAGGTTGCGAGATCCGCATTTAGACTTAGAATCTCCTTCAATAAAAGACAGTGTTTATGGTAGGATAGCCTAGTATCCGACTTAACAAATCTACACTATCTAACTCGGTGCGATTAAAACAAGGTCACCAGAAATTGAATTATTCCCAAATTTGAGTATTTTTGGCCTGGTTCTTATTGATGCAAGAGCAGCAAGAGTTTATGACAGGATCGGTCCGTTGATCGAGCTCTCTGTAGACCGGCACTCTCATTTTCCTATTTTGAAACTAAGAATCAAGACCGCGCCGGCGCGAAGCCTGGTGGCGCGAGAGCCTGCGAGAGCACTGCGGAATCGAAGGCGAAGAAAAGCACCCGTCCTGAAGCACAACTAATACACAATGTTGATTCTGAAACAACAGGTGTAGATAGTGGGGCTAGTCGGTACTCTGGTGGCAACCATAGAAGGCATTCTGAGTTCCAAGTAATGCAGCTTTTATCCCGACTGATGCCATAGCCTCGGGGACGGGACATTGCCAAGGACCCAGTTATATGCGTCTTCCAGCAATCCACCTTTGACTGCCTCGATCCGTTTTTTATCAAGGCGAGGATCGGTTGCGTGCAATGCTTGAATGCAATTTCGATTTTCCGATGCCTCAAAATCAGCTAGGAATGGTTTCAGTGCTTTAAAAAGACAGTGGCTGCTTGAATATTACCTGAAGAATGAAAATGCGATGTGATATTGCCATAGTTTTGCGCGATTTGAATCCCCGAGTTACCTTCACCGAAAGAAGACGATGGCGAAGACGATGGCCCTGGATTCACAGAAGTGCTGTCCAGGGGCCCAGCGTTGTGGCGACGATGCTTTCTAAGCAGGCGGTTGATTTTATTCATCTGGATATGCCTTCTTCGCCAACGTCAACGCCACAGTGGTGAGATGCACGAGATGATATGTGGCTGTCAAAGATAGATTGCTTGAGATCTGTTTGTTGTCGTGGTAGTTATTCTATCCAAAGTCTGGCAGTATGAAGGTGATGAGGATCGCGCCTTGGCGCGGGGTTTTGCATGTATTCGCTGTACATGATGTGCTGCGTAGTATATGCGAATATATGCGGATTGAAATTCTTTGGTATAGATACCACCTGGTTCTGGGGTTGAATTTTCTCTGGGTTAGTAAGGTCCTTATCTAATTCTCGTCAAATTTTAGCTATGTGATAACTGTGGAGCCCAGTCTAAGTATCGCTCAAAGAACTCGATGCCTTCGCAGGTCTATGGTATTACCTTCCTGAAAGAAACCTTGACGAGATTGAGTTCAACTAATATTCAGTCCCCAAATCTGGATCACGTTGTATGTCCTACCGTGCATGATGTATCTCTATCGCCGTGATGTCTCTATTCATACAAGATGTACAATACAATATAAGCCATTCTACACCAACTCTACAACCTCAAAATACCCCCATTCCGATCAATCCCACCCCGGAAATGATCCGTCACAACCCGCCCTCCAAGCACAGTCTCATCCACGATACCCTGTACATGCTTAGGCTCAACACGCCCATACCAAATACCCTTCCCGGCCAATGGATGCAGCGTCGACCCCGACCCAGATCGCACCGTCATCTTCGGCGGAATATAAACTATAACATTCCCCGCATACTTGTGTCCACCAACATGGCTAATCAAGCCCACATTTGCATGATTCGGCCCATCCACACCACCCACAGCACCTTCAGTCTCGCTACCGACAGAATCAAACCCCACTCCGCGCAATACGCGCTGGAACTCGGTTTCTAGGGCTGGTGCCATGAGACCGCAGCGCATGTCGCGGCCGCCGTGGCCGCAGATTAGGATTGTGGGGGAGTGGAGTATGTCGATTGTGCCTGGGAAGTGGGTGGATTGGAGTTCTGGGGTGCGGGTTAGGGCGGTTAGTTTTGATTGAGGGAGAGTGGTTTGTGTTGCGTGGTGGTGTTTTGGGAGAAGAAATGCGCGGATGAATGTTTTTAGGGTTGTTGTTGTGCTGCTGGTTGTGGAGGAGGAGGGGGCGATTGAGGTTGGGATTGAAGGGATGTATTTGAAGGCTGGGAAGAGGAGGGCTGAGGCTGTTGATTGGGATTTTGTGGAGGGTGAGGGTCTGAGGGAGGAGTTTGTGACGAGGATGTTGTTGAAGGGCTGTATAGACATAACGAATCAAAATTAGTAAATGCTTCGCTGTGATGAGGTAGGCAATCTGTCCACATACATCGAGGTATGGCCCTCCACGACCCATCATCTTCTTCAACCCCCTTACAAGATTCCCCCACCCCCGATCCTTCCCATCATTCTCAATTCGACTCGTCCAGTCCCGCTTTCCAGTACAAACAACAAGCTGCTGCGCATAGCCCACCATAGTCCCATTCAACACTTGCTCATTATCAATAGGCAGACCCTCGGGCATTTCAGGCGTCGGCGGACAATTGCAGCTCGGCTCGGGACAGGTCTTTGTAACCGGGAACGGGGGAGGAATATCGAGACGCGCACGGAGTCGACTGGCGCGGCATTGCGTCGTGGAGAGTGGTCTTGTTAACCTGGTGCGGATGCTGTGGTGGTGGAATTGTCCGCTCCAGTCGCGAGCGAGCGACTGCGCGATTGTTGTTGGGCGCGGTCTCATTGATTTGCCTGGCTTGGAGGGTATATTTTGAAGTGGATGATTGCGAGGAGGAGAGGTGGAAAGGAAAGAGTATTAGGAAGAGCGGCGCCACGGGATTATCATTTGGGCAGAAGCTATTGGTAAATCAAAAGATGTATCTCCGAGGACGCGCTCGGAGCGGAGATTAGCGGTGCTCTCGGGCCATTCGGCTGGGCAGCCACTGTAGGAAGAAGTGAGCAGCTCTTTCAATTCGCGACATTATTATGTGATATATGGGTTGGAGTTCAAGTATGAGTAGATAAGTTCAATTCTTTCTACTCTACTCGGACATAGACAATAAACTGTGATGTCGTTGTCGTCGCGCAGTACGCGTGACTTATACTTGACGCAGTGTTGAACTTGTCGCAGACAAACCGCAAGTCACAGAGTGACAGCTCGAAGATTGCTGGCTATATATCGAATAAAATAGAGAGGACTGATGTGCCAGGTGATCGGATAGTCCCCTCACGAGGCTTTTCTCTCCAACAAGCTACGTGGATATGGCTATTTTAGAGCTGCCCGCACGAAGCGGAGGGGCCTCCGATCCGCGGAGAGCTTGTTAAGTACCAGACTCCAACATCACCAGCCATCTTTACTAGTACTGTATGTCTATGTGTAGTATAATTTTTTGGGGTAGTTACAGGGCTAGCTATTAGAGGACATCACGCATGCCCTCTTCCTCTTAGCAACCTGCGGGAATACTGTACTATTTTGTCTATAACAAGCATTTGGGTAAGCGCCGCCGAACGATTCCCGCGTTTCTGCCGAAACTCGGCCTATCAGCCGTTCTCCAACTTGCGAGACCCGCTCTGGCTGTTGCGCAGTGCTTTGTTGGCTGAGCGATTAATCTGGTCTGGTGCTGGTTTTGGTTTCCCCTTTCTCCGATGAGGAGATTTTTGGAGATGTTTTTGCCCTCATAGCTTAACGATGGATCCACCACTGCCACTGCCACTGCCACTGCCACTGCCAATGTCGGCAGCGTGTTCCTGTTCCTGTTGGTGCTCAGTTTAAGGCACTCAGGCCGTCACAAAGGTGATATGCTGCCTCAGGCACAGACACGGAACACGTCTCCCGGGTTCCGGGTCACTTGTTAGGGCTTGGCCCCACTGGCAAAATTTCCCTCGCCTAACCTTTTCTCCTTTCTTCAGCTTTCAACCTTCTGTTTCCAACTCTCATCCGTTGTGTTCACTTCATGAGTTTCCTGCAATGGCGATTTAATGTGGTCGCTGTTGCTGTACGCCCATGACTTGATTGACTGGACGCGACAATCTCTCTCGAGGATGTGTACCAGTTGGATGGGGATTCGACTGAGCAGGGCTTGAAAAGGGGTGCTCGTCTGGACGTCTTTAAAAGCTTGTTGCCTTCGTCGAGTCTCTCTTTGGAAGGTACACGTTGCTTTCAATGGCTCGCTTGATTGGTACCCGTGATGGATTTGCAACCGACGCCAACAGTGGCCGAAGGCGCAATGAGTCCTCGAGTCTGACGACCAAAGCCGTCTTCGAGGGCTGGGCGCTAACGACACGAAGGAAAAAAAACTGTGCTCAATTGACACAGGTAAATGAGTCGTTGGTCATGTAAAATGCACCGACGACTCTGCTATGGTTGCTGTAAGTTCCTCCCCTAAATCTTCTCTGCTTTACCCCTGCACCTGCACCTGCATTTCTCATGGCCCGATCCGCTCCCATTGCGGTCGGCCACTTGATCAAATGACGAAATATTTCGGATGTAAATTCACAGACCTGTTCGGAATGCGCAAAACCGTGTCGAGATTTCCGTTGCCTTCCTTCTGATTGATCAATTTTCCCAATTTTTTGCTTCATTGCATATTGTTCTTGCCTTGTTCTTGACGACAGCTCACTGACTTGGCAATATAGGATGTTTTTTGGTGGATGATTGTTCTCGTTGGTTATGAGTCTTCGACTCGGGTTGACTGGACTGCGACCGTTCAGTATTGCGGAATGGGAGTGTCCAACTTTCCATAGCACCGGTGTCATGTATTTGTGGCCGATCGTAGTATAGATAGCTGAAATGAGGAGATTTTTGATGCATTCGTTTCAATCGCTCGCATTGTAAGACTTGATCATTTAAAAACGGGAGAGCTCTGTACTGAAATGATTAGTTCACTGCTCAATCACCCAGGGTAAGCTCGAACAAGGGAAAAGAGTATTTCACCATCTCAATAACCCAAGCATCACCGAGTGAGCGTGCCATCCCAACCACCTCAACCTCAACCATCCGTCTGATCCGCTCGGAATTGACTCGGACCACCATCTCCATTTACCCATGCGCAATGCAGGGCGAGGCGACACTTTTTTTCTTGTTTGCGGGGCGCATTCTGGCCCATTACCCCTCATTATGTCAGCACCCCGCTGCGGAGAGCTATCCCAAAAGGGTAAAGCAGCCCAACTTACTCCAGTAGAAGGTTACGCTTGGACATGTTGCTGGGCTGATGGGCAGACGGGGAAACAGGGGGGGGGGGGATGTACGTGCATGTACCGTGTTGATGAAACAAACAATTAAGATGACTGTATTTTGATAGTTGTACTGTAGCCGGACTGATAGTGCGGGTTACGGGTCATTTCCCGACGGAGCTCAGTGCTAATCAGATCGGATAGTGGCCTCAGGCTCGAAAAGGGGATTCCCCGCACGAGCTGTGGCTATCACTATCATCCTTCATACTGTAACTATCAACCACCAGAACAAAACTCAACAGCCGATATCCGAGTCGACAAAGTAACTCCAAGAGACATCGGTCCGGGAAGCCGGGTCCCAGAGTACCTGGCTGGCCAGGCTACTGCATGGATTCCCCCAGTTCTCGGCCTGCACGAACACGAACCGTCCCCAAGGTTTCTCCTCCCCTCTTTGGTGGTCCCTCATGCGGAGAGACCAAAGAACCACCACGATGAGTGGTGCAATCCCCCATCCGTGACCCGTCCTCCGACCGGCTCACAGCCAGTGGAAACCCTCTCCCGCACACAGCTCTGCAGACTATTCTAGGATCTGAGGGGGTGTACAACGCGTTTTGGGTTCTGTCGCTCTCCAATCCCACTCACTTGTTGTGCTGGGGGTATGGCCGGTTCAAAGAGGGGCTTTTGAGAGGGGTCCTTTCTGCCCACCCTGTTTTTGTCTATATATACGGGTCTTCTGGCCGGTCAAGTTTATTCTTTTCTTATTCTCTCATCATTCCAACCTTCTTCTTTCCAACCTTTTTTACCCCTTGAAGGATACATCTATCTTAGGTATGGTTACTCCCCTAAACCTTGCTTTATTATTACACTCCCCCTACAAGCCTCGACGGGCCTGCAGGTTCCCCACTCCCCCGCTTCCCAGTTTTCAGCCGCCGCTTCTCCAACGCCGTTTCGGGAGCATTGACTTCATCGAACCGATGCGACCGGCTTGAGAAGCTGGCAGTGTTACTTATATATAAAGGATGTGCCGCTGACTTTTCTTTTGCTCCGTCTACAGCTTCGTGCTTTGATCAATTCCCCATTTCTACACTTCAATCTTCTTTTTTTGATCATCCTTCAAAATGGTATTTATCCGTTCCCTTTCCCGTCAACTGCGACGGCCTGCCACTCAGTTCATCTTGGCCGGCTCCAAGCCTGCGCTTGCCACCAGCTCTTTTGCGCGAGCTCAGGTGTCTGGTGCTATTTCCCATACACGTACGCTAACCGCATCTGCCAACCTTCAGGGCAAGGTTCTTCTCGTTCTGTACGACGTAAGTGGATTTCCCTCGCCATTGAGCGATCAAACTTCCTTGCGATCTTCATCAATACTAACTCTCTCTATAGGGTGGTGAGCACGCCAAGCAGCAGCCCCGTCTCCTCGGTACTACCGAGAACGAGCTCGGCATCCGCAAGTGGCTCGAGGATGCTGGCCACACTCTGGTCACCACCTCCGACAAGGAGGGCGAGGACTCCACCTTCGACAAGGAGCTCGTCGATGCTGAGGTCATCATCACCACTCCGTAAGTGAAACCATCCCAATTAATCACTACTTAAAAAAGCCTACAGCTAACAACCGTCTTCACAGCTTCCACCCCGGTTACCTCACTGCCGAGCGCCTGGCCAAGGCCAAGAAGCTCAAGCTCGCCATCACCGCTGGTATCGGCTCTGACCACGTCGACCTGAACGCCGCCAACAAGACCAACGGCGGCATCACCGTCGCCGAAGTCACCGGCTCCAACGTCGTCTCCGTCGCCGAGCACGTCGTTATGACCATCCTCGTGCTCGTCCGCAACTTCGTCCCCGCCCACGACCAGATCCGCAACGGCGACTGGGATGTCGCGGCCGTCGCCAAGAACGAGTTCGACCTCGAGGGCAAGGTCGTCGGCACCGTCGCCGTCGGCCGTATCGGCGAGCGCGTCCTGCGCCGCCTGAAGCCCTTCGACTGCAAGGAGCTCCTCTACTACGACTACCAGCCTCTGTCCCCCGAGGTTGAGAAGGAGATTGGCTGCCGCCGCGTCGACTCTCTCGAGGAGATGCTCGGCCAGTGTGATGTCGTCACTATTAACTGCCCCTTGCACGAGAAGACCCGCGGTCTCTTCAACAAGGACCTCATCGCTAAGATGAAGCCCGGCGCTTGGTTGGTTAACACCGCCCGTGGCGCTATTGTCGTCAAGGAGGATGTCGCCGAGGCTCTTAAGTCTGGCCACCTCCGCGGCTACGGTGGTGATGTCTGGTTCCCCCAGCCCGCACCTAAGGACCACCCTCTCCGCTACGCTGAGTACCCCTGGGGCGGTGGTAACGCCATGGTCCCCCACATGTCTGGTACCTCCATCGATGCTCAGGTCCGCTACGCTGAGGGCACTAAGAACATTCTCGACTCTTACTTCTCCGGTCGTGAGGACTACCGCCCTCAGGATCTGATTGTTCACAAGGGTGACTATGCTACCAAGGCTTACGGTCAGCGTAAGTAGGCTTGTGGCGAATGGAATAAATTTAACTATTTGTGAGGAGGGAAGAGGGATTTATGAGTTTCTTTTGTGAATATTTTTTATACATTTTTGTTTATCTTGTTTGAGCGATGGATTGAGGACGGGACTGCTATGCTTGAAAATGTAGCATCTACGATACCAATGACATGACCTGTTCATATCCGTGATTTTGATCTTTTTGATCCTTTTGTACTATTTGCTTTGTTTGCTTTTCTTGTTTTGTTTAGAGTAGGGTTTGGGCTCCGCTTCTTCTAGATCTTCGATTGTGGGGCGTCGATCTGGACGGGTTTGTAGATCAGATTAGAGTCAGAGTTAGTGGATGGTATGTACAGAGTTCTGCAGCAACCAGGAGAGAACTGGATTTACTGGCACTTTCTAAGTTTGTAAAAGTCGATACTCGAATTGTACAATGCTGATTTGATCAAGCTGATATTTCGTTCTTCTATGAGCGGGACATGACCATCTATCAAAAGAAGATAGAGTGTAGTAGCGCAGACACTATCTTCTGCCACCGTCGAGCCATATCAAAAGAAAACTTAAATAAATTCAAGGACCCCAAAATCCTGACTGCTTATGCTCGGAAACGCTTCAAAACAATAAAAACGCCACCCATGACCGTATCCCATAATGACAATCCCCACCACCATGTCAACGTCAACCATCAAGACCAACATCAAAATCAACATTACCGCCTCGTCCCCAAAACCCCCCTCACAACAGTCTCCTCCTCATCACTCTCATCCATAAACCCCTCCTCAAGTTCCCGACTCAACCTCCCCTCCTCCGGCGCCCGCCTGCGCTCCAACGCCTCCCTCCTCCTTGCATCCATATCCATGCCCACCATAAGCTCGCCCTCTTCCTCGTCAATGCTGATATTATCGTTATCGGCGGCGTGCGGATCTCGATCTCGGCGCCATGATGACGGGAGGAAGAAGCGCATTGTTGCGTCGGCTGTGCGGTCGCGGAGCGAGAGTGTGTGTGCGGAGATGGTGTGCATGGGGAGGTATTGGGAGTAACGTTGGTGGTAGCGTCGGAAGAAGGGGATTATGAGGAGGGAGAAGAGGAGGTAGACTGTTAGGGCGATGGAGGCGGGGATTAGGATTGTCTAGACGGTGGGGAGGAGGTGTTAGTTGGATTGGAGGGGGAAGAAGAGTGTTTTGGGGAATTGTGGTTTGGATGCCTGGTGAGGTTATGGGTAAGGGGGTTGGTATGAGCGGACCTTTGCGAAATTCAATGAGGAGCCCATTTTGATATGTATAGTTCTGGAGGTTGGGTACTCTGGCTGAGTGCGTGTGTGGTCGTGTTAGATCCGCTTGTCAGCGGTGGATCGTGAGTTCTGTTTATAGTCGGGCTGTTCGGCACGGAGGTTTGTAGATTGGGGGCCTTTGGAGTCGGGAATGGAATTCGGCCCCTGACAGGACAAGGAGAGAGTCCTCGGAAGTTGAAGTGATCAAAATTCTTCTTTTCTTGTTTAATAGGGTTGTAAGCCCAGTTCAGTCCAATCCAGTCCAAAGTTCCCCCACACAACCTGTCAAATCAATTAAGAAGAAACAAGCATGTCCGTAGTTGGCTTTCCCCATGGGCAAGGTCGATCTCAACGATACAAAGTCACATGACCATTACTTCTCTCTCCTATCATAATCACGTGCTCCCCGGGTCGGGGAGTTTCTCCGGACCAGTTTGGCAGCCCCCTAATCAGGCGCTTTGGGATCCAAACGCCCGTGCTTTTGATCGACCCTGGCGTCAGGACTCGCCGGGACTTGCATATTGCACCTATTTTCCGATCGTTTCATATTTTCCATAATTTGATTTTCTTACTTGTCATTCATTCCTTTGTGCGGTAAGTCTCTTTATTCCCATGTGTTTTTGGGGTGCCCGCTGTCTGCCACACCCTCCCCCCAGCGCGCGGCGGCTCCGCCGTAGCAACAAAAGCGGGTATACTAAATTAACTTAGCCAGGGAGGGACGAAAACAGACTTTAGACAATTTGTGAATGTTATCGCCTGTCACCTCCAGATCTATAGCGATCGACCCCGCTACAACCCTGTGATTCAACCTTTGAATTTCCTTCCACCATCTCTCACCACGCGACGGAGGGCTGTTGGCTTCTTTATGCTGCATCCTGCCAGCTCATAACGAGAGTGAATGAGAGAGAGCGACAGAGGGTGAGAGGAGAGTGAACCCGCGCCAAAATGCCCACCGGCCCGCCCGCCGACAAGTCCAGGCAAACGTCCGCTGGGAAGTCCTTTTTCGGGAGGAAATTGTACAAGGAGAGGCCGGCTGATGAGCGATCGGATGGGTATGGGGGTTCCTACGACAGCCTGGCGCCGCCTGCCAGTGTGGCCGGTTCCCGATCATCCCGATACTCAATGCGCTCGTCAATCCAATCTGTCGATATGACTGGAGACATAGACACAGCCAGCCTCGCCCCCACAGCCGGTGTTATCACATCTATTCCCTACGACAGTATGCCCTCCGGCACGAGAACACCTATCCCGATCGACAGCATGTCCCGCCCTGACTCCTCCTCCCGCCATGAACCCTCACCCAACAACCTTGGCAAAACCGGCGGTGATTACCATCAATATCCCACCTGGACGTCTTCCTCTGCGCCAAATGGATACGCTTCACATCCCTCCGGCCCCCGCCCACCCCCTCACACCTCTGGCATGACCATGACCAGCAGTACCTCGGGAGACCGGGGGACGCGATACCAACAATGGGGTCGCCCCGGTAGTTCAGCCGCGAATCACTCGATAGACTCCTCTTCCAATTCTCGTACATCACTTGATCAGACCAGTTTATACTCCTCGCATTCTTCCAACACCCGTGGCTCGAACTATTTCTCCGCAGACGGCTCCTCCCGTACCCTCACCCCCTCCCACTCGAGTGACCGCAATACCGTCTTCCCCAGCAGCAGTTCTGGTCGCCTTTCAAACGCCGCAGCCTCGCACCAGCCCATACCCGCTGCAGTGCCTCGCCCACCGGATAACTACCTGACCCGTCCTAGGGACGACCGGGTTGTGGATCAGTTGTTCTTGGAGTTGATGCAGAAGCGTGGGTGGCAGAATCTTCCTGAACAGGCGAAGCGGCAGATGTTGTCATATCCGGCTTCCAAGAAGTGGACTTTGGTTCACCAGGATCGTTTGACGGAGTTGCAAGGCGAGCAGAAACGGAGACAGAATGCTCGCCAGACGCATGGGCATGATGGACTCTCGGGCCTGCTAGAGCGGGCCGACGAGGAAGGAAGCCCGGAGTGGTATGTGAAGAAAGTCATGGATGATACAATTACGTCCAAGCAACTCGCTAGTCTGAGTGTCAGTCTACGGACGCAGCCGATTAGGTGAGTTGAACTGATACATGCTTTATTCTGTTTCCGCGACGTTATGCTCATTTTGAATACAGTTGGGTGAAAGCTTTCGTCGAAGCTCAGGGTCAAGTTGCCCTTACAAATGTTCTCCAAAAGATTAATCGCCGCAAAGCTTCTGGTCCCGTTCCTGCTCCTCCATCGGGTGACAAGGATCTTGATCGTGAATATGATATCGCCAAGTGTTTGAAGGGTGTCATGAACAACAAGTATGGTGCGGACGATGCCCTTGAACACCAAGGAGTTCTGGTCGCCCTCGTCAACTCGCTTTCGTCCCCTCGTCTCCAGACCCGGAAACTCGTCAGCGAGGTTCTCACCTTCCTGTGCCACTGGGCCGAAGGTCAAGGCCACCAAAAGGTCCTCCAGGCTATGGACAAGGTCAAACATGACCATAATGAAACCGGCCGCTTCGATGCATGGATGCGTATCACTGAAGTCACCATTGATGGCCGTGGCAAGATGGGCAGTCTAGTCGGTGCCAGTGAGGAGTACCGCAGCGGTGGCATTGGCATGGAGAATCTGTTGATGGAATACGCCGTCTCGACAATGATCCTGATTAATATGCTTGTTGATGGTGCCGAGAATGACCTCCAGCTGCGATGCCATATCCGCGCGCAATTCATCTCATGTGGTATCAAGCGACTGCTCACGAAGATGGAGGGCTTCCAGTATGAAGTCATTGACAAGCAGATTGAGCGGTTCCGCGAAAATGAGGCTATCGATTATGAGGATCTGCTTCAGCGCGAGGGCAGCAGTATGAAGGATAGTGTCGAGGGCGAGGTCAAGGATATGAGTGACCCCCTTCAGATTGCGGATGCTATCGCCATGAAGATTCAGGGTACTCGTTCGCATGACTATTTTCTCTCGGCTATGCAGCATATGCTGTTGATTCGAGAGAATGCCGGCGAAGAGGGCCTGCGCATGTTCCAACTTGTTGATGCTATGATGAGTTACGTTGCTATGGACCGGAGGTTGCCTGATCTAGATCTTCGTCAGGGCTTGAACTTTACCGTGCAGAGCCTGTTGGACCGTCTTCACACCGATGCCGAGGCGAGGCGAGTGTATGATGAAGCCCTGGAGGCGCGCCAGATCGCCGAGGCTGCCATTGCGGAGCGTGATGAGATGAAAGCCCAGGTTGAACTTGGTGCTGAAGGTCTAGTCAAGAAACTCCAAAAGCAGATCGACGAGCAGGCCGGCATTATCGAGCTTCAGGGCCGCCAAAACGAAACTTTCAAGGCCGAGGTTGCTGAAGTCCAGCGGTTACGTGCACAAGAATTGCAGCGCAATGAATTAGAGACCCGTGAGCTGTACCTTATGCTTCGTGATGCCCAAGATATCGCTGCGTCGAATGCTAGGAAGCAGGCTAATGCATCTGATGCCGAACCTACCGATCCTTCTCAATTGCCGGGTATTATGGATCGTGAGCGCCTCATGGAACGTCTTGAGCGCCAGCTTGAGCGGACTAAGACTCAGTTCAAGCTGGAGGGCAAGGTCTGGGGCCAGCATGGCCCTTCTGACCGTCTCCGCGAGCTCCGTGAGAGGATGGAAGGAGACGTCGATTATAGCGAGGAATTCGCCGAGTCTACTCGTCGGAACCTGGATCCTAGTTCCCTGGGTTCTGTCTACCGGAAGCGCAGCCATGTACCTGAAATGGACCAGGGCCCCGATGGTCTGCCCATGTCGCCCGTTGATGAGGATGAAGAGGCTGTGTACGAGAAGCCTCGTTTGATTGAGTACCAGCGTCCACGCATGAACCCTGCCCAGGCTACTGGTCTGCTTGGTGAACTTGCTTCCAAGGTGCCCAAGTATGATGACGATTCGGATGCTGCTGCTGCCGCGGCCGCGGATGAGTCTACCAAGCCTGAAGATGTTGGCGATGTTACTCCGACAGCGGAGGTGCCCGAGGCCGAGGACAAAGCAGAGGCCGATCAAAAAGCAATGCCTCCCCCTCCCCCTCCGCCTCCATCGGGCGGGAAACTCGTTGTCCCTCCCCCACCCCCCGCCTGGTGGTGCCACGGCTGTTGTTCCTCCCCCTCCTCCTCCCCCAGGCGGAAAACTCGCTATTCCCCCTCCGCCTCCGCCTGGTGGTGCCAAGGGTATCTCCGGCGCTCCTCCACCACCTCCCCCTCCTGGTGGAAAGATTGGCATCCCCCCTCCGCCGCCTCCCCCTGGCGGTGGCATTGGACTTCCACCCCCGCCTCCTCCGGGAGCGCCTGGTGGCTTTGCTCCTCCTCCTCCTCCGCCTCCCAGTGCTCCTTTGGGCGCTGGCTGGAGACCCACATATATGGTTCAAGACGATATGTCGTCTTCGATCACTGGCATGCCTTCTATCCGACCTAAGAAGAAACTCAAGGCTCTGCATTGGGACAAGGTTGATACTCCACAGGTAACCGTTTGGGCTGCCCATGCACCGACTCAACAAGAGAAGGAGCAGAAGTATACCGACCTAGCCAAGAAGGGCGTCCTTGATGAAGTCGAGCGCCTGTTCATGGCCAAGGAAACTAAAATCTTCGGAGCAAGCACCGCAGCCAAGCAACGCAAGGACAAGAAGCAGATTATTTCTAATGATCTGTCGAAGAATTTCCAGATCGCCCTTTCCAAATTCTCTCAGTTCCCGGCTGAGGATGTTACGCGTATGATTATTCACTGTGACACGGAGATTTTGGATAATATGGTTGTGATGGACTTCTTGCAAAGAGACGAAATGTGCTCGATCCCCGAGAATGTTGCCAAGTTGATGGCTCCGTATAGTCGGGATTGGACTGTTCCTGGTGCTGCTAGCTCGGAGCGCGAGCAAGATCCGACTGAACTCACTCGTGAAGATCAGATTTATCTGTCTACTGCCTTTGAGCTGAATCATTACTGGAAGGCTCGTATGAGAGCTCTTGCTTTGACGCGCTCCTTCGAGCACGAGTATGAGTACATTTCTACCCGACTGCAGGAGGTTGTCCGGGTCAGCGAGTCCCTGCGTGACTCGGTTTCCCTGATGAATGTCCTCGGTTTGATTCTTGACATTGGTAACTTCATGAACGATGCCAACAAGCAAGCGCAAGGTTTCAAGCTGAGCTCTCTTGCACGTCTGGGTATGGTCAAGGACGACAAGAACGAGACTACCTTTGCCGATCTGGTCGAGCGTATCGTGCGCAACCAGTACCCCGAATGGGAGGGCTTCAGTGAGGAGATTGGTGGCGTGATCGGCCTGCAGAAGGTCAGCGTTGACCAGCTGCGCACGGATTCCATCAAGTACATCAGCAATATCAAGAATGTGCAGGCTAGCTTGGATGCGGGTAATCTCAGCGATCCGAAGAAGTTCCACCCTCAGGATCGTGTCAGCCAGATTGTTCAGCGGAGTATGAAGGATGCTCGTCGCAAGGCTGAGCAGTTGCAGCTGTACCTGGATGAGATGGTCAAGTCGTATGACGATATCATGGTCTTCTATGGCGAGGACAACGCTGATGAGAATGCTCGGCGAGACTTCTTTGCGAAGTTGGCTTCGTTCTTGATGGAATGGAAGGTTCGTCGAAAAGTTGATACCGTCCTGATGGTGTTCAGATTGCTAATTCGTCTCATTTATAGAAATCTCGCGAGAAGAATATCGGCTTGGAAGAGTCCAGAAAACGCACGGAGGCTTCTCTGGCTCGCAAGCGCATCAATGTCAACCTTGCCAATGGTGCTGCCACCGAATCACCCAATTCACCTGCAACCAGCGGAGCCATGGACTCGCTACTCGAGAAGCTGCGTGCTGCTGCGCCCCAAACCAAGGACGTGCGAGATCGTCGCCGTCGTGCCCGTCTCAAGGAACGTCATCAAGTGCGCGTTGCTTCTGGTCAGAAGCCGCCCGATCTCTCAGGAGCTGAGGGAGGCGAAGGGTCAGACCAGCCTGCTGATGGCAGTGCCCAAACGGATGAGAATGGCCTTCTGAGCCCGCCTGTCCCCGCCGAAGGTGAAGACGGCGCTAAAGAGGCTCAGATCTCGGAAGGCGAGGACGTTGCAGACCGCGCTGCCAGTATGCTTCTAGGCTTGAGGAGTAACTCTGACGCGAACGGGGATCGACAACGTCGCCGACGAGAAAGCGCTGATGAAGAGCGTCGTCAACGTCGTATGAGACGACGGAATGGTGCAGGCAGCAAAGATAGTGCTGATGGTTCAGGTGCTGGTCTCGCAACCGTCCAGGAACCGACTTCACCATCACAAGCAGGCTCTGTCGCTGGCGGCGATGACCCGCTCCCGAGCCCGATCCCAGATGATTTGAAGCCCTCCGTGCCACCTGAGATTGTTGTCTCGGAGCAACATGACGATGGCCCGTCTGAACAAGAACCAACAGCTGATGGATCCTCTGCCAACCATCCGATTGAATTATCGGATTGAGATCAGACTTTTACCCCCTGACTTTGATTCAAACACTCATCATACTCGCCCGGCCAACCCATAATCCAATGTCTGATAGATTTCTCCCTGATGCCGTCTCGGAATGTCCTTTACTTCTTTCTCCTCTAACATTGTCTCCTGCATCAACATCGCACACCCAAGACCCACATACCTCATCACAGCCCTCGACCCTCGACCTGTATAATATCTTCCGATCCCACCTCCTCCCTTCTTTTACCTCAAATCTCCCACCTCTACCAACCGCAACCTCCGGGCTCCGAACTTTCTTTCCCCGTCCTTTTCTTATTCTGTCCATCTCCCCACTTCACTTACCCGTGATGAGCAAAGCATGGTGTCATGATACCATCGTCCTGTTAATTGTGAATTTTCTTCTTCCTCTTTCTTCATCTCATTTCATCTTTTCTATTACCCCCTTTTCGTCCCTTTCGTGTGCTATTTTTGGGTTCGGTCGAGGGTACATTTTTTTTCAAATTCGCATTCGGATTTACGCCATGCTAGGCTGGGGCTTGTGTCGCCTGATCCCCTTCCCCTTCCTCTTCCTCTCTTTCTATATCTCCTTGTACATAATTCTCCTTTCTAAAGCCGCGTCATATGCGTCTCTGGCCACGGCGGTGTCTGTATACTGTCTGTGGCTGGACGTGTTGGGCATCGAATTGTATTTTTTTTCCGATGTATCTCTTCTTGGGGATTTATCTTGTATTGAGGTGGGGATTTGGGATGTAGGAGGGAGTGAGTGCTGGGTCGTGGTGGTAGTGTGTACTGTCAATGGCTTAGATTTGTGTATTTTCGGATTGGGGGGTGTTGTTGTACATAGAGATAAATTTTGAGATGATTATGCTCATACTTCACTATCCGGTGGTTTCGCCTTGTATCGTAGAAGTTCTTTTAGAGTTTCGTTTGAGTGTAATGATGACCATCCTTCTAGGTCTCCTCGAGATATCTTAAAAGTAGCTTAAAAATATTTGTAGCATCAGTCACCAATCTCGATCCCGTAATTATCACCTTATTGCTATCAACCACCATAATTGGGTTTCCATAAAGTTTGACATACAATGGACTCACGTGACCTAATCGTTATCGCATTATCTGCGCCGACAAGGTTGATCAACCTTCCTGTAGCTCTGCACCAACGCCCAGCTATCTGCATGCGAGCTTCTCGCCCTCGAGTACTGCGTTGGGCTTCTCCCTTCCGCCCATCATGCAAACAATCACACCCAACTATACTAGGGCTAGGTGAACGCCCATTCCGGAGTCGAGCCCCAATCTCCGCACAAGCTCCGCATCATCAACCTCCTAGCAACATCCGGAGCTTCTCATCTTCTCATCAGAGACGCTTTATGCTAGATGCAGATTCTACAATATATGCACTATCTACAGCACCCGGCAGGGCAGCGATTGCTGTCGTACGGATATCGGGTCCAGCATGTGCCTCGGTACGCATCTTCATTCAAGCAGAGTCCGCATTTCCCGCCGCGTATACTGATAACGGCCCCCCCTCTAGATATACAAGTCCCTATGTCCTAACAGACCCCTGCCGAAACCACGCTTTGCGGCACTACGCACATTATACGACCCCTCGCACCCACCTTCCCCAAACACCGTCCTAGACGCAGGCGCCCTAGTCCTCTACTTTCCCGGCCCGAAGACCGTCACAGGCGAGGATGTACTGGAGCTACACATACACGGCGGACCCGCGATTGTCAAGGCAGTGCTATCTGCTATAGAATGCACCAATCAATCCGACGCGGTAGTCCGGTACGCCGAGCCGGGCGAGTTCACCCGCCGCGCCTTCATGAATGACCGACTGGGTCTCCCGCAAATCGAAGCCCTAGGCGATACGCTTTCCGCAGATACAGAGCAGCAGCGGCGTCTGGCTGTGCGAGGCGCAAGCGATGCCTTATTAAAGCGGTACGAGCTCTGGCGCCAGACGCTGCTGTATGCGCGCGGCGAGCTGGAGGCGTTGATTGATTTCTCCGAGGACCAGCATTTCGACGAATCTACCGAGGAACTCGTTGCATCTGTTTCGGGACAGGTGCGTGCGCTGGCGGTGCAGATTGGATTTCATGTGCAGAATGCTAGTAAGGGTGAGTTATTGCGGAGTGGAATTCGGGTTGCCCTACTTGGTGCGCCGAATGCCGGAAAGAGTTCGTTGTTGAATCGGGTTGTTGGGAAGGAGGCTGCTATTGTTAGTACGGAGGAGGGGACTACGCGTGATATTGTGGATGTTGGTGTTGATCTTGGGGGGTGGTATTGCAAGCTGGGTGATATGGCTGGGATTCGTGCAGAGGTTGGCGGGTCGGGGACGGTTGTGATTGGTGCTGTGGAGAAGGAGGGGATTCGGAGGGCTAGGGAGAGGGCTCTTGAATCTGATGTTGTTGTTGTAGTTGTTTCGTTGGAAGATGGTGGCGGGGACGTGCGGTTGTCTGTGGAACCCGAGGTCTTGGACGCCGTGAATGACTGTGTGGAGGCTGGGAAATGCCTCGTTGTTGCTGTCAACAAATGCGACAAGTTACGAGCTGATGAGAGGGGGAATTCGCTGCCGCAAGCTCTAGAGAAGACTATTCGTGATGTCTTCCCTGCTGTGCCGGCAGACCGGGTCTTTGCTATATCCTGTTATGAAGCGCAGCGCGGGTCGCTGTCTTCTGTTGATGACCAGGGCCTGAAGCAGACAGACCCGGGCAATGTACAGGCATTCTTACGGGGGCTCATCTCGACTTTCGAGCAGATCGCGTCGCCGCTCGGTACGGATGGAGATGAAAGTGGTCAATATGATAAATCGTATTGGGAAGATTCACTAGGCGTCACACATCGACAAAGCTCGAATCTACAGAAATGTCTCGACCATTTGAACGACTTCCTATACCAGACAACGGCTGCTATCTCCAACACTTCTGACTCTCTTGACCATAACCCCGCCTCCATCGATGTTGAAATCGATATCGTGACCGCCGCCGAGCACTTGCGCTTTGCCGCCGATATGCTGGCCAAGATTACCGGTCAAGGCGAGAGCGGGGATGTTGAAGATGTGCTCGGCGTGGTCTTTGAGAAGTGAGTGTTTTCCCCTCAAGTGGATTTCCCCGGTGTTCCTCCTCCTAGTATATCACTGAATGGTGCGACTAACACTGTTGTAGATTCTGCGTCGGCAAGTGATGTCGATATTCACCGTATCCATGCATCCATGCATCGTGGGGATACGAGATCTCGTATCCCGGATATTCGGAAGCGAAGAGCGCGTGGATCCCTTGCAATTTGGAGTGGCGATGTTGTTTCAAGTCAGGTCCCAGTCCTTGCTGGGTGCTCGTGCTCGTGTCCATTGTGTGCATTGAGTGGGGAGTTATGATGATGATGTCCGTCATTGAACCCTGTTCATTGGACATGGACTGGCATTCAGTTTGTGAAGCGTTGCTCGTCCGACTCGTCTGCGTCGTTGGCAGGTCCGTTGTATCCGCCGCGGCCCATTGTGAAGGTGTTGGCGATGTCTTGAGGTCCGAATAGAGACGATATTGTGATAAATGGAGGTAATGGATGATCACACGTGGTAGATTATCAATTGAGGGCAATCAGTTGGAGTGATTGATCAATGAACTGCAAGGTGTATGTATTTATAATAGTGTTTGAATAGATCAAAGTATGAAGATTGAAGTAGATCGCAATCTAAAGATGTTTCGGTCTGTGATGTAGAAAAATAAAAACAGTTTGATCGCCATGATCGACGAATTTATTTATAAAAAGTTTTCAATAAGACAAAATACCACCTGTAGTCGACAATTTCTAGTTTCTGACAATTCCAAGAAAGACGAAAAAAAAGAACCCCCAAAAATTCCAAACACAGCATCACCTGAATCGTAGCGCGATGTCTGCCTGAGCTCATCATCCACCAGCGCCAATAATCCGCACTATCTCTTAGCAAATCCCGAGCCCCCAAATTCCAAATCAAGTAATATTCTAGACGAAAAGCCTAGAAACCGCCCAAAGCAGCTTGAGAAACCCAGCAAAAAAAAATAATATTGGGCCCCCTCCGCCGCGGCGTTCATGTCTGAGTCAGGGCCGACTCATACTCTTCACGAGCCAAACGGCATGAGGTAAGGGCGTAAGGACACACAGGCTACAACACCCAGTTATCAGCTACGATTCCAGCAACAAGCCCCCCTGCTAGCCACAAAGACGTTGGCAAAGCCACAAATGTCCACTACATGAGCCACTATCTACCGGCTTAGCACGCCCTAGCCTAAGATGGTCAATGACAAATGTTACCGGGCCCTTGGCAGCCTGTGGTGGACAGGGACCGGCTTAGGTGAGTGGTTGATTAGTCGATGAGTCGACGAGGGGATAGTGGGGTATTCAGCTGAAGAAGACAATAACATGACGGTCGCGCGGCGGGTGCGGGTTTGAGGTTGAGACTGGGCCTGAGGCTCATTACGAATCTTACTGGGATTGGGGCTGATGGGATGAATCGTTAAATTAGTTATGGTCGGGGACCATTTGGGGTATTTGGTTTGATTTTCTTGTGGAATGGTAAGGTGTTGTACGTAGTTTCGGAGTTTATTGTTCTTTGTAGAACCGTTATCTTGTGGGCATTTTGAGGCGGGAATTGGTGTCAGCTTTCTAAGAATAGCCCCACGTAGTTCTGGTAGTTTAGTGGTCACTGGGTGAGAAGCTATACAACCGTTATTTAGTTATCTGCTAGCCGGATAAAGTCACTAGTTCACTAAGGACTACATACTCTGTACATTGGAAACCTACTCATTCATCCCGCCGACCGGCCGTAGTACAACGGTCAACCGGATCCATTGATGGAGTGATCTAAATAGAAACACCACACTCCAATCTTGCTTTCGAGCGTATAACAATATAACTAACCTAACCATGAATAGAAAGAGCATATCAAATTCATTTCTTTCGCGCCGGCCCGTAAGATAGATGCTATAAATAAAAATAAGAAATAAGAAACCCACGTTGTACCCCTGCAGAGAGTTGCTTGGGCCTTGAAGTTGGGGGTGGGGGCCGGAAACGAGACATCAGGAACAATAAACGTATGGGGCGCACAGCATATAGTAACATCCATGGGATCATAATAGATGGACTAGGAACATGGATGGCTTCTTGTGCTGGTAGTTCGAAGAAGTTCGCCTTTATTTTCCTAATTCATGGTATACGCTGCAACGGCTAACACAAATAGAGAATTTGCATCTATATGTAGAGGATTATGTCCGCTGGCGGATGCTTTTTTGGGCTAAGATTAGGCTCAGGCTTGATGATCCGGTTAGTATAGTCATGGATGTAATCACTCATTAATCAGTGATCACCGCTAAGTGAAAGTGCTTAGAAATTGCTTGGTGATCATAGCCACTGATTACTCACTGACAGCCAATTTCTAAATGACTAACTACATAGCGAGCGATACGGAGTGGCTCTTTTATTCCGGCCCATATCAGATAGTCTGGGGTGCTAGCCCCAAAGGATAGGTGATGTGGACAAAAATAAGCGCGGAGAGCGATCGAAATTCAGTGTTGTGAGATGTTCCCTTATCGGAGAGTCAAGTCACATTTCAACCGCTCGATCTATGTCGATAGAAAGTACCCAAGAAAGTAGCCACGTCTGAGGTTTTATCAGGTAAATTTAGTTCCCAGGTTTCCATCCAAGCGGGAAGTCCTCGAGACCGGGGATTGTCACCTGGAGTCCTGCCCTCGGAATAGTATTCCAAAAGCTCAACACAAGCATTCCAAATGCGCCTTCGGTTCATTATACTCATCCAAGGTCTCATAGGAACTGTCAATCCAAACGGCTTCGAAGTATACTTTTCAAGGCGAAGGTAAATCCTTCGATAATCAGTCTGTGTACGGTCTTGCACTTCAGTACCCCGGCCTTCCCACAACTCCCAAGCGCAGCCCAAGCGTGACATGGAGAGTGATTTCCAAAATGCGGGATCTTGTGTAAGATAATACACCGTAGGCGATGCTGTGAGAAACGCCCGTAAGGCTTCTTTGGGCAAATAGCGGCAGATCATCTGTATAATCTCGATAGGAAGGCACTGAAATGGGTCGATTCCAGGTAACCTGTTGCGGAATGGGCAAACTTTCTGCTCTGCGGTAAGCAATAAATTGAGCGGCAGTGATTCGAAAGGGTTGATGACAGCGAACTATCAATTATTAGTGGTGTATACAAGGATACTGGCAAATTGTCTCATACCTCTTCCCCCGGTAGGCAGTCCCAAACTTGCATAGTAGTGTCTGGAGAGATAGCACCATAGTCCAACTCCAAATACCTGCCATCCCGTGACGCATACTTGTAGGGTGAGGTTAATGGCACTACATGAACGTTACTCGCACTACATACTAAACCTTTTTGGGTCAGTACCCGCCTTGGCAACTTTCCACCACCAAAAAGGTACATCCGACACCTAAAAAAAACAACTACGGTCTACCAAGGCTTCTGTCCAGATATTTCTATGAATAATAAGCCCTTTTTTGCGGTCGCTCTTAGGGTCAGTATTTACTTCGAGCATGTCACTATATGTTTACCTATTATTCGATAATTATTATGGCTGTTTATCATAAGAACCAGAGGAATATGACTACACATAAAGACAGCGATATTTCTGTAGGTCTTAAATGTACCTTTTGGTGGTGGGGCGGACGTTAACCGAAAAGGGCCTAGTTTGTAGTGCGAGTAACGTTCATGTAGTGCCATTAACCTCACCCTACAAGTATAGTACAGGGCGTCCAAATCGAGCCTGCGAGTTCCTCGGAATTCGTTAGTAAAATTCAGACTCGGTTATGCCCAAGATCGTCCCAGACCCAGAAGGATCCTGTCTGTGAATTACGAGACTTCAAAGCTGGACTTGTTCCAGGCATGGCCTACCTTTCCTCATCTATCCGATGCAGGGCACAGAACCATTTGTATGCTTTTTCGAGAACAACCATACATTGTGTATGGAAGGAAATGCGACCCCAGCGTCCTTTTCTCATGAGTCATAACTAAGCTTGTCAGTGGAATCAACAGATCAAGTAGATCAAATTCACCTGGTAGGACACAACATACCAATTGAATATATGTTTCTCAGCTACAGGTGGCTGGTTTGGATCTATTCGTCAAGTCAGTCCCGTCGCTAGGCTACATAGTATTCGGAAGGTAGAGACAGTCGATGCCCAGTTACCTTCACCCTGTTGGACCACTTCCCTAGTCTAGTCACGTATCAGATTTCGCTCGAAGAAAGCCATCATAAGAGTTGGTTAGACTTACCATACCATCATCGTACGCTTGACAAGAGATAAAAGCCCTACATGAATATTCGAGTAAGCAGACATCCTCTGTCTTAGTAAAGCAAGTCAAAACAAACCTAGCGCCCCCAATCGCGCAAAAATTCAAGCCGAGCGCCTGGTACTCGTCAAGCCACTCGGTTCTTTCCTCGGAAACAAGATGAGGGTCAAATCTACAATCCTCATAAAAATCGTTTTCTTCATCGTCTGAGAATGGATCTGAGTCGTGCTCTGAATCACTTGCGACTAAGTCAAACTCTTGACCTGCCTCTTTAGCCTGACGAGGTCTAGAGACCCTTCTGCGCCGCCGGTTCAGATGACCCCGTGAGGTGGAACCTAGTTCAACATGCCTAGCCCCCAGAGGCCCCTGACATAGGGCACAGTAGCACTCAGATGTGCCCATGATCTCCGCAAAATCAAAGTTGTGGAGAGGGCAGCGAGGCAGGAGTAGAAGGACTGTGCTGTGCAATGCACCCAGGGCTGCAACCGTGGACCTGGGAATAGTAAAAGCGTTCAGCTGCGTCTGAAGCAAATCGCGAAGAGAAATTTTCCATGGGAGCCGAGCATGACAAAAGAGGAATATGTAGTCGACCAAGTGGTATGCGGCTCAAGTCATAAAAGCTCCGTGACCGATTTGTTATGTAGGGTCTAACCGGATCCAGACCCTCTGGCTTGCCTTAAGGTTATAGTCAGGGGCTCGGGAGAGCGAGCCGTCCACTAACGAATCGTGTCAATCAACGCTAGACTCCTGAAGTCGGAAATCAATCATCGGCAGCCTAAATACCTGATGTGTGCAGTAATTCAGAATATGTACCTCGGCCGGATTTTCAACTGTACGGCCGCTGGGCTAAGCCTTCCACAGACTCAATCACTATTGAGTATCTTGTAGGACGTACCAGAAGTGCGCACCGAGTAGATATCTACTCTTGGACTTGAAGAGTCCAGTGGAGAATTGCTAAAGCGACGATGCAATATTGCTAAACACACGATACACACCTATTTGGGGGTCAGCACTGTAAATGTTTTACTATCTTATAATTAGGATACCCTCATAGTTATTCAAAAGTCTGAGTTTAGAAACCAGAGAAATCGACCAACTAGACATGCTTCTAACAATCTCTTCTTGAAAGGTCTTTCTAAATGCCTTTCGAATCGTCTTTCTTGATAGCACAGATACTATTTGGACGGTGACTACTAAGTTGGTTTTCAATTATCGGGGTCTCAAGCTTACGCACACCTAACTTAGAAAATAGTAGTACTATTACTACGCTCAACTAGAATAAGAGATGTATCGTCAAATTAGGACTTGGGTATCGTCGTTCTACCAATTTCCGTCCAGTGGCCACTCAAATTGAATTGGAGAAGCTCAAGATTGTAATGCTTGATGCGAACAGCATGAGGACGGACACCCGAGTGACGCAGCCACTTGATTCCCGCATAAGAGGTAAACCCGACACCGCTGTGATGGTTGGTCGGGCTGTGAACACATTTCGGGGAATGATCGTAAAATTTTCGACCTATCCATCTTTGCGGTTTGCCATCAAAGGGCATGCGAGTCCTTTTCTTGAAGCGATCTTGAGGGCAATAGCTTGATCGAAAGTGACGATGAAAGTAAGGGCCAAGATACAGATGGCGGCAGAGTTTTTGCATGCCTATGAAAACAGTAGATTAGTAGACTGTATGCATCGGATGAATTTGACTGACCGTTCTGAGCAAAAATGAGATCGACAGGGCAGGACTGCCTGCATAGATAGCGAAGAGTGGAGCTTGGGTGCGTGGAGCGTGGAAATTGATGGTGGCTGTTTGCCTGAGGCATGAAAGTGCCTCAAGTGGGCAGGCGGTGCCCAGCGATCATCGCCATGCTTGCGGCGCCAACTCACCGCCCTTTGGACAGACCCACACTCCTTATATGCACGCATTAATTGCCACCTCCTAGCCCTAACTCCTTCGAATCACAACCCTGCTCATCAACAACTACACCCCGCGATCTCCGCTACAGCAGTGACTACATGACTGGAGGAATATGTGGAACTTGGAATTGGGAGGGGGGGCCCATCTCTTTGATTACGGGATTGGTCTAATCTAACATACATGAGACGAAATGTGAAGATTCAAACAAAAAAACAAAGAAGATAGAAAGATCCCGCATATCCACTCATTCTGGCCCCCATAAACATGAAAACAATCTCCCAGCCCGTGCTGTCAGAGAAGAGAAGAAAAGAAGAGAGGAAAGGAGAAGAGATAAAGGAAGAATGGAGAGAAAAGAGAAAAGAGGAAGGAGAAAGGAGAGAGAAGAAAGAGGAGAGGAGAATCCGCATGGCGTGGTGGAAGAGGCGTCTGCGCTGTATGATTCTGAGAATGCCCAGCTAGTGCATCACGTAGTCGGGCGAGAGCCAGGGAGGAGGCGAGGAGGAGCGCTCATCCTGCGCGGGCCGGCGGCCGAGGAGCTCCCGCAAGTAGGAGAATGCCTCATCTGGGCCCAGGAGCCACTTGCAGTAGTCGGTGCTCTCAAGGTGCAGAGCAAGTTCGCCGAGGGACGACCAGCGGAGCAAACAACTCTTGCAGTAGAAGTCGAAGCCAGAGCCAGAGTAGATGTAGAAATCACGGAGGTGAGGGTTTGCCTTGACGAGTCGCAGAACTTGAATACGACGTCCACAATCGCGGCTCGACTCGAGGTGGCGGATGATAGCCGAGAAGGTCTCAGCGATGTTGTCGCACCGCGGACAGTGGTACTCGCTGTACGGGTGGGTTCTCATGTGCTGATGATTATATTTTAGTCTGATTTCAGTTATCAATACAAGAATGAGGATAAAACTTACCTGGTGGCACTCTTCCATGTCCAAGAAGACATCGAGGCAGACCTCGCAAGCGGCATGCTCGTAGATGAGGTGCGTGTTCAAGCTCCTCTCCGAGGCCAGGATGAGGCCGCACTCTTGGCACTTGAAGTGTGCCGCCGCACGATGAGCGCTGAGACTCTCTGCATCGGGGTAATCGACCCCATTCACACAGTCCGGACAGAAGTGGTGGAACTCCTCGTCCGTCAGGTGTTCCATGAGCTCGCACTCGTCAAGGAACACCATCTCACACTCCTGGCACCAAGAATGGTGCTGGCTGTCTTGGCAGTGCGAGTAGATGGCGTCGTAGGAGGAGAACTGGGCTTGGCAGAGACGACAGAAGAACTCGTCGTCAACCGACACGACGTGCTCTCCAAACAAAAACGACATGTTGGTGGTCGTGTTTCAGGAATTTTGGTGGTGGGAGGGAGAGAGGAGAAGAAAAGAAGAAGTGGAGGTGGTCGGGGAGGATTTTATAAAAAAAGACTGTAGGCAATCTCGCAGCTATTCAGGGCCCCGAAAAGGTAGCCACGACTTCTACATTCGATAAGATGCCTCAGATTAGGCAGTGTATCGAATTCGGAAGTGATAGTACTATACTGATGCCCTCACATGTCTTTGAGCTCACCCCATAGGTCCGAAAAATTTAGTATTGCCTGTGATATATACAATTTAGAGGTACTAGAAGGCTTGATATGTGGTATAATGTTTGGAGGAAGGATAAAGAGACCCTCTTCAAGTTTGGCCAGAGGGCTAGACACATTTGAAATTCCATTTCAACACTGAACAACTGGTAATATTAATCAATCAAGAATGTAATGAAGCTTATAGATATGTATTAGATCTTGGGTACTGTGGTTGTGTCTTGAAAAGCGCACAAAATTGGGGTATAATATGATATATGGTTGGTATGGAATAGTCTAATACTTCATTGTACATGAACGCTGCATTTATGACATAGGCAGCCATCAAAAGCTCAACGCTCGGTCGATCCTTCCGACTGAGGAAGTGCTTCATATTGTGGAGGGTGTCCTGTTTGGTCTTTACTGACCATTCTCGAATCAGCTTTGATGACAGGCATTGACCCATCTGCCTCCACAATTGGTTTTGCCTCGCCTGCCTCCAATAACATTCGTGAGTCTGTCTCCGCCACAAAGGAAGGCTTCTTACTGACACCCATCTCAGGGCAATGGTGAAGCATTTTGTGCTTCGCTTTGTTGAGCAATTTGTTCTAAGGCTTTCTCTAGGTTTTCCCATTAGATCAGACCCCATCGCGCGCAGAATGGCAGAATTCAGAGATAAATCAGGAAGATGAAGATAGTATGGCTGAGGCTCACGCCGGAGATGGCAGTTGCTGCTACATTTGAGGTGGCAAACAGATAGATATAGTAAATGGCCCACATCATGTTTAGTGCGAAGAAGAATACACTACCAAAAAGGAGAAATATTGAGGGTGTTTAGAGTGAAGGTGGTTAGTGAAAGGCTTGAAAGGAGAAGGAATCCTTATATACTCACCCTTATCTTTGATCGAGTCTTGATGGTCTTGGTAGACAGATAAATAGCCCAAGCCAAAATTTCCATAGAAGGCAACCATCGAATAACCGAGACTGCTAGCTGCATATCAAGCAATTTATTTGCAGTACTGACAATTGACCCATAGAGTGACCCGTAGACCGGGCCTTTTGAGCCAGCATTTGCCGGATATAAAAGGCCCAATCAATGATGGCAGCTATCACGATAAACCGAAGGACGTTCCAGTGGAGAATTTTAACTCATCTTGGTGGCTTGTTTCCAGTCTCCAAAAATTGAAGGCAGACATGAATGACTGTGTAAAAGATATAAAATAGCGTACAGATGGTCGAATGTCGGAAGAGAGAGCCAATGATCGCTCCAGGATAGTAAAAGTCTCTATAGGCTTTGGACGAATTGGCGTTCTTTGAGATACTCTGGCCTTCAGAAGGAAGACCGAATATTTTGTAGCTGTTGCCACTCATGAGCTAGTAATGTTCTCGATTGCTTTTTATCCGAGTCGATTGAAGATGTAGCCACTCACAGGAAAACCGCAACGACAGAACCCAGGACGGTCCACATAGGTAGAGCCTTCAAATCATATTTATTCCGTCGACGGATTAATGAGAGCCAGATCTCACAGCCCAAGGCCCAATGCAAACAATTATGTCAAAACTGAATTGAGAAATGGCGAGATTGTTCTTAAGGTTTTCTGCAACGGCCGCCGCCGCGGCATTCGAATTTGAGGCTGAGCTCGTGTAGGTCGGCATTTTGTTGTGGACCACTGAACATCAATTACTACTGAGTCAGTGAGACGATATCTCTTAAAAACAATCTCATGTCCCGGACCTGCAAGGCTTAACCATGTAAGCCAAGGATATGGGTGGCATACGGGGACAGTGCTTTTGTGCTGGTTGGGAGGATTTCTGAGGGATCGGCGACCGCTAAAGTACAATCTGCGCCTTGCTACCAACGTTCGCCCTCATTCGGCGACTAGATGGTTTGGCCCCGAGAATTGCCACTTGTGTCCCTGCGGGCTAATGGCTTTACCCTAATTGTCTCAATTTAAAGTGATATTGCGCCGCAATCAGAGTCTTGTTGGAAACTACATTGACGTCATATGTCCTAAAGTCGATGAGCTCTTTTGGTGATGTTTAAGGTGAGCTGCTGTAAAAATCGATGTAGCACATGTTCTTTGTTCCTGTCGGGAATCATCTTTGATTGCATTCATGTAGTTTGTTTAAATTTAAATAGAAGAGAGTGAAATGGCATTTGAGTATCTGTCTGGGAAAATATTTAGAAAGAGCTGTGGGAAGATGTTTAGAAAGACCTTGCTCTTGTTCTACATTCATACTACCCCTGAAAACAACATCATAAAAAACGTCTACACGCAAAGAATCCTAATAGAGCGTCTGAATCGTGTTTAAATTATATTATGATGGCCGCAAAATGAGAAACTAGAGTCTAGCGATCACTTTATGCGAGCTCCACAACACCACCCTGATGATCCAAGTTTGTAGAAGTGTCAGGTCCAGCCTCACCTTCAGGCGCTGTATATACAGAGAAAATCGAGTCCGAGTCAGAGTCATCATAAGTATCTTGCTTGTGTGTACGAGCCCGAGAGCCAGCTCGGGATGTTGCGTGAGGTTTCGCGGGTATTGTTCGTGGTGTTCGTTCTGCCTCGGTTGGATGGTCCGAGGGTGGTGGTGGTTTAGAGGTAGGTCTCAAGCCTGGAGGAACTTCATTTTTCATCCGGTATGCCATGTTCCGATGCGTATTAGAGCTCGACTGGTGTTGTGGTGGCGAGATAAATGATGAAGATCCTATAGGGGTGAATGTTGCAGACACCAGTGGGGTGTCTTTTGATCGGGATCGACTTTGACTCCTTGTCCCATTGGGTCTTCTGTTTTGATGTCCGAGGGGTGATGAGCCCCTAGACTCTCTTGATAGCGCCGTGACTCGGTCACTGGCCATAGGGGGCGGTTGATCGGTGGATTGTCTTGATTCCGGGGTGGCAGTCCATGGACTGATGTCAGTAGATCTGGCCGGACTAGAGATTTCCTGTTCTAAACTTCCTGGAAGCTCAAAGGGAGTCGAGCTATCTGCTTCAAACACGGATGGAAATGGCAGATCTGGAGCGGGAAGGGGCGTGTGCGCGCTTGAGAGTAAATCACGCATACTCCCGCCCTGAGAGACTCCAAAGTGACTCAATGGAGCTGGTATACTCGGCTGTTGGAGGTTTCGGCTGAGTGTTTGGTTAAGCAGCTGCTGCACTTGGTGCATCCGATCTTCAGGCACGCCAGGAGAGAAGCCGACCGTGTCTGGCATGTTGATGATATCAGCTATATCTGCGTCCGGTATTTTGCCACTTGATAATAGCAGCTGGAGGAGCTCTGGCTGGCCATGGTACGCAGCATAGCGCATTGGCTGCCATCCAGCCTCATCCTTCTTCAAGACAGATGCGCCGCGTACTAATAACAGCGAGGCTACATGCAAATGGCCACCCATAGCAGCCAGACACAAAGGTGAGTCCTCTCGAAATCCGGTGCCAAATTTGAGCGACAGTGGTGATCCCCGATCGAGTAGCCTCTGGACAACCTCAACATGGCCGAAGCGGCTAGCCACACAAACGGGCCTATCACCCATGCCATTACGAGCATCTAGAGATGCTCCCTTCTCACAGAGTAAATCTAACAGGAACAAGGAACCCCGAGAGGCAACAATATGTAGAGGCCGTTCTTGATGTTGGGACTCCGATGCTTCGACATCAGCGCCTGTCAAGAGCAACAACCTTGTGATCTCGAAACTGTCTGCCATACACGCGTAATGAAGTGCTGTAAGACCCGTTTTGCAACGTGTTTCGAGAGGAACGCCTTTGCGTTGCAAGAATTCCACAACAGCAAACTGTGATTGTATGACCGCCAGATGTAATGCCGTTCGACCTACACTGTTGACCATATCCAGCAGCCCTTTCTTTTCGCTTAGGATCCTAACGGTCTCCTCATGCCCATTATAAGCAGCCCAATGGAGGGCGGTCATTTCACTATCGTCCATACTGCGCGAAGACGCTTTGCGTTTGAGCAGGAAATCTACTGCTTGTGCACGCCCAGCTTCGGCTGCACAGATCAATGGTGTTTTGCGGTCTCGACCTTGGGCCTCAATGTTCGCTCGATGTTCCAGGAGAATCCTTATAGCGTCAAGGTGGCCTTCCTCGCAAGCGTAATGTAACGCCGTCATCATCATTCCATCCTTGGCCTCCACGTCAGCACCATAAGCCACGAGTAGCTGCACGATCTCGCTGTCACCGCGCTTTGCTGCAGCATGGAGAGCTGTCATTTGGTTTTCGGCCCGGGCATTCACCTGAGCATGGTGCATAAGTAGCACCTGCACGGAGTCAGGCTGTCCACAGTCCGCAGCTACACGCAATGCGGTACGGCCTTTGAGATTCGGGGTTTCGATGAGAGTCCGATCTATCAACAGCAATTCCATTACTTCCCAATGGCCTCGTGATGCTGCCAAATGGAGGGGTGTTTCGCCTGATCCATCCGTGACGGCCAGTCGAGCACCACATTGAATCAGCAGATCGACCACAGCCTCTTTACCGCAGTGGGAAGCGACGAGTAGGGCATTCCGGCCTGATCGTTCATGTCGCTCTTCGATATCAAAGCCAAGCTCAATGAGTCGTTCCGCTTCGTCTCGAGAACCTGCTTGGGCAGCTTTGATGAGCGGGGAGACTGATGCACCGTCTTTGGCGAGATCGATACTTGAGTGGAGGTTTGCTTGTAATCGGTGTCCACGCCCCCTGGTATTTGGTGTAGTTGGTATACTTTGCGAACCTACCGGCGATACCCTCAGACTTCTTCGACTGCTTGTATTGATGCGTCCAAGGAAGGATGAGAATCTTTCTAGCTTGGAACCGGATGACTGCCCTCGGGTCAAAGCTTTTGAGTCGGATACGATTCTCCGTATTCCACCGATATTTTGTCGCTGAGGAATTTGCGCCTGAGATACGCTCCTGGTATGCACGGGCGCGGATGGGCTTTTCGGCAAGACAAGTAAGTTCTCTTGTTGTTGAGCAAGGTCTGGGGATAATGCTGTAGTATTATATCCCCCAGAGTGATAGCTGCTATACCCCTCGTCGGTGAAGGAGCTTTGAGTGACGCTGATACTCGGTTGTCTTGACTGCGGCTGGAATTGCTGCGCCTCCAAAGGTAGACTTGGGGTCGTCCATTGCTGCAGCGCCCGTTGATAGACCGGCGAATCCATGATAGTCGCGTCAAAATCAAAGATCCGATCGCTAATGGCCCGCCGACTGCTGCTCTGCGATATGACATCCGTGTCGGTCGCTACGCGACTTAACCGACCAGATCTGAGCGTCGCGGTATCATCAGCGACCCTGCCTATAATTTGTCGGGTTGTCGCCTTCCTGAGAAGCCGAACTTGCTCGGTCGATGAATGGCTGATGTGGTCAGTTTTCGAAGGACAACAACAAAATTGTGTGCATTCCTACCATTGACAGACTTGAAGCAACAACTGCAATGCCTGGACTTGAGCGCGCAACTTCTCCTGATGCCCTCTCATGGTATCCTCATTCCAAACAATCTTCATGCGGGTCTTAAAGTTAATGCCCCCGCTCTCTTCAGCGCTCTGGACCAGCTCAAAGACCTCGTACGACAAGACATCCATAATAACCCGACACCCGTCCATGGCAATAGCCAGGTCTTGATCAAGCTCATCGAATTTGGGCCCATCGCGACCGCTGCCACTGCGGTGGATACGGAGCCACTCCTTGAGGCTTGTGAGTGCCGTCCGAATGCATGCTAGCTCCTGAATCAGGGATTGGATGGTGAAATCGGCCTCTCGTAATTTGCCAGTCAGCTGGCGCAGGCCACCAACGGTCGATGCAATGGCTTGCAGGACCTGGATGGCGCCAGAAAAGAGACCGAAGGCCGTCACAGGATCCATGACTCTTCGTATGCAGAAGAGAAGAGCGCATTCAGCGCCAGCTGGCGAGGAGTGAGGCTCAGAGCGTCAAATCACATGGCGGGGCGTGCTGCTCCACATTGGGGGCCGTCAGCGCGGGGAGACAAAACAAGCCAGTCGAAAGAACATGGATACTGCATCTGCCGTAGCCTATTATACGCGCATAGATTGAACTAAAGGGATGACACGTCGAGATGAATTCAATAAGGTGTCTCTATTTCAAAAAAGAATGGAACATAGGGAAGGGTTACCAAATCTGCTCTATTGTACCCATGGAACTACTTCTATTACTCTATTCTGGTGACGAAATATACAGTACTTTTGTAACTGATAAGCTTAATTAGCACTTCATCTGCCTATAAACAACTACTTAACCCTCTCGTTGCTTTCAAATATCCAGCGTCGTTTTTAACTTTTTTGGAACTGAAGCTGGCTGTGAATGATTATTGTTTATGTTCTTATCGGCCTTGGCGGATGTAGCCTGCTAGATATGTGAACATTTTTGGGGTTTGCAGAGTAAGATATGCGAGAGGCGGGCCAATGCATAATTGGCACTTAAAAAATCGGCTGCAGACTTCAAAGATGCCTGCGTTTGCAAAGAACAACCAATGATGTACGATTTTTCCATTCTTATTGGCCAATTGCTGGCAGAATTTATGGATTCCTCACAATACATTATACAGGTCATGTGATCAGCCACTCCCCAATGACCCTCACTTTCACCGTCTTTTCAACTCAACAACTACTCTTCTTATATTTTGGTAGTGTTTGCCATTTGTATATATTAAAAATTGTTGAAGTTCCGCAACTGCGATTTTCCAACTGAATCCTGCTCTGTTGAAGAAGACATGGAACTCAGGCCAAACCACCAATTCGACCCTTACGGTCCTGGTGCGGATGCTTATTATACCGACGAAGCCGCTGATGTCGTCAATAATATTGATTGGGATGATCCTTCATCTTTCTTTAAAGCCATAGGTGCTGGCCCTGGTGGTAGTATGCCTATGCCGGAAATGAAATCGGCTCCAGACGTTCGCCGAGAGGCTACAGCAAGGTCAGCCAAGATATTTAACAGCTACGAGACGCTGCATGAGATTCTACAGCGCCATGAAGCTACGATTCGCAAGCGATGGATCAAGAAAACACGGCCTCAAAGGCTGAAAATTTTACTCAATGCCTGGCCGAACATGCCAGCAATGCATCGCCCCGACTTCGAGGCTTTCCGGAAGGAATCAGAGGCCGACCGCGACAGAGGTACTAAATACCGAGACTCTTTTCTGTGTCCCTTCATGAATCAGGAGGATCTCCTCAATACCAAGACACTGCCTTTGCTTTTGAACGCCAGAGGCCGCCATCCACCGTCGCATTTTGCTGCCGCCGACATCGAGGCCATGCACCTGGGCAAAGTCTCCAAAGCAATTGCGCCTGTTTTCTTGAACCAGTATATTATGATGCTGAATGGTATGACTGAGAATACCCGGGATTATGGCAGGCTTGTGGGTTGGCATGAGCACCCTGACGCGTTTGACTGGATGACCAAACGGAAACAATTTCTTCCCGGAGAAGGTTTGTTGATCCTTGAGGTACAGGAGCGGCTTCTAAATGCTCTCGTTCAATGCTGCCTGCAGCTTCTTCATGACATTCCAGAGTCCGATTTGACAAGTGACTTGTTCCCTGTTCTACCAGAACCACCACTCAAGCCTGAAAGTGAAGTTACTGGATTTGAATCTCTGAGCATCATGGCCAGTGAGGCACCCTATCGCTTGCCAGCAGAACTTGATCTTCGTCTTCTTGAGTCGCTGCTTGCCGCGAGAGCGTCTGCTGCAGAGGATCATCTTTGGGCTTTGCGGGAGGACCCTGATTACTTTTCGAGAACTGTACTTGACGCCCAGGAGCATCGGCAGGAGATGTTGAAGGATACCATGGGTAGGGATCATCCAGTATTCAGCCATGGCCAGCGCGATGTTCTTTGGGCACGCGTCATTGGCTCTGTGGTCTTGAACGCCTACATCGAGCTTGAACTTTTCTCTGAACTTAGCAGCCAAGCCACGAAGCTGGCTGCCATGCAGGAGAAATATGCCGGCGATATATCGCCTTCAAAAGATTTGCCTGAAGAATACCTGGCGGCCTTAATGCGTTTCCGGTTCTACGTCGACCAGGCGGCTAAAGGACCATTGGGGACCCTCAGACACACCGCTGTGGCCTCACCACCCCTAAGAAGACTGTTTGTCCGTGAGCCGCCGCTCGATCATCAGTCTCCGAAGATCAAAGTTATCTCAAAGCCTGGCGCCAAGATGAACGACCTGGAAGTGCAATTGATTTGGCTGCTTCGTACCCTGTGGGAGGACGACACAACTCTGTTCCTGGCTGGTATGCCTCTGGTTGTGGACGAGACCGAGCGACTGATTCAATCCGAGCCCCGTGCGCGAGAGCTACTCTCTTCTCAAATCACCAGAGTTGTTGGCGATCTCTCCATCCTTTCCCAATGTCTGAACCAGTTGAACCTTTACCACCCATGGGCCATGACCTTCGTGGCCGAGGCTGCGGAACGTGATGAAGCTTTGAAGAAAGAATATGCCGAACGGACTCAATCCTGGGGCAAAATTTTCGCCGCACTGCACGAGAAAAGCATTTCATCCAGGGCCGTTACCTTGGGCCAGCCTACTGGAGGCAAATTCGTCTATCCCGTCGACAAGCGCCGCACTCGGGAGACCGTGGACGCCTTGCGCCGAGCCGAAGGAAATCTGGACGCTTTCTGGGTTTCCATCGATCATGTCATAATCGCCAAAGCCGGCGATCTGCGTGATAGTGCAGTTCGGAACCTCTTGTCTCAGCCACGCATCTTACAACGTACTCGAGAATGGGTCGAGCCAGAGAAGCCGTCGCCTGGGGTACCTGCACAACAAAAAGCGATCGAATCAGATCCATACACATTGTATCAACCAATTTCCAAGTTCTACACAGCGCCATCAGCGAAAGAGCTTGATATCCAAAAGCCCAAGACCAAGCTCAAAACCCGTGGAAAAGCACGCCCACCCACACCACCAACGCAAGCCGAAGTGCTGTCAAAGCCCAACCCCGTCGATCCCCAGCCTTCTTTCCCAGTCGATGCGCGCGCTCTCAAGGTCTTCCGCACTATATACTTCAATCCTGCTGCGACTTCCACACCGGGTGAAGTTCCTTGGAATGACTTCTTGCATGCCATGACGTCGGTCGGTTTTACGGTCATGAAGCTTTATGGCTCTGTCTGGCAATTCCAGCCCACCAGGCTGGATGTTGAAAGAAATATCCAATTCCACGAGCCGCATCCGCGGGGGAAATTGCCCTTTACGGTCGCTCGTCAGTATGGGCGACGGCTGAAACGGGCGTACGGTTGGTTTGGAGGCATGTTTGTTTTGGCCGAGAAGTGAACTCCTTCCGTTTTGAAAAGTCAATGAACGCGCCAGTGTCATTGAGGACTCGAATGCTGTCACGAAATTTCTTAGTTACCTGGGTGAATATCACTTTTCATAACTAACTACCTGTTTTAGTTATTAGTCAAGTAACCTTTAGTTAACTTAATAGTCAACTATCATTTACTCAGACTCATTAGACTTGGGATTCCCTATCTATTCAATCACTGAAGGAGTAGCATAGCATAGTTAATTCTTTTTTAGTGTAATGCAATACAAGCTATGTAGTCAGCTTGTATAGAATAACCAACTATGTAACTAATTAATCTTTTCTTGTGATCTTTCCTTGAGCCAATCATGCTGCCGTTACATGCGCCCAAGCCCCCAGCCCACTGCAAATGTACTGCGCCCCACAAATCGTCAGCTCCAGGCAAAGAGTTTCAGGGGGCATGACATGCTGATCCATCTTCGAGTGACGCAGGGTCGTTGCTTTTGCATGGCTGAACGTGAATACCGGCAGCTGTCAAGTCAGAAAATGTGGAATGAAATCTAGATCGCTCTGCCATAGGCAGCCACATATAACCTGGCTTCGTCTGCCTTCAGAGATCGCTCTACAGCAAATAGATTTTCACCCATCACGTTCTGAAAGGCCTCCAGATTGTTTGGCTTACGAGCTTTCATACATGCTATCAACCCTACGTAAAGAATAAGCTTTTTCTTTTTTGGTCCCTACCTATCCGCTCCGACAGCCGGCATCGAGTAGGGATCGGTAGATCTGACCTGCTGAAGCATGATATTGAGCTGCATAACAGGCAGAGATAAAGAAGAAATAGGGACAGAAATGTCAGCAACAGAGATATGAGATTCGTCAGCAGCCTTTGAGGCAGTGGAGGCCTATGTATAGCATAAGGGGCGAGCAGATTGTCAGATACAATGCAAACCCGGGCATAACAAACTGTGCAGAATTGGCCAAATAGCCAGGCACAGACGCTAATAAATTAAAACCCTACCGCCCGGGTTGTCTGCGCCCTGCTGAATTCGTGTTGAAAAAGAAACGAGGCGAATGAGGCTTCGGCCCCATTCTCTCATTTACGAGGCGCGAACAAGTCACCACTAGTGCCCGGGTAATGGCTTGGATTAAAACTCAATCACCTCGCACATCAATTATATCTGCTCACGGATCACCTTGTCTTCGCCCATCTATGCTTCCGGGCTGTCACTGCTGAGATGTACAAAGATGAGCGGTAGAAGCCCACAGCGTCCTCTTCGATCGAAGAGTACTATCAGCACTACCTCTACCACGTTAGAAAGCAAGCCAATATCGTATACACCAAAATGTAAGCCTTGGATATTGAATATTGCGATCGTCTGACTGACAAAATGTTAGGTACGGCGGAAGAATACGTCAAAGCCATCGCGCATCACTCTCAGCAATCCAGCGCTGAGACCTTGTACCCCGGGGAAATCTATGAGACGCTGAAACGATTTCTTGAGCACAAATCCAGCGATGAATCCAGTAATTTTGCTTGGCTCGTCAGCCCGAGCAGTTCCAGCCAGCAGACTCCATCCGACAAGCAGTCTCTTTCGGACAAGCATTCCATGTTTGACACTACTCGAAATCCTGGGCGCTCAGAGGGATTTTCTGAGCCCGATCCGTGCGTAGAGGCTTTAAAGAGTAACATCGAAATATCACATCCGCAGGTTCTATTCTTACGTGGTCATCCTTCACCTAATTGGATCTCGAAGATCGGCGCCTTTTGTTATGCAGATCCCGAGTTATTTCGCTGGTTTCTCAGGTATCGCTCGGAACAAGGTAGCGACTGTTATTTTGACAGCGCACCGTCGGTTATGAGTAATATGTTTCGCTTCAAAATCTTTACCATCGGATCCAGAAACCGTCGATATCGATCATCTCAGGAAGAGATAGATTCCTTGCGCGCGAAAGCATCCAGTGATCTTCATCGATACCGGGCTGCATTGAGAGGTACTTGGATTCTAGACACGGGAGTCTCGATTGTGCGGGATCTTCACGTACTCGATGAAAGACACTGTGTCATAGAGCAGGAGATTGTGATCTCTATATTCGAAATCGGGAAAACTTGGATGGGTAAGACTCGACCCCTATAACGATAACAATGCACAGATTTGCTGATGATAAATTATAGCCATCGCCTGTACAGACGCAGGACACAACTTCACCCAAGGGCCACCTCTCCCATGGTTGAGGGATGAACCACAAGGGCTGCCAGTTACACTTCTTCCCATAATTCAATACAAAACGAGGTGCGCGCTGAAATCCCGCAGCATCAACGACAGTGACACTGGGTCGGCCAAAGAAAGAAACACACAAAGCCTTGCTATTTTTCCAGAAGGCTACGGACGTGGTCTAGATTGGTCGCTTGCAAAATCAGATCGCTTTCATATTTTGTCAGATGTGTTCAGGCTAGCTGCCTTTTCTCAGAAGCAGCTCCTGAATGTGATGAAGGAGAAAATCCTCAACGAAACAGACCGGCTGTCACTCAGTGATGAGAACCCGACCTTGACCAACTTGCTATACTTTCGAAACATTCTTCAAGATCAGCTAAGCACCGCTTCATACATGCTTCAGTTGACAGACGACCAAACGTGTATCCTTCAAAATGGTCGTCGATCTATATCGACTGATCAAAAAAGTATGACCGATTGCAGCCTGGCTGAAATGCACAGTATATTTCAAGACTTGCACTCTCAAGCGGAACTCCTATATGAGAAATGCAATCAAGGGATGACAGTCATCAGTAACAAAAGCATGCTGGCAGAGTCACAACGCGCCATTCAGCAGGCAAAGTTGGTCACCAAGCTTACAATCGTTGCTTTTGTTTACCTGCCGTTTACATTTACGGCTGGTTTCTTCGGTATGAATTTTAGGGAGTTGGGAAATGGTTCCATATCCTTATGGATATTCTTTGCGGTATCTTTACCGTTGATGTTTATCACTATGGCGGTTTTCATTTTGGATGAGCGAAAGATGAAGAGCTTCTTGCGAATCTTAGGTTTTGCAGAAGAGGAGGATACATAGGTGGCTCGAGGGCGTTGAAGGACGTTGAACTTGAAGTTGGAAGTTCATATTATATATTGTTTAGAATTTGTATAACGAGACATTTACTGTTGCTTCGCAGTGGCAAATAGCGGCAATAGGAGAGAAGGCGCAATTCACATACATGTTTGCTGGCTGAAACCCGAAAAGATGCATACAATAGGATTCGATAAGCCTGAAATCCCATGAAGATTTCTGAGTCTTCTTCCTAATAACGTGTTAGAAAATTAAATGGGGCGCAATGGGTAGACTGTCAGGATAGATTCTGAACGATTAATTTAGGAGATCTTCCAGAAGAGATTGAGCTAAAGTACACGAATCTTTGAGACATTTTAAGTCCACGAGTGAGCGAGAAGTTACACGGCTTAACTACTCCTTTTTCGGTTTAGCCGATATCGGCCATTACGACTCCTCTCCTCTTTGAATTTGATCCTTGCCATCCTTCATTACTGCAAGATAGCGTAATGAATAGTGACAGCGCCCACGGCACTGCTGGCACAGGAAGCGGAGAGAGAGAGGGAGACTGAGTCAAATTGGTCTATCTAGAGCATAAAGACGAAGACGACTAGGAGAAGAAGAAGAAGCAGAAGGGAACAGAACAGGGTCTATAAGGCCCTAAAGCACAAAGGAAAGGAACAAGGCCTGGTCCTGACAGGAAAACCCCGGCCTGCTTCATGCAGGGCCAAAGAAGACGACAAACCCTGCAAACCCTCGAGGTCAAAGGGATCGAGTCATCAAATAGCTATTTGAGGCAGCCTTGAAAGTGCGAGCCCTCTTTATTGAAAGGTGCTAGATGAGGCTCTGCATCGTTAAGGGGAGGTACTGCGGGGTCACCGGACTCGGACGTGTCACACAACATTCTTATCAGAGCATCCTTGACCAGTCGCGTCGTGTCCTTTGCCCATTGGAGAATTCATGGACAGGGATGTCGCGTCATATGATATTGTTAGGGAATCCTTGCCGGGTCAGCAACCAGTTGCGGCTCGAGCCGGCGGGGCACGCTCGAGGCCCCATCGCGAACCTAATTGAAAAGGGCGATTTAGAACTACCTTCGTTGTGGCGATGGTTATTTCTTGATCTATACTTCCTGTTTTCCGGGAACCAGTGAAGACCGGTTCTAGAAGCAAACATGGCCGAACCAGTGTCAAGCACCAGAGCCACCCGGAGTGGAGGTTTGCAACAGATTCATGTCGGTCCAAAAGTCGGAACACTGTATGTTTCGACCTTCTCATCAATTATTTCGCACTCACGGATAAAGGATGATAACTGAATACAATAGTCTACTGGCCGTAGGTGGAGTCGGAACAACGCCTCCAGAGCATTGGACAAACTCAAAAGGCCAGCTGTGGTTGGGCACACTAGACGCAAAAAGTGCTCCTGACATCGGTATTCTTTCCTTTCCGAACAAACTTGCGGCAAATGGTGTCCTTTCTGGAAGAGATGTCGAAGATGAGGGCGCTGCTCTTCTAGGCGAGTTGAGCCGCCTCGTCGAAGATGATACTGTGCGTCTTCCCATTGGAAACCAAGGCAAGACTGATTGCAATAGGTCATCAATACTCCAATATTGCTGGTCGCCCACAGCTTAGGCGGATTGATTGTGAAAAGGGTATGTCTGTCTTATGAAAGTCATGATGCGTTGACTGAATTCTGCGGTTATCTAGGCCATATGTCTGGCAAAACAGAGTCCGAAAACCTATCGCAATGTGATACGCAGGATTGCTGGCTTTGTCTTCATGGGATGTCCGCATTCATTGTCTCACGAACTGAAAGACTGGGTTGGTGTCGAATGGATCCTACAGAAATTCACGAAGGGGAGAAATAATTCCCTTGATACGCAATGTGTTCAAAGTCTGGCCGTGGATTGCGAGACTTTCCGAGTCATCCTCGCCGAAGACGAGAAGCATGTCTTGACAGTGAGCGAAAAGAAGGGAATGAGCAAGCAAGTTATTGGGAAGAAAGTTCTAGTGAGTTTTCTCCTGGGTTTTCTCATATCTTCAGGGCGATACTGAAGCAAAAAGTTTGTTACCCGAGATTCAGCAACAATAGGCCATGATCGAGAAACTGTCTTTGAGGATGAATCCAATCACCGAGACCTTTGCATGATGTCCGGTGGGAGCAAGGTACTCGACCGGGCCTTCCAGTCTATTTATTTAGCACTGGATGACACAAGAAAAGCGATCGCAAAAGAATCTCCACGATGTGTGTTAATTATCCCCTTTGTTAGCACTCTACTCACAGGATATTAGACGCCAGACCCTCTATCTTCGATGAGTCTACCGTCAGAGAGCAAAGCAGCGATGAAGAAGACCTCGAAAACGTCATGATTCATCCTAAATCTGCATTCGGTAAGTCGCAAAATTTTGCGTGCGAAAAAGTAGAATCTGCACTGATTATCCTTTTTAGGCCAGAACCCCCTCTCAACGATAGGATCGTCAGAAATCGGATCTACAACACATAATGGGTCATGGTCCAAAGACGCTACCGCGGGTAGTGATAAACTCAACCCGGATCTCATATCAGCCTTGAAGGACTTTTCCGTGGAACAGCGCGACCCTGTCTTACCTTGCAAGTTCATTCCATTGCCTAGAGATCCCATCTTTTCTGGCCGGGAGGATACACTCGCAAGTATTCGGCAAGCCCTTCTTTCCTCGGTACAGGAGCCAGAGGACTCGTCCACCAGCTCTCTCGGCGAGATAATTCCATCATTGAATGTTTACTCTCTCTGTGGACCAGCGGGAATGGGGAAAACTTCCATTGCCAATGAGTTCGTCCACAGATATGAGCGGGAGTTTGACGCCGTCTTCTGGGTCGCGGCTGATGAAGAAACAAAGCTCTTCAATAGTTTCAGAGACATTGCTCTCAAGCTTGGCATCGTCAAACCTTCCGAGGCACAAAACTTGCCAGCGATTCGAGAAACACTCCTATCATGGCTCGCCAATCCTCTCAGATCATATGAGCATATGAATCACGTCAAACAAGAAATGGCATCTTGGCTTATCGTTTTCGATAACGTGGACCACGTTGATACGCTCGAAGAATTTTGGCCGAAGGATGCTGCCGGCTCGGTTTTGGTTACCTGTCGGGATCCATTGATTAAGAGCTCCCTTTATCTGAGGAACTCCGGAACGATTGTTCCAGAGCTCTTAGAAGAAGAGGGTATAACTCTTCTTCTTCGACTCACTCACCGTGAAAGCGATGAAGATGATCTCAAGCTTGCGCCTGAAGTTGTTCGCGCCCTTGGAATGTACCCTCTTGCCATTGCTCAAATGGCTGGAGTCATCCTAGCTCGGGATCTCAGCTTCACTGAATTTCTCCAAATGTACTCCAAAGACTCCGAGCGGAGGCAAATGCTTGGAATCTCAGAAGGACAGTCAGCGTCTCTTCGCAGATACAATCAGACCCTCGGTACTGTCTGGGCCTTGGATGACTTGAAAGAAGGCAGGGCCTTACTAGAAGTCATCGCCTTTCTCGATCCTGATAGTATCCCTGAGTCACTTCTTGAAAACAACTCAGCATGCATGGACTGGGATCGTTACCCCAAAACTTCATTGGAATACTCCAAGGCTCGCTCGGAACTGCTTTCTAGGTCGCTGATCTACAGGAATCGGAACAAGAAGACCTTACGTGTTCACCGGTTGGTACAAGGTACAGTCCGAACTCAGATGAACGATGCGACATTCAACGAGGTATACTCGAGAGTGTTAGATATGCTTGGTGCTAGGTGGCCAAGAGTCTTCAAAGGCTTCGGGAATGTGCAGACCGACTGGCAACGAAATTCGGAGCTCTGGGCCCACATACTATCATTATTCAAGTATCGAGATCGTTTTGACCCGGCTGCTGCTGATCTTCCCATTGCAATCAAGCGGATGGACTTCACTCTGGATGTGTTAATGTATGTGAATGAGGTAGCTCACGTCATGAGAAACCTAACAATTTGTATAGGTTTAGCATTGCAGATTCCCGATTCAGTGCTTCCCCGACGATGCTCGCCTTTTTCAGCTTCTTGAGAGATACAGTTAAAGAGGAAAACCCCAGCTACGAGTTGCAGATGATTGATGCAACTTTTCACTATCGCCGAGGAGAGCTCGGGTTGCATATCAATGACCACGAGTATCCTTTGCCTGATTTCAGCAAGTGCGTGGAGCAACTGGATGTTTTACTAGATGATGACGCCAAAAAAGCCGACTCGTACTTTGGGGTCACGGTGAATGAGCTCGGCTGTGCCTATCTGATGAATTGGAAAGATGAGGAGGCTCTGATCGAGTTTGAAAGAGCGACCACTATTCTGCAGGGTTTGAAGAACCCCTCTGCACAGGAGACTACCATGGCTCAGATCAATGTGGGCTTTGTTCGCGGCTATTTCGGACAGTACGATGAAGCTTCGCGGATTTTCGACGCTGCATTGAAGGATCGTCATGTAGAGCTTGGCCCGGATGACTGCTCTTCTTTCGTGTAAGTGGGTTTGAATCGTCTTTTTAGCTCAGGTTCTAATGACTTCAGGAATGGCAAACTGTATTTGGGGTGGGGGAATGTTCGCGCTGCGCAGGGCCGACTCGACGAAAGCTTTAAATTACACGTCAAATGTCTGGAACATTATAAGCGCTCTGTTGGAAATTTCCACCACAGAACAGGCGACGGATGTGTTAAGGCATCAGACCATTTCTCACGCACAGGAGACGGTCCAACAGCACTGTAAGTTCCACTGTTCAGATCTAAATACAGGACCAGCTAATTCTCGAAGGGCATTACTCGACCAAGCCCTCAAGATCTTCAAGCTCGACGCGTATCATAAACCAGAAGCTGCGAGAGCTCATTACAAAAAGGGAAATGTTCTGAAGAAGATGGGCGAGGAGGCCAAAGCTGAGCAGGAGCTGGACGCAGCATTGGATACCTTCAACAGCATTGTTCCCCCCGAAGACCGTGTCGAAAGCATTGATGATTTGGACGACGAAGATTTTGATCATTGGATCATGTTCTGGTCTCGATGAGGATGGACTTGCCATTTGGTCCTGCGTACGACTACCTAATGAATTCACGAAATCCGTTGAGTGAAATGATCTAAGAAACTTAGTTTGAATATGAAATTGAATATGAAATTGACTTCCTTTCCACGCTAACGTGCTCATATGCAGCCCAGATGGCCTGGCAGACTATCTGGTAAGAATTCATTGCAGTAATCTTGAACTATTTTGACAAACATGCTAAAAGGAATTTGCTTGCCATACGGCTTCCTTTTTACCATTTGCAGAATTCTGAAGCATCATGAGAGTTTATAAATTGGATAAATTCTGGGAATGCTCTCGAAGGCTAGTTACATTGGTCTGGCCTACATCTTCCAACAAGAGGTTCCAAAATTGTATCATCGGTAGCGACGGGCCTTTAATGTGTCTTGCGCGTCAGAGCCATTATCCAAATGGAGATCTTCATACTTCGGTCGACTCTGCTGAGACTCAAGGTATTGTCATACTTATTTGCCTTTACCAGCGATCTGTGACTCGATCTGTTGCTTGGCGGCAAAAGTGGCAGGGGAGCTGGTTCCGAAAACGTTGCGGTTGAGATTATCATTGCCGTTGTTTCCCCAAAGAATCATACGACCGGTGGAAGCCTCTTCGGGAAGAGGAGCATACCACTTCTTCCATGGCTGGGTACGTTGATCAGTGGAATCGTGCATGTTGATAGAGCTTTGTTACTCGCACATTAGAGCATGTTCCGAAGTTCTGTTGGAGTGACTTACGTCTAAGATAAAAATGCTGGTGTCACGGAAAGACGTTGAGTTAATTTTTCGGGGCGAAACACTACAAATTTATGCGAGAGTACAAGTTTCGAGCCTCAACGGGAAAATGACACACATGCTACTACCCCGCTCCATTCCGCCTTTTGTGGCAGCTTACGTGCAGAAGGATTGTCCGGATTGAAAACCGTGGGGTTAATGCATATGCAGTTTGATCGCAAACAAAACTAGATAGGGGAATAGATCCGCGATCCTGTATTTCTAACTTTGTCATTGGTGGCTTCTGTCGCAAAGCGCGGAAGTATAGAATAAGTATGACAAGAGCACTTCCTGATAAAATTAATCTACCATGCTTCCCGAGTCATCGAATACCCAAAACAATTACACAGCCCAACTCGACTTCAAAATTTGATAGTAAACATATTTTTGGGAAGCTATGGCCATATCCAATGTTCCAGAGATAGTTCCAAAAGACGTCAGATCGTATATGACGTTCTTATCGAGAGATAAGCGGTACCAGACAGAAAAGCCATATGCGACTGACTTTCCTGTGGATGAGATTGACGACGCAAAGATGACCAATCACATCTTTGACACTCGTCCCGTCATCTTCCACGATGCAAGAGCTTCCAAAGAGACTTTCACCTTGGATCAGAACGGATTTTGCTTCATCGAGGCGAAGACTTCGCTTCAGGCAGAAGATGCTACTTCCGAGAGAACCGAGATTATGGAGCAGTATATGCAGGAAATTGTTGGCATATTGCGAACCAACCTTCCGCAGTATCAAGAAATTAAAGCCATGGACTTCCAAGTATAGCATAACTTGTTGACTCTAGTTAAGCTGAGTGCTGATCGATTGAAAAGGTTCGAAAGCGACATCAGACTTTTCCCAATGGCGAGGAGCGCCGAGCCGAGTTCGCTCAACCATCGACAATGGCTCATACCGACTTCTCAGCCCGGGGAGCATTTCTGCGGATGGCCGACATCTTTCCGGACCAGACGTCATATTATCAGAACAGGAAATTCGATTTGATCAAGTATGTATACACCCAAGCATTGTTTTTTATCTCTTGACTAACTTCCCTCTCGTGTATGGCGCGTCTTGAAAGGGCCAAATAACGACTGGCCTTTGGCTTTGTCTGACTTCAGCCTTATCAATGCTGAGAAGGATGTCACCACGAATGATGCTCTCCATTATAAACGAGTGGGAGAGAATTCGCTACTTCATCATGACGAGGCGCATCGGTGGTACTATCTCAGTGATATGAGAGAGAATGACTTGATCGTCTTCCGGAATGTTGATTCGGAAGGGGATATGCCTCGTAAGTTGTTCGAACTATTCGTGATGCCGAATCTTGACTAAAACTTCAAAGGTGGCTTCCATGCTTCGTTTCACAATCCTGATTCGACTGGCGACCTACGCCATAGTATAGAGGTTCGACTCGTGGCCTTTCATGATTGAACATTTGTGCTTGCCAAAGAGAGCACATTAGCTTCCAATCTGAGAAGATTATTGAGAGTTAGATTACTGCGATAACTCCATGACACGCATTTCTTTTATATTGAACAGGTTGTATAGTCAACGTAAACTCATCACATCGATCACCATCAAAAATATTCCAGAAATTTGCGGATCCTCTGCTCCTCTGTCATGGTCTGAAACACCTCGACTTCTTTCTCTTTAATGGGAATGTAAGAGCCCAACATGCCTTCCGGTATTAGCGCCTGAAAATCAGCGTCTTCCTTGAGTGATTCCAGCGCTTCTTGCAGACTACTCGGCATCCTCTTATCAACTTGGTACTTGACACGACCTCCTTCATCGAGAGAATGCGGGAAAACCTGACAATCCTCCCAAATCAGAACCGCCCTCTCGCGAATTCCGCTCAAGCCAGCCAGTAAAACTGCCCCGGTAAACAAGTATGGATTTGAAGTGCTATCCATCATACGGAATTCCCAGTGCTGATCACTTATTTTGCGGACTGGTAGATCGCGGTTTTCAGTACCAAACCCGATCCACGCACCGGCCGCGTCTTTGACAGTGCGAACATAGCCGTCAAAGTTGGCCATTCCAAAAGAACAAATAGCTCCCATATGTTTCAAAATTCCTGCGAGGAATTTATCTGTGTATGTTGGCGCTAGCTTATCAACGGACATGTGCAGGTGGATACCATTAGTCGGCCCGTCGAGGAGTGGCTTAGGAGCCATTGTTGCCTTGATGTTGTGTTTGATGAAGACTGTGCGGATTGTTTCCTGTGCTAGAATAAGCGAGTCGATAGCTTGAAGGGCCGGCTCATGACTGAGAGCAAATTCTATCTGATCATGAGTTTCAGTGTGGAAGTGGTGTATGTTGATGGATGATTTCTTGAAAGAGTCGAGAATCTCTTCAACTATGTCCAGCGTTTGACCACGCAACCCAGAAGTCGTCTGATAGCTGTTCAGTCGGTCTAATTGATTGAGGGGCTGGTAATTCTGGCCTAGGAGCATGACCTCAATCTCAAAGCCGACTAGTACCTTTGTGTCGTATTCTCCCTCAAGCTGCGCGAGTGCCCCGGATAATAGCATACGCGGACACTTGTCATATGTATCTTTAGCTTCCTTGTGCTCCAAGAAACACATCACAGAGGCGTGACTCGGCCTGAACCCGCAACTGCGTAGCGAGGACCAGTGGGGACGCAAGATCCATGTTTCAATATTATTGCCGATCGGTGAAGGTCTTGTCGAGACAGGAAATATCATGCTCACTTGCGGAATAAGATAATTATCAAAGCCCTGGGCTATCTGCATGCATCGCGCAACGGGAACGAAGCGAGCGCGTAGAATACCAGAGAAGTCGATCCATTGAAGACGGATGTACTGAGTCGACTCGTTCTTTTGGAGAAACTGTCGAAGATTTTCTTCATCCGAGAGCATTTTGGCCTGTCTGAATAGCAATGAGATTTTGATGGAAGTGATTTCTTAAGATGGTATCGCAAAATGAGGAGAGTGTGAGTGTCAGCGTGAGGCTGAGACCATTGAAAGGGAGTAAGACAATGGCTAATCTAGCGGGGTATTACCAGTCACGTGGAGTACGTCAGTCCAAAACACAGGTCTCTATCTTTGCATGTACTGAGCTGGGCTCATTAGAGAAGTGAATTCAGGACAGAAGATAAGATCGGATGTCTTTTAAGCTTGTCAGGATCATCTGCCTAGGTTCTGTCTGTTGGCTCGCCCCGTCGATGATGATGCGCCTACTAGGCTGAGCCTTCCAGGACATATAGGATCTCGCATCCATCTTTCCTATCAACATCTTGGTGGAAGATTCTCATTGGGAGCATACCTCTACGCGTCCAAGGTAAATAGAGAATAATCTAGTAGATCGAAAATAAAATTTAACCTACACACACAATCTTGTCACCCAGCGCGTAAGGCGGGTATTATGTTCGGATCGGACAAAAGAGTGGATGATCAGCTCAAATATATATTCTCAAAAATACTTACGACCCTCACAGGGTATGTCCAGGGCACCTCTAGTGGCTTGTGTCATGGGCCCGAAGTAGATCCATAGCAAATCAAAATAATTATCCAGGAACTTAATCTATTCCCGGCTGTTTTCAGCCATCTGTCTGTTTTCCGAGTCAACAGGGAATTGGTCTTGCTACTTTACACATCCACGAATGGAACGAACCTATTGGGTGAATCGTGATATGACTTCAAGATCCTATACATCCAACAGTGAACTTTAAGTGGTTTTAAATTTCTTGAATAAAAAAGCTCTTACTGTATTGGAAGGCTACGCGATAGAGCAGAGGTGCCCACCGATTGTCAGCATTGATGCCAGCCCCTTAGATATCTTACATCCTGTATATTTAAGAGGCCGAGGCTTCTCGCACGCTAATCTGTGCTTTCGCACGACAGAATATTCTATTTTCAGATATAGTAGAGAATGGGTACACTAGAACTTTGATATCTAGAGTAGAGAATCGGTTTTACAATATAGATATGTATCCTTTTAACTTGTCTTTTACAAAAGATCTTTCTGAAGTCTTTTGAACTACCTTTTTGAAATGTCTTTCGACTGTCTTCTAAACTATTTTCTAAACTGTCTTTTTAATAGCCAAAGCAAAAGGTTTAGTAGGTAGTATAAGCCCGGACATCTAGGTACTCGATGTACCCGAAAATAGAATGTAGTCACCTGTCGTGCGAAAGCCAAAGTTGGCGTACGGGTAACCTCAGCCTATTTGGATCATGAATCGCTCTCTTACACACTCTCCTTCCCTTCGTTCCTATGCATAGCTCTTTTGCTGAATGTTTCCACGGTGGTTGACCTCCGTCGCTTCGTATCTGGACGTGGCAGAAGTACCCAAATAAATGACGTGCCTCAGACCACCTGGAAAATATGTGAGAGCTTAGGTACTAGCCCATTAATTATCTGCCATACTCAGTTTCCCTACCTGGTCTGGCCTGTGCCTGCGCCTGGTCATTTTTTGAGTTCCTCCTATACGCCAGTGCTTCTGAAGAGGCTGGTCTAACAATAAGCTGCCATGATTATAAGCGGTTGTTACTCAAATTGCGACATGTTCAGTTTTTTAAACTTACTCATTGAAGCCCTCCTTCTAGTGCGTTAAGCTTCTTGTTCTTCTTGCCTTTCGTCATGTCCTTCTCAGCTCTTTGCATTTTCTTTTGATTGGTTCGACTTGCAAGGCTTCGACCAAGCATGGCAACTGGGTCATTGCGCCCATTCTGCTGCAACGGAGGAAGTACTCGAGAAAGAGGAGCAAGAAGGTCACCGAAAAATGCCTGTCTTGCTTCAGGTGATATACCATAGGAGCTTGTCCGTGGACCAGGCGGCGGGGCCAGACCGACTGAAGCTTCCACGTCTTGCGTCTTTCCAACACTAAACGATATTAGAATACTGGCCGAGAATATAGAAGGCTCTGGGATAGGAGCTTATAATTACACAAATAAAACCAGTTGACTATGAGGGAAATGCAAGCCCCACACCTCCGGGCTCATTGTAGAGAAAGCCGTAGCTACAGAGGGCCCTTAAGCCTGCCGGCACACACGGACCCACGATGCCTTCAAAGCGCACTAGACTCGACTCATTCCTACTATACCTAACATAGGCCCATCAAACTCTCTTAATCGTCAAAACAGTCAATTACCCCTTCCAAACATCTCAAGGAATGAATATGACAACCAGACCCGTGCCACTAAGCTGAATCTGCATCGTAACATCGCTCCGCCCAATTCCTTAGCTACTTAACCCCAGCCTCCTAGGCCTGGAATTGATTGTAAATTTCCTCAACAGAAACCTCAGTCAATTTACGCTATTTGAGCCGCGTAAATCAGTTGTGTAAATATCCACCGGTGCACTCATGAAAGGAACAAATCCATGAAGTTCAACCGGGCATAGTCGAATATCGTGCAGGGGGTGCTCGAGTAAATTATGTTAGGTCTCGCGGGCTATTGCTAATCCAGGCCTCCTGATTTAGCGCTATAATAGACCGTAGTCTTAACCAGGATTAAACAAGATAGTCTTCGCAGGTTTTCGTTTACACGTCACAGTACAACAGGGGTCCGCATGCAGGCTTAGCTACCATGACAGCTTCAGAAATGGGTTCGCTTAGAAATCATCATACCCAAACTAAGCAGCTGTACTTGGAAATTTACAGCAAGCTACACCACCGGTCAAGCCAAGGGACAAAATTTGGGTTCTTTATCCATCAATACGCTAAAAAAAGCTGGTGAGTCGATATTTCTATGCCTACCAAACAAATGTGCCTTTATGTACAAGGCAGCAATTGAAGTCTGTGCTCACAACCATTGTGTTCAAACTATGTACCATTGTCGCCCCTCTACTCCGCAGAGCTCGCAGGTTCTATCAAACCTGCAGCTACATGGCTACTAACCTACTCGGGTTAGACCCTCTGGCTACACGTATCCGTTAAATATTATTCTACGATACACAATTATGTTCCCTTTGGTCACCTTCATTACTAGTTGATACCAGTCTTACTTTATTCCGACAATTTCATAACGGGTGGGCCGAGCCGCCGCCGCTAATGCTGTCATCAAAAGGACAAGATGAAGAAGTGCATCTGTACCCCGGAGCCCGGGACCAAGCAAACCCGTGGGATCGGAACTGCAGCCGATCGAAATCTAGCAATATCACTGGCTGCGGCTATCTCCGTTGGCGTTCGGATCCACGTATCTTCAATGGTAATTAGGATGGCTGGCTGGACGTTAGACCCCGGAGGCTTTATGGGGGCTTGCGTGTCTCACATTTGGTCATTTACCTCACTTACCCCACTCATCCTTGGACGGTCGAACTTTTCCTTTCTCAGCTGCAGAAACGTCAACTGCAGTGCATAAGAGCTTCTCCACATAGACCGAGTCGAACAAGGTCTGTCCGTCAATCGACGGCTCAATTCGAAGATGCAGTGGTAGAGGCTACATTTATCTTTGCAAAAAAGGCTCCTGTACAATGACCATCAGCTCAATCAGCAATACCAAAACCCCGAAGAACTGTGCCGAGAAATCTTCGAAAGAGCAGGCTTGCAAGATGGTCTCTTATCATGACAAGACAGGTACTTTGCTACGACATTAGGCACTGTCGAACAGTTCCGGGCTCCATTTTCCCAGAACCCCTTGGCTCGTCGCCGAGAAAAAATGACGGCTACTGCGCACATCTCCACCGCAATGCGGAGACAATCCGTGGGATGGAATTCAAGCTGAACTATAATCACTTCTTGCGGATGCGGTGGCATGTCATCCTAAACCCTTCTCGTCTCTTACTGCGCTGCTCAGTGTGCGGCAGACTCCTACTGCATCGGCGCCACTTTCTCCGACAGTCATTGTTGTCTGTCCGAAAAAAAAGCACACGCTTCGAAGCAGACCGGCTCAACCGGCGTCTGGCCACTTCCTCGCTACGGTTTTCCCCACGTTGATTGGACGATCGAGGAAACTGGGAGGCATACACTACGAGTATCATCGAAATACCTGGCTGCAATCCGGCAGCAAATGGACCCAAGTCCATGCAGCCAACAACCCTAACAGCGGCACGAGGACAGATGGCTATATGGCTACAAGGTCATAGATACTCCATTGACTGTTATTAGTGGGTTTGTGATGACGGGTTTGCCACCGCTACCAAACACGCTCTGGCCGACTATATCAAGATGTCCGTAGATCATGCTAATTGCGTCGTTATGCACTGACAGCGATTCTGTGCCATTTGTGGCAGTCTCCCTAGGGTTGGGGCCTAGGGAGACTTTGAAGTGGCGTATGTTCGGAAGTCTAGTTGGTCGAATAGGAAAAGTGACGAAGGACGTAATGGAGCAACGACGATAAACAGATTAAGTGGAGTTTGACATAGAAAAGAGACCAGAATAGCTACAATTACAGATATTTATTCCTGCAGGATCGCTAGAAAAGTCAATCCTTGTTTTCCAATACATGTTACCGTTTACGGTATACATGCAAAACGTCCATGTAGTACAGTAGTTCCAAGCTATAGGTCGTGTAGCTAAGTGATTGGTCTGCACTCTTGTGGGGTCTCGGGCTTTAAGGCCTAGACATCTTGCGGGGACAAGCTCCACTTTATACTTCCCGTAACTTTGTCTATCGCCTGGCCCAGTTCCGGACGAACCGCCGCTCAGCCAGCCACGGAGTAAAATACTGGTTCTCGAGCGTACATAGGTGCATTCTGCGACAAACATCAAATCTAGGCTGAACTTACGGAGAAGACACGCATGCCTCCGGCGCTCGCAGGTGCTATCATTGGAAGGAGGGCCATAGACAGCTTGTCCCTGCAATTTTTCCAATCAGCGCAAGACGCTAGAGGCATTAGCACTGTGTGATAAACAGCAGGTGCTGGAATCTGTCTCGGTATCTCCGTGGGTTAGTATGAACCTGTCCTGATGTGGATATACGAAAATCAACATGGTAATGACTTTGTCGGGCTAGCGTGCTAGATAACTCATATATTTAAGGCACCCCGAAAGAAACCGAGACAGCAGTTGGTTTTCAGTCGAAACATTACTCCAATCGCGACACCTACTCAATATCTGATTCCAGCATGGACAACCTCCTTACTTTCAACCTGCGGGTCCCGGTGGGAGTCCAGGTAGTCTCCCATCTGATAAGTGAAAACACTATCATGGAGCAGTTCCTCCTCATCTTGAGCTCTACCCTCGGAGGATGCAAGTACGAGAGATATCGCAAAGAGATTGAGTCGTTCACCAATGGCCCCCTTTCTGGGCTCAGTCGGTTTGAGCTCCAGGGCGCTCTCACCCTCTTTGCAGGCAAAGTTGCGGATCAGATTCTGTCGGACTTTGTGCCCGAGCTGGCTGCGCTGACTGGAAAGGTATTCCCTTCTACTCTTTAACAGAAGGGATTATACATTAATCAATCTTCTCTCCACGTATTAGAACATTCAAGATGTCAGCATGCCGGTGATTGATAACGTCGGCAAAGTCAGCACCGCGCCGTCTGAAACTACACCCGAGCCTGTCCCCGAATCTGTCCCTGAATCTGCCCCCGAACCTGAGCCTGTCCCCGCCGAGCCTGAGACTCCTCCGGCCGAGGTCGAGACCAAGAAGCAGCTCAACGAGTTCGCTACCAAGAACCTAGCTGGCTTTCCTCAATTCTCTGAGGACAAGATCCAAGAAATTACTAGCCAGGCAGCCACGAACATCCAGGGCATTGCAGCCAAGTCCAACATCCCAGCAGAGGAGATTCCCAAGGCAGCCCAGCTAGCCTTCTACGACTTCACCATTCTCTACGGTCATACCTCCCCATTCCCAAGACAAACTGTCAACCTTACATATGAGGTGCATGTTACTGATAAATAAACAGATGACAGCGGCTCCATGACGAGTGAAACTTCCCGTATCCCGACGACCAAAGATACCATCAAGGGTCTGTACAAGGCTGCCAAGACGCTCAACCCCGACAACAAGTTCTCGATCCGTTCTTTCGAAGGATCAGAGTTTGATAATGTGACTACTGAGAATGATCTGATTGGCATCGTCTCGGACATGACGTTTGAGACTGGTGCGAATGTTGCCGGACCACTGAAAAGAAAAATCCTGGACCCATTGGCTACTGCTGCGATAGAAAAGAAACTGAACCCCACTATCGTGGTCATTATTACTGATGGAGATGTATGTCTCTCTTTTCTGTTCTTCTGCTTTCAATATTAGTGCGCGAGTTACTAACATCCTCTCAGCTCGGGAGCAGCGTACCTGAATTTAGCGCGCAGGTCAACAACTTCAAGTCACAGCTTAACAGTGTGAACAAGACTGGACCCGCTGTCTTGTTCTGTCTCTGCCGCGTGGGTAACGATGATTCGGCAGCACAGTCTCTCAAGGAGTTAAATACGGCTGCAGGTACCAAGGACATGATCTTCTACGGTGAGGATCCGATCGACAACAAGCTCCAGAGCGTTGGTGGAAATATTGATACTTATGTCGGAGTGGTGAGTTTTAGTTCTCTTCTTTGTTGATGTGGAATACGCTAACCAAAAAAGATTATTTCCGACTTGATTAAAGCTATGGATCTTCAGACTATTAATTAGTATGCTTGATCTGTCCAGACAGGGCAATGTTTGCACACCATTCGGTCGGTCTGTATATCAATTCATACGCCTAGTGAAATGAGAAATTATTTGGCTTAGGTTCCATAGCCATTTGAAGCCCTTATGAGCACGCCACCACCATGCAGGAGACGCATGCACGTATACAGCTCGGTTTAGGATATTTTGACTGCTCGAAAATTCAAGAATCTCTAGCATAGCAAACATGGCATTCTGATAAAGCACTGGTTTAATTCCTACCAATACACCATGTACTGAATTATACTCCTTGGACTCGCAGTGCTGTACAGCAGGCTTCAAGTCCAGGACAGTTTCAGGAAGAAATCGCTCTGATTGGTAGTCACTACGAGCCTTAGAGTGGGCTGCCGCCCTAAATGGTGGAGGTCACTGGGCACCAAACAAAGCCAACTGGGATTGGTCCCCTATCATTAAAGGGTGATATCCCCCAGGCCGGTACCCTTCAAGTCTCTCAACCTCCTCTACCGGTGCATATTGGAAAGGAAGTGGACAAGATTCAGCGCGGGATGAGAAGTCGTTGAGAGTCGTGGTCGGCCTGCACACGAGTCCACCAAGATAGACTTGCAAGGAATGAGAAAGATGACGCGAGGGCAATAGTTGCAGGTGATTATACGCCTGGCTCACAGTGCTTTTTTGACGAAACAAGTGCGGAAATCGTGAGCAGATCGCGAAGGCCATCGTGGAAAGGTTGGGGCTCAATTAAAGGTCAAGCGTTGAAGATCACGACTAATATCCTTTGTTCGGGAATCATCCCTTAGGGCGAGCGATTTGTAACGTAGCTCTATTGTTTTAAGGTCTTTGGCTTTTGATTGGTTTGATAGTCAAGCGACGTTAAAAATGGCACTGGATCAAGGGGTTAGCGCGTAGTACAAAAAGATCTTCCACATCAATAAGGTTCCAAGCTTAAGGGGGTCCAAATAAACATGGTCTTACTGTGGGTACTATTTTGATAGGTCTCCACATTTCTCGGTGTTCATACTTCCAACATCAGATATGTCCTGATGTCTTGGCCGCTCGGCTTACCGTTGATATTTAAATAAGCCAAACAGACCTTCCTTGATTGAAATGTGGAATTGTTCTTGGCTGCAGCCACATCTTACGAGAGCCTCCGCGTCGCCCAAACAAGGTTGATGTAGCGCAGGTAACTGTGGGGGCCGAAACACGAGTTTATCTCTACTTAAACCAACTCGGCTTCATTGAGAGATCCAAACTATTTATTACTGCTTCGTCCACCACCAAAAACACCATGGGTCAACAAGCGTCCGTCCCCAAAGCAGGCGCAGAGATTCAAGTCATTGGCGCCGGTCTCCCACGAACCGGGACTTCATCATTCAGCGCCGCTCTAGAAATGATTCTAGACGGACCTACCTACCACGGCGGCACTCAAATCTCACGAGGCGAACCTATCGAGATTCAATCATGGATCAAGGCATTGAAGTACTGGGCCAAGGGAGACCCAGCCAGTCGAATTGAGATGCAGAAAATCGTGCGCCAGCGATTACACGGCTATACAGCCGTCACCGACGCCCCATGTTCACAATTTGTCCCGGAGCTTCTGGAGATATATCCCAATGCGAAAGTGATTTGCACTGCCCGCGATCCCATCTCATGGGAAAAGAGCATGATTCAAGCACAAGGCTTGGCGATGGCTTGGTTCCTTCGTGCTGTTCTTCTTCCGTTGTCGGGGATGAGGCATTTTGTGGATTATACCGAACAGCTTGCTATACAGTGGGAGCGATTGTATGGTGTTCAAGCTGGTAGTCATGATCGTGATACATATGCCAGACATATCGCTTGGCTCAAGGAGAATGTGCCCGAGGAGCGTCTTGTCTTTTTCGAGGTGAAGGATGGCTGGGAGCCTCTTTGCAAGGTAGTTGGAAAGAAGGTCCCTGAGAATATTCCCTTCCCACACATCAATGATTCGGAAGCAATTGTGCGTACCGCTCAGTATCATATCAAACGGGGTTTGGTGCGATGGGGAGCAATTTTGGCCCTGGTGTCTGTTACCGTTGGGTACTGTGTGATGAGCTAAGTTGTATTATAAGTTTCTGTTTTAGTCATATTCAACGCTTTGTTGTGGACATAATGTCAAATGAGTGATCTAGCAAGTAGTTGTGTTTTGGAGTCCATTAAGCTTCCTCCATACTTGGGACCGCGCAATAGACGACGATCTACTGAGACGGATCTGGCCGTTGCCTTGGGTTAAGTGTTACACCTGCCAGCACCGCTCCAATATAGTTTAGTAAGCCATCGAATGATGTACAGGAATCCTGAATGAGCAGAAATATCCAATCCTGGCTGTGGTGGTGGAGGTTGTTGAATGACGCTAGCGGCTCCACACATAAGCTCCGATGCAAACAAGCTAAACTTGCTTTTCCTCCGCTCCCCGATCACCAGTTGGTCTCAGACACCAGCTTCCCTACTCCTTCAACACAGTTCGAGGAATTATTCCCGAGCTAGCATAACTTGACACCAAGGGGATTGACCTTTTCATCCACTCGCGCCACCATGGCTGGCCAGGCGGCTCCGATGGAGGAGATCATCTGGAGGTCTCCCCAGCACGTGCAGATGATGGGGGGTTACCTACACTCCAACAACAGTATGTCTGCCGCTTTCAAGCTAAGGCGAACTCGCTAACTATGATTCACCCTGATCAGTCCTCTTTTACTTTGCCGAGTCTACCTTCTTCGACCCCCAATCCAACAATGGTATCCTTGCGACTCAAGCTACCTACAACGAGTCCCTCCGGCACGTCGTTGAAACGCGTGCGACATTTGAGGGCAAACTGAAGCAGATGCAAGGCCTGGAATTCATTGTTTCGTTTGACCCTCTCGAGGCTGCGGCGCAGTCTAATCCGAATCGCTTCGACTTTGAGCCGAATAATATATGGGTGATTCGCAAGCAGGAACGGCGGAAGCGGAGTGGAATGGAGGATGAGGTGACGGTGATTGCGACTTATTTCGTGGTCGGCGACACTATCTACATGGCACCGTCTGTTGCCAGTGTGGTCGGCAACCGAATTGTAAGCTGCAACCTTTGTGGCCTGGAACCGGCCTTGCAAGTTGTTCGGACGCTGAATGCTAACTCGCCCTTTTTTTTCCAGCTCACTGCCGTCACTTCTCTTTCGCGACTCTTAAAAACAGCCTCGACCCTCCCCACATTCACACCATCCACAGGGCACACATATCTACCACCCACAGCCCGCACCACGGAACCCGGTCAACAGGCCTCTCAGCAGAGCAAGGAAAATACACCAATGCCCGATGCCACTCAGTCCTCCGCTGGCGAAACACAATCCACAGGCAAGGCCGGTCTCGGTGTCACGACGACCAGCTCCACCTTCAAAGACACCCGAAACTTGGCCGAAGCATTCCACCTTTTCACCAAATACGGGGATGAGTTCATGGACGAGCAACCCTTAACTGGAGAGCCCGGCTCTTTTATCTTGTCACGGGTCGGCGAGAGTGATCGTGCAGCTGGTGCCGCAGAGAAACCCGCTTCCAAGGCCACCCTAGGCACGGGTATGAACACACCCTCCGGGCTACGAGGACGATCGACTACCCCGCAGGTTCGAATCGATACACCAGGGAAGGCGTCGGAGAAGAGCAGCGCCCCACCGACTCCGGGCGATAGTAAGGGGAAGAAAAAGAAGAATCGGATTGCGAGCTGATTTGCATACTTAATGATACCCGTGATGTGTTAAGGCGGAACACAAGCACATTTTCTATATGGCGTCTGGATGGTATGAATTAATAGAATTTACGAAATCAAGACCCTACTTATTTCCATTCAACTCTCATTTTTAGACATGTCCTTTGTCCCGGTTGTGTCATTGTCGACCTATCAATTTCGGCGATGTAGATAACTCCGTAGATGTACGTACAGTGGCAGTTCAGGAATTCGAATCCTGAGGCCAGAGAAACGGCTCACCCAGGTATGGTTTTACTTCATGTCCTTAAAGACCTCTGTTTTCAGGTCTTTCTAAAGGTCATTTGAATCGTCTTTCTTGATGGCTCAGACACCATCTCTTTTTTAGTCCTTTGACAGAGGTTCAAAGTCATGGTACCCCGCTATATATGTAGTAGATCTACATAGTGGTAAGTCAAGGAACGATCCCATTCAGCTCCTCCATTCCAGAGCCATGCTTGGTCGACTCCCAACCCCTGGAAACCAACAAACAAAGCAAAAAGCGCCCATGTTGGAACCAACCACGGGTTCGCAAGAGCCTACGTGGTCGTCCCTGCATCGCGTTATCTTATCGGAGTGGGACCGCATCCCAGAAATGGCCCTCCGCGGCCTCCAACAGTTCTTCTCTTGCCACATCATAACACTACCACTTCTCTTCTTTCTGCTTCTCAAAAAGAGGGATACATTCTGTATATATACCTACAGCTTCACACATACTTGCATCTTGAACATCATCCATCATGGCTGAGAATAAGCCTGCCGTCATCTGTGTTTTGTGAGTCATACCTTCCGCCACCTCGCTCAGTATTGCTTCGATGAAGTGGTTGTATACCTCCTGGCCGTCGAGGCTACACGATGAGTACTAGAGCTAACTAATCCCCTCTTACGGGGGTATCTAGCTGCGGCTCAACAGCAGGCAAAGACCCAGTCCACCTCGAAGCAGCCCGAGCTCTCGCCTACGAGTTCCACAAGCACAATGTCCAACTCGTCTACGGCGGCGGCACCACAGGGCTCATGGGCGAGATCGCCAAGACCCTCGTCTCCCTCTCCGGTCCGAAAGCAGTTCACGGCGTTATCCCCCGCGCTCTAGTCAAAGTCGCCGCCAAGGGCGTTGAGAACGGCACGTCCACCCCCGCCGAAGAGGGCGGCAAGGCCGCTGAGCGAGTCCTCGCGGAGTCCGCCGTGGAGGGTGAAGGGATTCCCGAGTCTGAATACGGTATTACGACGATCGTTCACGATATGCACACGCGTAAGCGGATGATGGCTACAATGGTGCTTGAGGGTGGACCGGGTTCTGGATTTGTTTCTTTGGCGGGTGGGTTTGGTACGATTGAGGAGGTTATGGAGATGACGACTTGGAATCAGTTGGGTATTCATCGTGTTGGTGTGGTGCTGTTGAATATTAACGGGTACTGGGACGGGTTGCTTGCTTGGAGGCGTAATGCTGTTGAGCAGGGATTCATTTCGGTGGAGAATGGGTCGATTTTGGCAGAGGCCCATACTGTCGAGGAGGTTGTTCCTAAGTTGTTGGAGTATCAGTGCAGCTGTGATCGGATGCAGTTGAACTGGGGCGAGGAATAATGGCTTGCATTTGTGGATATGAATCATCTCGGTGGAATACGGTTTGCTTTGGGATGTGCTAATGTTCCTGCGGGTACTGGTTTAGAGATATCCAGATAAACCGGTAGACCATAGAATCCGCAGACTTGAAGAACAAAACAAAGTCAAGGCCCTTCGGGTATGAATAGAGTAAGCATGAAATGGAGCACAGTTTGGAGAGGAAAAACACGGCATAAGCAAGGATTTCATGTCTATGCGGAATCATTAAAACCAGAGAAATTATGAATCAACCTCCATCGACTCGTCCTCCACAGTACCAGACGCTTCAGATCGCTCCAAGGCCTCCAGAAGCGGCACGGTCTCCTGACCCTCGTACAGCTTGAAGCTCTCGATACGACCCTTGGATCCCTCAGGAGCCAACCCAATCACACCAACAGAAGTATTATCCACCGTAAGCTCCTTATCCTGCGAAAGCGTCTCCTTAAGAGCCCGCAGACCATGGTTGATCAGCTGGTCACGACTGCAGTCCGCAAACTTATCGAGGTTACGCTCCAGGTATGTGCGCGCCATCTGGGAGCGAGCGCCAATAGCACAAGCCACCATCTCATGGATCAGACCCGAGGGTTGGAACTCGAACAAGTGCGGGCCAGCCTCGTCGACACCGGCCACGAGCAGACCCACGCCATAGGGCCGCTTGCCGTAGTGCTGGGTATTGGTTTGCGCGCGGTCGCCGATCTGCGTGACGATGCGTTCCAGCGGGATTGGTCGGCCGTAGGTCATCTTGGAACCGAGCGATTGCTGCTTCATGAAGTTGGAGAGGACGCGGGCGTCTGAGGCCAGGCCGGCAATGGCAATGGCCATGTGAGAGTCGATCTCGATGATCTTCTTCTGATAGGAGGAGAGTTCTTCGGCATTACGCTGGTTCCCGGGGTTGGGTTAGCTTCTTGTTTCTGGTGTGCCCTGATGGCGTTGATTGATAAGTGTAGGGCGAACCTTGAGTCCGACCAGGACGGCATGTGTCTTGTTCACCAATCCCACAACGACGGATCCTTGCTTCACAGCCTCTTGTGCATACTCGACCTGGAATATCCGACCCTGTGGAGAGCTGTTACGAATCTCGAGTTAGTACGTTGCTGGTTTCTCGCGGACTAGCCGGGGTAGGTCTTACAAGGTGACAGCATCGTTGTCGTAGTTGTTTCTGAACATGGCGGCAGGAGGTGATAAAGAACGAGAAAGTTATAGAGGAGGATGAGAATCCTTTCAATTCAGCGGGGAAATAGAAAGGAGGGCAATAGAATGCGCGGATGGAGCTTGGGGATGAGATGGAGACGCTGGAGCCAGGCAGGTAAGGTGACGCGGTGTGAAGCATGAGCTCTTGCTGCCTGAGGCAACAACACCCAGTGACCTTCAGGCGCCAACGTCACTCGTTCCTCGTCCATCTCCGAAGCTCACTCTCTCCTCTCCCCTCAATCCCTGCCAATGGGGCTGCCATTCTCGAACTACCTCTGAGATTTCCGTCTGAACTGCGCGCTACTATACCCTAACCGAATCTCTCCTATCTCGTCGAACCGGGCAATTTCGGCGACTTCGCAATCATGGCAGCTGGACTCAAGACCATCATCGCGCTCTCGTTTGTACGTAACCCCACGCTTGCTAGCTTGAGACACATGGGTAGGACTGCTTTCTGACTAGATATAGGTGCTCGCGATTGGTTTCCTACTCGTTATTCTCTCCTCCGCTCTATGGCACAAGTACTGGCCCCTGTTGGTCGTTGCCATCTATATCGTTGCGCCGCTCCCCAATTGGATCTGTGGACGATGTGCGAACCCAGATGATTTCATGGACAGCTCGAGCAATTCGGCCATGGACTTTGGACGGTTTATGACTGGATTCTTGGTTCTGGCCGGTATCGGTGAGTTGCCCATCCTATTACCGCCTGGCCTAGCGACAACATACGTCGAACAGTCATTGCCTGGACAATACCATCATTCTCTGAAATTGGTCTCGCATGACTGTGATGACTCAGTTGCTGTGACTGTCCGGTGGTTATCCATCATCCCGACCTGATCTGCTGACATCCTACTCTCTCTAGCACTCCCCGCAGTTCTGGCACACAGCGGAGCGATCGAGATTCCGGCTATGATCATGTCCATCTTTGGCGGCCTATTGATTTACGGCACTATCATCAGCTTTTCGATGTTTTTCCAGGAGCAGGAAGAGTTCTGATTGTTGATGACTGGATGGAATATGGGTTGTGTGCCTATACTTTCTTTTGATAGGCTATAGGGGCTCGACGAACATCCAAATTGCCTCCATGATGACCTTTCTTTTGCGCGATTAGTTTGATTTTACACGTATCCACGATATTCTCGGAGCGGGGGAATGGTTTTCTAGCGTCAATTGCCGCTTGATGGTTTTAGCATGTCTTTGACTATGTTACTCTGGGTGTATTCTAACGCAGTGTATATATAGAGTATTTTTGATGGATTTTTGCTTCTACTCACATAAGTAAGCTATGTACGATTTGCTCGTTCGATGATCTCTGCCTCGAATCTGGAGGCAGAACGAAGGGTCGCCGTAATGCTTCGGCCTCATTCCTTTTGACACGGTGTTCAATAATTTGTCCAGATACCAAGTATTAGCTTTCCTTCCATTCCTCTAAGTATGACTGAGAATATTTCTCGACGTTTTGTCGGGCCTTCAAACATGTTAGCTATTTCACCAAATTGGCGTTGATCTATAGTTTCACGTGACGTCGCGCGTCATAGCGCGTTGCGCCGACAAGCAATTGTCAATGATGAGACGCATCTAATTGACCGCTCAATACTACCAACAACACAAGGACTGCCATGGAGGAGCAGTCCGAGTGACAGAACTTTAACATGAATATCTGGTCGGGTTCCATTACCTTGAACCAAGACCGCCAGCTAGAAGGTAAAAGCCTTCGACGCGCCTCGTGACGGCCATGCCCTTGGCTAACCTTGATACTTACTAGGGATCCGCCTAGTCGACCCGACCTCCCACTGGCAATGCGACATATCCAAAACTGCCAAACTCGATCTTCGAAGCTTTGTCAATCCCGCTTTGATCCCACTCTATGCCCGAGCAGGCCCCAACCTTGAACTACACACCCTGAACGCGGGGACGTCCCAATGGCTCCAGAATAAGTTGGCGGGAGCTATATGGTTGAACCAAGATGAACTGGAACTTCACCAGTCTGTGCAATGCCCCGTCGGCCTGCTGGTCAGTGTCGACGGTGTCCCGGTGAGGAATACCAGCGTTGTCACGACGGACCTCTTGATATACGGCGTGTTGTCGACCGCGACGTCCTGCGCACGCCCGCCCACCCCGCCGAACTCATCGCCGTCTGATGTCCCCGGACAGCCCAATTCCTCTCCGGGTAAATCATATCAGCTGAGGATATATGCAGCGCCGCTATCTAAGTCGCTCCTCACTCAGGCGCAGGCCTTCCCATCTCCCCCGCCAAGCTCAGATGAAGAGCGTGCCTCTACCCAGGCTGAATTCCTCCCGGATATAAACTCGCCCAGTCCAAAGCGCAAGCGGGTAGCAACTCTGTTCGAAGTTGCCGCCCAGCACCACCGGCGCGTCCGCCAGCGCGGCGGCGAGGCCGTCTCCCAATTGATGGCCTCGTCTCGACCATCGTCCGCATCGCAGAATCCCCAGACGCTGCGGGTAAAGCGCGAGCCAGAAGATGACCCGCCGAGTTTATCAACACTAGACCGACTGGCAGCACGCAGGTCACGCTCCGTATCGATTGGAGCAGGTCTACACAGACCGGCGAGCAGACTCGGTGCACGGGGAGCTGGAACCCTAATTTCAGTCCCTGGTTCTGCTCCAAGCGCAGACCCTCAAAAGCGCAATGCAACACCAAATCCCTTCCTAGATCCTCCATCCCGCCGTGCATCCCAGCACGTCCAACCTCCATCGCTCCTTTCAACCTCAACATTCGAAAACGACCTCACAACACCAAGCTCCCCACCTAAATCCGCAGATGCCATCATCGCCGAAAACAAGAATCTAATCACCCGCACGATCCTTACTTGTATGAGACTATACGGCTTCCACCGCACCAACCCGCGCTCTACATCCTCGTCATTCTCGAGCAAGTTGAACCCCGCTGGTTCCGGGTCTACTGTAGACGCGGAACAAGATACCCAAAACTCAACACCGGCACCGGAGACTCTCCGCGCGGAAACACCTGCCCCGGGAGCCGCTGCAGACGATGACGAGTTCAAAGCCATGTATCATGCAACGTACAAGGCTTCTGCGTTCGCGCTGCGCAAGTATCTGAAGGATGCGGGTGCTGGAGTCTCGCCTGTGTTGTTGGAGAAGGGGAAGGCTATGACTTGTATTGATGAGTTGTTAAGGTTGTTTTGTGAGGATCATTGACCTGGTTCTGGATCTGGTTCTTGGGATTGGGGTTGGGATCTGGATTGGGGGGTATGCTATATTATGAGAATATGAACTTGCATTATCTTTTGTGGTGTTTTGTGGAATTGATTAATTGGATATGAGTCTTGTTTTGGGGACTGAGTTGTGGGATATAACGATGATTTGGTTTACTTGTTAGGCGTTGGGTGATTATACCCTGTTGAAATGTCATTGACATATCGATTTACCTTCATGTTTCACGACTTTCTCTCCAGCTACATATTTTGGCGGTTATCTCAAAGACACGATTATACAATTCCTACACATCTACTCTTGCGACTGACTTTCATAAAGTCAAGCTTCGTAAGGAAAAAAGTCCATTCCATTCACGCTAAGCCCCAGCCCTAAAGCCAGGATGCGAATGCTAAATACCCAAGCCAAGTCATCATATCAGCGCATAAAATACAAACGATATCAAAGGCGCAAAATAGGTATATCAGTTCAATTCAATTCAGTTCAAGTCAAGTGAAGTGAAGTCCGGTCCGATCAGGACTCAATCAATTCATCAAAGTCAAGTCAATTCTCCACCCACCGCACTTCACAGCGCCAGGTTATAAGTGTAATCATCCTCGATATTCTGGGAGACCCAGAGCACGATAGAGCTGGAAAACAAAACGATTAGCCACATTATCTCAAATAATCCAGACCAGATCAAATTCTCATTCTCGGATGAAACGCACCTCAGCATAATCAATCCATTAGCCACCACATTCGCAATACCAAAGTACAGCGTCTGAATGGGATAGTCTTTAACGAGGTACTTGAGTACCATGACCGTCTGCAAAGCACGCACACATCGTTAGCCTTTTCACCATTCCCCTACCAAGAAGAGTCCCTCGAATGACTCGAATCAAATCCAGTAAACTATAGTTGTAACGTACCACACTCCCCGCCAACCCCCCCGCCAGCAACGCAAATCCCAAAAACAGCACAAACCGCGCCTTCCACGCCACCCCGCCACCACTGTAACTGAAACTATCGGCCTGCAGCCTGGACTTTTCAATCGAGTTGATCACCAGCATTCCCAGCGCGGAACAGATACCGGGGATCCAATCGACGAATTTGATGTGGACGTCTGAGCCGTTAAGGGAGCTGTGGGAGAAGGATGCTACATCGATGAGGAAGAAGAAGCCTGCTGCGAACTGGAGGAGAGATGGATTGTTAGCATTTTGTAAAGGTGGGAATTGGGGGATGGGGGACATGAGCGTCGGGTAGAAGAAGCCGTACCAGTGCGCCGGAGGTGTAAACACCTGCATTGCGGACGGCGGAGTTATTCAGCCATTCGGGCTTGGAGAACCGGAAGAGCCGGTTGCTGGAGACGTCCATGGTGTGCCGAGTGTGGTGGGTGGTGTATGTGTATATGGAATTTGATTGAGTGAGCTGGGGTTGTGGTTGGTGAGCTTTGGATGCCGATGACGATGGGTCTGGGGTGCGGAGAAATGTCGGGCCGGGAGATGGTGGTCGAGTACTCCGTAGAGAGTACTTCTTGAGGTGTAGGTCAAGCTAAGAGTGTGTGAGACTGTGAGAGGGTATTTGGAGTGTGATCTGGTTAGCAATACTGTTTCGATATTATTCTGCCTTGGTGATTATTGTGGATTGGTGGTTAAACTGGAGTTTGTAATCGTTGGAAGTGGTTATAGTGGTGGTTCAGGCAGCGAAGTATATTTCAGATGCCAAGCTACGGTTTGAGATCTACGAGTGCTTGACGCGTAAGGTACTACCACAATTTAGGTACCCAGGGTTTTCATTGGTAAATCTTACTTGGATTATTTGGATGGTCTTGATTGATGCATTGCGTTAAATTGGAATCGTTACGTATGGGACCTGTAGTCCGGGGTATATACATTTCAGATCAAATCACTTTTCTGCTGAGGTCGGGATTGCTTCGCAAATGGTACCGCAACCGGGAGTATATCAGCAGGACATCATCCATGTGACTGATGGAATTATCCTGAAACGGATGGCTTGCGCAGGAGGTTGTTTTTAAGCAGGCCTAGTGATTGCGAGCCAGTCTCAGACTCTGGCGATGTAAACCTGGAGCAGGTGGACACTCTGCCGGAGGCTCCACCGAGAGTACAATCAATCAGGCTTGGTCCACCTCATTCCATGGTGAAGAGGCAATCCCCTCCTCTGAGCTGTACTGGAAAACATTCGGTTTCCTCTCGACACCACTCACGCCGAGTCAACAGGGTGGGCACGAAGCTTGTTCATAATGGCATCAATAGCCTCCATATCACCGGCATCAGTCTTGTCAGTGGGATATCCCTCAGGAAGAGCCTTGACCAGCTCATTCATAGCAGGCTGGTAATTGCGCACAGCGGACGAAAGCGCATAAATCGATTTCTTGCGGGCAGCGGGGTTGGAATCGGATGTAGCCATGGAGACCAGGGTAGGAATACCGTTCAAGACGACAAACTACAATCAATCAATATTAGCACAATTCAAATCTTCGAGCTCTTTATCTCGCAATGTCGATACGCAGGTCAAACATACCCTATCCTGAGCCTTCTCATTATTCTGCACTGCCGTACCAATACACCAAGCCGCCATACGACGCATATCCGCCTCCTCATGCTTCAGCAGCTGCACCAACGGAGTCCACAAACCCAACGGCTCGAGGTTATTCGCATTATCGATGCCCTCGATGAGTTGTTCAAAGTTGTCAAAGGCGATCAGTTTGTTGTCTAGATCGGATTCATCTGAGTGCAGGACTTCCATGGCGGCTTTCATTAGGTCTGCGTCTGAGGGACCGCCCATGAGCGCGTTGATCATGTCCGGGGTGAGGGTGCGCTTGGCTTCTTCGGCGCTGGGAGGGGCTGTGACGGTGCCGTCGGGATTTTTTTGTTCGGAGTTGGTGACGCTCCATTTGAGGAGCTTGTTCATTGTGGGGTCCATAGTTTGTGATGGAGGGTGGTAGTAGATAGAAGAGGAGGTTTTTGTGTAGGAGGACTGTGTATCGATTGTTGTCTAGTGTCGAGAGAAATTGCAATAATCTATGAAGTCCTGATAATATGCAGCGCGATGCGACTGCTTATCTAATCTGACGTCGAATCTGGACGATTCGTGCGGCGCCCAGCAGGTTCGATCATGTGACTGACATTGTTCCCCTCTAAAACACGTGACTTGCCACTCACCGTCTCGCACACGGGGAAATTGGGAAATGCGAAATGGCGGTAACGGTTAGCCCGCCGGAGCCACGCTGGAATCTCGTTGGAACCATGTTTCCTGGGATGGCGCTTGCGTAAGGCTCGATAACAGATCATCCTGGAGAGAATTGTACAACTATCATTTTATACCGCCTGACAATGATTTGGGTCTCAATGGCATAGTGCGAGCAAGCGGGACGCCTCGTATTTTCGTAAAAGTTTACATGTGGTATGTTATACGAACCAAAAAGGTATGTGGGGTGTGTGTCTGAGGCTATGGCCTATGATGCCAATGACGGGTCTAGTACGGAGTCGTACCGGTCAAGTACCATTTGGGGGTCGGGGCAGTGCTGTGGACGGCGGACATGGAGGGGTTCTATACTTAGAAGTGACCTTCTTTCCATCGAAGGAACGGAGTAAACGACACTAACTCCTCCGTCCCCCGCCACTTGAAAGACTCTGAGTTATGAATGTCGGAGCCTGTTCTGGACCAGGATGGAGTAGAGTATATACAGTGTCGCCTACGTAGTGGACTACTGGGTATATAGTATAGGGGGAAAAGTGGTTACCGTTATGACCATTGCGGTGGATGCCACTAGGCAGATATCCATGTCAATGGATGTCATTCCCTAAAATAAGGGTCTAGAGGTTGTCAAGTAATCAAATTGTCCCTTGACAAGTCATGCCCCGCGAGGGTATACGCAATGCAAAACGGGTGGTGTAGGAAAAAGGCTTGCCATTGGGGTGTGGTAGGCAGAGCAATAATAAGAAATGTTCACCAGGAATGGTGTCTGCCTTGGGAATAGGCGGAACGAGCAATTGCATAAATAGTTACAGAGAAGATAGGAAGATTGTAAAAGTAGTGATAACTGCTAATCAGTGTAAGATTTGATCAGCGTAACTACTCTGGTCAAGACTCTCAGGAAGAGGCGCACACACAGAGAACAAGAGCGGGCCCCCCTCCCAAACCAACAAACCATCGCAAACCAGCCAAACCACATCTGGCCCCTCTCCACTTCTTCCCTCCTCCCTCTTCCCTTCCCTTCCTCCCTTTCCCCCCCTACTACACCTTAACGGATCTCCCGCTTTATACGCTCTTCTTCCAACCTCCCCCCCCTCCTCCCTTTTCTTTCCTCTCCCATATCCCACGTTAATCTACATCCATCTCAGTCACAATGGAAGGTATGTTCTATCTACTCTACCCCCCTCGCTCCCGATGTTTTTAATCCCGTTGTGGCCACCTCAGCGCCTTGGGCTCTCTCTCACCCCCTCAAAGCTGGTCTGGAGAACCAGCGCTGAGCGAAGCTGACGTGATGATCGTTGAACCCAACTTTGAAATCGAGAACTCGAATGCTAATTCATCGACTCATCTACAGAGGAAGTCGCTGCTCTCGTCATTGACAATGGGTACGTGATGAAATGGGGGAAATCATGCTCGGGGAGAGCTGGTCTGGCTGTGTTTGGGTTCCTCGTCCACCGTCCCCCGGTCGCGCGGTCCCGATTCCATCATCCCCCTATCCACCGCCACGAGACTTGTGAATCCCAATCGCTGTCCAGACCATCTCACCAGGATTCCAACTTGAATCCCATTATTCTCCCCCCTGGCTTCGATGGAAGAATCTCTTACTGATGCTTTGTCTGTAGCTCGGGTATGTGCAAGGCCGGTTTCGCCGGTGACGATGCCCCTCGAGCTGTCTTCCGTAAGTCCCAACCAAAAATCCCCCTCCACCCCACACAAGTTTCCTTGCAATGGACAAACACTTCCCCCTCCTCCTGGCAATGCCCATCCCACCAACCCTTGCGTCGGGACCGGCCAAGCTGGGGATGGTCGGAAAATTTGTCGCTTTTAAACTTTCGACCGAGAAATCCACGCGAAAAACACAATTGCTGACCATGATGAATAGCCTCCATTGTCGGTCGTCCCCGTCACCATGGGTAAATATCTCCCCCCTTGTTCCAATTCCTTCCGGTCTCGATCGGCCTTGCTTTGATGCGCTGGCCCGAAAGAACCGCAAGTTTTACCCTTGGAAATTCTGCGAAGACTAACATGATCCCTCCAGTATCATGATTGGTATGGGTCAGAAGGACTCCTACGTCGGTGATGAGGCACAGTCCAAGCGTGGTATCCTTACCCTCCGCTACCCCATTGAGCACGGTGTTGTCACCAACTGGGACGACATGGAGAAGATCTGGCACCACACTTTCTACAACGAGCTCCGTGTGGCCCCCGAGGAGCACCCCATCCTCCTGACCGAGGCTCCCATCAACCCCAAGTCCAACCGTGAGAAGATGACCCAGATTGTCTTCGAGACCTTCAACGCCCCCGCCTTCTACGTCTCCATCCAGGCCGTCCTGTCCCTGTACGCCTCCGGTCGTACCACTGGTATCGTCCTTGACTCTGGTGATGGTGTTACCCACGTTGTCCCCATCTACGAGGGATTCTCCCTCCCCCACGCCATCTCCCGTATCGACATGGCTGGTCGTGACTTGACCGACTACCTGATGAAGATCCTGGCTGAGCGCGGTTACACCTTCTCCACCACTGCCGAGCGTGAAATCGTCCGTGATATCAAGGAGAAGCTCTGCTACGTCGCTCTCGACTTTGAGCAGGAGATCCAGACCGCTTCCCAGAGCTCCAGCCTCGAGAAGTCCTATGAGCTGCCCGACGGTCAGGTCATCACCATTGGTAACGAGCGTTTCCGTGCTCCCGAGGCTCTGTTCCAGCCCAACGTTCTGGGTCTTGAGTCTGGCGGTATCCACGTTACCACCTTCAACTCCATCATGAAGTGTGATGTTGATGTCCGTAAGGATCTGTACGGCAACATTGTCATGGTATGTTTTCCCCCCTCCTGCATTTCATGTTAAGACTCCACAGCTAACTCTCCTTTCTAGTCTGGTGGTACTACCATGTACCCCGGTATCTCCGACCGTATGCAGAAGGAGATCACTGCTCTTGCTCCTTCTTCCATGAAGGTCAAGATCATTGCTCCCCCCGAGCGCAAGTACTCCGTCTGGATCGGTGGTTCCATCCTCGCCTCGCTGTCCACCTTCCAGCAGATGTGGATCTCCAAGCAGGAGTACGACGAGAGCGGTCCCTCCATCGTTCACCGCAAGTGCTTCTAAGCTTCTTCTTCTTGTTGTTCGAAGCTTTGATCGTCGTCGCTCGTACCGTAACTTTCCTGGTGTATCAAAAGGCAGGATGGAGGCAACTGGTGGATCGCAAGCGTTGTTGGACTCGCATTATCAAGCGGATAGCCTGAAAATGGAAATTCTTCGATTTTAGTGGAATAGAGTCTTTGTCTCTTACTTTTTTTTTGATGAGAATCCTTTTCCAAATTTTCAGTTCAGCTCTTTTTTTTCCCATGGGTGTTGTGTTCCACTTTGTTCGCTCTTTTGCGTGTTCTCGAGTTGACATGGCTTCCTGAGTGTTCTTTTTTCCGTATCGCCCTTTTTCCCCCGCTCTAAATAAGGTTTTGTCTATCCATCTAACACACTTGTCTACTACCTAAAGTTCAACGTGTAAAGTCTCACTCGGTTATGCCAAAATTCTCTTTCTTTTTGATTTTGCTTGCGTTTTGCTGTAATATCCCGTAGGTCTACTGCGGCCTCGTATATACGGACATTAGAATATGGAAGGTGATGTGCATGGCCATGTGTAGTATGATAAGTTAGGGACTTGGATGCAGATACAGGCAAGGTAGTTCGTTCTTTGACGGGTTCATAGTACTCATGTACTGACTGGAGAGGATGTTTCTTCGAGAGGGCCTTCTCGAGATGGAATTTGTATTTGGATCCTGAATGAGTTCTTGGAATACAATAATTTCTAAGGTTGCTGTCGAGTACCAGATGGACCTGTTTCATTACTGCTTTGTGATGGATGTCCATCTCCAAGGTAATGGAAATACACTGTAGTCTGTAGTAGATTCTCGGTAATTGGTTCATTTTGAAGGTGAATTTGTTCCTGAGTGTTAATGACTACGGGGTTTGTGTTGTGTGTATAGTACTCTGCTCGGGTGGATGGACTTCCTTATGTTGGGAAATTGACTGGATGGATTAGACGTGAGTTTGGTTGGGAATATTCAAGTCCGCCATAATTGAATCAAAGGGAAAGAGGATGTTTCATGTCCGGGATTATCCTTGAGAATCTCTTTTGGGATGTCTTTTGAATTGTCTCAAATCCACGTACAAGTGGGAGGATGGAAATTGTGACATAGGCAGCATCTTTGATTTCATGACACTATGTAGAAGCCGCATGAGATGTTCATTGTCTGCACATCCGCAGATGGTGGTTATTAACTGCGCATTGACAGATTGCTGTTGTCATTACCTCAAAAAACGAATCTGGTAGTGAATGTCGCTCTTGTTCTTCCTCCTTGTGAGTTGGGCATCAATAAGCCAACTATGACCAAGAGTATAGGTTAGACTGGAAGGATGTAGAGTTTCATTTGAACGCCAGAAATACGCCATGTATGTATTGTTGGATAGCCATCTTCGCCATCCAGTGCAAAGATAACGAGCCCCAAAACCAAAATACAGAACGGGGAATCACATCTAGTAATATACAGGAAAGAGAAACATCCAAGCGTCAAAGCAGGGATGAGTCTATCTCGAAGAAGAAACAAGAATATCGCTCAGGGAAAAGTAACCCTTATTTCTCACCACTATCCTTCACACCATCTTCCAAAACAACAATGCCGAGTTCCTTGTCAAGCTCGTTCTCGCGCGCGCGGTGCTTGCGTCCCTCCTTGCTGATCTGTCGCAGTCGGCGGATATACACGTTGCTTGCAACCTCGAGCTCATCCTCGCCTCTGCCCTCAAGTCCCCTCATCCGACGGGTCTTGCACATTTTGTAGAGGACATGACCCTGGGCAGGTGACAACTCACTCAACTCGTACTCAACCTGCCACTTGTCGTCGGCCTTAAATCCTTCTGTAGGCCGATCGACATACTCGTCATTGACCTTGTTCCGGATCGTCAACGCCATGGCGAGAAGCTCGCCCTTCGGTGCAGCCTCCTCCTCTTCGGCCTCGACAGCAGATGTCTCTGTCGCCTCTTCGACTTGAGGAGCATCGAGATCGCTGTCATCTTCGCTGGGCTTCAGGTTCAGAAGGCGCTGCTGGTAAGCATCAATCTCGGCCTTCTTGGAGTTTTGAATTGCATGAATTTGTTCCTTCGTAACGGGCTCGACGAAAATGTACATGAATGGTGTCACGGCGTCACGAGTCTCGAAGTGGAATCGAAGAGACTGTTCGGGGTACTTCTCCGTTGCTTTGTTGAGAACTTCATTCCAGAGGCCCAAGCTGAGCTCGAATTCTTTGTTACCCAGCGCAGTGTTTGATGTTCCGTGCAGAGTCTGGTCCATCTCAGGCAAACTAACGTACTGGAATCCGAAAATGCGTTCAACGTTGTGGAACGCAACGAAAATACCGTCCATGCGACCAATGCGAACCTGAAGAGAGTACTTGAGGAAAGCTGCACGGATCATATCGTAGAACTCGCGTTCGTAGGACTCAAAGTCGCCAAATCGAGTCTTGATCTCGTAGCCAAGACCATGCTCGAAGTTCTTGGCGTCCATGCGGATCGAAACCACAGCGCGGGTCTTCAAATCAAACATGCCGGTTCCGGGGAGACGGGGGTCATAGGCATCCAACTGAGATCGCATGATGAAATCTCCGTAAGTGGAGTAATGGTACGATTCGGGAATTGCTTGCTCTTCCTCGGACGTGATCTTGTTCTCGCTTGACCGTCGGTAGCGTTCAAAATCTTCCTTGGGCATGGTAAGAAGCTTCTCCATCGACTTTCCCAGGTTCATAAGAATGTTGGCCGAATCGAATTCCTTGTCGGCATCGATGGCATATACACCATCCTGGTAATGCAAAAACATGGCAGCCGGTGATCGAAGGAGGCGGGTGAAAGACCGAAGCTTGTCTGGGAAGCCCTGAGACAATGTGCGGGTGTCGATACCACGCCAAGCAGAAAGAAGATAGTGGAATTGGGACAGTACGGAAGTCATACTGGAAGATGATCCGCTGTACTTCTTCTTTTGTTTGATAGCGTGACTGCGGAGGGTGTCGTCTTTCGATGAAGTAATGTATTCCTTCAATGCGTTAAAGTCGAATTCCGTGACGGGCATAATCTGGCCCAGGTAGGGATCGAAATTGTAGACGCGCGATCGGGGGTCTCGTAATTGATATACACCAGGGCTGGAAGGCTGTCGTTAGAACATTGTAAAAAGAATGGGGAGTATATAGTTATCTTACTTGAAAAGGACTCGGTCGAGGCCAAATGACAGACCAGGCACAGGGGCCATGGGAACATCCAAAGCTTGAAAATGTTAAATGAAGCTCCCGACTCCATTTTCGAGAGGAGGTACTTACCTTTGAGTGTATCAGCCTCGGAGTCGACAACCCCAGTATGCTTTTCGTTGATGAAGTTTGCGACGTGTGAAAGTTTGCCTTTTGGTCCCCTCGGTCCCCGCTTTGGCGCTGTATTCTCATCGAGAATTTGATTCACTTTATTGATCGCGGCCTTGCGTTTACTCGTGGGGCTTTCTTCGCTTTTGGTCTCTCCTTCCTCCGATTTTTCATTTGCCTTTGTTCGCCGCTTGTCCCGTTGCCTTGATGCACGCCTCGCTCGCCTCGCCGCGGCCTGCTGCTGTTGGAGCTGCGCAGAGTCTGAGGGCAAATCATCGGGTAGTAGTTCATCGACAGGTTCATCATTGGCTTGTTCGACTTGCTCGGGAATCTTCTAATTCAAGGCGTTGTCAATTTCTTGTCATGACCAACGAGCCGCGTGATCGAGAATAACATACCTTGCAAGACGAGTCTTGCTCCCAATGCGCCATCGGTGGCGCAGCCGATGTGTCAAATGCACTACTTCCTCCATTCTCACCGCTGAACTGGGCTCGGAGTGCAGGCACGCGGTGGAATCGGCGCAAATTCGTCGGCGCGGCGAATCGCCGCGCTAAGCAGGAAAAGCAGACATGATCGCGGAGGGGGTCTGATACAGACCGGAGTGAGGCCCGAAACATACGGACCACCGACTTGAAAGAAATAAGGGAGAAAAAAAAATGAACAATGCCCGGGGATTCAAGACAGGACGGGACTTGGATAAGGGACAGTATTGATTGACTGGCGCGCCTTGCAGCTGTTTTTTCTGCCTCGCGATGCCGCTTTGATATTTGCCACCTCAGGCACCAAATCTTCAAAAGTATATTTTCACTCTAATTGAGGTCTAAGTTGAGGGTTGAAGTAGGAGATATTGAATGGAATTATAGTTGTAAATTAGTATTTCAACCATTTAAAACTTGCATTAAAGTAATATCGCTTCTTTGGAGCCCCAAAAATGGAAAGAAAGCGGCAAACTACCATATGCAGGAAGTTCCTGTCTTCTTATATCACCAAAGATATGGCTAATTTACTAACTCAGCGCAATCAGAATAAAGGGATATAAAATTAAGATAGCCATCATGCCAAGTCAAATTTTGAGGCATTTTCAAGTCCAGTAGTAGTAGTACATCAGATGGGTCCCGTATACAAGAGTCATACCCAACGGGTCCGACTCCGGAGAAACACCGCCGCCGGCAGAAAAAAAGTTCCCCAGCACGGCGAGAACCTTACGATCGATCTCCCATCCACTCTTCCTGCAGTTGTTTCTCAGGTCTCTCTCGGCGAGGTTAGTATTTTCAATCCCTTCAATTTATCAATTACCTCCAGCATCCTTCCCCAGTCCCGTCAATTCCATACCCTTCAACCCCATCTACCAGTGGAGGGGCATGTACCCCGCGGTGGGCTCCCACAATCGCTAACTTTATCACAGTCGCTCGAGACACTGCTTATACAATGGCTCAAGAACAATTGCGCGTCCTCGTTGTCGGCAATGGTGGCCGTGAGCATGCCTATGCTTGGAAGCTGAGCCAGTCGCCTCTCGTCGACCACGTCTATGTCGCTCCCGGGAACGGTGGTACTGGTCTGGGTGCTTCCAGCAAGATCTCCAACGCCAATGTCAAGGGCGATGATTACCCCGGCCTCGTGGCATTCGCCCAGCAGAATGGTGTGAACCTCGTTGTTCCCGGTCCCGAGGCGCCCCTCGTCGACGGTATCCAGGGATATTTTCAGGCCGGTAAGTCGAACGTTCAAGTTTCAACTATCTTTGCACAATTGGTCACTGACGCATTTTCCCACTCTGAATAGTCGGTATCCGATGCTTCGGTCCCTCCAAGGCCGCCGCCCGCATGGAGGGCTCCAAGACCTTTTCCAAGGACTTCATGCAGCGCCACCACATTCCCACTGCTGCCTTTGGAAACTTCTCCGATTACGAGTCCGCCCGCCGCTACCTCGACACCGTCTCCCACAACGTTGTGATCAAGGCCTCTGGTCTGGCCGCTGGCAAGGGTGTTGTCATTCCTACTACCAAGGAGGAGGCCCACCAGGCGCTCAAGGAGATGATGCTCGACCACCAGTTCGGCAATGCTGGTGACGAGGTTGTCATCGAGGAGTACTTGGAGGGTGACGAGCTGAGCATCCTCACCTTCAGCGACGGCTACACTATCTACTCCCTGCCCCCTGCGCAGGACCACAAGCGCATCTTCGATGGTGACAAGGGCCCCAACACCGGTGGCATGGGCTGCTATGCCCCTACGCGTATTGCGCCCAAGGAGGTGCGTGATGAGATTGATCGCACCATCATTCAGCCTTCCATTGATGGCATGCGCAGAGACGGTATGTCACGCGACACTCAATTGGAAAATCAGAGCATGGATCTAATATAGTTTAGGCTTCCCCTTCGTTGGTATTCTCTTCACCGGTATCATGATGACCAGGACCGGCCCTAAGGTCCTTGAATACAACGTCCGTGGTGGTGATCCCGAGACCCAGACCCTTCTGCCCCTGCTCAGCGAAGACACCGATCTGGCCCAGATCATGGTCGCCTGTACTGAGCACTGGTTGGATGGTGTCTCGATCAAGGTCGAGTCCAACTACTCCACCACTGTTGTCGCCGTCGCCGGCGGTTACCCCAACTCCTACGCCAAGGGCAAGCCCATCACTTTGGATGCCACTCCCGCCGGCACCTTGATCTTCCACGCGGGCACCACCCTGTCCGGCAATGAGCTTCAGACCTCCGGTGGTCGTGTCATTGCTGCCACCGCCACTGCCGCAACCCTCGAGGAGGCTGTCTCCAAGAGCTACGAGGGCATTGCCACCATCCACTTCGATGACATGTTCTTCCGCAAGGATATCGCACACCGCGCCTTCCGCCAGACTGCCGACACCTCCCTGACCTACGCCGCCGCTGGTGTATCCATTGATGCCGGTAACGAGCTTGTTAACCGCATCAAGGCCTCCGTCGGTCGTACCAAGCGCCCCGGTACTGATGCCGTCATTGGCGGCTTCGGTGGTCTCTTCTCCCTGGCTGCTGCCAACCCCGAGTACCACACCGATTCTCCTACCTTGATTGGTGCCATCGACGGTGTTGGTACTAAGCTCAAGATTGCCCACACTGTCGGCATCCACGACACCGTTGGTATCGATTTGGTTGCTATGAATGTTAACGACCTGGTCGTCCAGGGTGCCGAGCCCCTCTTCTTCCTTGACTGCTACTCCTGCGGTCACTTGGATGTCCCCACCGCCACGGCCTTTGTCACTGGTGTTGCCGATGGCTGTGTGCAGGCCGGCTGTGCCCTGATCGGTGGTGAGACCGCCGAGATGCCCGGTCTGTTCATTGACGACACTTACGACGCCGTTGGTGCCGCTGTCGGTGCCATCAACACTAGCGGTCCTCACGCTCGCCAGATCCTCCCCCACACCGATGCCATGCGCTCCGGCGACGTCCTCCTTGCCCTTGGCTCGTCTGGCCCTCACTCCAACGGCTACTCGCTGGTGCGCAAGATCGTCGAGCGTGCTGGTCTGGACTTTGCCGACCCCGCCCCTTTCACCATGCCCGGTCAGACCGAGCAGCTCTCCCTGGGTCGTGCCCTGCTCACCCCCACCCGCATCTACGTCAAGTCCATCCTGGCCGCGCTCAACGCCCACTCGACTGCCATCAAGGGTCTCGCTCACATCACCGGTGGTGGTCTCACTGAGAACATCCCCCGTATGCTTCCCTCGACCCTCACTGCCGCCGTCGACGTCAGCTCTTGGGCCCAGCCTTCTGTCTTCCAGTGGCTGCAGCGTGCCGGTAACGTCTCCCCGGTGGAGATGGCTCGCGCATTCAACTGCGGTGTTGGCATGGTCATTGCCGTCGAGCCCTCAGCCGAGGAGGCCATTCGCCAGAGCTTCGAGACTGCTGGTGAGACTGTTTACCGTATTGGTGAGCTGCGTGCCCGTGCTGAGGGTGAGGAGGGCTGCGTTCTCAGCGGCCTGGAGTCGTGGAGCGCATGATTTCTTTCTCGGAAAAGGAAGAATCTATCCATTTGATTTTTTTTCCTGCGATGCCTAGTCGTTGATTGTTATGACATTTTTCTCGTTACGCTTTTGTCGGTCTGGTGACACAAAATTAGGGCTTGTGCTGGTCCTGGAATGAATGATGCTGAATTTCCTGTATTATGGATGAAATGATACATACACTTATATACTGCCAAGAATTGAAAGTTTTTCTAGACTCGTCTCTCGATTTCCTGTCTTCTAGTTTCTCATATTCCATGGAGTATCGCAACCTTCGAAACAGCCCGTGGTCGTTGTGGGAAGCGTTTTCAACACGAATTCATTCGGTAAATGGGTCTTTGATTGGTCCCTTGCAGACTATAGCCAGTATCATACTTTTCTGAAGGTTATTAGCGATTAATGGTCCAGAATCTCACGGTTCTCGGAATCCTTGATTAGTATCATCCTCTTTGCCAGCGTGATATCCCCTGGTCTACTAAGTGTGGATTTGGCATTGCGGAGGGCAATGGGAAGTATACCTGTTAGGATGCTTCTCTGGTCTTGAGACTCAGACTTTTGAACTACCATTATAAGAGCTACAGGGGGTAACAATGACCGAAGACAGCCATCATAAACGCTACATAGTCAAGGACGTGCCTGGCTCACAGACAACTTTCAACTTGTATTGTGTGTGAACATTTCGGCATTTGTCCGAGAAAAGTAATCGCCTCAACTCGACGTATCATTCCGAAGAGTATGTATGCCCAATAGGATTACTGATAGTGTAGTGCAGGAAGAGGTCTATGGACGCGGTCTTCTCATCTTCCATTTGGAGCAGTGCCGAAGATTACAGATATAATTTCTTCCCACCGTAATGCGCTTGAACACTCCTGCCATCCTTTGAGCCAGTATACGAGACGAGCAACATCCGTGTATCTTGTTAGCTTTCGAGGCCTACAACTGAATAATTGAAGCATCATATTCAGTAACTTACTGGCTGGATACGGTGTTGTTTCCAAGTACTTCGCTTGGCGCGTATAATGAACCGTCCCAGTATTGATTGAACTTCGTGGATGGTGAGACAGGAGCAACGCCTGCTGCAAACTCCACCCAGTTCCAAAGAATAGCATGGGGCTTGGGACCTGTGGGTTCAATGTCTTACAGTATATCTTCGATCCTCCAGCGGACTTTAGAGGGTGATAGAGGTTGGCTAGTTGGGGGTCGCCTTTTCTTTCTTTTGTTCTGGCTATTGTTAGGTTGTTTCGGTCATACTCTTCACTCACTTTGAGTACATACCTCCATCATTCAGTCAACGAAGACAACTCGCTCAAGTGGAATGGAACTTCTTGTGGAGGGAGATCTGGGTTCACTCTGTCAGCTCCAAGTAATTGTTGCACATAAAGAAGAGTTTTCTGTGAACGGTCGCCTACATTGGCGGAGCGTTCGTACCATAGGCCCGGGAGATATCGATTTCTTGCGATCCTAAAGTGTCTATCTTCACCAAACTTCAGGTCCTTGGCAGACCAATGTCCAGTACGGATCAATTTGGCCATATCATCAGTGGCCTGACGGAGACACCGATTCCAACTTAATCGAAAAGTCAACTCTCTGAGTTTTTGGGCCTCATTCAGCAGAGGGTAACTTTCATGATGATTATGATGCTGAGGCTGGAAAAACCAAGTGTTAAATTGAAGCTTACCATCGGTCAGCTCAACTTGCGTGGCTTCGATGCCAGCTCACGAAGGTGATCAACAGAGAGATACTCCGTAGAAGTACTTTCCATCAGCCGGTAGAGCCGACGAATCTCATGGCGATATGAGTGTTGTTGACTCTCCATATTGTCAACGGGTGAGTGAAGTTTTCAAGTTTATTAGTTCTGGTAGAGATCCATTGAAAGAGATCGTAGAGCGATAAGTCTCTCTATTTAGAGATCTCTCTAATGAATTGAGTACTCGTACTGTACTGTACTGGCGATCATAATGATAATGTTGATTCATTTAGCCTGACCCCTCGCAATGACAGTGATACGTAATTTGATACACAAACGGCTATTTACAGTGGCTTATCCAAGTATGCATACTACATAAATGCTATTCACTCATCGTTATAAGGGCCTTGCGTTTTGACTGTCCCCTCGCTTAGTGCTTTTGCCTCTTCGTGCCGAAGGCCTAGTAACCTCCCCAGGTCCGGTCCAAACACCCCATCTACTCTTCCTTTCCATTTTTCTCACTAAGAAAATCCCGGGCCTCGACGGATCGTCTCTGGTAAGTCTTGTAGTGTCGGTATATCCAAGACTCCTCTTGTATAAGGCCGGTAAATCTTGTGTCTGAGGGCTACGAATCTCGATCAATTGAGGGCGAGGGGGAGTCGGCGGTGGCGAAGGATATTTTCTCGGTTTCGTTGGTGTTGGTTGAGGCGGATCCAACTGAGTATCTGGGGAGGACTTGTCACTAGAGTGGGCGGAATGGTTGGATGGTAGAGGATTAGTTGTCGGAAGAGATTCAGTCGAGCCGTCTGGCGACTTAGGTTGGGATTTCTGTTCATCAGGAGAAGGGTTTGTTTTTGGGCTCTCTTGCTCGTTGAGATCTTGAGGTAATTTCGTCTTTGAAGGTTCCTCTATCTTTGAAGGTTCGTCTGTCTTTGAAGGTTCGTCTGTCTTTGAAGGTTCGTCTGTCTTTGAAGGTTCGTCTGTCCTTGAAGGTTCGTCTGTCTTTGAAGGTTCGTCTGTCCTTGAAGGTTCGTCTGTCTTTGAAGGTTCGTCTGTCTTTGAAGGTTCGTCTGTCTTTGAAGGTTCGTCTGTCTTTGAAGGTTCGTCTGTCCTTGAAGGTTCGTCTGTCCTTGAAGGTTCGTCTGTCTTTGAAGGTTCGTCTGTCTTTGAAGGTTCGTCTGTCTTTGAAGGTTTCTCTATCTTTGAAGGTTCGTCTGTCTTTGAAGATGTCTCTTTTTTCGAAGGTTGCACTGTTTTCGAAGGTGTCTCCTTTTCCGGAGGTTGCTCTCTCTTCAAAGATGGCTCTGTCTTTGAAGATGCATTATCGTTGTTGGGTGCAGGTGCGCCCGTGGAGGGCTGTGAGTTCTTCTTAGTCGTGGTCTCCTTATAATTTCTGCCAGATGGCTGATTTCCCGCGTCAACTATTTGCACAGTCTTGTCAACTGGCCTCGTCGGCACTGATCTTGGAGCAATCTCCGCCACAGGTTGATTGGGCTTTGTAAAAAATTTGTTCGACCCCACATTCACATTCGAAATGGAGGTGGGCTGAACCTCCAAGACTTCCAAATCTGGAGGAAGGTAGCCCCCTATGGACGATTTCTCACTTTTATGGGGTTTAGGAGAAGTTTGTCTGGTTCTAATTCCTCCATGGGATGACTGAGAAGACGACGATCCGCACCAACAGCAACAATAGAGAAGAATCAGAATCAGAAAAAAGCCCAGAATAGACCCAGCAATAGCGCCCTTTTCTGGTCCTGTGAGTCCTCCCTGCGCGTCAGGAGAGTTCGACGGTGTGCTAGTCGGAGTTGACGCAATATCGACTACAACGATCGTTGTAGTAGGGTAAGTCAATGTCTGAGTGACATAGTTCACTGTAGTCCGAGCTTGATCACTGCCAACAGGAAAAACCGTCACGAATGTTGAAGTCGCCTCGGTTATGGTCAAGGTGAGTTCTTGCACCACAGGTGCCATTCCCTACTGGCCAAGACATGCTGTCAAGGCACTTCTGGCCAGGCTGCATACTATCTGTTTTTAAACGCAATGGAGTGAGGACACAAACGAGAGGGGCTGAAAAAAGTGAGAGGGGTCAGTGTTGGTCGGCTTCATTGCCCTTGATGCTTACGCGCCATTGCATTGACCAGAAGGTTCGTGACATGCAAATGCGACAGGGGACCGCATATTGGACCATAGAACTTGCTAACATCCAGAGGCGGGGCACACTAGGACTTGTAGTTCTGCATGATTAATGCACGCCACATCCTGGGAACAAGCAAATGGCAATTTGATTGGCCCACGACACCCTAACGCTCGGGGGATGGCTGCGCTGAATACCCGAAGTCGCCGGCCCCATTTATAGTGACATTTTGGCCTCATGACAGAAAAGCCCACTCCCAACCCTGCATGACTTAGGCAGCTTGCGAACCTTTTCATTGTAGAAATGCTTTGGTCGTCGTTAGAGGCTTCTTGTCTGCCCCCGAGAGGGAACCCTGGGAAATTCATTTTATCGAGCACAGACCACCAAAACCTCAACGGTCATTAGCGCGCCTGGAAGATGGCAGGAACAAAAAAGTCATACCTTCTAATGCCCAATTTTGACTGTCCTTCAAATGGTCCGGTCGCATTGGGACAGATCATCACTTCGCCATTTGACCCCGAAAGCGCAATCAACATGGTATCAAGATTGCCACCAACTGAGATATTCCATTCCTCCAAAACTGCCTTCCAGACCTTGATCGAGGAAGAGTCAAACAGGAACTTCGGAGTATGGTCGCGTTTCTTAGCCCTCCCCATTCTTGGAGGCGAAGCTGGCTTCCAACACTCTCGATCCAACAGCTCCTACCTGTACATCTCGCGATTGGATACAGATTACTTCAATCCTACGATTGAGTATATCGAAAAAAGCCTTCGTCACCCGCAGACGCTGAAAGCTCTGTCGCAACAGAACTTCGAGAAAAATCTCTACATGATCACGGGTATCAAAATTGCAATTGGGGCAAATATGCAGTCTTTATCATCCAAGAAGCAAGGGATGAAGCTGGATATAGGGGTTGATTTGACGACCTTAGGAGTACCGCTACAAACCGGGCCCAAATTAGAGCCCTCTTCCGCAAAAAGTGAAGGTACTGCATTCTCGAACTCGACTGATTTCGTGTTTGCATATCGCCTGAGGGAAATATACTACAGTCAAAAACGTGGAGTTATCAAGACAGCGAACTATACAAAAGGCGCAGCGTATGGACTGGAGAATGATCTATCTACAATCAAAGATGGCGAACATAGCGCGGAATTCGAAGAAGATGTTGAAATTGATGGGATTGCTGACAGAGATTTAGGTAATAATGACCTACGAGCATTTGGACGGCCTTTGACAGCAGTAGATGAAGAAGATGGGGATGAGTGCGAGTGTTACAGTCTACCGGCTGTGAGCCGGAAGTAACCGATTCTCTCTGTATTTATGATGATCTACACTTTATTCAAGCTATTATCCTTGTTCCATTAGAGTCAGACTTGTTACGAAGGTATTGTCCAGACATAACAGTTACAAGGAAGCATGCGTCTACATAGCGTTTCAAGAGTGATGAGCAGCACCATCAGGATAAATAAACAACTTTGAGAATGGACCTTGATCGGCCTTGGTTGTACGATATCTGAAACATCTACCAAGGCAGTTTGGAGAATTGATGAACCACAAAGAGTAGTATAAAGACCAATCAAATCGAGGCTGAGCCTCAGACAGGTAGTAGGACAAAGTCTACTGTGAGTAAGCAAACGTGCCAACTAGCGACCTAGGTAGAGGAGGTTTGCGACCCAATGATTAGGTCGCTTAGCTACATGTAGCACCCCGCACTTCACCCGTCGTCTCTGGCAATATTTCCCCTTCATTAACCACTTCGACGAATATCTCTTAATAAGCCGAATTTAAACCAGGTTTTGAACACAAAGAACGCACCGTGGCGACTTGATGATCAGATCGACATCGATGAAGACTTCTCGCGCTCAGGCTGATGGAAGGGCACCATGATTATGAGCACCTCGCCTGGGTTGCTGAAGAATTTTGGGCTCGAAAGAACTACAAGAGCGCACTTGCCTGCTACACGATTGCATGTCTGGCATTCGTGAAAATCTATCCCGATAGATCAGCAGATACCGATCTCTTGGGCCTCAAAGATGGAGCGGCACGATGTTTCGAGCATCTAAGTGATCTCAGCGATCCCACCGATGTCAGCAAGTTCAGCAATCTCAAGGAATGCATAAAGCTGGATTTTGAAGTTCTGAAGGAGAAAGAGAAGATCCTTGATTCTAACGACGAGGAGCTTCTCATTTTACGAGAGACACTTGCTGAGAATAATGCACAAATAGGCAATCACGAGGCGGCATTATCATTACTGCGTACTAACTTGAAGATACTCGAATGTAAGGAATACGGCTTAGAAGACGAATGGACCTTGCAGACCAGGTATAGGGTTGGAGTCGAATTGTCGTTATTGGGTGAAAACCAACAGGCATTAATATTGCTGGAGAAGACTTTGTCCGTGATGACTACAAATGGGTTTCCACAAGAACAGCAAGAAATAGTGCGGGAGGCTATCCACGGAGCCCAAGAGTTTATCGAGAAAACTGTGGCCAATGAAGCGAGGAATAACGCGATCCCGTCTAACCAATACTCAAGAACGGCCGATTTGAAGCCGTGCACACCTCCAGAGCACCAGAAATTGATTTTGGGCACCTTCCAGTCTACCTCAGCGACCTCGAATGAGACAGCTGTGGCTCGGAGCAAGGAAAACTCTCAAAGGCTAGGGAATAACGAGCCACAATCTATACCTCTAGGTTTGGGACCCTTTCGTTGCAACACCCTAGGGGCACTTTTTAATATTCTTTGGACAGTTGGCGTTGTGAGCTTAGTAGGGAAGCCACAAACGCTAGCAGATGAGATCAAATCTTCAACAGACGGGACACGATCCCGTGCCAGTTCATGTAGTCCATCAATTCGTCCTTTCATCCAACTGGAGAAAGGGGCCATTTGTCACAATGAAGATGGCAATGGGCAGTATGCTTCATTATTTGTACCGTATACAATCCGATTGAAGCTGACACTTCAAATAGGGATGCATCCTCTGAGAAGTGGTTAAGAGAGGTTGACACCGTTGTTCATTCTTGGATGCCGCTCTCGAAAGTCAATGACAAGATTCGGATCGCCATATTGGATACTGGAATTGATCTTGGTCACCCCTACTTTGAAGAGAGAATACGAACTGGCAGCACTCAATCTCGACGTGAATCTATCAACGAATGCAAAAGCTTCCTACGGGGGAAAAGAGGAGACGAGGATGCACATGGACATGGCACTCATGCTGCATCGCTTCTACTACGCCTTGCGCCAAATGCGAAGGTATACGTAGCCCGAGTGGTCGATGATGACGGCGAGATCAGTAATCCTGATGCAGTTGCAGAGGTACGTATGCTTCTCTCCATTTGCCAAATTCGAAAAACTTATTCAGGAGGCCATCAACTACGCTAGTGATCCTGAATACTGGAATGTTCACATTATCAGTATGTCTTTGGGCTGGAAGAACATACCCGAGTCCGTTGAACGCGCTATAAAAAAGGCCACAATGACTCGAGAGGTCTTCATTTTCGCAGCAGCTTCCAACAATGGCCCAACCGATGACTATTCGGTGACGTATCCAGCTAGAGCGATGATGGTATTTCCCGTTTTCGCTGCCTCCTCTCAGGGAGAGCTTCAAAGATTCAACCCAAGCCATGAGCACAAAAAAGGGCTTAGTACCCTTGGCGTGAACGTCACTGGGCCTTGGACTCGACATGGCACTGATGAGAAATCTCCGACCCGATGTCGATCGGGAACTTCTATTGCCACGCCTATCATGGCAGCATCGGCAGCATTGGCACTTCAGTATATATATCAGAAACCGCCGCTAAAAATTGAGGGCTTGGACCGACTGAAGGGAATAGATGGCATGGTTGAGTTGTTGTCGTTGATGAAGCCCCCTCATTTCAATGAAACACCTTATTTTGTCAAGCCGGGGGTGTGGCTACGCGAAAAAGAGTATGCACGAAAGAAAGTAGAGGAAAAGATCCAGCACATTTGGTACGGGCAGATTCAATGACATTCTGCACTATGTATAGACTTTCTTTGTTAGGACTTGCTTTGCTTCAAATATACTCGGTCCAGCCCATCGATACCCCAATAGCCCAGAATGGAAATCCGCAAATGGCGTGTGTACCTGGCGCGGGCGTAACATAAATCACGACACAATTGCTCATTGTGACACAACACCCCCCTTTGCAGGGCTGTCAACCATGACTCGTGACAACTTTAGAATAACCCTTGGTATATTTTGGCATCATTGGACCTCTAAGGACATGCAAAAATTCGTGGACTTCTCGGTATCGTACTTTGAAGAGTCCATCTTACACCTTCTGCATCATGCATAACACTCGGATATGATTCACAAAGACAGTTAGCGCGCCCCATCGTCGCCATTCTTGTCAAGCATTCACTCTTGGCTTGGCACAAAGTCCCATGTAACAAGCAAGCTTTGTCCAAGTGGCCACGTCTTGGCACGTTCTTCGATTCTTTTCATTTTGTAGAAGTCTACTTTTTGTATTAGCTCTACCGAGACAACCTCGGAACCCAAGGATCGCGGCATATGGTGTAATTGCTTGAAAGTTTGGTGGACTCCCTGCTAATTCTTTGATTCTATTTACAACATTCAGTCTTGGTTTAGTTGATGAATTGACCTGAGCCCGCCCGGCACATTTGCACGTCAAAAGCTTGGTTCATCCTGCAATCGGTACCTTATGGTCACCTTTTTAGCCTGTGCGCCACAGTAACATTGCATGGATGTTGTCTTTTGACAATCACTTCCAATTTCCGTCCTAAAAGGCCGGTCGCTACCCTATCAGTGCTAGCTTGTCCAGAGATAACCCATCTTTTGTCGGCATATCGCCATTCGGAGACTTCCCGACGCCCTAAAAACGGACTTTCTTCATCTTTAACGTGCGGAGAAGTCGGAGATCCGGATTGCGTCTTTCTGCAAAGCTATTTGATCTCTGCTTGTATTGGACAATGTGACTAGATGGGCGCCAGTGGCTGATGCAGAGCCGGATTAACGAATCCAAGGGTTGAATATCCTCAGTAACGTCGTGCTTATACCTTGAGACCATGGTAATGACTTGCATATGCGGAAATCTTTGTAAAATAGGAGAGAAGAAGACAAACTCGTCTCGCAAAAGGTGCAATATGCCGATGGGACCTGAGTCCTGCGGCGCTAACGTTCGCCTTACCCCTCCCTGCCATGCTCTACAAACCTGTCTACCCATCATGCCTGTGGACTGACCTGACCAGCCAGCCTCATATTACTTCACCTCACAAGCTCTCTCAATAACGTGAATCGTAACTTTTATAGACGCTCTCTTCATTTGGTCTCTCGAGAAGGCGAATCTTAATTCTAGTCGAATCAAATTACCGCTGAAAAGGCCTCGGCTCAGTTCATGGCCCTTTCCAACCGTTCTCAATCCATGGCACTGAAAGAAAAGGATGGATGGGACCTGATAGCGCCGTGATCTTGGCATGTCTACTACCCGTGAGTTAACAAAGTCTTCCACCAAATAAAACCCCAAAAACCACACTAGTGCAGCGCGCGATCTAGACTGGTGACTTTCCGTTTCGGCCTCCGACGGTGTCACGCATTCGCCATTCTAGCGTGCTTCTTCTATCATGAACAACGTATAGTAATCTTGCGCTGATATTGATGTTGCATCGAAGCTCGTTCGCAAGATGGTAGGCGACTGAGGAATCGACCTTGCTTAGCTCTTCATGGATATGCATGCTCCAGGTAAAAGTACCTGAGAACAAGTATATAAAGTCTGATATCTTTGCCTGTGACTTGTTTTGTATCAACAGTCAAAGCCCAACTGTGATTCCTCCAATCTTCCTTTCAAAACACACTTTCATTCTCAAAACCAAATTTCAATCTTCACCATGAAGTTCTCTTCGGCAATTCTCAGCACCACGCTTCTGGCGACTGCTGCCTTCGCCGCGCCTCTGACTGCTAAGCGTCAAGCCCGTTATGAAGCCCGTCGTCTGGCTCGTGCCGAGTCTGGTGTGACAGAGCGCCATGGCAACCCTGCCTTCAAGCCTGATACCCAAGACCTTCTCCATCTGAATGGAACCACCCACGAGGACTATAGCTCCAACTGGGCCGGTGCCGTCCTCATCGGCTCAGGCTATACTGCTGTTACCGGTCAATTCACCGTTCCGACCCCGAAGGTTCCCAGTGGCAGTAGCAGCAGCGGAACATACTCCGCTTCTGCCTGGGTCGGTATCGACGGTGATACCTGGGGTGACGCCATCCTCCAGACTGGCGTTGACTTCACGATCACCAATGGCAAGGTCAGCTACGATGCCTGGTATGAGTGGTACCCCGACTACGCCTACGATTTCACTGGCATTGCGATCTCCGCTGGAGATGTTATCAAGGTCACTGTGACTGCTGCATCCAAGTCCTCCGGCACTGCAGTTATCGAGAATGTTACCACCGGAAAGTCTGTCTCGCACACATTCTCCTCCAGCAGCACCCAGGGCAGCCTTGGCGAGGTCAATGCTGAGTGGATCGTTGAGGACTTTGAGTCTGGTGGCTCTCTTGTGAACTTTGCCAACTTCGGCACTGTTACCTTTACTGGAGCGCAGGCCACTGACAACGGCTCTAAGGTCGGACCTTCAGGTGCTACTCTGATTGACATCAAGCAGAACAACCAGGTTCTTACCTCCAGCTCTGTCACCTCCAACAGTGTCAAAGTCAGCTACGTCTAAGCTTTGGACGTAGAGTGGTTTGCAGCTATCATTTGTAGAGAGGATGAGGATTGAGAGCTTGAGATTTGAAGAAATTTTGAGGAGTAGTGGATGGATGAAGTGTTCAATCGTCGATTGGTTGATTCAACATATACCTATGTATGCAAGGATGTTAGATTTGAGATCCAGTTTCCATGGCCAGGGATTCAGGAATTGAAATATTTTGACTAGAAAACTTTGTACACTCGGTTCGTAAAGGGGGGATGTCAGATCCTATTAAACATTTCCACGGATGAATACCCCTTGGAAACGTTTAATAGGATCTGACAGCGGTTTGGATGGTGATAGAATGGATACTCGCATTGAAATTATGTAGAGAAATAGGAGATGGGCATGTGCCTGCAGCTTTGTACTTCTTACTTTATTATTGTACAAGGAAATTGGACTCTAGAAACCTTGTGCTTGTAAGGGAAGATAGTATGTATACAAATCACTTAGAAGTATTGCCTGCATCGGAATCGGAAAAGGGCTTAGAATCTCTTTTTTCTGCTAGAGTTTAATGCTGGCAGGGCTACACTTCGGTAGGCCCGGGAAATAGTGTGGTAATAGCAGCCGGGATATAATTACAGATTTATGTTATACGGCATTGTTCAAGAACATATGGCAAAATCAAATATTCTGAGAGGAGTATTTTAATTGGTGTATCTATATTAAAAAGTATTACAAACAAACGAAACTCGAATTTCCTCCTCCTCTAAAGTGACCAGAGTACCCCATCTCCTCAAGCAGCAGGGACAGAAACATTATCCTCCTTAATTGTCTTCCACTCCATAGTCAAAGCTGGCAGAATCATCAAGGCCGACACAGCCACACTGACAATAAATGACCGGTGAATACCATCATTATACACCAGCAGGACATCGGTGAGCTTGTCAGCAGGCACAGCGTCGGAGAGACCTGTAGCTCCAGCAGCCAGAACCTTGGCCGGATCAATTCCCTGGATAAGAGGGATCTCAGCGTTCAGGTAGTTCTGGAAGAGAGACTGGGCGACAGCGATGAAGACAGCGCCGCCGAGTGACTGAGCGAAGAACATAAGCGAGACACCGATGGCGACTTCCTCCATGGGGAGGATGGTCTGCGCTGCCAGAGAGGGCTGTTGCAATCCGGTGCCGATACCAATACCGAACAAGACCTGGTATCCGATCCAAGCGGCGTGGTTGGTGTCCAGCTTGAAGGTAGTCATGAGACCCGCGCCAGTCGACATCAGGATCGTGGCGACAAACATCCATGGGACGTAGTATCCCGTCGCGGTAATGATACCACCAGAGGTAATAGCTCCGACGACGAGTGCCAGGACCATGGGGATAGTGTCGATACCAGACTTAACGGCCGATGTACCACGTACGCCCTGGAACCAGAGTGGGAGAGTGTACAGCATGGAAATAAGACCACCACCGACACACATGGCAAAGACGACTCCACTGATGATACTGCGCTGGTTGAAGATGTGAGGAGGCACAGTGGCGTCCTTCTTTAACCAGGCTTGAACACCGACGAAGGCGATCATCAGGACACCCGAGAGCACGAATAGCGCGATAATGCGGCCGCTGTTCCAAGCATAGGCTGTGCCACCCCACTGCAAGGCAAGTAGGAAGCAGATGACCGAGGGCAGGAAGAGGACACTTCCCAGTGGATCAAGACGGAGAATCTGCCGCTTCCAACCGCAGGGCTGAGCCGTGTGAGGCACGCGCAGGAAGAAGAATAGCATCGCCAGGGTGAATCCACCGATGGGAAGGTTAATGTAGAAACACCAGCGCCATGTCACATTGTCTGTGAACGCGCCACCCATCAATGGACCGACAATAGACGAGAATCCGAAGGTAGATCCCATCAGCCCGACGTAGATGGGTCGCTTCGCCAGCGGTACAATCTGTGCGATGATAACTGTCGCGCCCGAGAAGATTCCAGCAGAACCGATTCCTGCGATCGCTCGTCCGACAATGAAAGCCTTGGAGTTGGGTGCGCCGCCACATAGAGCGGATCCAATCTCGAAGATGAGGATTGCCAGGAGGAAGATCGTCTTTGTCGAGTAGAATGTGTAGACTTTGCCCCAGGCTAATTGGGTTGCGCAACTTGTCAAGAGATATGCACTGGCGTACCAGCTGATATCGTCGAGGGCATTGAATTGGTTTGCGATACGGGGAACTGCTGTCGCGATAATCGTGCGGTCCTATAGTGTTCAATATAAGTAATTAGCCTATACCCACACAAATAGTAAGAAAACAGAATTTGTAGAATTCATACCAGTGCAACCAAAAACATAGCGAACAAAATCGAAATCACAATCACCACCAATTTGGCTCCTGTTGGAAAATGGCTCTCATCTTCTTGGACCTCGGAGGGCTTCTCGGTTGTTTCCACTGATTGGCGAGGTTGGTCGTGAAGAGGGTGTTCCTCTTGTATAGAGTGTGCCATGGTGAATATGTCTGATGAAGTAAAGAAAGGGAGACTTGATTGAGTTGGTATTGATTTAGGTACATTTACAGAGAAAGGGGCGGACTTATAAACAAACCATCCTGGGAGCGATCAAAGGAATATTTCAATTTTGGACAAGCCTCTCGGTGCCGAAGTCTCGGTCGGAGGTGACGGAGTCCGTTACGAGAATTTACCAAAAATACAGTCCGGTTCGGGGCCGTTTGATAGTTCCTAGAAACCCAACATCCCTTAGGCAGCAGCTACCTATTCTTTAATTTGATTTCTTTTAGAAGCTCTCTCTAATTAGATTTGTAACCGTCTTCCTAAACATGCTAAAGATTCTCCTCTAGGGTATCTTACAATGGTTGTTTCAAAAAAGAATATGAAGGCTTGTCGGGACATCGAAATTACTATCTCGAGTTCTGTGACGGTAAGCACTTTGTATACATCAATACACATCCCATCTATTCATTTCTTTTCTTGTTTCCCCCTATCAACCCCCGTCAACGGAACTCCGTCGTCTCGGACAAGGAACACCATCCCATGAATTCCGACACGACACTATATTACAATATTATGGACGCCTCACACATCCCCAAACGCCCAATCCGGTTACGATAGGCAACACCGACTCACACGCGACATGCTATCGTCCAACTCCAAAATAACTCGCGGCCACTCATGCGTTTTCTGTCAACAGCGTAAAGTCCGCTGTGACGGCCACAGACCCTGTTCAACCTGTCTACGCAATGGCCAGGAATGTATTCGGCGGGTGGGTTCCAAATCTCAACCTCCGTCGAATAGGCCGCATAGCAGAGATGCTGGGGTGAATAGTGTTACGGAGCAATTGGCGAGACGATTGGAGCTTTGTGAGCGGGCTGTTAAGGCTCATGGGATTTCGTTGGAGCCTGAGGGTGAGGTTGATAGGAAAATTCCTGTGAGGGTTATGGCGAATGGGTCGTGGCCGGCTCTCGAGGGTCAGTTGATTAAGGAGACGGCTCATGCTAGATATGTGGAGAAGTAGGTTGATATTTTACTTCGCTCTGTTTTTGCAAAGACGTTGGCTGATGTTCTCCCTGACAGCCCCCTCTGGCAAGGCCTGACCAACGAACTGGACAGTGCTAGCAGTGTCGCAGATGAAAGCGAGAGCGAGTTCGTTCAGAATATAGATGCAGGAACGTTGCTCTTCCGGCCATCCTGTCCCAAGGGTGTACGCTCCCTCCATCCGAATACGCCGCAGAATTTTCAGCTGTGGCAGATATTCCTGAACAATGTCAATCCCATCGTCAAACTGTTACACGCCCCGTCTACACAGCAGTTGATCCTGGAAGCTGCGTCGGACTTGGATAATATCTCACGGCCAACCGAGGCTTTGCTGTTTAGCATATACCTCTGTGCGGTGGCTTCTATGGATGATGAGACTAGTCTTCAAGTATTGGGGGCATCGAGATCGGACTTGATGGCTCGTTTTTCACGCGCTGCTGAGCAGGCACTCATCAATGCTGAGTTTCTACGTTCTACAAATGTTTCGATTCTTCGGGCTCTTACACTTTACCTGGTAAGCCACATATATCCATCAATGCACTTTTTCTTAGTTCATGAGACTAATTCTATCAATCTAGCTGGCAACGCGACAACGCTACGATGTCCAAACCCGGTGGCTTCTCACCGGAATCGCCAGTCGTATCGCCCGAACAATGGGCCTCCACCGCGAACGCAGTCTCGGCTCTTTACCCGCCTTCGAGCGAGAAATGCGCCGCCGCCTCTGGTGGCAAATAGTCTTCATGGACAGTCGCTCAGCCCAACTATGCGGAATAGTCGTCGACGCCCACTCCTACCATTTCTGGGACACCGAGCGACCCCGCAATCTCAGCGACAGCGACCTATCCCCGCTAATGCAGGAACTCCCCCGGGACCGCCCGGGCGCCACGGAGATGCTATTCTGCGAGATCCGATTCGAGATCGGCGATTGCATGCGCAAGTTAACCGCGATGGAACACCAGTTTGTTGGAGCTAGTATTCCCGAGCGAATGGTTGAGGAGGAACGGGCTATTAATGCGTTAGAGGGCCGATTGGAGGAAGGGTATCTTAATGATTGCGATCCGTCGATTCCGTTCCACCAATTGGCGTTGTATTTGGCGCGTTCGTCGATCTGTCAGATGCGTTTGGCGGCGAGACATCCCCGTCGATGTGGGGAGGTATCGCGGGAGGATAGGGATCGGTTGTTCTCGTTGGGGCTGCAGGTGCTCTCTTATGATAACTTGACTTATGCAAGTCGGGACTTGCAACCGTTTCTTTGGCATGTGGGGATGAGTTTCCCCTTTGAAGCGTTTATTCTTGTCCTGACGGAGCTATTGTCCCGACGTGAGGGTGAACATGTGGATCAGGCGTGGGCTAAGGTCGATCAGGTCTATCATGACCACGGGGATCTGATTACAGCGGCCAAGACGAATCAACTCTACTTTGCGCTCGGGACACTTACGCTTCGGGCGTGGGAGGTGCGAACTGCGTGGACGAGGCAAGGGCCGATCTTGTCTCAGCCGTTGGAGCCACAGTCTGTTGCGCGCCTTCGTGCTCTCCGAGGGAATTCCCGGGCTCCGTCGCCTGGTGCATCAGCCCCCGGTCCTGCTACTGGGGTTGCCCCACTGATGTTGGGCGCGGGACCGGGACCGGAGGAGAGAATCGGGGAGTCGGAGGGTTTGTTGATGCCCGGACGGATGAGTTTAGAGCCCGGGATGGATATGGCCCAGATTGATTGGGAAACTTGGCAGAGTTTGATCGATGGGCATATGACTTGTTTTTAGCAGAGGCTCGTCTTAGAGATGGACTACGCGTTTTGATGGAGTTAGAGATGTATTGATGCATGAATTGTCAGGCTTCTGTTGGTCTCGGGCATGATCAGTCAATCTTAGGGCGAGGATGGTCTGATTCAACCTCGACATCCCCGATCCCGATGTGACTCCCGCATTACAGTGTGCATATTTTCACTTTATATACCTATAAATTCGTCCTGGTCAATTATGATCTGCAAAGCTCATCCCAGTCTATAAATATTCAATAGCTCTGTCCCAACTACATTATTCATATACGCAGAGTATCTTCAAAATGACCGTCAATACAACCCCATCCTTCATCGCTCCCCCAGAGCATCGCCATGAACCATCCTCCTTCGACCCAATCGTCGATACCAAAGATGCACCCTCCTTCGTCACTACCCTTCGCGCAGCCGATGACACTCTCAAAGTCTACACTCGCTCATCTCCGAACTTTGAAACCCTCCGCGGCCTCTACAACAAACTAATCACCCACCAACCCCTGGCAATCTGCCGACCTCAGACCATCGAACAAGTCCAACTCATCATTCGTACTGCCCGCGCCGCAAACCCACCCATCCCCGTCGTGCCACGCTGCGGCGGCCACGATGTCTACGGCCGAGGCCTGAAGCCCGATAGCATCAGCATCGACATGCGCGAACTCGACATGCAAACCCTTGCCGAAGACCGCGAGTCTATCCGCATCGGCGGCGGTGTAACCTCGCAGAATTTCGTCGGATTTCTAGATAACCACGGTCTTTGCACCGCGAATGGAACGGCAGGGAACGTGGGGTGGACGGGCTGGGCCGTGTGGGGCGGATATGGCCCGTTGAACGACTACGTCGGACTAGGAGTGGACAATATCCTTTCTGCGAAGTTGGTGTTGGCGGATGGATCCCTGGTTGAGGCTGATGCGGGCTCGGAGTTGTTGTGGGGGGTCCGAGGAGCTGGTGGTGGTCTCGGGGTGATTGTTGAGACTACTGTGAAAGTATACCCGATGCCCGTTGTGTTGGCGGGTTTCATCGCGTACCAGTGGGGCGCGAGTGAGAAGGTACTCCTTGGTCTGCAGGAGTTGCTTGATCGGGGCATTCCCGATACGATGTGTTTGCAGATGGGATTTATGAAGACCAAGTGGGGGGTTGGAATGAGTCTGATTTTTGCTTGGCCTGATTCCAAGACCCTTGATGAGGGTCGGACTTGGCTGGAGACTGTGAGAGGGCTGGGCGAGATTCAGGTTGACACCGTTGGTGAAAGTAAGCTTCTCTTTCTTATTCGTGGAATTCTTGGTGTTTGCTTCTTCCTCCTCCTTGTTGTGATTGTTTGGATAATTTCCCCACCGGTAACTTTTGTCCCCAATTGCTGATTGCTGACATTGATCGACAGCCACGTTTAAGGCGTTTCAGGCGATCACCTCCCGCGTGGTGGACGACCCAGTAAACGTCGCCACTCGCAGCGCCTCAATCTATAAATTCGGCGCCGAGACTATCGCCCTACTGCAAAAGTACTCCGAGGCCATCCCCGACGGGCGTCAGTATAATGTGATTGCGCATATTGGACACGGGAAGAGTACAGAACCGAATCCCGACACTGCCTTTGCCACGCGCGAACCCCACATTCTGCTTCATATCAACGCCTGCGATGAGCCGGAGCGTATGGACGAGGCCCGGGCCTGGGTGAACGGGCTCATGAAGGAAATGAATGCTACCTCCCAAGCCATGAATCCCGTATACGTGAGTTTCATGGGAGAAGACGAGGACCCTCGCGATACTTTTGGGTCGCATTGGGACCGGTTGCAAGCTCTCAAGAAATCGGTGGATCCGGAGAACGTTTTCCGCTTCCCTTGAGGGTATTCACGGGAGTCTAGATGGGGACTAGTTTGAGGCTAGAGACAGAAAGAGACTAGGACACGAAACGATCTGAATAAGCTTCTTGGCTCGTGCTTACCGTGTTATCTTTTTATTTGTTTTTAAATTAAAACGAATTTTCCACTCCATTCTGCATAGACTTTCGTCAGGCTTATTTGCCATCGACTTTACTTTACCTCGTATCCATAATTGTCTGCAACTTGGCCTAAGTGTCGCCACGAGGGGGGATAATTATCCGCAGGAATAGATAGCATTACCCACAATTCTCGTCCCCCATTGGAAGCGCTGCAAAACAATTGGGATTCTAGGCCGATCGTGTAATCTGCGGGTGAGACTTTCCTTTTCTCCTGAAGGGACTTGGCGCCTCCGAGGCCAGTCAGACGGGACGGGTCGATCAGGTTGCAGTGTAAGCGCAGGGCGCTCGTATTGTTGGAAGCTACTCGTCTCGGCGCATTTTGAGTTAAGGAAGAAGGAAAAGAGGTGTTTTTGTGAAGAATTGGCTCCGTTGGTTCACTCGTTTACTTCTGCGCTATCATTCGTATTCTCCTGTCATATTGTAAGGCCCAAGGCTGTAGCTATGGGGCCTAAAATCCCTATTGAGGTAAGATATTCACAGGATCGATCAATGAATCATGGGTGGGGGTGAGATGTCGTAAGAATTGAATCACGCTTGAATACGCTCAATCCTTGCTGAACTCTTATCACCAAATCAGCTCAGGTGAACACCCTGAGGGGTAAATAGCTGCGAGCAAGCGCCATAGATCTGAAGATGTTCAAAAACGGTTGGTCGTTAGGGTTACATTTGCCCCCTGCTTTGCCTTGAAAGGGTTTAGCTGCAAGATTCGTCCGAGCTTACATGCATTTGTTCAGCAAAGCTCGTGGACCCTTTAGTCAACCTATTATGGGATCCAATACTATGACTGTATTGATGGATATTAGTTTATTTCTCACCCCCTCTCTCGTAACACCTAATAAGCTGCCTGAGTTGATGCAAATGCCACATTAATTGAACACTGTCCCAGAAAAAGTTCTCCGAGGCCTGGGGGCCTCTTACACATCTTCAAGGGCCTCTAGCAATTCGAACTTGATTTTTATTTGGACTTGTACTACTTGGAGGATCTGATTCTGGTCATTGATTTATTTTTCACATGGATCAAGATGGCCTTTCCTGCGCAACAACAAAGAGTGGAAATCATTCGTGCAAGCTGTGATAATTGTGCCAAATCCAAGGTCCGCTGCAGCAAGGATCAACCATCTTGTCAACGATGTCTGTATCAAGGCGTCCCCTGCATCTACAGTCCCTCACAACGGTCCCGAAAGCGACCCCCGCCAACTCCTCCGCCGGGCACCGCTCCCCACTCTCAGGGGGTTGCATCGACGAGAGATCGGAATGGATCAATTCTAGATGCTTGCCAGGGTTCACAAAGAAGAGACGATGAAGTAGTGAATGAGGGGCAGATCATGGCCGACATTCGCACCGTTGACATGACTAGCCCCGATCCACTACCCGTTCAGATCGACACTCCTTTCTCCGAGAGAACTCAATTCCCCGCCGATGCATTGAGCCCAATCAAATGGAGTGAGCTATTGGAATCGTTTGACAGTAGCACACCGACTCCCAATGACTTGCCTGGTATACCGGGTATACCACAAATGCCAATGGCAAGTCCACAGTCGCGGATGGATACCAGCACCAGCAATGGCAACGGTCTGGACGAATTCCCTTGGCTATTACCCTCCGATTCACATAAACAATCCCTCTGGTCACTACCAGCACAACACCAATCTGTACACCAATGCTCCCAACTAGCCATGTCGGCCATCTCACGACTAGACGCACCAATGAACCCCTGCCCAACACTCAGCCGCTCAAACTGCCCTGACCGACGAATACAAACCATCACCAACGGCTCCGGAGCCCGAAGTTTCGACGATATCCTCAAAGACAGTCATTCCTCTCTAGAGGACGTCCTAGCAATCCTCGAATGCCCCTGCTCCATCAAAACAGATCTCATCTTCCTCGTCACAACAACCTGCACCCGCGTTCTATCTTGGTACCAAGCAAGTCTAGACCGCAGCGCCGGCTGTCTACCCCGCGAACCAGACAACAGCAGCGGCTACAGCGAAAGCAGTAACGACAGTGGCAGCAGAAGCCGGAGCCGAAGCAGCCCCGGCGCTCCATCGTCACTACGATCAACCCCCGAAAGCAATATTCTGCAGGGACTGTCGGAGTCTTTCCGGGAGTGGGTGTCGATCCCGTCGATTAATGTGGGTGCCTACACTTTGGAACCAGCTCAGTCACGGCGCATGATTGCCCAGTTGATTTTGGCGGAAATTGATAAGGTGAAGGAGGTTTTAGCGGCGTTTAGCCGTAGATATTGTCGTCAGAAGGGTATGTATGGTGGTGATGATAACGAAAAGGGCTTGCATTTGGCGCTGGAAGCTCACCTGAGGCATCAAATGAAGTCGGTGGCTCTTACTGCGCGGGAGCTTTTGAGCTAGCTAATTTGCAGGTGTGTTTTTCCTTGTGCAGGTGATTGTCTTTTTTTTTCGTGTTTGCTTGTATCTTTCCTATCTCTTTTCTCGCCCCCTCTGTTCTCCGTACATATGCATTGAGACTTCTGCCACTTGATAACGATGATGGCTGCTTACTTACCTGTCTTTTTTCTTTCGCGATTTCTTCTTCACTTATCGAATGTTTCTATCTGCCTAGCCACGTCACAGGATGATAGACCGATGAACACGATTTTAGAACAAGCTATGATGATAACCGGAATAACGATAGAGTATATAGTCAATTTCATACATGGATCTATCTATCTATTAACTCTTCTGAATCAAGTCTCTCCTCTTTTTCTTGGAAATGCACATCGATCCCTTGATCGTGAACTCCGGGGGTGTTCAGGTGTGCGGATCTCAATTTTGGGCAGGGTTGCATCTCGGCACCGAGAGCGCGAACATCTAAAAGTACACCCCCGAGCTACAAGTCTGGACCCTTTGATCCACATTTAGCTTGGCCTGGTAATTATTTTACTCGGCTGAACACTAGCCCCACCTACTTCTAACCCCTCCTTCATTTTTTTGGGGCAATTCCAGCGGTACAAGAGCGCTGTTCATGCGGGAATAATTCATGCATGTCAGGGTGTCTAATTAATCGCTCGATCGATAGAAACGAAAGTCATTATCTTTGCTCACTCTCTCGACTAGAACTGTAGTCACGTTGGCATTAACAATATCAGAACAGACAGCGCTGGTATTAAACGGAGTAAAGCACATACTACACTAAACTAAAAACAGGCCAAAGATCTGCGACTAGCAAACCAGGGCGTCCTTTAGCAACTGTCCGAGCTCGGCACCGTGGCCCCCCTAGCTTCGGTCCCGAAATTTCACTGCTGCAGCCAAGACGGACCTCCGAAAATGGGCTTGCCCAGAGACTAATGCAGCTTCATGCACGAGTAGCAGACTAGTGACGCACCATGTATGATCTGGATTACGGAGTGTTTTTGCTTGTTGTTTTCGGTGTTTTCCGTGGAAGATCTTGCCTCGAGGGGAAGGAGGTCAAAAATGTTGATTTTAATGTGGTAAAGCCTAGACTTGGCCGTGGCTGAGTGAGAAATGAGGGTAATCACCGATATTAACCTTAGACATGTGGATACAAATCTATCTTGCAGGCTACACGTCGATAATGCTGGGCCACGACGATTTCACGACGGCATTCGGTGTAGTTTAGTCGGGACTCGGTTTCTGGTCGGGTCAGACCTTCGCGATCTATTGTAAAATCTCAGATTGCCCTCGGAGAAGCGATGATTAGGGAAATAGCTCTATATAGAGTGGTCGAACCAATGGCGAGGTGGTGCACCCGATGCTTGCTATTCTGCAGAGAGTCTAACCAACATCATGGCCCATTCCGAAAAAGTCAGCCAGATTCCTCGTGGACGAGGAGGAGCCCTCCACGGTGATCGCAGCGACAAAGGCTCATCGCCCCTCGGCACAGCCATCTTCGCAGTCCTACGTATCCTTGATCCAGTCCTGCAGTATGGAATCCTTTCGCCCGGCCCTACTTCACTTGCAGCCCCCATCCTGGGCTTATTCGGCGGCACTCCGCTGCCTCTCGAGTCCGCCCCCATGGCACTGGGTCTCTCACCCTGGCGGCTGACGCTGCTGGGTATGTCGCTCCTCGGCAGTCTAAAGGGCATTTTCTACCTGTTTTACGTATCGGAGACAAAAATGCCGGTGAAAACCGCTTTGCTGGTTGGCATTTTCAAGGCATTCTCTACAACGGTCAATTCGCTCATGTTCTGTGCTGCGGCTACCTCGGCGACGAGCTCGTACAAGCCTGACGCAGTCACCGGCTGGCACCCTATCCTTTCTATTGCTTGTGCGGTTTTCACGGTCGGGATTACTGTGGAGACTGTCTCTGAGCTTCAGCGGAGATCGTTCAAGAAGGACCCCAGTGGACGGGGTGTTGGGAAGGTGTATACCGGAGGATTGTTCCGGGTTGCGCGTCATATCAACTATGGTGGGTATACTATTTGGAAGGCTGCGGCTGGCCTTGCGGCTTCGGGTTGGGGCTGGGGTGGTCTGACGCTTTTGTGGTTGCTGGCTGAGTTCCGCAGAAGAGGTATTCCTGCTTTGGATGCTTACTGTGAGAAGAGGGTATGTTATTTTTCCCCTGCTGAAAGTCTTCGATTATGCGGGATGCTAATTTTCTTTGTAGTATGGTGAGGAGTGGGATCAGTTCAAGCGCCGGACTCGGTGGAAGATGATTCCTTTTTTGTATTAGAGCTGAATGGAGGGTGGTAGATAAAGACCAATGGGGACATGCGCATATTCTAGTCATCTAGTAGTTGTTACAGCTCTGTCGGCTATCAATGCTCAGAGTATTAGACTTCAGATACGAAAGTCTATCGAAAGAGAATACGAGAACTGTTTTGTAGGCAGTGGAAATCAGGCATTATTGCATTATCGTACCACGATTAGCTTGTAGAAAAGATACAATATGAAACAAAGTCAAATTTATCAGATTTCGATAGTAATACTTCATAGTATTTATTGGAGATTTGATATAAACGGACAGACTCAGCTACCTAGATGACCCCTCACTCTCAATCAGCGGCTGTAGTCGCTCCATCAGCTCCTCCACAGTGATACCTCCATCAAGGTTCATGGTACGTTTCACAATAGACCACCAATCCAGCTTCTGCTTCCCCAGCTGGCCATCACCTTGCATGAGTGGTGGCAAGACTACAGCATCAATCTCATGGATTACCCCATCCATAACAACAATATCTGGGCGGCTGACCTTCCACTCGTCATTGACTGCGAGTGTCCGGCGTCCGGTGCTTGACTCCAAAATAGAACTTGCAGAAATAAAATGCCCTCCAGCAAGAGTCGGCATTTCCACGGGATGAGTAGCGGTTTCTCGAGAAAAGACAACTTGTTCTCCATTCTTTGCTGGGAAATGAACATCCGAGAACAATGTCTCGTTGGCCACGATGTGGTATGCAAGTAAGGCTTTCAAGTACTCGCTGCCTCCCGGGCCGAAAAGGAAAGCATTCACTTTAGGGCCAAGTTGCTGGAATGCTGCATTGGTTGGGACGAATAGTGTCTGTCCCATATGGGTCGAGGTATCATTGACCACCTCCGCCAGTCCAGTATCAATCAGTCCTTGGCGAAATATTCCGAGAGACGGGGTATATCGAAGTACGTCTGCGGCTGAGTCTGGCAACATCAAAAGTCGGTCAACGATGTGTAGATGGCCATTGACAGCTGGCTGAGATGATATCATTTTTGAGCCAAAATTGAACGTGACGGAGTCTGCGTTGTCCTGTACGCTGATTCGTTGCTGGTTCTTGAAGAAGATATCGGCATTCACGAAAGAGGAGACCGTGTTTTGACTGCGTAATCCCTGGGCCGAGACGCCTCCTTTGCCCATGTGGTATCCAACCAGGAATTTCCAGTAAAACCAGGGAAGGTCATAGGGAAATTCTTCTTTGTCGAATGCTTCATTGACGGGCGCATAGATAGTGAGTTGGGCTTTCGGTGCCCGGAGACCACCGACAATATCGTCGAATTCTCCCACGAGCTTGGCGAATTTGCTCAAAGAAGGATCATTTTGAATAGATTCCCATAGTGTTTTGAGTGGGGGTGTTTCTTCAGTGGGAAGTTTGGGTTGGAACGTCTCGTTGATCTCAACTCGAGATTCTATTACCACGGGCTGTGGCTTCTTCCATCCCTCCAAGTATGTCTGGACAGCTAGAGAGACTGTCACGGCGACGAGCGCTACGCGGAGGGCCTGGAAAAGGGCTCTTTTGGCGAATGATTTCATGATAAATTCGGTGTCAACTCAAAGACCAGAAATTGAATCTCAATCAATCATCCTGGATCATATTTGGGGAAATCCCTCTAGTGGATGCTCTATCGGGGCTTACTCGGGGTTGTATGCAGGGCTTATGCCGACCTCCAACCGACTCGGGGTTCCGTTATGCGGCTAGACTCATCCGCAACAACTTTATTTTTCATATTGTCCATTAGATTTATTCTTCAAATAGAGATTCAAAATTTTCTTTCTTGGGATTAACACATGTGGCAAATATGATGCCTAGTCACGCTCTTTGTTGGGCGTTGTGCTCGCTACTGCTCCCCGGACTCACCGTTGGAAAACTTATCCGCGAGGAGATCACATTAACATGGGATTTGGGAGCACCCAACGGTCATGTCAGGGAGATGATCAAGATGAACGGAGATTTTCCCGGGCCATCTTTTGTATGGGAAGAGGATGATGATATTGAGGTAATTTGGAGCGCTGCCCTTCTGCGTCTGGCGAAATAGTAACTTTTGAAACTCCAGGTCATTGTTCACAATAAAATGCCATTTAATTCCAGCATCCACTGGCATGGGTTAATGTGAGTCTATTATTTTACATGTCATAAATTTCACATCTGATGGTGGATTAGGATGCAAGGCACACCGTGGTCCGATGGCGCGCCTGGGGCGACACAGCTCCCCATTGAGCCTGAAGAGATATTCATCTACCGATTCAAAGCCAGTCCAAGTGGAACCCATTGGTGAGAGCCGAAATGAGACATGTACCTCTCATTGATTTTGCCATTTACTAAGTGTTGGAGGTACCATGCTCATTCGCGAACGACACTATTGGATGGTCTATACGGAGGCATCTTTATCAGGTTTGCATCCCGACCAACCACCGTAATACAAAGCTAATTTAATTCTGAGCTAGGCCGAGTCAAGGCACTCCTGGGCCTTGGAGCCTGATTTCCAAAGACAGATCAGACATTCAAGCAATGGAAAAGGCCTCTAGTAATCCGAAACAGGTGCTTGTATCTGACTGGACGCATTTTAAATCCTGGAATTATATGGAAGCTGAAGAAGCCTCAAAGTTTACAATCTTGTATGTCTTGACCAAACCCAGTTTGCATGGATTGGGCGCTAATTGATTCTGGTCTAGCTGTGTGGATAGCATTTTGCTTAATGGCAAGGGGAGTATTTTTTGCCCTGGAGAAGAATATTTGGTCAACCACACCAGCACATACATGAAATGGGCTCTGTATCCGGGCCACGTCAATGACAAAGGGTAAACACTCCCTTCCCACTCGAAAGTATTGAAATTTTGAGTGCTTACAGCGTCAGATGTTTTCCGTTCATGAAATCTACCGAGGGTCCATATCTCAGCCAGGGAAGACCAGAAACAATTCCTCTACACCTTCAAAAGGGTTGTGTCCCCGCCACTGGTGACCAGGAAGTGATCCACGTCGACCCAAAGTCTAGATGGGCAAGTTTGAACTTTATCGGTGCCGCCACCTTCAAAACGACAATATTTACGATAGACGAACATCCCATGTGGGTTTACGAGGTAGATGGGCACCGCATCGAACCGCAAAAGGTCGACACAGTCAAAATGTACGCTGGCGAACGATACTCAGTCATGATCCGACTGGACAAAGAGCCAAAAGACTACACGATACGCGTAGCAGACAGTGGGTTGACTCAGATCATTTCATCCTTTGCCACGCTTCGCTATGCGGGGAGTACGGGCGCTCCTTCAACCAGCCGTGGAGTTATCAACTATGGAGGCCAAAATACTACTGCGGTCGTGACGCTCGATCGCGATCATTTGCCGCCTTTCCCACCACTGAAGCCAGCGGCAAGGTCGGATGAGCACTATGTTCTCCACACACACCGGTGGCTCAGCGCATGGCAGTATACCCTCAGCGGAGGAGGTATGTGGCAAGAAGATCGCAGTGCATACACACCATTACTTTACGATATCAATCAGCCAGATGCCCAAGACGAAAACCTTATCATTCGCACACGGAATGGGTCTTGGGTTGATCTCATCATCCAGGTTGGATCGCAGCCGGGTCAGCCTCAGGAATTCCCACACATGATGCACAAGCACACAGGCAAAATGTGGCAAGTTGGAGCAGGCGAGGGTATCTGGAACTACACGGATGTTGACGAAGCGATGGCTGCCGAGCCACATCGGTTCAATCTCGAGAACCCCAACTACCGTGACACATTTATCACTTCATTTGATGGGCCTTCCTGGATGGTGCTGAGGTACCACTCTATCAATCCTGGTCCGTGGCTTTTCCACTGCCACATCGAAACTCACCTGGCGGGTGGCATGGCAATTGCTCTGTTAGATGGTGTCGATGCATGGCCGGAGATTCCCCCCGAATATGCACCCAATCAAAAGGGTCTTGTGCCTGGACAGCCCGTCCCACGACCGGGGATTTATCTGCCATTACCAGAGAAAAGGCCGGACCACGATCTTTTATTCGCGGAGGATATTGTGCAGGAAGCGGCGGAGATGGATATGGTTGAGTCGTATCGATATTCGAAAGCTTGGAATTCGGTGTTGAAGAAGATGATTGGATTCCTTGAGACGATCAAGTCCACTCCGGAGTCATAATACTCTTACAATTTGTTTGTTGTTTTGTCATTTCTAATGGACGCTACAAGTGTCTACTAAATACTATATAATCGTTTGGGCACTCGGTAAAATATACAAAGTTCAAAAAAGGATGCGCGAAGACCAGGTAAAACCGTGCAGAATGTAGATTCATTAAGAACAAATTATGAGTTCATGGTTTACATTTTTTTTCTCTGCAACGGTTCTAGTTCCTCTCGCATTCTTACCAGATACCTACAAGTGCTTCAAGAGAAATCTGCCTCTTAAAACATGATCCTATAGTTGGAGTAAAATTGATTAACGTAATTCACGGCCGAGCGGGCCACGGTCGTGCGGGCCACCCCAAAACACCATACTACATGCGATAAATTACAACTTCATATCTCAACAACCGTTTGAATTTGAGACTGAATAATAAGTACGAACAAAATAAAGAGTATGAATAACCTACCCATGCAGTAGAAAAAGATAGAACTAAGGACTAAGAGAGGTATATATTCGAATCTAAAACATCAAAAACACGCTGTATTTTATGGTAAAGTAGCGATATACCCCTAAAGAGCTTATGAATTTATATATATATTATTCCTATACGCATATTAAAGTATATCCTATAAGATGAGCCAAACTAAACATTTGGGGGTTGAACTATAACGGAATCAAAATGCAGCATTTAGTATGGTATCTTAGGGTGGCCTGCACGACCGTGTGGTCCGCTCGGCCGTGAACTACGTTATCTTCATCTCATGTTGACTGTTTCGTAACCGTTGACTGTTCTGTCTCGTCCAGGACTCAGTCACTGCCAATGAATGGCACGTGGCTCAAGCAACTACTTGCAAGAATCTATCTCGAGACACTCCCATGCTAAGAAAAGATTCTGATTGGTCAGTTGTTCTACGGGCCATTTCCATCGAGGCCAATCTTACCCCGAACCGCCTCCCGATCTGCAGCCCGAGCCCCGAGAACCGATAAGCCCATCCAATCAGAAGTTCGAGTCACTCAAGTATGTCAGACCACCTCCTACTCGGTGATGAAGCTATAGCTTTCAGTGTCTACCGGAGTTGAGCTCTCGGATTCCAACAAAGTAATACTCTAGTCTCTAGGCCTTTTATCATCTCTAAGTCCAATCTCTTACAGCAGGAACTCGGTCGATTTTTCTTTACAAAGTATACTAGCGATAGACTTGACATGGCTGCGCAAACCTCCATGACTGACAAGACCCCAACGGTGGCCGTAATTGGCCTAGGTACGCCAATTTTGAAAGCGCTTACATTTTCTCATGAAAGTATGATTTTTAACTATTGTTCTTCCATTTTCTAGGGGCCCTTGGGCTTGTGGCAATGAAAAATCTGCTTGAAGTAGGATTTGATGTCACTGGCTTTGATAAGCACCCTTATGTCGGTGGTTTGTGGAACTACAATGAAAGCAAGGATGCAATTTCTGTTCTACCTAGTGAGTTTCTCTGTTGATGAATTATGATATGAGATGCTGATCCAGGTGAAAAATCAGCCACTGTGGCCAATGGCTCGAAGCAAAGAGTGAGTTTCAGCCAAAATGACAGGCGGAATATGATATCTAACTTTAGTTAGGGATGTTTCACAGATTTTCCCTTCCCAGATGGTAAATTCCCAACCCCTTTTTTTACTCCAACTACTCAGGGGATCTGAATTCTCACTATTTCTAGAAACACCGGATTTTCCACCAGCAGCAGATATGCACAAGTACCTGGTATCGTATGCTGAGCACTTTGGTATTTTGCCACGGGCTCAGCTAAATACAGTTGTCCACCGCGCGGAGTGGAACCCTGATACTGCTCTCTGGGATGTCGAGACCTCTACTGGCGATGAGCCAAAGGTTGTTCGCAGCTTTGACAAAGTTGTGTACTCCATGGGACCGGATCAAACCCCCAATGTACCCTCAGTTTCCGGAATGGATCGTTTTGGAGGTGAGGCGGTGCACTCTATTGCTTTCAAAAGGTAAGCTGTCTGACCTGCTTGGTGGCATTTTCTCGGCTAACCGATCAGACCGGAGGATTGGGCTGGCAAGCGAATGCTCGTTGTCGGCTTTGGAAACACAGCTGCGGATGTAGCGTGTGAGCTTGCAGGCAAAGCAGAGAAGGTGTATTTGTCTCACCGACACGGTAGCATTGTGGTAAGTAAAAGAAAGATTATTCCACAAAATTCGATCTTAGGTTTCCTGGTAGCTGACAATAACCCGTAGCTCCCTCGATGGGTCGATAACAAGCCTGTTGACCACATCCGAACATACCGAAAGGGCGTGTTCCTCGAGCAACTGTCCCGTTATGCCCCAAGCATCTGGACAAAGCTTATGAACAAGGTCATTATGGGCCTGCGAGATCGACTCTATGATCTCAAGCCTGAATGGGGATTTGACCCGGCTCCATCAGTCAATCAAGCACGACCAATTATCAGCGATTACTTGGTCGACAATCTCTCTCGCGGACTCATCACTTCCAAGCCACCGATTGAGAGGATTCTTGATTCTCAAAAGATTGAGTTCACAGATGGAAGCGTTGCTGAAATTGACGGCATTATCTGGTGCACCGGGTATACGGTCGACTACTCCATCCTGGGTAAAAGTGATCCCACCATTTACCGAGGTTCGGACATCCGCAGTGCCAATGGGCGCAGAATCCCACGCCTATACCAGAACCTACTCTCTTTGGAGCATCCAGAATCATTGGCATTCATGGGAAATCTATCATTCATGAATCCGGCGTTCCTCATGTTTGATTTAGCTACAATGGCCCTAGGCCAAGTGTGGTCTGGCCGATCGCCACTTCCACCTCGCGAAGAAATGATTCAGGCGGTAGACAAGCAACATGCATGGATCGCAGAGTTGGCAGCCAAAGGAGCGGTTACTCCCGGTCTTGTGAAGGGTGCGGACTGGTTGGACTGGGTCGAGGAAACGGCTGGATTGGGAATGAAGGAGAATCTCGGATACGGCCTGCAAGGATGGTACTTCTGGCTAACGAACCGTTCCCTCTGCAATACTCTCATGGATGGTTTACTTCTGCCATTCCATTATCGTCTGTTTGAGGGAAAGCGAAAGCGATGGGAAGGTGCTGAGGAAGCAATCTTGAAGGTCAGCGAGGAATTGCGCGTTAAGAACGAGACTAAGAAGTGGCAGTAGCGGGTGGAATCTTGGAATTCTGGGTTCTATATTTTTCAAATTGGTACATAGGTTCTGTTCAGGGCTAGAATTGGATTTCATTTCATTTCGCTATTCTTGGACTCGTGAGCTTTGCTTCATGGTATGTTGGCCTCGATCGGGTTTGTCAATCGGATATCGGGCTTTCGGTCCCCGTAGGTTCGAGTATATATCGATGGGAAAGCCCCAATTCCAAAATCTAGCATCCAGTATACTAGGCCAAATAAAAAGAGCTAAAGATTTTTACCATGGCTGAGACTACCGTTCGAAAGGTCGTGGTAGTGGGAGGTGGTGTCGCCGGAATTTCACTGGCACATCATTTGCTCCGACGAACACTGCCAACTCTGACCGAGGCCCTTGGTCAATCTTACCATGTCACCCTTATTTCACCATCATCGCACTTCTACTGGAAAGTTGCCGCTCCAAGGGCTTTGGTGGATCCCAATCCAGGCTTTCCAGAGCCCTTTGCTTCCATCGCAGATGGATTTCAGGAATATCCCGAGTCACGCTTCAAGTTCATTCAAGCTCGTGCTACATATCTTGACGAAAAGGCTCAAACTCTCCATGTACAGCTCTCCGGTACTAGCGAGATTGTTCCTGTGGAATACGATTCTCTCGTGATTGCCAGCGGGACAACCACTCACAGCCCTTTGTTCTCCTCTGCGGAGACACACACCGAGACGAAGCGCATCCTCGGGGAGATGCAGATCCGCTTACGCGATGCCAAATCAATCCTTGTGGCTGGTGGAGGACCGACGGGTGTTGAAACGGCCGGGGAGATTGGAGCAATGAGACAGCACTGGCCCGACGCAAACAAATCAATTACACTGCTATCGGGCAACGCTTGCCTGCTATCGCATGCAAACCCTCGGACATCTGCGACTGCTGAGCAAATGCTCAAAAATCTGGACGTTGATGTGATCCATGAACTCCGGGTTACATCGGCTATTCAAAAGAAGCAAGATCAGGGCCCGTGGGAGATAACCTTGAGCGACCAGTCTACCCGAAAAGTCGATGTCTACATCGATGCCACGGGAAGCACGCCCAATACCACGTTCCTACCATCTACATGGCTCGACTCGAAGGGTTTTGTCAAAACCGACCAATCCAGTCTTCGTGTACAGAACGTGACTGGAGTCTACGCATTGGGTTCCGTTACTTCCTTCACCAATGGAAGCTTCTTCGACGCTATCCAGCCCGTTCCATCCCTCATTGACAGTTTCCGGGACGACCAATTGGCGCTCTATCCCGAGTTATCGAGCCGAGGCCAGACCTGGTGGGAGTGGATGTTCGGTCGTCAAACACGATTGTATCAGCAAAAGGTTGCGCTGACGCAGTTCGTGGCTGTGGGCAGAGATGGAGGCGTCGGGGAACTCGGGGGTTGGCGAGTACCAAGTGGGTTGGTATACAAGGCTAAGGCAAAGACTTACATGGTGGAGAAGATGGACTCCGTTGTATACGGGCAAGATTCTCGTCGGGCTTAGGAATTAGTCAAGCTAGATAGACGAATAGCAGTCACATTTACCTTATCTTTGTCATTACTTGCTTTTTCTCGCTGTTCCTACGTGGAGCTTCCAAATACATCTTCGAAAGCTGTTTATTTCCTTGTTTCTAAGCACTCTGGACAAATTTCTGGTTTCTTTTTCCTCACTTCGTCTGCATAATGCACCGCCGATATCAGCTCGGGTCAGCATGGATCAGGGTTTATGTCGGGCCCCGAGGAACTTCTCCCGACCACACTTCCGACCATCCATCCAGTCCCGTTCTAAGTATATGATTAGTTTTAGTAAGACTCGTAAAAGTTTGCTTTTTTTTATTATCCACCATGCGCTTCCTCTGCCTTCATGGGCGCGGGACCAGCGCCCATATTTTCAAGTCCCAAACTGGTACAAGCGTCCACTGTCAAAGTTTCGGAGTATCAGCGCTAACAAACAGAATATAGCATCTTTCCGCCTTAAACTCGAATCTCTTGCACCCGATACAACCTTTGAGTTCATCGATGCTCCATTTGAGTCCGACCCTGCTCCAGATGTAGTCCCCTTCTATTCGGCTCCATACTACACTTTCTGGCAAGGTAGTTCAGTCCCAGCCATCAAAGCCGCTCTCGAACGATTACAGGCCAAACTAGACCGTGATGGCCCATACAATGGCGTTCTCTGCTTTTCGCAGGGATGCAGTCTAGTTGCCAGCTATCTTCTTTACCATGAACGTACACGTCCGAACATACCCCCGCCTTTCCGATTAGCTGTATTCATCTGTGGCGGGGTGCCTTTGCCAGTTCTCGAAGACTTGGGTCTGCCCATTTCTTCAGAAGCTCAAGAGTGGGATGATGAAACAAGGCGTCTGCTTCTATCCAAGACTACCGACCATAGTTGGTTGAACCGGAAGAGCGGCGCTGGTCGAGGTGCAGCCACCGATCGATGGGCTCCGGTCCCAGGTACTTGTCCTGTTATCCGTGGTCTAGAGCACCAAACGAGTGTTTTTGGGCTGGATTTTACATTGAAGCCGGCTGATATGAGAATTCGGATTCCTACTGTACATATCTGTGGCTCGAAAGATCCACGCTTCCCCTCTGCAGTACAGTTGCATGCTTTATGTGAGGAGGAAGCGCCGTTATGGGATCATGGTGGTGGGCATGATATTCCCCGAGGAAAGGAGACATCTCAGCGTATTGCAGAGCTTTTGGTTAAAGGGATGAGCCGGGGAGAAGAATGGGTGCATCCTGCTGTCGGCGGGCTAGCGTAGTCTTTTTTACATATAAGCTTGCATTATATATTTTTTGGTGGTTCAACACGTATTCTAGTCGTTTCTGTACATAGCAGATTAAAGCAGTATTCCTAGTATACAGTAAAGCTAAGTTTGCAAAGTTGAAAGTGTAGACTAAATGGGTTAAGAGAAATTGGTAATAATGCATTAACTCATGTGTCCTAAGTAAAGGAGAATAATCAAGACTGAAGAAAGAGTGATAGGTAACCTCTAGATATACGATCACATGACCTTCCATACAAACATAACCAGAGCGCGTCGCCCCACCCCTGCCGGTGCGTTATCATTGTGTTGGCTAACGAGTCAACTATTTACAACACGAACCAATCGCTAGAATGCAAATAAGCTGCGCTCAGATGGTTGTGATGCCCGTGCATTATTGCCATGTTGTAAACAGGAAACCGGAGAACCACGCACTCACTCATCAAGAGTGACAGTAAGAAGGGACATGACACTTCCCCGAGGCTGCGACACATCCGTGAGTCGCAAACGCTTATCCGCTAGGCTCAGCAACTGAGTCCAGTCATCCAGATCTCTCTCACAGCTGTTGAACACTTGCAGCATGGTCAAATCACGCACCCGTAGCAGGCGCTCCTTGGTCGAGGCTATTGAACCCGGGCGTGGCAATACGGAGTCCATGATGACGATACGCGAACCCCGACGCATCGCCGGGACTAGTTGCTGCAAGATGCGAACCGCCTCGGGTATCGCCCAATCGTGCAGGATCATGCGCAGCAAATAGATGTCAGCCCCGATGACTGGCTGTGGCTGGAAGAAATCGTGTCCCTGGAAAGTGACACGCGATGCCAGATCGGGTTTCAGTGTCGCGGCCCCCTCGGCGGCATTCTCGGGGAGATCCTGCACAGTGATTTGCAGCTCTGGGAATGCTTTGGCCAGTGCCATTCCTGCGTTTCCAGTTGAGCCACCGACCTTTTGCACTGGTTAGTGTCATATCGACAGATTGAGCGGATTTGCTAAGGGGAAGACTTACATCCACAATCTTGGCCGATCCGAGGCCCGCCCAGTTGAAGCCGGAAAGCAAGTGGTCCAGCTTGGTGCCTTCACTGCTGGTGACATTCTTCATGTATCCGGCAAACTGTCGGGTCCGCTCGGGTAGCGTGGCCAAGTGATCGAAAAATGGCAAGTCGGTATCCGCAGCGACATTATAGGCGGTCTCGGTTCGCGACTGGCTGGTCGGCCATCGCTCAGTAGCGGCCACAAGACTCAAGGCAGCCGGTACAGAGGCCTCACACATGAACTGAGCCCAGTCGTTCAAACTCTGGTTGGTCACGAACTGCGCTGATGCCGCCGTGTGTGCGATACTTCCCGACTGGGGCTCGTAAAAGACCTGACTAGTCATGATCATACGTGCTACTGTCTTCAATGTTCGCTCGGGGACGCCTGCATCCGCCGCCAGCTCGGCATAGGTGATTGATCCGGTGGAAGGAACCCGTGAGAAGATACCAAAATGAATCAACCAATGGAGACACGAAAGATATTGGTACTATGGACAGTTTAGTCGAGTTAGGCAACTGGGAAAGGGACAGAGGGAGACATGAAAAGTCCCTCCATAGCTAGAGGGAAGGGAAACCCACTTGCACGGCGAGGTTGGGTAGGTACTCTCTAGGTCCTGATGCAAGCTGAAACATCTTCATTGATCCCTCCAGCAGCGCTTCGCGTGCTGCCTGGACCTCGCTAGGAGCGGTTGCGGGAACTACTGTTGAAGCAGCATCGCGCCCGAATGAAGGCGCATTGTAGCCCTCGGACTGTAGGAAAGTGCTCACGATCTGAGCATTCGACGAAATGGAACTCGCCAGCTCGCTGAGAAGGTCATCCTTTCCAGCAGGCAGTGACTTAGGGTCTTGGGTGCCCTCCAACACTGGAGAGGGCACGCCGTTGGAGATCAGGGGAGACATGACACGAGTAAGAAATTGATACAGATAGTGGAGCATACTATGAAAGGTGGCGCTAAATTCTCCGGAGAACACTAATCTCTAAAATCAAAGCAGGGGAAACGAGAAGATAGACATCAGAAAAGATGAACACGAATATAGCTCGGAGGCCGGGTCTGAATTACCACTCGGGTTCCGAGTACAAGTCGGAGGCCGGAGCTCGATTATCAGCATTTCTCAGCAATTCGGTCGTGGTATCGCAATTCCGATTTTACTTCTTTGTCTACCCCGATCATTGGCTGTCACTGGTAAGCCTGTTGGTGCCTGGGAAACTGTATCCCCGAGGCTTGTCTATGCTGACCCGATGGGGCTGCATCGACATCTGCAAGTGCTTTCAGCTGTCTCGGGCCATGGACCCATACCGATGCCAAGGATATCATTTAAACGGCGCCTGTTATGTTAAAATGACAGCAGAAAACCCGTGGAAGCATACTGGGATGCACTTATTTTGTCCCTGAGTGCTACCGAATCTTCAACCACCATGGCCCGCGTTCAACAGATCATTTTGTTTGGAGACCAAACCGACGATTTTACATCGCTTCGTCGTCTGCTCTCTCCCAATGTGGAGCCATTGTTGAATGACTTTCTGAACAAGGCCGTTCGGGGAGTGCGAACGGAAATCAGCTCGCTGCCGCTCCAAGTCCGCCAACAATATCCTCATTTTGCCTCAGTGGCCAGCTTGCTGGACTGGAGGGATGGTCAGAAGAAAGCGCATCCATCTATTGACAGTGCTTTGACATGTATTAACCAGCTGGCTCATTTTATTCAGTAAGTTCAGTCCCTTACTGAAAGTTTGTTTGGAAATTCTAACTAGGTATCTCCTCTAGAGCCCAAAGCTCCGCCTCTACTTATACCAGTCCTTCGGACATCATTATCGGCGGTCTTTGTCTTGGATCTCTGTCTGCAGCGGCCGTTAGCAGTTGCCAGTCGATTTCAGAACTCCCCAACGTCGGTGCAGAAACCATAAAGATCGCATTCAGAACAGGGCTCCATGTATCGCGAGTCGGACGTGCTATTGATCAATCCGAAACGGAGTCATGGTCTATGGTGGTTGCTACACGGTCTCCGGATGACATTTCACACCGAATTGATCGATTCATAGAGGCTCAGGTTCGTGCTTTATCTATTCTTTCTATCAATAAGAAAGTGAGCAAAAATTCTGACAACAACTAGCACCTACCATCGCACACTCGACCCTATATCAGCGCATACTTGTCACATGCTGTGACGATCAGTGGGCCGCCAACAAGTCTCTTCAGCTTGAGACAATCTGCCGAGTTTGCTTCTCTCGCTCCACGATCCATTCCTATCTTCGCTCCTTATCATTCTTCTACTCTTTTTAACCCTGCGGACTCTGCATCTATCCTGGGTAACCTTCTTGCCGATGAGAAGAAAACCACAAGCAACATCCCGTTTATCTCGAGTACAAGTGGTAGACCTTTCGAGGGAACCGATATTCGCTCCCGATTTGAATATGCCCTAGCTCAGATCCTCCTAGAGACTCTCCGTTGGCAAAGCTTCGTCAATGGAATGATCGCTGCTCTTCCGGATCATGAGGGCCCAGACGCTTTCAAGTTTCACGTCCAGTCATTCGGCAGTACCGCAGGACCTCGGCTTGCCGAAGCAATTGAAGCCGCCACCAGTCTCACGCGTTATCAGCCTGACCCTTCCTCAAACCTGTCGCTGAAGCCCACAGACAACATTGACTCATCTAAGATCGCCATCATTGGATACTCTGGCCGATATCCCCACGCCGAATGCAACGAAGAGTTTTGGGACCTGCTTATCAAAGGACTTGACGTGCACGAGGTGGTGCCAGCCTCGCACTGGGACGCACGAACCCATGTTGCCGAGCCCGGCAAGGGAAAGAAGAACACAAGTGCCACGCCATATGGGTGCTGGCTGCAAAACCCAGCGGCTTTTGATGCTCGCTTTTTCAACTTGTCGCCGCGTGAGGCTCCTCAGGTGGATCCCGCGCAACGTATCGCCCTGATGACGGCTTATGAAGCCATGGAGCGCGCGGGTCTGGTACCTAATACAACTCCATCCACGGCCAAAGACCGTGTTGGTGTCTGGTACGGTGTCACATCCAATGACTGGATGGAAACAAACACTGCACAAAACATTGACACGTATTTTATCCCCGGTGGCAACCGAGCCTTTATCCCCGGTCGGCTGAATTACTGCTTCAAGTTCACCGGTCCCAGTTATGCGGTTGACACGGCATGCTCGTCTAGTCTGGCGGCCATTCACCTCGCCTGCAACGCCCTTTGGCGTGGTGAGGTCGACACGGCTATTGCTGGCGGCACCAATATTCTCACCAACCCTGACTTCACAGCGGGTCTCGACCGCGGCCATTTCTTGTCCCGAACAGGCAACTGCAAAACATTCGATGATGAAGCCGATGGATACTGCCGTGGAGAGGGTGTTGGCACCGTAATCTTGAAGCGCCTGGATGATGCTTTGGCCGACCGTGACCCAATTTGCGGTATCATCTTGAGTGCCGGCACGAACCACTCGGCCGATGCAGAGTCAATCACTCGCCCTCATTCTGGTGCACAGCAGCATCTTATTCAAAGTCTGCTACGTACAGCCGGCGTTTCACCGTACAGCGTTAGTTACGCTGAGATGCACGGTACGGGCACTCAGGCTGGAGACGCTGGTGAGATGAACTCGGTGCTGTCCACGCTGGCACCTTCCTCTGTTCCATACCGCACGCCAGACCAGCCACTGTACCTTGGCTCCGCAAAGGCAAATATTGGACATGGAGAGGCAGCTTCCGGTGTTTCGAGTCTTATTAAAGTGTTGCTGATGATGGAGCACAATGCCATCGCACCCCACTGCGGTATCAAGACTCGCATCAATCGGAAGTTCCCCACGGACCTTGGCGACCGCAATGTCCACATTGCGTTGACTCCAACAGCTTGGGAAAAGCAACAAGGAGAACCCCGTCGCGTTCTGGTGAACAACTTCAGCGCCGCCGGCGGCAACACTGCGCTCTTGTTGGAGGACGCGCCCTCGTTGCCAGAGACCACTGAGGCAGAGGATCCTCGAACTCATCATCTTGTAGCGGTCTCAGCCAAGTGTGCATCTTCCCTGGAAGCGAATGTCAAGTCACTTCTGGGTTTCATTGAATCTGCTGGAGAGGATATCTCCCTGCCGCAGCTTTCTTACACAACGACTGCCCGTCGCATGCATCATTTGCATCGCGTTATTGTCCAGGGGTCTAGCATCCCCGAAATTAAGAGCCAGCTGGAAGCAGCTCTTTCACGTGGCGATGGCGCCAATCGACCGATCGGAATTCCAAAATTGGTATTTGCCTTCACCGGTCAGGGCAGCCAGTTTGTTGGAATGAGCCGAAAACTCTATGAGTCTATGCCATCATTCCGCAGCAACATGCAGCTATTGGATCGAATTGCTCAATCTCAAGGCTTTGACAGCTTCCTGCCATTTATCGAGGACGAATCGGAGTCCAGTTTGAAGCGCTTCTCGCCCATGACTGCCCAACTGGCGAGTGTCTGCCTTCAAATTGCATTGGCCCGCCTCTGGGCGTCGTTTGGAATTGTTCCCAGTGCCGTCGTCGGTCATAGCCTGGGAGAGTACGCTGCCTTGAACGTGGCTGGTGTTCTCTCTGACGCTGACACTGTCTTCCTTGTTGGTAAGCGGGCACAGCTTCTAGAAGAGCATTGCACCCTACATACTCACAGCATGCTGGTCGCTCGAGCTTCTGTTGCGAATGTCGAGTCGACGGTGGCTTCGATGCAATATGAAATTGCGTGCATTAACGCACCCGAGGAGACCGTGTTGGCTGGGCCCAACGACCAGATCGAGGCCCTTCAGCAAACACTGTCGCAAGGTGGAGTGCGATCGAAGACAATCCCTGTCTCATATGCCTATCACTCATCACAGGTGCAACCCATTTTGGATGATCTGGTGCAGGCGGCTCAACCGATTGTTTTCAACAAACCAGCGATCCCCGTGTTGTCTCCCTTGTTGGGCGATATCGTGGAATCTGAAGGGATCTTCGGACCGGAGTATCTGCAGCGACACTGCCGTGAAACTGTGAACTTCCACCAGGCAATGCAGGTTGCTCGAGCTGCGGGTGTCATCAATGATCGCACTCAATTCGTCGAGGTCGGTCCACATGGAGTGGTTTCCGGCCTGATCAAGGCAGCTTCCAAAACATCTCAGGCACATGCAGTGCCGACTCTGCAACGGGGACGCGATGACTGGCAGAGTCTGGGCGAAGCCGTGTCGACCCTTTACCGCGCTGGACTGGATATTGCCTGGAACGAGTACCATCGTTCGTTTACTGCTGCGCAACATGTGATTCGTCTTCCAGCATATAACTGGAATCTGAAGGATTACTGGGTTCAGTACGTCAACGACTGGTCTCTGCGCAAAGGAGATCCGCCACTCATACAGACTGCTCGCCTGGAGGAATCAACCACCATCCATCGCATTGTGGAGGAAACAAAGGATGGTATCGTGGTTGAAGCCGATTTGTGTCGCAAGGATCTGAGTCCCATTGTGCAAGGTCACAACGTTGATGGGATTCCCCTTTGCACTCCGGTTTGTTTTCCCTTTTTGAACCTACTGTTTGAATTTGCAGTGCTGAAATTTTCTTTAGTCGGTATATGCGGATATTGCCCTCTCGGTGGGTGAATATCTGCGCAGCCGCCACCAATGCCACGATGTCGACACCGTGGTTGCCATCACGGAAATGACCATCAAGAAGGCGCTTATTGCAAAGCCCAGTGGCACTCATCTTCTTCGTGCAGCAACAACCGTCGACTGGGATGCAGGCAGCGCATTGTGTCGATTCCTTTCCATGGATGTAAGTTTGAGAATGCCCCAGGCTTCACATGAATCATGCTTACTTTACGTCAGTCAAAGGGCCAGCCTACCAATGAGCACGCGCACTGCACGATTCTTCTCTCTAGCCCGAGTCGCCGCGCGGCTGCAGAGACAGAACGCATCAAGATTCAGAGACGCGTCCGCGAAATGCGTGAGGGCATAGAGCCCGGAAAAACCCAGCGTTTCAACCGTGCTATGGTGTACAAAATGATTCGTCCATTGGCGGAATTCCACCAAGACTACAGAACGATCGAGGAAGTTATCATTGATAGCACAACCCTCGAGGCAGCGGCTCGTGTCTGCTTCTCTGAAGTGCAGGCCCCTGGAAAGTTCCATACCCACCCGTCTTATCTCGATGGACTGGCTCAGTCTAGCGGATTCGTGATGAATTGCAATGATGACGCTGACCTTGACCGGGAAGTGTTTGTCAACCATGGGTGGAAGAGTTTGCAGGTGTATGAGCCATTGCGGCCGGACGCACATTACTCTACGTTTGTGCAGATGGTCGAAGGAGAGAGTCGTATGTATGAGGGTGATATGATTGTGATGGATGGAGATACAGTTGTTGCAACCTTCCAGGGTGTAGTGGTAAATTATCCTCTCTTCCTAGCCACTTTGGTAAGTTGAGGTGCTGACTTTCTTTGCAGTCCCAAGGCGTTCCGAGACATGTTCTGCGCTATGTGCTTTCCATGGAGAGTGGCGACCCAGCCCTCGTGGCCTCCGCTAAGAAAGCTCTTGTCGCGTCTGCAAAGCAGACTCCCAAGACAGCTGCCCCTGCTCCCAAGAGGGTTGAGCAAAGAGCCACTCCCGCCAAACCGACTGCAATGCCACCGGTGGCTGCAAAGTCGCCGTCCCCGGCAAGCTCATCTTCACTCGTGGCATCTGCGCTGCAAATCATCTCAGATGAGAGCGGCGTATCGCTTTCTGAGCTGGAAGACAGCTGTGTCTTTGCGGACATGGGATTGGACTCTCTTCTTTCTCTTGTCATCACCAGTCGATTCCGCGAGGAGCTGCCTATAGATGTGCCAGTCGAAGGATTCTTCATCACTTATCCCACGGTGGCTGATTTGAAAACTTACCTCGGCCAGCATCAAAGCGAGGACACGGCACTGACACCGACGCCTGTTTCCGAAGTGCCTAAGCCCGTCGAGGAATTCTCCCTTCCGATCCCTCAGACCAAGGTGGCGTCGACCTCTGCCAATTGGACCACTGCACTGTCCATTATCTCTGAAGAGAGTGGAATTAGTATCGATGAGTTGACGGATGACTGCGTCTTCTCTGACATGGGCATCGACTCGCTGCTGTCACTCGTGATCGTCAGCAGATTCGCGGAAGAGCTGGAAATGGATGTTCCACTTGAGTCCATCTTCACTGATTATCCGACCATTGGGGAGATCAAAGTCTTGTTCCTGGCCGATCAAGCTAGCAGCGACGACTCGAGCTCGGCCGACGAGAACAATGTGACTCCAGCGTCAAGGGCCATCACTCCGTCCTCTGAAACCTCGGAATACTTCCCCCTGGTGATGACAAGGAGATGAAGCCGGCAGCTCTCCCTGTGCCACGTACCACCTCAGTTCTCTTGCAGGGCTCGCCTTCCAAGACGGACAAGACATTGTTCCTATTCCCCGATGGCGCTGGCTCCGCGACATCCTACACAGGAATTCCTCGCGTGGACTCTAGTGTTTCCGTCGTCGGCTTGAACTCGCCTTATCACCGTCAGCCACATCTGTTTAACTGCACCGTGAATGATCTGATCAAGAGCTACATTGAGGAGGTCCGTCGCCGCCAACCAACCGGCCCGTACCACTTTGGTGGTTGGTCTGCGGGCGGTATCTTGGCCTATCGCGCCACTCAGATGATGATCGAGGATTACCAAGAACGTGTTGCCAGTCTCACTCTCATCGACAGTCCCGTGCCTCATGGTCTTGATCGCCTCCCGCAGCACTTCTATGACTACTGCAACAAGGTACATCTCTTTGGCGCCAGTCAGGGTGACAAAGCCCCAGCTCAAGCACCGGAATGGCTAGTTCCCCATTTCAATGCCACTATTGACACGCTGCATGAGTACTACGCCTCTCCGCTGTCTCTGACCGACGCTAACAAGCCCCGCGTGTCAATGATCTGGGCTTGTTCGAGTGTCATGGACAACGCGGATATTCCACGGCCGCCGTCCTGTGAAGAAGACACGGAGGGAATGAAGTTCTTGACGGAAGCTCGTACTGACTTTTCAGATAATGGTTGGGCAAGGCTCTTCCCCGGTTGTGAGATTCGCATTGAGAGGGCGCATGGCGCCAATCACTTTACTATGATGAGGGGAGACTTTGCCCCTAAGCTTGCATCTTTCATTTATCAATCGCTTTGATTAGATTTTGTCGTTATGATGTTTATTATTACAGACCAAATTTGTATAAACTTTTCTTATTGATGATTCTAATTGGCCTACCCGTAGCATTGGCTACTCCTCATGAGTGATGAGACTGCTTCTTCGAATGAGAAAAGGGGGCGAAGGCATAGGATTCAGCCATCCTGTTCTGTGTCGTGAAATGTCGCGTGCTTGTTGAATTTGAAGTATATAGGCGAGTTTTAGAGAACCGAGGGTCGCCATGAATTTAGAATTCCAAGCTTAGATTGGATCATGAATCGATCCAAACGCATGCGCGAAGGCGTCAAATCCTCTACGTGCGCAAAGGCATCAAGAAAACCACCATGAGAGGTGCGTGAAGGAAACAATGCGTCAATAAAATTGTTCAGGCTCAGGGCTGCTGTCACGATCGGTCGTCCACGTCTTCGACTCTAAACTCTGGCCCTCGGGTTGCGCTGCAGGCATGTTGAGATGCTTATTGTCCATCGCGAGCAAGGCTTGCATATTCGGGACTGCTGGCGCACTGGTGGAGACTAGGATGGCGAGACATTAATATTGGAAGCTTGCGAGTATATAGTTCTCCAGCGCCGCGCAATGCGGCTGCCATCGGGCCCTGTGACCATTTAGCTTTGTGATCCATCAGCGGATAGTTACCCAGGCCCCGAATGATATCGTCGACCAAAATCAGAACATTGTGGTTTATGCAATAACGCTGTAAAGCTTCTTAGGCAAGCATCAGAATAACGAGCTACGACCATTCAGGCGAACTGAGAGGGACATAGCCCTCCGGTGGCTGCATTTTGAGGAGACTTATCGCCGATACGAGAGTACCCATCTTCTCAACAACGACCCATGCTCTGCTCGATACTCATGAACAAAGGTTTTCGGTTCCTCATGGCTATTTTCACTCACGACCTAAGAGTATGACTCTTTGACCGCCGACAAACCGTCGCCGACAAACCGTTTGTTGCATACGAGGAAGGGGTTCTCGCTAGTTGGAGACTATGCTACCTTTGGAGAGGCTGCTACTGATAGTCGCAATAGGGAAATTGTTATTTATGTTTTGTCATGGAATTAAAGACCTCGATTAGATTCGCCTTTAGAGATGGTTGTTTCCAGTTCCAGGCCATTTGCTGCTTGCTGCTTGTTGGAGGGCTTCCGTGTCAAAGGCAGCCCTCTGTGTTCTGCTTTCATGGTTCCTTTTCTCTTCCATATTCCCTGAAAAGTAGGTAAAGGTTGCATTCACTTAGGGAGGCTTGAAATATTACTTGTTCAGCACTGCAAACTTGAATAGTTCTCATTGTTTCCGGGGGTTCAAGGTGAATTCAATTCAAGATTTATCTCCTATTAGAGACTAGATCTTTCGAACAAGCAGTACAAGCTGACTATTATTCCGAATGTCCACTTAAAATTCCATGATGCTTAAATATACAGACCACGCCATCATCCAGACTACCCCTTTACCAGATTAGCGCAAGAAAATTCAAACCAACTCACTATCGCATTTCTTTTCCACACCATCATCAACCCACATAGGACTCCCCATAAGCCTCATCATACTCCCTCACCTTCTCCATACTAGCCATCGACAACCGTCCCGTCTTCGACTTCAAAATCCCCGTACGAGCATCCACAATCGGCCTCACAAATCCCCGCGCCCCATCCTCCTTATCTTTAAACCGAAACCAAGTATCCCCCAAGCCCGTTGGCTTACTATTAATATAAATCGCCTCCCAGTGTCCCCTCGGAACAACATAAGTCTCATGGTAAATCGATATATGCGGACTTTTCTTAAAAATCTTATTCCAGTACCGCACTCCGTTCATATGTAGGTCGCCGTACGCAAAGCGATGCAGAGATTCATAGTCGCGCAGGTAGAATATGGTGATAGTTTCGTTTCCGGCGGCATCGTCTTGCTTGATCCAGCGGGATACGCCTAAAAGACCGGATTTTTCGGGGTCTGCTTGCATGTCTCTGATCATTGGGAGGAAGACTTCGCCGAGTCCTTTCATGCCGGGCGCGAGGAGGCCGAGCGGGTGATTACTCCGTGTGCCGAGGTGGAAGACCACGACTTGGTCGCGGGAGGGCTCGGTGCCGAAACTTCCATCTGGGTAGGGGATTTGTGGACTGTATTTTTGATGGATCACGTCTTGTAGGTAGCGGTTGCGAGTAATGCCCAGGCTCATTAATGCGTGGTCCACGACGCGGTATGTTAGGATGAGAGCCGTTGGCAAGATTGTTATCGGGCCTAGGGCCATTAGGCTTAGGCCCTGGAGTAAACCACCTATGAGCAGCCAGCTGGAGAGGGTCATGTTATCCCGAATCGCGGCTGAGATTGATGGACGGTCGCCTGGGAAAGGCAGTGGACTATTGGGATTTTGGTCATCGTGGGGTATGATGTGTGGTGGGACGAGGGGTTTGAAAGTCGCCATGTTGACGGGGAAATCGTTGAGCAATGTTTGGCAAACAAATTGGGGGTGGGATATTAGCCTCTTTATATAGTGGATAATGATGATGGATACTGGTGACACCCGTCACTGCCTCCATGTTCTTGACGAACGGGCAAATCAGAGGTGAGCAGTCATAATCAGCAGGTCTAGACAGATGGGTCAACTACTGTACATCCACAAGGCTGGCCAATCAGTCTTCTTGAATCTTTCTACACTACTGTGGTCAACTCGGTCTAATCTACTCCGTAGACGGCGTCAGTTCAAAGTTGGGCCACGCAGTTTTGGCGGTATTCTTTAGCGAATTCAGCTAACTGTATACTGTATTGGTACATGCCGCTCGCTGTATTCATCCCGATTGCTCACTACGCAAAGAAGAAGTAACTTATTAGGTAGTACATATACGTTGTCTATATGTGTGAAAACAAAATACCAGTACATACGGCCGTAACCGCCCGGCGATCCTTGGCTGTACAATACATAAGACATATCTAAAATACCATAATCGACCAATCATACAACGCAGAAGCCAACCCGGAGTCGGGCCATTTAGTGACCGTCGGGTTTAAAACCATCAAGCCACCTGAACACTAATGATCGTAAGAGTTTAGATTTGCTATACGCTATACGCATTTCTCTTCTAGATCTCATCTTGTATTCTAACTATCGACGGATCGGATCGTAAGACGCGGGCTCGGGTTGATTATCGGTCAAGCCATCAATTCTAGGTTCAATAGGGTTGCTTCTGTTTTCCCCCGTCAGGTTTCTATGCTCTCCCAAGTCTAATAACTTAATGGGGTAATAAATACTAAGCCATGCTAATTATATCATACGTCATACTGCAGTTCTGGGACGAAATACTTACTCCATTTAGAAGCGCAATAAGCAATGGCTGACATGTATTCACTTACAAGGAAAAGTAAATTGGATGTTCATGTTAGGCAGAAAGAATTTAGCAACTTTGTTCGGGAATACTTGGTCAATATTTGGTCCTTAGAAAACTTTCTTGTCGTATTCAGTCATGGAATCTATACTCAGGGTATGCACAATTTTCATTTTCTCCTTCCTTCCAGATCAAGTCTCGCCTCATCCAGGTCCCTTGCCATCATGGAATAGACCTTCACCATGTACTTTCAACCAGATAGAGTTAACACCCGGCTCAATCTCTATTCCCTTGCCTAGATAGAATTACTCTAGCCACTACAATAGACTTTAAAGAATGTTAGAAGCAATAGACAGATCGAATCCCATATATTCCAACTACCAAAAACACCAATCTCAAACTCACAACCAACCAAAACTATTAACAATTACCGAACCCATTCTAGAATAGGTCATGTCAACACCACCCCACCCAAAACAAGAACCAAGAACCAAAATCAAAAATGGATCCCGAAACCTCCTTAAAAACGTCATCAAAAGAACTTGACCGTTATGTATATAGATCACGGGTCACATGTCAACATCGCTGAAGAAAGACTCCCATCGCAGCTCGAGAAGGATAGAGATGAAAGAAACAGGAAAAGGAAAAGACCAAGCAGAAAGAAGTGAAGAAAGAGCGCCATTTTCCAAAACGCCGTCGCTGCGGATGCCAAACGCCAGGGCACACTGTGCCTATGTGACCACATTGAATATGTGTGGTAAAGTGACCAGGATAGATGGAGGGGTCGTGTAATCAGTATCCCCCGAGAAAGAAATAGTGTAAATGTAGAGTGGAACAGGCATGACGGGGATTAAGTAAAACGCCAGTGGATATGATGGGGGTATCAGGGCCAGCTTGCTGGCTTTGTTCTGCAGTCGAGAAATGCAGATGAGAAGAAGATAGAGGCGAGGGTGGTGCAATCGGAACCCTCTTCATGTCACGCACCAAGAAAACACTGCCCGACCAAATTGAAGCAAACTATCGAAGCTCCTGCAAATCCAACTTCGGCGGCGCCCAATCCAATTGCGGTGGTTTATCATTCGAAGTCGACACACAAACCGGACGCATAGCATCAACACGCCTCTTATCCTTCAACGCACTCCCCGTCAAAAACCCCCTCAGCGTCGACGAAGCCATACCATAAGTACTCCGCCCACTACCAGTCCCCGTAGACACCGTACTCGAACTGCGCGCGCTGCGAACACTGTTCGCCTTCGTGACTGCGGCCGGCACGGCCGGGACGGGGACAGCTAGCCGCGCTGCTGATGGACTGGATGAGCCGTATTCTGGCGGGAGGATTTGCGAGGCGCGAGATGTTTGGAGGCGGAGGTTTGAGGAGCTTGTTTTCCGGTTTGTTTTTGGTTCAATGTTTATTTGGACGGGTTGGGTGTCGAGGGTTGTTGTTCTGGAGAGTTGGGGGGAAGATGTTGTGTCGGGTGGGGAGGCGTGGATTTCATCTGCTGAGACGGCGACTTCGAATTTGAGGTTTTCGAGCATTGTGCCTAGGCTTGCTGCTGTGGCGGGGCGGCCGTCGCTGGCGGAATCGTCGATTGTTTCGTCTTCGATGCCGTTGGCGATGTTGTAGTTGCGAAGGAGATAGCGTTGCAGACGAGAGACTTCTACATCCCACTTGTGCTGCAGGGATTGTAGCACTAGATCCACGTTTTGGCTGACGAATGGGACAGATTCTGGAGAAGGGGAAACTGGAACGTTCGCTGGCATGTGCTTGCTGAGTCGATTGCTGGCAGTGCCAGAACGAACACCCATCGCGGCGTGCAGAGAGCGACGAATGGAAGTTGCTGTAGAAGGTTGGACATTACTCGTATCCAAGCGAACATTGTCAACCTCCCGGCGAACCTTATCCAGCGAGAGAACCCTGTCACGGTCCATGCAAGAAAGACTAAGCAGAGTGCGGTTGCATTGCAACCCATTGACCAACACGGTAAAAGATTGCAGGTTGATATCGTTATTCTCGCAGTGCACTTCACGAAGCGAATTATTCTCCTCTAGAACGGAGGCCAGCGTATTCGCACCTTGAAGACCAAGCTTCTGATGCTCGATTCGCAACACCTTCAGAGACTTGTTCTTCTTTAAACCAGTCAGGGCGAGATTAAGACCGATTCCAAACCGAGCAACATCAAGATGTGCACTTTCTCCACTGATATCAAGAGCCTCCAGGGTCTCGTTCTCTTCAAACATCAGCTGCAGCATACGACAGGTCTCTGGGCCTGCGTCATACGGCAGGGAAGCCTTGGAGATATCCAGATATCGCAGGGTACGGTTTTTGCGAAGTGAATCAACAAGCAGTCGGAAATGCTCCTCTTTCTTGAAATCGATCATCTGCATGGACAGATGCGAGGGGGTCATATTTTTGCCGATAGCGTCGAAAAGGAAAGAGCAGCCGTTGTCTAGGCGGTTCTCGTTGACATGCAAGTGCAAGCTCCGCGGCGAGTCTGGTGCAAGGGACATCGAGTGCATAAACATGGCAACGTCTTCTCCACTTAAACCACACTGATCCAGACGAAGCATGCGCAGGTTACGTGAGCGGTCACTAGCCAAATACGTCGCGATGGAGTCCACGGTCTCGCGATTAACAGCCGTGCGACTCAAAACTAACTCCTCGAGTTCCCAATTGAACAGCATTTCTGCGGTGATCAGCGGCTCGGTGCCTGAGGTGCGCGAGATGCGGGAGAGATTGATCTTTCGAATCTGGCCAAAGTATCCGATATACTGTTGGAGAACGTCCGGGCTTAACCGACCCTGTACTCCCGAGATGTTGATGACCTCGAGGGTATTTTCCTGTGCCACCAGTGTAGACAACACAAGATCCAGATCGTGCACGGACAAACCACAGTCACCAACTTCCAATGCCCGCAGGTGACTCCGTTTCTGCGACGCTGCGTCCACCAGATAATCCAGATCCGACTCTCCAAGTTTGATCCCATTCAGCACAACCCAATCCACACTAGTCAATTCCCGACGACAAACAGGGAAAATGGCCTCAGGGATTCCACAGCCAGGATCCCGGCTGCCCTTATCCAAAGTGGGTGTCCGGGTTAGGCAGTATGCAAAGTCGAGTCTGCGCAGCCATTTACTCTTCAATGCCAATGCGCGCACCTCTTGCGACAGGACGGTCAAGTTTGCTTGACCTGGGATATGTACAAGACATCCTGATCGGTCGAGGTGTACGTCGACATCCACACCGTGGACATCTCGCAAGCCCTGTAGAGCGTCTAGATTGATACCGCGGAATGAAATCGACCGAAATGACTCGTTGTATCGAAGCGCACGCATAACCGCAATCAATTCCAAGGCGCTGTACCGTGAATTTGTCGTAGACGCCGGCCGCAGAAGACGGAAACACGGGGCATCCTCGCATTCCAGGTCAATTGTATATCGAATGTTAGATGTATCCACATCGTAACTCGCAGAATAAGCAACCAAAGTTCGATCAAAGCAGCCATAATCTTCGTCCAGAGTGACGGGTGGGAAATTCTCATCATTCTGCAATTCCCGTGGAACCACAAAGTCGTACGGCTGTCTTGTCCACAGCGGGCGCAGGAACTCGGTATGCTGTCGGATCCAACAGGCCACTTCCACCGAATGAACGGAGGCCAGGAACACGTTGAATGATTTTCGAAGTGGGACCCTGAAACGAGGTATGTCTCAGCGGTTGATCTTTCCAACACAAGAATCCACGCGGGAGTTTCACTTACCGGAAAGTTAGATGGAGACTATCATCGCCGTACTCCATAGAAAGACCTGTCAAATTCATGAGACCGAAGGATGCACCCGTCTCCAGGTCGGACAGGGACACCACCGAGGACCGATGGGCTGCCTTTTGCATCGGGACCAGATGAACCTTGTGTAAACCAATGGCCAGGTAGCAGCCCGTGGGCGACAATTTCGTCAGGTCGTCCGAGGACGAACGAGTGGGAGACTTGCTCGATGCAATCTGTATGACGCGGAACATCCGGAAGGCGACCGGATCGTAATCTCGTTCGTGTTCCAACATCCTGGTCACGTACTCGACGGAGCCCCGATCGAACGGGAGGGGATCATTTGACCGGGCCATTTGCGCCGCCTGACGAATTCCAACCATCCAGAGATTCAATTCTTGAAGATCGGCGGTCTGCATTTGGATTAGTGCGGCTTTGTGGGTGCGTTCGTCGAGATATGCCACTTCAACGGTCGGGGATAGTCGTCCATCTTCTAGCATGTACACTGCGATAATACTGTTTAGTGGAATACCAGCAGATGCCTCAGTCGAAACCATCAGCTGCATGTCCTGCATTGAACTGATAGAGGCCACAGATTGGCGGTGCGACGCCGGAGTCCGGCCATTGTAAGAATGCGGAATCGATGGAAAGGCATCGGCAGCCTTGGCCTGGTTCTTGAACCGAACCAGATGCGTGTCCGTAAGAACGAGGTACTGGCTTTTCCGCTTCCACATACCACCCATTGTCTGGATTTCGCCGTAATGTAGAATCGCAGATGACCAGATCCCATTTCGGGGACTGGTTGCGCTCTGCGGTTCATCACCCATGGCTGCAATGGAGGCGCTGAGGAGAACGTCATCTTCGCCCGCGTGCATCGACTTTAATGAGCCAAATACGGAGTTTCGTTTCTTCTGCAATGATTTTGGCCGTGGTCGTGCCGTTTCCAGAGGTGGTGCGGGTGCAGACATGGCAGCCGACAAGGCGGCGGTGTCCGAGCCCGCCGTGCCCGGCCGACGGAGGACATTCCCTCCACTGGCCCATCGGTTGGGACTTTGGGACCGGCCAAAGAAGCCCGAATTGCGACGCGCTTTCTTCTCTCGTGCGGGGAAATCATCGGAGGGGGTACGGTCATGAAGAGGGGGTCGAAGCGGCGTAACTGCGGAGGATGATGGACTGAAGACGCTGAGGCTTTTTCTTCGTTCCTTTTTGTTGATGATAAGTTCGGCCATGGTCGAAGGTGGAAAAAGTGGCTGTGTGAGGAATTGAGGAATTGAAGGAGAGAGAGGTTGGGAGGATGAGGTAGATTGTTATTGAAGCGAGCGTGAGCGTCGAAGATGGAGATCTGCGTCGCAAAGAGTTGGTAGGAAAAACAAGCTGTATCTCATTGACGACCCCAACGTCGTTCTCACTGGAAGTTGGACTAGTTAGAATTGCAATTCAATGGCCATAGCTAGAGCATCCAGAGCTCGGCCAGCTTGCAGGAGAGTCGGGGAAGGTGGGATTGAAAAGAGGGGGAGGAGACCGGGGTGGTAACAAGGTCAGGCACGTACATTTGACCTTCACGGCGCCATGAGAAGCAATTGGGTTTGGGGGCGAGATCTAGTGATTGACCAGGGGAGCTTTCACCCAATGCGGCTCACGGGGAATATAAGAGTCGATGTGGAAACTGAAATGTCCACAGACGTATGGCACCTGTCAACAATGTGGCGAGGTTGGTAGGGAGGGGGGAAAGCAGGTGGTGATGTGTGGGTTGATGATGGTTGCACCAGGTCGAAGAGGAGAGGAGAGCTTAAGAGGACCGGAATGGGGGAATCCGGAGAGAAAGAAAAAAAATGAACTGAGCTCCCCAAGGGCGGTGATTTCAGTCCGACCAGTCCAATGCAGCTGTTTTTCTGTTGAACTCTTGCGTCAAGCAGTCGAAAGCTAATCCGACCGAAGATGAGGTCAGAGGGATGCCGATCAAATGAAGGAGGGCTTGCAATTCGAAAGGGACCGAGAACCGACGATAATTGGAGCGGGGGAGAGGGAAGGATAAGCGGTTGGTGGATGTTAATCGTTGCCGATGAACCAGGATGAACAAGGATCCGAACGCTTGGACGCGAACAGTTGCCAAAGAGTTAGTGACTGAGTTCGGCAACGAGAGGAGGAGAACGAAAGAAAAAAAGAACGTAGGTACAGTCCATCGAAGTGGAAAAGGAGGTGAGGAATGGACGGATGCAGTTTAAACGTTTGGGTCTGTCCATCTCGCTCCATCGTGTTTCAGCTTTCCGGTCGCTTTCGGTCGCTTTCGCGTTTGTTTTTTTCTTTGCAGGAGGAACTAAAGTAAAACTAACTAGCTGTAGTCCAGATTTCTATTTCCTCGTACTTTCTTTTCTTCTTTCCGATTTGCCTTTTCTTCAAGTCTAGGTTTGATACTACTGCCTGGAACAATATAGCCCAATTATAGTACCAATACTATACCTAGAAGAGTAAAACTTCAACAATCCCCATAGATTATTCTCGAACCTAGCCTGTCACCACCCCTTCAACCCCATTAAGTTATTAACAACATTCCCTCGTGCTCAACGCCCACCGCCATCTGCTAAGACATGCATCCGCGATATGTCGAATTGCATCCGCATGCGAGCCATTCACCATTGGGAGATACCACCCCAGCCTCAAGCCACGTAAGAAGAGGCGGACTCCACCCTCCATCGGCTGGGCCGATTTAAAGGCGCCTATCAACTGATCCTGTCTTGTCCACTTCCAAGCGACAGGGTTCTTGACTGGCTGGTCATCCCGCAGGAACCACTGGGAAATCCTGCACTAGCTAGTAAAGTCGGGATGTATACTCCGTAGTTGCTGATAGTATGCACATCTAAACACTAATATAAGCACTATCCCAGTCTATGGATTATACAAGGATAGTTCTTCATAGTTCATACAGGACAATCATTGAATTGATCGACAAGTACTGGATAATCCCAATCACAATTTCATATGCAATCATACCCAAGGACATCTTAATTTCCCCCCTACAGTACTACTACGGTACTCCATGTAACTCGATCTCCGGGGATCCACCAGGATCGCCCACTTACGCACCACGATGGATGCTTTCAAGGGCGAGTCTGATGTCCCCAGGGCCCACGAAAGGGGATCCCAATAATTACATACTGTAGTCATAAACTAACAACCCTGGGACTGGTTTGGTTTCCCCGGAGATCTGCATTCGCTGGAACTGGAGTTGGTCTTGGGTTGTACGTATGTATGTACTGTACTCGAGTCATGATAATTGACGTCATATCATCAACATTCAAAAAAGCAAAAGCAAATCTCCCTGCTCGTGGTGACGAGTAATTGCTTCTTTCTTTCCTTTTATTCAATCATCCCCTGACGAGATCGGCATTAATCTAACCCATTTTAGCCCATTTTCAAGGCCGTTATGTGATATTCATCCGCGCCATGCGGCCTCAATTCGTCTCGCCCAACAGTCACTACTTTTCAATCCTTCATAACACCCCAATCCAAAACTACCGACGAGATCTCTCCTCCCACTGTGCCTGTAGTCTCTCCGCCCGCTTCACCCTTCTCATAACCTCAATATACTCATTCACCCGTCTCTCAGCCCAAATACAACCTCCAAGGGTCATCGCAGCAATCTGCAAAAACACCTTGAACTGCGGTGTCAGGCCACGGTATACCCGGGATGCCGGGGAGAGCCACTCTGAGAAGCCTTCAATGGGCCTGTAGAAGAGGCGGGAGCGCAGGTATTCGCGGGAGAATGGTGATGGGCGTGGACGGGGTTGGGATGGGGATTGGGATTGTGTCGTGGGGGGTGTTGGTGCGGTGAAGGTGAAGGGGTGGGGGAGGCTCATGATCATATGGGCTAGGATGGAGACGGAGCCGAACTAGATATGAGTAGATGTGAGTAGTAGTTTCAAGGTGAGAGGCGGGATCTAGCAAGGGTGGTGGGAACATACGCGGAATACGCCCGTCGCAAATCCAATGGCGGCTTCGGAGGTGATCTCTTCTGGGGGCTCAATGTCGGCCCTTTGGCTGGGTGGTGGTGGCATGTTGGAGGTGAGGGTATAGTAGAATGATTGCGAGCTGCAAGATTCTTGCTCAACAGGCAATTCAATATGTTGGAGCTTGAGCTCTCGGCACGGTGCGGAGTAAAGAGAACTCCCAATAGCTTCGATGGGGGGGGGGAATTGGCAACCGAGGAGATCAGCACAAAATGTAAGTGCCACTCAGAGCTTCAGCGAGTCCAATGAGTAGTGAGTTAAGAAATCTCTGGACCAGCCAGACAGATTCTCGAATAAATTCAAAGTTGACATCAAAGCAAACCCCGATCCCGACCCCGATCACCGAATAGCATCCGTTCCCCGGATCAACGATAATCCCGATAGCCACTCCGATAAAAGACAATTCCGATTATCACCTGGATATTAAATACAAACTCATTCCCTTCCCTCCACTCAATTCCCAAACATCAACACACGAATCGTCATCATGCCTCTCCCCGCTCGTACCGCGACCGTCTCCCGGTCCACCAACGAGACCAAGATCCAAATCTCGCTCTCCCTAGACGGTGGCGTCCTCCCACCCTTCGAGCCGATGTCGCACTTCCCGCCCTCAACAGACCCCGCCGAGGCCGAGGCCGAAAAGAAGGGCATCGTGCCTATCAAGGGTGCCGCCCATGCTACCCAGTTCACGCCTACCCAGCAGATCACGATTAGCACTGGAATTGGCTTCTTGGATCACATGTTGCATGCGCTGGCTAAGCACGGCGGTTGGAGTTTGGCCGTGCGGGCTAAGGGTGATTTGTACAGTGAGTCAACCACCCCTCCCCTCCACTCTTGCATGCCAATTACAACAATACAACAACAATTCTTTGTATACTGTTCATTTTAATTAACTTCTTTCTAGTTGACGACCACCACACAGCGGAAGATACCTTCCTCGCCCTCGGCACAGCATTCACAAAAGCCCTCGGCGCCCGCCAATCCCTCGCCCGCTTCGGCCGCGGTGACGCCCCCTCGACGAAGCCCTATCCTGGGCTGTCATCGATCTCTCCTCCCGTCCCTGGGCCGTGATCAACCTCGGCTTCAAGCGTGAGAAGATTGGTGATCTTAGCACGGAGATGATCACCCACGGTCTGCAGAGCTTCGCGCAGGCTGCGGATGTCACGCTGCATGTTGGCTGCACTTACGGTGATAATGACCACCACCGTGCGGAGAGTGCGTTCAAGGCGTTGGCTGTTGCGATTCGGGCTGCGACGGCCCGGAGGGTCGAGGGTGAGGTTGGTGCGGGTGATATCGTTAGTACTAAGGGTGTTTTGTAAAGGAATTGTAGGTGGGTGGGTTTTCTGATGATGACGATATGGTTTGATGAGTTGATATACCTAGTTTTTCTTGTTTATTGTTTTTGGCGGATAGACTATAAAAGTTGTGAAATACGGTACATACCTTACTATGGAGAGACTTTGATGATGCCTTTCCGAGTCTATCCACGTTAAGACCCTTTGTTTTCGGCGTTCATATACGCCCGCCAGGAACACAATCATTAATGGGTGTTTCTACTTGGCCGTAATACATTGAATCTCACAACTGTCATAATCCATGCCAAGCTTCAGGGTTCGAGCTTCTCCGGGTCCACACCTGCAGCAGCTCGACCCATCTAGATGAATGATAGTGGATCATTTTACGATATCATTCCTTAGTCCTTCTATATGTCCAGAGTTCTTTCTACATATTTCCATGACTTCTTCTGTAACACAGCAGATTAAATCTCCATGCATAGTGATGAAGCACGTTCGAGTCATAGTTCTGTTCTCATATTGTAAACTTCGAGACATCAGGCACCATAGAGTCGAAGAAAGAGCGTAGTTCAAGAGTAAGTACGAAGTTCACCCATATTCCCTTTCAGTTCTATGTGTTTCTTCCTTCCTCAAGTTCCTCCTTCTATATACCCCAGCAAGCTAGTAATTTCCGTGTGATGCTTTCCTCTAGTCTCTAAACCAATACAAGTATCAATCAAACCACTCTCTCCATCCTCTTTCTCCCTCTTCTCAAAACACGGTTTGTTACCAATCTCACTGATCCTCAAAGCAACCTCCACTACGAGATACCCTTTGCCAACCCTCGGCACCGAGCTACACGCCAACAACCTATCAACGAAACAACACCCAACCTCGCTCCCACTCCAAGCCCATGTAGGTCAAAATGACTGAACAGAGTTCCGACTCTCCCCGTACGAACCTTGACATTTCTTCCTTTCAGCGATCACACAAACCATGCTGACCATTTGTCTTTTCATAGAGCCCGACCTAACTCCCAAAGAACAGGAGATTATCAAGACCTTCGCTGGCTGGATCACGTTCATGGAGTGCTTTGGTCTCAACCCTAAGGATGAGGATGACGTTGATGAAGCAATGGTTATCCTCAAGATTCTTGTCGTTCATGAGGGGAATAAGGAAAATGTGATTGCTGCAGTGCTCGATGCGAGACATGCGAGAGGGTCTTAGTGGGAAGATGAACGGCCTTGTGTTCTCTGGGATTACGGAGGGGTCTACTAGTAGATCCTTGATGCAAGCGCATGGAATGACTTGATTGAAAGATAATGTCAAAACTGCATTGCTCCTGAAACCCATAAATCGTAAGAGAAAACATACCCCCGTAAACGCCAACTCAATATCGAAGACTCCGCTCCAACATACACCCAAAACTCCAATATCAAACTTGGAAAATACAATCACTCATCTACCAACCACCCCCTTAAACACTCAAAGCCTTAACAGCCCTCTCCCAATAACTCCTCCTCTCATCCGTAACACTCGTACCCACACAGCCCATAATATACCTCTCCCACCCCGCCTCATCACCCTTCTGCAACGCACTCCGCACATCATCCGAGCACTGCGTCGTGAGGAACCACGCACCCGAACCGAAATCAAAAGCCTCGTTTGCGCGAAGCAGATCTAGTAAGTCGGCGGGGGAGTTTGCTACCGAGGGTAGTTTGTCTGCTAGTGAGGGTAGTGAGGAGGCGTATTTGCTGTTGAAGGTTGGGGATTGCATGTTTCGGGCTGGAATAGCGTTAGCAAAGTACTCGTTAATCAAACTTTTAGGTGTATACGTACTCCCCTGGCCCGCAACACCCGGAAAATGATTCTTATTATACTTAAAATCCAAACTCTCAAACGCCATCAGACTCAACACAGCAGCTTGTTCAGCCTTGCTGGTCACACCGTATTTATCGAAAGATTGCGATGTATACGTCGCGGCTGTTTTTGCGGTGGCGCATTCGCCCACTGCCGGGGGATTGTCGCATGTGTTGGATGTTGGGGCGATTGTCAGGATTTGGGATTCTGTGATGGTGATGTCGGCTTTGGATTTGGTTTTGTGGGTAGGTCTGTGGAGGGGGTGGGCTAGGGTTGTTGTTCCAAGGGCTAGAAGGAGGGTTAGGGGGGTGAGGAGGTGCATTTTGTGTGGTCTGAGTTGGAGGTGCTTTTGTTTGTGATAATTGATAGTTGTAGTTGTGGTTGGTTTTTGTTATAGCTGTTGAAGTCGTTGAATAGATTTTGTTCTTGTTGATAGAGACAGAAACAATGGAGGACAGTGACAATAAATGAAAGAGACAATGAATCAGACCGATGTACTTGTTCAACGAGTATTTGTTTGTCGCTCTTCGAATAAAACCAGTCCACACTGACCACATCAATGGAGAGGAAGGGATATAACCCTCTATATACCCTCCAAGTGTAAAACCCACCACCCCATAAAATGCCACACTCGAAACAAGGGCATACCTACCACTGAAAAGAATCAAGTAATGAAATAATTAGGAAACATTCAAATTAAAGAGTGGCGAGAAAATGGAAGGAAGGAGGGGGGTTGGACGTGCCGTGTCGTGTCTCCATCGCGGGGAATGCGAACTGTGAATGTGAATGCCAGCCCTGGTAGATCCTCACGGAGGGGAGGTATGAATGCTACATACACCGCTCTGGTACACGCTATGACACAATTAAACCTCCCTACTAACTAAAGTGCTTCATTGATTAGGGACTATTGTATCCTCACTCACCACGCGGTAGTATTTACCAGCCAGACCACAGTATGAACTAAAACTCCATCCAAAAGACAGATGATGCGACGTACTAGTAAATCAACCACATTACCTGTCCACACAAGAAAATAACGAACTCATCTACGATCCAGTGAAAAGCTGAAGAACATCATATGAGATTGGAGTACGTATATGTCAGGGAGGCAGGGACCATCTATGTAATAGGGACTATTATTGATGGATGGGGTTTTTGTAGGAGGGTTAGGGTTCGCGTTTCAGGAACGCTGAAACGTCTGCCTAGTGAATCGGGATTCGTGGGTGCCCTTGATGAAATAAACCGTTACATCCTACTGTGAACAGTGTACAGTGGTATATTCAAAAATCTGGGTCCAGAAATGCCTCCACTTCTTGTTTTTCGAAAGATTTTTTTTGACGGGTTTTTCTAAAGGTCATTCCAATCGTCTTTCCTGATAGGTCAGGTATTCATTATTTAGGATATCAGTCAACTTGTGACGAATAAGATGATACTGAACATTGGTCATAGTGGGTTTCAACCTTATGAGATCCTACTGTACTTACCATATGTAGTGATAGATTATCGGTAATTATAGGGAAGAGTAATAATACTTGTCTCGGGATATCCACTCTAGATAAGATCAACGACCTTCCATCATCCATCAAGTTTCATCTTTGAGTAGACTCTGACTACATCTAAACAGCGAAAAAGCATGTTCTGGTTATTCCAAGGTGGTATTGAGGTCATTGGATTGATGATTGAATTTGATACTATTCACCAGAGATAAATCCAATTCACACAAATGTCCATATCCATGTCCATATCCAAATGCAAGTGCAAGCATAAGTGCAGAGTCCACAAGAACCATGCCAAACCCGAACTCAACCCCCGACTCTCGACCCGAGTGCATACATCATCCTTCTTCAATCCCAAGAAGTGAAAAATCTAGGGTGTGGTTTAAAAATTGATAGTCGATAAATAGACGGGAGGGAAGAAGGGATGAAGACACCCGGGACGCGAGTGGTAGTCGGCAAGAGAGGGATTGGGGATCGAGCGCCAGGATTCGAGATCGCAGCTGGAATGCACATTGCATGTATATCGTGCTGGTTGGCTCATTGGCGGGTCGGCATATATCCCCATGCACTCAGCAATCAGATGTCGGTTCAAAACGAGAATCAAAACAAGTGCTCCAGGTTCGAGCTTGCAATCCCGGATCCCGCCGTGGAACAGCCAAGACAGGACACTATGCATGCGCTCCAAAAAAAGATTCCCAATCATGTTGGGAAAGTGAACGCGTCGACCTGCTCAAGGAGATAACATCTCCAAGCCTAGCATGGTAAAGCAGGTCGTGAAAGACAGAAAAACGAGGGTTATACAATGCATTGTATGTAATGCTGATATGATGCAGATCGTAATCCAGGCCGTATCAATACAATAGAATAGTCGGGTCAAGGTGATAGATGGGTTCAGTCGGGTTGGTAGTCGCGTCATTGGTTGACGTCAGGTCGGGGTGGTTCAGTCGGAAGAAGAAGAGATAGCTAAACAAAAATCGCACGCCAACTGGGAATCAGAGCAGAGGAAAATCCAAGGACAAATCAGTCGTCGCGGCGACCGAGCTCGTACGAGGTCTCGGTGGCCCCGCCGATCTCTTCGTCTTCCTTGAAGCTCACGCGGCGCAGCAGCGTGGGCATCATACGGCGAGCACGACGGGTGGGAGAGGATGAAAGTCGCGGGCTGATGATGCTGGGCACCTTGGTGTATCGGTAACGGTACTTAGCGCCGAGGAGCATGATTCGGCCGTATGTCCACCACAGGCAGATTCCGACGATACCAGCGAGGATGAATCCGCAGAAAGTGAGTAACACCCAGTGTTGACCCATCTGAAGGAAGATTAGTGACAGTGATTGGAAATGGAGGGGTTGATAGTCATACCCAGAAGATCAAATGCGCGTCCTTGCCGTGCCAGCTGTTTCCTGTGTGATGCGTAAAGAAGCTCCACGAGAACTTGTTATACTCGTCCTGCATAAGAATCCGCACACGCCCGGACTCGCTGGGCTTGTCTTGCATGTACTCCTTCCAGATGACCGACAAGAACAGTGGACCCGTCGAGTACATCACAGTAATGTAGGGAAGCACCCACTTGCGGTCATACTGTTGCAGCAGCTCGATCACACGCAGAAAGAATGGATGTTGGGGTACGGAGCCCATCGCGTCGTTGGAGATACCAGTTGGCACGGTGCGACGAACCCAGGCGGGGTATGCGAGGAGGGGGTCCAAACGGCGGTTGCATCCCTAGAATGTGTAAGAATTGGCTCAATTGAGACAGTCAAGGGAAGATTGGGGAACGTACATCGTCCAGATCGATATAGGTACCACCGTAATGCGCCAGAACAAAGTAGCGGATTGAGTCTGCGCGCTGGATGGGGTACTTGTAGCCGTTAAAGGTGTCCAGGAACCAGGGGTACTCGGCGGTGATAAAGTCGCGAGACTTTTCGTCGGTCCACAGCTGCGCGATAAGTTAGCGACACAATCTTCTCGCGTGAACAATATGCAGTTTCAATCCCTATGCTGAAAACGGTGGTATCCACGTACAATATACTCATAATCCGGGTGCAAGTCAATGCAGCTCTGCTGGGCCTCACGCCACACCTCGGGAATCGTCTCGTTCTTGTATGTCTGGTGAATAATCTTGGGAATAATTTGAGGTCTCGTCTCGATCAGACTGGAGTTGGGAGACGGCAGCTCCGCGCGGTGAATGGCATCAGCGGCAGCATCTTCCACCAACAAGGAGAGCAGAGTTGAAACACTGCGAACCAAGAGGGTGAGGATGAGCAGGTTCACCAGTATGAAGATAATGAGACCGCGCCGCATGGTGGATGTGAGTTGCGACGGGGTGTCGCGTTGAGAGTCGGAGAGGAGGGAGGTTTTTTGGGTCTGCGCCAGTCGAAATGTCAACTCAACAAGGATGCGATGTCGCCAATTGAATGGTGAGAATATGTTTGTACAATTGAATGTGTACACAAGGCAGGTTCGTCAAGTCGTGTCGTGAGGGACTCACGGGCCTCCGTGGGCCGTGGGGGAAGAGAGGTCGATCTGGAGAGCAATCTCCTGGGAGTTCGTTTGAGGCTCGTAAAGGGGAGGTTTTGTGTTAGGCCACGGTTCAGTTGTTCGTTAGTAGACAAAGACCGTGGAGATCGTTTGGGCGCGCGTGTATAATCGGAGGTAGGAGTGGTTGAGGAAGAGAGAGAGAGAGAGAGAGATGATGATGATGAGGGAGAGTCTCGAGTTGGGTTAGGTTAGGAGAGAGATGGTGCCCGTCGGTTAAGAGAGGAGGATCAAGCGGGATGGAGGCAGCCCCAATGATGAAAAAGGGTTAAAGTCGAAGGAGAGACGAAGTAGTAAGAATAATACGAGAATAATAATAACAATAATAGGGGAGGATCATCGACGATAATAAGGAGCGACAGGTGGGGAAGGGGGCTAAAGCCAAAGAAGAAAGGAGCGAATGTTGAAGGTTGAGAGGAACAAAGTGAGAGGCACGAAGAAAGTTGACCACCAGAAGATGGCTGTATGTAATTTACCCGTATACGAGAGAGTACCGTAGTCCTAAGTCCAGGGGAAAAGGCAAAAGGCAAAATAAGTCATAACGGGGCTCCGTGATTGGTCGAAGCTCCACCGTGTTGCGTGGAAATGCGTGGTGAGTGGGGGAGAAGCTTACTTTTTTCTTTCTTTTTCAGTTTTAGTTCTTACCAGCGAAAGACAAAAAGGAACTGGGAATGGAACTACAAGAATCCATGGTTTATACTGTAAAGTTACGACGATGATGATTTCTATACGTGTATACATAAGTAGTACGCTGTATTAAAACTCTCATCTTCCAAGACCTTGGTTATACCAAGTGCTGATGCAGGTTCGTGACTGCGCCGAGGCTGAGTTCAGTGCGTGGCTCAGTGGCTGTGGCAGATTTCCACTTCAGACTGGCTGGTTATGATTGGTGGATGGGAGAATCCGGTGGGGCAAACTCCAGATAACTGTATTTTAATTGTATTCTATCCGTACGACCCGGTAATCATAGTTCCCGCCCGTAAGAATTAATCCAGTGGTGGCCAGATTACACAGGCTATCCATATTTCTTCTCATAGTGGTTACTTGGCTGCCTTGCGCCCCCAAGCCCTTTTCCAAGCCCCAAGCCTGAACCCGAACCGGGCAGTGCATGTGGCGCTCAACGGGAGCTAACCAGGGAAAGGAGTTATCTTTAGCGAAAGACACACGTACATACAGGTTGATAATAATGCATATCCTCGGCAGTACACTAGTAACAGGCTGAATATTCTCTGATGAAAGCCATCATGCAAGTTATGACGGGATCTATCATGACGGAGTATATTCCATAAATACTGTTATCTCATGCAGAAGGCCCTATATAATCTGTCCTTGGCGCCAAATACTATTTACGTACAGCATATAGGCACGACTTTTCTGTCAAGTTTCATCTTGTACTAACTTACAATACTACAATAGGTAATCCTCCGTCTGTTCAATCATGTAAGCGGAGATAAACTCCGGCTCATAACCTGCTGTATTCCATTCTAGCCCAGCTTTCTAGACCCTTTGGGGCAAACTGATACCTCAGATTCCAATGCTTGGCTACGCCTCGAGGCTCCTATCGTGTGCCGGAGATCTGCTGTTTTTGGTACTGGTGCCACTTGGTGCCACTGCTTCCATTGTTTCCTACACTATGTACAACTCCTAGGCCCTTAGGAAGGCTTAAAAATTTTTCTTTACAACCGAGGTTATGTACGGAGTACATAAGCAGAAAATCGGGGATCGGAGTTCTTCAACACCTACGGCCCCCCTACGGCCTACGGGCAATATTCAGCCCGTTCCCGTGTGGCGGTTGCCCCGGTTGACTACTCCGAGGCTTGCGACCGTTGCGGTATTGCGTCAAGGTCAGCCGATAAGCCTATTATGCTGGACCGGTGACATTAATTAAGAAAGTATGAGGTATAGAAGTTTTTGTAAATTTGATCGTGATAAATGCGGTATACAACTCAAAGATTACCTAAAGAGGTTGTCTATTCGTCCGAAGGATCTTGTCGATTATGTTTGAAATATTTGTTCCGACCCAATAATACTATACGATTGGGTCGGCGGCGTTTATTCATCACTCCTCTAGTTTGCCAAGCTTATATGCGCCATGGGTGGTTTTTGAAAGGTAATGTGGTGCACGGTGTAAGGAGGTTGATCAAGAACAGAATATAATACTTTAATAATAAGAGAGATGCCCCTCTCTCTACTCCGTATGGAGTACACTTTCGACTATATGCTTGGTCAAGGAACTAGCGATCTCGTACTCCGTACAGTATGACTATGTACTGTACTGTACTGTAACACTCCATTATCCACTCCACTACGGCCGTACTCGTACCCTCGTATCACTCAGTAAAACTCCCATCTCTTCCCCCCTCAACGCGTCGTCACGGGCCAAGGGGTCTAACCAAACAAGGTTTAGTGTACCTCATTTGCTAAGTTGCTCCCCTGTTTCATCCCCACAGCCCCCAAATAATGGCACCCAACGGTCCTAGTCAAACCACGGACTATGTAACTAAACGTTTAGACCAGAGAGGGAATTATTGAACAAGTGAAGGGAAACATTACTGGTTGATCCCTCGGTCTCGCATTACGCTCCACTTCCGGCGTGCGCACTGCGAACACTCTACTTTACATAGTTAGTCGACTCATGTCAGCCATGGTTCGAACGGTGGCAGTAAGCTTGATTTTTCTCCGCGGGGATTTTGCGATCGATGGAGACAGAGACGGGGATGCGATTTGGATATTGGCTCCGCTCGATTAGAGAGAGGTTGAACCTTGAATTGTTGAATATATGTATTCTCTAGTATTCAAGATGGATATGAGGTTGGGTTGACTATACTCAGATACAAATGTTCTAAGTTATGTTCTATCTTTTAATCTTGATTCTGGAAGTTCTACCGCTATTATACTCTAGCATACAGACTTTCAGAATCTCCATCAAATCCCCTGATCGGCAAAATTCCTCACATCCTCGCAAGTCGCTACCAAACAGTAATCCAGTTTTGACTTACAATGATCCCTCTCCGCAAACTCGGTTCGGTTCGCTCCATACTATTCCTGCCCTTTCCATTCAAGATCGGCGCTTAGGTCGCAATTAATGACGTGAGTGGAAGTGGACTAGCGGCCCGCGTGGACAAACTTCCTACGGCGCATAGCATCATAGCTACGATGCAAGTATGTACTTAACTCTGAATGATTAATTTTTACTTCAGTGTAGAGAAGTTATCTTGTTTTACCGTCCTCGTTTAAGTGTATCTACAGATCATGGTCGGCCAATACATACATACACCTAACCGACACTGTACAGTATGTATGAGTATCCACTACGTAGCTAACCCGATCACCCCACGTTTCCCTCCATCAACGCCCCCAACGACGTGGCGCCGGAAAGGACCCTGTTTGTTGTGGGCACGGTGCTTTCGCTGATCTCATTTTATATCTCACAACCCTCTCATTCCTGCGCTGTGTAGCACCTATTCAGGACTTAGGCTATCTGACTTGAACTTGACTTGATAAACCACCGTGTCATATACTGTATGTCGGATAGAGCGATTACGAAAATTCTCGGATACGGCCCCGCCAATGGGGCTGCTTATTTGCATCGAGTGATCGGTTTGATGGATGCGAGTGGTTGATTATTCGGGTATGTATGAGTATGTATGAAGGACTGGGTTGGGCTTGGCTGGATCTTGGCTGTTACCTGGACTACATAGGCGGGACGCCTGTAATGATGTTATCAGAGTCGGAGTTGGGAGTTGGGGGCTGTGTCGGGAGGGGTGTGATGTGGGCGAGGCTGTGAAGATAAGTAGGCTAAGAATAGGAAGTATTGAGGATTTGGAGGAGATAGTGGGTCTGTTCTATGGAAAGTGAAGGACTGTGCTGGATGTTAGTATTGGGCTCTTATCTTGAAATTCATCCGATGTGCATAGTCCTGTCAAAGAATACAGTCTGCAAGGTTGATCATTTGGTTACTCGCTTCATTCATTTTGAAACCTATCCATATTCAATTTTCGTTAACAAACTAATATTAGGAGGACTTCCAGAGCCTTGAGAATTCTCGAGGTATCCGTATAGTCAATCTCCCTTCTACATACATACTCCCGCTTGGCATTATTACGTTGAGTACTCTCATTTGAATAGATAACGAGTGAACGAGATTAAAGCTAATAGGGTATCTTCGCTGTGACCAACTTGAAATAAACATGCATAAATTTCCAACCATGCCATCTGCCGCCATCCTTCAACCTCGACCATACCTTTGGCACAAAAATGTATAGGAACCGGCCCTTGTACAATCTCGAGCATCTGTACCACCTGACCGACAGAGTTATGATAGTCCGTCCAGTCCATACCATGCAATAGGATGCGCCAATCCTAGCATCCAAGACCTCCGCAGTCGAATGCAATATTCGACGAATGCTGACAAGCAAAGATCGATGTGTGATCATGTTTGCCATTCCTCCGCATCTCTCAATGAAACCCGGACAGGTGTACAATACTAATGAAATGGATCAACCCGACCCAACAAATGCCTTCATCGAGCTCCCGCGCCAGCCGCAGCAAAGTCCGGATTCACATTAATAGCATCCGTCGGCCGCTCGCGCGTCCGGGTCGTCTCAAAAAGCCGACGCCACCACATGGGCGGATCCAACGGCCGATGACCACCATGCAACGTCGGGTAAACATCATTGAAGAAATACCACACATGACCAACCGCCACACCCAGCATCTCATCCTTAGGCACAGTCTGGTACACAATCAGACTAAACGCCATAAGCACCCAGGGCAAATACGGCGCCGGAAACACCAACAGTCCCAGGAAACTCAACCGTGTATCCGGATTCCGCCGCGCCCAGATATATACCAGGCTCGAGCTCAACGCGGTCCCCAGGAACGGCAGCGAGAGAAACGGGGAGATAATCAAAAGCGAGGTCATCGCGTAGAAAATCAACCAGGCAAATTGCGCCGGGGACCGGCCGGAGGATTCCTCCAGGAGTCGGGAGTATCGTTGGAGAAAGAACACGTGGAAGATGAGGTCGAGGTTTAATTTTCCGAAATAGAGGAATGTGGTTAGGAGGCGCCAGTATTGGGATTTGGCGTAGACGGCACGGAAGCTGTAGAAGAGTTGGAATTCGGTCACGATGTGACAGTGGACGAGTACTGAGGTCGCCACGGTGGCTACTGTCCACCACCGGGTTACGGGGGGCATTTCGTAGAACCATTGTTCGAGGGGGAATTGTTGGGCTATTTGGCCGTTGTTTCCCCAGAGATCGGCCATGATTGTTGGTCAGTGGAAGAGGAAAGAGGGATTGTCAACTTGTCGTGTGATGTTTAGGCCAGGTGGGGATGGGAAGTCCGAAAGGTAAAGACCAGATAGACCGATAGTCGGACTATCAAGTACCGGGAGGGTCTCCGATAAGCCGATAAGCCGATACTCATCTTATCGATCACATCACGTGATCGCGACGCGTCAAACGCCAAAATCACGGGGGCTGGGCGCTAAGGACGAAAGTGTTCATATTGGCCTTTCCCCCCCAGCCCCCTCCATTTCACGCTGCTTTGTTCTCGCATTTTTTTCAATCCCCCTCAAATTGCTGGACTTCCCCGCGCGTGTCTTGGAACTGTACATTCGGGATCACTTCTGCCTCCTGCACACTCCCTCCGCTCCCACTACAACAGCTTTCCTGCAAGGGCGACATCCCTCGACGCGTGCGCGGATATCCTGCAGTTAAACACCTCAATACTCGGATATCTTCAGCTCAATTGATCGCCCAGGAAACGCCCACTACTCGCGACAAACTGCGCGCGCATCGAGATCAAAAAGAAGCACACGAGTTTACATATCAATCACTCAATCACAATGCCACCAACTGCAAAAAAGACCGCAAAAGCTCCCGCAGCAAAGACCGCAGCCGCAAGCCCAGCCAGCGCCGCGCGCAAAACAGCAGCAAAGAAAACCGCCGGAAAGCGCGCTTCAAATGTACAACGTACGTCTTAACATACACTCCCCTAACACCCCAGGCTCTCCAAGCTCCAAGATCCATCTTCTCACACATTATTCAGCCGGCGACCCAACACCAACAGGCAAAAAACGCCGCTACAAACCCGGCACAGTCGCCCTCAAAGAAATCCGCCGCTACCAACGCTCCTACGACCTCCTAATCGCCAAACTCCCCTTCGCCCGACTAGTCCGTGAAGTCGCCCTCGACCTTCTCCCCGCCGAAGTCGGCGCCGAATTGCGCTGGCAGTCGCACGCGATTCAGGCGCTGCAGGAAGCTGCGGAGGCGTTTATGGTGCATTTATTCGAGGATACGAATTTGTGTGCTATTCATGCGAAGCGCGTTACGATTATGCAGAAGGATATTCAGCTTGCGAGGAGGATTCGGGGGGTTTGGGGGGGTCTTGGTTGATGAAGCGAATGCCCATCCCTGGTGTCGACACTTGACACTCGACACCTTTTTGCGTGCTTTTTGCCTCGCAACGCTTTTTTTCGGCGAGGCTTTGTTTGCGGGTTTAATCTTAATTTGGTTCGTTTTTGAAGCGGTACTTGCCGGGGCCCCTCCTCTTTCTCTTTTCGAGGGGGTTTCTGAGTGCGATGCTGCAGGCGTCCTGTGGGTATGGTGTATCTAGGGTGGTGTTCTGCTGCTTTTTCTCCCATTTTTTGTCTTTGGGGGTTTTCCTTTTGCTTCTTTTCCGTTCGACTCTGACTCTGATCTTTTGGGTCGCTCTGATTATACCACGGTTGTTGTACATTAGCATGGATGTGGGGTGTTTTTTTTTTTTACCATTTTTTTACCATATAGGTATTGCTGCAAATGAGGAGTGCTGGAAGGGTGTCATATTGACGCTCAGTTCAAAAGAGCTTCCGAATCTATCTTTGTATAAGGGTACTATATAACGATGATATCGGATGAAATTGAAAGATATTTGTATCTATTCCAGGGTTCTGTCCTGATAGATTATGTCTTGTTGATACAATACGTACATTGTGCAAGAGTTGGACAGCAAAATAAGAAGAGGTAACGCCTTGTCAATGTAGCTATGAATGGTATCGTAAATGAAGAGCCGGTCCAAAGAAGATCATAAGGAACTCATAAGATAAACATGGAAAATAACAAAACATTATAGACCTGGCAGCGTCCTAAGCAGCACTCTCAAGCTGGACGCTTCAAGCTAGGCGGGAGACCCGTGATCAGTCGCTGACCCTCCTCCCTCACACTCAGAGCTTCATCGCCTTTACCGTGTCGCTCGAGTGTCTCAGCCAGCATCTCATCCGTGACACTAGCCCAAAGACGGTCATTGGCTCGTTTCGCCATGGCACGACCAGCTCGGACACTCTTCTCGGCTTGTTCGCCGACAACGCCACGGAAGTACTTCCAGCTCATGAATGTAAGGGTCATGCAGGTGATTTGGGAATTGCTGATGGTAGTAGCAGACTGCAGGGCATGCTGGAGGAATTGCTTGGTCTGAATGGTGGATTCTGTCTGCACGGTGGCGCAGACAAGATAGTATGCTGCTTGGATGTATTTGTTTGGTCCGTTTTGGCAGAAGGGTTCAAGGGTAGCTTGGATGGTTGGGAGATGGGAATGGCCTGGGTGAGAGGGATCACGGATGATGAGGATAGTGTTGAGTGCGGCGAGAATACATGTGTCGCGGCATGGGTCGTTACGTGCTATCTTGCTAGCTGATGGTGAGAGTAGTAGCAAGGGAGATTGGAAGATGTTCAATGCTCGTGCTAGATCGCCAGTGGCCTGGGCGATGGTACCAGCGGCGTATTCCATTAAGCATTCGATGGATCTGGGTAGGCTGGGACCGCACTCTTGGGTGAATTGCCGGAGCTCTTTCAGAGAATGGGTTGCCAGTTCCCAGTCGGTTCGGGCACAGGCTAGGAAGACTCGCTGCAGAAGGAAATTGCAGCAAAGGGACCGGCGCCATTCGACACGTCTGGTAGCATTCACCATTGACTCGGAAATCTCTTGTGGAGTTGTGAAGCCTCCTGAGAGCATAGGTTAGGGATTTGCCTGCTTGCTAAAAGGGGGATTACAACCTGAGATTGTGACATACCTTGAACCATCCGAAGCCCCTCGTCGAGGAATTGCTCCGCTTTCCGACCATCATAAGAGTTCTTGGCACTCAGCGTGATCGAGCTCAAGAAGTATGAGAGTGCATAGAGATCATGCTGGGGAAGCCAGTTGAAGCTAAGCAGGACCATGCCATTCTGCACCTGAAGAATATCACCCGTGTCAATGGAAGACGGACCAGCAGACTTTCCATTCAGAGGAATGGAGAACGACCCATCGGCACGCCAGTTCGGGTCATTAAGCGTTTCATCGGCCAAGGTTTGCAAGACCTTCAGTTTTTGAGAAGCCTGAGGCACGTCATACTCCAACAGGCTGCAGCAGATATCAACCATCTGGGTAAGGGTGACAAGTTGCGGGATATGTCGAAGTTCATCATTTAATTGATGGCTACGCGCAACGGCCACGGCACGCTGTGCTTGCTCGATGGCATCGGATCCTGTACCTTGCTGCAAATGCGCTAAGGCTTCGATGACGGCAGCCATTGCAGCGACAGCTTTGTCTCCATTGCGACTAGCCATGGCCGAAATTTTGTTCAAGTGTTGGAGTGCTTGGACAGAGTCTTGGTGTGACGATGAAGATAGCGACAATGTCACACGGAGGAAGCGAAAGGTATACTCCCATGCAGCGTGGCGGTATCTGAAAGAACATTAGCAATTAGAAAATCGGTGGAGAAGGGAGATATCACGTACGCTTCCACATCCTGGATCATGCCGTCGACCGCCTTCAGGGAAGCCTTGGGGTTGGTCTTATGGAGCATGCGCGCCAAAAGATGCTGCATGCTATATTTCAAATCTAGCATACGGTTCTAAGAAGAGTCAGTGTCTGGACGACTTTCCATCAAAGAGAATTATAACTCACCCGTTCACAAAGATCAATCTGTACAAAGACGGTTAGCTGGGTGGTCGTATGAAGGGGGGCATTTAGATGAAAACATACACCCTTGCTTAAAGCAGTTTCGGCTTCGAGGTCATTGTCAGTTTCCTCGAACAACGTCCGAGCATAACGGAGTCGAACGAGGGCTTCCTTGCGAGGTTGTAACCGCCAGTTCTGGAACGTGATAAAATGGTCAGCAAAAAATTATATCGGGTAAACCGGGTATGTGACCAACCTTCAAAACTGCCTCCAAGCATCCAAGCCCCGTTGAGACTAGCTTGTAGTACTCCTCAACATCTGCCTGGCTGGTAACTAGGGCCGTTTTAGTCCCATGACGATGCGCAGCGTTCAAGTATTCATCCGCCAGTGAGAGTAGCAAAACTTGGTAGTCCACCGGAGGTTTAGTCGGTTTTGTAATTCTGTCAGTGGTCTGCTGGCTTGGCAGTTGCTTCTTTGGCTGTGGTTTCTTCTGAATAGGTTTTGGACTGCTGGAGCGAAAATCTTGGGACGGTGCTGGAATCATGACTTGCGGAACGGCATGCTGTGTGGGCGAAGAAGTTGGCTGGGGTTGTATTGGTGTTGCCACTTTTGTTGGAGCTGGTGCTGCGTCTGGTGGAGTTACTTTTGGCGGGGCTGTTTGTGATAGTGCTACTTTTGACGGTGCTAGGTTTGGCGGGGTTGCCTTTGGAGGGGCTACTTTTGGTGTGGCCGCAGGTTGTTTGGGCTCTTTTTTGGGTGTAGCTGCGGCTTGCTTCACTTCTTTTTTTGGTTCCTTCTTCGCGTCCTTCTTTGGCTCCTTCTTTGGTGCCGGCTTAGATTTTGCAGATTCCGACTTGACGACCGGCTTCGGCGCAGGTGGAGGCTTTATCTGTGTATCTGACTGCTTTGCATCCAATTGCATGGGAATATCGTCCTTCTTTGGCTGAGGACTACCAGGTTTGACTTTCGGGTCCGGGATTTGCGAAGGTTGAGGAGCTTTGGATTCAGCTGGTGGCGGTGTTGAGGAAGCAATGGACGGCATCGGAGGTAACTCAAGCGAGGTCGACAACTCGCTCGGGTCGATATATTGAGATAAGGAGCCATATCGTGACCGAGGGGCGGTAGGAAGTGGCGGTTGCACAAACAGCTCAGCCGGGTTAATGAATTGATGCTGGGGCAACTCTGGGGGCAATGATGGAGGGGGCGCCGGGGGCATAGGCGGTGGCCGAGGTTGATGTGGGATCGCCTGAGGTTTGGAGACTGGGGATGGTTGTTGCTGGTATTGCGGCTGTTGATATTGTGGCTGCTGCTGCATCTGAGGTTGTGGAGCTGGTTGTGGCTTCTGGTGCTGCGGTTGCTGGTTTTGCGACTGCTGGTGTTGAGGTTGCTGCTGATGCTGTTGATTCTGATGCTGTTGCATCTGAGGTTGCGAAGCTGGCTGCGACTGCTGGTGCTGCAACTGTTGATGCTGTTGCATCTGAAGTTGTGGAGACTGCTGCGGCTTCAGTTGCGGTCGAGGAGAGGGCTGCAGCACCTGCAGTCGAGGCGATTGCTGTTGCGACGGAACCAGAGGAGCATGCTGTTGCATCTGAACGAGCGGAGACTGCTGTTGAAATTGCGGACGAGGAGACGGCTGTTGCTGATACTGTGGCCGAGGAGACTGCTGCTGAACACGAGGCTGCGGAGACTGCTGTTGAAATTGTGGCCGCGGGGATTGCTGCAACTGCTGCAACTGGGGTCTAGGGGATTGCTGCGGCTGTATCTGGACTCGGGGGGACTGTTGCTGCATCTGCATGCGGGGAGATGGCTGTTGTGTCTGATGAAGGGGCGATTGATGCGGCTGGACTATGGGAGATTGTCGGGGTTGAGAGATGGAAGGCTGTTGCATTTGCGACATCGAAATCTGCTGTGCTTGAGAGAAAGCCGGATGTTGGGGTTGCGCGAGGTGTTGGGGGTGGATGAGGGCTGCAGGCTGGAGGGTTGGCTGTTGTTGTTGTTGTTGCTGCTGGTGGTGCTGCGCTTGTGGAGACATCGGCTGCGTAAAGTGATGGCCATATTGATTCCAGACCTGCTGTTGCTGTTGTTGCTGCATCATCCCCTGTGGATAGCCTGCCGGTTTACCGTAGCCGTAGGGCGACGGCGAAGGAGCCGCGACATGATTGTATGGGAACTGCGGCGGGGCGACGTGGCCAGGCTGATACTGCGGTGGAGGAATATATTGCGGATATTGACCGGAATTGGGCGGTGGGAAGCTCATCGCCCCGACGTATATTTCAACTGAGAAGAGCTTCGCAATAATCCTCGATCGACACGATGGTGAAGCACTTCCATTGCCTGCCGCGTCGGGGGCGGAGAAACTCGCGGCGGTCAGCTGATGAGGCGATAAGCATCGCGATAACGGGACTAAGTATGGAACCAGAGATGAGAGAAACGAACCTCCTAGATAGGTTATACTTGTTTTCCTCTGAAAGATCTTTCTAATGGTCATTCGAATCATCTTTCTTTCTTGATAATACAGTCAGCGTCTCTTCGGTCCATCGTTCAACTGTCCTGAAAACATATCATGGTTCCAAATTATGGAACCCTACTGTGCTAGAGCTACAAGTAGCTCCATCTACTTTTTGAAGGTCAATTAGTAGTATGTTGAACATGGATCAAAAGTTGTTCTTCGACTTTGAATGTTGATAATAAGAATAAACTGGGGGTTCAAGAAGGTTTCAATGGTGAATTATTAAGTCAAGTTCTCAATAACATGAAGAACGCTCTATAGTTTATAGGAAACAAACATGAAATGAGCTCAAGTAAAATTAGTACATGATGACTCGTTCAACCAAATAACACCATACGATACCCAATGCAATAGAAGCAAATGACCCCCTCTTAAACTCCAAGGCGCTGATAATATAATGCTTCCCCAACGGCAGATTAAAAACCCCATGAATAATAACAACAACAACCGACTGCTTTATAACATGCGAATAGACGAGTACAATGAACTCAAAGGTTGCGGGTTTATCGCCGGTTCAATAACCTCCTCCCCAATACTAGGAGAAAAGGCCAAAGGAGGGTGTTCCCGTACCGTCCAAGGACACAGCTCATTGCAGTTCTCCACGCCGATCGAGGGTTCCGCGGGATGAATGCGCTGCGAACCCCACGCAGCATCGGGAATAAGATTTGAGCCACCGAGATTGCGCTGTGTCCAGAAGTAAAAGGTATCTTTACCGGACTCTTCAGAATGGAATGGCTGTTTTCGCGGGCACTTCAAGGTCGTGTTGCAAGCGCCGCAGACTGAAATGCGACGGCACGAGGTACAAAAAGAGTCGAAGAGGCGGCAGATAGTGGATTGGTAGACGCTTGAAAGCCAGAGATCGACGGATCGGTGTGCGCATCCAAAGCGCGGTGTCATATACTCTTCTTTACCGACTTGTCCCGATACAGTCGTGAGTTCGTACTCTGTCCGCATAATCAACTGATCTTCACCGTCGAGTTCCGGGTAGAGAGACACTTTGAGCTCTGTCGGTCCGTACTGCTCTGTACATGAATGCCAGCAATATCGATCCCCGACTTTGTCTCCAAACTGTGTCCTGAGGGCGTTGACTGAAATCTTCCGAATGCGAAGATGGTCCGCCAGATCCAGTTTATCGCGGAAAGTGATCTTCTTGCAGGGACACAAGTCCACGATCCCAGCTAACTCGCCCACATTGCACGATCGATGATCCGATTTGCGTCTCAATTCGCGCGTAGAAAATGCCGTCCGGGGATGTAATTTCAGGCATTTGGAACATACCCGCCACCGCGAATTCTCCAAGAGATTGATAAACTGCCACCGCGGCGTGACAAAGTTATGACCATTCCGATAGTGGTGGAAAAGCGGCGCAAAGTCTCGACCGAAGCGGAGGGATTTTGATTTGAGGATTTCGCCGGAAATTGCAAGCATGCGCTTACAGGTCAGCGCAAAGGCCGCCTCCGGGACTAGAGTCAAATGGGAGACTATCTCTAGTAATAACTCCGTGGGGAGTTCCATGAGATAGCAGCGGCCCGACTCGTCCTTCTGCTGCTTGCGCGAACGGGTAGGGGACCAGGACTTCATTCTCATGACGGTTCGAAGCTTTTCCGTTGCTCGGTGGAGGCGTTCGGGCATGTTGGTGGAAGGGGACGCTTTTAAAGCCATAGCGAAGAGGGGCGACATCTGTTCTTTGTTTCGGGAACAGAGTGCTTTCAATGTTCTTTTATGACCAGCCCGCATGAGTGGTGATGAGTGATTTGTTTTTTTTTATAGGATTAGGGCTTGTCAGAATGGTAGATGATGTGTTGGTGGCTTGTGCTGAAAGATCATATCGTCAAGTCGATGGGTAGAGGGGGTGCTGCTATGTATCGTGTGACGGAAAAGAAAGCCGCATCATAAGTAAGAAAAGAAGAAAGGGTTCCTAATAAATCCAGCCTCTGGATCTGTTGACCTTGAAGTAGGGCTCGGGCTAAAGATTAAGTTGCACGAAAACGGACCATGGGATGGGGTCACGGTAGGGCTGGCAATGTTATCAGCATTACATGGCTTGGGGGTCAGGGCTGTATACTTCTGACTTCGTACCGATTATAGATACGGATGTATACAAATAGAGCTTGCCCACTCATTATCAGCCCCTGTTTCGGTCCAAATGCAGCGCACAAAAGCCACCGATATGTTTCTCCCAATATCGGATATAAAGCGTAGACAATCTACATTGTGTACGAGCATGGAAGCCGGATGCTATCCAGGGCTGTTCCGCATGCGGCAATCAGATTGCCGCATCGAGCATCATGGCATCATCACTCGAAAGCCCTCCTAAAGCAGCCCCTCCCCTCCAGTCTAGCCGATTCAGCCTAGTCAGCCCCCATAGGGTACTTGCATCATCTCATCGGTCTCATTTAACGATGACCCTGTCAACTGACTCTTTGTCGTCTTTGGAGGGGTATCAGTCCCATGTGACCCTCCTTCACGGGTTGTGAGCCTCAGGCATCATATAAGGTGATGACTAAGAGGGGAAAGAACTTGCTGTCCGAGTCAGCGGGATGGCGAGCACGTGCATCACGTGTAGATAGGAGGATAACAGACGGAGATCGGGGCTTAGTCACACCGATCCGATCGGGAAGTACCGAGGTTGCCTGCTATCAAAGGCTTTTTTTCTTGTTGGAAAAGACTTGGCCTGATTTAGATGTTGCCTCCTGGACGCCTTTCTTTCTTTTTTAAATCTCATTAGCCCCTTCGTGTTTTATTTGGTCTCTCGCATTATAGACAGATCCTCTATGTCGGATTTTGCATCAGCGCTGCTCGACTCTTTTCCCCTATCGCTACTTTTATCGGGTCTCATCGCAATGGGCCTTCTCTCTTGGGTGCGCCCGAGCGGGCGAATCTCTTTTTTTCACGCAAAGGACAATAAGCTCTATCTGACCAAGAAGTCCAGTCCGTCAGGAGCAAAGGAGCAAACAACCTTGGTTGATATCTGTCGCGATGTGACTCCCGACACTTGTCATCTTAACCCATTGTTGTTCAATGGTCATCTGCAGACTATGTACACGGTCTTGAAACATGATAGTGTTCCCGTGTACTATAAGCGGAAGATGTTTGAAGCGGATAGCGCTATGTTCTCGGGGACATATGCGATTGACTTTGTCGTTCGACCGTACGAGATGCCGCCCGACGGCGAGTTGACGGATCAGGCGAGAAAGTATACTCAGCCATCTGGTTTGCCGCCTCGTACGTCGTTTTACTCGGAGGAGGAGTTTGCTGGTATTGCTTCGGATGATACAAAGCCCATGCTGGTTGTTCTTCATGGGTTGAGTGGAGGGTCGCACGAGGTGTATTTGCGCCATGTTCTTTCACCGCTTGTTGCTGATGGCGCGTGGGAGGCCTGCGTGGTTAATTCGCGGGGTTGCTCGCAGACGAAAATCAGCACGGGAGTGTTGTATAATGCGCGCGCAACATGGGATGTGCGCCAGTCCGTGAAGTGGCTTAGAAAGACCTTCCCTAATCGACCTTTGTTCGGCATTGGATTCTCGCTGGGTGCCAATATTCTGGCTAATGTATGCCTCCCTGAACTCTCCTGGAAGACTTACAGTTCTAACATGATCACTGCAGTATCTGGGCGAAGAAGGCGACCACTGCCAATTGAAGGCTGCAGTGCTCTGTGCCAGTCCCTGGAACTTGGATGTCGGCTCCGTTCGCTTGCAAAGCTCTTGGCTAGGTAAGGAGGTGTACAGCAAGACGATGGGCTCAAGCATGAAGAGACTTTTCGAAGCGTAAGTTTTTCTTGTCTTACTGTCATACTGGAAACACAAGCACTAATGAAATTATAGCCACGCTGAGGAAGTGTCTAAGAACCCCCGCATCGATGCTGAGGCGATTAGAAACATCACTTATCTACATGAGTTTGATCGGTATGTTACTTATTCAACTGTCCCAATTATGCTTATTGCATGTATTCTAACTCGACCTAAACAGAGCCCTCCAATGTCCCACATGGGGTTACCCGACCGAGGGTGCCTACTATCGTGACGCTGCCTCTACGGACGCAATGCTTTCCATCCGCATCCCATTCTTTACTGTGCAAGCCGAGGATGATCCCGTGAGTCAAACCCTCTCGGATACACGATCAATCCGCTAACATGAACAGATCGCTTCCCGCGATGCATTGCCATTCCACGAAATGACTCAGACCCCATACGGTGTCATGCTGACCACTTCCTGGGGTGGCCACCTCGGCTGGTTCGAACTCGGCGGTGACCGTTGGTTCGTCAAGCCGGTAAGTCGCAACGAATTTAACTACAATCATATGGATTTGTGCTAATGTCTATAAAGGTGACAAACTTCTTGAACAAGATGGCCCAAGAATTCGACATGTCCATCCCCGGCGTTGTTGAGTATCCCGAGAAGCTCCCTGGGCATATCGCTAGCCACCCTGGCCTTGACAAAGACCCTGACTTGGCTCCAAAGCCCGAGTTCCGCCCTGTCAACCGCAAGCTCGATATGAAGCTGTCCAAGTAATGTCGGCACCGTTCACGTAAAATCTTCAAAATCTTCCGCGGCCATTATGTTTCCTGGCTTTTTGGGGGCTTGCGCGGAATTTTGGCTTCGTTTTACATACAATATACATTTAGACTAATTTCGGAGTTCTTCAGCGAGTATAGAATTATTTTTCAGAAAAAAGAAAGTTGAAGCATATTTGAGGGTATGTGTCGTGCAAGAAGCCCCAAGCCTTAAAACTATCGAAAAGATCATGAGCCTGCACCCAATGTTACCTGCACTCTCTTCATGGCTTCAACGTCAAATCATGATCATGAGCACCCTGCAAATAATCATAATCTTCCCCAACCCACTTCACATAAGGAACCGTTCTACCAAAATCAATCTTCCCCTCCAACACCCTCGGCAACACCAACGTCTGATCACTCCGATACCAACTCGGAAACTGAATAGAAACCAACATCACCCTAGGCTCATCCGTCCGATTCGGCATCCCTGCATGCCAAAGCCTGAGATCACGGATAATCAGCGAGCCCTTGGGTAAACCGGGCTGGATAGGCGGGCTGATCTTCCTTCGCTGTTCTAGGAGTTCAGATTTGATCGGTTCGTTATTTGCCTGTCTATCGAACACGGTTTCGTCCGTGTCGGTGTGACTGCCTAACCAGAACTCCGTTGCCCCGTTTTCGGGCGATGTAGAGACTAAATTGATATTGATGCAGTAACCGAATGGCATACGGGGCATTTTAAACTCCACATCAACGTGTGGTGGTTGACGGCCCGTTGCTTTGAATGCGGTGTTTGCGCTGTAGAAGCGTAGCTGTGGGGTTGGTCCTATCATATGCTCGATGATGGAGGTGGCCCATGGGTTGGCGAGGATATCTTCGAAGATGAAGTCTTTCTCGACGACTGGTTCTTGTTGGATGTTGCCCGTGTCTGGGCCGAAATTGCGGTGCGTGTTTGTGTTTGCGTAGAGTCTTTTGGCTTCGGGGATCATGCGCTCGTTTAGTTTGTCGAGGTGGCTGGTGTTGACGGCGTTTTCGAGAGCGAGGATTCCGTCTTGGTGGAGGGCTTGTAGGGCTGCTTGGAGATTGTGCGAGTTTAGTTTGCGAGTTGATAGCTCTTCGGGGGTGAGCTTGATGATTGTGAGCGTTGGTTGGGTCATTTTGATAGTCAATGTAGGCTTGTTGGGTTTCAGATAAGTCGTGGTCTTGGGCCTGGGGATGTTGGTGCACACTGATATGCACCTTTTAGCAGGCTGTGACACTTCCAAAACATGCCAAAGACTGATTAACGAATGTGGATGTCCCTTTTCCCGAAAATAGGCATAAATAGCAATTATTGATGTAAATACCCCGCATTCGCCGGTGATTTTACCGGGTTTGACCGGTCAGTACAGTGTAACTACACCACCATAGCATTAAGGATATGCCTAGGTTGCATTGACTACCGGTGGAGCTACCATAGGTATCATAATGATTGGTAGTCAGTCACTGCCTGGACCTTCCTTGAGAATGCGTGCGTATGTCGATGGACCCAGTCACGTCTGAATTAGCTCACAGCGCTTTCTATAGTGAATTTGTATGTTCTCGATTATAAAGGCGTACCGCGATAGCTGGAGGACATCACCATAGATTGAATCAAGATGTTAAGATTCCTAACTGTATGAAGCTATACCAGCCTATTGTTTCAACTGAGTCACCATGAATGGCATGGAAGATGCCAATAATCCAAGACATTAGAAAGCCATTGAATCTTACAATTGGAGAGATCCTCCATCCTTGGTCCATAAAACGAAGAACCCCATTTTGATCAGAAGTTAAATGTGATTCATCAAGCTTTGGGGGACAGCTCCCATTAGAGGATCAACGCTATTCACAATGGTTCGAATCCGAAGTAAACATGAAACCCACACAAACGCCAGACCCCAGTCTAAGCATGGAGATGGTATAGACAATAGCCACTTTTTTGTTTCGGTCGTTTAAGCAAATGAAACGCTCTTGCGCTTTCCCTTGGCAGACTTTGAGCCTGATTTTGAGGAAGCTGGAGAACTCTCTGCAGCCCTGTCATTTCCACCCTTGTTCTTCTTCTTGTTCCGAATGGTATCCTTCACGGCGTCGAGCTTGGACTTCTTCTCCTTCATTCGTGCCTCGGCCTCGGCCTTCTTGGCCTCTCGGATCTCCTCGAGTTGGCGCGCCTTCATCATCTTTGACTCGATCTGACCCTCCTTTTCGGCGTTGACCATGGCGAGAATTGTCATCATACCCTCCTATTAAGAAGAAGAAAAAGGTGTTAGTAAAGCAATTCTAATCCAGACAAAACCCATGGAAGGCAATTTGACAAACCTGGTCGTCAACGAAAACCTTGCCCTTCTTCTTTCCCTTGGGCTTAACAACTCCAACGGGTGTGATCTGGTTCAGCTTGGGAAGATCAAGCTCTGCCTCGGTATAGACTCTCTTCTTCTTCCTGGCCAAGTTCTCCGGGGCGGTGCGCGCCTTAGACTTGACTTCTTGTGGCGGAGGACGCTTGACATTCTTCTTGCTGCTGGGCTTGCTCACGCGGGAGGAAGAGGACATGCCGGAAGGCTTAGAGCCCTTGGGACCCTTGGGACCCTTGGAGGCACCTCCGGAGGAGGCACCCTTGGACGACCCTCTGGTGGGCGCCATTTTGTGAATGCGAAAGTCGTAAAAAGGTGCGAAACTTGGTCAAATCGGACGGGAAAGGTAGAGTATTCACGGAGATCGATTTATTATCGAGTCACAACAGGTTAATCAAGACTTTCAATTTCAATTCCCGGAAATAGTAGAGTCAATCAGAATAATTCGAGAGAAAACAAGAACATGCGACTCGGCGCCGCCATCAAAATTGCAAAAGAAATTTTGGATCAGGAAGGCGGTGAGAAACGCCGATTCCACCCACCCAACCTCAGTCAAACCTCCACCACCCAGAAGCTCGCCAGCGTCCAATTCTCTCCCCGCACCCTCCCTCCAAGAGATTGAATTGCACTGGACTGAGTGGACGCAATCTCAATCGACAACATGACCATCAACCCTACCTACCTCGCGCAACGGACGCGTTCTTGTACGTTCCCAGCCCTCCGTCGATCACACCTCGAGGTGTTTCGATCGCCCACCAGGCGAGCCCTGCAATTAAGACCGATGTGAGCTGTGCAAAGTCGCTAACGACGTTCTGCTTGCTCTATAGCCGTCAACCTTACGGATGCCAAGAACCGTGTCCTCAAGTCCTACCGAGAGTGGCTCCGCGCGGTCAGTTTACCCTACGATCATCCATGCCTATGCCCTTGCTCCAGCGGTAGCACCGCTCTTATTCTTTTTGATTTGCTGGGAGAATGGAGACATGGAGAGCAACCGCTGTTAAGAGAAGGATTGGCAGTTCATGACTCGAATTGAACGTCAAGCTAACCTGCGACATCAATTACAGTCCCCGGAGATCCAAACTATGTACTCCCTGAACATGCCCGTGTCCGCCATCCGCACAAAGATCCGCCAGGAGTTCGAGAAGCACCGCTACGTCAGCCAACTCAGCGTCATTGACGTCCTCCTGTTCCAGAGCCACGCCGAGTTCCAGGAGACTCTCAACTACTGGAAGCAGCTGTCCCACGTCATGAAGTACTTCCGGCCCGAGGAAGACCCCGGTGCGCGCCTGCCCCGCAACTTCGTCTCTGGCTTCCTGGAGGGCCGCAACTGAAAAGCCCATTTTCGATACCTCATCCACCACCTTTGATCATTTGTTTTCCTTTATCGCAAGTCTGTGGGATGACAGTCGGAGGGGCTGTGTCATCGACCCCGGCATGATGTGTATATATTGTCTGACTAGATCGCCAAATCATCTTGGTTCCATTTCACCTTGTGCAAAATCATTAGCTCTCTCCTTGTCCGCTTAATGGGACTTGGTTCATCTGGTGTTCATACACACCTGACCCACCTTTGCTTCATAGCCTCGCGGGTAGCGTGAGCCAATCAAGCCACACAGAAACATAAGCATGCTTACAGTACGGTCTCTACACTCGTCGTTACTTTTATGGACATTAGTATCAGTGGATATTGCTGTATTGGTTAAAGATAATTATTACTATGGACATCAAGTCTCGGTCTTGTATATCAATGTTCTTCTCAGGCATCCTACCCAAGCGAGAGGCGGTGATATGGCGAGTATGATCGATCAGTACGGCCGGGGAGAGCCGCAAACTGCGTATCTCGCTTATAGCTGTTCTCGTTGAGAACCTCTTTCAATCCATGATTGAAATTGAACGTGCAGACTACAGCGCATATCAAAGTGCAAATCATGAGGATCAAAGCAACAAAGGCGAATAGTAGCATCATATCCTTGTCTGCTGTATTCGCTCGCTCCCCATTGCCACAAAGCACAATGATCCGGCTGATAAGATATGCAATTATCGCAGCGTGGCAGACCTATTGTCGAGAGTGTTAGTATAGACGGCGGTAATATCTTTAGAGAACACTTTGACTTACAATTACCATTATCATTCCGATCTTCCGCTCCCTGAGAACGCACCAGAAAGCCAGCGCCATCATAAGGAAAGATGCAGGTAGAAGAGCCATTGTGAGGGCGAACTCTGGCTCCTCAAAGTGTACGTCGATTAAACCGTACTGGACCACAAAAACCGCGATAAAGTAGAAATCGAGCTTGATAAGAACAAGGTAAATCTGTTCAACTGTTAGTACATATCTTAGAGAGAGAAGATAGGCAGGTAAGCTCACCTCGTAGGCCAGAAAGCGAGTCTTGATACTCATATCACCATGAATCCTTCGGTAGATAGCCCAGGCATACTCTTTATGTAGCCGATAAGCGCATGACCAGATAATAAAAGTGCATATCCCAAAAATTATCGGACAAGCAATTTGAGCTGGGCCAACTCGCTTCCAGAAATCAAAATCGAGATCTACCAAGGGCTGACTTTCGTTATCACGGGCTGTCGGTAGTCTCCGAGCGATTTCTTTCAGGGAATTCGGCTGCATCGCGGAGAACGCAAGAATACATGCATTGCTGACGCATATAGCGAATAGCAACAGATTATTTTTGTGATGCACCGCATCGATAGCAAGGACAAGCTCGTAGGCGCAAGTAAAGACGAAGATGGCCAGATTGATTGGCACGACGTATGAAACTGTCACTTGGATTACATTGGGACGGACCCATACCTGCCATTCTGATATAATATATCTAGGAATGTTAGTATGTAACAGTGAGATTAACCTAGATCACTCCTCCGTTCTAGATGTCTGACTTACATCTCTAGCGCCAAGATGATAATGGCTTGCGCGAGTAATGCCCCACAGAAAAGCCACTCATTTTGTGTGGTTGGCTTGTACATTATTGTATCGCTTTTTTCTGGGGAGTTGGAGAAATCCTTCGAAGGATGTAACAAGGGTCATAGGTCAGAAGGTCAAGCATAAGAGCTGGTCCGGATTTCCTGAAATTATTACTTTTGACTCGGAGAAGGATGATAAATTGCAAAAAAAAAAAATACTGAGCGAAAAAAAAAACGAATTTTTAGTCTGTTTCTAGAGAGAGTTGCCTCCTAGAGCTGAAATGTGAGACCCTTGTGGGGCAGTGATCACATACATTGGCCAGTTGTAACTTGTTAGATTAGAGAGTGGTTCTTAAAAAAAGACTGGCGATGATCCATTAAAGTCCCGAAGCTACGCCGAGCAAAGGGTGTTCATACCTGAAAGGGGAAATAAGCCGATCTACTTGACCCGGATCAAAAACCCAGGAAACTTTATTGAATTGAACTCTTCTTTCATGGCCTATTCATGATTATTTGATAGACAGACTGAGGCAGTTTACAATTAAAAATGTTATAATTCGAGTCCAATGCGATATCTAAACCGTCATGCTAGTCACGGTCACAATTTTTTCAGCTGCAAGCTCAAAATCTGGTTCCACAATCAGATTCTTCAACCCCGATTTCTCAATCTACAGTACAGCCTATTAGCGCGCTACAGTATCTCGATGGAACGATGTATATCCTTACCATATCTAGACCTTTGTCGCAGTTGGTCCCCTGGAGGCGGACCACGACAGGAACTTTAAATCCTTTGGTTGCAGTCGCAGCAGCGATGATAGATTCGGCGATCATATCGCATCGAACAATCCCTGCACTTCGAGTTAGCCGATAAAACATACCACTGTCATTGTTACATACCCCCATAAATGTTTACGAGAATCCCCTTGATTCGAGAATCTCGGTTCAAAATCTCAAACGCCTTTGAGACAGTCTCCTTGGTCGCCCCTCCGCCGACGTCAAGGAAATTCGCGCATTTTCCACCAAACAAACTGACAAGATCATTTGTTGCCATTGCTAAGCCGGCTCCATTCACAATGTTTCCAATGTTACCATCCAGACGGACATAGGAAAGGCCCGCCTGGGATGCCTCGTACTCATCTTCCTCATCAGGCAAACGTTCCTCGAGGCTGAAGATCTCCGGTTGTCGGAATCGAGCCGAATTATCGAACGTGAATTTCGCATCCAGACAAACAAAATGCCCCTCTGGTGTGCGGACCAATGGGTTCAACTCGAGGAGTGTGGCATCCTTCTCTTTGAATAATTTGACCATTTGGTGCAAGATGTGACTTATCACACCTATTTCAGCATCCGAAAAGCCGAGCTGCGCTTGAACATATGCAGTGATCTCGGATGTGATGCCGTGCGTCATATCAAACCAGTAATGCTCTAGTTTATCTGCATTAGATTCAATGTCAACTCCTCCAACGTTGGAGATGAGAAGGACAGGCATGCCACGGTCGCGGTCGAATGTAAGTGCGACATAGTATTCTTGCGCAACATCCACGGCTTTGTAGATGTATAACTTTTTGACGAGAAGTCCGCCAGGTGGGGTTTGCTTTGTTGTGAGGTAGTATCCGATCATCATCGAGGCATTTTCAAACGCCTCGATAGGTCTCGAATTAAGTACTTGTTAGCTTTTGTCTTGGTTAGCGAATCTTCCAAAAACTTACGAACTCATAATGCGAACGCCTCCTTTGCCATCACTTTCGTACTTCCCTTTGCCCCGCCCACCGGCAAGAATCTGCGCCTTTACAACCGATGGGGCATCTGCATGAAAATTAGTGATACAGAACAAATCAGGCCTCCAATCTGCAGGCTGTCGTTGGCATAAACGCCCAAGGTGACCCACTGATCTTCGAGACTACTTCTCTAGCTTCCTCCGGACTTCCGACGACATATCCCTGAGGTACCGGAATGTCGAACTGGCAACAGTAAGTCCAGGAAGACACCCAATGCAGGAGATAAACCATACATCTTTGAGTAGTTTGTGCGAATGGTACTCAAGAAGACTTAGGCGTCGCACTTGAATCTTGAACAACCCATTATGCTACATGCCCATCAGCATCTAGAATTTTTGGAATGCCGATCAGTAGTAAAAGTAAGACCAACCTGCTGAAATACCCGGGAAAATGCGCGTCGGCTAAGCATTGGAAATTCTCGGTTTGATCAAGATTGAATCTCCAACAGAGGTCTGATGTCTCTATCAAGAACCTCAAATCTGCGGGGTAAGTTATTGTCATAGCTTTGCCTGAATAGCGATGACATCAACACTACGCCCTTCTGGCCCACGCCGAATTCGTTTTTTGACATTTGAAACGTGGGGAAATAAAGTTCGGGTGATGATCGGGTGCGATCGAGTGATTTGCTGCAAAGCTACCTTACTCTCTTGGAGATGCCAATAGGCGTGGCAGTTGTCGCTCTAAAGCAATATTGGGTTTGGCAGAATTTTGGAGCCTAATGGAGAGAGATTTGAATTTATTTTGTTGTGCAAAAAGCAAATATGGATACGTGTCGTGCGGATTAGAGTCCAAATGAGAATGTGAGCTCACCGACTCCGGTTTCTGAGCTCCAGAGAACCGTACCAGCATAAGCACAGTGGGGTTCAATCAGTTTGAAACCCCGATAAATTTCAAAATCATCTTAGCAGTTAAAATTTGAACGATAGATTATAAAAAGGTATCTGTGCCATCGGAAAAGATGATCCAAAAACAGTTAGAAAGATCTTTCAACTAAGAGTGATTGAACCATCTGTGATTGATTCGTTTCTCTGCGTACTAAACTCAAACTTTCGAACTGCCACTGTGCTAACTAAGCAATTTTATAAGCTTCACCGATAAAAGGAGATCGTTGAGGTTGCAGGCAATAGGGCTGCGGGACTCCCTGCCCCTGCATGCCTTTGATTCGTCATATCATCAGGAACTATTGTCAGACTATCACCTCCTTGCAGATGATCGCCGCTAAAGTCTATGCCACAGGGGTCTTGACGATCTGTTTGGAATATGAGAATACGAGGACAGAAAGTCCTTTTCGATTCTTATAATTAAGTATGAGTTTCTCCGGACATTATCGAAAGATTTGACAGCAGGCTTTTCCTTCGCTCCAGCCCCTTACAACGACAATGAAGTCGGAAGAGTCGGTACCTGACCCCAGTGATAGGGCCAGGTCTTCCACGGAGACTGGCCATTGTGGGTCGGTGCAGGAAGACGCGGAGAAAGAGTGTTCTCCTAAAGCTGTTCAGTCACTATACTGTATCTTATCTGAGAAGGAGAAGATCTTTACAATATGTGTCTGTTCGCTGGTGACTTTCTTGGGTCCGGTAGCAGGCAGCATGTATCTTCCGGCTATTGGTTCGCTGGCAAGCGATTTACATGTGTCGACTGCGAAAATCTATCTGACTCTTACCACCTACAAGGTAGATTCGCATACACAATATATAGTTGATAATAGCTGATTCATACAGATCTTTCAAGCCGTGACCCCATTATTGACGGCCGGCCTATCCGATCAAACTGGCCGTCGTCCCATTCTCCTCTCCTGTCTTTTCGTCTTCATTTGCACTGGTATCGGGCTTGCTTCTCAGACTAACTATGCCGCCGTTCTTGTTTTACGCTGCGTCCAAGGCATTGTTGCCGGTACTAGCACGATCGTTGCCTTTGCTTCTATTACCGACCTTGTTACCCGGGGCGAGCGGGGGAAATATATTTTCTACTCTTCTATTGGAATGACGATTGGCCCCTCGATTGGACCAACTCTGGGAGGCCTTGTGACTCAATACCTCGGATGGAGAAGCGTATTCTGGTTCATGTCCATTACTGCTGGAGTCTTACTCCTCATAATCCTGTCAGTGCTCCGCGAGACTTGTCGAGCGGTCGTGGGAAATGGCAGTCTCCCTCCTCAACCTTGGAACAAATGTGCACTTCAGCTTGTCAATCCAAGCCGCCACGAGCCCGAGCCCAAGACAAGAATTATATTCAGGAAACGCCTGGGAGTTCTTGGCACTCTGAAAATTCTCCACGATCGACACGTCGCTCTTCTTGTTCTTTGCAGCGCGACTTGTTTCTGCACCTCGACTGCCATTTTCAATGGCCTGGCGTATCTACTTGAGCAGAAGTATCATTTGGAGCCACTTTATGTCGGTCTATGTTATCTTCCGTTCACCCTCGGCAGCTGCACGACTCGGTGGACCGCTGGAACACTGGCAGATCGTTTATTCAAGTACTATGCTCGTCAAGTTGGGGAGGACATCCAACCAAACCGACAATGTCCGACGCAAATCCAGCGTATTCCTCTTGAGAAAGCTCGTCTGGTGCTTGCATTACCTTTTGTCTATTTTTACACTCTTTGCATTATTGCTTTCGGTTGGGTTATGAACTACAATGTTCATCTAGCAGGTCCTCTGGTCTTGTTATTCTTTTGCGGAAATGCCAGCTCGGGCGTTAATAACACCCTCAGCATGCTGGTCGCAGATTTGAACGTCACGAGGCCTGCTTCTGCCCGTGCTGTTATGAGTATGGTCAACTGGCTAGCTTCCGCTGGAGCGTCTGCGGCGATCATACCTCTGATTAATGCCATTGGAATGGGTTGGCTGGGGGTGCTTCTAGGGGGGATGATGATTCTTGTCTCGCCCGCTTTGTGGGCTTTATATTTCTGGGGGAAAGGGTGGAGAGATAGAAAAGCTTCAGCTGTGGAATAAGGCTGTTATTCTCGAACATACTAGATCGGTACATAGAAGATAATAAACGTCTATAAAAGTTCTTGCATGTTCGGTTCATAACATAACATCTTCTCGGCAATCTGAAAGGTGAACAGGACCTACTTGACAAGCTGTAACTATCACCGGCCTCGGTGATGGAGCTTCCGAGGTACTCACGATGATTTGCATAGGAATAGTGGTCGTTGGCTTCTTTCAATCCACGATACTGCTAGCCTAATGAGGTCCAATATGATTATTCTACACTGAAAAGGCTCAAACTTATGAGACTCTGACTAGGCATATGCTTCAGATTTTGGGCCCAATCCCGCTCTCGGCTTTTTGTCGTTGCGGGATCTTTCACTCTAGGCCGAGCAGATAACTAAAATAATCTTCCTTCCAAAGATTGATCGGCTAGTACTCTTAGTAGCCGTCGCCATGTCGCTGCCGAGATAGCCGAAAGGTTTCACATGCCTAGAGGATCGCTCTTGGGGGGTGATCATCGAGGCCTGGGAGCCTGGGATAGAAAGATTGAAGATAACGCTGAGCAGATGAAGAGGCTACAATCCCTCGACTTGACTTCAAGGAAGGGGCGAAAATCTTAAGTAGTACCTTCAAATTCAAAATCTCATGAAATAAGTTAGAAATTAATTATGTATTATGGATGGTAACTATCCAGTGTCTCATAAACAAAATCTGTGTTTCTAGAGCAGGTGGTTCAAGCTGCACTGCAAGTTGAGATCCAAGTTGATCAGGCCGACCTGTTGAATGATGAGTTAGTTATCGAAGAACTTAACATGAAATAAAGCTGCAAAAGAGACATACCTGTTCCACGTCCTTCTGCGAGCAGCAGTAGACATCACCACCGGAGCAGCTCTCACCAAGAAGGCCAGAGAGGAGGTTACCCAGAGAAAGCAGACCACCGTTTCCGTTTCCGCTGCAAACAACTGTCTGGTGGCTTTCGCAGACAGTCTCTGCTACGGCCTCATCGCCCTTATGGCCGTCATTCGTGGGCATGGCAAGGGCCGAAATAGCCAAAACGGGGAGAGCGAAGAAGTATCTCATGTTGACGGGTAGGTTTGAATAACCTAGAGTGAGGGATTAACCAAATGACCGAAAACAATTCAGAGGCGAAGTATACTTACGATCTTGGTGATGTTTGAATTGATAATTCTCTGATCTCCATTATTGCGAAGTATCTTGCTACTATTTATGCAATCGAGAGAAAGATAGAGGTTACAGAGTAATAGGAAAATACCGCAGATGTTGACGTCAACAATAAAAAGTATGAGGGTGTGGCTTACTACCGTTACATGACGGAGATTGAGTTGTGGGGGTGACAGGTCAATTAGCAGTGATCAGATTTTGTCTTCTTTCCGGAAACAGCATCCCCGGTGCCTCAACCGCTGGACGTACCTTGGGATTTGATATAGGATGCTTGGCGCCCCACCCGTTCCTCTCTATTGTAAAGCGATGCTGATAAACATTGTAACAGTTGCAAGCTAGAATTTGGTTTCGTACCTTTGCAAATTATTGCCCCAGTCATGTAGTAGTTATCAGCTTGCCAAGGCCTATTTCACGGCTCTACTGTTTGGGCTAACCGGGGAAAAAAATAGACACAAAACTGCGTTCGTTGGACTGAAAACATGACATTGTGCGGGGTTTCGGTTCAAAAAACAAGAACAGAACGCTTCCAAATTGAACAGAGCTGAAAGGGGATCTGTTGTGATTGTGTCCAAGTGTAAACTGTGGACCAATATCAAAATCTTGGTCTCCGTCTTGATATGGTAGGCCCATGGTAATCATGAACTCGAGAGAGTTCTAGAGAACATGGGGGGTTCGTGACAACTGGGATCTCCAGATTAGTAAAGAGTCACCAATGTACTACAGGGTGTACTTGATTATTTTCACTATTCTACATTGACAGGAAATCTCTTCTACTCGAATAGCAGGACTGTGATTGACTTGGTGTGCAAGAAATCAAAGTGTATTAGGATAAGATTAAAGTTCTTCAACAACAATAATTGGCCTCTGTACATGTATCATCACAGTGCACAGGTGGTAGAGGTTTGATCTTTGCCAGCCCTTCAATAACACCAGACCACCATCACTTTCCCAATGAACAGATTGAAATGATGTGTCAAGTACATTCAGAGTGGCCTTATACCTCCAGGCAGATATGATGAGTGGCACATGAGTCACTTAAAGCACGTGGTTCAGGGAGCACTGGGCGTTGATATCGAGGTTGACGAGGCCGACCTGGAAAGTTTTGTCAGTGTCAATGTATGCTAGTTGAAATGCCGCGCTTCTTTCAATAGCGCAGGAAATGTGACTTACATCTTCAACGGCACCCTTGTCACAGCAGTAGACGTCACCGCCAGAGCAGTCAACACCGAGGGCACCGGGGAGGACGTTGCCGAGGGTCAGGACGCCACCGTTGCCGTTGTCCTTGCAGACAACCTGCTGGTTGCTGGAGCACTTGGCAGCTCCAGAGCCGGCGAGGGCGAGGGCAGCAAGGCCGAGAGTAGCGAGGATGGACTTGACGAACATGTTTTCGGTATCTGGGAGATGTTAGACCGTGACTGACACAACAGAACCGTAACTGCGTTGGAACTCACTTGGTATCTGAGGAGAGTATGGAGAGATAGTAGATAGTTTAGCAGATTGTTATATTTCTACAGAGGGCGACCATCAACCCTTAAATACGTTTTGCCATTGCAAATCTCTTAGTCTAGATCCCCTCCCTCAAAGCTTTCCACGTCATGCAAATTCCAACTATGTACCTGAATCCAATGACCAGGGTTGTGGTTAGAGAGAGAGGCGCGGCGGCAACGGAAGGATGCTTTAGGTGTGCATTCTTTTGTAAACTTGGAGCCCCAATATGCTTTGTACGGTAAAGATCTTCTAGTTAACAGGGTCTTACCGTCATGACCCAAGGATTTCGAATGGTGATCCACGAGTTATTCTTGGCAAAGATCCGCGCGTCCCCCTTGCATGGGAAACGTGAAATTTCCGTGAGCATCAACGGCGATCATATTAGAGTTACATTGGATGATGGTTGGATTTGTGGGATAGGTATCAAACAGGTTCTTAAGATGGCCGATGAGAGGGTATACGCTCATGAGATTGATACTGAGATAGAGATAGAGGGAGATATGATTATAGTGTGTGTGCGAGTAAAATGGTGTCCCAAGGCCTAATTAGAAAACCATGCTCTAGTTCTTTGGAATGTGAGCCGGTTGGATCCGAAAAAATCTCCGTGTTTTACAATGCCCCTTTCTCATTGTTGACTATGTACTGCATGAATACATGATTGCTGGGTTGAATCATTCCTAGACTATTGATAGCTGAACCCACGAGCTTGGTATACAATCTTGATGTATTATGATAACCCAAAACAAGCTACAGCTCTAATCAGCTCCAAGCTTAATCAAGGGTGAATACCACATCACACGCTCCCGGAAATGTATCTCCTGGTGGTCAAAGCAAGGCCAATGGAATGTTCGGGATAGCAACGGGATCCCGAGTGGCTGTTTGCAAACGACCACTGCAGATCATTCTCGAACCCAAAATAAGCCACTTGAGCTAATTCAAGGCGGCAACTGACCTTGTGAGATCGGCAGAGACCAAATTGCACGTGAAGAGTTAGCTTGTCATTGGGTTCAAAGGCAAGACCAGCTGATATCCACTCAGTAGTACTTGACCATAGGGAGATCTAGTGTGCCTTCTTTGGCACGGCTACTGAAGCGATGTCATCGTTCGAGGCGATACCATTGGCAGTTTGTAGCAAATGCAAGCTTGGTAGAGAAAGAGTTACAAAGCGTCTGTTTTGATAGACTAATGTTTATCTAAGTCATTGGTACATCGAAAATCGAAGAAACAAAAACACAAAGGAATCGAGTACAATCCGGGTCCAAATCAGATTCCTAGGCCATAGGTACTGTTCGTTTGAAATGCGCTTGTGTGAGCTCTTAGAAGGCAAATAGGCAACCCTTCAGGTGGAATTCATCATGACCCTAGCACCTGATTACCCGAAACGAAACTTATGATAGAGGGTTCACCGTGGAGGGCCTGATTTTGACCGTAACACAAGCTTGAAATGGATATCTGGAATTAATTGCCTAGGTAGAGTACTGTAACATCAGCCCTACCTAACGGGAAGGCAGTGGGATGGCGGGTACATTGTCCCGTGATAACACTGCACGTGCGTCAACGGCTTGACCAAGAATTGACAGACTTTCACTGCAGTGACGAGTGATCACCCGCTGACGCCGGGGTCACCCAGTTCTGAGCTCTATCAGAAGTCTTGATGACGTGGTGGTACACCCCTTACCTGACACACATCTCTGCATCAGTGCATTTATCCCAAAAACTTTCCCAGATACTGTATGTCATCGCCAAAAATGGCATGTATGGAAATGTAGATGTAGTGATGTACAATCAATCAAATTTTAAGCTTTAAGCTTCCCCCTAAACGCCAATCAAATCCGGACATGAATGCAATGCAAGAGAAAGAATTTCCCAGCCCAGTACACGCTCAACCCTCCATCCGGTTGACCTGGTCCTCCTTGAACTGGTCGCGGGCGGCGGTGAACTTCTCGGTCACGACGTCGCACAGGTCCATGAGGTCGTTGAAGCCCTTCTCCAGGGCTTCGAGGGCGGTGGTGGTGTCTGCAAATAAGAAGAGGATTAGCATGAGATCCTCGACGGGAGAGTTGAAGTGAACTAAGTTCTGGGTAGGTGTCGACTTACCGTTGGTCTGGATGCGAACGTGCATCTTGGCGTCGGAGGGGTGAGGGATGGTGTAACCGCAGAACTCTACAGCAGGGCTGTACAGACGTTAGCAAAAGCTTACGAATGCCTAGCTTTGAATGGAAATTCTCATGTCCGATCTTCGACTCGGAAATGTCGAGGGCGCACTCACTTCTTCATGATAGAGTAGCGGAGCGCATTACCCATGGTGTGGCCCTCGCCGTCAAACTGGAAAGAGGCAGAGGTTTCGGTAGAACCAGGCAGCTAAAACAACCAAATGTCAGACAAGTTGCTCATATCACTAGCTCATGTCGCGGGGATTGGGGACTCCGCGGTGGGGTGCACGACTCACCACAACGATGCGCTTCTCATCCAGCAGAATGGGGTTGACGGGCTCCTCGGCTTCGACATCCATCATGGACTGGTCGTGCTCCTGGGCATCTTCCGAGTGGACGGAGGCAGGCATTGTATCTGGAGTATCTGAATTTGAGGGGATCGAGGTGAATGGGTTCTTAGGATGGTGGTTGATGCGGTTGAGTGTGGTGAGAAAAGGAGGCGCGGAGAGAGTTTGATGGAGGAACCAAACTGGCCGCTTCGCTTGTCAGTCGAGTGTTTGGTCGAACCGGGAACAATTAAGGTGAAGTGATGAAGTGAATGGACGCAAGTGCTGCCTTTGACGATGGTCGAGGCACCGAAGAAAAAAAAGTGGCTTATCGATAGCGGGCTTCACCGCCTACTACTTTTGTACACATATCTATACTCGCCATGAACAAAGCTTCTTTTCTTACTTCTGTTTGGATTTTATATTTAGTTATTGAATAATACTAGACCTGAGGTGTCATTGTCCTTCTCTATTGAGAATTGTGGGCAAAGGATTTGCGACCCCTGTGTAGAGACAGGCCTCCAGACCTGATGTGTAGATCCGCCCGTGGGGCTGCACACTGGAAGAGATGGAGTTTCGAATGCGACAAGGGTCTTTTGCGATTTGGGTTTTGCGAAATGATTAAGCAAACAAGGAGTTCTTGTGCCAGTATGGAACTTTGTGAAACTCGAGAGAGAGCAGTAGAAAAAGAAGAAACCGAGAAGGAGCTTATTTCGCCGCAGAATGATTGTGCATATATACTTTGAGCTTCGTCCAGCTCGTGAAGCTGCTGAAACACTCCACAGTCAATGCAGCCAAAATCCAGGCTAGCATGGTCTAGGGTAATCATACGAGTTAGTGGATAGAAGAGAAAACAGGCTACCAGCCCTACGCCACTACTGTTGAAACTGTGGTAACTTGACACGATATTCCGTACATTAATGAAAATCTTCGGTATGCCAAGGCCGGAGCACTTGGTCAGACCTGATTCATGTCTCACTGGATAATCCCGAGATCGGTTAATTTTTCATCATGATTCATGAATCAGTTATGGATAGAAACTTTCTAAATTGTGATTGATGAAAGCATTATAATAATTACCCGGTCATGAAGAACCGCTACGAACAAAGAGATAAAGATGAGAGAGTCAAAGAATGCCGCACGGTCTTGATCAATCTAACATCACGGACTAACTTCGACTACTGATAGGAATCCTGAATCCATAATACCCTCAAATATCCGGTTCCAGACTTTAATATCAACTAATGGAAGCAGCACTTAATTATGGAGAATATACTCCTTACCAAGAACTCCAAATCGTAAGTATACTCGTACTTAGTTCCTACTAAAAACTCCATATCTATTCTCTGACAAAAATCAGGATCACCAAAACCCTGGAAGAACCACCAAACTATTGCCCAGCTAATGTACTAATGTACCTTCAATCTCGGCCCCCTGGGCCCTAGCCCTGGCCCATTTCTACTCTAAACAGTTTAGCGCAGATAACGAACGGACCTCACTTGCTGCCGCATCACCCGGTGATCCGTGCGAGTGTCAGACTTGGTCTTGTCAAACTACGGTCAAACTAACTGAAAGAAACTTCTTAGTGACGTGCGGGCGTCCAGCCAATGGCTTTATCGCGGCTTCATATCGATCGGGGTAAAAGGACCAGACAGGCCCGGGAAATTCGGTGGGAGTCCGTAGACAACGAACTAGAGAACTGAAGGGCGGTCGGCAACGGGTTCCGTGCAGCGTACACACTCTATCCGCCCTGTGAGGGGATCCGATCCGATCCACACGAGGGAGCATGCAGCTCGTTCTGTCACCTGTGTTTCTGAGTTCGGAGAACTACAGGAGGAACCTGGGTTGGGGACTTCTATGGATGGATGGTTGGGTTGGTTGGTACTGTGCTTGCAAGTTGCCGGTCGATGGTGGGGGATATGAGTGGATATAAAATATTCTTTGGGTTTGTTTGATTTGACTTTGGGCTCGTCCTCGTTGGGCAGGTAGATAACAACAATGAGTTCATGGGTTCCATACTTCAAAGTATCCCGAGTCAGTTATGTATTTTGTCTCTGGCAGGGATGTTGGTGTGGGAACCACACGCTATTTGCGCATCCACCCCCTGGTCGCCTATAAGCGCCGGCGGCGCCCATGTTGGACGAAGAACGTGATGTGAGTCGCTGGATTGCTGGATTTGGAGGGAGTGCAGAGTTGGAGTCATCCGATCAAGGGAGAAATAATCTACAGCTTTTGAAGGGAGTATTTCAAAGTACACTTAGAAAAAGAGTATTTATGTCGTAGAGACATTAGGAATACGGCACTGTGAACCCGAGAGTTTCAACAGAGTAAACGCGTCGGATTACTAAAACAGTGAATCAGCTAACTAAAAAGGTAAAATGATAACGAAGAAACCGGCTCGTTCCTCAAGGAAGAAACCTAATTTATGGATCTTTTGCAACTTATCTAAGGATGGAGTGGAACTGCGGAGACATTAAGCCACCCAAGCCAGCGCCCTAGGCCCCCAGCACCGAGTTAACCCTTCCAAGAATTGCAAAAGCAGTAGTGCCGGGGCTGAGTGGATTTCTCCGTCGAATCTCTGACACCCGCACGGGTAGTGCAACTGATTCAATTTAGAGAGATTGGACCTGTGGAAATCGGATTTTTCTGATGGTCTCGTTGAGTTTACGGATTATTTTCTTGGTAGGTGGCGCTACAGAACTACTATGTATATAATATTCGCTATTTGTCAATAATCTATAGATATATGCCATATGTGACGAAAGTCGCTGATCGTGGGGGCCAGACTAGAAAAAGAAAAAAAAAGAAGCACGGATCGCATGTGTTCTGAACTTCTGACATGATGCTAAAAATTTCAGTGGACATGCTGCATAGTAGTGGGGGGAGGAGGGGCGGTCCACTGTCTATCGTAGGTGTAGTTCATGGAGATGATGTCTTTTTTTTTTTTTTGTTTCTCAAGACTTGGTTAATAACCTGTGAATTTACTCTACTGGATATTTGACTAGAAGTTAGTTATATGAGACAATAGTCAAGGCAGAATAAATGGGAGGCTCTATTACTCTGAAAATGGAATAGAATCGACCAGTCAACCATACTAACTACAAGCCACCAGGGGGCGCGTGTTTCCATAGATGAAACTATCGAAGACTGGAACACTGGCGGTCGCAGATCCCATCCAAGCAGCTTATTGGCAATTTGGCAGGGCGATTCAGCTGGTTGGTAGGAACAGAAACACGTCGTGTCTCAGCCAGACGATCCTGATACGCCGGGGCCCAGTAAATGTTTGAGCACGGGTTCCACCCGCGAAGGAATCAAGTAGATATACATAATACTCCATACATTATTCACTGCATTTACAAGTACTTCTACCTCCCTCCGCCCCCTGGTTCCGGGGCTCAACCTCGTCCCCCTCCTCTCCGTTCTTCTTTGACACTTCTTGTTTCCCCCTTCTGGGTCCAGACCCTCCCTCATCTCTCATCCCATACTCAACTACTCCAACTCGACTCTGCTGGCTTTCTTTCTTCCTCTCTTCCTCCTCCTCCTCTTTTTCGCCAGCTCATCATCCACCCTAAACCATTTCTTCGCGCGGTCCATTTCTTTCGCTTGACGCTCTGGACTTTTTTCCCTTCTCCCCTACCGCTAGTCGCAGCTTGCCGCTGAACTACCGCCCACACCCCCCCCTCGACCTCCCTCCCTCTCTCCCGTACTCTCTTCTCGACAATCAACAACTGGCAGGCAGTTCATGCCCCTCCTGACCAGTTCTTTGACGTAACCGCCGATACTTCTTTGTTTGCGGCTGCCACCAACATTGAATATCAACACAAGCGTCAGCCTCACTAAGCCTCAACTAAGCCTTCCAACTCGGGAATCGGGGGCTGCTTTCTACGTCGGCTTTCTATCTTCGGCCTCCATTGATGCTCCACCTCGTCGTCGAGGGATCTTTGGTCGCTGATCCCGCGCAGTTGAATTAATACATCGAAAATATCTAGCTGTGACTACATAGTCCTTGCTTGTTAGTCGCGACAACTCCGGAAATCTCCAAGGTACCACCGCAAGTACCACCGCAAGCCCGGACTCTTTTTCACTAGTCGGCAACACCATGTCAACGGCAGTTGCATCCGCGACGGCAGCTCCCTTGTCCTCACCACATACCACCCGCGATCCAAGCCCGAGGAACTTCCCGACCCTGGCTCCTCCCAGTGCCCCGGCGAATTCCTCTCCTCCGCGCATGTCGACCGCCTCTCAAGATGGCCCGGTCAAAGGGACGCCCGAGAACAAAGACCCATCGTCTCCGTAAGTTGGATTCTGGTCATACGATCCTTGGAAGGAAGCAGAGGACGGCGCAGGAAATCCAGAAAGAATGCGCAATGCTAATAGTATCTTTGCTCCAGGTCTCAAGGTAGCACTGGCCCAAGGATTACCGTGAAGAAGGAACCGCCATCGTCCCCCCGCATGCAGAGTCGCCCTCGGCCTCGAAAGTTGGACCTGTCGACCAGCCTCCCGTCTTCCAGTGGCCTCCAGGTGCGTGCACCGGGAGGGCCTATGACCGCTAGGGAAGGTTTCACCATGCAAAATGTGGGGCTGGCTTGCCTGTCGCCTGGCTTCCAGACACATGATCCCATCATGAGAGAGCAGCTGCAGCGCAGCATGTCAGTACGGGATCAACAGCGGTCAATAATCGAGGCGCGGTTACAGAGATCAGCCAAGGATGAAGGTCCCGAGGGAGTCAAACCGTCCGAATCGAAGTTTATGGCCGTGCCAAAGTCCGGTTCCAAGCGACGACCTCCTCCTGGTCTTTCAATTGTTCCCCCCTCCGCTTCACAGTTCGCCAATGAGCGAGTGATTCAGTCCGCTCCGTTGCATCAGACATTTACCGGCCGGTATCAACCTCAGCCATTGACCCGCCATATCGTCAACCAGAGTCCGACACTCGGCTCAACATCGCACATGCACCATGTTCCCGCCACTCAGACTAACAACCGTCTCCCTCCACTCTCCGATGTCTTTGGATCAGATACACTCGGCCGTGACCGTGACCGTGACCACCCCAGTTTGTATCCGAATGCATCCAGCTCCAACTCCTCCCAGTCAAATCTGGGCCCCCTGCCATCCCCCGGTCTGCCCGGTAACATGTCCCAAACGCCTACCCGGCCACGGGAGTATCGTTCCGCCGAGGAGGCAGTCCAAGAGATGTCCGGTGGTCGGGAGGAACTACTTCCCCGTATCGTGCATTACGGAGGTCACCAACCCCCTACTCCCCCATCGCCCCATGCTGGTCACATGGCCCCCAAGACCGCACCGTTGATCAGTGAACCCGCCCCCAGCGCTCCTCCAGCTCCACCAATATACTCCTTCGATGCCACTGCTCGCCGTCGCCCGCGGAGCGAATATGAGCAGGATAATGGGAGCCCGCCCCTGGGCCATGGCCCCGATCCTCACAGTCGCCCCAATCCTGCTGCGGCCATGGGGCCTAACTCTACTTTCCCTGGTCCATTTGGCGCAGGCAGGGACTCGCCAGAGACTCAGCGGAGAAAGAAGGAAGAGTTTTTGGGCCTGTGTGCCCGGGCTTGGGATTTGTTCCATTCTTGAAGTAATGCGGTTGCATATATCAGTGCACCAATAATACCCGCCACATGTGGACGGATGGATCACCATCCTTTGGTTTATGTGCCAGATTCGTCCACCTCTACATGTGGTTTGCACTGGTCCCCTTTCGGCAAGCCCGAATTCAAAAATAAGTGTTTTTGGAGCACTTTATTGCCCCAACCCGACTCCTTTGAGCTTTTTCGATTGAACTGGATGACTTGTCATGTTCGAGATTCTTTTTCATTGGTCTGCCCGCCCACCTCATCTTGATGATCGAGTATCAGGGTTGCAGCTTTCCCTGTTTTGGTCTTTCTTTTCTTGTTTACATGACATTGATGTTTATATCCCATCCCATCTATACCTACGGTACGACAGGGAGTAAGCCTCTGCGAAGGCTTACATGGAAAAAGGTTTCGTTTTGTTTGATTTTTTGCTTGCCTTGATTGTCTTGGGTCCGGGCCTTTGCTGCTACCAAGAACCTCATGCATTTACTTCGCATTAGGCGTTTTTGGTGGTTTTGCTTGTGTTTTTTTACCATATACCTATTTTTCCGGACGTTGTTCATCTTTTTTTCATTGGGAAATTCAGCCTCTTTGAACGGGTTTCTTTGGATCGAGATCTTCGATTTCATCTTCCATGATCTTATCTCGTCTGACCGTATTTCATTGTTGTTGGTGTTGAGGTTGGATCTCTGTTAGGATTGGGTTGTTTCCCTTGGGCCTAATGTAAGCTAAGGCTAATCAATCGCACGCCAATTTGTGCTTTCACACGACAGACTATTCCAGTTCCGGATGTAGTAGAGAATAGATATACTTGATCCTTGTAACTAGACTGAAGAAACATTTTTATAATGTAATATTGGGACCTGTGATTTATATTGGGTTAGTTTTGCCGTTCCCGGCCTCAATCCATCAATCAATCAATCAACACTCTATTAACCTGTTGCAGCCTAACTAGTGGCGTAATGGCTATGCGGGCGCTTCCTCCGGCGGAAGCAAGAGTCATCCGAACGCTAGCCCACGCGCATGAAACAGTAGATACATAGGAAAACGGCGTCGAACGCCACTAATCGAGAACGAAGCAGGAGGATAGGGATACCGGAGAGGGATAGCAGAGATAGGGATACAGAGGAAGCAGCAGGCCAATGTGAGGGCTGATTGAGAGATATATTATAGGACTGGGGGCTTTCCGGGCGTTTTAGTACTGTTTTTGGGCTGTTTTCATATAGCAATACCGCCGTTCTCCTTTGTATTTACTGTTTCATGCGCGTGGGCTAGCGTTCGGATGCACTCTTGCTTCCGCCGGAGGAAGCGCCCGCATAGCTATTACGCCACTAGTTAGGCTGTAACAGGTTAATAGAGTGTTGATTAATTGATTGATTGATACCGTCACATTCTCCTAGAGCTCCCGGCATCCTGTATTTAGACAGGCTAAAATACCAATTTAATACAACGAAGAGCCTTCAGTTCAATACGATTAGCTGGATCTCCACTTCAACCATCACGCTTTGGCAGAAGACCCATTACGAAAACTGGCCTGGGACTCGAGATGGTGTATAGCCTGCAATCTTATTGCCGGATCCTGCGGTGGACGACAGCGGCCACCGGGAACAGGGCTAATTTTGACCGCCATAGTCTCCGCCATCACTTCTGATGCCTCACATATCAGACTTCCAGGCCTACTATCCTGCCTATATAGGAAACACAGGCTGATTTGAAATTAATGATGAAATCGACGAATCTCCCCCTGCGAGTTCTCTCCTCCGGCGAATTTACCATGGGACACACTAATGGTATCTCTTATCTCCGGTAGGCTGGTATTGAGTAGAATCATGGCGGGTGTCTCATGGAGAAGGTGTTATGGAGAAGAGACTTATGGGGTCTCCTTATTTCGTATAGTATAGAGCTAGAGCTAGTCAATTGATCTGATTTCTCCATAATCTGCCTTCTAAAGCTTTTAGCAGTAAATGCACTCGTAAATTGGCTGATTCACACAGCTTTAAGCATTCAAATTGGCCAATCAGAGCGACGAAATTGAGAGTGAGAGTTGGACTTACTATAGCGAAATTCAGACGATTCGAAATTCTGCCGGACATATTAGCTTAGCAAGTCCTCCAGTTCCCGGTGGCCGCTATCGTCTGCCGTTGGTTCCGGCGATTATTGCAATAGTCGTTGACGTCAACAGCATGAATCAAGAAAGATACGAACACTCTATTTAGCGGCGCAATGCCAGTAATTATTGCCAGCGATAATTCGACTCAACTCGCGTTCACCCGAAGATATACTGTCTGTATTGAATTTGACAAATATATCGGTCATGCCTCACAACACCAGCGCAATCGATCGTCACGATTCACAGTTTAAAAATAATCGTCTGCGGCCTTATTTGAAGAATAATGCTTGGTCCGGGCCCATTTTCAATGTCAGGCTGTCTCTGTGTCCTTCATATGTTCCTATACTGATGACGAATGAACAGCATATTTATGCAGGTGTATCCATTGGCACCACAGGTGACTTCGTATCACGAGTCGTTATTGCTGTACGGGATGACACATACTTGCTCGATCTCTTGGAGCACGAATTCGCGACACCAGCCACGTTTCCTATGACCCACGAGCATATCGTCAGCCGGTTGAAGAAATACAGCGATGAACATTCGGAAAAGATCCTCGGGGTTGCGCTTTCCCGCTCGCTACACGAACGTATTCCAGCACTGTGTCCACAACTATGGGCAGAGCTAGACATTATACCGATCGTACTTGTGGAAGAGCCAGATGCTGATGCTACTGCCGAAGCAATGACTAAGCTCCATTTCCAGCAGAAGCCCATTGACGAGCAGGCCGAGTCGCTTTCTCGGAAGTGTGTCAGGTAGGATTAGAACACAAGAACACAATCGGTGTACCTCGTCCTCCATCTTAGGGCTAATTAGAGAACGATAGATTTTTCGGCCCGAACAAATTGCCAATGGTACATGTTGGCTTCCGCGGCCTCGTAGATGTCGATTCTGGTTTCCATATTCATCTAGCGAGCAAAACATCATTCCGTCAAACCGTCCGTCCTAAGACATGGGCAGCTGTTGAACATTACGCGTCGGATCTGTGTCATCGCGGTGTGAAGATCGCCTTCTTTAGCGCAACGCCCCAAGGAGGGGGTGTCGCTCTCATGCGCCATGCACTAGTTCGCCTAGCACATCAATTAGACATTGATCTCAAGTGGTAAAGTGATGTATGTCATTCTCTTAACACCTGAAATTAACCTTCACAGGTACGTGCCAAAGCCACGACCAGGCCTGTTCCGTATCACGAAGACAAACCACAACATCCTACAAGGCGTCTCAGGCCCGGACGACCGATTGGATTGCGAGAGTCAACAGCAGTTGGTGGATTGGACACGAGACAATGCGAATCGATACTGGCTACACTGCGGTGGTCCTTTATCTTCACTTGCGGATGGTGGTGCTGATGTCGTTGTCATTGATGACCCTCAGATGACGGGATTGATTCCGATTGCTAAAGAAGTTGATCCCCAGCGCCCAGTCATTTATAGAAGCCATATTCAAATGCGAAGCGATCTTATCGCAACTTCGGGAACTCCACAGGCCGATGTTTGGGAATTCCTCTGGCGACATATTCAGGCCGCTGATCTCTTTATCAGTCATCCAGTGGTCGAGTTCGTTCCCAAGAATGTTCCAACAGATCGGGTTGGCTATATGCCTGCCTCCACTGATTGGTAATTCGACCAAACAATGAACGGCTTGTACTTCTTTTGCTTACCTCGTTTTCAAGGCTTGACGGTCTTAATAAGGAGATGCGTGAATGGGATACCGCATTTTACGGGCGACAATTCAATCACATGTGTAAGGATTCGGAAATGCCAATCATCGAATATCCTGCCGGTTTGTTTTACATCCGACAAGCAAGATAACATGCACTAACGCTTCTTGCAGAGCAATATATCGTGCAAATTGCTCGATTTGATCCCGCCAAGGGAATACTAGATGTTCTTCGGTCTTATGAAAAGTTTCACGAAAAGCTTGCTATGCTACATCCCGATATGAAAATCCCGAAGCTTCTGATCTGTGGTCACGGGTCTATAGATGATCCCGATGGCTCTATAGTCTATGATGCTGTCCTTCAGCACATAGCACAGGCTATGCCACATCTCATGGCTTTGATTACTGTTATACGATTAAGTCCCTCTGACCAAGTGTTGAACACGCTGTTGTCTAAGGCACATATTGTGTTACAATTATCATCACGAGAAGGCTTTGAGGTGAAGGTTTCGGAAGCTCTTCACAAAGGAAAACCCGTCATTGCGACCAGAGCAGGTGGAATTCCCTTGCAGGTTGAGCATGAGAGAAACGGGTATCTTGTTGATGTTGGAGACACCGAAGCTGTCGCTCGGTACCTGTTGATGTTGTGGACGGACAGTGGTCTTTACGAGCGTATGAGTGCCTATGCTTCGGCAAACATTAGCGATGAGGTGAGCACCGTTGGACAAGCCTTGAATTGGTTTTTCCTAGCATCCGAGTTATCTAAAGGTGAAGAGGTCCTCCCACGTCGGGAGTGGATTCAGGACCTGGCTCGAAGGGATTTTGGGCAAGCATATACCAAAGCAGACGGAAAGCTGAAGAGGTCCCTACGAGATGTTGAACTCTCCTGAGGTTACCAAATCCACCTGTTGTGAGGGTATCAATCCACAAAAAAGGCTGCTCTCTCGCCATTCTTCGTGAGCGATAATTTTGTGAGCAGTTAATTTAATTGTCGCAAAGAAATGTTCGAGCTTTAGAATCTTGTATATTCCCGGCCCCTATAATATAAGTGTGCTGCCATAATCTGACCAGTCTACGTGCCCCGCCAGGACCGGAATCTGATGGACTTTGATTCTCTTGCTGTAGGTACACAGCCGGAGGGCCCACTCATTGAGTTAGCGCTTCCATGGTTAAGGAATCGCTGCCGCATTTCATCTAAGGTACTCGACGGTTCATCCATTGTGTCGTCCACTGCCAGGACCGTTCTTTGAATGACAAGTAACCGTCCGACCTTGATGAATCCCAAAAGCACGGGGTATAATCATGGGCGTCTCGAAAGACCTCCTTCTCTTCATCGATTCCGAGGATCGCGAAAAAAAACCTATGACAACACTCTCAAAAAGATCTCTCCGCAGGATATGATTTGAAGGGGCAACAGAGGAGAAGGCAGGTGCGTTTCAGTAACACCGACACGCCTTGGATGGCACCCAGTGGTGGCCCAGAATTTTGCGACGGTAGAAGTTGCAAAGTCTACGCACCTAGTGACTTGCTTCAGCCATTCATTGTAAAAGGTCCTTCGGGTCCAGAGGAAGGAGAGGGAATCGAAATGAATTGCGTCTATATACAAAACCCGATAAAGGAAACCCGTCCTGATACATGTCCTATGGCAAGAGTGTTACCATTTACCATGAAACAGGAGGAAAGAGACTCAACAGGAAGCCAGAGAACCTTCTCGTCATTTAATTTTATCCAATGATCCTGCTCAACAGAGATATCTACATTCGCTTGAGACGGTTGAGGTGTATGAATGTCACCCATGAACTAGATGTCAAGTAGTATGGTAGGTGACCACATGCGAATCCCTGCTGTTGTATGTATTTGAATTTTCTATGATTTTATGCTTGTTTCTAAGCTTATCTTTTACTTTCGTCTAAAGTTTTTGCTCCAATCTTATCGAGCCTTTTTTTTTGTGAGTTTCCTGCTTTGCTTGGCTTTTGGACTGCAGTGCGCAGAAATTGAAAAGAAATAATTTTGAAAATAGAGGCATGCAAATAACTTTTACATTTCTGGTTCTTCTGCCAGAGATTGATGGATATGCCGAACTTAGCTAGTAGGTTCCTTCGGGTGAAACAAAGGGATTCATGTCTGCCGCGAGATTTTCTGAAAATGGCGACATCAAGACATCGATCCAGATAATATCTCTTGCAATCTCAATGAATTCAGGTGGAGTCAGTTTGTTCATTGCAAGCATTTCCCTTTTCATCTCCTGGACATAGACATCTTTGCCGTCATGGTATCGCAGTAAGGCAAGAGTGACAAGAGCCCAAACTTTCAGCTCAATATATTTTTCCCCAAGTACCTCGACATGCTGAGCGAAAAACTCAGAAAGCCTAGCATATAGTGATTCTTGCTCGCTTGGAGGAAACGCAAATGATTCCTTTAGTTTCGACATGAGCAAAAGACAGGTAAGCCGAACCACTTCTCTCGCGACAAGATCTTCTAAGTCAGACATGTACACGAAATCACTGGGGGGTCTTGGCATTGAAAGTAAAAAGTGAATGCAGGGGCCGATCAACCGGATTGCATCGACATCTTTCTTCCAAAATGATGCGCTGCGGCTGTTTATGTTGATGACATCCGCAATTGAAGAGACCATAATCAATGCTTGACTAGCTGGAAGGAATACAGCGGACATGGGCTGGATAAGTAAGGCTTGTAACCTGGGCGCAGGTTGTCTCGCAAATCTATGGGATATACCAACAAGTTGTAGTGGAAGATCGAATCGCGGAATCGAGTCAAAGACCATAGAGCCAGCTAGGTCGTACCTTTGCGAAGATTAATCAGAATTGATGAGAAGTGGTTCCCAAGGAATGTCAAATTTCAAGGCACTCACAACAGTATTAAAAGGGTCATCTGATCTCCGAGATCGGCGAATCCGCCACGAGCTTTCGCTATGAGACCTAATCCATCCATGTGGATACTCCAACTATCCCAATCATAGCTTCTTATCTATCAAAAGAGTCAGCCAGGAGCTCACCGTCGAGAAAGTAGCACATACAACGAGACAGATATGAGCCAATATGTTGGCGATGACCCCTTTGCTGGTACTCTCCGTGGAGTTATTTAGGCGGTGTCTTAATATCCTTGTTGAAACTCCAAAGTGACTCAAAGCCTCCGAACATTTCACTCTGTCATCGCCACTAATCTGATTTAAAGCATAAGCTGCGTTGCCGAGAGTCACATGGAATGCCCCGGAGTCGCATAGTGATATCTCAATCCAAATAGTCTTGAGTGGCTGATATCCTGGAGCTGTTAAGACTAATTCAGAGTTAGTATTCGTGGATTTGGTGAGCCAGAACAACTGCGAAAGCTAGGAACGCTTACGGAAGTGCATAAGTTCGAGGGTGCGAGTATCAGCCTCAATAGGGAAATGAGCAACCATAGTTAGGTTGTAGCTGGGTGAAACGCTGCTTATATTTGTGCCGTGAGATTGAGAAATTCCAAAGTCAGTTGACTCTGAAGATGTTCGAGTGGCTCGCCAAGAGGTTTCTTCGGGTCGTGGGCGCCTGCGTCGTTGACCGATATCCTTCATAACGTGACGACGGATCTCCGTTCGTACCTCATGCTGTCGATTCAAGTCATCTGGATGAGATAGATTTATAAACTTGAGATCTTGAGCTGGTGACGGTTTGACGCCTGTCAGCTTTCTTGCTATCATTCGTTGTCCTTGCGGAGGACGGGTAGTGATGTGGGCATCCAGTATCGGCGTCTCGGCGACACCGGCGTTCCACTCTAAGTTATCCATATGCACCTGTAGTGACAAGATCAAGCGGTTGGTCCGAATGAGCTGTCAAGTCGTGTGCTGACTGACATTCAATGTTGTCGGAGGATTCTCGGTGATAGGATATACTGTACATCCGCCAGGATTAGTCATGGCACGAGAATCAAGGCTCTCGTCAGCTGCCTGGCAACTTCTCTACAGAGGAATATACGAAGAGTCAACGAATATGTTTATTCTAGACGACGTGAAGCTAACAACAATTTAATACAAAGCACGACATTTGCTCTTCTTCTCGAGGTTAACAAAGCGCCATGGCTCGACACCAAACTAGCGAGACCCACCCTAATATATCACTCCGTCGCAGACATTTCCATGCCAAAAACAGGTCGAAAGTCGAGAATCAAGAGACTTCGCATCAAATGCCAACATCAAATCTGGTCAATCCACTGGAGAGCAGTCTCAGGTTCCAAACGGTATCGGTATTCAGGATTCACAAAGGTATTGCGAACGATTCCCTTTTGATCGACAAGGAACGTTGCAGGTACAGGGACCTCCAGGTCATCATTGCCGTACCGCTGCTTCCAATCCACACCGAACTTGTCGAAAACCGTTCGCATAGAGTCTGGCTGAGCGAACAGCAGACCGAGCTGCTTCGCCAGCTGATTGCCAACGTCGGAGAGCACGGGGAACTTCAGCGATAATTTCTCGGACGTGGACAAAGATTGGTCAGGTAGCTCCGGAGATACAGCAACCAACGTAACGCCTTTCTTGTGGAACTCGTCCAAATGGGCCTGAAGCGCACGCAGTTCGAGGTTGCAGAACGGACACCACTCACCCCGGTAGATAGATACCAGGATGGCGCCTTTGGCAAGGAGATCGTTCAGTGACACTTTGTTACCGGTCGCATCGGTCAACTGAAATTGTGGAAAGGCGCTCCCCGGCTGGATTGCTCTAGCAGGGTCGTAGACACTTTTGAAGTTATTAACCGCGTCGTTGATGACGGAAGACACTTCCTTCGGGGCGGTTTCAAGAAACTGCTCGTAGACATGCGAAAGTTCTTTGTTTAGGGACATCTTGATAGTCAGGCCTTTGGCGGCCAAGGTCAAAGATAAGATAAATCGGAAGGAATGGTTGGATAAAGAGTTGGTGGATTTTTGGTGATGTGATAAGTGTAGTGAGTGACCTTATCAGAAGGGAAATCCACATATTTATATTGTCGATTGGCTACACATCCATGCCCAGGATCTGGTAAACCAAATTCCGTATGATTAATTTGAAAGCCGAAGTCCGAAATGAAATGGCGCAATTTCAGTGACTCAACCATACCATTGTGATAATCCAGGCAAAGAGAAGGCTGATGTGAATTGGCTCACAATAGGGCAGTTGTTGATGGGGATGCAAGCAATGTGAGCCGAAGTTCCTGATTAGGAAACCAGTGAGTAATTCAGCCTAACCGTATTCGGATGTCGGTCCCCCTTTGGTTAGGAGCTTAGCACATTTTAGAGTTCAGACGTGCCAAGTTGAGCGGGTTCTTCTCTGGCTCCACCTGCCGGAAGGGCCTAACCGCCTCCGATTGATCAAGAGCCAAGTGATACAGTATCGATATTCGCGAGGTTTTTCCGTGGATAATTGATCTAGATCTTTCGATTCTTATCAAGTGATCGGGTATGGACAGACTGATTAGGAATCAAGAATATAACATTGCTACAGCGTAGAAATGTTAAATCACGCATTGTTCAGCCTCAAGCACCTGAGAGCTGAGGGTATATAAAATGGCGTAGGTGAGAGCTTGGAATCTCCATCGAACCTTCAGAATCCACCGTCGCACCGATCACAAGACCACTGCACCAAACAAAACAAAATTGGATCATATCTTTTCGTTAAATTCACTTCATCATCTTCATCATCTTCATCATCTTCATCATCTTCATCATCTTCATCATCTTCATCATCTTCATCATCTTCATCATCTTCATCATCTTCATCATCTTCATCATCTTCATCATCTTCATCATCTTCATCATCTTCATCATCTTCATCATCTTCGTCAAATTCGTCAAATTCGCTCATAATCACTCTTGTACTTTGGAAAAAAAAACGATTTGCCCCACGATGTCGCGCCTTATCGTTATTCTCGGCATTACCGGTGTGCAAGTGAGTTTTGACAGTTGATCTTTGGATATGCCTCATTGATTCGAGGCTCAATTTCAAGCTTGACTGACACCGAAGCTGCAGGGAAGCTCTGTTGCCGACGCGTACCTTTCGAGTCCGGGTTGGAAGATCCGCGGTGTGACGCGCAACGTTGCCTCCGATAGTGCAAAGATATGGAAAACGAAAGGGGTTGAGATGGTCAAGGGGGATCTGGACGATGTGGAGACCTTGAAGCAAGCCTTCGTGGGGGCCGACATCATCTTCGGCGTTACCGACTTCTGGACAATTTTCAAGGATCCAGAAAGCCTCAAAAAGAAGAAGCCCGGCCAAACGCTCGTGGAATATTGCTACGATGTTGAGCTCCAGCAGGGAAAGAATATTGCCGATGCCGCGGCCACTGTTTCTAACCTCTCCCGATATATCTTCAGCTCAATGGCTCATGCTAAGAATTCCAGCAACTGCAAGTTCTCTGAGCTCTATCACATGGACTCCAAAGCAGACGCTGCTATCTATGCACAGAGCATCCCGGCTCTGGCTGGAAAATTCTCGCAGATTCAGGCGCCGATTTATTTCCAGCTCCCTTGGGAATGGGGACTTCCTACAACACCGCAAAAGGTATGAAGAAATGACTCGTTCGACTGGTGCTTCTCTGAATCGGACTCCCTGGCATATTTGTAGGTATTGACTTGTTTCAAGGCAGCCGATGGCACCTGGAGAATGGCAGGAATTGGTACTAGCAACAAGGGCATTCCGTTTGGACACGTTCGCAAAGATTTCGGTCCTTGCGTCAAGGCAGTTGCTGAGTCCGAGCCTAATACCAACTTGTTCGCTGTTGGGGAATACGTGTCGTGGTCTGATTATCTTCGAATTTTTTGCGAAACACAAGGCTTTAAGTCTGGTGGCTACGAAGAGCTTTCGTACGACAAATTCTGCGAATTGCTCCCCGGAGGCCTTGGTCACGAATTCGCTCACAACATACTATTTGCCCATGAATTTGGGTACGAAGGTAGCGACCCTGCCGTTGTGCGACCAGAGAAGGTATTTATATCCTGCTAGATATCTTGTTGTCATTCTGAGTGATCAATGACATCTTCTATAGTTTGGTCTGAAAATGACTTCGTTTCGCGAATATTGCGAAGAGACTGATTTCGGGGCACTGAAAGGTGGAATGTGAGGCGGACCTGCGATCTTCAATATTCACTGAAGATTGCTTTTGTGGTACCTTGCATGCTTTTAGCCAAGAATTTCGTTGTTATCGATATCCATTCATTTGGTCGATGTAAATTCTATCTCATCTGATCTCAGTACATACGACCATAGGGCACAGGGCTTCCCATCCGGCCCGCCGTACTTAAGCCACATATCTCCATGACGTACTCTGGATTCTGTCCTCATCAATCTGCACCCGGTCTAGCCCATCATCCAAGGCTACCTCGCATGCCTTTCTCACCTCGGCTTTCAATGCCTCTTCACTTAAACGTGATTGCTGCCAGGTGCTCTATTTCCTCACGGCAACATCGAGAAGGCCAGAAATATGAAGGTCAGGGAGTGCCGTTGAGGAAATAGCGGTGTTGTCTGGACAAAAGGACGTAGATGACCCGGCTGCCTGTAGGGTCTTGGTCGAAAGGACGTTTGTGATAGAGATGGGAGGGCAATGTGACACGGATATGTGCACTATGAGGCCTCGGCCGTTCACGCCGTTGCCTCTCCGCCCTGTATATTTGTTCCCGAATCATGCCTGGCACATCTTCATGTGACTGTAAAAGTCCACCACTTTGCACGTACCTGGCTAGATTCTCCAGCTAATCCTGTTAAAGCTTATAGTGCCTTTTTCCATATGGATCTTGCCAGCAGTGCGGGCCTAGATCACAAGATCCAGGACAGCGCATTAAAGTGTATACCGTTTTCCATGCGGGAGGTTCGCCAGTAACTTCTTCCTCGGTGCGGAGCTGTTGTTCTCGCTCTTCAAGCATGCGCTGAGTCGCAGATGAAGTTCCTCGTTTATCACTTGTGCGGCGGCTGACAGTTGAACCTTAGGGGTTCTCTATGTAGTTGAATGAGATAACAAGTCTCAGTTTCTTGCCAGCCAGAAAAAGATCTCCACAATCCAAGAGCTGTTTCTCTGTCGAGGACCAATCAATGGCCATCCCATCAAACCTCGGGGACAAGCTTCTCTACCGCGTGGCCGATACCACAACAGAGGTGTTATCCGATCCTAATTTCCGATGTAGGTACTTTCGAGTAAGTAGGGCTGCAAAAAGAGTCGCCAATGAATCCGAGGGGCTAGAACTAAATCTTGTTCTGTATCTTTCGCCAACCTTCTGTTATTGAGAGTGACCTTCCACTCAATCAGGTAGTGAATACAGGCTGGTGGATCCTCATCATACATCAGACCTTCCTTCTAGTCCCCAAATTGGAGCAAGGGAGGCTATTCGTTTGCGCAGCGGCTTGTTGCTGAGTAGCGCGATCGATGGGGGAGGCAGTGTCGATGTTCGTACAGCTTTTATTGGAAGGAGAGGCAGGAGGACGGTCGAAGTTGCCAGGTGTTGGTGCATACTGCGATGCATCGTTCCATACGTCAAACGGTTCACTTTGTTGAACATCGTAATCATCATAGCTAATGAACGGACTGAACCTCATTTTCATGGCCCAACTGTGGCGACAGACTTATGGTTAGTGATCATTATGTGAGGCCTGCGCCACCGGCTACCGAAAAGGCTGTTGTTCGCCCGCAAACAACAGAACCTGCCAGTGACAGGTTTCTGCCGACAAAATCAGTCGTTTGTATGAATGGATCCTAAGCGAAAGGACACCTTACAGGAGTGACGACTGGCAAAGAGGATACATGCCAGGTGTCCTGAGAGGAAAGTCGGGGGGACCTTTGGAGGGGGGCAGGGGGAGATCAACACTAGGGCTAGCCGGCTCTCTTTGACTGAGAAAGATCCACTCTGGGGTTTCCATGGAAGTCGACGTGTAAGATCGAGAAATCCCTATGTGAAGCGTGAATTTCTCAGTAATTTACTAGCTTCAACCTCCAGGGAGTTTTCGACATTTCGCAAGCATGCTTTAATTAACAACTTACTACGGTTGTCCTTCAAAGTAAGACCGGCGTATACCCAGCAGTACAGTAATTGAGATATGCTGTGATACAAGACAACAGCGCATCAGGAGTAATGCGGCAGCATCACAAATAATTCCTGCACTATCTACACGAGGGGAGACAGTTGATCGGACAGCTATTTGGACAGTCACTCTTATACACAGTCGTTCAGGTCTTATCAAAGAGTAATTCAATCCACATGTCTCTAAATGACAAAAATATAGGATCCAGTTAACCGCACGACAAAGAAAGACATTGGCACGACAAACTAAGCCTAATCGGGAACCATACCAAAAAGTAACCGACAATTTCATAATCCCTACCAAGCCCTTATGTATACATATTCCTATACATAAGCGATCGGCGGAAGTGCGGAGGTACAACATACATCCAGTCGATGCGACGCGAGCCCTCTCTATTAGGGCGAACCTAGGTTTTGCAGGCAGATTGAGCAATAGATATGACGGCACTGGAAGTGAAGAATGAATCAAACACCGAATTAGCAGGACCATGAGAGGGGACTGAGCAAGCAAAAAATTCAAGAAATCGTTCCCAAGTGACGATGCACGGAGGATTCGATGCGAGACCCGAACAGGAGAGGTAACCAGTCGGCCAAAAATGAATACACTTTGTCACAAGGGGGCTAGTACTAGAATAAGTGTTGTTTCGGTCAGCATCGATAACCATACATTTTCAAAAAGTACCAGAGAGATTTATATTCTTCGGTCTCAATCGGGACTATTCAAATCAAGGAAAGTTGCTCAGATAAGCAAGTGCTTTCCGAAATCACAGTCCTGCAAAATTGCCTTGCACCTGCGTCTATTTCCTATTGTTGGTTTAGGCGTATATAATGTGCCCAAGCCGTACAAGAGTATGATATATTTTGCGCATTTAGATAAAATCAAATTAGAATATCGTGCACCCACGAAACCGCGTATTAGCCAGCACACGACAAGAAACACGCGAACCATTCAAAATACTGGAGCCAGGATCGAACTACGCTCATCGCCTGCCTGCTCTTCGTTTGCATCAAACTCATACAGAACAACAATAACGGCACTGTTATGCATGTCAAGCACGGGCTGCGTATTCTCGGACAGCTCCAAGCCCTACGGTCTCTCTCCCCCTCCAGCCTCCCTTCCGACGCGTGAAAACTCCTCGCCCAAATGTTCCGCACCTTCTTAACCAGGCCATCTTCATTGGTTGGCCGTTCCGGCAGCATGGCGTCGTAGTGTGCATAGGCTTCGCGATGTGCTCACGCCGCTCGTTGACACCCCGCCCGCCGACTTCACAACGCTCGGCCAAGCCCACGAGGCCCTTCAACGCATCGGCCTACTGATTCAGTACTCGCAGCGCATTGGATGCGGCGCCTGCTCGCACCATTTCCACCGCGCGCTGCTCCGCCATTGGCAGGCGAACATGGTGCCGCACAGCAGCGATCCTACAACTGCATGCGATGGCTCTCGGCATCATGAGCGACGCCCTTGTGAACGGCGACGCGGCTTTCGAGGAGGCCACGCCGACAGTCGAGACGTTTGTTGCACACACGTCGCTGCTACTAGAGTCAGAGGACCAGACATAACGCCCGAGCCACGAGATCATCCTATCTTTTGAGGCGGGCCTGATTGGCCCTTTGTACTATACGGCCATCAAGCGTCGCGTGCTACCGGTCCGGCTACGCGCCCTGCGATTACTGGAGGTGGCGCCCTGGCGGGAGGGCATCTGGAACTCGGGCATAGCAGCGAGGCAAGCCGGCTCGTCGAGGTTGAGATAGAGGTGCAGGGTGGACAACTCATGGGGGATGTGAGTTCAGTCAGGTTTGTCAGCCAAGTGGGGTTGACGGTAGCGGTGACTGCGCCAAAGGTTTATGAGCTCGCGATTAGTACGAGGATTCGAGGGAAGGATGACGGAGATGTGAGTCAGTGCTACGATTATTTTGCTGACACACTACCTAATGCAGGGTTTGAAATCATTTTAGTATCTCCTATACATGCCCGGATGTAACTCAGATCCGAGCCTCGTCAATCATCAATTTTCAGTGAGTAGTCTTTCATTTCCCCTACCTCTCCGGAGTTTGAGCCGCAGATCGGCAACTCTCGCCGTCAATCTCCAAATAGTTTTTGGCTGAAATCTTTGAGCTCGGAAAAGACCGTCCATTACTGTGATGAGTCCCTTGCAGTTCGATTTCGGACTCGTTTGCCAATCTCTGTTGAAGTCCCGGCCATGACGGCCCGGCTGATCCGGCTCCGGATGCGATATACTTGGACTTTTGCCTCTGTCCCTTGAGGAGCCCGTACAAGACCGGAGCATTGGCCACAACAGCGGCAGCAAGTAACTCAACAGACGCCCATGTCGTTCTGTTCACTTGCGCAGTGGCATTTTTGGCGTTTTGAGGGAGCCTCGCAATGGTGATGGCGACGATAAAAAGGCCGACAGTGAAGAGGGCCGCTAGCTGGAATTTCCTGCAAATAATGAGTTAACGAGGTGCATATGATGATGGAGGTTGGGCCAGGCTCACTCAGAAGTGGATCGTTTCACCAGAACGAGAATCGGAATTGGCATGGCGATAAGCATCACGTCGGTGATGACATTGAGGACACCTAAATGAAGAGACGAGCATGTAAGTAAGAGCAAAATATCGAAACGACCTTTTCGGCAGACATACCGAGAACGATCAATTGGAGCTGTGCCTGACAGCATGTGCCTGAGTTTGTCAGAGGGTGAAATGGACAACGAAAAAAAAGGTAGAGAAAATGGCATACCAGGGTCCGGAAACACGATCCAGTAATGGTTGAAGGGATCGCACTCCGTGAAAGTCACGATCTGTACAGTTACATACGTCGCTGCAAATATCCCAATGTATGCGATCATCGTGGCCTTCTCCCAGCGAAGGTGTGTGTGCAGTCTGCGATAGGTATCAAGCAGAACGAGTTTTTGCAACCAGAGACTAGAAGAATGTGAGAAGAACAGCACCTCGACCCGACCTTCCAATCCACCCAGAACATACTAGGAATTATAGAATACTCGATTGGTGAGCACAAACTTGCTTGCGATTTCTCTGCGACGGATCTCCTCGGTGGTGAAATGGTGTGTGTGTCTGAATGTGGTCGTCATATTGTTGGTCCCCCAGATGAGAATAACGTGGACCAAGGCGAGGCGTACAAGAGCACAGAGAATCGCCCCCAGTGAGAAATAATCGCCTAGGAGAAACTGTAATCCTTTCCACTTTCGCACGAGAAGCCGAAGGACCATCAGGCCGATTGCCGCCCAGGTAAACACCCAGAGAATGATGAGGGTGGAATTCATCGCATTCGCTAGGCTGGGAGAGCCCGCCAAGGCAGGAAGGGGGAAATGAAATGGAAAAGGATCAAGAGAACCAAAGTCTGAAATAAAACGAGGTATATTAACCAACGATAGGACGGGGCAGGAGAAGGTCTGCTTTCATCATCCATGCCAGATCCTTCCCATGGTTCGTTCACCTGTCCATCACAAGGTTTTGGCAAGTCCCCGCCCAAACCCGCCAAGACATCAGGGTATCATCTCATTTAGCAAACTTTAGAGAAGTTGTGCTCCGTAGCCAAGGAGCGAACAATCGAGTCTCGGATCGCCCCATCACTGCCTCGTGTTCAAAGAAACCTACGGCGTGGGATTGTGAGGCTAAGGGCACTTTAAGTTTACCTAACAGAGTTGGGTCCAATCGGCAGGAGCGGACTGGGGCTCGCGCGGCACGGATGGAATCGCGCCAAAAACCCGCTGCGGCAAAGGCTCCACCAGCACCTCCGAAGGGGCACAAGGGGCACAAAGAAGGTAAACGGTCAAGGAGTTAAATTCACACATCCAGGGATACGATTACGTTTCTGGATGAACCTTGCCCTTGGCCGCTCCTTGCACTTTTCGATCACCCATCCCTGGCTCTCGCTCGCCTCTCATCAGGAAGCACCATGCACGTGAGGACAGGCTTCTTATTGATCGCCGGGGCAGTTGCTACGGCGGCTTCACGGGGCTGGTGCGGTGAGGTTCCAGCCCAGCGATCGTACATGTATGTTGGAGGACAATACATTCAGAACAGTGCTGGCCAGCATGTCTTCGCGGATCAGATGTACGTCGAAAAACTGACCCCAGCCGCGGGTGTTACCAAGTCACATCCAATCGTCTTCATCCATGGACAAGCTCAAACAGGCACGGTATGTATCGAGGATCGCCCTTGTCCCCTTCTGATTCCCGTGGCGGACGACATTAACCCTGATCCGTTAGAATTGGCTCAACAAGCCCGACGGAGGGGAAGGCTGGGCCTCTTTTTTCCTCTCTCAAGGATATGCATGCTACATTATTGACCAGACCTTCCGCGGCCGCAGTGCCTGGTTCCCTGGCAATGGGACGCTGAGCACGTATAGCGCCGAGCTGTTGCAACAGCGCTTCACTGCACCGCAGCTATACAACCTCTGGCCGCAGGCGTCCCTGCACACGCAATGGAATGGGACCGGCGTCATGGGCGACCCAATCTTTGACACCTACTATTCCTCGACGGTTGAGTTCCTCGGTTCGGCAACCTACCAGCAGTCGACCGTCCAGGCTGCTGGCGCCGCCCTGCTCGACACCATCGGATCCCCGGTCATCCTCCTCTCCCATTCCCAAGGTGGATTGATGCCCTGGCTCATTGCGGATGTGCGCCCGGATCTCGTCCACTCCATCGTCTCAGTCGAACCGACTGGCCCTCCTTTCCAAGAGGCCGTGTTCAGCAACGCCTCTGCCCGTGCCTATGGGCTTACCGACATCCCCCTGACCTACTCGCCCGCCGTGACCGATCCTCTCATCGACCTCGTGAAGCAGACAATTCCTTCCAACTCATCCCTGCACTCCGACTGCATCATTCAAGCCGATTATCCCGCACCGAGACAGCTCGTCAACCTCGCCCATGTGCCCGTCCTCGTCCTGACAACCGAGTCGTCCTACCACGCGCCGTATGACTGGTGCACCGTCCAGTTCTTGCAACAGGCAGGTGTGCCGGCCCAGCACCTCCAGTTGGCGGATATTGGCATCCATGGAAATGGACATATGGTGTTCATGGAGAAGAACAGTTTGCAAGTTGCGGCTGTTTTGCAGAAGTGGATGGAGCAGAACTAAACTATGGAACTGAGAGGTTGCTTGGTCTTGAATCATTTTCCTTTTCTCTCCTCGCACGAGGTATAGAACAAGGTCGAAGAAGAAGTTTTTTCTGTAACCTTGAAAATATTGTACATGTTTCTAGGTATTCCATGAATCTGTTGTGTATATGTCAGAATGGCGTCCCTTTCACCAAGATTGCAACCTAGACAGCTTGATGTTCTGTGAGGATGAGTCACTTCCTATCTCGTCGCCCGCTGGATTTCAGGTATCGGGTCTCAGGTAGTCAGTCCAGTTACAGAATTGCAAGATACTCAATCTCCACGTCCACATTCAACGGCAAAGTTTTCACAGCAGCACATCTGAAGGTTATGATCAGGATAGTCCAAACACCATCCGCCAACAGATTTGGCTTTTCAGATTACAGCTTACGTCTGAGAGGGCTTCACATTACCCCAATAAAGCGTACAGACCGAATTCGTAGCCACAAAATCGTCCATGTTGAACAGGAAGACATTGAATTTGGCGGCCTTGGTGATGTTTGAACCAGCGACTTCGAGAATGTTCGATATATTTTTGATGCATTGATGCTAATACGATTATGGTCAGTACTGCTCCAAGATAATGGCAAAATAGACCTACAGTGTGCATCTTGATATCTCGGTCAACGATTTTACCAGTCTGCGCGTCCATGGGCACGCAACTGGAGCAGTAGACGAATCCGTTGGCAACTATGGCTTGCGAGTAGATGCCGGGCAGAGTTGGAGGTGCATTTTCGGTAAGAACCACGTGTTTGTCAGACATCTTGAAGGTATTGAATGGAATGGCTTCAGGTTTTGCAGGACGAGTTATTATGGACTCATGGTGGTTCCAACACTTATAATGGATACAATGCAGAAGCAACCCAACCGAGTTTAGTTAGCAGAACAAAGTGTAGCCTTCCACCGCTCCGATATTTCCCTACTGCTGTCCCAGAGTGGCTTTATTTTTGCGGGTGGAAGGTTCATCTTCATCCCACTTCAGTCGTGGGGGTGGGAGTGGGATCATTCTAGCAGAGTTGAAACAGAGAACCTCAAGGTCCATCCGCCCATAACTTTGCTGACCATCACCTCAAATTCTTACGCCTGAAACTTGCAGCAACGTTTTCATCTGCAGGGTCTTGGTAGAAAGGAGTCACCGACCATGGCAACCGGTGGTTTTAGTCACCGCCCGCGTCCCCGGGGCTAAGTTAGGTGGAAGAGTTGTGAAATCCACTGCATCATTATATATCCATAGTCGTTTTCCTAATCGTCGCGAGTGACTAGACAGGCTCCCGGAGCTGGGAATTCCGCAAAAATTCGAAATTGAAGAATCTTCATGATCTTCCATTAGTAGTGACCCCAATGTCTGTGCCTGAGCCAGCTTACATCAAAATGATCCCGGTCCGTATCAAACATCCGCTGCCTACACTGCTTGAACCATTCGGGATTTTCTATTGAAACTTTTTTAGTTCTCCCTTAATATATCGTTAATACTGTGAGCAATATAATTAGAGCTTGTAAATGTGTGCGGAGCTTCATATGTCTTACAGCATGCATATAAAACAGGTTTCTCTAAAGATTCCGAGGTTACAACGACCCTAAACCATATTTTCGAAACCAGTATTTTTTTAACCTTGAAGTAAGCACGAACGGACACTTGTTGATATACTACTGAGAAATGATTGAAAAATAATTATTTAACACCAAATCATTAACGTAGTTCGGACCCGATTCGATGGACTGCATTGGCGAACCTTGCAGCTTCTAGCTTATACGATTTGCAGTACGTATGTTGTAACTGGTCAGAAAAGGAAAGCTGTGTGACTTCTAGTATACAGCAAAACATGAAAATCCCTTGCTTTGTAACATATTGTAGAGTAACTCGGTGATCCTTTTGGCCATATTACAGTGGTTAGCTCGTCTTGTTAGGTGTTTCATAGCATATATGAAACTGTGGGCTTGCGGTGAGACATGTTTATACTTAGAGTAGTTGCAAGGAGTACTGTAGGCACGTCAAAGTTCAGATTGCTAATAATTTATCTCATTTATTTTCGGTGCAAGATAAGTCAATACAACTATGAATAGCCTTTTGCCGATGTATTGGAGATTTATAATCAATATGAGCGCGACATTCTGTAGAGTGACGATCTATATTTACCCTACATATGAAATGGAGATAATCTAGCACAAGCAAGTAGTAAGAAATAGGCAAGCACCGGTTGACATTAATAAGTCATCGTCAGAGTAAGTACCCTCTGTTGGAAATAGACCGTGGGTCACGTGACCGCAAAGCGGGCGGAGCGGCCCCACTCGTAGCTATTTAGACCTCTTCGCCCTTCTAGACAATTTCATCCTCCTTACACTCTCGTCAATCTTCCAGTGTGCACTGTAGCCTATCATCAACACCCTCTAAGCAGTACTATGCTGGCAATCGCCGTCGGTGTCTAGTCACGTGGAGCGCCGTAGTCCAGCACAATTGGGGCAAAAAGCACTGCTTCGGATGAGGAGAAAAGAGAAGGACTAGGATCCACAGATTCCTAGAAAAGCTACTGTAACACAGGGCGAAGAATGAAGTCTAGGAAGGAAATAAAGGAAAGAGAAGAAGCGTCAATCAGAACTAAGTAATGTTATCAAATGAAATATGATGGAGATCCGATAGGGATCTCCCTCGAGGGAATCCCCCAGTCGGGATTCTCCTAGAGGATGGTTCCAGGGCCAGGTTGATTGCTTCGGCCTATATAGGCCTTCTCTTCCTTTGTTTCCTTTCTTCTGCAGAGATAGTTCTCCATGTATTCGAACTAGATTGTTCCTCTCTCTCCTGCTTCCTTGCGTAGTGGCGATAGATCGCCATCAAAATACTAACGAACGAAAAAGATAATAGGGCGACATAACCAGGATGAACCCGGTAAGAAAAACTCGCGCGGAGTAGTAACCCACCCCTTGGCTACGTTCCTCGTAGCAGGGTAAACCGGGGAGAGGGAACAAAAGAGAATATGTGAGGGCATCGGCAGCCAGGGGCAGCCATGTTCGAATTAGGTTGTCTTTGTAAGTTGTGCCAAGCAAGTACAACCAAGGAATTCATAGTTTCGGTATTTTGAGGACGCTCTGGATCTGGTTTCGGTCAACGAGTGCCCGGCGTGATCGATATCGATATCAATAAGATGTGATAACAAAGATCATTCGAAATAAGACATGTCGGCAAGTGCCAGGATCCAACTTGACAAGCGAGAAATTGACCCAGCCCCTTCTCGGGCGGGTTTGGTTGATAAGTGACAGAAGACCCATACATGAACATCAATAGAATCTCCTCCCAGATTGAGGGACCGTACAGTAAGTTAGTAACTGTCATTTATGCTAACATAATGGCTTTAATTCGGGAAAATCTACGCTCCTGATCGAATATCGCGTTAAGTATAGAATATTGAGGTGATCAGTGCACCAATAGATTACATTAACCTGGATTATTTGCATTCGAAATTGTAATTATTTTCGATTATTCAACTATTCAACTATTCAACTATTCAACTATTCAACTATTCAACTATTCAACTATTCAACTATTCAACTATTCAACTATTCAACTATTCAACTATTCAACTATTCAACTATTCAACTATTCAACTATTCAACTATTCAACTATTCAACTATTCAACTATTCAACTATTCAACTATTCAACTATTCAACTATTCAACTATTCAACTATTCAACTATTCAACTATTCAATTTCTCTAGTAACTAGCTGGAACATCAGGAAACAGAACGCCTAGGAGTCATATGTAAATCAACAAAATATCTCGAGCCATGTAACTAAGGCCTGGACTCCATAACCACAAACGGAGCGATGCTTGCCAATTTCTCGCAGGTTTCTCTCAGCTCACGTTGCGGATTCGATTGTGAAATGACGCCAGCCCCAGCTTGGATCCATTGGCGAGTTGCATCCTGAAATACACTCCGTAGCACTAGTGTCGCCTCAAAGCATTCCGGGTCCTCAATCATGATGACGGCACCTGAGTAGAGCTCCCTCGTCTGATGTTCAAGGCGCTGGATAGCTTGGATCGCTGTATGCTTCGGAATTCCCGAGGCCGTGATCGAAGGGAACAGGATCTCAAAAGCATCCCACATATCTTTATCAGGCGATAGGATTCCTGCCACACGAGAACCCAGATGCTGAACGGAGCCGCGTATGCGGACTGACATAAAGTCGTCAATGGTGACGGAATGCGGTACACACAGTCGCTCAAGTTCTTCAATTGCTTCTTTGACCGAAATGACATGTTCCACAATTTCCTTCGGATCATTCAATAACTCCCTACGGAGGCGCTCTACTTCAGCTTCTGACCCATTGCAGGATCTAGTGCCAGCCAATGGCTCAGTGATCACTTTCCTTTCTTGCACTGACATGACTAGTTCTGGGCTAAACCCTGTAGCTTGAAACCCAGCATGATTCAATGAAAAAGTCCGCGCAGGATTGTTTGCTCGTCGGCCAAGAAGAAGAGTTGCCGGCATATCGACTTTGTCCTGGATATTCACCGCTCGCGATGGAATCACTTTGACGTAGTTGCCTCTGTTTATCTCGAGCAGCGCTTTTTCAACCCTTGATATATACTCCTCTGGGTTTTCCTGTGTATCGATACGAGCTGTGGTTTTAAGATGTGCACGGTCGAAATTGGCCGGGTGATTGTGGATGAAATCGTGTAGTTCTCTAACCCGATCGTCGTCAAATCCCGCGATGGTGATCTCATCTCGTCGGAAAGTGAGATCAATGGATGGAACTAGCAGGCTGAGAAGTGGCCACTGGCCAGGTTTGAACTCTTGCCTGCGGATGTGGGCAGCATAGTTAAACCCGGCTTGACCGAATATCTTGCCGCCGGTTTTCAGGTTCTCGTCAACGAACTCTCTTGCGAGAGCAGAGATAGAAGATCCTGCAATTGAGCGGGATATTTGTTTCGATCCCATTGCTATAGTAATATTCTCTCCTTTAGAGTCTATGAGCAATGTCGAGTGGTTTCCAAGGCCGACAAACCAATCTCCGTCGCGTTCGTACGCGTAATAGTCGTCTTGTCGGTACTTCGCCAGCACCGCAGCCACCCTCTCCAATGCATCACCTCGACTTGTGAAGGTTAAACACGTACGATGAAGAGTCATTTGGTGCAATATTTGGTTTGAAATAGGATATAATGAGGAAGAGTAAAGTTAGTATAGTGAGGGAACAATAAATCCTGGTCGGAGGTTCTATTTATACCTTTTCTTCCCGCGTATGAACCATCCCTAGCTGCTGGATCTGGATATTCGAAGGATCTTAGAAGGTATATTTGATGTATCATCCTTTCTAGCATCTAATTAAATACTCAGGAAGCTCTGGCCTATTATATTCCTGAAGATGCGTGAATTTAACGCAGCTTCCCAGTCTGCGTTAAAGAGGAACTTTACGAGGTTACTCTTAAACTTCAAATTCTTTTTGCCACTCACACTTTAATCATGCTATCAAGTGTAATACATATAGATGACCCAAGGTTTGTAGGGCCGAAAGTAGATTACATTGGACCAAATCTCAGTAAGGGGCTAGAGTAACAATCAAGTGATCGTCTGGCACTTCATATATGCTTTTGGTTGCTTTCCCGTTATGAGGCATTTAAAGTCTTGAATCACCTTATCTCATAATATCTTTGAGCCCAAGATGGCTGTCATTTCTTGAGGTATCAAAATATTAGTGGTTATTTCTTTCTTGTTTGTGTCAGGAATATCCCATACTCCTTGCTTCTACTTCTATTCTATCCACTCGCCAATAAAGACTCTAATAACCTGATAAGTCTAAATGGTAGCATAGTGGGTATGAATAACTCCTTCTATCCAATACAGCAGCGAGCTGAGCCCCAATTTATGGATCGTAATATCTAGTACAACGGAAAACGAGGTTTTCCATACATAAATAGTGACATTTTGAATGTCCTTAAACTTCGTAGATATACCTCTATTTCGCTTGCTCCTTCTGGATCCATATTCTCCCCCGTCTTCCTTAATGTTTGCGTTTATGCGTCTTGAAAGACACGTGCTGGTTATACTCGCATTCGAGTAAGGGCCACGTAACTGATGTTCTATCACAAGTCCGCCACTATGATTTAATATTGGTACGGAAGCCAATAAGTGCCACCTCTTGTGGATGGCGTTTTATATTCCGCCTTTAAAACTGCCAGCCCCAGATACCTCATAGACTAAGCCAAAACAGCTGATTCGGTCTACATTCAAATGCCCCTACGTCACTCTTTCCGCATCTCCCTTTCTGCATCTCTCTTTCTGCATCTCTCTTTCTGCATCTCTCTTTCTGCATCTCTCTTTCTGCATCTCTCTTTCTGCATCTCTCTTTCTGCATCTCTCTTTCTGCATCTCTCTCTGCATCATTTCGTCAGCAACTATGGTTGAGGATATGGTCTCGGTAGCCTCATTTGCTGCAGTTCTGTCAAAGGGATGGCAGCGAACTTCTTCTACTCGGAGTAGCCAGCGGAGGGTATACAAGAAGATATAGGCAAGGAGAGTGCTAAGGGTAAGGAGTCGCTAGTTCAAATTGCTAAAGTGATGGGCAATCAAAAGCGTGGCCTCTCATCAGCCAAACCAGGATTTCTTCTGGATATTAGCCGTTAGTAGCCTAACCTTTCAGCAGCATAAGCAGTAATGAGGCTTAATATGGATGCTCCTGTTGAACTTTGATAAAAACGCCATCCGCGTGAGGTGGCACTTATCGGCGTCCGTAGATTGTATCCATTTTCACCGCTCTTTCATTTTATTTTTCTCGATTCTCATAACCGACGTTACACAAACATTCTTCTTTCATCATTCAAACCTTTAAACTTCATGTTGAGCAAACCACGCTCAGAGATAGGGTATGCGTACATGTTGCATATCCCTATATTAGTATGTAGCCTGAGGGTGGTTGTTATGTCACGCTGTAATAAACTAGAAGAGCATATCTATTGGTCCAATTTCCCAAGGCTGCTTTTTAGCACATACTGAGATGATGCACATAAACTTTATCGACCACATCCATTACAAGGTCAAGATGTCCTCTGCGACTGCGAGAAACTGTGAAATGGCATGTACTACTCTTCGCAAATATAAAAACCTCAAATCCACATACATTTCCTGGATTCAATTCAAATCTGGTTCCATATTCCATCTCACACCTAGGAAATTCTCGTAATTGTTGATATTGTTTTGCCTTAACAGAAGTCCGAAGGATTCAAGCATGGCTCGAGACGACGACTATGTTCTGGGACGAAGCATTGCAGACTCTATTCGGTTTGTCGTTTTCTAATCTCTATTAGCACAGTTGATATCAAAGTATAAGGGAAACACTGACCGCTTGTAGATTGGATGCGCAGCATCTACTTTGGAAGCTCCATACGGGTTATGAACTGCACCCTGCGATTCCCATTACTAGCGACATGAAGATAGCGGAGGTTGGAACAGGAACAGCGTAAGTAAAATCATATTCTATCTTTCAAGACATTTTTTCGAGCCCTAAGTGACTCAAAATATATAATAGTATCTGGCTATTTGACATTGCAAGACAACTTCCACCTACCGTCCGCCTATTCGGGTTTGATATATCTGATGGCCAATTCCCACCAAAAAAGCTGTGGCCACAAAATTTTTCCCTAGGCATACTTGATTCTTTAACGAAACCTCCTGCATCACTTGCTGGTCAATTTGATGTGGTGCATCTTAGGATGTGGGCCAGTAACTTACGGGGAAAGGATACATCAATTCTGATCAGTCACGTGAAGTCTCTATTGAGTACGATTATTCCAACTAGCAGTTTGAGTTCGTGAATCCTACTGACGTGGTTGAAGAGCCTGGTGGGTTTATTCAGTGGGAGGAAGCCGACCTGGTACATCAGCTTGTGGAAGGCCCCAAGGCTCAAGAATTCGAGCGGCGCATCAATGAACTATTTGGAAAAGCAGGCCTCGACTATAGGTAAGCTACAAGTCATGTCATATGTTATCAGAGTTGTGTTATTAATCTGTGTGATGATGTAGCTGGGTATCTGGCTTAGCTGAAAGCATTCAGCAAGGCGATTTTCGCATCATTGAAGCAGAGCGAAGCCAATTCAAACATGAGTTGGTACACTTATGCACAAACACTTATCTGATGGCCCTTCGGGAAATACTTCAGGGAATCAAAGGAATACTCGGGGACCAAATCCTCCTTTCAGTTACGGAGTTAGAACTAAACCTCTATCATCTTACTTTGGAAAGGGCAAACGGCATTATCTATAATTGGTCACCAGTATCTCTATTGGCACAAAACAAGGAATGAGAAATACCAGGACTATGAGCAAGGAAGGGAATGATGATTGAGACGTTGGAAAGTACAGCATAGTTTGCTATCGATGATCAATTCTATATAATTTCGAGAGTGTTCCGCGGTGCACGGCTCATGCTAGGAAATATCATTCAATCCCTGCCCATTATTGCTGAGGATGATAATTCTTCCGGGCCTCTGGCTTGCATTGTTCGCCCCATATGACGTTCCTATTTTTTTTTTCACTCGGTTTACTCTTTACTCCTCGGCTGCTGTCGTTTGTAGGGACGGGTTTCGATGATGCTTCATGGCGTGCCCTCCCCCGGGCGGGAATTGACCCCAAGATACGGGCCTAGTAATCCAAGGGCAAACATGGCGACGGAGGGACGAAAGTATTAGAAACATCCACCAGGAGTGAGCTATTACCAATTTCGGCTGGAACAAATGAAGAACCTTTCTCAATAGGGTTGTGTATCGGGAGACAGCCACAAGGATTGACTGCCCAGAACCGCTTACGGGGTGACTTCTCCTTTACGGGGCTATGTTAGTGCAAGCATTGGGCCAATAAACCTACCTACGATGCACTATCTTTCCAAAGCATAGTTGAATATACAAGACAGTCAGCATCGGGAAAGGGTGAAAGGAAACCCCAAATACTCACTTGCCACACAAGGACTCGTAAAACCTTTATTTACTAAAGGTCCCTTAACAGTACAAATACTACGCATTGATGTTCATCTAATTACGCGTTACGACGCAAGACAACGCGAGAGGAGAGGGCTTGCATATAGTCACATAGAAAAGTGAAAGACGTACCTGACCTATTTAGGTAGTTAACCTGTAATGATCATGAGCTAGAAAATGCTTGGAGAGCCCACATCTATAAGGTATTTATAGGGGCAAACCTTGCTCAGTCCTGGTGGTCTCTGGCGGTATCAGCAGTTTTGAGCAGGTTGGTGGTAGAATCAAGCATCCTCGCGGAAAATATACCAAAAAAGCAGAGGAAAGAATCACACACATCAAAAAAGGTCCTTCCTTAACATCACTTGAACCGTGTATGCCTCATATTTTAATATTCTTACCCTCATTTTTCACTGCCAGATTCCCGCAAAACAGATCCTTTATTCCTTCAAGTGAGACGCCAGCTACATGAACTCGCATACCTTACCACTAGCCACTCTTTAGATCGCACTTTACTGGCATTGTGGATATACCAGCACGTGTACATAATATTCTTAAAGGGGATATCTTTTATCTGGTTGATCAGCCAATCTCTCATCTTCCCCAAGATCCATCAACCCCAAAAAATTGAGCTAACTAGCTTCTCATCCTATGCCTCAAAATTTCCCCAATTCATTGACTATATCGTTCCACCGTTGACTGCTGTTCACTAATGCTTTAATTAAAGCCCCGACAGGTATCCTAATTACAACGGATTGTATGCCTCATCTTTTATATGCCGACTTCAATGCTCAGCTTCACCAAACCAGTTGTGTTCCGAATCAATGGTGTTCGAGTGGCCCTGCGTTAGCGGTGATCTGTTCTCCACCAGAGCGGTCCTTGTAGGGCAGGCCGTCATGGTAGACCGGGCAGTCGCGTTGTTCAGCATCAAAGCCCGCGTATTCTTGAGAGTAGATTGGTCCATTTTAGGCTGGGAGTTTCGAATCTCCACTGAGCCCCACCGATCACCACCAATAAGGTTGAGTAACGGCATTGCTCTGGCTACTTTCTCCAACGTACGTTGATATTCCAGCGTTATTTAGAGAGGGGTTAGGTGGGAAAGCAAACGTCAAATTAGTATCGCTCTCAATAGACAACATATCCCAACTATTCTGTGCCTCGTAGCAGTTGTCCGTGTCGAATCTGGCCCAGGGGACCACAGGGAAAGGAGCTATGGAAATCTTGAACCCTCAGATGTTTATTGGAAACCACCAATCAATACCAATCCCAAAGTTACTTCAGTCGTTATCCGGAGATTCGCTGTTGACCTCTAAGAACGGCTTGAGTTTCCAGGAGCAGTAGAGCTACCGGGTCTGCCCAACACGTTCCTGAACTCGATGTGGCTGGGAAAGAAAGGAGTGGATCCGTACATGAAGCAGCCCAAAAGTTTCTTCATCCATATTTTGAAGGAATCCTATTCCCGGGATCGACGGAAGTGTTTCTGGGAACTTTACCTAGTGTTCCAGGATCAATATACAGCCCAGGATGGGTGTTCATGCACCCAGGAACAGATTTTACACTCCTAGGCAAGCTAACCCGCAATCCTGAGAGCTTCAAACCCCTTCCTGAGAGTAACCGTGCCTATGCAGGGACCACAATTTTTGTATGAGTCTAATGAGCTTCATTTTGGCGGAAAACCTGAGACTGTTCGCATTAGATTAGTTCTAGAGGTAATCAATGAATCGATCAATCACTTTCCGTCTATCCTGGAATGACCAGTGGCTACTCTGGGAACTATACCTAGAGATCCAGGATCAATATAGCTCCCAGGAGGGGTGGTTCATGTTCGACCGGGGAAAGCGATCCTCGACACACACGCCGGGGTACATAGAGCAATCAGCTCAGCAATCACACAGATGCGTACGGGTAAGATCGGCCTACGGGCCTACCTTCACGCCATCAACAAGGCCGATACAGATCAATGTCCGTGTGGCTATGGACCACAGACGGTACAACACATCCTGCTCGACTGCCGGAACTGGGTGGAAGAACGACAACGAATGTGGGCAGGCAAGTCTCCATGCATTGACATCAAGCGCATTCTCTGTAACCCGCCAATGGCAGTACAAGCAGCCAAGATGATCTTGAGGACGGGACTGCTAGGACAATTCCAGGCAGTCCCGTCCACGGTACTCAAATACACATAGCGAAGGCGAGTGATTTTTGGTATATAGAAGCACAGGAGGGCCAGGAAAGGCCCGACAGGTACATAGATACAGAACGTTCACCAAGACTACGAGGAGGGGATGTAACTTACCGGTGCGGACGGAGAAGGCATTCTGGCAAGGAACGGCTTATTTTCTGAAAGCGAGGGCGGGGACACCTGTACTTATAGTCGCACGCTGCATAGCTGCTAAAATAGGGCGGCTGAGACAGTCTATGAATAAATCAATCAATCAATCGGGTTGTTCATGTTCCCAGAGACAGACTTTACATTCCTGGGAAGCCAGCCCGCAATTCCAAGAGCTTTAAACCAGTCCTAAGAGTAAATTTGCCTATCCCAGGACCAAACAGCTTTTGAGGGCGCTCAAGAACTTCAGCTAACTGGTCAACCTAAGGATAACTGAATTCCCAGAAGTATTCCACGCATCCCTAGACGTAGAAAGCTCATTATAGTCGCACGATACTTCCAGGGCCAGCTCGTATGTCCCCAGACCGTATAGAATTGTTAATAGGCCTAGTTGCTCCTAGGAACAAACAGCGTGATCTTAGAGGCGGTGTAAATGCTCCTGATGCATGAGGGGGAATTCATGATATCGAATAAATGCGCAAACGATCTCGCTAGAGAGGTTACTCCCTACCAAGGCTCTATGGGATACAACGTATTTATTCCGGTCACCAATTACGCGTTCATTCACAACTACATTTCTTTCGTACAACTGATCAAAACACATAAAGGTGCAAAAGCGGATCACGTATTCGATTATCAGATTTGTTGTGCGCTCGATCTGGGTGAAAACTTGACTCCGCATACACGTTATAGCCTGCTAGTGTTCTTTGCTTGTTTTTCAGACGTCACGGATTCTCTGAGTACAGCCAGTGTTCGATCGAATACAGCAACATGGTTCAATGTACTGTTAGTAAGCTTCGCAAATTTCGAGAAACCCCCTCTTTGCGTTCTCAGAGGATAACTTGGCCATTCCAAATTGTTATCGACTGGTTGTTCGATATGGATATAATGACGAGATCATCACACCTAACTTGGCGAGGGTGATCGCCGACCAGGTCTGGAAATATCTAGTGTTGAGAAGTGCCAGCGTGCCCTTAGGCGAAGAGGATGAGGAAAGGGATTCTGTGACCCCTGACAGCTCGACGGCAGAGGGCAGCAGAGACGCCCGCGCCTTCGTCGGTTCTAAAATCGCTAATTTGGAAGCGGCATATTCACACAAAGTGCTCTATATTGTGGGGAAGGAGCAGATGAAAATCAAGCCCAACACAGCGCTCATCCGAAAAACCTTGCTACACATCTTTTTGTGGATCCGGGATAACACGAGGAACAAAATAGCTAACCTCCGGCTGCCAACAGATAAGCTCATTGAAGTAGGATTTTTGAAAGAGATATGAGTGTGGCGATAAGCGGTCTGGATGAAAAAGGTGCAGGACGAGGAGTGACTCAGAGATACCCTAAGCTTCAACCGCGGCGCCTGTGTTTCCTTTTTGCCTTGCAAAGACAGTAGCAAACTCAATAACCATATCAATATATTTGCTATTATCTCCGATCCCCAGCCGTGCCGTTAAATTATGTTGGCGGATATTGTAAACGGCCCGTCCAGCGACGCCTCGGCTGTTCCTTCTGGTAGCCACAGTGGACAAGGGTTCTTGCCACAAGCTCGATACCTGCCACGACGGAAGTAGATGTCGCGAGGGGAGGATCTCACCTGACCCGGGGATAGCAAACCTTAATCGAGTGATTACTGCCTGGCCCTTTTAGATAGGTGGCCTCTGTCCACCCATGCTGGCTTAAGCGATTGTACATCGGAGCTTTTTTCTAACAGCGACAACTGTATTCGAGAAGGTGCGATTAAAGGCCGCAACCAGGTCCAAGACCACAGTGTAAGCGGTCATGTCCACGCAGCGCCTTTGTTGTTGAATTTTCCATATTTTGTATTGGATCATTGGTATTATAGTGTTGAAAACCTTGCTATCACAACCATCGCCTGCCGTGACAATTCTGTAGCTTTGAACTAAGTGGCTCATCTGATGACACCTAATCTGAACATTGGTCTATGTTGAAGGAAAAGACCTTGTGCTGACAAGTAAATAGACGAAAAGCAGAAAAGTGGATCATACAGGTGCACTAATGGGTATCACAACAGGACTCTATTGCCCCTATCTGGCAATTTGTATAGGCTACGGACTATCGTAAATCCTCCTCCATGTCCCCAGTTCTGTCAGAACACTCAAGTCAGGTGACATGATTTTCGTGACGTCATCTACATATTGAGTAAACCTTCCCGGAACTCGTATCACGATGGCCCTTCTAAACATGCTGGTTTTTACCAATTTCTGTTTACCAGAAAGCGATCCAGTAGTTCCCACTGCCTGGAAACGGAATCAACGGAGTGTCATCAAACACCGAACGCAGGGGGGAAATGCAAAGGGAGAGTCCTAAAGATACCCATCCACATCGTCCTTTCGAGCATGTCCGATTTCCTGCGCAGCCCTTAGCAACTCATCATCATCATCATCATATGAGATTGGAAAATGACAGAGAGACGAATGATTTCGAGAGCCCTCACATCTTTGATAAGCTAGGCAATGTCTTATCTGGATGGAGGTTCTTAACACCCGAGTACGAAGGCCGTCTTCATTCGAGAACAACCTCTTTAGGTCAAGGTTCTGCCAGATTTGTGACCGCGCGTCCTCTCCTTGATTCAGATCAAACACAAAACGATATTATGATAAACGACAACGCAGAGGAAACGTTACAGACATCACTCGGTGATTATGGGAAATTCAACAGAATCCTCCATTACAACGACACTAATACCGTTCAATTATATGAAAAGAAAGTACCGGTTTTTGAGCAAACCGTACCGACAGCAAAATCTGCACAAAGCCATATGCTGACGAGATTAAGACGGACTTCTACATCCAATACAATTAGGGAGCTCTACGCAGTCAAAGTGTTCCGTCACGCACAAACAAAGCCATCTTGGCTGCCCAATTTTCTTCAGAAACAGAGTCAAGGGGTCTCACTATGCCACTCTAACATTGTCCCAATTATCGACCTTCTCTACAATAAGCAAACGAATGTCTGTCTTGTTATGCCCTATTTTTCTGGCGGCAACCTGCACTCTTACCTTTCACAAAGAGGGAAACGAAGCACTATTCTGCCTACCGAGGAGTTGAACTGTTGGGCTATTCAAATTCTGCGGGCAATGGCTTTTTTACATGAAAATTATATTGCCCATGGTGACTTGAGGCCAGAACATGTTCTCCTCACGGCCCAGGGCGCAGTGAAGGTAGGCGGTTTTGGGGAAGACGAGGAAGCAGTTCGAGAACTGGCCCAACTGTTACACGGTGGTGACCTCGCCTCGTCTTTTCCGGGATCTAGCCCTACCTCAGCTCCAGCTTCTAACTTTAAGCTGAATCTGTGCATCCGGAGGGGGGTATCAAAGTTTAGTGTTCCTTATCTTCCTCCTGAGAGGTTTCTCGGCTGCAGAGGCGATCGTCTCCAAGACGTCCCTGACATTAGAGCGGGAGATATCTGGGCATGCGGCATAATCTACATGGTCCTACGAACTGGCAGACTCCTCTGGCACAGTGCTCAGAGCGTCAATTCTGACAAATCCTTTGCCGATTACATCTACTGCCGAATGCAGGAAGATGGGTACAGCCCTATACAGGTTCTGGAAAATGTAAGTTTATATCTGTCGCCTTTTGCTAGTAAAGCCGAGCATGAGCAAATTCCCTAACCTTTCGGAATTCAAAAGCGTTGCCGAAATGTGGTTTACGCGATGTTACATCCCGATTTGGGGTCGAGGATTACTGCAGCAGAGGTTTTAAGGTCTGAGTGGGCCCTTGGTATTGCAGTTTGTGAGGTTGGCGAGATTGGGCAGTGAAAAACATATATATTTTACGCCGTCCAGTTGCATGACATTGCCGTGCAATCTAAAGGCTTCTTGTAGCTCTATAATTTCAGGTATCAGGTATGAATAGTTAGAGATAGAATTTATACCAGTGAAGACTGGGGTTGGAACCTAGAAGTGCTGATCATCTCGGATTTGTCGAATACCTAGTCGGTGGTGCCATCGGACCAGATCTCCGACGCATTCGTTTGATGTGAGTGGCCGGAATTAACAGCTCAAGCAGGGAACGGGTATATACAGAGCCGACAAGAAATATATCTGCCAACTGGTCGGGTAATCGTTTTGCTGGGCAGAAGTAGCACCGAAGGACCGCCCGTTTCACCAGTCTTGAAGAGCTCAGAAAGTGCACCTTCACTAATACCCCATGTTCGTGAGGCATAACGCGCGGTTGGTGAGGATGTCCTTCATGGATACTGTTGATACCCAATTAATTGGATTACTGCGTTGGTTGATCGAATTATTCCATATTCATCAGTCATAAAATGGACTGCCACATCGGCAGGACAGCCATTGTTATTGGGACACGGCAAGGTAGCCTGTGTTTACTTGCTCAAACCCAGTCTCTGGTGACCACATATAATTTGACCAACCCTCCACGTGGAAAACCTCAGCTGTGATCCCTTCGGTCAAATCCATATCATCCAGATATTCCAGAGTGCCATTATCGTGTCTTTGCCCCAGATCCAGTGGGAAATCAAAAGGATTAGTACCCTCTAGCAGGGTGATCACTGGCGCATTCTGCACTAGACTAGCTCCTGTCACAGACGAAGACGGAATGAGGGAATATATCGTGTCGATTATATCTCCCCCCATAGCTGGGTCTAATATCACGGTATCTGGCCCCGAGTGCGAGATACTCTGACTCGATCCAGCGCGACTTGGCCCAGCTGAGACGGAAAGGCCGGCTATCGGCGACGATGTAGAAAGAAGGGCATAACTGCTGCCACAGGGCTCATTCCCCGAGCCCTCCGAACCCGGCCACTTACCCACACTGCCACGGACCATGGTGCGGCGCGAAGAAGATTGCCAACCGCGAACGGGGGTCTGGAACGACGACACCGAAGCCGCAGAGGTCGACCCGGAGCGCGAGACACGGGCCGACGAAGAAGTGCCGGGCGTATCTTTAGCGGTACCGCTACTGCCCGAGAGTCGAGGCGCGATGGGGAGGAAGCGCTTGCAGCTGTGATGGCGCGGGTATAGTCTGGCGTGGGTTGATTTCTAAGAACCGAAAAGAAACGTCAGCATCATACCGTCTGCATCTCTTCTTCAGTTTGTCGAAGGTCTGCCATCCGGTGGTGGAAACGGCTGGCTGGCTTGTTTTGTTTAGTTGCATTACTTTTGATGATGGAGATTCGAGCTCCGCTTCGCGCTTAAGTCGCACATGTTCTGTTGGAGTCTCGCAGGGCGTGGCGTTGCAGATTGAGCAGGTTGCGAAGGGGCGGCCCTTGCGCTTGATGCGTATCAACGGTCGATCATGATGGTTGCAACTAGTCACTCGGTGACCTCGAATGCAAGCTTCACAAGCCCACTTCTGGTGGCCGATGAGCATCGCTCATAAGATCCTTCCTGTACAGTAGTTTTCGAGTTCAGTTTGGCCTCACCCCTCGAGACCTGATTCCCGGAAAATAAATCCGAGAGATGCTAATCCTGTCTTGGGTCCCCGATCTATTACTGTACTTACTGTATTTTTAGAATTTTAGATATTAGCAGTACATACGGGAATTGTTACAAACACCACACCGTTTTACTAGTTAAGGATTCTTGGCAAAAGTGATTATGTGATGCCGCTAGTAAAACGGTGTGGTGTTTGTTTGTAACAATTCCCCTCCAGAGCCATGCATTACGTAAGTATGCTAGTTGTTGCGGAGCAAATTCACTATACAATTGCGTAGTTCGCGAAATTTGGAGATTTCTGATGCTGTAGTCGGCTGTGACTAGACAAGCTAGTATGATGTAGCCGACGTTATTTGCCAAATGTTATATTAAACGGAAGAGGGCCGATTCCACGTGGAAGAGAACTTCATGTGGCAGAAGTCTCCGTATGGAAGAAGACTCCGTATGGAGGAGGGCTCCATGGTGGACTGCCATTTTTTGCCAGTATGGAACAGGAGATACGGGTGGACGTACAATATGTATGGGGATTTGATTGTTAACGGAGTAAAAGACTTGATTGGCCTGTTTCTACTCCTAGATCCACGTTGGAGTGCCATAACTTACTCTCTCAATGATCTGCGCTAATATCCGTGCAGTGGCGCCGCAAAAGTCTGTGACCCGCTACCTGACCGCCCCTTTCTGCCACACATTCTGCCGCTCGAAAACCTACAATATACATAATATAATTGTACAGTGGCGCCCGTTATCGCCTTCTATATCGGAAACATAGAGATGCTCTTCCAAGCCCTAATCATATGATATTGTAATCCATATATGGTTAGCGTTGTATTTAAAGTAACGTTCTGAGCATGGATGTTACAATGTTGAACGCGTAAGAATTTATGTAAGCTGTATTGTGAATTATCATTACAGATCCAAAAATAACCAAAGCCCAAGATGACGTTAGTCCCAATTCACACGTTTCCCAACTCAATACCAATAGATCTCCTGAACCAGTTGCAAGAAGGCACGAAACTTATGTTCCTGACAGGCGTAAGATGATTAGCAACAGGAACTAGTTAGTCATCACTCGGTGTGACACCAAGCAAAGCATCTAACTTCGTGGGACCCATACTTTCAAGTGGGATCACTCATCCCAAGGCGTCTTTAACCTGTTATCCAAAATCTGCCAATGTTTACCTATCGCCTCCTCCAGAGTCCTGCCCTCGCCGACACACCCCCAAACACCCGAAAACTTCGACAAGCGAGACAATCGCTCGTATGACTCCCACGCATTATCCAGGCTTGGGGTGACAACACACCCACGTCGCAGCACCCAGTCCAGCGAGTTCAGCGATATAGGGATCACATCGTGCAGATCAGTCAACGGCTCCAAATTAAGCACCATCTCCCTAATTTTCTTATTCATCCTCCTACCCAAGACCTTGTCCGTCAGCATCGTGGCCCAATCAGCCAAATTATGACTGTTGATTTTCTGCATCACACGTGTAAATTGGGCCCTTTGGGCGTCGTTTAGTCCCAGATCCACAGATTTCTTCTCCACCTCATCCCGCAGAAAAGTCCAGACTATCGGCCTCGGCCAGCCTGCATCCTCGAGGACGGCGAATAGCACTGCAGCGGAGGTATATTCTGTCTGATCTGTATTTTTGTCATATTTATATGGCCAAAAGGCCATACGCTGGAGTGGGATCGGGTCTTTTCTTGTTAAGAGTCGCAGTCGCTCGATGGTCTGTTGAAGCCCCCATATAAGGTCGGGGTGTAGATACTGGAAGTGGTCAAGATAGAGCTGCACGGGCGGCATATCGTTTGCTTGTATGCCGTAATTCGAGGTCTTATAGTAGAGCGAGTATGGGAGGGTGACGATCAGCACAACGATGCCGATGGGTAGCATAAGTATCTTGTACACAAGAAGTTCAAGATTGTTGACAGTGTAAAGCCATGTTTTATAGAGGGTTTTGTTCATTCTAGTGGTTGAGCAATAAGGACTGGAGTATGAGAAAGAAAAAGGCAACTTTGAAACGGTTAGGGGGCCAGGAAGACTGGTTGTTTTTGTATCGCAAGTCGGTCGTTTCGTTTGAATCTAAAGACTGCCAAGGAACAAACACGAGAACTAGGTCAGGGGCTCGTATTTAGCGGCGATCAGATTAGTCGCAACCAAAGTCATAGCTAATACTTCCTACACCGCCCCCTACTATGGCCTTCAGGGGTGCAGCTATCGCTCATGAGTTACGAGGCTAATTCCGTATTTGTCAGGCCTAGCCAGAAATACACTACAAGCGGTTAACCGGTACAGTAGTGATCTCTGATGTCCGATAAGATCTGAAGCCGTGGCATGATGGTAAAAAGTGGCGGAGCTTTTCAAAGCAGCCTTCTTGTACCCGCCTTGCCTATCCACTTTACCCCAGATGGACCCCAGGAACCAATAGGCTCTCTGAAGCAAAGGAACTGCAAGATAAAAGTAGAAGTCAACACTTCGCCAATTCAAATGTTTGCTATGTCTGTTACTGTAAGTTTGCGTATTTAGATTTTTAAGTTACGGAAGTTCAGGGCTTTCATTTTGGGTGGCTGTATAGTACATACTGGTATCGTGGAACAAATTTGGTATTTTAGGTGATTGGTACAAAACCTGTAATTTTACAGGATCATGTGATTAGGGTTTGAAAGAGCATCTCTGTGTCCGATATGGAAGGCGATAACCGGCGCCAGTGTATCAAGGACTGATGTTCGCCTGTTCCATTGTCCCCGTGTGTAAGGGGGACTTTCTAGGTATATTTGCTGGTAAGATTCGATTTTCGGAAAATTGGAGCACCACACACGGTATCCACGGTCCTATCGACAATCTGTGGCTAGACTACTCACAAGTCACTGGTACGCTGAATCAAATGCTGGTCTCAGAACCTGGTGGCCACGCAAACGTCCGCCTCCAGTGGGAAGTAGTCCATGATGATATCGGGGCCGATAGTTGCACCTCATGGAGAGTTTCTGTGAAGGCCACTAAGCCCATAATGCCGTTCGAACCTCTAGCTCAGCGGGTGCCAAAAAGTTCTGACTAATCTTGACACCCGCTAACTAACGTTAAGGTAGCATATAAATGCATCAAACTCAGTATAATAGCTCAGCGGGTGTTAAAATATGTTGGCACCCGATAAGCTCTGCTGGGTGTCAAGATTAGTCATATTCTCCTTGACACCCGCTGAACTTTTGTTGACACCCTTGAGCTAGAACCCACCACTACGCCTCTAGTTAGGCTGCAACAGGTTAATAGAGTGATTGATTGATTGATTGTCAATACCAGTCTCTAAGATCCAGGCTTGTTCCTGCGTGCCCTAGTCGTTTGCCGAGTCAGATAAATCTATCTAGTTAAACAGGCACCCCTGACAAATATCGCTGTAACCATTTTTTGACCGCTTACCTGCACGAGGATTTTTTTAAGTACTCTGAATACAGTCATTGATAGAAGGTAGGAGGCTAGGAAATCTTTCCCGAGAGGATTTCGATTCCCTGTCTTGTTTCCTGGGTGCATGATTTCGGCTTGTGAGGTATCACCTTGAAGGTGAGGATCAAGTCAAAGATTTTGCAGATAGATTTCGGCTTACGGAGACTTCGTGTACTTTATTCAGGCCATCACCCTTATAGGCTTGTGAAGGCGTAAAAGCTAGGGTCCTGCAGCTTCGAACTTGGACATTTGAGCCCGCACACCGTAGTATTGTCTTACTCCCGTCAAATGAAAATAGAATCACCCTGTTTAATAAGCGTACATGATAATCAATGTTGATTTACAGCAACTCAGAAATCAGAGAGAGTCGTACAGATGATTCAATGTCTTTTGATTTATAACCTAATCTGCCTAGGATTGGAAGCGTCTTGCAAAAGGGAAGGTGATGGAGATCCGATAGGGATCTCCCTCGAGGGAATCCCCAGTCGGGATTCTCCTGGAGGTTGATTCCAGGGCCAGGTTGATTGCTTCGGCCTATATAGGCCTTTCCCTTCCTTTGTTTCCTTTCTTCCGCAGAGATAGTTCTCCATGTATTCGAACTAGATTGTTCCTCTCTCTCCGGCTTCCTTGCGTAGTGGCGATAGATCGCCATCAGGTTATGCAGCCCGATCTGATATTTTGATGATTTTTGACCAACTTTGATGATACTCGGGATACCACTCGAGCTTCTTTGACACTCTGACGCTACTCGAGAGACCACTCGAGAGTTAACTTCACAATGAGTCTACAACACGACTCTTCTTTTGCCAAATCACCCGCTGCGAGGGTTGATTACAGTAACTTCATTGCAGACCCATCTACTGCTGCAGGGGGTGCAGTCACCCAGATCACTGATGTTCCCGAATCCTACACACTTCATGCAATTGATGATAAGCTTACCAACGCCAATGATTTTGATACCTGGCTGGATGATGTGACACGAATCCTTCAGCAAAAGAATTTACACAGGCTGATTGATGCGCAAATTGAGCGCCCACCTACCACTTCACCACATGCAGCACGATGGTTCCGAGTATCAAAGGATATTCAATCGTGGCTGTACCAATCGGTTTCGAAGGAGATCAACAGATTGATGCTCTCACGCCGTACACCTACCCAATTCGCCGATGAGTATATCGGTGCATTGAAAGAAACCCTCAACAAAACTGGATACCATGCAGCTATCAAGGACTGCGTTGCATGGTGGGAAACAAGACGTTCCCAATTCACATCTGGCATTGAATTCCTGACAGCTTTTCGTGACCGATATGCGAAGACTGCCCAAAAGATGGTTACTCCACCATTTCTAATCGCTGGTGTGCTCCTCCATGAAATCCGCGGAGATATTCCTACTATGATCGTAGCGAGGCACACGAACAATGACAGAATCTATGCAAACCCAGAGGATTTCAAAGATGTGGACTTGCATAAGCTCTTCAACGAACTCGAGAATGAACTTGAATCAGCAGAACTCCACTCGATTACTGCTGCATCGATTGATAAAGCTTCATCCAACAACCCAAATCCAAATGCTAGTAATTCAAATGCTGGTAATCTAGGCCGATTCAACAACAGCGAATACTGGCCCTTAAAGAACACACCCCCAAGGGGAAAAGGTGCCAATATCGGAAAATGGATCGAGGAATGGAAGAACAGCGAACCTCAAACTACACCAAATGGCTGTTGCACCTTTTGTGGCAGGCTACACATGGTTCGTGTGTGTGCACACATATCCATTGAACATCGAGCTCCAGATTGGAAGCCAGTCAAGGGAATATGGGTCAGCTACCCATGGAAGCACCGTGATAACATGAATGGCCCAAAACCTGACAATTGGAACCTCATCTACGATAATCGAATTCGAAAGGATGGCACGTCAAAGCCATATCCGAACATGAGCGCTGCGAATACAACCCCTGCAGCTGCTGTACCACCATTGCCTACTCCAATGGCTCCGAAACCATCTACTACAGCATCAACCCAACCATCCACGACACTACCACAGTTGCCGTTGATTTCCACTACCCTACCAAAACCAACCGATCAGAATCCATCAGCTGCAGCAATTTATGAAGACGATCTTTATCCTCAATACTTGGATACAACAGGTTTTGCTTCAATGACATTAGAAGAATCCTACATTTCCACAAACGATTGCCTTGCAACAACGATGATTGACGATGATGATTGGTTTGACGACGACCAGATATCACAATTAGAAGATTATGATTTTGAACAAGGAAGAATTCCCCAAACGGTCATGTACACAGGTGGTGTAGACCAGAATATGCCGATTCCACTTTCAATGGCTACCATCGCGCGTTCTCGAGGCGAATGGATAGTTGATTCAGGTGCTTCGCGCACAATCTGTGTGGATGGCGATGCAATCATGCACTTTGAACCATACAAGGATAATGCATACAGATGTCAAACCTCGGAGGGCCGAACACTAGTTGCGAAAGGCAAAGCGATCGCTAGAATCAACTTAGTGTTCCCCGACCGGGTGGTAAACCTGGATGTTCGATGCGAATATGTTCCTGAAGGTCCATTTAATCTACTGTCAACCACAAGAACCTACTACGAGCACGGCATGGGTTGGAAAGACTGGAAGAACACATTCGTTAATCCACTTGACGAATCAATTATCATGGCATACGCATACCGAAAGAGAGGTGTGCCATTCTTGCATACAACATCAATTCGACCATCACAATCCACAGAGGCACTCGTTCCATCAAGCGTTTCCTATGCATACTCACTGGCAACAATTACACCAGAACTAGCACACTTTAGACTGGGCCATGTTGGACAACCGACGGCTAGAATCAATCACCATCGAATTGGTGATCAGGTGCACGGTGACGAATCATTTGATTGTGAGCCTTGTAGACGGGCAAAGTCACGCAAAATCGTTTCACATACTCCTCAGAAGAGAGCAAGTAAACCATGGCACTTCATCCACATTGACATACAACCATGCAAGCCAACAGGAATTAATGGAACGAATTATATGGTGGTAATCTGTGATGATGCTACAAGAATGCGATGGGCTCTCCCAATCAAGACAAGAGATGCTTCCTCTCAAGCCCTAATCAAGTGGGCTACTATCATCTTCAATGTCACAGGATATTGGCCAATTGAGGTCAGAATAGATGGCGACCTCGCATTTCGCGCGTGGATAGTGTGGATTGAGGGGAAAGGCACATTGATATCCCCATCAGCACCCTACACACATGAACAGAATGGTGTTGCAGAATTTACAGGCCACATTATTATGCAGTCCGCACGAACCCTCATGATTTCCGCCCCCGAAGCCCCAGCGTTCCTGTGGCCCGAAGCCGCAATTGCATCAACATACATCCTTAACAGAATCCGCCGTCCAAATCAACAAGAATCACCAATTGAAACTTGGAACAGAGAACTAAACCTTCGACAGTCAGGTCCAATTGACCTAGGCTTCTTGCGAGTATGGTACTCCAAAGCATACGTTCATATTCCAAAGGAGCGAAGAGTACAAGGGAACAAAATGGCTCCACGTGCATGGATAGGTTACCTCGTTGGTTATGAGGGAGAGAATGGCCATATCTACCGTATCTACGATCCTTCGAAGAAGCAAGTGGTTTCACGAAGGGATGTTGCATTTTGGGAAGAACCACTACCATTGCGAAAGATCCCTAAGCCGATTGAACCTGATGAAATTGCACAAGAAGCACCGAAATTGCCAACCCAGATGACGATTCATGGAGAAAAGGTTATTGAACCTATCCCACGTACGAGAACACCTCCCGCATTGGCCCAAGTACGATCACAAGAGCCACCAATAAACCCCCAAAGGCGAAGGAAACAACCTCGCATGCAACTCACGGCACCGATTGCACCAAGTGCACCGAATCGACCAAACTTGACGGTATCGAGTAGCCATGAAATAGCCCACACTACCCCAATAGCAGCACGAATTTCGAATCCAACGATTGCACGAAGTAATACACAGACAATAGCATCTACCACACCGGTCGCACCGAGGATAGCACCCGTGGTGGAGAGGCAATTGCCAATTCTTCCTCATTTACCAAATCCACCAACTTCCCAACATCAACCATTTCAACAAAACCAAAATACTACCTCAATTTCCTTTCAACCACATTGGCCTGGCATTCAAAGGGCTACAATACCTTCGCCTCGACAGATTGAACCACATACAGTGCGAGGATTGCAGCCGAGAACACCAATGAAGAGGTTATTTGGTGATCTTCAAGATCCCGATACACCATTGCCAACTGTGGAGGGTCCAGTGGAGAACCCACCCGACGAATATCTACATGAACAACACCTTCAACATCATCAACATATGCCTACACCAACCGCTACTGAATCAATTGCAGAAACGATTACATCGTCAAATGCAGAACCATTGCCTGAATCAAATCGATCTACCTTAGAAAGAGAAACATCTTCGGTTGACCCAATATCAACGATTTCAACAAATGCGAATCCTCCAATTGCACCGAATCGAAGAACTAGAAAATCATCTTCACTGGAACCAACCCGCAGATCACAAAGGGCACCACAGCCACGCCAATTGACGCCAGGCATGACAACTTACCCTGCTAAAGGTGCAATGGTGCTGCGGGAAGACGATGGATCATACTACACTGGCAATATTGAAGATGATGATGTGATTGGCCCAGGATTGATTTGTACTGCGACCGAGAGAATTAGATCCGGAATGGTGGAAATCCCTCACACCCACCTCCAAGCAATGAAAACACCCTACGCAGAATATTGGTTACAAGCAGAGAAGGTCCAATTGGGAAAGATTGCGGCGGCTAATACCATGACTTTGGTTCCACGACCACCTAAAGGCACATCGATTCTCCCTGGTAAATGGGTCTATGACTTGAAACAGGATAGCGAAGGATATATCCTTGAATTTCGCGCTAGATGGGTGGTTTGTGGCAACCGCCAAACCCCAGGAGTTGATTTCCAACCTGATGAACGATATGCACCGGTCGCATCAGATGCTGCAGCGAAGCTTTTCCTATCAATGGCTGCAATCAGTGGTTATAGAGTGTGGCAATGGGATGTGGTGGCTGCCTATCTTAATGCAGCACTCGACAATCGTGCAATTTTCATGAAACAACCTACTGGCCACGAATATTACAGCCCTGATGGAACCGACTTCGTTTGTCTGTTGAATCAGGCCCTCTACGGATTGCGTCAAGCGGGCTACCTTTGGCACGAAGTGTGCACAAAAGACCTCGACGAATTAGGTCTTGAGCCACTGGAATCAGAGCCGTGTATTTACACAAACCCGGATTTTTCAGTCTACATTCTGATTTACGTTGACGATATGCTTGCGACTGGTGAAGAAGCAGAAGTTGCTGCCATTAGACAAGGTCTTGCGAGTAAGAGAAAGCTAAAAGAGCTACCATTCAGCAGATTCTTAGGATGTGATATCACACGAGAAGGGAGTGTGATCCTTGCCAACCAACAGGCCTATCTGACACACCTTATTCGCGACGAAGGCTTACAAAACACTAATCCTGCATCAATTCCAATGAATCCATCTTGGAGAACACCCATCGAAAAGCCAGACCCAGCCGATTGCGTCGATAAATTGAAATACGCACAGAAGATGGGAAAGGTCGGCTGGCTGTCTATCAAAATGCGCCCTGATATTGCTTCGGCTGTTTCCAAATTGCAAAGACGAAGTGGTTCCCCAAGGGAAGCAGACATGTTAGCTTACAGAGACCTTTTGCAATACCTTGCTGGCACGATCGACTTGGGAATCCCATTCGGAAGAGATCCTACGAAAGGCCTCGAAGGCTACGTTGATTCTTCATACGGTGATGCAGAAGATGGCAAATCCACCGAAGCCTACATTTGGTTCTTCGCAGGCGCCCCGATCTCCTGGTCTTCGAATAGACAGGAGATAGTAGCCGCATCGTCTACAATGGCTGAATACTGCGCAATGACACCTGCCCTAAAGGAAGGCCTTTACCTAGCTAAGTTGTGCGCTGACCTTGGCCTGAGGAACCCATTGAACCAGGATGAGGATTTTGAAAAGAACACCCCATTACTGCTTCACAGCGACTCCGACAACGCGATTACAACTGTCATGAATTCAAAGATTGCACCCAAAATGAATTGGATTAGCACTCGCTACCATTTGATACGCGATTGCATACGAAAGAATTTGATTACCCTGGTCAACATACCCAGCAAAGCCAATCCAGCTGATATCCTCACAAAAGCGAAGCCCCACCCGGTTTTCGAAGAGAACAGAAGGGATTTACTACACATGCGATCCCCAGTGATCCAAGTGCCCCCATTGGCCAAACCAGAATGTTAAGCGAGTTAAGCGAAACGCGTTTAGATTAGATTGATTGACTGATTTTCCCCTGTTCCTGTTGCTTTTCCTGTGCTGGCCCTGCAGGGGGTGTGATGGAGATCCGATAGGGATCTCCCTCGAGGGAATCCCCAGTCGGGATTCTCCTGGAGGTTGATTCCAGGGCCAGGTTGATTGCTTCGGCCTATATAGGCCTTTCCCTTCCTTTGTTTCCTTTCTTCCGCAGAGATAGTTCTCCATGTATTCGAACTAGATTGTTCCTCTCTCTCCGGCTTCCTTGCGTAGTGGCGATAGATCGCCATCAGAAGGGATCAATCTAGGATATAAGCCATAGATACACATACCCATTCGTGCCAAAATAACAATCATTTTCGGTCCTCTTGTATAACATGTTTCGCACCACATTTCCAACAAAATCTGTCTTGCACTTGGCAGACAACGCCACACTGTGTACAATGGCGGGTCTTGCCAGCCACTTCCGGGCCAGTACTAGCCTCAGATTCGTGGTTGTTATAAATATTATCTCTCGCAGAGACCTGTCGCGAATTGGTAGGGGTGGCATCACCTGGTCTGATATTGGATTCATGATAGGCGGGAGGGTAAGACGGTGGAGGTGAGTTGTGAAGCTGTTGTAAGGGCTGTGAAGAATCCATAGACGATGAGGCTGTATTTGGGTTGTTGGACGTTGCCCTTTGTACCTCTTCTTGAACTAGGCGCCGCGTCGCCTTTTCTTGTTCTTCATCTCGTAGCCTTTGTGCTTCTAATTCTTGCCGCATCACCATTTCACGCTGGTAGTCCAATGCCGCTTGCCTCTGGATTTCGTGTCTCGCACTTGCTCTCGATGCACCCACGAGCACAGCTGCCCCGAGAAGAGGTCTTCGTCTACGACCGTACATCGCTTAATGTAGTTAAAAGGCGCGCTTGAGTGAAGTTTTGGTCCGAGATGGGATAGGGTACTGACGAAGTCAGTAAATAGAACGTTATAGAGAATGAAGAGGTCGGCTACTTAATTGCATTTCATCGAATTTCTTCAATCTAATAAAGGGACCCTTTAGCTAGTCTAGTCGTCATTGACTTTCTACATTAGCTACAACTTACACAGGGCGGTGGCAAGCTAACCTAGAGTGTAGTTACCCGACCCATTTGAGACAAGCTTGTTAATCAAATTATGATTTTTACGCAACAGATCAACTAATTAATCTTGCCAGGGTCAACTTTCTGGTAGTAACTCAAACCAATAGGCAATTTGTCTCCTGGGGATCGATAAAATATATCGGTCATGATTGCTTTGTGAGTGGATAATGTTGGCAGAAAGAGAGACCAATCAAACTCATAGAACAAGTCCACCAATCAAGCGACACTTTCTACTGAGAAGTGACTGCTAAGTTTGTTCACGCTTTGCTAAATAGTAGATTGATTGCGAATCACATGATGATGCTGTACCACACATTTGTGTTACAAAACTCGAAGGCGCAAGGTGCAGAATAGTGGTTGTCAAGATTGATAGGACGGTCGAGCGGCGGCTAGGTGGAGGAAATTACGGATGGAAAGGCGGCTGTTTCTGGCGCTAGGAGATGTCATTTTCGGCGTCGAATTCACAGGTCCTTATATTCTCTGTGTAAATCTATATACTTTAACGTCCCCTTTTATGAAGGATTTTTCTAAATGTCTTTTAAACTATCTTTCTAAATAGCTCAAGTCAAAGGCTTAGTGGGTATTATAAGGATATCTAGGTACTCGATGTCCTTGTTATCCATCTTATCCGAAACAGAATCGTGTGTTGTGAGAAAGCAGAACCTTGGAAGTAGGCGTGAGATTAGCCCCAGCCCTAATATAGTACACCGTGGCTGAAATTAATGGCTGGATATCTGATCGATCTTGCTCATAGGTACTTGTTCTACCTATACTTGAATCTCCTATCAAATTCGAAAACAATGGGTATCTACTCAAGTCGTCTCCTCTTACCACCTCCAATTCTCGCGGGAGGCTCACCACCACCACCACCCATACCCTCAAACCCGCGTCTCTCCAGAGGCATATCCTTCCTCTCCTTCGAAGCCATCTTCTTCCTCCTCCGCTCCAACGCCTTAGCCCGATCCCTCGACCCCATCTCCTCATACTTCTTCTGCATAACCTGCTTCTTCAAATCCGACTTCTTCAGATAATAAGGCGTACTCTTCTTTCCATCCCGAATGGCCTCTTTTTCCTTCTTCTTGTGCTCCGAAATAACAGTCTCCTCGCGCTTCCGATTCTCCCGCGCCTTCTGCTGATCCATCGCTGACCGGATTTGGCGTTTCAAAGCTTCTTTCGCTTCGGGATTCTTCGTTGCCGCCATTTGGCGCTTTAGATCTTTTAGTTCGGAGGCTCGGTATTCTTCTAGGAAGGAGTAGTTTTTTTCGGAGGCTTTTGCGTTTAGACCTTTGCCGCTGTGGCCCATGACTGCGGCGTCGAAGCGCGGGTCGCGGGCTTTGGCGACCGCGGGTGGTTCGACGATCACGCGTTTGCGGGAGACGGCGTATTTGGAGGATTGCACCATTGGTGCGTGCTTGGAGGTTCGGGCTGCTTTCTTTTCTTTGGAGGCGCTGTCTTTAGAGGATGTGGCTAAGGCGGCGGCGGCTTCGCGCTTTTGGTCGCGGGCAGCCCGAATTTGGGCGCGGATGTCGTCGAGGGGGGAGGCTATGGATTCGGGGGCGGATTTGTTGGTGAGGGCTTTGCGCTTTTTCGGGCCCATTGTTGCTTGGGCTTTGGCTAGGGCGCCGAAGGAGATGTTGCTTAGGGATGCTTGGATGTCGTTGTCGTCGGAGTCTTCTTCGTCTGAGGAGGCATTGTCGTTGGTGTCCTCGTTGGAGTCTGGGTTTGATTCATCGCCTTCTGATCCTTCATTTTGTGACTGTAGAAGAAAGACTTCGTCAGTGGTTGGCCTTACTGGAGTTTCAGGAACGTACGTACATCATCAGATTGCAGATCTTCGGCATCAGAATCGTCGTCTCCCTCGGCCACGTCCTGCGATGGCTCTTCGCCTGCATCGGACTGTTCCGAGTACACCTCATCCTCATCATCAGGTCTAGCCCGCACACGGCGGTTGAGCATATCCGTAATAGCCATCTTTGAGTATGTGAATGGCGAGTGTAGTTCAGAACTTGACGAAACAATCTTCCGAAAAATAAAATATTGCCGTGGCGGGCGGTGAAGCCGATAAGATTAGGCCCTTTTTTTTCCGCCGATTGTCACGGTCAACATCCACTTCGACGTGCAGTCAATGTCACGTTCGACTTGCTCCGCGCGGTGGAATCTCTTGGCTCGACAACGGAGTCGGTGCGGTTTAGGTAGTCCTGGTCGAAAAATTCCGGTTAGTTGAGAATATATGGGTGTATCTCGTTGCGAGGAAGTATACCCTTTGTTGCTTGGCGCGGGCTAACCCCGGGGCTTGTGCTTGTATAGCTTATCACCTCCTCCGTACCTCCTCGCCACGATAAAACCACCCTCGCACGCGAATATCGATCCCTTGCCTGCGATTCTGAAATATCTGTCAAGCTGGCTCGGGCTAAGCAGAAACGGCAAAAGCTTGTGCATGACGGTGCGGACGTAGCTGCGTCGGTTCAACTCCCGCAGTTTGCGAATGCGCCGGACGCAATAATGGGTGATTCGCACAATGGACAAGAGGGAATTCTGTCATGTCTGGCTCAGGGATCGGTCTTGAATGGCTCAACGAATACCAAGAGCTTGCCGCAGGACTCAAGCAGTGATACCGTGTACCAGAGTATTGAAGATCCAACCGCCCAAGGGGGCTCAACGGTGCCAATTGGGCCAGGTTCAATAGCCAACAACCCCGATTCTTTCGCGTCCATATTCAACAACCCAGCAAATGGAAATGGCGGTGGCGGTGAGCAATTCCCGAACGGAAACATACCGGTTTCGCCATCCAATGCATTCGGCGCATTCAATCCGTTATGGAACCCTGTGAACATGAACAGCTCATCGATGGCTACACAACAACTCCAATCGCCATTATTCCCCTTCTTCAATCCAATGTTCTTCAACCAAAATGCAATGGGGAACATGCCAGGCTTCCCAATGATGCCGCCGTTTAACCCAATGTTTCCTATGCAGAGTCAGAACATGAGCACAATGGCAGGACCAACAGGGCAAATACCAACAGGGCAGATACCTAATACGGGTCCGCCAAAAAGGGTACGATCACCAACGCCACCTATGAAGAGGCCATCTCCCACGAAAGAGTACATGTTGCAAGCATCCAAGCAACCACAAAGGAGTCCATCAAAACGACCATTACTGATCATTCTTGATCTTAATGGTACTTTGATCTTCCGGAAACACCGCAAATTGCCTCCAGTATTTGCTCGTCGCCATGGTCTCGATGAGTTCCTGGATATCCTGACTAGTAAATACGCTGTCATGATCTGGACAAGTTCAAAGCCACCTACCTTGAATGCAGTCTGTGACAAGTTGTTTCCGGTTGAGAAGCGCAATCGTATGATAGCACTTTGGGGCCGTGACAAGTTCGGCCTTACCCCGAGACAGTACAACGCCAAGCTGCAAGTGTACAAGGAATTGCGCAAAGTATGGTCCAGCCCCGAAATCCAAGCGGCATATCCAGGCAGCCAGGCCGTCAAACCAGCCGCGCCGCCTAAACGGGCGGGTGGCAAGCACAGCAAGAAGAACCAGATGCGGCAACAAGCGGGTACTTTTCCACCTGGTCAACGCTGGGATCAAACGAACACCATTCTCATTGACGATTCCAAGCTCAAAGCTCTCAGTGAACCTTTCAACATCCTCGAGATCCCTGAATTCACCAACGACCCCAGCATCGACGAATCAAGCCTCTTCACACAAGTCCTTGCGAAGCTTGACGCTCTGTCACGATACGACGACGTGAGTAAAGTGCTCCGCCAGTGGAACGAATGCGTCATTTCAGGTGAAGCCAACATCTTGGACCTGGAAATCAAAAAACCCGACGAATCTTCCGACAGCGAAGAAGACGGCGGCATGAGTCTCGCGCCCGCTACTGATCCTGGCACGTCTGCCAACCCCATCGACTTGGATACCGACGTCGATGCGGATTCCAGGAAGACTGAATTGGATTGCACCGAAGCCGCGCGTCGCAGAACCGAGCGCCGCAAGATCCGCAAGAAGGCGAAGCAGGCTAAGAAGGCCGAGAAAGCTGCCGACGCAGTCGCCCAGAAGGAGCAGAACAAGGCGCAGAACAAGAATCAGCCCAAGAACCAGCCCAAGGCTCAAGCTTCCGGTAACAAGAATGCCAACACCCCCAAGACACCCCAGGCTGCCAACCCCGCCAAGATGAGCCGCCGCAAGAAGGGCAAGAACAAGCCTGCCCATGCCCAGGAGCCTGATGTTGAGCGTGAACTCGAGCCTAATGCACCCGCCAATATCATCGAAAACATCGACGGACAGCGGTATAGCTTCCACCCGAAGGTTCAATCCGAGCCCGCACCACGTGCCAATGCTTTGGAGAAAGATGAGGAACCTGAATATGAACCTCAATTCAATGCGGCTGTGTTTCCCGATTCGGTGGTGGTGGAGGAGGAGGAACCTGACTATGAACCTCCAGAGTTCATCTCCGATGACAAGCACGAAGGTCACCAAGGCCCGGCTCAGCACGAGGGTGACCGAGGTCAGCCCATCCACCAAGGGTACCGGGCCCAGCGCCGGGCCAGCTATGGCCAGTGCATCCCCAGTGCGTATCGCGGCAATGTGATCCCTAGGGAGGACCGCACAAGCGAGCATAACTTTGGGTTGTACCCCAGCCGGACCACGTACGAGCCCCAGTACGTCGTGGAGCCGAGCCCGGCTGCCCAGGTCCTGGATCGGGCTTGGGAGGAATACCACCGCGGTCCATCCGGCGAGTGGGCCCAGGGACCCATCCCCCAGCTCCAGCAGCACTCGCGTCCCTACTTTGGGAACCGAGACCCCCGCTCCGTCTCGCCGGTCACCGATGATGGAAAACGTGCCGTCTCGCCGGTTCCTTCTAACAACTCCTTGCTCGACAAGTTGGAGGAGGGCCTTGGGTTCCCCAAGAAGGATTGATTGGTCCCCGTGTCTTGATGTGAGATTACTGTTTGATTCTGCTCAATCTCCATTCTCTTTGCGGTGACTTGTGCGTCTCCGAGATTATTGTTTGATTCTAAATAATCTCCAATCTTCTTGTCATAATGATTTCTATGGAATGGAGTTTTCGTGGAGTTCTACCATAGGCAAGCAAGCATTGGGTTGGGGTTTGGGGCTGTTTTGAGTAGATACTGTATGAAGATGAATGGACACTTGTTTGTGTATATTTTTCCTTTTGTATATGGATTTGGCCTATTTTAGCCTATTTTATAGTGTATGAGCAGGGATTATTAGATTCTAGAAGTAAAGTGGAGATTATGAGGGTATTTATATTGATTAGATTGAGGCACCTGAGGGGGTCACTGGTGTTTTGGGGGTATGGATACAACAATGTTGGGTTTGTAAACATGTCTTTCTATGCCTTTCTACAGCTCTTTTGACAGCTCTTCCAAACCCATTCTTTGATACATGATGAAAACGGACATTTCACTCCATCACAAAATCATATCTTATCTGCTCTCTTAAACTGTTTTGAACCCGCTGGAACTAGTATGTACAGAATGGGTTGGATAGAAAGGCGCTTATGCCAAGTTCTTGATAACCAAATTTTCATTTTCTATCTTGCTCAGCAGCAGCATGTCCCCTTGGCCGGTAGAGCAGCCGCACGTATAGGCATCATGACTGACAAGACGTAGGCACGTTGGAAACCCGTGAACCTCGATGGCCCAGTCTACAAGAAGTGTTTACAGTTACAGAGAAAAATATTCACGAATAAATTCATCGAGACAATCAAGTCCCAATTCATTCATTGATAGCTAGACGTAGTAACCTAGCGGCGACCACGTATCCGAGTGCACAATGGCAACCCAGACTACGCAAGTCGTTCATCTCATCTCGCATCACAACATATCATAACCATGGACATGAACCACATCGTCACGTAAAAAAAATAAGGGGGGCATTTTGACTCCCGGCCGCGACATCAAGGCACGGGTAGTACGAAGAAAAGAGGAAAGGATGAGCGGGACACGAGGGTCATAAAATGATCAAATATCGCTCTCCAGGGGGTATTCATTGAGAAAGGAGAATGGGGAGTGCTTGGCGCACACGCTTATTTGAAGACGTGGCCGTCAGCGAACTCGAGGGTCTTGCCGTCAACAGTGACGGGGACGTCCCAGGCCCACAGGTCCTCGATGTACTTGCGATCAGCCTCGGAGGTGTGGTCGAGCTTGGTGAAGTCGTAGGACTCGTAGTCGGGGGCGACATCGAAGGCGGGGAGAGCCTCCTGGCCGCGGACCATGAAGACACCCTTGATGACACAGGCGTAGTTGGCACCGTAGACAGCCTGGGCACCGAAAAGGTACTTGCGGGAAGCCTCAAGACGGGCGTGGAAGCCACCGATCAGGTTGTTGGCCATGAAGGTGAGCTTGAGCTCCTCGTTGTACTTGTAGTCAACCTTCCAGAGGGAGTACTCCTCGGGCTTGTAGTTCTGCCAGAACCAGGGGAGGGCAACGGGACGGGTGTCCTCGTTGGAGTACTGGCGCTTCCACTCATCGAGGATGAGGGTGGGCTTGCCAAGGGCCTCGAGGGGGTGCTTGGGCTTGGGGGCGGGAGCAGGCTCCTCCTCAGCCTGCGCAGCGGAGGCAGCAGCGGGCTTGGGCTTCTCCTCCTTCTTGGGGGGAGTGTACTTGATGATCTCCTCAGCGAAGACGGGGGAGGGGACAACAGCCTTGAAAGCGGCCTGGTTGATGATGGTGTTGTACCAGCGGGTAACGGCGGGGTTGGCGTCACGGAACTTCTTGTCCAGAACGGTGGCGAAGGCACGGGTCAAGAGGGAGGCAGTGAAGAGATCAGCCAGGGTGATGCGCTCGCCGACCAGGTAGGTGTTGGCAGTGAGGTGCTGCTCGAGGACGGCAATGGTCTTCTGGGCAGCCTTGGCAGCCTCATCGACGGTCTTCTTGTTGTAGCCGTCGAGGCCGAGGAGGGGGCGGTACCAGGAGCCGACCTTGGGGAGGAGCTCGCCGTTGGCAAAGGACATCCAGCGGACGATGGAAGCATAGTCCTGCTTGGTCTTGCCGAGGAGAGTGGTCTTCTCGTTCTGGGAGGTCACTATAACCAAAACGAGTTAGTTGAGGTTTGGCATTTATGTTTTGAAGTTTCAAAAACAAGTGGTGGGATCCACAATTGGATCATGCAATCAGGGGTGGTGATGGGACAATGTGCTTCAGGAAAGGGGGCGAGAGGTGGGGGGAGCTTAGTCCCAAGCCCAAGTTCCGCCCAACAGCCCCTCTCCCCTCGAGAAAAATTTTCCCCCCATGGCGGGGTACTCAAACTTCTCGAGTTTGGGTTTTTGATCAGAGTGTGTTCATCTCAACAGTGTAGTTCTGCCAGGGATAACTAGTAATTTGATATATCTCATCATGAAAAAAACAGGGAGGCGATGGTGGTGGCGTAAGAGTGGAAAAGTGGAAAAATGTCTTGAGCTCGAAAAAAACAGCTGTCATCAACATACCGTAGATGGCAATGGCGATAACCTCGGACAGAGTGAAGCCATTGGCACCCTCGAAGGCGGGGATCTTGCCGAGGGGCTGGATCTTGAGGTACTCAGCGCTGGTGTTAACAGCAGAGTTGGGCTGGGTCTTGACCAACTCCAAGTCGAGGTCGTTGTGCTTGGCAGCGACCAGGACGGAGATGGTACGACCGTTCTCCTGTAAAAGAATTGTAAAGTCAGAAGGAATGCTTCAATAGAGAAGCACAAGAAATAACACCTACAGGGAGACCGTAGAGCTTTCCGAAAGCCATTTTGAAAGCAAGGGATGTGTGATGAGGAGAGAAAAGAAAAGGAAAGGAGAGGAACAAAAGGGGAGGGGCAGATGAAATTTTGTGCGGATCCCACCGGTCGGGACTCGGAGGAACTGTTCTTGCATAAAAGTCACGTGGCGGGAAAAACAGCAGCCCGGAGACTTGAGAAGTTGAGACTCCGAAGATACAAGAGGATCCGTGACATCTTCATATCTCCTTCACAATGGCCCGGCCCACGCCCAATGGCCTCACCCAGGCCTTCCAGGCTTTGCGGCTACACTCATCATCAACATCTCGCCAGGTAACTAGGTGTTTGGCCCGACAGACCCGGACATATGCGACCGAAGTAGAAGGCCAGCAACCGTCGGCCCTCGCGACACAAGACCAAGCACCAGCAGCTCCCGAAATCGACTTTACCAACTTCGCCCGTCGTCCAGCCCGCATTGTCCCCGCCTCTCCCTCCTACTTCTCCGGTAGCCCACGCTTCATCGACCACGTCCTGCAGCTGGAGCAACTGCAAGCGAAGTACGCCTCGCTCCCGACCGTCGCCCCCGGCGACGCACCGCGAATGGCTTGGTTCAAGCTGGCCCAGTTCCGTGACTACGTCGGTGAGCCCGTACCGATGAAAAAATACAAGAGTTTGGTGAAGATCCTGCAGCGATTGAACCGTATTCAACCGGAGATGGTCCCGGGCGAGGTCAAGCGCACGCTCGAGGAGTTCTTGCGTCCTGGAAACCCGTACGCGGTGCAGCATGTGCCACGGACGGTGGACGAGAATGGACGCGCACGCGCTAAGGGCAAGCGTAAGGAGTCCACTGCCGTTGTGCAGCTGGTCGAGGGCGAGGGTGAGGTCCTCGTCAATGGCAAGTCGCTGGTCGAGGCCTTCCAGCGGGTGCATGATCGCGAGAGTGCATTGTGGGCTCTGCGCTGCACACAGCGGTTGGATAAGTATAATGCGTGGATTACGGTTCGAGGCGGCGGTGTGACTGGCCAGGCCGAGGCTATCACGCTGGCTATTGGGCGGGCGTTGCTGTTGCATGAGCCAGCCTTGAAGCCTGTTCTGCGAAAAGGTATGTTGATCTTATACATGGTGTTCTGTTGTGTACCCTATGCTGACAATTACTTTTTTCTCCTTTAGCCGGTGTTATTACCGTCGATGCCCGTCGTGTGGAAAGAAAGAAGCCTGGTCATGTCAAGGCCCGTAAGATGCCTACCTGGGTCAAGCGTTAAAAGGGGAGAGAAGAAAGACCTTTTTGTCGAGCGATATTTTTTTTACTACTATTTTCTTTTTACCTATCATGTATTATTCTACCTGCATGGCTGCTCGAGTCCGCCAGTCCTGTTCTATATCCTGTACAATGCATATGGGGCTTTCCATTGAATCAATGCCATCGGCGTCTCACATTTGACCAAAGTACGGTGAAGGCTGTGAAGGGCCGAGTGCCGATGTACAATGCGTACCTGGCAGGGTGATCTGTCGATCTAGGCTTAGGCGCAGCGCAGGGCTGTGATGGTAATAAGGTTTAAGAAATTGTCATCACTGGGAGATCAACTGCTCCACGGGTGCACATCGTTCCTGATTCGCATCTGAATAGTCACACAGATCATCTGTGTGAGTCTATAATTGAGTAGAATGGTACACCATGAAAGACAACCCTGTGTTGAGCTCACCCCGTAGGCTATGAGAGAATATTCAAAGCTTAAACTCCGCATTTCGCTATCGAACCCACCAAGTATTTCCCCATATTGGTATCAATTAACATCTTCATAAGACGTATGTATGTAGGTTATTCCCAATTCCCAGCCCTCCGATCCGACCCTTACAAAAGTACTCTGCACAATCAGCAGGTCATACTGCACTCCGTACATGACTACATGTAAAACTCAAAGACAAAGCGATCTGATCTGATCTGATCCACAGATACTAATCGACATGATCTTCAGTGCAGAAACCCTAACCGACTGGTCTAAGCGTCGAGCACCAACTTATGCCGGAAACCTACATTCTACAGTATTCCCACAAGCCCTGTTTTCTGTTATTGTAATCAAGTATGAAGTATTGGAAGATTTGGAAAAACTTGTTAGTGGAGGATTGAGAATTGAGTTCTTGCTGCGCCTGGCCCAAAGTGGAAGTTTCTCGTCAGAAGTTACTCAGATGAGGGATTCAGGAACACATGAGCAAAGATACGATATGTTCCAAGTGGTATGTGATTGTTACCCGTATCAACAGCTTTAAAAGATAATGAACAGATTGTAGATGTGAAAGTAAGTAAATCAATGGAGACCATCTTTGATTGCATTGTGTTATTTGATCATTAAACCAAAAATGATGATGTGACATCTAGTTAGGTGACATCGGTGCAAAGAGATGAGCAGCTAGACTAGGCTAAGCGTAGAGTAGTAGACCAAATAACTAGTTAATTAGCCCGTATAATAGCCCATCCCGCGGTGATTCAGCAATACTTTTCGTGTCCAAGACATCCAAAACACATCTAGCGATAGACCAGAGTCCAAGACCAAGTCCTCAAGCGAGTGCGGCTGGACCCGGGATTGTAGTATCAGACAGCATGACAATTTCGGGTAAGGCTGGTGTGATAGTACACTCTAGTGCTTCTTCATGACTTCATGAATCGATCGGAAGTCAGATTGATCGAGGCCAACCCTCCGTGAATATCCCCGATCATCCATCATCATCATCATCAAACCTAAATCATCATGATTGGAGTAATAACAGAGTGAGGCAATGTACTCCTCCCTTCTCCATAGCGCACACAGGAGGGACTTGAAATTTGTTTGGGGGCAGCCTCAGTTGGACTTGGACTCGACGTGACCCAGTGTCTCTCTCCCCGACGATCTCGAATATCACATCAAGGAAACCCGATTGGCGCGACGCTAGTAAACAATAGCCTCTCCTGTGGCTGACAACCATCGGGCCATCATGATTGCCCCGCACCCACACTTACCCACTGGACCGGGTCGTCTTTCCCCTGTGACGCGGCTGACGCCCCTCGAGTCCTCGAAAGTCGATTCGCGCGGAATGTTTCCCAATTGTTCCCAGTGGTGCATGGGGCCCGATCCCTCGGGAGGAGCCTAAGCACTGTAAGCAGGATGGATGCCCCCAATCGGGACCGGGGCCGGGGCTGTGGTCGCATCTGACAGACTAGTGTAGGTCTGTAATTTCTGGGAGGGATGGTGGGGGCTTGAATTGGGCATCGGAGGTTGGAAAGTTGGTGTCGGAAGTTTCCCGTTTCCTTGTTGGGTATCTTTTCTTGCTTGGCCTTTTGGGGGCCGGTTGATTCATGTTGGTGGGTTCATTGTTCATGGTCGCTGTGTTGCAGTGGCGGGTTCGGGAATGGTCTGAATACGCAGGAGTTCGGGTCTGCTCTCCATCAGATCCAGACATTGACCCAGGACTAAGAAGAGTTGAGCATAAGTATAGAGTTGGATATGTTGGGGGTGGAAGTAGAGAGGAGCATGGCATGGCAAGCGCCGACACAAAAACAAAACCACGAAAATAAAAAGATAATCCACCTACCAGAAAGAATCTCCTCCTCCCAAATCCCCATCTGATAATCAACCAATCCGTGTGGTTCCAGCTGGTCGCAGAGCTGAATCAACTCCTTGCCAATGGCCTCCATGCGATCCCGGCTCAGTAAACTAGTCTGTGGTGGTTGGTGGCCTGTCGCCACGACATCCTGGGTCAGATCCTTTTGTTTCTGACAGATAGCTAGCCAGCAAATATTGAAGTCATTCCAAAGCTGTAAGCGTTCCGAGCGCCGCTCATCATCGTCGCGCAGGATTCCTACGTATCACAAACGCGATTAGTGTCTTTTCTTCCCCATTTTTCCCCGCCAACCGAAGAAAATGTCAGATGATGCAAGCCTGCAAGCCACGGGAAAAAGAAAAGAAAGAAATCAAAAGACAAGTAGAAAGAAACAGAGACATATAGCGAGAAAAGGAAGGTAGTCCATAGTAGGCCGTGGTAATCTGGTCTGTACATCTGGTAGGTGGAACAATAAGATCACTGCGGTAAAACTTAATTTCACCAGCACAACATCGCATGCAAATCAGGAAAGAAACCCAAGAAAAAAGTTTTCAAGAACGAGCCGAACCTACCAAGATCCCGTGCGTTAGTCACAAGCCACTCGGAAATTTCCAACAGCGATCCGCTCGCCTCTACCAATCGTCCGGCGCGAGTCTGATCGAAAGTGCTGCGCAGCGCTCGCTGATACTGAGCATACGCCTGCTCGAGACTGGACGGGTCAGCCTCAGACAGTTGAGATGGATCAACCTGTTGCTGCTCCTGTTGAACAGGTTGAGCAGACGATCCCGACCCGATTGGCGTGAAATCAGCCATAGTAGTCGGAAAAGGATGTGCATTGTTAGGCCGAGCCATGGAACCAGGTTGATTATATGCCAGTGCATTCAGATATGGGGAGAGGCCAGGGACCCCGGACCCCGTGGGTTCCTCTGCGAAATATTGTGGAATGGCCATCTGGTTCGACAGGGCTTCAATCGCTGCAGACTGCCGTGTCGAGTATTGTGGGACAACGTCAAAGGGTCCATGAGAGGAACCCTGCTGGCTGAAGCCGTACAGCATGGCCGACTCGTACGGAACCAATGGGGTGGTTTCGGCTGGTGCGCGCCGTCGAGATTGCTGCTGCTGCTGCTGCACTGAGTCTGGATGCTGCGCGAGATGCGCTTGCACCGAATCTTGTGAGGACTGTCCCAGTGATGGATGATGCAGCGCGTGTCGCGGCCGCGTATAGTCTGCCCCAAAGGCTTGTACGTCGTTTGGCTGCAATGAACCGCCGGGGAAAGAGTTGCCTGTGTATCCATAGTCGTAGGACATGGTAGCGCGGTCTGGCGCCTGTGAAATCCCCGTTGGGTCTCCACGTGTATGCATGGCCTGTTCGAAGCGATCGGCTGCACGGCCTCGGCCTCTGCTCGCGGCATTGATGGACCGTGCCATCAATCGCTCATGCTGCTTGCTGCGTTGATCGCCATCCATCAGGCTGTCCCACACGGGCCTGTGCGGATCGAGGTCGGCCCAATGCTTGGGGGACAGCGGTGGACTTGCGTAGGAGGCCAGCTTGGGAGAAGCGAGGGAAGAGCCTCAAAATAGCAGAATGGTTCGAGGAAATTGCAGTTTGTCGTTCTTTCTTCTCCTCCTTCTCTTGTAATCTCTTCTCTCGAGGGATTCCTGTTGTGGAAATGACCACAAGTTGCTCAGGCTTGGTCTAGATCAGCAAATGCCCTCCTTCACACCTTGTTATATACTGGCGTCTGACAGTACGAAACCGAGCAATTGCACAGATGGTGAATAATCTGACTGCGATGATGTGCCAGCTGAACAATCCAAACACTCGCAATCTTGAAACGATGCAGACTTCTTCGCCGAAGGAACAGACGAAGCAAGTAGATATACAACACTGAAGAATAAAGTTTCCGATGTCAACCTTGTCGAATGGATACTTCTCAGATCTTGAGACACTATCAGAAATAAATAAGACAGCCGAAGCAACCGAATATGAATGTATGAAGAAAATATGATGAATCTAATCTGAGATCTCAGCGAGTCAGCAAGACCAGACCATTCTCAACAAGCAGGGCGAGACAAGATGACGCTAGTAGAAGGACGGACCAAGAGGATCCCCAAAGATGGATGGGAGGAGTAGAAAGACGGGCCAAGTCAGAAAAGAGAGACAGAGGGGCGTTATCTAGCTGAAAAAAGGAAAGAAAGTAGGGAGGGAAGGATAAAATCAAATAAGATAATGGAAAAAAATATAAATTTTATTAATTAAAAACACATACCAGGAACAAGGCGACAGCCCAAGGGACTGGGAGCGGATCAAAAGCACGACCTCTTCATCGGGCTCGTGGTGGACCAGGTACTTGGGTAGACAGGTAGAAGGGCGAGTAAGTGGATTATGGATAGATGGGATAGTTTAGAGACTATTACTTTCCGTAGGTCACTTTTCGTCGGGGAACGAAAGTACGAAAGTAGATAAATCTGTAAAAATTCCCAGAAGGAAGGGACGCTAGGGTCGAAGATCACACACCGATCTACGCCTAAACTCGTTTGGGCGCTGTACGTCTGTGATCGCCCGGGAACCCAGTGCGCTGGTAAGCTGGTTCCTTGGGTGGGTTCCCGAAAAAGAAAGAAAGCTAGGGATGATTTACAGAAGGGGATCCAGAAGTCATGACAGAATGACAGATAGAGATAGGGTTGGTAGAGTGAACAAAAATGGAAAGATCTTGATGAGATATGTCAATGGATAGTATTAGGTAGAGTCGAAAGACAAAAGAATCGAAAAGAATGAGAAATATACAGAGAGTGTACTATAACTCTCGCCAAGTCTCAGCTCGGGGTCAGGTGTAAGGTTGCGAGGTCATGTTTTGTCATGATTGTGAATTATTATAATCAAGCCCACCTTCTCCGTGGTGATTTGAATTTTCCCATACTTATTTTATTTTGCGATGTGTAACTCTTAGTCTTATGCCTGGGGCTGACGATTCATGAACAGAACAGAACATGGTGGCGGTGCCTCCCCCCAATGATCTTCTTAACCTCGGATCAATTGGATGTGATTTGAGTAGAGTGAGACTCAATCCAGTAATAGTTGAAATTCAATTGATTAAATCAATGTATTATTTATTTTGACTTGCCGTCATCTTGGCTTAATCCCCATGATTATTGACATTTTAGGTCCCGATCTTCTTCGGTCTAGTCGCCCCATCGCCGTAGTTAAACTTGTTAAGTTGTTAGCCTCCCCAGGGCGGAGGGCGGGAGATCCCCTTGCTCTCTCCCGGAAGGGATCGACACTCGCAACAAAGGTACAAAGGTACCGAGAAGCAATTATTATCGCCCTGGTGTATGGAGCACGCATGTCAAACTCCACACCCATCCAGTTGGGTGTTGAGCATGCAGTGTGGATTTGAGAGCCGAAAATTGTACATATCGTAGGTGGAATCCTCTCGGCCGGCAAGATCAGAAGACATGCACAAGAAGCAATTGAATAAGCAAAATAGAAGCAATAGAAAGGCAAATCAACTAGCATCAGGAACCAGAAATAATAAAGGGGGGTTGGTCTCTCTCGAGCTAGGGTTTTGTTGCTTTGCTTGGTGGCTGCGTGCTGCGTTCTTCAAACATTCCGCGGGCTGAATTGCCCGGACAGCTGCTGGGCGCGTCTGTCGCGGGCACCCCCTTTTCGCGGATATCTACTTGATGAACCATAACAAACCTATAAAAGAAGAGGACATAGCTCGAGTCTTTGAGGGTGTTTTGAGGGTGATTAGGATTATTGTACTGTATCTAGACCACGACACGCCGTGACATGATCGCCCTTCACCAAAGTACATGTACCGGGTACCACCCTAAAGAATGGGCGGGACCCAACACTTGTCGCATACATAATATGTCGTGTACTACTGTAATGTATGCCCCTCCAGCACGAAAGTACGAGTAATCGAGTCTACAATAATTCGACTCTAAATAAGAAAAATAAGGCGAAAAAAAGGACTCAAAATCAGAGACATCCATTGTCAGGGCTCATCTGATGATCTGCCCGATTGGATGGCCGATCTGCACTAGTTCTGGGCACTGGTGAGTCTGGTGAGTGGACACTACGGAGTAGACAAAGTGGAACTCGATAATAGTGGCCCCATGTCATTTCTGTCAGTGTCATTATTCTGCCCCCAGCTGGATTCACTGGATTGATCGGATCCGACGCTGCGGTTGGGATGGGGACGTGCCGAGGTTGGGGTGCGTTAGTCGGGAGTAGTGTAAGAGTTAGGTTGGCGTGTTAGGTACCATATCTTTGTAGTCATAACCTTTCTCTTGGTGAAGGTCAGGTAATAATATGTTGGGAGATTGGGTACTTAATCACGTCGGCGGTACATAAGACGCGCTAGATACGCGTGGCTGGTCTAGTCTATGGAACTTCGTACTTCCTACAGTACTTTAGGAAATCAGGCGCGTGGGCCATGGGGCGAGTCTTAGTTTCACCTTGTTCTTCATATACATTAGCTCTAATCAATTATCATAGCCATAATGTGATGCCCTATCCTTGCTTAGCCACATGATCTTCCAGGGAGGAATGATGAAATGATAGGAGCCCAGTTGAGGGCCACATCACATCAGATTGAGATTAACGTGGCGTGTCAGGTATTATCCTGGGTTTGGGGGTTGTCTGTTAGGTTGTACCCGAGACAGACTGGTCTTAGTTACAACAATAAGTGTAGAATAATCCAGGGTTGGTTGTGAAGTATCGTGATCGCATCGATCTTGTATTGTTTATCTACCTTCTTGTCAACATCTTTCCTACAGAGATGTACTATGCTCGATATGACCTCACACCAACCCAAACAATTCATTTCAAACGCGCATAAGTACCTACTATAATTTTCTCCTCTTTTTACTTTCTCTTTCTCTTCCTCCCTCGTTCTGCCAAATGATGCAATCTGCACAACTCGGGACTCGGCCTGATATCAATCGCTCTCCGTGCTTTGTGCGCCGCGGGATACAGCCCGGAACCAGGAGCCCGGTTGTCGGAATAGAAGTTGCACCGCGAGGCTGATGGCTCATGGCTGATGCGAGATGCGAGTTAAGGACTAAGCCAACCCAGTCTAGTCCGAATCAGCCCAGTCTTTGACTTGGTACTCCGTACAAACACTACGGTTCAAGTAAGCCATGTTCTAGTTCAGCCGCCGGACCGACCCGACATCATCGAACCTAACCCACAATAAATCCACAAATGTAAACAATGATCTCCGATTTTCGATCTACTTGACGCCATGATTGTATCTAGTCAGCTAAAAACTTACTAAATCAGTCTTATTTTGTCTTTGTCTCTGTTTTACCTTCGCGAACTACCTCCCAGCGCCCGACCTGCATAAAAACTCCTGTCAGCTGACGATGACCCAAATGAATTACCGCGCTACCAAATATAGCAATCCCCAAAGCAGAAACCGAACAGAAACAGGAAAAAAGAAAAATACAACTGGACAACAAAGTAATCCCCCCATCCTACCGGGATATGTTTCGACACTACTCGGTTTCGGTACTACCCATCCTTCCCGAGAGTTCGACCCGGTCAACCTATAGACTGGCGAGATTGGGATTATGACGGATGTCGGGTTTCCCCTCTCCCCTCTCCCTGGTTGAGATTGCTATTTGACCACGAGACGTGCAGTCTGGACGGGAAGAGGTTAGGCCGAGTTGTTTCAGGATTGTCAGGGTTTGGAGTGGAATGGATGAGGCTTACCTTATTGTTGTGTTTTGGATGTGGTTTGGAAATTGGGTCTTCTTGTGGTTAGGTTTGGGGTCTTGGGCAGGACAATATCTATTTTTAACTGACTAGTGAGATACCTGATACCTCTTCATTAGATATTTATGAGCCCGTCTTCTACCATAAAGATAAGGTTGGTGCCCATGGTGTGTACCTAATGACTCCCAGTCTAGGCCGGGATATATATCTAGACGGGTGCACAACCTTCTACGGGGGCAGTCCGAAAATGTACCAGGATGGATCTCCGCGAGTCCTTTGACCAGATAATGAGATATATATTTAGAGAAATGCAGATGATCCGCTGTTGAACTGATTCCACGGAGTTATCCCAAGACTCTTCCGAGCTGTCTATTGGAAGAGTCCTGCAAAAGATGCAGGAAACACCCAAGACCCAATCAAATATAATGGAATAAACCCAACACATGCACTAGGACGCAGAGAATGAACGGAGATTGGACGGTGTTCTTCTGGGATCGAAATAGATGGATTCACGTTTGCGAGGCGAGGGCTTGCCATAAGATGGAGTCATCAGATGAGGCTGGACAATACGCGAACATATATTTCCTTTTTTTTAAAAAGTAATTTCTTCCATCGGATTCCAGTTCTCGTAAGGTAAAACCGGTCAGAAAGTAAGTAGACTACATAAGCACACGTCGCGGGTCATTGAGGGGTCATATCATGTCGCACCAAGGCTGGCAGAGATTCAAGGGTACAGCATCAAGTGGAGATAGAATGTAGTGAGAAAAAAAAAACAAAGGGAGACAAGGGGCTGGATGAGAAAGTACGCGAGGTTGCGAGTTGCGCGGCGTGTGGTGGCGCTGGCCCATCTGCACACCCGAGTCCGGCTATATTTGACCTGGTATAGTCTGTCAGCACCCAATCGGCTCAATAGAAGCACCGAAGAACGAGAGACAAAGTATACGTACTCAAGGTCATGCTCAGGTTGACATCTGTGCTCTCTACCATGTGAGTGAATTCTTCGAAGCTGATCTTGCCATCACCGTCCCTGTCGGCTTCCATAATGGTCTTGTCCACAATTTGTTGCAGCTGGATGTCCTTCAGGTTGTTGCCCACCATCATCTTTAGCACAATGAACAGCTCGCCGTTGGAGATGTAGCCGTCGCGATCAATGTCGTAGACTCGGAAGGCGAAGCGCAGCTTCTCCTCCTTGTTGCCCTTGGAGCTGAAGGCTGACAGACCAGTCACGAATTCTTGGAAATCGACATCACCGCCACCGTCCTCGTCGAAGATGGCAATCATTCTGTAGGACACCCGGTGTTAGAACGATCCCCATGCCAATGTGTTCTGACCTCGTCTTTGCAGGTCGCATTCTTCGGAGCGGATGGAACGAACCTGGTGGCCAAGGGGTTGGAGGAAATCTGGGGGAGAGAAAGGAACTCTTCGCGATCGATTGTGCCCGAAGCATCCTGTCGTAAACAAGTGTGAGCGACTTTTCAGAGGATAAACGAATCTCCAGTCTTTGGAAAGCAGCGCAGTACCTTATCGAGCTTCATGAAACGTTTGCGCAGGCGGTCCACTTCATCGCGGTCGACTATTGCGGGGTGTCAGTTCCAAGGTGGGGTTATTCCATCGAGCCTTATTGCATCTCCTTGGGTAGTGAACATACAGTTAGACGTGGACACAATGTTATCGAACAGCTGGGTAGTGCCGACAGAACCTCTACGGCGCTGCACATTGTGCATGGCAGCCGTGTTAGGCTCGGCGGGTTGATCCATTGAGGGGAGAGGGGAATGTGAGATGGGAAGGTAGGGAGGAAGAAGGGGGGAAGAGAAGAGAGAGAAGTTTAGTTAAATTTGTGGAGAAAAAGAGGCAGAAAAAAAAAAGATCCGAGATCCAACCCCGTAGAGATCAGATAAGCGGGGAAGAGAGGAACGGAGACAGGAAGGAAGAAAAGGGAAAGGGCCAAAACAAGCCCAGAGCGGAAGGCGCGAAGCGGAGAACAGCTGAAAGGCACCTGACGGCACCTGATAAAGCACCTGATAACGAGGCCTGATCTTTAAGGCACCCATGTCTCCCGATTCAGGCATCTAACATGATTCTGATAATGCCCAGCCCCGCACTAACCGTATCCGGACAGGCAAGCGAGCCCCTGAGGCCGTGCGCGCGGCCAAAACAGGCCATCACCGGGTGACATTGCAACGTCAACCCATCCGCTTGCCGAGAACCCCCCAATCTTCCGCCAACGATATCACCCCCCTCCCATCGAATATCATCACAAAACTACGATTACGAGAAAGCGCATGACTAGACCTTTCGAGTGATCCCCATTTTACCCACCCCCCGCCCATGGTCGTTGCCCTTTTGCGCGTCCCGTCGCTATGACTCGGTACGGGGGCCTGGGCCGGACGCGCCCGAAAAAGCTCACCTCCAAGGCGTCCATCCCCATCGTCCGCGAGCACGAGATCGACCTCATAGACGATGAGATCCAGTCTACCCTACAACAGATCGAGACCGGCGTCGAAAAGGCGGAGGAGTCGGTGAGTGTCCCCAATGAGCCACTTATTTTTAGCCTCATCCCTGCATGTGATCACGTGATTACATCGCCAAAGCGACACGAAATTTTCACGATGCTAACCTCGAGGCGCGCGCCACACAGGAATTCCATTTGCAAGCCGCAATCAATGCTGCCGCTCAGGGCAAAGACAAGGATGCTCATATCCCGACTCGCGAGGTCATCGTCAGTGACATCCAATATGCCAAACTGTACCCTCCGATCTTCTCGCAACCGGCGACATACATCCGCTTCTCCTCCACTGTGGAGGACTGTTGCGGATGTCCGTACAACATGAACGAGGAGGATGATGCGTGGTTGAGGAATTACAACTCCAAGCGCGACGCTTCCAGTCAGTGCTCCGAGGATGATTTCGAGGCCACCATGAACTTCTTCGAAGAGACTGCGCAAGCCAAACAGCCTTTCGCTGCCGTTGATAGTCCCCCGGTTCTCTCCTTTGCTGATATGGCGGAGTCCATGGATGCTGCCGTAGAAGAGAGTGTAAAACGCTTTGCCAAGGACATTTATGAGCACTGGAAGGCGCGCCGATTGACCACGGAGAACCTCCCGCTAGAGCCAATGTTGAAGGTGAGTCGAGTCCATCCTTGCATTCAAGCCGGGACCGTTCCGAAACAAGTAATTGCATATACTGACTTGTTCTTTCAGTTTGAAACCGGTCAAGATACAGATGACAGTGATCCGTTCGTCTGTTTCCGCCGTCGAGAAGTGCGCCAGATTCGCAAGACTCGTGGCCGCGATGCGCAAAGCGCAGAGAAGCTTCGTCGACTTCGTAAGGAGCTAGAAGAGGCTCGACAGTTGGTTGCATTGGTGCGCCAGCGCGAAATCGCTCGTAAAGAGATGCTCGGCATGGATCGCACGTTGTTCACGCAGCGCAACGAGGTCAAGGAGATGAAGCGTAAACTCAACATCAAGGACGATGACGAGGACCTCATCAACCAGAAGGTGAGCACCACAACTTCTTCAATCGCACGATGCACATATACTGACCTTTCTCACAGCCCAAGAAGAAGACGATCGAGATGCCTCCTCGGCAACCCAATGCGCCCCAGCTCCGTATGCCTCTCAAGCCTGGTCTCCAAGGTGCAGAGGATTTGCAATTGCTCGAGGACGTCCAGTCCGAGAAGGAAAACGAAATTCTTCGCGATATCAAGGCCAACATTGCCAAGCATATCAAGTGGAACGAGGGTTTTGTGGATCATACCCGCGCGCCACTCTCCCCATCCCCCGAAAGGACATTCGACGCTGCTGCGTTCCGTCCTGCATTCACAGCACAATTGCCCACGCCTCCATCATCACAGTCTTCGAGTAATGTGTTGGACACCTCATTAGATGTGACCAGCCCACTCTTCTCCAAAGATAAGCTGGCTTCGCGAGCCTTGGAGCTGCATGATGAGCCACACCGTATGCCGTCCTTCCGTCGCCGAGTCGGACGAGGTGGTCGGTTGTTCATTGACCGTCGAAATCTCGTGGCGCGTTGTAAAGTCGAACTGGATCCGTTCAAGGCCGATCGTTTCAAGTATGATCAGGAGGATTCCGATGAGGAACCCACCTATGACACGGACGCATACAGCATCCAGATCATGCAGCACCGAGCCATCACCATGGCCAAGGCGCGCGAACAAGCCGCAGTGGCTGCCCAAGCTCATGCGCAGGCGCAAGCACAAGCAGCTCAGCAACGCCGGTTGCAGGCCGACCAAGCTGGGAACGCTCCGGGTGCGAATCCTGTTCCCAACGGCGTGACTGTGTCGTCCGAGGCATCATGAGCGTGCTCTTGTTTGCTCTCCTCCCCTTTTGTTTCGAATTTTTGTTCTCTTCTCCCGTTTTTCAGCATTTGGCGGGCGTTCCTGTGTGGGTTGCTTGTTTTTGATTCCCTTCGTCGCGGTTTTGTTCCTTTCCCATTTCCCTATCACCCTTGTAGTTTTAGTACCACACCCTCTTATGTTCTGATGACACCCCGCGAGCGACGAAGGGATTCGATGAAGCCCGGTGTTTGATTTTTTCTTGTTTCGCGTCGCACCCACCACCTTTCTCGCTTCTCCCCGCACACCTCTTTTCCTCCCAACATCTCAATCCCTTGGCAGATGCCAATTTCGAAGCGGGCGGCACAGTGCTGCCTGTTTTGGCTGTCTTCTGCATTGTTAGTGTACATATTATTTTCTTCACCTTTCCTGTTCTGGGGAGGAGCATCGGGTCCATGAATTGGCCCTTTTTTTGTATGATGGATGTCTGAAGTTATGATGCCCGCGACGATGGGGAGAAGCGGAGAAAGGCAGAAAAAAAAGACTTCAAAATCTAACAGAAATATAATCATTCGCGAAAACTTTTCGTCGTTCTGGTTCTTGGTAGGGTAATCGGGTCGGTCTGGTATCGTCATAGAGAATCGGGTTTCCTCGCTCACACGCGAGCAGACTTCGAGTGTCTGGTACCCGCATCGCCGTTGGCGCTGCGCTTGAGAGATCCACCAGAGACGAGGGGTTCCAACATGGCGAGAACAGATTGCAGAACCTCCTTCTCGCCAATGCGTACCTGCAGGGCCATCTTTTGGCGACGCGCAGATCCATCCAACGAGGCGGGTGCGTTTGGAGCGAGTAGGCTGGTGAGGATTTGCATGTCCTCGTTGAGAGAGCTGCCGTACTGTGCTTGCTTGGTTTGCAGGATCTTGTGGAGAAGACCGGCTTGGTTGCTTTCCATGGCAGGCTTGGGCGGCTTGTTCTTGGAACGGCGCTGGTCAAACTCTTCTGGCGTTAGGGACAGAGTGGTGAGAAGGACGACCAATTCGGCGGGAAGAATGTCCTGGAGAGAAGCGTTCGGGGCTGGTCGAGGAATCACGTAGCCGTCGTCCAGAATGTCGTTTTCTTCGAGGAGTTCGAGCTGGTGGGATGTTAGCTTGGAAGGTTTGATGGGAGTGAGGGAGGTCGGCGATGTGTATTGGATCGTATGAGGTGGGGTGAATGAATACATACTCTTGGCTGGGACTCGACATCACTGTTGGAAAGGCCTGCTGCTTGGCAGATATCTCGGAGGGGCAGCTCGATGACATCGTATTGGGAGTAGTTGTCCGTCACATAACCATACCGACGAAGCAAATCCGCACGGGGAATCTCTCCATAATCATTGAAGATTTCTTCTCCCTCCTGAATTGGTTTGATAGCTTTCATGACCAAACACTCCTCTTCTTGGAAGAGACGGGCCTGTGTAGAATTAATTAGTATGAGCAAGGTGGCAAAAGGGACCGCGAAATTACTCACATTGTTCCGGTCCGCATCGGCATTGAGCAAATCCGCCAGAGGCACCATACCCTTAGGCAGCTGCTCATCCTCATCATCGGTCATGTAGCTTTCATCATTGTCATCGACATCGTCTTCCTCGGTCTCGGATTTTTCAATGTCAAACGCATAAGCCATGATCAGCGAGCCCATGACATGAGCCAGTTCAAGCAGAGCCGTAGCGCCGGCATCACCTTCATACGAGGCAACTCCATGAACAGGCGGGAACAGTCCCGGGTTGGCCCTGACAATAGGCACAATCGACTGCAAGATTGACTCGTCGGCGCCTTGTTTACCAATCTTGTCCACGATAGCACTAGCCTGCAACTCATGTAACTCCGCCGACGACCAGAACATAAGTGTGTCGAAACGTGTCGGCAAGACTCGGAAATAAGAGGCCCATCTTGAATTTGCGCCTTGCGAGTATTCGTAAAGCATGACTAGCATTAGGGAGAGCCATGGGCCGAGAGCGTCCACATCTTGACCGAGCAGGTTCTTCAACTCCGAGTTTTGGACGGCGAGGATGAGATTGCGCGGAATTGAGAAAAGTTCTTCGCCCTCTGGGATACTGGTACGGGCCACTAGAGAAGAATGATAATGAGAAAGATTGTTTCTTTAAGTAAGATTTTGGTGGACACACAGTCTCTGCCGCTGGGTGGATTTTGTGTGGTGGGTGGGGGGAAATAGTAATAATGAAATGCAGATTGGACTTACCGACTCCACGACCGGCGCCTGTGGATCTTAGGTCTGCTAGACAGATCTTGGGGTTGACCTTTACGCCTGGATTGGCTTCAAGCCAAGCGACGAACTCGTTTGACTGCTGTTGGAAGCTCGAGGGGTCGGAGAAGTGGGCGGAGGAGGACATTGTAGCAAAGCCCGATTCTTAGGGAGGTGAGAGGGGCAGGGAAGTAATGAAAGACAAGATATACAAGAAGATAGAAATGCAAATCTCAATCAGTATGTATAAAGAAGCCCTAAAAAGAAAGAAAGGGAAGAGAATTAAGGGTCAGGAGAAGAAGTGGAGGAAGAAAAGACAGACCGAGTAGAGTATGGGAAGTAGAGTCCGAAGTAAAGAAAGTACATTTTGGTTCGGAGAAACGGGAGTGCCGCTTTTAGCGGGCCGATAGGCTGATAACAGAAAAAACCCGCTGACCTTCTATCGAACTGGTGAACTAATTCAACCGGTGGTGGACTCTTTCATACTCGTCATATTAACCTTTCTCTTCTCTTCATTTCAGCCGTCATGATCGCCATTGGTATGGAGGGCTCCGCCAACAAGCTTGGTGTGGGCATCATGCTGCATCCCGAGGATGGCAGCCCGCCGCAGGTCCTCGCCAACATTCGGCACACCTACGTTTCCCCACCTGGCGAGGGGTTTTTGCCCAAGGATACTGCGCGTCATCATCGCGCATGGGTGGTTAAGCTGGTGAAGAAGTCTCTTAAGGAGGCTCGCGTGTCAGTGGAGGATGTGGACTGTATTTGCTTCACCAAGGGCCCTGGAATGGGTGCCCCGCTGCAAAGCGTGGTGGTGGCTGCGCGGATGCTCAGCTTGCTTTGGAACAAGCCATTGGTTGGAGTAAACCATTGTGTTGGACGTATGTATCAATATCATCCCAGGAAGAACAATCTACGTGGTTGAGTATCTTATAACTGACTCGTTATCCTCGGGCTGCTATAGACATCGAAATGGGCCGTCTCATTACCGGCGCTACCAACCCAGTCGTCCTATACGTATCTGGCGGCAACACACAAGTCATCGCCTACAGTTCGCAAAGATACCGCATCTTCGGAGAGACACTTGATATCGCAGTCGGTAACTGTTTGGATCGCTTCGCGCGCACACTACATATCTCCAATGACCCGGCACCGGGATATAATATCGAACAACTAGCCAAGCAAGGCAAACAACTCGTGGATCTACCATACGTGGTGAAAGGCATGGATGTTTCCTTCTCGGGACTACTAGCCGCCATTGACGGACTGGCCGCTCAATGGGGTCTAGGCGGCGAAGAGGCCGCAAAGGGGGATGCGGACAAGCAAGCCTCCACCGTGGGCGATGCACAGATAATCCCAGAGACGGACGGCAAGCCTACTCGGGCTGATCTCTGCTTCTCCCTCCAAGAGACCGTCTTCTCGATGTTGGTTGAGATCACCGAGCGCGCTATGGCACATGTTGGCTCCCAGCAAGTGCTGATTGTTGGAGGCGTGGGCTCGAACGAGCGATTGCAGGAGATGATGGGTATTATGGCGCGGGATCGAGGCGGCAGTGTCTATGCGACGGATGAACGGTTCTGCATTGATAATGGTATTATGATTGCACAGGCTGGCATGCTGGCGTACCAGACGGGCTTTCGGACTCCCCTGAAGGAGTCTACTTGCACTCAGCGATTCCGGACAGATGAGGTATTCGTCAAGTGGCGAGAGGATTGAGATGGAGAGGGAAACCAAAACTAGAATTATCACGCGTAATGAAACATGCATATCAAGACTCTCAATATCAAGCCGGCATCAATATGGGGTTCCAGAGGTTATTAACGGTTTCAAAGTCAAACAATCACTCCCTCCCCCTCTGGTGGCCTTGTTGATATCCACCATAAATTGGTCAACCATTGGCGTGCCCTGGAGGATTGGGCAAACAAAAGAAGAAAGTACTGGGCCAGTGTTGATACTACAACCTCCACGGACGGCCGGGCACACCCCTAGGCGGGGGGAGTTCATTTTTTGTAGTTTCTTAGCCATTTTCTTTTTCTAACCATGATTGTATTCATCTTATAATATTATATTTTTTTAATTCTACTTCTTTAATAGTCTTTCTTGACGATGTTAGAGCGTGTAAAGGGGCTGCATTAGGGGACTGGCGATGTTCATCGGTGTCCGTGGATGGCGATGCACTAACTTGGGGAATGTATATAGGGAATCTCAAGGTTGGGGATTCGATTTATGGTAGAAGAGACTTGGTTTGTTTTGGTTTGGCTGTCAGATGTCAAACTATCCTTAGGAAGTTCCGATTCTTATATCGTGCCCATGAACCTATCCATCTATCGAAGCCAAACAATCAATCAAACAAATGCACAGTAAGAATACTATTGAAATAAAAAAACAACTCTGTACTCGTCAACAAAATCCAAGCGCCTGCACGGCCATAACTATGAACCTCGCTTGCATGATCGAAAGAAAACTCCAGCTCCGATGTAAAACCTCCCAAGAATCAAGTACAGGAACGCCTAAACTTCATGCAATATGTGATCGGAGCCACATTTCTTTCCATCGCAACTTGCCCTCGCTCCGTTATGCCGTCTCCTTCTCTAACTGAACCATATACGGTCATCGTCGCATGGGCTGTTTAGTAGGGATTCCACGACACTGCTGATCAACTGACGGAGGGCTATCCCCGGGGGATGTGCTGAGCTTTGATGCAGTGTCCAGGAACACGCGCCTCTGGAGACTCGCATAGATCGCTTGTCCCTCCAGGTAGACGCATGCAAGAGATGAATCTGCATTGTCACCGGGCAGCGCTCACTCGGTGATGTCGCCGGTTGGTTTGTACAAAATGGAGGTAACGTACTGCATAACGGTAAGCAAAGCACAACGAAGTAGGAATCTGGGGGTATATATATCATACCTTGCGCTTGTATCGAGTCGTCACACTGGTAGCCAGAACACCATTCTTAATACTGCTCGTGGCAAGATGGTTCAAAACAGTGTGATTGGGGTAATTCAGAACACTGCTGTCATCCTTGGTAGGCGTATTGCTATTTAGGATCGATTTACCCAGGAACAGCGGCAAACTGGGAGGAGTCGGGGTGTCACTGATGACATTTGCCGCCTGTAGATAAGCAGCACTATCCTCGTCCTTGTCCAAATCTGCGAGGAATTGGGGAATGGCCCGACCGAAGTCACCAGGGGGACTTCCTCCTCGGGCTCTTCCTTGTTGGGGGGTTCATCCGTCTCGTCTGCTTGGCCATCTTTGCCGCCGTCGGCTAAAGTCTGCGAGGCATGGATACCAGGCGGGAGGCTGTCGTGTCCGTCATCGGCGCTGATTTCGATATAGTTCACCAGGTGGTTGGTGAAATCAACTGCAGTGGGGAGAGTATCTGAAGCTCGCATTTCTCCGTCAACGATGAACTTCAGGTGGTGGGTACCAGGCCGCAGATTCAGCGTTGTCGACATGGTGGCGCCTTCGCCTTCACTGTTATGATATTAGCTCATCTGTCTTTCCCCCCAGATCATCCTGCAATTTGCACTAGACGAATACTCTCATACCTTCTGTGCAGCTTGAACTTCTTCTCCCAATTCACAAAGGTACCCGTCACATAGACCTTCTGGCCTGGTCCAGACCACTCAATATAGGTAGGCACTGCCTTCCCAACTGCGCTAGTAGCGTACGGCTGAAGTTCATCCACAATCTCTTCACCATCCAAGGTCACACTGCTCAAATTGGATGCTCCCTGGTCTAACTTCTCATCCAGAAGCCTGTCCGCCGGAAGCGATTGGATATGCGAATCCTCGGGTCCACTGATCGGCGAGCCAGGCGTGGTCGTAGCATCACCAATGGGCAATGGCATGCGCGGTGGCCGTTGCAAATGTGTCGACGCGCTATAGTACGAGCTCAGCGGCGGGCCCGAAGGTGCCACAGGATCGCGCCCCGCGGCCTGTCGCGCGGCGGGCACCTGCATCGGGTTCGAGTGATCTTGCGGTGCGATATTCCGGCCTTGCGCATACCCGGGTCTCCTGGCCTCGGGCTTTTGGGGTCTGCTGGTGCTTTTGCTCGGAGAATCGGCCGGGCTGCGCTGCAGTCGATGCTGCACCGAGCCCTGGTATCCGGCGGAGTGTCCCGCGGCGGTCTCCCTGGTGGCAGAGGGGTCGGCTGCAGTCGCTTTTGGGTTGGCGATGGCATTTAGCGAGGTGCGACGCACCACCTTGCGCTCACCAGCGGCATGGGGGATATGGCCAGCCGGCCCATCACCGGCTGGGCCTTTGGAAGGGTTGTTGCCCATCGAAGGCGGGGTAGCAGTGGGAGGTTTGGGTGGTGGGTGTAGTAGGGCGTCTCAGGGAGGAGGATCGGCCGACGAGGAGATTGGCGTGGATATCGATCAGACTGACTGCATCAAGGCGTCGTAGAGAGCGACCTAGACGGAGTGAGTTATCTTTTGACCAGAAGTTGAGGGTCGAGATGATGACGCTGGGCGATCCAATCAGGCTAGGGCTTAGGGTACGGGCGGTGATAACTCGGCTTCCCCGGATTCTGCCCCCTTTCCATGTTGAGCTTCGGAGCTTAATCCCAAGTAAATATTCCAGCTTCAGGAAGATCCAACATTCTGATGGATGATGAAAGTCCGGCCGTGACGGGCCTGGTGTCCATTCTCAGTGCGCTGTTTGGTGTGCTGACTGTGTTGTTCTCATACACCTGGTCATTCATCTACACTCTGCTTTATTGGCTTGCATTGCCCCTGCTTTACCTGGGCCGTGGTCTGCTCTCTATCACTCTATTTCCATTGCAGATCCTGCTGAAATTTGAGGTAAGTCCTGTTGATTCCAACTTATGAACTCATGGAACATTAGTTTCATTGTGAAATTCTATACTCATTGAATAACAGGCATTCCTGACATTCGTGACGGGCGCTGTTGTCACTGGAGCCACAGTAGGCGTATGCCTATACTTTGCTGGAGACTCCTTGTCACAATTCCTCCGAATACAGCCATCAATTCAAAACGCTCCTTCAACTGAATTGGCAGAGCCCAAAGATCAATCTTACGACTGGGAGTCTAAAATGTTCATGTCGTCAACGATCTTAGAGGAAGAAGAGAACAGCCACGATAGCCAGGACTCCAGGTAATGAACACAGGACAGAGACTACAATGTGACCCATGAATACTACAACAATGACCTTTGCGGTGTGTCCAAGATTTAGAGTCTGATCTTGTTGTCTCTCGTAAAGTTGAACTATAATCAAATATATTAAATCTAACTATCATATATGTGCCATGCCCATATTGAACACAAAGGGCTCGGAAACCAAAGAAATACAATCACTGCTGCTAAAAGAATCGACAATCCGCCTACCATAAATCAATCTATGCACTCAGTTTCAACCCATTCGTGATATTTCCGAAAGTTGCAAACCATAGATCAGAAAAGTAATCCGTCCGGCCAATCCATGGTCGCAGAGACGCAGCCTTGGGCACACCCTGAGCACGCTTGATGTAATTCGAGGCAAGATCCAGCAACGGCCGGGGTTCCAGCTTTGACGAGTCTTTCAGATTAGGACAAGCCACGGAATAGCCCTTGCGATCCATGAGTTTGAGAAGTCGACAGATAGACGACATGCTTGCATCCGCGCCAAGAGTCCAAGATGCATTGGTGTATCCAAGGAGAAGAGCTGCGTTAGGCAGGTCCTGTAGCATAAAGCCGTTCCACATGTGTTTCTCTGAGAGATCGATCTTCTCTCCATTCACGATGATTGGGATCCCACCCATGAATTGCAGCTTGAGCCCCGTCGCTGTAACGATGGTGTCGGCGGACAACCTCTTGCCTGATTTCAGTTGAATACCATCTGAGTCAACAGTCTCGATGTACCCAGTCTCAACATGGGCTTTTCCAGATCGTAAGGCCGCAAAAAAGTCACCATTCGGACAGGCACAGAGCCTTTGCTCCCATGGATTGTACCGTGGCTTGAAATGTGGACTCAATGGAACTCCAGGTGGAAGCTCCTTCATCATCCCTTTTTCTAGCATCCCCCTCGCGGCTTTCGGATATGCCGTGCAGAAAGCGAAAAACAAGCGACCCATGACCAGACGTTTCAGTCGATTGATGTAGTAGTTGATCGTAGTTGGTAGTATGCGGCTTAACCAACCCCCCGAGTACCGATTGGTAATTGATGCAAGGTACGTGGGACTTCGCTGGAGCATCGTCACCCGATCGGCCTTTTCAGCGAGTTTGGGAACGAGTGTCACGGCAGTAGCACCGCTTCCAATGATTACAATAGTCTTGTTCGCGTAATCAAAGTCCTCGGGCCAGAATTGGGGACGAATCACTTCTCCCGTGAAGTTTTCAATCCCGGGGATCGTGGTGGCTAGTGGCTCATTATAGTCGTAGTAACCGGTTCCAAAAATGAGGAATTTCGCTGTATATTGGAATTGCGAGCCATCGCATTGAATGTTGACCGTCCAGCTTCGTTGGTCCCATTCGACGGAGAGCACGCGATGTTGGAAAAGAACATGAGGACTGATGTTGTGTGTTGTCATAGCATCATTGAGATATGCCAAAATATCTTTTCCTTCTCCGATGGGATTTGATCGGTTCCAGGGATACCATGAAAAGCCAAAGGTGTAGAGGTCCGAGTCGGACCGGATTCCTGGGTAGCGGAACAGATCCCAAGTGCCGCCGATACGATCGCGGGCTTCTAAGATTGCATATCGATACTGGGGAAATGCCTGATGCAAGCGATATGCAGCGTTGATTCCGGATATACCGGCGCCAACGATCAAGACATCGAATGATGTTTGTTCACTGGTAACAAGTTCGCCAGTCATTGTAGGTAGCTCACGGCTGCGTGGACTGAAATCTTCTTAGCTGGATTTCCAAACTGGTATATGAAGGGTTTGGACAGGGACTGTTGGAGTATAACAATGACGGTGTATGGATTCGGGAATGACTGCGAAAGTGGAGAGTTACTTATAGGGGGCCAGGCAACAAGATCGCCCGAGTCATGCGACAGTTCCGGTACGACCGCAATGCTGAATATGAATTCTATACAGAAGGTTTGAACTGGATTTTGGGATTTGTAGATATCCGAACCCCGCATAGGTAGCCAAATTAGTTAGTGCCTCGGCTGGTCGTTGATGTATCTTGTTCGGAACCCGACGAAGGGGGGGGATACATCTGGGGATACAGAGAGGCGCTTGTTATCGGTGGATTTTACCCGAAGGAGCATGAATTCCCCGCACATACCGACAAACGCGTCAAAGAGGGCAACTTGGTCGCCTTTCGACTAATATTCGACTAATATAATCGATACGAGGGTGATGCAGGCCGAGGTGGTTGCCCGGTTAAGAAATGAGGGGAACTTGTCCAATAAGATGGTTGGTGGCTTCGCAACCATCACCCTGCCCAGCATCTGCTATTAAGTAAGGCTGAAGGCCTCCCTGTTTCAACAATGCCGGCGGATCCGATCCTCCTCCTCGTCACTCTTGATTATAATTTAGTTGGAGCGTTCTTATCTTAGGCCTCCAGAGATCGAGTACTTATTTGGTCATTCTTGGTGGTCAAAAACGTCCCTCTCCTACATCCAAGTCACTACAAAATGGCCTTGAGCAAGGTTGTCTCAGGGGCATTCCAGACCCTTTTCGATAAGCTACCTCACCAGGTCCAGCGATTCATTCTTATTCCGTCTGTCAGAAAGGGACTTGCATTCCTGGCAGCATGGAAAACCCTTGGCGTCATTAATCGCTACATTTCCCATCAAGCGCAAAACAACTGGGTGCGACTTGGTCCTTGGGATCCCAGCCGGGAGCTAGTTGTCCTCACTGGCGGTTGCAGCGGGATTGGAAGGCAGATTCTGGAAGATTTGACCAAATTGAACGTAAAAGTCATTATCTTGGACGTGCAAGAGCCAATCTTTGAGCTGCGTATGTCTATCTCATGGAACTCTATGGATGAGGCATTTACTGACCGTCAATTGCAGCTTCAAATGCATACTTCTACCGCGCTGATATTACATCTTCCTCCGTTGTGAAGGAAGTTGGAAATCAGATCCGAAAGGAGCATGGCAACCCTACTATTCTGATCAACAACGCAGGCGTTGGATTTGGAGAGACTGTTCTCGATGCGCCCGAAGAACATATCCGCCTCACTATGGAGGTCAACACTCTTTCTCACTACTGGACGGTGAAAGAGTTCCTTCCATCTATGATCCAGAAAGATCATGGCCATATCATCACAGTGGCGAGCATCGCAAGTTTCGCCGCTGTTGGAGAACTATCCGCCTACGCTGGGTCAAAGGCAGCCGCACTTGCTTTCCACGAGAGTCTCACTCAGGAGCTGCGACATTGGTATAAAGCAAAGAAAGTCCGAACAAGGTCGGTTCCTAGATCTTCTGAATATTTTGAGAGAAACATCTCACTAATAGGTTAAATAGCGTAATCCATCCTTTCTGGGTGCGTACTCCTTTGATCGACGGCCTCATCAATGCAGGCAAGCACTTCAAGGCCCCGATTATGAGCCCAAGAGACGTCTCATCTGCTGTGGTCAAGCAGATTGTATCACAGACTGGTGGCCAAGTCATCATTCCAAGCAATCATGGCTCTGCTTCATTCCTTCGTGGTCTGCCCAGCTGGATGCAAGAGCGAGTGAGAAACAAGGGCTCGAAGCAACTCGTGAGGCTTCGCGAGTTGCAGAGGGAGTTTGCCGCACAACAAGCTACCGCAAATTAGGTGATCTGTCTATACATCTCATTTGAAGATCGCAATCGTGTACGAGCTGTGGTTTTGCTCTATTTTAAGGGTCATTTCATAGGAATGGATATCATCCATATGATAAGACACATGTATGCTGGATTCGAACATTTGCAAGAACTGCTTCTCTTGTGGCCAGACGTTAGTGATAATATATGACTGAAATATTTACATATCACCTATATAAGAACAGAGATACTTAGAGCAGCAGACAAGGCAGAGCGGTTCATAGTCCTCGGACCAGCAAAGAAGATCCATGCCTATGCAGACCGTAAGTGGAGGCTCAGACCTAAATCGCTTTTCCGAGGTTCAACCGTAAGGGCAAATCCTGCCGAACTACCGATACTAAGCCATAGCCATGCAATGTACATGGGTCTATATCTCCATATCTCCACAAATTCCACCGAAAATTGGGATGCGGGGAAGTATATTAAGCCCCAACCATCTTTACCCAAATAGGAAATAAGCCTCCGATTACGCTTAGCTAATCCGATTCTCAGCCTTCCCTAGGACTGCTTGAGCATGCTGCGCTCCCCTTTCTTCTATTTCCAGCATTCAGTTCAATTGATGAAGGCTGTGCGACTCGAATCAAGGAATCGCCAAGCTACTCGAGAGTGCATTGAATCAGCTTCACCATTTCAACCGGCTCGGCTTGTCCCTCTCGGATGTGACACGAGCCACACCGATTTGACAGTCCTAAACCCATCCAATAGAAGCTTGAAAAAAGCTCCGACATGAAATATGCCGACCTCGCGATCGTGTGACCAATGTTACGCGCAGAAGAAGAAGTGTCAACGCGAAAAAGGCCTGGACAAGTGTATTCGATGTGCCCACCTTGCTGTGGACTGCTCAACGGCTCGGTATTCCCGTCCACCGGGGCGTCCCGCACGATCTAAACTGCTTGGACCTGCAGCGGAAATCCAAGTGTGGGCCTCGCAGGACCGGTCGCCCGCTTCAAGGACACCTGGTTCGCAAAGTACAGAGGCCCAGAGTCTTTCTCCACTGTCGCAAAGTGCTTCTACCATTACTGTCTCAGAGCAAGAGCCTCTGGGGATTGGCCATCTCAACAGCCCAGTCAGCCATGGCGTCCAAGCAAGATTACCGGATATTCTTCAGGAGCTTGGTCAGAACCAACAGCAAATCACATCAGCGCCTGAGCCTACCGACGAGGAATTTTATGAGTTGATCGACATCTTCATGATCGGGCCAACCTTTACCAAAAGCTTTCGCCAAGCTTTAAACTATTCCTACCTCAAAGCCCCTCATATTCTAAGAGATATGTTTTCTGTGATGATCAGGTACATGACAAGCACTAGCAAGCCAAATACCACCGCACCAGCCCATGCAGAGATCGCCGGGGTTGCAGAATTGCTGCGCAAATTACAAGCCACAGAAATCGCTAATGACAATGACGCATTGGCTGTTCTTGTTCTAGGCCAGAGCTTGGCTGCATTGGATACATTTATTGTCTCTACCGGATCGATGCTCATTTTACGCCACTCGCTATATCTGGCCAAGCCGTGGTATCCGCAGCTGGCTCAGGTGGGGTTTCTGGACCCGGTCACAGTGACTCCGATATTTTGGGAGCTACTCGAATGTTTGATCAAACGGGAGACTCCAATAATTCGACCACGGATTCATCGACCTCATGTTGTCGATAGATTGTTCGGGTTGTGTGTTTCCCTGTTGCCAATACTATATGATCTGTGCGAAGTGAGCCACGAAATGAAGGTTCAATCTCAGCCGGAAAGCCAGAAATTGAATGTCATCGAGCAACAAGTCCTTGAATGGTCACCTGATAAATCATCTTTACAAAGTATGCCGTTCACCGACTCTGAGATCATGCTTCTACGAGCTCAAGCAGCCATATACCGATCCGCCTCTCTACTGCTCATCCATCGCCTCAAGTACCCACTATCCTGCCAAGATGGGATTGCCGTGTCGTATGCAAACGACATCATGGAAGAGAAAGATAAGATTCTTCTCTACGGTGGACCCGATACAAAGCTCCAGTTCGGATGTTTCCCCTTGTTTTTAGCACTGCTTGAGATTCCGCTGCGGCCGGAAAGTCTTTGGAAGAGTCTGACGAGGCTTTCTTACTGTCCAGCGTGTGCTGAGCAGTTCTTTGCCTTTCACAAGTATTTCTGGCAACGAAGGTGGGACGGGTTCAAGGGCTCATTATTTGACCTCATTAATGACGGGCCGACATTTATGGCTGTACCATAATGGCTTCTGACAGATGTCAATGACTGACGATGACTTACGAATGAACCTCCTCTCCACGAATACCATAAATCCCAGCCTCCCTGGTGAGGGCCGGCTTAAGTCAAAATCTTATCACTTGTGGCATTCCGCTGTCTTCAAGTAATTTCACTTCTAAGCATATGTGCGGTAGTATCTTTACTTTAAGATTGCAAAGGTCGATCACATTTTGTGACCGGAAGGAAGCGCTTCTTTAGTGTCTGCAATTATCTCCGACTCTCCGCAGTCGCATCCCTCAAACCTAGCTCCCAAGTTACCCCATGAAGATGTGACATCAAGGTCAACCTTTCGACCTGATACCAGCAGGATACCTCCTTTGGCTTGGCCCTACCAGCGGCTCGTGATAACTCGAGGGTAACCTTCCGGCTGAGTCGGAGGCGTATCTTCAGGCACAAGCCACGAGCGCCAAGGGGCTTTTTCTCGGGTTCCTCCCCAGATATCGGGGTAATCGGTAGTTCGTTTCAACCCAGTCACGTACGCGTGACCATAGTTGTGCGCCCGCACTCTGCTATCATGAGTACGCTTATAATGCCACAGTACCACCACTTATGCAAGCCAGGTAGCCTCGAATGTCACCCCGCGAGGATTGGGACCATGGCTTTAGGGTGTATGGGAGATTAGCGTTTCCGGAACGAAGGACTAATTCCTAATTGGGGAATTCCTTCAGACTATGCTGTACGTGATGGGCAGGCCTTGTCCGATGTGGGGTCTCGTTCAGTCCAATAGATGCAGAGGCTAATGGGCGATTAAATTGTTAAAAGCTTATAGGTCGTTTCGGACATCTTCTGGGGGATAAGCAATCTCGCTGTTTCTGGCGAATAGAACAGACCTCCTCTTGTTTCATGGCAACACTAAGCCGGAATCTAGAGTTGAGCGGGGTGGCCCTTACTAAAGAGGCATAGCGGGTCGGGCGTCCCCGAAATTTTGCTGAAGAGATTCCATGACAATGCTTGAGCTCTGCTCCTAGAGCCTTGCAAAGTACTATTGTAATAATCGGAACTTCGTGATAGCAGCGATTTTCTAGGTACATGGAACAACTGTTTTCCGGGAATTCCCACTTATCATGTCAGGAAGCCCGAAGTTCATTTCAGTGGTCATGGATCTTGTTGGATCGATATGTCTACGGCCACTAGAATTCTAAATGGGCCATGCAAGTTGTCCGGTATTTGCCTAGCAAGCTGTTCCTACCTCGCCGAAGAACGGTAATGCAAGTGCATGCGAAGACGCCATCGGTCTCTGCAACCTTAAATCCCTGCAGAGTTTCAGATTGATAGAGTGTAATCATCCTCTGCGCGGCTAGGCAGTACGTGCCTGGTAGTAGGGTCGGGACTTGATTACCCTTACAAAATGAAGTATGAATTGTATAACCGATTTGAAGCACGAGCTCGATGTTGTATAATTTCATAGCACGATGTGTTGATTGTAGCATATGTAGGTTCAGATTCCACTAAGATAGACCTGCTTATCGAGTCAGGGGATTATTATTTGTCACCTGAAGTATAGATCTGTTGTATTTTTGCTCTCTCCAACTTGCAGGAACTCGAGTCTTGGGCCAGTTTACATTATAGGCGCGTTAAGGGTTGCACTTCAGATACACTAACCACGTTCTGGGCGCGTGGCTCCGTGCGATGTTCCAACCAACCCGTGGTTCCTACGTTCCCATAGTTATCTGGGGTAAGGAGCTCTTGACAGGGGGTCATTGTTCAAAGTACCTTAGTGGTCATTGTATTCGGGATTGAGGGCATTCCCACCCTGCAAGGCAATCTCGACCCATTGTTCCATGTATTGTCACCCTCATCGGACGTTGTATTTGTCTTTGTCAGGAGAAGCCTCTCCCGGCGACTTCACACGATGTAGCGACGTTGCATGATATCGAAAAAGCCACCCGATACTGCGACCCACCTTTTCGAGCGCCTTTCCATCGTGTCGGCCTCACTATGGAGCGCCTTGCTAATCTACAGCGATGAAACGTACCAACTTTGGAGGTTCATGGTGCAAGTATAAGTAAAGCTGGATTTCTTGTTCTCTGTAAATTTTTTCTTTCTAATCACGGGCATCAACTCACCTTCAATCATTGTCTAAATCCTTGAAGGATCTTTCCATTCATTCCACTTCTCGCATTCATACATTCCTTCCAGTTCAAAGTCTATTCATTCCTTGAAACCCTTCATCACACTTTATTCAAAATGCACTTCTCTACCATTCTCGCTAGTGTTGGCATCTTGGCTACCGCGGTGTCAGCTATCCCTCACAAACTCCACACTCGAGACTCCGGTGGCCAAAATGTAGTATACTGGGGTCAGGACACTAATGTCCAGGACTTGTCCAAGTATTGTACATCTTCTTCAGGCATCGACATCATTGTTCTTTCCTTCCTGTATGAATATGGCAACGGCAATACTATCGCGTCGGGTACCATCGGAAACCAGTGCTATATCTCGCCTGCCGGGGTTCCGCAGAACTGTGACGGCCTGGCAACCGATATCGAAACTTGCAAGTCTGCCGGAATCAAAGTGATACTTTCCCTCGGAGGTGCGGTTGGTGCCTACTCCCTGTCATCCCAGGCTGAGGCCGAAACCATCGGTCAAAATCTATGGGACGCATACGGCAATACCGCCGGCAACTCCAACGTTCCTCGGCCATTCGGCAAGACGTTTGTCAATGGCTGGGACATGGACATCGAGGCTTACAGTGGGAATCAATACTATCAGTATCTCCTGGCCAAGCTGCGATCCAACTTTGCATCTGACTCTTCGAACACCTACTACATCACGGGAGCGCCACAATGTCCCATTCCAGAACCAAACATGCAAGTGATCGTCACTAACGCCAAATTTGATTACCTCTGGGTCCAGTTCTACAACAACCCCGGCTGTTCCGTCAATGGCGACATCAACTTTAACGATTGGGTGTCCAACGTGGCCAACACTCCCTCGGCCGGTGCGAAGATATTCATCGGTGTTCCTGCATCCCCGCTTGCAGCCACTGGCACATCGAGTGGCTCGCAATACTACCTCGAGCCCACTTCTCTGGCAACCCTCGTTAATCAGTATAAGAGCAACTCGGCTTTTGGTGGTGTGATGATGTGGTCCGCTGGATACTCGGACTCGAACGTTAACAACGGCTGCACTTATGCCCAGGAGGCTAAGAGTATTTTGACTAAAGGCTCCGCCTGCTGAGCCATCACCTCGTGAGTCTGGGACCTACGAAAGTACATATGGTGATACCACTCGTTTCTTTTATCCAAAGGATCCTTCCAAAATTTCCATTCATTCGACTCACATTGTCACTCGCTGTGGATCTCTGAAGAAGCTGAAGTCTGTCTTTCGATATTATGCTCTTCCTTGCTTCCCAAAATGGAAGACGATAGCTGGATCTATCGCTTTTCTTCCGATTGTCTGGAGAACATTACTACTCGCTTCTTGCAGTCAGACTCATTCGTCCTTGTCAATCATTACAGTTCTGAGGTGAAGCCCCAGTCTGTCTTTACTCATCAATGCTTTTTCTTGTCTTTAGAAGGAGAATGTGATAGCTGGATCTATCACTTTGTTTTCTTTCAATCTGCTAAACAATCCTACTTTTCGTCTTTCTCGCAAATGGACGCCTCCGGCGTAGACTAGACTTTCCGTAGTATGAACGACTCTACAACTTAGCATATTGCATGACTACATAATCCCGATGTCCCTAACCTCCTGACGCAGTAGTACTACAGTTGACCTTGCTCGGATGGTGTAGCCCGATTATGGCCATATGGCCGTCTTTCTCGGCCATGCGTGTGAATCTTTCACTTCGTCCCGTCATTCCGCTTATTTCCGCGTTAGACATAACATATTTTCTAAAACAATGCCCCAGGTGCGACAATCTCCTGTTGCTACTGAAGTGTTAAATTGCTAGGTTGCAGGAATCCGTTACTTGGTCACGGATGTACCGTGAGCGTCAATCACTTCATCTCCCTGTATCAGAACATATCGGCTTAGGTTTTCTGACACATCCAGCGTTCTGCGATACTTGAAGAGTCCAGTTGCCATGACTAGTAATCTTCTCAGCATCAAGCTGACTTTTTCCCAGCCAATGGGTAGTTGTTTAGAACTTCCGAGCCTCCGGCAGTATACGAGACAGGTAGCACAAACTTCAATGTGACAAAGTATCTGCGGGAGACGATTCATTTCCATGATAAGACATGGGCACCTTCTTCTATCGTCAACCAACTACAGGCCCATCCAGAAATCTCCGTCTGTCATATCTTCTGCGTCGATGATCATGATGAAGTTTCCTGCTTTGGGGACATTGATCCTAACGACGATCACCGTCTCTGCAGCAGACAAGCCTCTACCCCCATACTATGAGGATCTCAAATGGGAACCACCAAGATCTCTGTCAAACTGGTCTAATTTGACCGTGGAAACGCGAACTGGGACGTTCATCGGTATGCTCAATGATACATCTCCTAACGTGCGCCAGTTCTTGCGCGTGCCCTTCGCGCAGGTAAGTTTTCCTCCAAGAAATAAATATATCCTATCAATCTTACATCTCTACTTCGCTCAAGCCACCCGTTGGTGACCTTCGCTGGATGCCCCCGCAGAAACTCCCATCCTCGAGCCAAAGATATGATGCCACGATCTACGGTCCCGGTATGTCTTAGGAATATATTTCGCACAGATCCTCTGCTTATAATTTCTTTCTTTTCTCCACAGCTTGTCCGCAGTATGTTCAACGTGAAGACTCGTTCTGGAAGGACGACGAACCAGGTAGTTTTGTGATCAACCTTGGGGAGAACATGACACAAGGATCGGTGGCCTGGTCTTCGGCTGAGGACTGTTTATCTATCGCAATATGGACTCCTGCCTCGGCCAATAGGGCTTCAAAACTTCCAGTAACGCTGTTTGCGACTGGGGGCGCGGGAGTGGAAGGGGGAATTAGGATTCCCGCTCACCTGCCAACGCAGTGGGTTTCGCGATCTCAGGAGCATATCGCGATTGCTTTGAATTACAGAGTGAATATCTTCGGAAGTGAGTCAATTTTCATAAAAGGCAATTTTTGGCACAAGTGATTCTGACGTCCTCTTTAGATCCCAAATCTCGAGCTCTCAAAGAGACATCCCTCAGCTTGTTAGATGTGCGAGCCGCGGTTGAATGGATCCACGAGAACATCGAAGCCTTTGGTGGAGATCCTGACAGTATTTTCGTAAGCTCAAAAGCGACCTGACAATCTTGACAGAGTCTCTATCAGATACTAACTCATTCACGCAGCTTTGGGGTCAATCACAAGGAGGCGCCTTAACCCACCTGTATACTCTAGCATTTCCAAATGACCCTCTGGTAACAAGTTACGGTATCATCTCACAAGAACCCGGCACAACTCTTGATCTCTCTACAGGGAAAGATCCATACCTTGATTTTAACATTGTTGCCAAGGCACTCGGCTGCAACTACGGCGACGATGCTGAAGCAGAGCTCAATTGCATGCGGATGATTTCGTGGGTCCAGATTGAGGAGTATATCAATCGATATCAAGGCACGCCCGGGATATCTTTTATGGAGTATATCCGTGGGTTTTACGATTCAGGATTCTTTGAACAGTCTATATGAGTCTGACCAGCTTCAACAACAGCGGATGAAAAATACATCTTCTCCAACGAGACATTGCGCTATCTAGAGGGAAAGGTAGCCAAGGGCCCAGCTATCCGCTCGTTCGCTGCTAGAGAAATTGCGGCAGATAACAATATCACATCCTCGCAAGCAGACGCACGCCAGTGGGTTTGTCTCGCAGCTTCCGACACGGCTTTGCGATTTTCGCAAGGACTCGATACGTACCGATACTTCTGGGCTGGTAAGTGACGATTCAGTCCTTTGATCCATTGATTCACTTCCAAATCTAATTTTTTGATAGGTGATTTCTCGAACATTAGCCCAGTCCCTTGGCTAGGAGCCTTCCACTACGCTGATCTACTATTGATCTTCGGCACGTATATGAAGAACGTCGGGGAGATCTCCGAACTAGAGATAGAAACTTCGAACACGATGCAAGACTACCTACTTGCTTTCATCAAGGACTCTTCCACAGTCTCACAGACGATTGGCTGGCCGTTGTTCGACCCTACCGGGCCAGATGGTGGTCTTATTATCGAGTTTGGCAAGTATGTTCCCGCGAGGAATATTACAGGGCGATACTTAGATGGAGGCTGCTTTGATCCTTCTATTCCATTCAGAGTTGATGGATGAAAGTAGAAAGTACGAGGGGTCCTTGACAAATGTCTCGGGGAGGTACTGAGTGTCACAGTGTGCCTGGGGCTCCCCGTAAAGGCAGAGGTGGATAATACTGGGGGATATAGTGATAACACGGGCATTCATGAGCACTTCAGAGCGTAACGTACAAATAGAATCTCTGGCGGTGAATTCAAGTCAATCCGCCAAAGAATCTCATCCAGAGGAAACCAACCAATGAGCACCATATTCTTATCAAAAATGCGACCACCGATCCAGTGCGTAATGAAGATGATAAGTCAGGAACTTGTAAAAAAAGCAGCGCAACGCCCAAACGCCTTGCAAATGGAACCAAAAAAGAATAAAAGAAGATCACAACCACGAACTAGGTTAGACGGGGCTTTTTGCTTTCTCGTCATTCCTCGAATTTCCGCTTCACGCCGTTCCCATTGGCAGAAGGCGGAGCACCACGGGGTTGCCCTCCGGGACCCCCTGCTTGACGCTTCTTCCAAGCGGCCTTGATAGCAGGCGCGAGACGAATGAGATCTTCCTCGGTGACACCGTCATCAATACTCTCGAGAACCTTTTCCACGGTTGAGACGTGATTCGCGTCCGCCTTGTCATCGCGAAGACGGTAGAATCGCCAGCGATGTTGGGTATCTTTATAGCATTCGACAATGGAATCGTCCAAAGGGACACGCAGGGCTTTCATGTCTTCCCATTCTGTCGGGGTGACGTACATTTCGCCGAAATGGCGGTACTCATTGTTGTTGAGCATTGTGAAGAGATGACAGATTGGGATAGCATCATAATCTGTGAAGGGCTCCGTGACGCCGTCGGCTTCGTCGTCGCTGTCTGGCTCTAGAACTGGGAATTCTAGGCGCATGCGGAAGTCGATCGTGTTCTCGGCGGGCGGCTTCCATTTCAAGATGTGTTCGTCTGTGCCAATGCGGTAGGGTGTGCTGCGGCAGGTAAAGATGAGACCGTCATTGCCGTGGATGCGCTTGACCTTGGGAATGATATCGCGGAACATCATCTCGATACCATAGCTGAACTGCGTAGACTTGTCTTCGACAGCGAAAGCGCGGTGCTGTTTCTCTTCCGGGAACTTGCGATACATGGCATTGTATGGCCTCAGGACTTTCTCCTTGAAGTATGCGAGTCGCTTGTCGAGGGTTCGGTGCATTAGACTCTGCCCATCTAGCACCAAGCAGTCGAAGACGAGGTACTTGAGCTGTTGTGTGCCGTCCTCGTAGGTGTCATTGACCAATTCACCATCCACCAATGTATCGACGTGGTAAGACTGGAAGGTTTCATCGTCGGGGAGCGGAAAGTGTAGGCCAGGGACAAAGCGGTAGTCGTTCTTGCGGTCGATCAGATAATGAATCTCGGGCGATTCGGAGTCAGGATCGCCGCGCGCAAAGTACATCAAGCAGCGGATACCATCTGTCTTTTCACAGACAAAGTAGTCTTCTTTTTGGAGCTCCGTCAAGTGTTTCGCCGAGAAGCTGACGGGTTGCGCGCCGGGGAAATTGAGATTGTTTCGACCGAGCAGATTCGCGACTTCGCGACGGAAGGAGTCTGCAAGGTCGGGCTCGGCCTTGATGCCGATCGCATCAAGGTCGGGAACTGAGTGGCTCATTGTGGCACTCGCGGAGGATAGGGCAGGTGGGATATCAGGTCGACTCGTGACAGTATGTGCGGTCAATTCGGATGCTTCGAGCAGTTTGGGTGGTAAGGTGTGCAGGCAGGAGAGCTCGATGCGAAATGAAATCAGAAGCGAAAGCGCCCAGTCCCGCAAATTGAAGGTAATGGCAGGTTGCGAATTGAATTAAATGGCGTGTTCAGCTCTACTGAGCTTCAGAACGAGGGTGTCTTCATGGTAGATGGCCTCAAAGACCATCAAGCAGAGAGTTTGCTGCCTGAGGCATGAGGCCTTCATGTAATCGGAAGCTGTGCGCCTGAACACGTGACGATAAGCTTATTTTTCACACTTCACGTTTCCCACAAATAATGAGACATTTTGAGATTCATATGGGTACTGTAGTGGGAATTGAACATTCTCTGTATCCGTTTTCCTTCATTAAATGGTATGGAAACACGTGAGATCAGGTTATCAGTATTAGCATTGATCAAATCCCAGTCTGGGGGTGATGTAGACTAAATCCCAGCTCCGTACATCAACCAGCTCGCTTAACTCAGTTGGTAGAGTGCGTGACTAGTAATCACGAAGTCGCTAGTTCAAATCTGGCAGTGAGCATTTCTTTTTGCTTTTTGTCTTCTTTTTCGCATCAGAACTGGTCGATAGATCTGCACAGTATCGCTCAATCTCAATCATTCCTTTTGGCCTTTTATGTCGGCTCCCTTTTATCTCCCTGACGTCCTATAGGCCATTGGGCGTGTAGACCGGAGCCCTGCTTACTTTGCAGGTAAATCGATCTGGAATGGCCTGGTTTCGTTGTTTGGTACAAGATATATATATATCCGTCTCACATATCCACACACCCCACATTGATACCAAACAGCGCCAGAAACCAATGAACCTCTGATCATCATTGTCAAGTTACACAGCGCAGAAATGAAATAGAACACATGTTTAGCCCCGACAAGTGAATGTGTGTTGTGAAGCCAAAAAAATTAAAGACAAAAATAAATGCTCACTGCCAGATTTGAACTAGCGACTTCGTGATTACTAGTCACGCACTCTACCAACTGAGTTAAGCGAGCTGGTTCGTATAATGGACGTCATATTTCGGCGCTATAAGGGAGTTCTAGGATACTTGTCAAAGAAGCAGTGATTTGACGGGGGCCTCGAGTATGACACCTGAGACCCGAGTCCTTTGCATGATGCAAGTCGAGTTACGGATACCACAAAATTTCAATAATCACCATGTCCATGGTCTACGCTACTCCGATTCAGATCAAGTCGCTTGTTTTCCATCCAATCGAGAAGATTGTATTCATTCTCCACCATATAAAGTGAAGTGTATTGAGCATCCATCTGCTGGGGGGGTATCATATATCATCACCGAACTAAAAGAAAAACCAGCCTGTTCCCACGCCCGAAAAAGCCCATCCAAACCAAATCCATCCGTCAAATAGTAATATTAAAGATAAGAATAAGGGATGGGGAAAAGAGGGAAAACCTCAACGCCAGCGTTGCATTGCATTGCAATGCTAATCCAGGACACCGGGGAACAAAGCCGAAGAGAAAACGAAATGCAGAACGCCTTGAGATAGTCGTAACGTCGTCAACCCGCTGACCGCAAGTCCAAGCAAGCTCGCGAGCGGGAGAGGAACCATAGGATCCTTTTTTACGAATCCCATCACGAAGCCGCCGCCACGGGCGTCTTCCGACTCCCCTGTACAGGCGTTTTCCTAGATCCATCACCACCGACCGAGTTATCCCCAACTTCACCCGCAGGAAGCACAGGCGAAGAGGACGAATTCATATCCGGATCGAAAGGTTGAAAAAGATTACCACCAAATAAAGGCTGGCTATCGTCCGTGGAAAATAGTCCAGCACCGCCTCGGCCGCCCATGGCGTGTAGCATTTGTTCTTTGATGCGGACGATACGGTATTTAGACTTTGTGGTGATGAGAGTGTTTTCGGCGAGGGGTCTTGGTGCGGAGCGGGCGATTGCTGCCATGACTGTGTCGCGTTCTTCGTCCGAGTCGACGGGGCCGTTGGTCTCGACGTCTTCGGGGAGTGGGGCGTTGGCATCGATTGCGGCTCCTATATCGCGAGGAGAGGATACGTTAGATTTCATTTTGGGAAGAGTTGTAGATGGTAGGGGACTGGTGGGATACTCACTCTGCTGCTTTGCTTGGTTCTTCTTCTGGTATTGCTGCAGTAGCATATCGTATGGTAGTGAACGACCAGGTACAGCACGCTTAGCGCCCATGGAATGGCTCTTGCAGGTCAACGAGCGCGCGCACTGTGCGCCATTGGGAAGAGTCACACCGCACTGTTTCTCGACATCAACTGGACCCTTGGGCTTTGCGGCCTTGGCCTTGGGCTCGTCCTTCTTCTTCTTTTTCTTAGGCTCCTTGTTATCGTCCTCATCGGCCTTGCGCTTCTTGCCCTTCTTCGTGCTGTCGTCCACGGTGCCCTTCACAGCGCTCTTCTTGGCACTCTTCTGGCCTTTCATGGCGTCGTCGCCGTCGATCTTGTCACGTAAGTCATCATCGTCCTTGCCGTCGGCGTTCTTTGCGCGGTTGGCCGCGTCGCGGGCTTCTTTCTTCTTGCGCGCTTTCTCTTGCTTGGCCTTGAGACAGCCGCGGATGTGTTCGGTGGCGGTGGATTTGAGGATGGGTCGCTTGCAGTGCTTGCAAATGACCGTTTCAAGAAGGTCTTCCTCACGGGGTTTACCAGTCGGAAACGAGGCCGCGACCTTGTCGTCCAGTTTGGGGAGAGGAGAGGAGGTAGGCGAGGAGTCGACAGGGCCATCTTTGGAATCTAGAAGCTTCATATGAGCATGGGAGTCTGACAGATAGCAAGGCATCTATCCAGAAGCAATCCGTACCATCTGCTTTCTTCTTCGTTGACGCTTTGGCGGTCTTCTTAACCTTCATCTTGCCCGGCTTGGTATCCTTCTCGGTGAATTTATAGCCCGATGCATCGACCAAGCTGCCCGATGCTATAGAAGATGAATATAATTAGCATTTTATTGCTCTCACAAGCTCAAAGCCCTCGGCGTAGAGGGCCACGCGCGCTGGTCCCCGGTCGCGGGTTCCTGGCAATATGTATTGAGTGGCAAGCGTACCTCGACCAGCATCGCCGTTTGTCGCCATGATGGGCGGAGATTTGAACAGTTTCTGACACAGTTGTACACTCTCTGGCACACTAGTCGAAAATCGGATCGCGCCAGAGGAAATGTGTTGGGTCGTGGTGCTTTCGTCTCCGGAATCAAAAGGTCGGGGGCTCCGCATCGGGGTCGAGTCACGTGCCAGGCTTGGATGGAAGGTACGATGGAGAAAATGTGAATGCCTTCGATTTGTATCGAGGGTGCCTAGAAAATCCAGAAATTCGGAAAAAAAAAAAAAAACACCCACGGTCCTGTAATTAAAGGAAACAAGTAATATTTATTCAACGAGGTGTTTGGATGAGGTCATTCATTCGTTTGTCCAAAGTAACACATAGATCACGCTATAGCTGCCTCAAGAAAACAGACTACAGCAACAACAACGCTAATTTACACTAATCATACACAAGTCTCTCCCTCAAAGACTCTCATCACTTCAGCCTAGCAAAACAAAGACTACTATTCGTCCCCCCAAACCCAAAGCTATTCGTCAAGGCAACATCAATCTTCCTCGCCTGCGACTCATTCGGCGCATAATTGCAATCGAATCCATCCGCCAACCGGTCCAAGTTGATAGTAGGTGGCATCACATTCTGATAGACTAGTCAGCAGGTGACCCCCAAAAAAGTGGCTTTAGGTGTATTTGTATTTATTGTCGTGTGACTCACATCCTGAATAGCCATCACACTAAACACAGCTTCCACCGCTCCAGCACCGCCGAGTAAATGGCCCACGGCGCCCTTGGTGCTGCTGACATTGATGTCTGCGGGTTTCTGTTTACCTTCCGGGCCGAGGAGGAGGGTCTTGATTGCTGCGTTCTCGGCGGCGTCCCCGATTATAGTTGATGTTGCGTGGGCGTTGACGTAGTCAATCTCTCCCGGGGTCAATTGGGCTTGCTTCAATGCTTTCTTCATAGCCATGAATGCACCCTCGCCATTTTCTTTCGGGGCGGTCATGTGGTGTGAATCAGCAGAGCAGCCGTACCCTTTCAGTTCGGCGTAGATATGGGCACCTCGAGCTCGAGCGTGATTCAGTTCCTGTATATCCATTCGTAAGAATCTGGACTCGGTGAAAGGAAGGGAATACTTCATCCATCAATCTTCAGGACGGATAGCAATAGCATACCTCTAGAACCAACATAGCTGCACCTTCACCAACAACAAAGCCCTTACGATCTGCATCAAATGGCCTTGACGCTTTCTCGGGGTTATCGTTGAAATCCGTGGCTAGACTGCGCGCACGAGCGAACCCGCCAATAGCTAGGGGATGAATGCAAGATTCGCCGCCGCCGGCAACCATGACATCGGCGTCGCCGCAGGCGATGAACCGTGATGCGTCGCCGATGGAATGGGCGCCTGTTGTACAAGCTGTTGTTGCAGCGTGATTGGGGCCCTGTTGGGCAGATGTGAGCGTGGATTTCCTTGGGGGCGTGGGGTGTCTCTTTGGTTGGTCTATGCATACCATGAACCCATATCTCATGGAGATATGTCCAGCACCGAGGTTGATTAATAGTTTCGGGACGAATAATGGATTGACTTTTTTGTAGCCCTGTATTCGATCAGTCATGGCTTGTCTTTCTTCCAAATTCGAAAGAGACTCAACTCACCCCTTGTTCATACGCAACGACTGTATCGTACATCTCCTCGAAATTGCCAATGCCTGAGCCAAGACAGACTCCCTATCACAGAAGAAATGGTCAACCACAGTGATCAAACCGAGGAATATTCATTATCGGGATTTTTCCATACAGTAGCCTCTTTGTGCTCAAACGATGTCGGTTTCCAACCCGCATCTCCAAGAGCCTCCTCCGCAGCAGCCATAGCATATTGCGCAAACTTGGCCATGACACGCTCATCCTACCACCGGACCAGACACAGCATTAGCATAATCCAACAATTATCCTTTACCTCCCGTCCTAACTTCTAAATCCAGCTTGGAATGCTTGCAAAGGTGGAAGTGGAAAGAGATACAAACTCACCCCACGACTCAACCATTCTGACGCCGTCCACGCCCCATCTTCCTTTTTCCCCCGAGGCACAACAGCTGCAATCTGCGAGGGGATATCCCGAAAGCGCTCATCGCGGTCAACTACATTGACGATGCCACAATGGCCATCTAGTAGACGTTTCCATGTTTGCCGTACACCTATCGCCAGGGGGAGAAGATATTAGCGTGTCACATAATATCACTGGTAGCAGATCAATCTATAGCATTCTCCTCTTTCCCGCTCCAGACTATTAGAGACTTGGAGAGTGCCAGCCTGGTATAGTAGATAACTATCCTCATCCTCATACTCCGCATAGACAGACAGAGCCAAATCCCTCCGCCCCGCGGAACCCGGAAGAGCCCCATCTTGAGCATGCCGTCATTGGCTGTTAAGACTTTCCCCTTCCGGCGGTGGCAGGGTGGAGACCCGCGCTCGAAAGCCGATTTCCTATCCTGCGCAGAGGATCGGGTAGGGTGTTGTCTGGGGGCTCAAGTTTGGATGGATCTGGGTCGCGGAGATGTGCGGAGACTCCCATGATAGACTCTGGGTTTCTTGAACCTTGAAGCATGGAGGATTGGATGATGGATGGCTTCGTGCATAGATAGAGGAAAGGTGTTGGTTCGGTGTTTGGACTTACCAACGCCGAGGGGAGTGACCGCGCCCAGACCCGTCACGACGACGCGACGCATGGCATTGAGGGGGTTAGTGGGTTATTGGTTGGATCGGGTATGATTCTTGAGTTGGAGATGCAGCTGCCAGCACTACTTAGATACTGAACAGTAGTACTCCTGCAGTAGAGTAGTGGTTGATCTCATAAGGGAAGGCAAAAGCGGAGAGTCGCCAAGAAGGGAAAGTCTGCACGATTTTTTTGGCGGCGAGCGGGGCGATTCGTGAAAGGTTAACTAACTACTCCGTACAGAGATACAGTCCAGTATGGAGAGGAGTGGTTATCTGCTCGTCTTTCCCTTTAGATACAAGATGAAGCAGTCACGAAATAGACTACATACACTAACCAATTAGAAGATCAGTCATGAATTGATCATCCTAATCTTGTCCACTGAACCATTGCTGATTAGGAAGTTCGGCGGAGAAGGGCCAACTTCTATAAACTCGGACTTGGTAGTAGTAGAAGAGTTTGGATCCTATTTAACTATTTAACTGTTCCTGTTCCTTTTTCCTTCCTTTTCTTTTCTTGCGTCGTACTTCCCCTCTACATACCCCCGCCATGCCCGCTTGGAAGTCTCTCTTGAGCGTACTGGCACTAGCCAGTACAGCCATTTCCTGCGCACACCACGACGATAACGCCGAAGTCGTCCCCGAACATGAGCGCGAGGAACTCCTCAAGAAGTGGGATCAGGAGGTAATACACCCAACCAACACTCTACTTTACAACCCAATTCAATCCAATCCAGTCCAATCTCTAATTCCTTCTTATCCTTCAGTGGTCCTTCTCCGGCATCGCCAGCTTCGCCCACCTCCGCCCGGTAAAATGTCTCATCGAACCCACCGAACACTACGACATCGCCATCATCGGCGCCCCCTTCGACACAGCAGTCTCCTACCGACCCGGCGCGCGTTTCGGTCCCCGCGCCATCCGCGCCGCCAGCGCCCGCCAAATGTCCGGCACAAGCTACAATACCCGCGCGGGCATAAACCCGTACAAATCATGGGCAAAAATCACCGATTGTGGCGATATCCCCATCACGCCGTTCGACAATGGTCTTGCTGAGAGACAGATGTACGAGGCGTTCCTTGAACTGGGCTCTCGCAAGATTGTGAATCAGCCGGCTGGTGTTGCGGGACGGGGCATTGGCGCGAAACATCCAAAGCTTGTTACGCTAGGTGGTGATCATAGTGTTGCGTTGCCTGCGCTGCGGGCGTTGTATGAGATTTATCAGAAGCCGATTACCGTGTTGCATTTTGATGCGCATCTTGATACGTGGAATCCCGTGCGGTACTCGGCTTATTGGCAGAGTGAGCAGACCCAGTTTAACCATGGCAGTTTCTTTCATAAGGCCAGTCGGGAGGGGTTGATTTGTAATTCGACTTCTGCACATGCTGGACTCCGGACGAGGTTGACTGGTGTTGATGATGGGGATTATACGACGCCCGGTCCGGAGCAGGGCTTTATTCGCATTCATGCGGATGATATTGATGAGTTGGGACCTATGGGTGTTGTTGATGCCATTGTGAATCGCATTGGTCTTGATCCTGAGCAGCCGGTTTATTTGTCCGTTGATATCGATGTGTTGGATCCGTCCACTGCGCCGGGTACTGGTACGCCTGAGCCTGGTGGTTGGACTACTCGGGAGTTTATTCGGATTCTGCGGGGGTTGGAGAAGTTGAATCTTGTTGGTGCGGATATTGTCGAGGTTTCGCCCGCGTATGATAATAAGGGTGAGACTACTGCTTTGGCTGCGGCGCAGGTGGCTTTTGAGATTATTACCAGCATGGTCAAGTCGGGTGTGGATGAGGAGTTGGGTGGTTGGTATGGACGTCGGGAGGATGGTTCGGGTGGTGTTGGTGTTGTTGAGGAAGTGGAGAGTGCTCCTAAGGATGAGTTGTAAATGGGATGGATTGGATGGAAATGGAAATGGGATATTTGTATATACGAGACTCATGATTGTAGATTGAAGAAGAATGAATGAATGAATGATATGAAATGATATGAACAAAACCCCGTGACTGTATAGTCTCCATCTGGTTGTATACGAGCAATTAATATGCCAACCCTGTCGACTGTTGGCTACCCCGAAGTATATTACGACCATGTATATCCTGAGATAAGGAGAGAGGTCAAAGACATATGCTTGAACCTCTATCACCTCCGTATACAGCCATGACTAGCCGAGAGCATCCGCTCCATTGTTCAGCTAGACTAATAGTACCTCCAATTCTACAACACTACCATTACCACCACCACAAAGAACCATCATAGAGCTCATCCATTGGGTCCAGTCTGCAGCGTTCTAAGATCTCCCATGAGTCTGCATTGTCCACCAAGCAAGAAGAAAACGAGCATAATTTCAATATCGAAAAAGTTGCAGCAGGGACCAAAAGACAATGAACATGATCCTTGTATCCAACGGAACTCGGGAAACCAGCAAAAGCATAGAGATCTCACTTGACCAGGGCAAGGCAGAAGCAGGAACAGAACGCCACTGATCAAAGACGGGAGGGGGAAAACACGATTAAAGCGGCACTCGAACGATTTCTTTTAAAGATCCATCCACCAACGCAGCAGAATCGAGGGTAACATCAAAATCAGGAAGCAGATCAGAAGAGAAAAGAGTAGTAGATTGATGATAAAAATAGCAAGAATAATAAAGGACGGGAAAATATCATCGGCCAGCCAAAAACACGACGCCCTGACGTCCAACGCCGAGAGAGACGATGAAAGAGGTGAACAACATGTCGTGCGGGGAAAGATGCGGGGAAAAACGAACAACGAGGGGGGGAATCGATGTGCGAGAAAAGTCGTACGTGATCGGGGAAGAAGAAAGGGACGCGAGAAGAGTGAGGAAGGGGGGGAAAGCTCGCGGTCGCTGTCGATTTGAAGGAGTGGATGGGGTTGCGTGGAGGTGGTTGGGGAGAAGCACGTCGCCGGAGGGGATGTGGCATTGAAATCGGTTCGAGATGGAGATCTGATCTGCGGGTCGAAGGATAGGCGACAGATGGACACAGTCGAAGCCAAAGAGAAGGGTGGAAGAAAAGGGGAATGGGGGGAGGAGGAGAGGAAGGTAGGTAGGCTAGAAATCGGCGAACCGGGAGATCTGGTCGAGATGGCAAGGGGATCCCAAAGAGAGAGAATCACCATCAGGCGATAGATGGAGCTATCAAGGATGAGCACAGCAGAAGCAACAGCTGAAGAATACCATAAAAGATTCATGGCGTAGAAAGCTCGAATCGAGATCATCAGATCGAGAGGCTTCAGATAGCAAACGCTAGCTCAGTAACAAAGAAATTCCATCTCCTCCCCTTTTTCCTTCTCATCTCCCCTCGTGGATATCCCAGTAAACATAGTCCAGCCAAGTAATTTGCCTCCCAAAATAAGTGAGAAAAATAAAAGAAAAAAACAAAAATTCATTCCGTCGTATCTGAATTGCGACCGAGCGCGAAAAGGTCAGCTGTTGCTCCCGGCTCATTGACCTCGGTCGGCCAACAGCCATCACACGAGAACCAGTAGAAACCCACCTGTAAAAAATTGTACGGGGGAGTGGATCACAACAGGCGACAGCCCCTTGACTTCTTCTTGGGCGCGGGCTCGAGGGCAGCCACGATAGCCTAGAGTGGAGAGGAGAGGGAGTTAGCGGTGAGCGAAACCAAGTGGAGGATATCCTCCCGCGACCACGGGATGAGGGATAAGCGGTGATAGCTTCATTCGGGTCTCATTTTCGAGTAGGAAGGACCGGATAATTGACATACCTCGTCAAAGACATCCTTCAGCTTGTACTGCGTCAGAGCAGAGCACTCCACATATTTAACTGCACCCAAATCCTTGGCCATGCGGTCACCGTCCTCCTTCCGAATAGGCTGCATCTTCTGGCGAGCCAGCTTCTCCCGGACACCAGGGTCGTCGCGCAAATCGGTCTGAGTGCCGACGATCAGGCAGGGAACACCGGGGCAGTGGTGGTGGACCTCGGGGAACCACTTTTCCCTCACGTTCTCAAAGGAGGCCGGGGAGGTGACGGAGAAGCAGACCAAGAAGACATCAGTCTGGGGGTAGGACAACGGGCGCAGGCGATCGTAATCCTCCTGACCGGCGGTATCGAAGAGACCGAGAGTGTAGGGCTCATCGCCGATCCTATAATTTGCCAACAAAGCGGACGCGGTCAGGATGCGATTCCTTTGTGATGATGATGTTCTTTCTTCCTCGTGGGGGGCAACCCGGTAGGAGCACGACTTACATCACGGTCACGGCGTAGTTGTCGAACACGGTGGGGACATATTCGGAGGGGAACTTGTTGGTTGTGTACGAGATGAGCAAGCAGGTCTTACCCACAGCACCGTCGCCGACCACGACACACCTGGAAAGAAAGGATTGGTGGTTAGCTCAGCTGGTACGAATGGGGGTGCTCATGGAGATAGCAAGTGGTGGCCATAATGTTGCGACCTCGGTCAGGAGGGGGGCGAGCAACCAGCAGCAGCGGGAGCAAAAGAGGGGGTAGAGAGGAGGGGGTGAAGATCATACTTGATGGTAGCGACAACCATTTTTGTTTCGGGACAGTACCGGACGTGAGGATGGAGAAAGGAGGAGAGTAGTGGGCGGAGGGAGGAGGAGAAGGTGTTGGAGGGTGTGAAGGTTGGGAATTGGTGAAAGGTCCAAGTTAGAGAGAGAAGAAGGTTGGAGGTGCAGCGGCAGCGGCAGCGGCAGCGGTGGAGGAGAAAAGGTGGGCCTCTTAGAACACGAAAAAAAAGGGAGACAGAGTAGCAGCACAGTAGGTAACTAGACTAGCTGGAGGGGAGGAGAGAGAAGAAGACAGATGGGAGGTCGTCCAAGTGGTTCACCCTGGATTGTGAGTGGTCCGAGTTGCTTCCAAGTCCCCCCAAAGAGAGAAACTAAAAAAGGCGCCCGTTTTTTAAGCCCAGAGTGTCCAAGTGCACAGTGCAAATAATAAATTTGGGACTTTTGGTGGTGGACGGGATGAGGAAAAAAGACTGGGGCAAGTCGAGAGTCTAGACAAATTGGTAGACAATACACGGGTAATACACCAAGGATGGTTTATGATAGGGATAGCTCTGTATACCTAAGGATTAGAATCACTAGTCAGATAGAATTACATGATTATTACATTCCCTATCACGTTATTAGGACGTTGAGTAGTAATAATAATAAACCACCACTACTGCTGCTATGTACACTAAATAATATGCCCGTACATGATGTATATCTGTACTCTATTGAGTCTATTCCCCGGATCATGCCAAGATCCGGTAATGAACGTATTCTGGATTCAAGTAATCTCAGTATTAGCTAAGATTATTAATACGGATCGAACATCTAGATTGGATCCATCTGCTGTTCTTTGTATTGCAGGATCAAAAACGGAGCTCTTCTCCCTAGTGCTTCCTAGCCAATTCCCTCGAATGTGACGGCCGCCTGCTGTCGGCTGAGCGCTGGCTGATCCACCAGACTTAATGGAAGATGATCATGATCACTTCTCCGAGGGATCAACTTACTTATCTATGCACCCTTGATCCCCTTGATACGCTTGCTATCCGTATTCACCCTTAAATCTCTCCGGACATGAACATCAGACGATAAAAAAGCAAATTATCTATCTACCGAGTAGATAGAATTGCGTCTTCAAGATTCCCTTTCAACACAAGCAAAATACCAAAAACAGACCGCAAAGTAATCACCGAAAAACGCCCATAATTACCCAGCTATACTCCATTGGCTCTCTGAGTATTTCATCCGATTGACATTAGACAGCCCCTGTACAGGCTGTGCTGTCATAGTCCAACGCCGTTGAGACCTTAGCTTAGCTTTACCAGGTCATCCATACTTTTCTAGAATCCGGAACATGCTATTACTACAACGCTCTATTCTGAATATATATTCTCAATCACAACAAAGAACAGTACCCCATACTCCATACATACAAACTTTAGAGCTCTCCCCACAGAACTAGAACCAGATCCTGTAAATTGAATCGAATCTCCAGTCTCCGAGCCCCGATGGCTCCTCCGATGGGTACAGTATCATGGTTCACCCCCGAGTTCAGACTCCGCCCAAGCCCCTGAACGGGCAAACGCAAACGCCCCCCCCCTTTTTTTTTTTTTTTTTTTTTTTTTTTTCAATTCTTCCAGAAGCCCGCCCCAACTTCCAAGGACTCTAAACAAGCCACACACCACGCCCGAAAGGGAATTCACGATCTTGTCATGGACCGGGAGGGGGAAATGCGCTAATCCGTATTCTGGTCAACCCCCTGATTTTGAGATACGAGGGTGGAAGATAGGAGATACCTTAAGGTCTTCTTAGATAATGGATGTAGGTCGGCCTGTTTATGAGACTGAAACATGAGAATATGTACTGTCAAGTATAGTGGTCGTAATCTTGTCGTTGTCGTGTATACTGCCTCAAGATGTATACATATCCAACGCTCTGGAATGTAGCTTAGAGCTTTGATCTTATCTAGTACTTTTTACCTTGTACTTTGACCTTCAAGGAGCTTAGACTTTGTACTATGTACCTCCCTTGTACTCGGTACATTGTAAATTGTACATTGTAAGCCACATATCTGAATATACAGTACTCCTACACACCCAAGAACATAATCAGGCACACTCCTACCTACACGTACCTTCTTGGCAGGGCCCTGACCACCCACACACCCAAAACCCAATGTAAGCCCGCGACACTTGCTGGCCGGGCCTGCATGCAGATGGAAATGCAGGTACGGTACATATGCACTCGGAAAATGGCCCGAGCCTGGTCCCCTGGCTTACTCACTCGCAGGTGTAGTCTGCGATGCCAGCAAAGACTATGCCAGCGAAGACGACAGGGTTTAATCGCCTCGATCAATAGAGGGTCGTCAATATTACAGTGAGAGTAGAGTGTTAGTCGTCACTTAAAGCGGGTAGAAAACTATACCGAAAATATATTCAGCCTTGTTTTCTAGAACAGTGAGTGAGTCTGGGATAGGGAATTGGGCAGTTCTGCAGATACAACGGGTCCCTTAGTACGAATAACCAGACCAGACTAGAATAGCCCCGTCATCGAGGCAGTCGAGTATACGAAAGTGGGATATGAATATCAAAGAATTGAAAATGGATTTTTGCGAAGCATCCCGAGTTTCAAAAGTCATGTTATCATCATAGATCAGCCCCAGTCCAGAACGACGAGATCTCGTGACTAGTCAAACAACTGTCGCATGTCCTCGGCTATTATCATTAGGCTTCGGGGCAAGTGAATGGCATTGAACGACAATCCACCCTCGAGGACTCGCCAGCCTCTGCAGATCTTCCCAAAAAAGCTAACGACACGTTCTGAATCCCTGGTACGACCTCCTCGATTAGAATCTTGTCTAGCTTGGCACAGTTGGAATTAAAATTCTCTTTTTTCGGAGGGCGTCTAGAACACGACACTCGATCCGCTTGGTTGCATCTTGTATGTGGGTTAGAATCCACAGATGATGCTGTTCGAAACCAGGCACGGGACGGATATTTGCAGATGGGAGGAAGGCTTAGAATCTTCTAGGGCTGGTTATATCCGGTTTTTAGTCAAGATGGGAATCGATGGTATGTGATGTGAGAAAGTGTTGTCAAGTTTAGTCATTGTGCCTCATGTTATTCTGCGCGCGCAGGAGAGTAGGTAAGTCTGTAAGAAATCATCCCAAAACTAGATCTCAAGATAAAGCCTTGACTAGACATAGGCTCAAGCTAGCAGTGTAACTTTCTTCACATTCTCGGGTACATGCGTCTATGTAATCGTAAAAGCCAGGTGCAGCTAGGATGATCAAGAATCGAATGTAGATGCGGACTCGAGGGCCCGCTGAGACACGAATGTAAATCAAAATCCGGTCAGATCAAATCAGAATAAAACAAGGCTCCGAGAACGTAGCTATGTACTCGCATGGAACATTGTGGAAACAAAACGCCAGATTGCTAATTTATGCGATGCAATATGCAATGGATCATGCTACGCAAAAGCTTATGTTGAAATCGGAAAGAGATGGGAAAGTATAGATGCAGTGCAGTTCGTAAATCGTGGCACTCATGTCTAGCGGTTATTAACTTGGTGTCAAGTCCGCTTGTGGTGTGTGTCATCTGAGTCGGGCTCTGTCTCGAGCGGAAGAGGGTTATTGGAATCGTGATCGGTGCTGCTCTTCGGGCTCATCTGTATAACGATTAGTATCGAGTTGTTTTCTTACTGCGACAGGCGGAGAGAAGGAGGGTTGGGGAGGCGGTACATCACTCACCTTATCGAGTTTATAGTTCTCCATAATCAGGCTGAGCGGGACGAGCGGCAGCGTCACAAGGAGCGCTAGTATCAGAAGCCGATTCATGGTCTCCTGGTATGAACGATTGATCGCATCGCGAGTCGGCGAGCCGGGCGGGTAGGATAGCGCTTTGGTCAATTTGCCAAAGATTTCACCTGCCTCGGACTTGGATTCGTCTGGCAGGTACTGCATAAGCTTCTTCGGGATGAACGTTGACCAGATCGCGCCTGAAATAGCGGCTCCCACGGCTCCGCCCATCTCCATAGAGGTTAGGAACATCGCGGTCGCGGCTGCGACTTCCTGGTGGCTTGCGGAGGCTTGAACGCCTAGTTGAACGGGTACGTTGAGTAGACCACCGCCGCAGCCGACTATGATTTGGGCACCGAGGACTTGAGCGTGGGAGGCGCCTTCACCTCGGCATAGGAGCATAAATGCTAAACCTATCATATAGATCACGCAGCCGATAGTCACGAAGACGCGGTATCGTCGGGTGTATTTGATGAGTAAGGAAACCGTGAATGCGGCGATAGTTGATGTAAAGGCGAAGGTTTGAGTGACGCGACCAGCGGTAGCGACGTCATAACCCTGGACAACTTGGAGATAGGAGTAGAGGTATGGCTGGACAGAGAAGTAGAATGCCACTATAGAAGAAGGTTAGTATATCGATTGTACCTTAGTGGATTGCACCTTAGTGAACCGAATCATCGAATCACGGGAGACACGTACTAAAGTACCAAAACGCCAGCGCACAGCCAGCGAGAGCTGTCCGTTGACGAAGAAGATGCAAAGAGAGCAAAGGCTTCGGAGCCATTCTCTTCGAACCCTCCCAGAAGGGCAGGACACATAAGCAAATGATGCCAACAACCACCATAACGATAATATTAGCGTTCCCCCATCCATTCTTCGAGTTGGCTGCTAGAGTTAGCGGCACTAGGATCAAGGTGACCGCGGCCGATAACAATGTCAGTCCACCAACATCTAGATCGTACCAGGTCCGTTTCACGACGCCGAAAAAGCTTTGCTTTCGCTTATGCCGAGACGGCTTGATCAGATTCAGACGTTGAGCCTTGCGCTGGTTCAATAGCAGCGACAGCGCGAGCGGCAAGAAAGCAGCAGGCAGAATAATAGCCCACATACCATAGCCCCATCGCCACGATGATGATCGCAGGACTGCATCGGCAATAGTCGGGCCAAGCCAGACAGTTACCAAGAAGGGAAACTCTGGTAACAGCGTCAAAAAGGCACGATTGAGCAAGTCACTGCTATCGGCGATAAACACTTGCTGGAGGATCTGCAAGCCTGTGGAGCCGGCAGAGTAGAAAATTTGGGCTGAAGCGTAAGTCTGGACGTTTGTTGATGCGGCCATCTGGATGTAGCCTAAGATGTAAATCAAGATGCTGACGCAAAAGGCTTCGAAGCGACCGAAGACATCGGCCACTTTGGCCATGGGTGGTTTGATCACAGCTACATGGTTCCATAAGATTAGTGTGTGTCTTGTGGTCGACCCCGCAATGAAACCCACCATTAACAACATTTTGGACGACAAGGACCGTCGAAATCAATGAATGCTTGCTGAATGCACTTGTCGCATATGCAGATAATGACATGACTGTCTGGCCTTCTAATGACGTGCAGAATGCCATGAGGAATATACTGTGCGCTAAGTCAGCCGGAATGACATCGGGAAAAGTGCCGCTGCAAGCCACCCACGAACCTGACATAGGCAATCATCAACGAACGCGTTGTCCAAGTCATATTGATTGCCTCAATTTTTAAAACACCTTCCTGTGCCTCGTCCGACATCTCGACACTACTGAGTTCGCGGTCGTCGGCTTCGTACCCATTTTGAAGTAGTTGATCTCGGTCCCCTTCCATGTTGCCGTTGTCATCCCGTTGTTCCATTGCACCGTAGGACGGACCGGATCGAGGATCAAGGCTGGGCATCTCCACGGCCTGGAGGGGCGCACACGCACACAAATGTTTGGGAAAAGAGCGATCACAGAACAGCAGGCGAGTCCATATGTTCGAATGGGAAAAAGAGAGCAGAATGCAGCAAGATGGTCGACTTAGATCGAAAGATGGTTGTTGGGACTTCAGGAAAGGTAAGAGATCTTGATCAGATCAGTAAGAAAGAACCGGCATCTAGATCATCAAAAATAGTTCATGCAACCTGGGCGTGACAAGCGGCGGGCGTATGTCATAAAAGGGAGCCCTACTGCTTGACTAAATACCGCTTGGGCAACGTCTCCTCGGGGTGATTCTCGGGGGCGGCCTGAACCAGTCAGATCCCAAGAGAGCTGAAAAAGAGAAAAAAAGAAAATACGGCCACTAACAAATCAGCGGGGCCGATCAGGGGAACAATAAGCAAATGGAAGCACAAAACATGGGCGAAAGGGATGAAAGATGAGGCACAGCAGTAGTGCCGCAGTAATGCCGTCGAAAAGGAACGGAACCAAGGCAAGCGCGGTAGTCGATAAACCCATGAAAGGCTACGCTCGAACAAGCCGGTTTCTGGGTAGCGGGGTGGTGGGCGGATGGGTAGATCCGCTGTGACTTGCGATCGCAAATGAATAATCAATCAGTCCCTCGGGGCTTGGCCGGGGTGGAGAATGAAAAAGAGAGAATCTTCAGCTGCAATCAATGTGGAAAGGAAGGCCTAGCACGATCGTCGGTCGCACTTATGCACGTCGACGGGGATTGCAGGTGAAGAAGCGAGTTGTAAGCGGTCCGAACTCAGTGTCCGCATTTCCGAGAGGCGGATACGGATGCAGCACGATCAGATTCATGAGTCAGAAGGCGATCATCGGGTGAGGCGGGTACTGAGCTTGGTCAAGTAGTTAAAAGAAGGTCTCGAGATTTGCGGAGAACAAGTAAGATGAGAAAAGCGTTCTCTTCGAGCCTCGCCAGAGTGATAGGACTGATGGAGCGTCAAAAGGTGGCAAGGTGTCAGGTCTCTCGGACAGACACCGGGGGGGGAAGTCACTGATTACTGGTCAATGGTTAATGGCCAACTTAACGAGCCCACTAGTCCACCGGGCGGAGACTTGGAAAGCACTCCGAAGTGGGTAAAGGTGAGAGATATTCTGATGGCATGAAGAGGAGCTGATCATACCGAGGATAGAGTAATGACAGGAAAGCCAAGGCTGGGCAGGATCAGATATGATTTGATCGATAAGATGCTGGCAGGGACGTTGGTTCGTTGGCTGAAACCGCGGGTGGTCAAGTCATCCCTGAGGCTTGGGCTTTTTTGTCCGAGTGGGGCCTGGGTTCTCTTAACGAGGGGGTGTTATAACGGGGATGACACTGAGAATAAGACCGAGGATGATGATAGTGATGGATCAAGGTCCACTGGAGACTAGCCCAGTAGGTGAAAAATGAATCTGGATCATGACTCGTCCAAGTTGAGTGATACTCACCCACGCGACCTGCAGTCACGCCATGGTGTGACTCTGGAATCCCATGATCCGGCACGTGGCTTTGGCTTCTTAGTCCAGACTGTCGTACGATGGTGTAAAAAGGAACAATCTATACTGAGATGTGAAAATAAATTGGTTAATTAGATGTTGCAAGCATCGAGTCATTCGGCTAGCCAACAGATCATCACATAGTATGACAGAGTAACGCAGTAGCAGAAAACTGTATCTTGTCCGACCCGATCGGGATCTAGGCATTTCCACGTAGTCTACCATATGGAGTATGAATTCTATATTATTAAACCGTAGTAGATATTTGTTCCACTGCAAGTCAGTTGATCGCCATAGCGGCTGATCTGCCTTGTGTACCCCCACGGCGATCATCCACTGCTCGATGATCGGTGCCGATGCACTTCGCCGTCAAGCATTTCTTCCGATGAACTGAAGCATTCACTTCTGTACAGAAAGCGAGTCCGAGGTTGTGATTGTTGAAGGAGTAACCATCCTCTATCATGGGGAACCTCCAGACCACCAGCTGGTACAGTGTATGTATACAGCAGGATGATGATGTGATTGGGTCTGTATGGGCTTGATTCTCTGCCACCAAATGCATCTCTATAAACTATAACTTCCCATTAATCAGCAGAGTATCCTATCTTAAGTTGTCTGCAACAAGAAGCACCTTCTCAATATGGATCTATTGCTCCACACAGTACAGTATTTCAACTTGATCAACATCTTGTCCTTGAAGGCTAATCATTCCCCAGATTGGTCTAAAACAAAAGTTGTCTATACCCAACTCAAACTGTATCGACAATCAAATGTCCAAAGTTAACCGGCAACTCACCCCCTTCACCCCCGGGCCTCGCCGCATAAACACCCACCCAAGCCTCCTCAATCCCATCCTCCTCAAACACCCACGTCACCTCCCGAATGGGCGACTTCTGCACCCCCTCCACCAAATAAATCCACAAACTCCCATCCGCCTCCTTCACCATCTCAATAGTCGCTGCCCCACCCCCCGACGGCACAGGCAACAAACTCCAATCCGCCCACCGGTCCTTCGCCACCACCCCGAGATGCGGCTTGCCGTGGGTGAGCTCGATGCCGGCTTTCACCCATTTGTGGGATCCGTCTGCGTTGCGCAGGACGATGATGAGTCCACCTTGGTCGTAGAGGTATTTCCATTGCGCGTTTATGGCGACGCGGATGCGTTTGAAGGATTGTAATGGCATCGATTGGTAGAGGATTGGCGCGGAGAAGCGCGTGGTTGAGGGGGGTTTGGCCCAGATGTCTGTCGAGGAGGGGGCATTGATTGTAAATTCTGAAGGTGGAGGGCCGCCATTTCCGGGGACGGGAGCGGTAGAATTGACGAATTTGAATGGGGACATGGTGGTTGTTGTGATGCTGCTGGTGGTGTGTTGCTGATACTGGTGAGGTCGGAGATTTTGGGAGCGGCGGGGCTAACGCGGGGGAATAATGTCAGACGATGTCGCGAGCGGGGTTGATTGCTTGGCCACGAAAGCGATACCGATAGATGGGGAAGCTGTAGAACGATGGATTGAAGGCTTTTGCAAAAGGGTGAGATTGTTGTTGAAGGAAATAGAAGAGGGGAGGAGGGCAAAGCCCAGCGGTCCTGGTGCTACTAAGTAGTTCTCCAACCCGGCTACGTCACCAAATCCCCACCAGTCCAACGGGCAATGATATGGTCCAGTGGATTTTCCACTACGAATACAGAAGCTTTCCATCATCTCCGACCGTAGGCATAAGAAGATTTCTTTGATGAAATTGGCTTTCTCCATAATCTGTCTATCTCGTTGAGCTGGAGTGCTTTTGCGGACCGACAATGCAGGCGACTACGGTTAACAATGGACGGTTCTCATATGCCTGGGTCATGACCTCATAGGTAGTGCCCCCACGAAACCCAATATCTTGGTACTATCTTCCTTGGTTTTGTTTTGTGGATAAGGGTAATTAATGGCCTGGCCGAATTGCACTAGGCATACCGAGATGCTATGCTTTATACGCCGCAGCGATTCCAGCCCAGCATATACCATTGTTGCACATGCGACGGAGCATTCCAAAGTTCAATGAGCAGACCAGATGTTCTACAAAGCCCTCCAATTAGAACTTGTTTCATTGCTACTTGGTGTTTCATCAAAGTTGGATACTCCATTGGTTCAACCTTTGATTCGCCGCGGTATAAAGACAGTGTATGGTAGAACTCTACATCTCGTCGTACTATCTTGCAGAGCACAGGGTCTCCATGTTTACAGGTTGATTGATATTTGAGGTGCAAATATTCTGACTGTTGATCGTAGCTTCGGCATAAAATGATAACTATCTACCTAGTAGCAAAGACTGTTCCATGACTGGATTCGTTCCTTCCAAGGGCAGTGTCTGGTAGATGAACCCCCGGGCTGATTCTGCATCCTCATCCATACTAATATGCTATGTCTAATCTCTCTTCTACACATTGGAAGCTTCGCCAGCGGATACCTACTTCGTCAAAGAAGCAATATCACACAGAGGCAACGACCTTCCAGAATCAGTCACCACAAGCACAAGACAACTTCAACCTGAAGCAGCAATCCTCAGGAAGCAGCGAATAATTGGTGGTGCGACTGCCAATATTGGACTCGGCGTGGTGTGCGCTTAGTCGTCGTTGTCGAGAAATTTCGTTTGATTCCGTCCATCCCAATTCCCAGGCACCACCACACCAGCACATGTCAACAATCGTGTTTGACACTTTTGAAGCAATTCCTCTCTCATTCTCAATTTCTCTTCTTCTCTTCCTCTTTCTCCTTTCTTCTTCCACCACTCACCCTCCGCTCACGCTCACGCATCTCTGCTTGAACGCATCTTCGTCACGTGGTATCTGCACAGTTCCATCTTCTCCTCTTCTCTACTCACTCTCAATCGCACTGTCATTCATACCTTGCTTCATGAAAATGGGCGTCAAGCTCGTTGGTGACTCGAAGCCCATCAAGCCCTTCACTGTGGAGGAGCTGGCGGAGCGCCTGGAGGCCCAAAAGGCTTTCTACGATGGCGTCTCCATCTACTTGAAGCAGCGCGGCTCCCAGCCTCTGGAGACCAGCATGTTCGCCCACGCGAAGCCTTCCACCCGTCCTGCTGCTCGATTCACCGGTAACTACTCTCGCAGACCTGCTCCCAAGCCTGCTGCTCAGTCCGCCGGTCGTTTCGTCAAAAACCAGGTATGTTTATATTTTTCCTCCATCTGGATATCGCGCACGTGACTGCCCAAGCCCTTGTTATGGAAGGAGACCACGGGAGACTCGCCAGTCCTCGGTGATCTTACTTCTGTTGACGGTGGCCCATCGCAACTACCTCGACTGATCATGGACATACGCTGACCAAACCTGAGCCCCCACAGCCCCTGAAGAACCTCAACGAGGATGGCAAGCACTATGCCGAAATGGCTCAGGGCAACAACAACAACGCTGGTCGTCCTTTTGTCCCAACTGTAAGTACCCGTTTCTTCCTCCTTTGCAAGTCGGTCTGCGGGCAGACATGTCCTGGACCTCGTGGGCTCTCTCATGTCATGTCTCGCATAGACCCGGCCCCGGTTGCCCTCCATGAAGAATGTGTGACTGACTGATTTTGGTGAATGACAGACTCAGGGCCCATCCAACTTCCGCACCGGCACTGACAACAACAATGGAGCTTCCAAGCCCTCCGGCCAGCGCCTGGTCTACAATGGACTGAAGAATTCCGAGGCCATCTTTGCGGTCACTGCTCGCATCAATGCCGAACGCGCTGAACGCGAGGCTGCTAAGTTGTGTGAGGAGTCCATGAAGTCTACCTCCGTCAAGAGTCTCGATACTCCCAAGATTGACACTCCCAAGGCCGTCGATCCTGCCCAGAACATCGTCGAGCGGAAGAACATCACCGACATCAAGAAGCTCAATGAGCTCAAGGGCCATAATGGACCCCACGATATTGACATGGTCAAGGAAATAGCCGCTAGCGTGAATGCTCAGCTGGCCGACGAGGATAACGACGCCACCACTGTCAAGAACACCGATGCTCCTAAGACCCTCTTTGAGTCCAAGAGCCTCGTCGCTACTAAGACCCCCACTGCTCCCAAGAACCTCTCCGAGCGCAAGAGCCCCATCGCCGCCGAGACCATCAACCAGCGCCAGGGCTACAAGGGACCCCAGGACTTCGACGCCGTCAAGAAGGCCGCTGCTCGCATCGAAGCTCAGAAAAATGTTTCCAAGAACCTCCGCGAGCCGATAAACCCCACTGTCGTGAAGACCCTCGAGGCTCCCAAGAACCTCGTTGAGTCCAAGGGCGTTAACCCCGACAAGAGCCTTAACGGCAGTGTCCACGCTCCTAAGAACTTCACCGGCGCCACGGGCATCAATGCTACTAAAACCGTCAATGCCCCTAAGACCGTCAGTGCTCCCCACACCATCAATGCTCCTAAGGCCTTCATCAACCAGCGCAGGGGCTACAATGAACCCAAGGATTTGGACATCGTCAAGGAGGCCGCGGATCGTATCCATGCTCAGAGCAATGCTTCCAAGAACCTTGCTGAGCCAATGAGCTTCGGCGGTGCCAACCCCAAGGCACAGGCCTTTGTTCCTGCCTCTTGCGCCGATAGCAAGCCGAGTCTGGCCAACCCGGGTCTGACCAATAATGACGATTGGATGGCACATGCCCGGGGTTTCTTCTCCAATGGCGGTATCGGAAGCATTCGCACTGGCCGATCTACGACAACCCGTGAGCCTCCTGTTGAGCGTGAGCCTCCTGCTCGCGCTTTCCTCTTCAAGAACATTCCGGACTGGATGAGCCTTTCGGATGTTATCGGCCTCGTCCATGGTGGCGCTATCGACTGCATTTTCCGCTCGGAAATGGCAGAGATCACTGTGCAGTACTGCGAGGAGGCTGCTTGCAAGGCATACCTGGAGGCCTTCCCCAATGGCATCAAGGTTGCGAACCCTGGTAACCCCACTGAGGAGGTTACTATCGACGTTGAGAAGGCTCCCCGTGGCCAGGAGATTCCCCCTCCTCTGCAAGTTAAGATCGGCTCTGGTGGCTCCCGCCTGGTGCGCGTTGATGGAATTCTCGACGCCGCGACCATCAAGGCACTTACTGTCCGTGCTATGGAGTACGAAGTGGACCACTTTGAAATCCGCGCCGAGAAGAACAAGGTATGTCCCCGTGTGTATTGTCGTCGTATGAGACAAAGTCACTAACCGTCCTTATCAGACTGGCTCTGCCTACTTCTTCTTCTGCGGCTTGACCGACGGCTGGAGCTTCAGACAGAAGCTAAAGCAGGATGAGGACTGGGCGGATTACGCTGCCGAGTTCATGGCTGACCCGTGAGTCAATATTCGATCGTTCACTGTGGAATGGGAGATGAGTGTATGCTAATCTGATTTTGTATATGAATAGCTGCAAGGTCGCCACATCTTTCCACGGGAACACGATTCCCAACCGTATGGCTTCCGCCGTCGCGGCTGTGTGATCGCCTTCGATTTCCTTCGCTTGACCCGTCCAGATAACTTCGATGTGATCTGGATAGATCGTTGAAAGACGGCTTTATCATCCACTGGGACAATGGTCCGCCATTGTGATTGAGGCACTTTTTGTTTCGTGCGCTCTTTTCTGGGGAAGTTTGATGGGTGTCGATAAAGAGGCACATATCAACGAAATTCGGAGAACTTTAATGACATTCTCATCAAAATGAGCCTTACACAATGAAGATAATATGAAAATTGAATATGAATCCCCATTCAAGCTCACTTCGAAGTTCATACAGACTAGAAAGTAGTAGATGTGAATATTTGAAAAAGTACCAAAACTTCCGAAATACCTGGTCATCGAGGAACAGCCTACAAACAACAAAGTCCCAAGTCCCAACTCCCCTCGAGTCATGTCCCTTCCATTCACACCCGCATATCAATCAAACAGGTGATCACACAACGCTGCGGTCATCCGCCCCATCTAATTGGTTAAATCCAGTTTACAGTAGCGCGTAAATCGAAATTCCCCCCTCCGCCCAGTGCCCACACATCGATTCCACGAGCTCCCCGTCGTCGAACCCTCTTCATCACACTAACTACGAATCTAGCAAGAGGGGCGTTTAAAGGCTACTTCTTACGGATTTCATTTGTTCGGAATTCGCTCCGCGCGTCCCGCCCGCCATGGTATCGGGTAAACTAGCACGATCGCGACGATGAACGATGAACGCTTCTGTTGAGATGGTGATGGTGATGGTCATGGTGGATGTGATAGGATTGGGATTTTGTTTTCTGAAGATTTGCCTCTCTTCCAGGGCTTTTTACTTTCTACTTTTTGCTTTTTTTTTTTTTGCGGTTTGTCTCTTCATGTTTTTGTCGGCATTTGGTCGGGGCCGTGATTGAAGGGAGTCATTACAAATTCGAGGGCTTGCGGCGCTAAAGGCGTTTTTGTTTCTGGATGGTCGGATTGTACTGCTTCATAGGTAGATGGGATATGCAGACTCGAGTTTACACTAACGTGTCTGCATTAGAGTCGAGTTGGCTAGGCCTGGAGTCCTAAGTGTACAAGGTTCAATTCTAACAGTTATTGGAGGCCCGTCATAACCGCTCATGTACGCCCGCTATAAGGCCCATGCACAAGCAGCAGCACATTCTTGACCGTGCCCAACCACCTCGAGGAGTAGCGATGCCTCTTCCAGCCGCAATGCCTGTTGTTGTTACATTGGCCATGGGTAGGCTGCGTTAGGGTGCAATGGAAGGCCAGGAACCTCAGACTGGCCGTTCGAGGCTAAGGACACGCATCGCATCGGCCCATCTGTAAGTAGCTCCAGTCCAGCTCCACCAGGCGTGTATGCGTAATCGCGTCCCCACATCCCTGAACAGCCGAACACTCGACTAAGTACGGAAATGGAAATCAGGATTGACGAGTTATTGAAATTACGGACAAGTTAATTGGTTAATTAATGTAGTACCGACGGTACTTTACTTGGATAGTCGCTAAGTAAATAGTTTCTCCGTACATACTCCGTACTCCGTGGTCCGACTCCAAATCCAGTTCCAGTTTCCTCCGTAGGTCCGTCATTTAGTTCAATAAATCCGGCCAACGTCCTAATTAGGAAAATACAGCAATGCCAATGCCAATGCTAACGCCAATGCCGTAACGGCCCCCAACGCACGAGCCAATTTCAGCTAAACCAGCTCCAGATGAACTAACGAGCTAAACGAACGAACCGGACCGAATATGGAGTATGGAGTAGTTCCGTATGAAGGTATCGTATTCCCGAGAATTACGGACTTTTGTACTGCATATTACAGTTACAGACTTACAGTACTAAGTATTCTGGCTAGGCTTCTTTTTCCCTGTTAGTCTATTTACCCTATCTGTGCTAGCCTTGGTCTAGTAGTCTTTCTAGCTTGCCCTGCGACTATCGACGTGCCTTTTGCGCGTGGCCCGCTAGCCGTACTACACTAACATGTGTTAGGTGCGTCCTGTGAGGCTGAGACATGACTTGGATAAGGGTGATTGGATCGGAGATCAAACCTGCATCCAGGCCTGAAGGGGCTGGCCGTGAGGGTTTTACTGAGTGGTTGTGATCTGTAACTAGCATCTTCATATGTAAGTAATATTTCGCTTAATCTAAAGTGCATGAAGAATAGGAATGTGCAGTACTACTTGGTTACAGTAAGTCTTGCGCGAGGCTGGCCGATAACCTGCGACGCTAGGGTAGCCCTCTGCCCTTTGGCGTGAACTCTCTTCTCTTCTCTGCCTTGCGGCTCTTAGCTGCCAACTTGCCAAGTAGACCACTGTATGTACGCCCATATTCCTAATTCACTAAGATCAACAGCCTGATTCTTCCCGGATCTGCCGTCCATTCTGGCAAAAATTGCGACCTTAGGATAATGATCATCATAAAATCGAAACAACTACCTTTTTTGGCCGGAATCCTCGCTAAGCCCAAGCCCAAGCCCACCGAGGCTGTCCGGGCTGGATCCTGAATCCTCAGGGCAGAGCGATCGTCGATCGCTGCCCCCACTGGGAATCGTCATCCTCTATTTCGAGACTGAGCTGTTCCTCGGATGCGAGCCGGGAGCTCTGTCAGATGCGGGATTTGCGTGATCTTCTCTTACTTGGTTAGTCTATGAGTAGGTTGTAGACTGTAATCAATTGTCAGCACTGAGTATACGACCATCATTTCCATCTTCTGTTTACCCATGTCTGGTTGCCCGCCTATTTCAAATTAGCATATACGCATAGACTGGCCCTGTTACTCAATGCCCCCTCCCCTCATGTTCATATAGCCCCAGACCAGGGCCAACGCACCGGCCCCAATAAAGGGTCTGCGACACTCCCCGCCCCCCAGATGGAAGAAAAAGGGGCTATTCTGATGCAATGAGAGTGCATGACACGCGGGCAGCTCTGTAACTCCATTTTCTCCGCCTGGAGTCTTCGTACTCCTTCACCCATAAGATGCGGCGGAGGGCCGTGAGGCCCCCGTTGAAGGATTAGCATGTCGCAGTCGAAGGGGCTAATTCTCCCGGTTCTGTATGCACACAGCCCAAAGCTAGGGCCTGACATGACTCGAGCGGCCGAAGATTGGGTCTTCGGAGTTCTTCTGGGGCCTAATGGGCTCACTGCAGGATCATCGACAAGGTCGGAGGGGGCAAGTGATTGTGTTTTGAGTTTCTATTTATTCTCTTGCGTGTTTGGTTACCGTGCAGAGAGGTTGTTGGGTTGATCACCCCATGGTTTCAACGTATGATTCTTGAGCGCCTTGGAGGTCTGGGCGATGGGGGTCGGCGCTGTATTTGTCTTGTATTGGTAGAGCGGGTGCGTGGGCGGCAAGGCGTGCAAGGCGGACTGTAAACTTCATCTTGCATGAATGCTCACACAATGCTTGACTGGAGTTTGATTAGCTGGAGGGTGAGTGTTGCCTGCTCGACGGGGAAGTGTTGGTCAATCTGTTGATAAATACACGAAGTAGGAGGTGTTATTCGAAATGGCAAGAGGTCACTTTTGACAGAAGAATTGATCGCTCTAGGATCATGAAATTGAGGATTTTGACTATAGTAGTAGATGGTGGTAGGTTATATAGTAGAAAGACATGAAGTGGAAAGGCAAAATGCCCGCAAAAACAGAATTCCTCCCATCGTAACGAGTCCATGGGGAGGTAGAATGATTCCAAACAAGAATAGCAGATAACCTCCTGAGCCCCCAAATATCCCAAAAACAAATGCGAAAGAATATTTCGACCAAAAGATCCAAAGTAGCTGAAAAAAACAGTCAAAAAACTCCCACCAAGGTATCTTGGAACAAAAAAGGCGCGCAAAAAAAATGACAAATAGCCTCCAGCTGTCCCATCATTCCTTTGATATTAAACAAAAAAACACAGTAAAAAAGACCGAGATCGAGATCTCAAAAAAGAAAATGAAGATAGGGTCATGAGTCGTGGAGAGTCCCTGATAATCACGTCGACATGCGCGACTGCCTCGGGCTAATCTCCTCACCCTCACGCATCCACGGATACCACACATTCGCCCATTCCCTCACACCAAACCTCGGAGCGCCCGAATCCGCCCCCATCGAAGCCCCCTCTCGAAGAAACTCGCCATCCCGCATACGCCGTTGCTCCCGTAGCGTCGGACACTTCTTCTCCTTGATGAATCGATAGAATTTGCACTGGATACCCTGGAACCCACGCCGCTGGCGACTGGGGAACTGGCGGTTGAAACTCTCGCGGACTTCCTTCCACTCCTGACACAGGTCGACCCGGTGGTACCAGATGAAGTACATTTCTTCTTCTTCGTACTTGGGACGTGGTGGCCGCCGCCGGTCGCCGTTGTTGCTGGAGCTGGATGAGACGGAGTCGTATCGCTCGCGTGGGTGGTACGGGTCTGGTGATGAGCGGGTAGACCCGTTCGTGGGTCGGTAGGACAGGAACATGTGGTGATGGTGGTGCTGGCCATTTGATGAGGAATGTTGTTGACTCTGGTGATGGTGATGATGATGGTGCGAGTTACTGCCACTTCCACTGCCGCTGCCGCTGCCACTGCTGGTGTGCGTCGTGGCGGTGGATGCTGCGCCCGGGCTGGTGTCGTGGTAGCCTTGATATCTGGAGGAGTACCAATACTGGTTTGGGGATGGTGGGTAGCCCGGTGAATGTGCGTAGCCGTTGTTGTGTGACGAGGATGACATCGTCGCGTGCTGGCTGTATGGCGACCCTGTCGTGCTGCTGTGTTCATCCGGCCCGCCATCAGCAGAAGGGTTCAGCAACGAGTCAATCTTCATTCGGCCTTGCCGTGCCGAGGGTAGTTGGTGGCGTGTGTATGTTTCCGTGCGGGTCTCCATGGTGTAGTAGTAGTGATGATGTGATGACGATAGTCGCGTGGTGAGATGTGCTTTTCTCCTTCTGGGGAGTTTTCTTCCTGGTTTGTTCCAGTTTCTTGTGAGAGTCCACGGTCGAAAGGTGTCAGACAGAGAAGATCTGATCTTGTGAGGTCGATGATGTGATTGATTTCCTTGTCCTCTTTGCTTTTTGCGTGGTAACTAACAGACTTCGCCAGTCTTCGAGAGCGAAATAATTGCCGAGATGACGTTGATCCTTTTCTTTCGTGATATGCAGTTGAGCAAACCAAGAAAAATAATTTAAACGGTCTGCATATATAGGATGATGGTATGTACTATCGTCCTCTCTGGAATAGATTATAGACTCTGATGATGTTGGGCGGGGGGAGACTGATGTATATTAGGGCGAGATTTGAATATTTGCAGATGACGATCTCAGACTGAAAACTGCCGGATGTGTCAGGTTGACAGGCAGGTGGAGGAGAAAGGGAAGTATAAGATCTAACCTCTAGGGCGAGAAGTCAGAAAGTAGTAAGAAGGGGAAGCAAGGTTTGTCGATCGAAAGGAATTCTAGTTTTATGGTCGATCACCTGGAGACACGGGCTTAAATGAGGGAAAAGACCAACAAGTCCAATAAAAATAAATATGAAATAAAATGCGAGCCATAAAATCAGAAAAAATCGAAAATAGTCCCCAGGCTAACAGTCCTGTTGGGTGCACTCTACCAATTGTCCGGGTCAGGCTGGCTTGTCCTTTTGGCCCCCTGTTATATTCGTTGTACGGGCGGATACACACCAGGCTGGGGCTAACAGCGAGGGAAGTAACTATGGGTATGGGTGGGGGATCAAGAGAGTGGAGGGAGGAGGAGGGGGCAAGCATTAACCAGATTCATCAGGAGCATACAGCAGCAGTAGCCGGCGAGTGGATGTGCCTCGAAGTCGAAGGGCAACTCGAGCGTTCGGATCCACCCCCAGAGAAGTAAAAGAAGGGTTAGAGACCGGTGAACCGGACTAGGAGCTCCGTGTCCGGTGGTTCTGGATCATTTTATTTTGATAATTTATTATTTATTTTGTTCTGTAGCATTGGAACTTTTGAAGCGGACTATCAAAATCTGGATTTTCTAGCCCTGTCGTGGGCTAGAAAAAACAATCATATATCGCCACTGTTGTACTTGATATCTGAAATTGTCCGTAAAGAAGGAAGAGGTCTTAGACTACTGGTGGCGATCCCGCGCCCAGGGCGTTCCACTTCGGTCTTTACCGTATGAAAGGAAAAAAAGGTATATACTCCATAAAGACGAGCAACAATTCTTTGGATCGGGTATAATTTCTGGTTCCTTGTCGGTGATAATCGGTCACCGACAATCATGATTTAGGGTTCTGATCATTTGACGAATTGATCATTCAATGATTTCATTTTTGGGGGCAAGGAAGACTCTCTTTGTCTGAAAGAGGCGCGGCAATTTGGCACCGCATGTTGGTGGAACAGCTTGTTTCCATCGCCATGATGAGGTCCATCTTTCGACAGGGTCGATCTTTCTTTTGCCTATTGATTTTTATTTTCATTTATTTTTCAATTTTTTTTATACTGTACAAGATATTTCATTCAAATACGAAGCTGGGCAATGATGAGCGCACGCGGGGGAATCCACACCGATGCACGCCAGCCTGCCAGATGCAAAAATTACAGGCGCGTTACCGACCTTTAGCCTTTTACACTTGTAGCGCGGATTATTCAGATTTCACGAATTATCGATGACAAATGACAAATTGTGGGGACGCGCCTGTGGTGAATTCCGTAATTCACGAAGGATTAATGGATCGACTGGCTACGGTCGTATTGCGGTAATTCTTCGTACCGAGATGATGTATTACCGTTTAGCTAACTATTGTCTCCGTACAGGAGGTGCATATCAGTTATCTGCCAGACTGCCAGCATAATCGATTTGCTCAACGTGATCTAAAAAAAGTAACTATCTACAATGCAGCACTGCAGAGCAACCATCAGAGTAATGCATGTATATTAAGGACAAGTACGGGAGTACAATTGCCAAAAAGAAAAGAGCCAAAAGTCAAAAAAAGGCAACAAGCACGCAGAAAAACGCTGCTGCGCAATCGTCTTCCACAATCCGCCCATCGCCCCCTGGCTGATAGGCCAGCCTTCCCAAACACTGGCGATGGAGTCGCGCAGTGATGTGTGCGCGATGTGGCAGGGATCAGATTGAGCAGGGGGCCATGCGAGCCAATCCCAGCACGGGCCTTGAAAGATAATCATGCAGAGATTAGAGCCACCGCGGACTCGCGTGCATTTTCTGTTTTAGATCGATGTTTCAATTCACCTACATACTTAGTACCTTACTACAGTACTACCCCCGTAACTAACTAGGGAAAAGAACTAGGGGGTTCGACTAGTATAGACGCCGGTCTCCATGTGAGGTTCCGAGGCCGCAGGCGAGCACCTCATCGTTGAAAAAAGTGGTCAAAACCGTGGTTGATGTGCGAGTGGGCTCGGGGGAAAGACGCTTTGACCCCGACGTTAAGAAGGGAAAAGGAAAAGCCCCCGCCGGAAATCATCCGAATCTCGGGAGGGTCCTATTTTACCTTTTGAATTCTTTCAATGATGGAATTGTTGAAAGTCTTCAATCGAAGTTGCACACCCTTTTTGACAGGAGAAGAGGGAGCAGAAAAAAAGACATGCCGCCAAAAAAGTTAAAAAACCAACACAAACGCGCGGCGTCTATTGGGCTACAAACCGTCACCTGTTGCGACGCCTGCCGTGGCCCTGGGACCGAGGGAACGAATGGGAGAGAAGAGCTAATGCGAGCTCAATTTGGCCTCAGATGCAGAGGGTGGGGACGATGCGTCTGCCAACGCATCTGCCTTATTTTGTATACTCAACAGTAAGAACGTATTGGAGAATGAAGAACAGCCGACGATTTAATGATGTGACAAAGTGACAACATGACTATCTATGGCGGTCGAATTGCCTCAATAATCCGGTTCTCATGATTCATTCCATCGACCATTCATTCGTCCGCTATCTCCGCGTCCAGTAGATCAATTCAGGGAACCAACAGTCCCCGGAGTGTCGCATTTAGGCAAGATGAGCGAGTCAGATACTGATAGTCGTCCATAGGTAGTGCCATATTGCGCCGATGAAAATCCACAACACTTCATAGCCAACTATTCAACTCGTATCTTGTCCTGTCAGAACGGACATAAGTGGATGCTTTTCACCTCCGACCTCGAGCGAACCACGGTTATTGCGTTGGGTATTTCGGACACTCCAAAACCCGGCGACGCGGGGGATGATGCACATTGGGGGGAAACGAAACGAGGAGAAAAAAAGGCCGTGTCCAGTGGGGGTTGCTGAAGATGACTTGAGGGTCTCAACTTCTCGCGTGTGTGTGTCTAATCCGCTTCTCCATCCAACTTATCGGCAACACCCGGGAGCACAGTCAAAAATTCCAAAACATGGTTTCCACCACGGGCATCGTGCAGGACACAAATATCCCGCTCGGCTGTGATTTTTACTAGCGATCCAGCCGAGTTGCTGTTCTTTGCACCCCCTCATCTCCCATCTGTATTTCTCCACACCACCCTTGAAGAGAAAAAAAAAATAATAAACTAGAAAAAATACCCCGAAGATCAGAGAAATAGAAAGAAGTCGAGCCCAGAGTCGAGAATCGGGGTTTGATGCTCCACTAGATTCGGATGTCGCGTTAGATCGGCCAAGCAATTCGGAAATGCCCTGTTAATCCATACTACTGTAGATTGTACAGTTGATACGTGAATAGATTGCTTGACTACAGTACTACTAACAATGAGTTAGTTAACTTATTACTGCCGGATGAATAATATACTCCTTCAGTCCCCCCCTGTCTTGTCTTTAACTCAGTAGCCAGCCAACGGCGACAAGAAATGTCCCGCGTGATGTCGGGCATCGGGCTGCTCCTTTCTTTTTCTTCTTTTCTTTTCTTTTCTTTTCTTTTTTTTTTGAATTTCGCTTTTCTTTACCGCAGTCTGATCAGCGGCTGGTAGATCGTCGGTCATCTGCAGCCTAATTGCGGGCAACGGTTGATGGTCTGACCTCTGACCTGAGCTAAAGACATTTTTAGTTTGTTGATTGTTTTTTATTTTTATTTTATCGTATACGCAATACTATCTTACCGGTTAATGGACTTGATTGCCATTAGATTACACTTTCCTCTCCCTGAACGCCCAGACGATTTTCTTCAGGTAAAAAACGGCGTACCATCGGCCGATCCTCTCGGCCGCCGTTCGTGAAGACGGAGTACGGTAGAAAAAAAATGGATCCTAGACCGCGTCTCATTTCAATTAGTTACCATATTTAATTACAGATTACAAATTACAGGCATGTGTTTCGTGTCAGACTGTATGGTTCATACAATACAAAGCTTCAGGCATAGGAAGGTCCAAGCTCATAGCTCCAAGCTCCCTTGCTGACGCTCGATAATCGCCGCGCGCCTGGTGTTCTAGAAAGAATGGAAAAGCCGCAAACTGGGTTCATCGGGCACAATAGACACAAATGTACATGGTAAGCGAGGTGATGGAGTAAACAAAAGGACTCTACATACGCAAGCTTCTGAACACTAAGCTTAGTATGTGACAACCGTGGCCTAGTAGTAGGCTACCCTGGTCAAAAAGTACAGTACGATGATTTTTCCTTTTCTTTTTGCCTCTCTCGCTATCGTCCGTTATTTCTTCTTCTTCTTTTCGAGGTACAGTAACTCCGTGTAAATCATTGCTGCGAGTCCACCGGAGATCGCTAGTCCGTTAGCGCTGCTGGTTTTTTTGTCTTTTTCTTTGTTTTCCTTCTTGTTACCTCCGTCTTCATGCATACAGTGACTCCATAGTAGCTGTAGCCTCGATGGGCGGACGAAAGCTCCCGGTTCCGTGCAGATCAGATCAACATGACCCCCGGGGCTAAAAAGCAGACTTGCGACCCCCGCCCGGTTCTTTGCTCGGGGGGAAGTGGAATGG